TAGCATTGAGGCTAATTACGGCGACCCCAACATCCAGGACTGGATGCACCTGCAAGAATGTATTATAGCTGTATATGCTAGCGTGTTGAAGTACGCTACAGAGGTGAAGGGCGCATGGGAGAGCGGCGTCAACAGTAAGTGTAAAGACGCTTCCAATGGATTGCGCACTAATGACTTGAAGGACGGATCGTTGCAAGCTTTCGTGCTTTAGTCGAAGAGCCACTCGAGAGGTTGAAGAGTGCTATTGCCGATCAAGACGCAGCGATCGAGCAGTGGTTGGGTTTAATTGCTCACCAATGTGAATGTTCTGCTCCGTCTTTTAGGTGTTAGCTAAACGTAACAGACAGGATGAAAGAGTCCGAAGCCATGAAGAACGAAATTCGAACTGTGTTAGATACGGTATCTCAAGTTTCGAACACCGTTGATAGGATTTGGCGAGTCACACTATGTTGGTACCTTGTCACTGGCTTACTCTGTTTTATGCTAACAGACAATGCAGCCCAGCATGAAGAGCGGATTCGTAACTGGTTCTATGAAGGCCAGCCGTCCAGACACGACACAATCCAAGCCGACTTCCGCAGATTCAAGGGCAATCTGGAAACTGGGCAATGGTTCCTGAATTCTCGAGAATTCAAGAGTTGGGAAAGATATCCGCAACAAACGTTATGGCTGCATGGGCCCGGTTGGTGTTGGCGTAACCAATGCAGGAAATACTCACTAACGGTTCCTAGGTGGATGTGGCAAGTCGTATCTCTGGTCCGCTTTTCTCGCTAGCCCTCTTACTAAATGGGACATGCTCACCCTCGCGCAGCGCGACAATTATCGACCACCTTAACAACACCTATCGCAGAGACTCCAGTAAGATCGCTATCTATTGCTTCTTCGAAAGCAGCAGCGCGAATATTCAAGATACAGAATCAACGTTACGCTCTCTCATCAAGCAACTTATTTTGGCCGATCATCCCGTTGTCGATTTTGTCCAGGAATTTATGGATGAGCATAGGAATTACCCACCTCACGTCAGCAAACTGGTGGCACTGATACATCGTATGATACAAGAGATGAGTCGAGATATTTTCCTTGTCCTGGATGGCTTAGATGAGTTAGGATCCACCCCACGTGGACGTGTGGAACGAGAGTTGCTGCTTCAATTTGTCAGAGAGCTAATCGCGTCCGGATACGGAAATCTCCATCTGCTCTTGTCCAGCAAACCCGAGGACGACATAAAGCTTGCAACCAAACCTACCACGGATAATGTTACGGCCATGGACGTTAGCGCTGGACTCCGAATAGACGTGGCAGATTTCGTAGTCTACAACATGGAGCATACCCCTTCTTTGAAGGGTATATCCAACGATATCTTGTGGAGTATAGTCACGGAAAACAGGGGATGGGAAATCGGTATCTCTAAGTCAGAGTGAGAGAGGGTTCTTTGTAATACGACTTTCTAAACTGACTTCTCCGCAGTTCGTTTCTCTGGGCCGCAGCGCGGTTCCGAGAGCTCGCTGAATGTCGCAACGCGACACAGATCGAAAAGGCTGTGCGAGCTATTCCGACAACGGTAGAAGGCATCTACACAAGCGCCTTAAAAAGGATTCCACAGCGCGATAGAAATATTGCCTGCGTCCTGTTCCAGATGTGCCACAGCGTCATTTGGTACAAGTTAACGGCTGAGCAAGCAATAGACTACGCAAATCTCAGAGAGCCTCATGAGATCCTCGACATCTGCACCAGAACCCTGGTCCAACTTGATTCACAGGGGCAGTTGCGCTTCGTTCACCCTAGCGTAGGACACTATCTCGGATCCGAGACGCTCCGTGCGATTCCTGACTTACAACAATTCCACCAATCCAAGGAGGTAGCCCTCGAAGGAGTCGCCAATAGATGCTTGGAGTACTTGGAGGAGGGCAAAAGAGGACCCTTTCTTCGGCTGTTGGGGTCTGTTTTTGTGCATGTGTCCGTCAAACCTGAGCATGGGATGTGCCATAATAAGGAGCATCCCGTCTACAAGAGAGCTCTCGACGTCATATGCTCGCTTGGGACACGTTCGTTATTTTATTCACCTCGCGGGGGCTTGGGCTTGGATGAGGACGCGGAGCGACGCGTTCAGACACTGGACATATTGATCCAGCGGGGAATGTTTCACCTAGCATTGAACGTGCTAGAGCGCTCCGAGTCTGCGCAGTTGTCCCGCGATGATTTGAGCACAATCCTCCCGCGGGCTATGTCCCGGCGAGATGAAGCGCTGGTTGTCAAGCTTCTGGAAATGGGCGCAGATCCCACGGCACAAGATGAAACCCTCGGCACCACGCTCTATGTGGCCTGCGCGCCCAGAGAATACGGTCTCTTCTGGAAAAAAGATATTCGCATGCTCAAGAGCCTCCTATCGCAGCACCCGGACCTGAACAAGGCCGGGGGAGTACTTGGGACACCTCTTCAGCGCGCTTCGTTCCATGGGGGAAAGGAAGTTGTTTCCCTCCTTCTTGAGGCGGGTGCAGATGTCAACACTCTTTGTGGCATTTTTGGAGATGCTCTGCAGGCAGCTTCAGCGACTGGTAGGGGAAAGGTTGTTGAAATACTGCTTGCCAACGGGGCTCAACTTAATGGACTTCGCGGGTGTTTCGGGAGCGCCCGCCTCGCCGCCAAAATGGGCTGTCACACCTCGATAGAGCGCTTGTTGACGTCGCAACACTTTGTCAACTCCGAACCCGGACAAGCCGGGCGTCTATGGCAAGAAGCCTTTGAGAGAGCAAATTCACCCTCGGGCCAACTTGAGTCGGATCAGGAGGTACCTCAGGAGATAAAGGACCACATCACAAGCGACATAGTCGAGGCCCCCTTTTTTGTACGTGAATATCTGTTCGAGTTAAGCTCGATGCAACGGTTCACTCTTCTGGTCCACCATTTGGCAACTCCGCTTCCGGCTATCCAATCGGCTCTGAAGGCCCATTCAGAAGTGGTTGAGTCTGGGCTCATGGAGCTGATAGAGGATGGGTTCAACCGAGGTAGAGAGTTCCAATGGGATGGGAAACCTCGCTTCGAAGAATGCCACACTACTCACGCTCCTTGGAAGCACTTTTTTCGAGCCGGAGTCCACGCTTATTTTATTGAAGTAAAGTGTACGCCTCTTGCTCCGTCAACTTGTACTGATTTCTTTTTGTAGCTCAAAGTGTTCGATTCGCCCGCGGCTGGCTTTTTATCGCGTCTCATGACCATTTGGCGTCGAGTTGAGGCATACGAACAATACTTTTTCCAGGCGGAGGAAGAAAACGACCGCTGTGCGTTGTCATTACGGGTCGCAGTTGTGGGTATCTATCAGGGCCTGCTTGAGGCTTTATCGCGTGTTTACGTTTCCCGATGGCGTTACGCCAGTTTCCGGACTATGTTACAACTATGGAAGGCCGAGAGCATGCTCGACGATCAGTCTGCCTTCGAGCAGCGCCGAAAGAAGTTGAAGGGGCTGGAAGAGGAGGCGCATGCTGAGGTGGACCGGTATCTGCAGCGCAAGCAGGTCGCCACCCTCGAGAAGATGAGACAAGAACGAGTGAGCACGGCGGCCAAGCTTGAAGAAACTGTCAACAGGATGGAGGCTACGGAGAGCAGGGTTATCGCGAGCCTTGGAGAGATTCAAGCTGCACTTTACGAGAGGTTGCCTCCGGCTCAGCCTCGCCAGGAAGAGGACGTGAAGGTCGGCAACGGCACCTGAGGAAGAAGTCCGGTCGGAGCGGTTTCAGAAATCCTGCGCCTTCACTATGGGCTGCAGTCCTGAACGAAGGTACAACTGGAGGAGATGGCGCTATGTAACCTTATCCAAGCAAGGCGTGCGGTTGCACGTGTAAAACGGTGATTTTCAGGTACCAAACGTGACGGTGCCACCATTGCGACCCTCTCGACTTGATTGCGCGACCAAACGCACATCCATAGCGCGTGAGTGACGAGACCTGTCTGTTTCCAAAGGGGACGCCAAGCCGTGAATGACAGGTGTCGCGAAGTAAGATGATCCATTGCGGCACCGAATCCCAGAACCGGCTACATAGATCCAATTATAGGCACGTTCACGGTATTGCTATAGATGCTGCCGTCGGTAGAAGAGGTCTCGTGCGTCGTCTAAACCAGCGTTCTCGAAGAATCCGACCCCCTCTTGGATGCATAGTGCGGCTTGGCAGGTTCAATCGAGGCACATTTGAAGGCAAGCGAAGGGGTGTTCTCCAGGCGCGAGCGCAGCATTAGGTCCTGGGCGCAATATGGAAGAAGTTGATGTGAGGATGCGCAAAGAGGACACGGCATTCGCAAAGTGGAGTACCTGGTAGATTTGGGGCGACACGTGACGTGATCGCTTATTCATGGCATTCTTTGCCAGCCGAGGCCGGCCGGGGCTCCAAGCATTTCTCCTTCCCCTTCTCATCTCTCGCCGCCGCGCATCATGCGATAGATAGCCGTCAGCAGCTTTCATTGCGATACGCAGCAGCGCATGAAGTCACAGCCACCGGCGGCGGGCAGTTCCATGTAAAAGCAACAGGCACCTCCTTGATTCAGCCGCGGCGTGGTGGGGTCATCCGCTGGCCGCACGAATCTGTCGTTTAATATGCATAAAACACCAGCCCCAATCAGCTCCGGGGCGTCCCCGTCAGCGTCGCACGGCGGCCAGTGTTTGGACCTGCAGCGAGGCGATCGCCCGCCCTTGCGCGCTGATCCCGGCCTGCACACGGCAGCGCTAGAGGCGGCGTGCGGCTGTCTGGGGTAGCTCCTCCTGCAACGAGCGAGCTTGTTTATCTTTGATTCACAGGGCCCGGAAGTATATCATGGCCGCTGGGCCCCCGCTGGGCCCGTCTGCACCGTCTCTGTCTCTGCACTGCGAAGCGTGAAGAGGTTGACGCGGCACGCGGCAAGTCGGCGAAACAATTGGACGCCTTTTCTCACTTTTCGAGTCCACTCCTTCTATCACTTCTCTTCTCTTCGTCACCTCTGCTTCGCGCTGTGCCAATTGACTCTCTGCGACGATGAGGTACTCCCTTTTCGCGGGCCTGTTGGCTCTCGCCGGCGTCAATTGCAGGTCCACGTCACACGTCGAGGGCGAGATCGTCGAGAACATCGGCCCCGTGCCCCAGGGCTGGAAGGAGGTTGGAGCGCCTGCTCAGGATCGCAAGCTGCATTTCCGCATTGCGGTGCACTCGGTGAGTATAACGATTCAATTGTTCCTAGTTGCACTCTTCGGTGTATGACGTGATCTTCCCCCGCTTGTTTCGAAACTTCGCCCTGTGGCTTCATTCGTTGGCTGCCGGCTAATCCTCTGCAGCCCAATCATGATCTCCTCGAGCAGACGCTCATGGAGATCTCGACTCCGAGCCATCCGCGATATGGAAAGCACCTGAAGCGCGAGGAACTCAAGGAGCTCATCAAGCCGCGAGCAGAGTCCACGGATGCGGTTCTCAACTGGCTGAAGGAAGCAGGTGTCCCATCAGACGATATCGTGGATGATGGCGAGTGGATCAACTTCGTCGCCCTCGTGTCCACTGCCGAGGAGATGATGGACACCACCTTCAAGACCTACCAGAGCCTCGTCCGCCAGGACATCAAGAAGATCCGCACCCTTCACTACTCGGTTCCCAAGGTCGTCCGGGAGCACATCGACATGATCCAGCCCACCACTCGTTTTGGCCAGATTCGTCCGCAGATCAGCCATATTATCGACAAGGAGGAGGTCCCATTTACGACTGCGGCTGCCGTCAATGCGACTTGCAACACGACCACCACTCCTGACTGTCTCAAGGCCTTGTACAACTTTGGTGACTACAAGCCAGGAAACGCCTCCGTGCTCATTGGCGTTACGGGGTATCTCGAGCAGTATGCGCGGTTCAAGGATTTTGCCAGCTTCGCGACCCAATTCGCTCCCTGGGCTGTGGGCAGCAACTTTACGTGGACTTCTGTTGACGGTATGTACGATAGTGCTATTGAGCATTCGGCGACTAACGCAGCTTGCAGGCGGCCAGCTGGATCAGCGCGCTACCAATGACAGCGTGGAAGCAAACTTGGATGTGCAGTACACCCTGGGCCTCACTGCACCCGCCGTCAAGACGAACTTCTACAGCACTCCTAACCGCGGGCCGCTTGTTCCGGATCTGGACCAGCCTTCCGAGGATGACAATCAGAACGAGCCGTACCTCGAGTTCTTCACCTACCTCGTCGGTCTGCCGGACGAGCAACTGCCACAGGTCCTAACCACCTCGTACGGAGAGGACGAACAAAGTGTGCCGGCTGAATACAACAAGAAGGTCTGCGACATCATCGGCCAGCTCGGTACCCGCGGTGTATCGGTCATCTTCTCCAGCGGTGACACCGGTGTCGGCTCTGCGTGCCAGACCAACGACGGCAAGAACACGACGCGCTTCCTGCCCATCTTCCCGGCCGCATGCCCGTACGTTACTTCCGTCGGCGGCACGACCCAGGTGGAGCCCGAAATTGCAGTCTCATTCTCCTCCGGCGGTTTCTCCGACCTCTATGACCGCCCCTCGTACCAGGACGCCGCCGTCTCCGGATACCTCACGAAGCTCGGCAGCCAATGGGAGGGCCTCTACAACCCGAACGGTCGCGGCTTTCCCGACGTTGCCGCACAGGGCACAGGGTACCGGGTCGTGGACAAGGGCGTACAGATCCGCGTCGGTGGCACGAGTGCCTCCGCGCCCACTTTCGCCTCCGTGATCGCGCTGCTCAACAACGCTCGTCTCTCCGGCGGCAAGCCATCAATGGGCTTCCTCAACCCGTGGCTGTATAGCCAGGGCGCTGCTGGCCTCAACGACATCGTCGGCGGCGGCTCGACGGGCTGCACGGGCAGGAGCATCTACTCCGGCCTCAAGGCGCCGTACGTCCCGTACGCGTCGTGGAACGCGACAGAGGGCTGGGATCCCGTGACCGGCCTCGGCACGCCCGACTTCGGCAAGCTGCTCAAGATCTCGGAGGCGGGGACGTATGGCCGCCGACGCGGTATGAGGGGGCAGTACTAGTCTAGGCTTGCGACATCGTCGCGGTTTCCTTTCTTCTTCGTGTATATACAACCGCGTGGATCTGGGCATGCTCTGAGATCCAGTGAGGTAGATTTCAAATGTCTAATTCAATTGATTGACGGGCTGTTTCGGCTGGAAAGTCTGGCGTGACTGTGATGCCGCGATGCTTGCTGTGACGGTGTTTACTGTTTAGTGTCGCATAAACGCCACATCGTTTCTTCTTTCCACGCCACAGCCGGACACGCCGTTGCGGCTTGATTAGCGTCCGCAGTCCGTCTGCGATAAACGGCGCGCTACGCCTCAATCTCTTTCTCCTCGACACTCATCCATCTATCAACGCCAAACCAAACGCTCCCCCCCATCAATAGTCTACTTCGCACTTCGCGCGCTCCGAACGCAATGCACTCTACTCTACGCGCCGCGCCACCACGCGACGCGAAATCTCGTGCCGTCGTCGAATCACCACGCTAGGTGCGCAGCTGCCGCTTGCGGCTTAGCTCCTCGTGCGGGCTTTAGCTTTCCATCCAAGGTGCCTGGGTAGCTTATCTGCGGCAAGCACCGCGGCTCGGCCGCTAGCGCGCGGGCTTGTTTGGAATTGGCAGCTCGGGGGAAGGCTGCGGAGGCTTTTGTGTTGGGGGGTCGCCTGTCGGGGACGGGAGAGTGGTGGGAGGGGAAGGTGGGAGGAAGAGGGAAGAGGGAAGGTCGGTTTTGGTGGCTTACTATACAAGCGGGCGGCTCGGGCTTGGAAGGTGGGGTTGGGTTGCTGTGCCTGGATGATGGGCAGGGGCGCGTTGTCTTCATGCTCGATGATGGAATTCTGCCCTGATCCCCGTCCTTGCTCTCATCCCCCCAGCTCCACTCCTAAGCTTCAGCTCCAGCGCTTTCCAACTCGAAGAGCCGCACGCAGAATACATACTGTCTTCCGTACAGTACAGTCAAGAAATACGAAAGATGCGAGCAGGATGACCCGGCGGCTGGCAGGCCGCGGGGCGAAGTCGTCGTACGGCCTGCCTAATCTAGCACCCTATTTGACCCCCGGCCCTATCGCTCATCTTCGTCAATCACGGCAGCGCCCACGACAGGCCCAGCCGGCGGAAGGTTAAATATATATGGCGTCGTGCGCGGCCCCGGGCTGTGACGTCGCTCTCTTCTCGTCTCTTCTGCCTGCCTTCGACGATCTGCTTGCGGTGCGCTGCGGTTGCTTGCGCTGTATTTCTTGGACCTGCGCCTGTGTAGGATTGTGCATTGGATAGCGTACAAGAAAATGCAATTGCTATCGTTCCTAGCCCTCACGGGTCTCGCTGGCACCGCCGTCGCGAGGAGCGCGCGGTATGCGAAGAAGGGCCTCGAGCTTCCTCGGCCGCGCTATGGGTATCCGGAGCGCGCGGGTACGCTCGAGAAACGCGCGGCGGAGCCGTTGATTGCGCAGAATAACATGACTGCGAGTAAGTCTAGTGTGCGATGCATTGTCGTCGTCGGAGCCATTGGAGCTGGCTGGAACGGTGTTGACTAGAGTCGTAGAGTACGTCGTGAACGGCACCGCGGGCGCGATTCCTGAAGTCAACTTCGATATTGGAGAGAGCTATGCAGGGCTCATGCCGATTAGCGATAAGGCGAATGAGACGGATCAGTTGTACTTTTGGTTCTTTCCCAGTGCGAATCCGGATGCGGGGGATGAGATTACGATTTGGTTGAATGGGGTGAGTGGACTGCGGACAAGCTCCCTCTCTCTCTGTGAATAGCTATACTAAGCTTGGGTAGGGTCCTGGTTGCTCATCCCTCGAAGGCTTTCTGCAGGAAAACGGCCCTATTTCCTGGCAGTATGGGACACCGCATCCCGTTTACAATCCGTGGAACTGGGCCAATCTTACCAACATGGTGTGGGTGGAGCAGCCGGTTGGCACCGGCTTCTCTCAAGGCACCCCGACGGCGACGAGCACCGAGGAGGCGGCGCAGCAGTTCCTGGGCTTCTGGAAGAACTTCTTGGATACGTTTGGTTTGACTAACAGGAAGGTGTATATTGCGGGCGAGTCGTATGCGGGCAAGTACATCCCGTACTTTGCGGATGCTATGCTGGAGAGGAATGATACGAGCCATTATGACGTGAAGGGCATCTTGATCTACGACCCGAGCGTTGCGTCGGATGCGCTTCTGGAGGACGGTGAGTGCAGCTCTGGATGCTATGTGGAGCGGGATCTGACAGCGATATAGTTCCCGCCGTCCCCTTCGTCGACCGCTGGGAAGGCCTCTTCAACTTCAACAAGACCTTCATGGCCGATATCCACGCGCGCGCCGACAAATGCGGCTACACCGACTACATCGACACCTACCTGACCTTCCCGCCGCCGAGCAAGCTGCCCGAGCCACCCAGCTCCGCGGCCGACGAAGGCTGCGCCATCTGGAACGACATCGTCAACGCCGTCTTCCTGACCAACCCTTGCTTCGATATCTACCAGGTCGCAACCACGTGTCCTCTGCTGTGGGACGTGCTCGGCTTCCCCGGCTCGTTTGGCTATCTTCCCCCGGGCGAGATGGTATACTTCAACCGCACCGAAGTCCAGAAAGCCATCAACGCGCCCGTAGGCGAATGGGAAGAATGCTCCAACGGCGTGCTCGACATCGACACCTCCGTCTCCTCGAGCTACTCGGTGCTCCCGCGCGTCATCGACGCGCTCGACCGCACAGTCGTCGTGCACGGCGATCTCGACTTCATCCTGCTCTACAACGGCACCCTCCTGACGATCCAGAACATGACGTGGGGCGGCATGCAGGGCTTCCAGGCCGCGCCCAGCGCCGACTTCTACGTCCCCTACCACGCCGACTACAGCCTGGAGAGCTTGAGCGCCGCCGGCGTCATGGGCATCACGCACACGGAGCGCAAGCTCACCTGGGTCCAGCAGGCGCTTAGCGGGCACATGGTGCCGCAGTATCAGCCGAGTAGTGGGTATCGGCAGTTGGAGTTTTTGCTCGGCAGGATTGAGAGCTTGACGAGTACGGTGCCGTTTACCACGATGCCGGAGGGGAATGCGACGAGTGTGAAGAGGGAGGTGGGTGTTGTGAGGGGGTTTGAGGAGCTGAGGAAGTGGTATTGAGGGGGAGGAGTAGGGAGCGTGTTGGTGGAGATGCGGGATGATGCGATGAAAACGAAGTAATGTTTATTCTTAGTCAGTACATACTTTTGAGATGGGTATTAGGAAGAGAAGAGTCGAAATAACCTCCGGCACCAAGGCGCCGTGGCTTTTCCCTACCAAGCCCCCAGTTTGGCAGCCAAGCACTGCCGCTTGCTCAGTCAGCACTCGCGCAATTGCCATCCCACTTCGCACCTCCGCCCTTCTCCCCGCACTCACACCTCATACATAACCCACCATGCCTCCCTCAACCCTCTCGTCCTCCCAAACCCCCAACCGCCCACCATGGGCTCCACCGCGGCAGAACCCACCACCCTACCGCTAACACGCGCCTCCGTCGTCGCCGCCCACGCCCTCATCAAGCCATACATCCACCTCACGCCCGTGCAAACCAACACCACGCTCTCCACCCTCGCATCGACGCCGCAATCTCCCGAAGCCCTCAAAGGCACCCCGTGGGAGGGCCAGCCGCCCGCGCGCCCGAAGATCAAACTCTTCTTCAAGTGCGAGAACTTCCAGCGCATCGGCGCATTCAAGGCGCGCGGCGCGTTCCACGCCGTGCGCCGGCTGGTCGAGAGGCAGGGGCTGGAGGAAGTGCGGCGGCGGGGCGTGGTGACGCATAGCAGCGGTACGCCCCCTCCCTTCCCCCAGCTCACATTCCTTCCTCCCAATCCGTCAACCCCGTCGCGTCGTGCGGAGTGCTAGACAGCAAGACCTAACACAGCGGCGGCACCCAGGAAACCACGCGCAAGCCCTCGCCCTCGCCGCTCAAACCTTCGCCATCCCCGCCCACATCGTCATGCCGGCCATCTCCACGCCCTCCAAGATCGCCGGCACCCGCGCCCACGGCGCGCGCATCTACTTCTCGGGCCCGACGGCGCCGGAGCGCGAGGCCGTCGTCGCAGACGTGCTGCGCGAGACGGGGGCCACGCTCGTCCCGCCGTACGACCATCCGGATGTTATCCTCGGGCAGGGCACTATGGCGCTGGAGTTTGCGGCGCAGGTGGACGAGCTGGTGGGCGGGCGGGCGGAGCTGGGTGTACATAGAGAAGGGGGGAGGGGCCTGGATGCGGTGATTACGCCGTGTGGGGGCGGGGGCATGCTGGCGGGGAATGCGGTTGCGCTGAGGGGCACGGGCGTGCGGGTGTTTGGCGCGGAGCCGAGTTTCCAGGGCGCGGACGATGCAAGGAGGGGCGTGGAGAGGGGCGAGCGCGTGCGGAGTGTGAGGAGCCTGACGATTGCGGATGGGCTGCGCACGCCGCTCGGAGAGTGGAATTGGGGGGTTGTGGCGGATGAGGAGTTTGTCGGGGGGCTGTATGCGGTGACGGAGCGGAATATTAGGGATGCGATGAGATTGGTGCTGGAGCGCGTGAAGTGCGTCGTCGAGCCCAGTGCGGTGGTGGGGCTGGCGGCTGTGCTGTTTAATGAGGAGTTTAGGGGGGTGGTGGAGAGGGAGGCGGGCGAGGAGGGGTGGAATGTTGGGGTGGTGTTTAGTGGGGGGAATACGACGGTGGAGGCTATTGCGCAGATCTTTAGGGAGGTGCCGGAGGAGAGGGCGGAGAGGCAGGAAGGTGTCGTCGGGATGGATGGGGAGAGGGTGGCTGAGAATGTTGCGGGATAGGCGGCAGCGCGTAAGAGTTGCAGTGGGGTATATGCCTACCTATCTATCTATCTATCACACCTTCTATACAGCGAGGGTCATAACCATCATCCATCTCGTCCATCTCTCATTCCTTACCCCCATCATCCTACCCTTCCTTCCCCTCCCCCGCCCCGGCAGCAACAGCCTCCTCCACCAACCCCCTCGCATCCACACTCTCGTCCCCCGCCTCCACCCTGCCCTCAAACCCCCCCTCCAACACCCCAATCAGCTCATCCAGCTGCCGCACCACCAGATCCGTATGCTGGTGCGCCGCAAGATGCCGGTTCGCATCGTTCACCAGCAGCACCGTCGCCGCGCCCGCGCGGAACCCCGCCGTCATGTCGTCGAGCGAGTCGCCCACCATGATCAGCGAGCCGCCGCCGCCGCCCTCGCGCATCCACGTCCGCGCTATGTGCAGGATGCCCGCCGGGTCGGGCTTTGGTGGGCGGAAGTCGCGTGTTATTATCGGGTTGAAGCGGGAGGAGGGCAGGAAGGTGGTGAGGAGGTGGTGGACGGGTGTGCTGCGGCGGGGGGGTTAATGGATGTTTTGTTTTCGTTGGTTTTGAGAAATGCATGGGTAGGGATGGGGATAGGGATAGCGGTAGGATTGGATAGGATTGGGATTGGAATGGGAGGAAGCCGTACTCAAAATTCCGCGTACAAATTCCCTTCTTGATTCCACGTGCGTCGAGGTAGTCCATGAGCTCGACGAGGCCGGCTTGCGGGCGTTGCTTCTTCATGGCGGCGCGCTCGATGGCGCGGACGGCTTCTTGGGCGGCTTCTTGCTCCGCGGCGGGCAGCGAGTAGATGTGGTCGAGGATGTCGGTGGTTTTGGGGATGTTGAGGGCGGTGCTGGGGGGCGGGTTAGGTGGTGTGGAGATAGATATATAAGGGGGGAGAGAGGGAGTAAGGGGGGAAGGGAGGTAGCGTACCGCATCTCGGCGAACATGTAGTTTTGAGGCTGGCCTGGGGGGAGGGGTTAGTCGATTGATTGATCAAAATTTAAAAGGAATAGAAGGGCGGTAATAGATTCGAAGATGTGTGATATCGATGAACGCGTAGTCTGAGAGCGTGCACGTGAAAGTAACCCATAGAACAAACAGGCAATACTAGAAACCGGCCAGTCCAATCCTCCTAGGAGATACTCACACAGCGTCCCGTCGACATCAAACACAATCCCCTTCAACACCGGCCTGTCGTCGCCCTCAATTTGCCTCGCTGGATCCAGCGGGGCAAAGCGCCGAGGGCGCAGGGGTCGGTCGATCATCTTTGTGCTTCTTCGTGGGGATGTGCTTGAGCACCGAGCGCAGGTCCACGCGCGTGCCAAAGGGGATGGAGTACGGAGGGTGAGCTGCTTTATTGGTAGGATGGAGATGCGTGGCATGGCAGGGTAGTGGGAGATGTTTGTCGGAGTTGGGGTTGCTTTTTGGGGAAGTGGGTCCGGGGTGGTGGGTTTGGCGGGGTTGGTGCGTTTGGGCTGCCGTAGAGGGTAAAACTCTCTCGGACTTCACGTCGACCCTCGTTTGTTCGTTCTGTCTCTCTCCCGACTATACTTCGTCAATGGCGCCCTTCTCGCATCCTGTTACTGATGTCCTTACCTAGATCGCATCAACACCGAGCTAGGAGTTCTTTGTTCGGCCGCGGCGGCGAAGTCCTCGGCGTACACCGCTCTGTACGCTGAGCCCATCCGACTAAGCTAGCAGTAGGTATCGGACAAGAGAAGAAAAGTGGCATATGAGAACCCACAGAGAGACGTTTAGTTCAACGCCAAAGACTGACTTGAAGGCATACGGGCGATCGTCGTTCAGCCACATAGTGGTTTAGGTGACGCGTTGGTGCAACGAAGAGGAAGCCGTGAACGCCTTGCTAGATGGTTTCTCACGGATATGCTCGGTACGGTTTAACGATCGGGGTCTCGGCTTCGTTCTTTCGCGCCGTGTCGCGTGTCTTTCCCATTCCAGCCTATACACCAATGGGTTGTGGCAAGCGGATATTCCGAGAGCGTGGCAATCTGAACTCCCTTGATGGCTGAGGACGACGTACTCAGACTGCCGTATCTAATACACAGATGCTGGCAAGGGATATAAAAGGAAACCCCCTCCCGTCTAAGCTCTCCTTCCTCACCAGCTTCGTCTGCCTCTGTGATCCTCTTATCTTGTTCAGGGAACCCCTCTTTTAACGACCCTTCCGACCTCTACTATGCACTTTTCAACTATTTTCGCCATCGCTCTGGCCGGCTCGTCCAAGATAGTCCAAGCTATCATATACAATCAGCAGGTGGCGGACATGGTGCGTTTCTCCGATAGCAAGCATGCTTCCCAGAAATAACCATACGCAGTATGACGACCTCGGCAATACCGGCGTCGGTCCAATACCTCTCAACAGCAACGGAGGAATCAACTACAACAACTTCAAATACGTCACCGTGAACGGCACGCTCCCTCAGCTCACTGGCGTCCTTCCCCAGTCCGGCAGAAACGTCGCGCTCTTGTTAATGCCGGCGGTGGGCAGCTTCGCCGCGAGCGACCGCTGCTTCGTACTCGAACAATTTCACTTCGGCTGCACAACTACAAACGTCGAGCCTGCTGCGAACGTGCCTCTGCAATGTCGGCTGAGCGTCACTGCATACGGCGCTGATAATGGGGTTGTTGGCTCGCAGGAGTTTACCTTCACGCCAAACGGGCTTCTACGATCGACTATGGATCCGGCGAACGTCTCATTGCCACCTGCGCAGTTGGTACTGGTCGAAGCAACTATTTTGAATCTGCCCCCGAACTTGGGCTCCGCGCTCACGGCAGTCCTGTTCGACGACGTAACCTACACCCAGTATGTGGACAGCTTAAATTGCGGGTTTTAGGACGGTCCTGGACGCTAGAATCTGGTCCTGGATGGACTCCTTGGTGCACGGCGGATGATGAACACTATGAGATGCATGTCTTTGTTCCTTGTGGTAACCTTTCGCTTTCGCGCAATTCCATTGCGTTTGCGGCTTTACGAAAATGTTTTATTTGGCTTTCCTTTTCCTCGAAGCAATCAACAATACCAAGCTTGACTTCCTCGAAGCATTCAGCGCCGGTGTTTGTCACGGATAGTCAGCTGAAATGTTGAGGTTGTTGCTCTACCTTGACAGCCGGCACAAGGCCCACAAATTTGCCGTGGAAGGAAAGGTGGTCGACAAACATACGCGGTTTATCCTTCCTCGCAAGCGTTTCTCCCCAGATTCGCAAATGCTTGTTAGCAAATAGGCTGGGGTGGAGTTGCCCGTTCGACCACAGCACTTGCTCTTTCAAATTTCTCGCTCCGCTCACCTTCACCGTGACGGAAAGCCCGCTTAATTTCCTCGGCTTTCAGCAGCCTGAAAGTTTCCAGCTCACTTGCCCACTCTATCATTCAACTTCAACATGGAACATCACCAACACGATGTCAAGATGGAACATCAACCGCACGACGTCAAGACGGAACGTCAACAACACAGCGACAAGACGGAACGTCAACAACCCAGCGTCAAAATGGAACCTCAACAACATGGCATCAAAATGGAGCGTCAACAACACGGTGTCAAAATGGAACGTCAACACGGCGACGATCTGGAACGTCAACAACATGGCATCAAAATGGAACCTCAGCAACACGGCGTTGGCTTCGCCTTCGCTCTTCCCAGCCGCGATCCGCGCTTGCTCGTGACGGAGAGGGGCGCCAGCCGCCAGCGCACAAGGTTCCTCCCGCAGCAGAGAGCTTATCACGGCAAGACGCAATACCAACTTTCCTTTTTGAAGACACTGTCTGGGGTATTGCCCGCTACCGCGTTTACCAAGTTCGTCGTTCTCGTAATGGAGTTCGGGCCGTCAAAAGCACTTGGGTAAGTGGTGACGTAGAATAGGCTTCTCGCAAGCTTCCGGCTACAGCGTGAATCTATTGCATGTCTCTAAGACGATATATCAAAAGTCGCCCCGCATTTCACAGTATCACTGGCTAACCCATACGCGTAGGCTCGAGAGCATTGGCGGCGGTCATACTTTGGTGGCCGCTCACGCTGAAGCGTTCGCCGGGACCAATCAGCAGTCTGTACTCCTCAGCCAGCATGCCCGCCTCGCGGCGCAGTCTCTTCATCCTCTATACATCGCGCTTCTCTCGTATCACATGGGCGCACCTATCAACGCTGCGAATACCGCCTGTGCTCATAGGTGGAAGCCCCCCGCCGCATCGCTGTCGCCCAACCCTTCCGATCTCTCGAATTTCCGCATCGAAGGCGACTCCGGCGATGTCATGGAAGATCACCGAATCACGTTCGTCTGGGAAGCCAACGCCGGCGGCTATACCTTGGGGACACTATCTGGAAGTCACAACATATTTCCCCCAGGCGGTAGTACCCCTAGGGAATTGACGGTAATACAGGCATCTGGACAAGAAAAAGGCCGCCCGCAGGCACCGCTAGCAGTTCTATACGATGCAAAGAGCGTAGCGTGCTACTACACTAGCCCCCAGGATCTGGACGTCGTTCGAAACAGCATCACGCTAGACTTCCAGGCCGTCAATTTCACTGATACCTTGCTCTGTACGGCTTTATCGGAGGAAGAAGCAGAGTGCCTGAATCTGCCGGATCTGCTCACTTCGTTTCCAATCCTCGACTATGAGCAGCATTTCCATCGCCTCTTGTTCAGGGAGGATTCCTTGGCGGCGATGGGCGCGGAACTCGACGGTTTCGCTCTCCCTTCTGGGCCCCATGCCGTTCCGCCGTCTGCTGACTCGGCCGTGCGGGAGCGCGTGCTAGCCTGGCAGATGGACAATGATGCACATAGTGCGCGGGCTGGCTTGTCATATTTCTCGGAAATTTGAGGGAAGACCTCTGTATGCCGCCCAAAGTTAACCATGAGGAGATAGTAAAGGCGAAGGAATGCCAAAGGCGTGGTGGAGGCGGTATTGCATTGGTTCAACGATTGGCGAAGTTCGGTTGGCTTCAGGTTGGGCCGTATTCTACCGTGCGTGGAGACCTTCAATCTCATTTTGCCCCGGTGTTAAATTAACACTACTTCATTCGCCTCAAAGCTTTCCCCATATCAGCCTTTCCGCACGATGATTTCCAAGGTCGCCGCAATCTCAACAGTCGAGGGGACTACCGCTGACGGCGCTCACCACTCCTCACCATCATTTCCTCCAAGACTGCAATCTCCTGCTTGCATGCGCAAATCGGCGACCAGGGCTCGCACTCAATATGTAGACTAAAGAGTACTTTGACCACGTTAGCCTGCAGCAGGATCTCTGTCTGCTCGAGCTGCTGCTTCAGCCCCCCGATCTCACCAGCCCTCTCAAGGCATGATCTATTCGACAAGCTCCCCAGGAGCACAAGTTCCAGATACTTCAGCCCTGTGAAGTCGCATTGCCACTGCGTATTCCGCACGGGATCAGGAATACTCGACTTCTCGGATGCGGAGAATTTGTCGCCCAGCACTTCAGCATCAAGGGCCCGCTTTGGTCGCAACAGCCATCGCCAGCCTTGAACCGGATCAAGCAGCATCTCCTCGAGCGATTCCCCGACCCCGTTCCACAGAACATAGACCTTCAGTCGCCGTATCCAAGGCGCGCAGAAGGCTTTCGGACGTGCAATTCCAGGGCCTCTGCCCCCTAGAACGACGCTGAACTTGTTCGCATTGTAGAACGTCTCCAGCGCCAGATTCGCGAGCTCTGTGTTCCGCGTGCCGACTAGTCGGCCGAGGGTGGGCCCCCACCAGTATGCGCCCTGGCCGTTGGCTCGGTGCTCGTCGACAGGGCGCGCGATGTAGGAGATGTGGTCCAGACGTAGGAAGAGATAGGATATGATTTCTAGCTTGAGCTCGGTTGGCAATCGAGACCAGGCGTGGAATGTAGTAGTCAGTAGCGACATTGCTGCGTATGGGAACGTGGGGTTGTCGAAGATATCTGTTGGTGTGTTTCTCGTTCTGCTGTTGGGAGTAGGGCGCACTGCTTGAAGCGTTTCGAGAAAGAAGTGATGTGACTTTGGAATGCGATGATTGACTCGGGAGGGTCGGGGGAGCGAGGTCGAGGGGGTGCTCCTCGGTTGTAGGCCTTGCGAATTGGTAATGTGGAGCGCGAGAAATAATTATATTGCATAGGATATGATTGTACGGATACATGCGCCGAGCACCTCCGCGGGAGCAGGGAGGGTGAAAGCAATGAATATGTAGGTCTGTGAAAGCCCCGAGGGTAAAACATAGAAGGGAATGCGAAAACCATGAGAGGCTTTCATAGCGCACCGTTCCTAGATTCATGCGCTATCATTTAACTTCGTCCGTCTGTGAATACCGTCTGGGTGGTATATAGACAGAAGAAAGCAAAATATTCCCAAAGCATGACCTCAAACTTGCTGTCCTGCGCCCGAAACCCATTCCCATTTATTTGAATAAAGCGGTCATCAACCCCCTACCCAATTAGGCACCCTTCTTCCTCATCATACCCTCCAAGGCCGCCTCGATCTCACCCTCGCAGGCGCAGAGCGGCTCCCGCACCGTGTTTCCAAGCTGATCCATTCTCCTGGGGGCCAGTCTGCACCCTGTTGATCGAATCTTGACGTCCACACTTTCAGCCTTGATCAGAACGTCCATGTTGGCTAATAATTCCTTGAGAGCATTCACGCCGTTCGATCCCATGCACACCACGATTGTATCGACCACAGCCATGTGCACGATAACCTCCAGCCGGCGCAAGTTGACGAATGGGAGCTGCCATTCAGTAGTGCGTGTGCCTCCTCGATTGTTAGGCACCTTTTCTCGAAGCAGCCATCGCCACCCATTTCTTGGGTCCAGAAAGGCCTCGACCGCAGCCGCTGCCATACAGTCGTGAGCTTCGATTCGTAGTTCTCGGATCCAGTTGGCGCGGGCGACGGGCGGATAACTCATCCACCATCGCCCGATGATCACTCTGAAACGGTTTGACTGGTAGTATGTACTCTGCGCCAGAGTAGAGAGCTCTCGATCGCCGGCCCGGATTATGGGAAGGAGCGTTGTGGACATTGTGCGAGCGTGATCTCTTTTGGTGATCAAACGCGAGGTGCTATGCCGAAGTTTGGAGGCCGAGAAGTCGAGCACGTGGGAGAGGACTTCGAGCTTTAGCTCGGTCGGAAGGCATGGCCAGGCGTGGAACGTCATCGTCGGAGGTGATGCAATGCCGGAGCGGAGAATGGCATGGTCTGGTTTCTCGTTCGTGCAAGTCATGGTTCGTGATGAAGGACTGCGGCCCGGTGTGCACGGTTGTCTTTATATGGAGGCGGGTCGAACCGAGGTAAAGTGGAGGTGAGAGTACTAGTAAGAAGAACAGCGTTGAGTTGGCCCACTCGACCGAATGTCTTAGAAAACCTGCGGGCAGCGTTGAAATTCACATTGTGGCAGGCATGGAAAAGTGAAATTTAGCTGTAAAGAACATGGGATACTTCGGATTCGAAAATCTAACACGTATAGTGGAAAGCTCATTGTGTAATCACTAGCTTCAGATTCACGTATAGGTGATGTATGGAGAACCCCAATGCATGGATCGTCAAAATCCCCCCGTACCCAACGAGTATGCTCACAATGAGAAATCGACTCTCAAAACCTTGCCTCTCGAGTCCTCATATTCCATACACGAACAACATAGTCAGAATATCCTCTCATTTCAAGGACGCATTACCCTTTCCCCACACAACCCGCTCACGGCTCCGCCCAACGCCGCCTCAAAAACACTCATGAACCTCCACACATCCGAAAAAGTATTATACAGCGGCGCCGGCGCCACACGAATAATCCCTGGTTTCCGCTTGTCGCAGATGACACCGTTCTGCTCCAGCGCCGTACTCACGTGCTCTAAAAGCCCTTCCTGAAGCAGCACACTAAGCTGTGCACCGCGCCACCTCGGATCGCGAGGCGTGATAATGCGGAACGGTGCCTTCCCATTCGTAATATTCCGCTGCGAGATCCCAGACAGCAGGTGTTCGGCATACGCAGTCAAGAGCATGCTCCTGTCGCGCAGCTGGGCCATGGAGGTCTTGTTGAAGACGCTCAGCGAGGCGGAGAGACAGGTCAGGTCGACAATGGACGGGTTCGAGCACTGGAAGCCCTGGGCGCCTGGCGTAGGGCGGAAATTGTTGTTCATGAGGAAGCGCGACGACTTGTCGTGGCCGTACCAGCCCTTGAGGCCTATGTAGCGCTCATTGTTGCCGTGCTTTGCGTGCACGAAGGCCCCTGCTACGGCGCCCGCTCCAGAGTTCATGTACTTGTACGTGCACCAGCATGCGAAGTCGACGTCCCAGTCGTGCAGCTTGAGCTCGACGTTGCCCGCGGCGTGTGCCAGGTCCCAGCCAATGGTGATGTTGTGCTTGTGTGCGTGCGCGGTGATGGTGGGGATGTCAAGGAGTTGGCCGCTGTAGTATTGGATTCCCGGGAGGAGGATCAGAGCGAGCTCCCCGGCGTTTTGGGAGATGCGGTTGAGAACATTGTCGGTTGTGATGAGATAGTCTTCATCTGGCTGTACGAGGAGCATGGACTCCTTGGGGTCCAGGCCATGCCACTCGATTTGCGATTCGATGGCATAGTAGTCACTGGGAAAAGGTCGCCACTCGCACATAATCTTGTTCTTCTTTGCCGTGGGTTTGTAGAATGCGGCCATCATTAGGTGAAGGTTGATCGTTAATGTGTTCATGGCGACGATCTCTGAGGGGCAAGCGCCGACGATGTCGGACATTTTTCTCGAGCAGTCGGCGGCCATATCCTGGTAAGGTGTGATTGGTGAGTCTGCGAGTTGTGCGAAATGGGCGTTTACGGCGATGGATCCCCAGGTCTTCAGGTAGGCATTTAGGTATTCGCCCACCGCCTTGGGTTGGAGACCTAACGAATTGCCGCAGAAGTAGATGATCTCGTCATTCGGGCTCGAAGCTGGAGCTGCAGTCTTCTCATCGTCGACAAGTGTTTTCCGCTTAAGCTGGGCCTTTGTGGGGACGACGAAATCTTCCCGGAATGTCTTCAATATCTCATTGCTGCCGTCAAGAGACTGTGAAAAATCAAAAGAATCGGCATTGGCAGGCCAGTCCGGTTTCTTGCCTTTGCGCAGCTGGCCGACAGCACTTTTTGCGTCCATGTTGATGCGGCGCAAAAGATAATGATGTCGAAGACTCGAACGTTAAAGTCGAAGAAGTCGTAAAGTCGATGTAAGCCGTGTAGAGTTCAGGAATATCGTACGACATAAGAAGGGAATATATATTCCGCATTCCTTCTCAATTCTCTAGTCGCAGTTCGTGAGTTGCATCCGACGACCATGGGTCCGATCGCCAAGTTTCTACTTCCGCTTCCTGTCAGCTTCCGACAAGCATCCGACGAAGTTCCGTTCCGTCATCGCGATCTATTGCAAGGCCGCCAACAATCCACGCGGCCAAGATTTCGCAATGGTGTGATGCTTGCAAAGAATAGCAGAGTGGAGCCTGTGCGATAAAACCGATATCAAGCGCCGTAAAGTAGGGATGCACTCTCTAGCAAACCTTTTACTGAGCTACAATCGTTCACAACACCCGAAATGAGCCCCCATAAGAGCAACTTCATCCCATCTATTGCATCCCTTCCGGAGTATGGCATCTCGAAGAACGGGTTTCTGCCTGCGGAACCGCCGTTGACTAGGCTACCGAACGACTACTACGAGCCATGGGAGCGCATAATACAACAACTGCCAGCTCTTATCGAGACGCGGCAGATAAGGCGACAGGTGGATGAGCTAGCCGTCCTCGACACCTCGCGTTTGAGCAGCGAGGCGGAATGGCAACGAGCCTACTCACTGCTAGCTCTCATTGCCCAAGGTTACATCTGGCAAGGCCCAGAACCGTCACAGGTGAGCAGATGATTCAAAAATATTTGTCCGTGAGGCCTTGATTGCTCATCCATCATGTAGCGGCTACCCCCTGCCATCACCAACCCACTTCTTCGGGCAGCAGAACATCTCGAAGTCTATCCTGTCGCAACATACGCGGCGTTAAATCTGTGGAATTGGAGGCTGCTTGAGGATGGTGCAGATCTCACACAGCCAGACCGGCTCGAAGCACTCCACACAGCAACCGGAACTGATGACGAGTCGTGGTTTTTGGTCATCTCGAACGCCATGGAAGCGAGAGCAGGACCGTTGATCCAAACGATGCTGGAGGCCATGGAGGCGGTAGAAATCGAAGACGCAAAAACGATCATCCGCAGCTTGAAGTACTCCACACAAAGTATGCGGGACATTGGTCGGCTTCTGGAGCGGATGGATGAGCGATGCAATCCGCAGGTATTCTATCACACCATTCGGCCACTCTTGGCCGGCAGCATGAACATGGAAGCCGCAGGGCTGCCAAACGGCGTTTTCTACGGCGACGGCGAAGGAAAGGGCTCCTGGAGACAGTACCGTGGCGGAAGCAACGGGCAAAGCTCCCTACTTCAGTTCTTCGACGCTGTGCTCTCGGTCAAGCATGCCCGGTGCGGAGGCTTCCACACAGAAATGCGCCGCTACATGCCAGGCCCACATGCCAAGTTTTTGAACGACATCGAAGCTTGTGCGAATATTCGCGGGTACGTCGACAGCCACCAAGACGAGATCGACCTAGTCGCAGCTTTCAATGAAGCAGTCGCGGCACTCAGCGGTTTCCGCGATAAACACATCTCTCTAGTGGCGCGGTACATTATCATTCCAAGCCGGATGGGCACGCTAGCGAATGGCGCGAGTCGCAAGGACCTTGCTTCGGTGTCAACCAAAACGGCCTCCGAGAAGCTGCAGACGCAGGAACTGGTTGGAACCGGAGGCACTAAATTCATTCCATTCCTCCGAACATCAAGAGATGAGACGAGCGAGGCGACCGTCGCTGGCCAGCCGTGAGACCTTGGGGGTACGTAATCAGAGGAGACCACCGCTTGTTTGATGGTCGTACATGGGAAAGAGTGGAATATCGGCGATGGAGGCGCCGTCAAGGGTATGAGTGCCTGGTTGTAGGAAGTCCTGGAGCGCTTGGTCGTTCTCGTTGAGCCAAGGCAGTGCAAAGAAATCTGCATCATAGATGGTCCAGTCAGATGGAGCAGTGGCAGATGAGCCATCTTGTTGCGGAGCAGAAGCCACAGGTGGGTGATGATTGATGGAATGGTTACGACCACTGCGATGTTCGCGGGCTCGAACGTTCGGGCCGGACGGTAGAAGACCAAATAGTTGTGAAGACGCTTGCCTCCGTTGCGAACGCAAATTCTGCTCTCTCTTTTTGACGTGTGTTGTCGTAGTTTTCAGTAATGACTGAAGGATTAGTGAGTATTGGCGAGCGTGTGGGTCTACCTTGCCAAAGTAGTCCAAACAGAGGATCGATGCTTCACAGTCCTGTTCGAAAGCGAGCCCTGACCGGCCTAAGACACCGACTGCTAAAACGAGAGAGGTAGTAAAGAGCCAGGACCTGTCACAATTAGCTTCTCTCGTGCTCTTGGGAGACCGTGGTGCGCCTTACACGATGAGCGGCATTCTATAAGGCATGCTGCCTGCTCGGATCACGGCCTGTAGCGTCTCTACAAATGACGCAGCAGCATCTAGAGCGGCTTCAGCGTACTTGCGCTTTTCCTCATGCTCAACATGCGTTCCTCCACCTTTCAACGAGGCGCCCATGTGTTCATACAGCTCGTAGATGAGGAAGGGTCTCGTTAGTAGCATGATTCCGTAGAAGTAAGAGCACAGTGTGGAACAAGCCCCAACAACATCTGCTTGCGATGAGCTACCGAGGCTCGACCCGGAAGTGGCATCAGATAGCGGCCGCAGCCAATTTGATGCCCAGCTTTTGAGCTGATGAGAGACGTAGCTTGCGATTCGCAGTGAGATGCGCTTGCGCGAATAGACTTCGACCACAACGCGTTCGATGATCATGAAGATCTGGACGCTCGCGTCGAGAATGTGGGTCGTCATATCGTCTCTCATCTCCGTGAGGCTGTACTTTACCGTGCAGTCTACATCTGACGTCGACGGTGGACGCCCCAGCAAGTTGCTGATGAGCATGTCCACGACACGTAGACTCTTCCAGATACGGTCCCTCATAATTTTGATCGATTCGCCAAAGGAAGCATTCACTTCCGTTCGATGGATACCTATCGCATAGGCAGTTCGAGCAGCTAAGGCTGGGAGATAGTCAGAAACAAGCACCGACATGTTCCGTGCGAGCTTACAGAAGTACAAGTATGCGCCATTTGGCTGAAATGCTCGAAGCATGAAGACGGAAACGAGTGCAAAGCCTTGTACCGTAGACACATTCATGCTGCTGCACATGTGATTCAGGAGTAGATCTCTTGCGTGCCTGAACCACGCATCGGCCTTGGATTCATGGCTTTCTTGTGCGCCAATGGCAAGCACGAGAAAGAAAACAGCAGAAGCGGCATCGTTCGAGTGCAATGCAAGACCGCTAGCCCACATCTTCATCTCCTTCAACAGTTCATCATGCTCGAATAGATCGACAAGGCCACTGGTGGCTACCAAATACGCCTGCCCAAGAGACTGGACTTGATGGAGTGCTACCGAGACAGATTGCGGACGGTCCACCGATGCTGGGCGGGCAACTTCGATCATTGAGTCTCGAGACGCCTGCGCAGGGAATGCGTCCGAATCGACTTCAGATGCGATAAGATGTCTTACGGTCTGCAGAAATGAGAGTGGAGCGCAATCACCAATGAAGATGACTTTTCCCTGGGCGTCGCGTAGAATGCGGCCTTCCAGGGGCACGACGGTATCCTCCTGGTGGTCATCCCTGCTGACGGGTGGGGAGAGCGAAGCTCCGATCTCAGCGACGCCGTCGTGACTTCTTGGTCGATGTGACGTGCCCTCACTGTTGGCCCTGTCCCGTGAAGGCCGTTGCGCCGGGTCTCCAGTTCGTTGTTCGGCACTGTTCATCGGAGTACTTCCCACGGACCGGACGTGCCCACGTATTTTCGGAGCGGTGAATGTGCACGTCTCTGCGTGATGCTTCCGCCGGCAATAAGCGCACGGCTTGTCGCCGTCGCACTTGACCTTCCGCCGCTTGCACAGATCGCATGCTGCTGTGACACGCTCAATTCGACGTCGCTTTCCGGGAGGACCTGCAGGGCTGGATTCCATTCCAATGACGATAAGGAATTCCTGGAGTGTGGGTGTCGGGTGCTCGCTCTGAATGGGTTTTCGACGTCGGCGGCTTGATGATTCTACAGACGTAATGAGAATCTTGGAGGTGCGGATAGTTTCGACTTCCGACGGATGTCAATTGGAGGAGGCGAATTATGTTCCGATGAAAAATGACTTCCGTCGGATGAGTCAGCCAAGTTTATTCGCCGAGGTCCGACAGCTTCCATTTCGTCATCCGTTCTCAACCCGCTCATTGCCGCTGTATTTTCCCCTTAAGATAAGTAGATAATACCTTCTCTAAGCTACGGCAAGGCTCGGTCAAGATTGATGTGCCAATATGTTCCCGGATACGGTTACTGGATCACGTGACCTCAGGTCATATATGTAGCCATATTTTCCGTATTCTCAATCGATCAACTCATGTATCTAACGGACTAAGTTCTCGCCTTGAAAGGCGACCTTCTAAACAGCAAAAACGCCGTCCCATACACCGCGGCCCCAAACATCAACAACCCCGCATACGTGCCAAATCCCTTCAAATACTTCGGCGCATCTTCCGACGGAAAGAGATAGCTGCCATAAATCTGAGCCAGGTTACCCATACCATTCACGATAGCAAGGCTGATAGCGCGCGTCTCTGGCTGCAGAGGGCCCATCGACACCGACGCAAAGGATAGCGCGAGCGGATTTGCGGTCCAGATTGCGGAGTTGATGAAGCAGAGGAAGACGTAGCGGGGGATGTAGGCGTAGATACCGGCGGAGAGCGCGCAGAAGAGGGAGCCGAGGACGAGGACGATGAGGGCGAGAAGAGGGCGGTAGCTGGGAATGCGGTCGGCGAGGATGCAGGTCGGGACTGCGATGGCGAAGGCTACGACGTAGAGAGGTACGGTCATGTACCTGGCACTTGTTAGCATCTGATAACAGTGTGTGCGGAGAAGTGTCATGGAGCTTACTGTGCGTCGGCCCCGGCATATCCAAGTCCTTTGACCAACGTCGGATTGAAGTAGCTCAAGCTGTAGCACCCAATGATTGTCATGTACCCAGCGCAGAGCAGCCATAAACGCCAATTCGAGATAGCGTGAACAAAGGCGTTCCAATGAGACACCTCTGCTATCTCTCCGTGCTCCCCGGAGCTCGTGATGCCGTCGGCCTGCAAGCGAGCGATGGCAATCTCGCGTTGGCGCGGAGTGAGGCGCTTCGACGTGGCGGGATAGTCGAGCAAGAAGAAAGGAGCAATCAATGCGATACCAACAGTCGCCACGCCTTCGACAATGAATAGCCTGCCGCAGTCAGCCTTTAACTACTGATATCGCGGGAGCAAAGTACGAACCACTGCCAACCCCTGATGCCATGTGCTCCATCTAAGCGTGCAACAAGCGCACCGGCGATGATCCCACCAAACGCACCAGACAGGATGCCTGCAGAAAGAAAGGTCATGAAACGCTTCGACTGCTCTTTCCGACGATACCAGGTGGAAATAATGAATAGAATAGCGGGACTGAAGCCCGCTTCCATGACGCCTAGCAAGAACCGCATGCCGAGCATCTGAGCAGGTGTCTTGACAAGTGCCATGAGCGCAGCTACTATACCCCACAGGATCATGAGGGCCGGAATGTAGAGCGAGGGCCGGGTTCGGGAAAGAATCATGCTGCTCTGCGTCAGAATTGAAGAGCGTAATCGAAGTTGCTACTTCAACATACTTTGACGGGACTTCCGCAATCACATATCCGATTTGAAACACCACAATGGCGAGGAAGTATTGGTTCGAGTCGAAGCCGACGTCCACATCCATGCCGGCGACTTTTGCGTTGCCGATGTTCGTGCGGTCCTGCCTCAGCGGTCAGCTGGCTGATCATAAGACATCGAACCGGAATGGCTCGTTCTGAAGTGATTTCACTGAGGACGCGGTGGTAGCACTTCGCGCTGGCTGGCCTAGTAGGATGTAGTACGTACCATATACGAGAAGCAATAAAGCACCCAAATCGTCGGCATGAGGAAGAGGTCAATCTTCCTCACCAGCTTCTTCTCCTCCTCCGTATTCTCGACGAAACCAAGATCGACATCCCTTTTCGTCTCCATGGTGGCAACATGGTCGACTGTCTTGACCCAATTCTTATCCTCGGGATGCGCAGCCATGATGGGAGACAGGTGAAGAGTTGTCGGGCCTGAAGGCCGTCAGAAGGTTGAAGGAGTTGAAAAAGGGATACGATGTCAGCTGCGTCTCGTCGATCTCCTCTTATACTTCCCATGCGGCTGGTATCATGCTACTCCCAGCTAAGACCGTCGCTCTTAGCTTGCTGTTGGTGGACGCGCCACTGGCCAGGCTTCGCGTGCTTGTGGGCCTTCCCCGTGGGGCTTTCCCCGCATATTGTTCGGGCGAGATTTTCCAAGACCGGGTATTGCGGCGTGCTGCTGCGCAACGGTCGCTTTTCTCTGCGGGTTGCGATCGGCGGTTCGGAGAGGTGTTGGTGTCCCCGAAGCGTACCATGTAGCGTGGAGGCTAGCGAGTCGTAAGGGCGATAAGTGCGGGGATGACTGACTCGCCTAGACGCCGAAATTATATCCCGAGGGTGTATGTTGAAATGATTGCTGAGACATGGAGTGAGGCTCAGCTTTTAATAGCTACTTGATATGAGCGTAGAAGGTGAGGGGTGGATGCTGAATTGCGCTGACTTCTATATCAAGTCTATTCTATCGCCACGGCGTACACGAAATTGATGGACGTATGCTCTGTCTCAACCGTCTATACTTCGTGTTCAATGTCTGCTACGCGAGGCACTCTGTGTAGACGAAGGCCGCAGAATTTGGCGACCAATTCGATCTGCCACATGTCAGAATGCGTCAAGCCAAAGAGACCTCTAGCATCTTACACATTGTTGTATCGTCTCGACGTCCTCCTTGCTCACTCCAATTCTCCTTGTGCCACGAAGATGCCAGCCAGTCTCGCGGGGAAGATTCTGTATCATTATGCCGCCTAGTACGACGAGCTCCGTTTCGACGTCGTCGAGGATGCGATGGTCGGAGAGGTAGAGACCATAGCTGATGTTCTTGCTGACCCAGTCTAGACCTGTTCTGAGTTTCCGGATGACTTGATAGGGAATGCAATCTTACCGAAGTCCTTCTGCGAAGAAAGCGCATTGTCTATGCTTGCCTGGTTGTGCTTGTACAGCTGGTCTTGCCATTGGAAGCCGCGCTGTCGGTTCGCCTCATCGCACTGCCATCCCTCTCTGTCCACTTGTCAGCCAACATCTGCCCATTCCGCACTTTACCCCCTATGTTGCCCACCTTGAGAACGAGTAGTCTTTGTCCTGCGGCGCGGTGATGGCATCAATGTCGAAGATAGCCTCAAGCGGTTTACAGACCCCGGCGATACACACGAGCTTAAACAGTGTCTCCCGGATTCGTCGCATAAGCGCCTGTCGCTGTTCCGGCGTCTGATACTCGGGTCGCTTGATGAGTTCTTTGTACAAAAGGGGCGCGAAACCGGGCTGGCCGCCAGCAACTATCGTCGCGAACTGAGAAATCATTAGATGCTTGCGTCCAGTTTGGAAAGCGGAGTTTGACCTACTGTAAGAACATACCACTTATCCTTTCCTACCGTCTTCGCCGGGAACTTCTCCTCTATGGCCTTGAAGAGCGCAAGGGCCTCTTCATCGGTCGGGTCTCTTGGGATGTCGTTCGCCGCCATCGTGTCGCTTTGCTGTCTGTCTCGTGCTCTTTGTTGTTACTGTATAAGACGACATGATGCCTTGGAAGGATGTTGAGAGGTTTTCGGAAGTCGGTTTCCACGCGTGGGAAGGGGCCAATGAGCGATGTACCCTCGGAACAGTTCCGTGAGCTCGGCCGAAGTGTGAGCGAAGCGGGGTAAAAGAACCCCACCTCCACCCTTCGGAGAGCAGCCTCTCTCCCCGACGCTTGCTTACCGACGGTATTCTTTCGGCGGGGATGTGTGCAAGTCCCAGTGCTTGGTAACGGAGAGACCTGGAGATTGGGTAGGGAGAATCTGAACCGAGTCTGTGGATCCCCATGGTCAATATTTTCCCAGTCGCCCGGCCGCCTTTCAAGTTTGCACACTTCCCCATCTTTTCCATCTGCGTATTGCAAATCGCGAATATGGACCTCTGAAGAAAGATACCAATCACAATGGCCTCACCCTTCCAACGCGCCGACGGCGGCCCCAAGACCGTCATCGTCACCGGCGGCGCCGGCGGCATCGGCGCACAAACAATCCGCACATTCCACTCCAAAGGCTGCAACGTCGTAATCGCCGACCTTCCCCATTCTCAAAATGCAGCTGAATCCCTAATATCCTCCCTTTCGGAGCCCGGTCGATCGATGTACTACCCCACAAACATCGTCGACTGGGAGAACATGAGGGCTTTGTTCCGCGAGACGAAGAAAAGATTCGGGCAGGTCGATATCGTGATTGCGAACGCGGGTATGATGGAGAGCAAAGGGTTCTTCGAGTTTGAGGAGGAAGAGAGCGGCGAGCTGAAGGAGCCTATGGAGGCGTATAGGGTGCTGGACGTTAATTTGAAGGGCACTATGAACAGTGAGGAACAACTCACGCAGTCGGAAGGCTGGCTCATGCTAAATAGAAGCAGCTCTGCGGTTAGCAATGCACGCTATGAAGTCAAATTCTCCAGATACAGACGGCTCACGCGGCTTCGTGATCCTCATCGCATCAACGTCGGGCTACTTTGGCGGGACTGGCGTTGTATCCTACATTGCTACCAAGCATGGCGTCGTCGGTCTCGCTCGTGCATCGCAGCGTGTAGCGAACCAGCTTGGTGTGCGGGTAAACGTGGTCGCTCCCTTCTTCACCCCAACATATATCACTGGGGGATACTCTGAAGAATGGACGAAGAGGGGTCTGCCGGCGAACACCGTGGAGGATGTGGCAAATACCATCGTAGCCACAAGCTCTGACCCAGAGAGAAAAGGCCACAGTGTTATGGTAAGCAAGTTAGGGCAATACGCTGGGACGACAATGCTAATGCAAGATAGGTTGCTGGGCAGTTTGTTAGAGAGATCGAAACCGCACGGGCGGCGCTAACGACACAGTGGCTGGGTGAAGACATTGCAGACGTCATGGCAAAAGGCGGAAAGTTCTTTGACGATATGGGCGGGTATACGTTGCCTAAACCGCGCATGTAGCTTTGGGATTGGAAGTGTAAACATGCAGCAATTGATAAAGATGGTTTTGGATTGAAGTAGAAGCGTGATACTTATATCATATCCCAGGGTCATTGTGGGGCAGTACCCTCCTAGGGAAGTAATGGTCGAGCGGTCTGGAAGACGCGAGGGGAGTCGTGTGGGCCCGATGTCAGCGCCTACGATAGGATGGATATGATGGAGGCTCGTTATGACTTCTAGATCGAGCGAGAGCTTAGTGCGACTGAATTCGCTTGGTGCAAAGCGCTTTCCGAGAAAGGGGGTCTTGCTCCAGCAAATGTAGGGAGGCTAGCACGCCCTCGCCCCGGCCTCCAGTCGTACTCCAATAAAGACATTCATGTCTCAGTGATCGTAGAGTTCGATCTGCGTTGAATGGAAAGTTTCTCGAACACGATTGACTCCATGGGGTCGACCAGCCCATCCCGCGAAAACGAGTCTCGTCGCCTATATCGCACCACCAGCACTTTGGTGTAGGTGACCACGGTGGGCATATCCCGCATTTCGTCCGGGGCCTTCTTCTGGGTCGGGGCGTCTCTGGCTTTGTCCATATAGCCATGGAAACCGCAGATTCCGACCTCGCCGTGCTGCAGGTTCGGGAATCCTAGCTCGCCTGCACTGAACCGGGGGAGAAAGCGCCAATCCCACGCTCTGTCCGTGAGGTGGAGATGGAGGCGGCGAATATGGCGATTGTAATGCCCGGGCGGGTATTTGATTGATTGGTTATGTTGCTGAACATGACGACAGTGTTGCTGTTGCATGAGATTTGTGTTGCGATGCCAATGAGCTCGGGACAGCCAAGAAGAAGGGTGAGGGGTGCGAACAAAGGGGTGGCCTTGGGGCGTCAGGCGCATAGTTGGTGTGCTCGTCGGGCTATGAGATTTCGATGAGGATTTGGACCTTAAGCTTGTCAGGAAGGGGTTGCCAGCTCATTGCAATACAAGTCGCGCAGCGCTTGTGCAGGGCGTAATTGTGGGTGCGTAAGCACCTGGATCTGGCCGATGCGATGCCCTAATACGGACAATTAACCGACTTTTTCGATCTATAGTGTGCAGAAATCTGTAGAAATTGTAGCAGCTCTAAATTTCTCTACATAAGAAAGAGTCTTTTATTTTTAAAAGAAACTATATTTACTTATAAAGTTCTTTTTAATATTTACCACACAATAGATAACTCCGAAAACTCCAGGAGGTGTGCGCACTGCCTACAAGCCTTCTGCAACTGCTGCAGCCAACACGCGGAAACGCCTTGTTATTACCTGCGATTGCGCAGATATTACTCAGATTTGTATGCGGCGGCCATACATAGTCGCGCAACCTCTGCGCGGGGCGTAGTTGGGGGTGGGCACCGATGCACATTCTCCCCAAGTCGTCTTCGCTAAGCTTGGACTTTCTCTTCAATACGACGGTTAAATTTCCATTTTTCTTTCTTACTGCATCAGGAGTGTACAGTGCGTGCGTCAGTTTTCGCAGAGTTAGCGCGTGCTAACAACCACTTGAGCAGCCATTACAGGCGGCCGGCAAAGCGCAACGCCCTTCACCGGCCCTCAGCCTTTCGCAATATGCAATGCAGATATAAGCCAGAGATCTATGTAGCCAGGGACTCGGGTGGCGGACCCTGCCGCCCGAGGCTTATCGTACGCATACGCCTGTGCTGTGCCGCCCATATGCATCACGGCTCGGAGCGTCTTCGGTACTAACTTATAAACAGCGTAGCGCCCCCTGTCTCACAAATGGTCCTCCAGGGCTTCGCTTTACCTCTCATTCCGCCCGCGCCAAAATGTTTGGCACAATATCGTTTACTAAAAACGGCCAATTCAAGATTTCTAAGGATCACTTTTTTTCTCAAGACGAGAATGACCGTCCGACACGACGCTTCGCATGTCGCACATGTCGGCTCTTCAAGGTGAGATATACCCTGCAGAACCATACTTTCCTCAAATAATTTTGGATCACTGCTTAACAAACTGCAGGTCAAATGCAGTGGAGACCCCGCCGCATGCGCTCGCTGTAGCAGTCTCGACATTGACTGTGTTTATGACCAACCAACGGAAACTCACTCTCAGCGCGCTTCCACTGACCAGTCGCCGAGCAACAGCAACTCTGCGGCAATGGGATCGAGCTGGAGTGTCAATAGCCCTACTCGTAGGCCGTCGAGCGCCCAAGGCTCGGGACATCGCAACACTGAAGAAATTCTCGTGCCACACCCAGTACCACATGAACAAACCGAGGCGACAAATTATCCTCTTGCCGAGTTTACTTTGGATAGCCCGATTTTTCAAAACATGCACCAAACGCCTCCAAGCAAGCAACAAACCGCGGCCGCAACGCCGGAGATGGAATTTTCTCCGTCCGGACATGATATCGCTAGCCTGCACCCCCTTTTCGATGCATCGAACCTTTCAGATCTCAGCACGTCGCAGTGGTCGCTCCTAATCCATGAATCTGGCTTGACACCATCATGTAAGTATATCCTCCTCCAAATCACATCCGAAGCCTCGTGTACTAATCCCAATTCAAGCTCAAACTCAAAACGATTCTAGTTGGCCGCATTTGGCTGCCCGAAAGAACACCCTCAAAGACGAGGGGATCATAAACGGCCAATTATCGCTTCTGTCATCACACCCTACCTCTGGCGGTTGTAGCTGCTCGAGCCGGCTCTCGACTGCTCTTTTCACCCTAAACGGCAAGCTACGGCGGTTCGGCTACGATGAGGACGGCTCCACAAACTTGCGATTCCAAGAAGCCATGCAGAGCATCCTCACGGTTCCTGCACAGATGAAAGGACTGGTGGATGAGATCGGGTGCTGCGCATTCCGTTGCTTTGAGAAAAGCGAAAGTCGAGTGCTGCTGGTCATGATCGTGGAGCAACTTGTGGACTTGTGCTCCACCTTAGTAGTCCAGATAGACCTCGAGTTCAAGGAGCCAAACGAAGGTACGGCGGTGGCAGTGCACGTAGGCGGATACGTGGTGGATAGCCAATGGGAGCGGCAGATGATTCTCTTTCTTCTCGTCAGCGAGCGGTTGAAGGCTCTTACCAGATCTGCCGCTTCCTGCCGAGATAGGTTAGCCATGATGCCCGAGGCGGCTGATAGCCTAGCTCGATTACGCTCGGCAATTCACAGCCTTGAAGTGCTCAGACTGAAGTTAGACAAACGGTCAAAGACGGGCAGGGATTCGACTCCCACGTGAGATTCCGGAAACTAGGTGGAGAGCTGTAGACGAGATGTAGAAGCGGTGCACAAATGCACGATACTTTGAGCATCTTTCTTAACAGAAACATGCGCTGGGCAGTAAGAGTTCAAAAAATTTCCAAATGGAGTGAAGCGCCGTTGTTATTACCCCTCCAACCTTGGAAAATGAGGGCGCGGGTAATCTTGTTTCCAAAACGGGACTCACTCCGAGAGCGGTTTAGTCCGTGCCCACACAGTAGAAGGTGTCAACCTTGCCAGTCATAAGCCGGTCGCAAATCATCGCAATTTTGATTCAGGTCATCGAATTTCTCGCTAAGCGTCTTTTCCATCCAAACACCTTTCATCATCCGCTACACGGCAAGCACAATGAGCTCCTCTATCGATGGAACTGACGACCATGTCTTTGTCCGGCATTCGCCGATCTTCCGGTTGGCGGTCACTGGGGTATGGTATCCCCTGAATGCATACATTTCGTTTGGATTTTCTTGAAATTGACCATTCGATGCAGGCATTGATGATCTTGCTTTCGAAGACCGTCTACAACCTCCTCTTTCACCCACTCGCAGATTTCCCCGGTCCCTTTTTGGGCCGTGCGTCGCTGGTAAGTCCACTCTCTATCTTGGATTGCCTATTTGTGATACTTATATGGCTATTTAAACTGTAGTTTTGGCGATTTCAGCATACTGCAGGTGGCAAAATCCACATTGCAATCGAGGAATTGCATCGACAGTATGGTAAGCATGTCCATAGTGCGACCGACTGACATGCACTAACACCAAAAGGACCCATTGTCCGCATCTCACCAAATGAACTCTCCTTTGCATCCGTTGAGTCCTGGCGCGTCATCTACGGACATGCTTCTCCAGGCAAAGAAGTCATGCGCAAGAGCCCATTCTATGACATCTACGGCTCTGGCTTTAGACATTCCTGTATTGGTAGCGAGAGGGATCCGAAGAAGCATGGAAACATGCGGCGGATGCTGTCTGCAGCGTTCTCGCAGCGGGCTTTACTTGAACAGGAGGCAATAGTTGCCAGTACGATTGACAGATTTGTGGAAGTACTTGGAGAGCAAATGAAGAGCGGAACCGAAGCGTTGAACATGACGAAATGGTACGAGATGGTCAGCTTCGATATCCTTGGGGAGATGGCCTTCGGAGAATCTTTCCACAGTATTGAAACTGGTATGTCTTGCGATTCGTGCTCGCGCTTTGGCGTGTTGGTTTGACACATCTGACCACTGACTCCGCTCTAGGTCAACCCCACTTCTGGTCGGACCTGATACTGGAGCATTTATATTTCATCACTTTGATCGACAATCTGAGCCGTCTTCCTTTCGCGGCGACAATCTTTAGGACGCTCTTCCCTTCCACACTCATTGCTAAGAATCGAAATTCCGAGTTCAGCAGAAAGCAGGTCGAAAGGTAGGTTCTCCAAGCGATAGCTCTTACGTGGAAACCAATGCTGACAAAGAGCTTCATGCAGGCGTCTGAATTCCCAAAGCTTGCGGAAAGACTTTCTCACTCACCTTGTCCAGAAGGTGCGCGACGGCGAAGTGCAGCGGGAGGAGATGACAGCACATGTTTCAACACTAGCGTATGTATTTGGAGCTTCCTCTTCCAGTTTTTGATTGCGACGGCCTCCAAAGAAATCAGAATTCTCGACAGCGTAAATTCACTGCTAACTTACTGACGCAGCATCGCTGGCGGCGAAACCGTCTCGACTTTTCTTGCTGGTACCACCTTCTTCCTGCTCAAGAAGCCATCCGCTATGGAGAAACTCAGCTCCGAGATTAGAAATGCATTTCCGTCTTACGAGGCAATTAACGCGCAGAAGGCGCAGCAGCTACCGTATCTGCAAGCCGTAATCCACGAAGGACTCCGAATGTACCCCCCTGGTTCGCAAGGCTTTCCACGAGTCTCAACAGGGTTTGAACTGCATTCAAGATACATCCCCCCTGGAGTAGGTAGCCTTATCTGGAATAAGCTTTGCTGTTTGGAAAAGTTCACCACTAACGCGAGCAAAAGGCCGAAGTGTACACGAGTGCATGGGCCGTGACTCATGACCCAGAGTACTGGGACAGCCCAATGGAGTTTGTCCCCGAACGATGGCTTGAGAGTAAGAGCCAAGACATGCGAGAAGCAAGTCAGCCATTCTCACTGGGGCCGAGAGGCTGTCTTGGTCGAAAGTAAGCTCCTGTAAATTGGTGGCTTTTCTACCCAGCCAAAAGGCTGATCAGACGCAGTTTCGCATACATGGAAATGTTCCTACTACTGGCTAAAATGCTATGGAAATATGATCTCGAACTGGTAAACAAGAACATGGATTGGTTGAAAGAAGGGAAGGTGTATGTGATGTGGTGGAAGCCTAAGCTTATGGTTCGGTTTCATCCACGTAATGACGTATGAGAAGTCATGCAAGCCATCATAACTATGCAGCCTTTTCTCTTCTCTTCAATTTGAGCTGGAAATGCTGTAACGGCGCTAGCGTCACTTTTCCTGAGCTCTTCCAGCTTAGATCCCGCCTTGCTTGCTCGACATCGGTTCCCTCTGCGAAGCACACCTCGTACTCATGAAGCAGTGCAGCAAAGAAAGCCATAAATTCAGCTTGCGCAAATTTGCGACCCAGACACACCCGCGCGCCATCAGAGAAAGTGAGTAGCGTTCCACGCATTTGACGGGTTTTGTCGGCCGCGACGGTGGCAGCTTTTCGCGACTTCGTGGTGCCACTTGCATCTTTATCAAGAGCGTGATTGCTCTTTTTCGATGGCACCGCATAAACCTCGCTCCATCTTTCAGGCCGCAGCTCAGTAGGGTTTTCCCAATACTTTTCGTTGTAGTGAACACCGGGGGCGGACAGGTAGACGCGACATCCTGCAGGCAGGATATGTGATGTATTCTCAATGAGTACCTCCTGACTCTGGTGGCACAACTTGGTAATCAGGGTAACACCGGGGTATAAACGAAAGGTCTCGTACTGTCATGTTCTTTAGTGACTTCAGCGGAGATGTGACTTTGAAGTGACTAACCATGAATCCGTACAGATATTGCAGCTCAGAAAAGTCGTCCTGATATGACAAATGTTTCCGTCCTTGCGCAACGGCTCGTGACCATACACTTGCAATACTTTCGCTCAATCTCTGTCGTAGATCGGGCTCCAATGCCAACACAATCAGACCATAGGCAATGGAATTGGCAGTGGTCTCGTATCCTAGAATCATGTGGTCAGCGCCTGTAAAAAACCTCAGATAGAGAGCTACTCACCAGCCAATAAGTAGATGAACAAATTGCCCATAACCTCATCCTCTGTGAAAGCATGTTTTCTGACCGACTTATCTCTTTCTGCGGCGTGCCGCTTCTCCTCCTCCTGACCGGCCTCGTACGATGATTCAACCACCATATTTAGTAAATTCCGGCGCGCTCCTTTTGTTTCTTCCCCCAAGCCGTCCTCTATTTTCTTCTTCTCGGCACGAATCATTTGTCGAAGATACTTATCGAGCTGCGAATGGGCGAGTTCAGCCTTTGCGTACGGCGAAATCCTCAGCAGCCAGGCGGGAAATACCAGAATTGCCAGCATAAAAGTTGTCGTGTCGCTAATAGCTCGTAAGAAGCTAATCTTGTAGCCGGTCGGAATGTCTTTTGCCTGCTCCGTCACTGATTCGAGCTTTCTACCAAACCCGGCAAGTGAGATAACAGCCAGAGTAAGTGCATTCACATCTTCGCGTATGTCTTTTGGAGACCCTTTCGCCCATTCTCTCAGAAGAGCTCGTGTTTGACGCATTGTCTCATCCCACACAAGATTGTTGATTCCGTTGCCGTCTGAGAACGCCGGCGCTGTGATACGTACGTGGAAGCGGTATTCAGCACCTTCGGCGGTCGCTACGTTGGGTCCATACGGCTCGAGGATCTCTGTTCAAATTAATATTAGCCTTCTGAAGATCATGATAAGTAGATGACTTACTGTACTTGTCCCGAGGTTTGGTGAAATCGTAACGTCGGTTCATCACGTCCCACGCTAGAGCCGCATCTGCACTGTAGCATATCATACCCTCAGGGGACACGCAAATAAATGTGTCTCCATACTCCTCGTGGGCGAATCGTTTGTCTTCCCAGGACCAGTCTTTGATCATAAATCGACACCATCTGGGCCATCCCTTACCCGCATCCAAGTGAGTCGAGTAGAGCGCGCGAAGGAAAGGGGTTACAAGTTGCGCGAGTACTTGCGTTTCGAGAAGAGGTGTAACGACAACTCGAAGACCAGTTGCTCGTGCTTTCGCAATGTTTCGCGACAGCCGTAGTCCTTGCACAAGTAAAAATGCACCCGTTGCCACCAAAAGAAGGGACATGGCGGATGGAGTGTACATAGTTGACATGAATGCCACGTGACGGTTCCGAGCGAGCTCAACGTGCAAGCATGATACTAGAGTATAATCGTATTTGTGCGTGGTGGTGATGCAGATGCAGGAAGTTTCGGAGTACCGGAATTAAATATCTCAATGGGGCAGGCTCAATTGGGAAGGGGATAATACGGCAGCGCGGCTTGCAGAATCGAAAGTTCAAGTAAGTACGAATGATTATACGCTGGATTCCTTTGATTAGTGTCTCGTCTCATCCACCATGACTAGTTTGTATCTTCAGCTCGCTGACATTCCTTCATTGGAAGGAAAAATCGTGCTTCTAACTGGTCAGTTCAAATACCAATGATAACAACCTGAGACTAACTCATTTTGAAATAGGTGGCGCTTCTGGAATTGGTCTTGCAGCGGCCCAAGTCTTCGCCAGTAAGGGTGCCGAAGTTCACGTGCTCGACGTCGTGCCCATCGATGAGAGTTTCGACATCTACGAAATCCCAAGTCAAACGACCGAGCCACCAGAGAAATTGCCGGAGACTCCCCGAGGAAGAATCCATTTCCAAGAATGCGACATCGCAGATTGGAAAGCTATAAGGGATGTCTTCCTGTCGCTTGATCATATCGACATTGCAGTGGCCAATGCAGGCGTTTCTCAAGACCCAGATTATTTTACGGACGAGTTGGACGATGACGGGCAGCTACTGGAACCAGGGCATAGGGTTATCGATGTCAACTTTCGATCCGTGGTGAATTTCACTAAGCTGGCTCTACGCCAGTTCAAGAAGCAGACCCCGGGAAGCAGCCTTGTCATCACCGCAAGCGCCACTGCTTACGCACCAGAGCAAAGCCTGCCCGTGTATAGTGCAACAAAACACGCCGTGAGTAGACACGCCTCTGTTGGGGTTGTCTCAGGAAAGCACATCTGATCTTACTGCAGATTGTTGGTCTGATAAGAGGGTTGCGTCCCATGGCAGAGCAATACGGAACAACGATAAACGGAGTAGCACCCGCAGCTACTATCTCGAAGTTATTGCCACCAAACCTTGCTGCGCCTATCAGAGCTGCCGGGGCCCCCATCAGCAGTGCATTTCATGTTGGTTTGGCGATAGCATATTCTGCTACAGCGCAACAGAAGCGTGTCGTGGAACTCTACGGGAGAGACGACGCGAAGAAGGCAGCCTCGCCTGGTCGCTGGAACGGCAGGGTAATCATGACGCTTGGGGATCGTTGGACCGAGTTGGAAGAGCCACTTGCCTCTATGCGGCCGCAGTGGTTCGGCCAATACAACGCTGATATGACCGTGTTCCAGCAAAGGTTGACCGATATGCGTTCCTTGTAGAGTATTCGTTTGAAATCAATAAATTGCATTCGTTTGGAATTTTTCCGAGCTTCTTCAAGGAGTTCTTCCAAATTCGGTTGGGAATTTTTCGGGGAACTTCAAGGAATTCTTCTAAATGGGGAGCAACCCCTTCCGTGCTAGCGCGAAAATCGGGTCAGCAATCTCGGCGCAGCACATTTCCTCGCGAGCGCCATGCAGCTAGACTTCTTACCAACGCTTCTTCTGACAGACCAGTTTCGCGACCTTTCGAGCCTCAAATTCCTCTTCGAGACCGGATCAAGCACAATGTCATCCAACGACGCGAAACCACAACCTCAGCCCAAGGGCCAGGAGGATCCAGCGACATCAGTAATGGATGTCGCAGGAGACCTTCCATCGGGCTCGAGGTTTATCGTTTTGTTGATTGCTTTGATGGTCAGCATATTCTTGGTGGCAATTGACATGGTCCGTCTCGTGAACCGTTCCGTGGCGGCCTAGTGCGCTTCTAATGACCGCAGACAATCGTCGCTACTGCTATACCACGTATCACGCAGGAATTCAATAGCCTAGAAGACATTGGCTGGTACGGCTCATCATTCTTTCTTACCATTTCTAGCTTTGCGCAACTCTGGGGTAAGGCATATACATATTTCCCGCTCAAGTGGGTCATAATCACTGCCATTGTTCTCTTTGAGATTGGCAGTTTGATTTGCGGTATGAATCCCTCAAAAACTCCGTTCCCTATGACTTCGGCTGATTAAAGTTCCCCGAAGCTGTCGCTCAAGATAGCCCAACTTTGATACTGGGGCGGGCAATTTGTGGTGCGGGTGGTGCAGGTATCACAAATGGCTGCTACACCATTATCGCCTTCATCGCAAAGCCGGAGAGTCGTCCTGCATATACTGGGATTCTTGGTGCAGTATATGGGATGGCCAGCGTCGTTGGCCCTTTAATTGGCGGTGCCTTTACCACTGATATTACGTGGCGATGGTGGTATGTGCATCCAAGTTCACTTCTCACGCAACACCCTCGCTTACACTCCCTCTTCAAAGCTTTTACATAAATCTTCCCATTGGAGGATTCTCGCTAGTCGTCCTGGGTCTTTTCTTCCGAACCCCTACTGCAGCTGCACCAAAACCTGCCTCACTTCGAGAGAAGGTGCTGCACATGGACCCGCTTGGGGTGATACTCGTCACTTGCTCGCTTATTTGTTTCCTGTTGTACCTTCAATGGGGAGGTATCACCAAGCCCTGGAGCTCGTCAGAGGTGATTGGTTGCATTGTTGGATCCGTTGTCATCCTTGCCGCGTTCGTTGGTACCCAGTGGTTCTTGGGCGAGAGGGCAATGATGGTTCCTCGGCTTCTCTTGACCCACGAGACCATCCCCCTTGCCCTGTATAACTTTTTGTAAGTCTTTGTTCTTCTGGTGTAGGTAGCTAGAGCATCCTGCTAACTGTGTTAGCCTCGCCGGTTCTTACTTCATTTTCGTTTACTATTTGCCAATCTATTTTCAATCCATTGGTGGGCTTTCAGCTGCGGCAAGTGCGGTGAGGAACTTGTCGCTTATCGTTGGTTCATGTGAGCAAGATTCTAGAACGCAGCCGCAGTCAGATTCATCATCGCTAACATAACTTAGCCTTCTTCGGAATCGTTTCGGGCGTCTCGTTGACCATGTTCGGGTACTTCCACTGGTTTCTGTGGATAGGCTCCGCCCTCTGTGCTATCGGAGGAGGCCTTCTTTACACACTTGGCTTGCAACTCGATACAGCCAAGTACGTGTGCTACCAATTGATATCCGGCATTGGCGCAGGCCTGTGCTTGCAGGTTCCCGTCATTGTCGCGCAAGCTACTACCCGTCCAGAAGACATAGCCACGCGCACAGCCATATTACTCTGTAATTCACCCTGGAAGTCCACATCACAAGATTACTGACTACTGGTAGTTTTCCAAACACTCGGCGGGACGGTGTTCATATCCGTGGCTCAGAATATATTTACCAATCGACTGATTCGCTATTGGGCCGATATCAACGTCAGTTCCAATGTCCAAGAGATTTTGTCTGTAGGAGCAGATGACTTAAGAGCTCATTTCTCGAATTATGAACTCATTGAGGTCTTGAATGCATATATGGTGGGCTTGAGGGCTGCGTGGATCTTAGGCATTGCGTGCGCGGGTGCTGCGTTCGTTGCGAGTTTCGGATCAAAGTATCGCAATATAATGGCTCCTCGTGTACCAGCCTTGGATTCCGAGCAGAGTTCAGAGAGTCAAACAAACGATGGAGAAGACAAAAAGATTTAGAGTTCAGTAAATCAATTGTCCAAGCTTTTGGGCTTATCAGGCCACTTCTGAGAGTATCCTTTGAATAACTACAAAATCCTCGATAATCCCTTCCTGGAACAATCTCCGGGACATATAGCTACGGTAACACCTTCATATGTTCTCCCCATTCGACATCCTGCAGCAGCACCTCCATATCTTCTTTGATCATGGTGACAACGACTTCAACATCACCATTCTCCCTCTGCGGCATAATAAAGGTGATTCCTTCGAATACTCCTTCGGGAAACCTAACGTAATCTGGTGCGGTACGGCTTCCCCCAAATGCTCTACCCCAGTGTGTTCTATACAGCTGCAACCCAAAAAGCGAACTGATCACCACGTCTTCCGCCAGCCAAGTCGGGTACACAAGCCCTAGGTGCGATACGTCCGGGATGCTGGCGGCAAGCCTCAAGACGTCTCGGAGAGTATCGGGTTGCTTATGGGAACTAACCGCTGCTCGGATGTCCTTTGCGGTGTCCCCAAGCGATTGTATCGTCACAAGGTGTTTCGCCGGAGTTTCGTTGATGCTGTATACGACGACGTTTGCTATTCGTTCCCTTCTCATCTTCGCGTCAGACTCTGACAGATCGTATGGTAGTAGACCCCGGATGTTCATCGCGTACATCATAGTACTGGACTTTGCCAGGTCGCTCGCTGTGCGCAGTCGGGCCCGCACAACGCAGCGCCATAGCAGTGCTGAGAGCGCGTCGTTCGTAGATACCCAACTTCCGCCACTCCTCATGCTCTCCTTGCTAGAACTATTTACATCTCTCTCCACAGCCTCTTCACCGAATTCCCGATATTGCTCTTCACCCAGGTTACTGTTGGCCGGATCCACTCCACATGATTCCTTCAGCAACAGTAGCTGCTCTGCGCTCAGCCCGAAGATTCTGGTTGCCGTCTCTCGCCGCGGAATATCTCTTGCCAGCATTGCAGATGTCAATTCTTTCTGTCGATAATCCAACCCAAGCATGTGCCACAACTTCTTCCTTCCCTTCAGTTTGCCATAAACGTCCGCCTTCGTTCCTTTCCCGCCAACATTAAGACCCAACTCCTGCTCTGAAATCGGCCAGTGGTGAAGGTTTTCCACAATATCCCCCCTCGCCAGCATTGCCCATGCTTCTGCAATCTTGCCGAGGCCCGTAGCATCCATGACCGCATGGCTGGTGCACAAACACAAGAAAGCTCCATGCCGAATAAAGCTCACTCTGGCCCTAAGAACAGAGCTCATCCCCGCTACACCTGTCTCTCTACTTGGAACAAGCAGTTTCGCATTCAAGTACCTGGAAGGCATGTGTTCCGAAACTAATGCTTCGTAATCTTTGTCCGCGTAGAGAGCATGCTGGGACAGATCCTGTATTGAGAGATGGGGGTGGGTCGAATCAGGAGCGGCAGTGACATTGTCGCCCCTCAAATTGTTGCCGTTCGCAGTCAAAGGGCTGGAGAGAAACCTAGTTCCCGCGCGATTCTCGGACGTGGCTATGTTATTTCGGATGGTGCCACAAAGCCACGAGTTGGTGGAAAGTAAAGTCCCGAAAGAGGAGGAGAGTAATTCGGTTGTTTTCGAGGGTGAGCGGCAAGGGAAGGTGAGAATAAACGGTAGATCGATGTCCGGCATTATGTCATCCAGAGCACCTAGGGGCCGTGAGGAAATGTTGTCGGCCATCTTTTCCCCTGCTTGCGCTTGCGTAGGCTGATTGGAATAGGACGTGGTAGAGAATGAGCTCCTGGACGTACATGGATTGAGGGTCCAGCCTCTATTTGAGAAAAACGGGAAGTAAAAACCGTACGGTTTCCCGACACCAAAAAAGGGTAAATGGTTCGGAAAAAGCCTAAAAAGGCGAGTTCCAAATGCGTAAATGTAAACGAAGTGCGTTTCTAAACTCTTAATGTCTATCATGGTATCAAAATTTCACTCTATAACCAGATATCTTGGAGTCGTCATGCTCCAAGTCTCGTTCCCACTCATTTGATACTTCAGGCCTTCCACGTACAACGCTAGCGTATCAATAAGATCTGGCGCGTCATGAAGCGCATTGCACAACGCATCATGCTTGATCTCCCACTCGCGAACCATGGACCAGAGGACCTTCTTCGAGGACTCAATATCCAGTCCAGCGTTATCCGCCATGACTTTAACTGCAGAACAGAGTACAGAGCCTTCCTGCGCGCATTTTTGCGCCTGCCTTGACTCCTTTTCCCAGCTGTATATGTCGTTGACTATCGCAATGTGCTTCGCATGGTTTTGCTCGATAGGACGTAATGCCACGAGATCTTTGGGGTCTAGCCGCAGATCCATGGAAAATCGCATGAGTGCAGATAGAAGACTGGAGTATTGTCAGCCCAAATGATAGGCACTGTACCAGGCGATTTGGGGCATACTCACGCGCTGCCTACGTCTCTTTCGCGGTACACAAGGTAACTGCCTAGTTGGTCAATGCTCACCCGCGACTTGTCGGTCTGAGCACGCATGAAGACGAAAACCGGCTCTAGAATGCTCTCTGCGAGTTCTGGGTCGATTTGACGCATCTCGTCCCAGATGGCATGGAACATCCATTCAACTGGAACCGAAGCTTTTCCCAAGTGGGCAATTAGCGGCAATCGTTTGAGGGTTAGAGTCCCGACTCACGATCTGGCTTCACTTTGTCTTCGGCAATGGGCATCAGGTGCTCGTTGTACACCCTGCCTTGATCAAATGACATCTCCTCAAGGATGTCTCCAGCCAATGTCAGTGAATCAGGCAAGATTTTCGTGATCTTACTTACCATCTATCAGAAATAGGATGGTGAGAAGCTTGCATGCGGAGGCAATGCGTTCATCGCGGGCCAATGGGAAGTACAGACACGTGACACGGGAAAAGCCGGCGGCAAGGAATCTCTTTTTTGCCTGTTCATTTGCAAAGGGCCAATGTTGCAGAAACCAGCCATCGACCCGTGCACTGATTTCGTCGACTTTGGGGTGGCTCAAGGACACCCACGTGGAGGGAAGCGCCGGGGCTGAGAGAATGGCAGGCATGGCGTGAGGGTGGCTGCAAAGTCGGGCCCAGTTGGCGGCACGCCTTTCTGGTTGACGGGAGACTCAGGGGCATTTTGAGAGTAGTATACGGCGATGCGCATGCCTTGATGGGGAAAGATGGAAGGATGGCGTATTCTCGATGGAGAAAGGACCGCACTTGATTTGCCCGGTTGCCACGGAAGGTCGCTAAATGGGGAATGTCAGCGACACGGCCGGAAAAACATTTTCATATTCACGTGCATATGTGGCACCCACTGAACCCAAGCGTCCCATCTCACCCTGCGCTGCACTTTTCCCGTCTCAACCACTCGACAAGGCAGAATGTCTCATCCCAAAGATGTTGGCATCAAGGCCATTGAAATCTATGTCCCGGGACAGGTACGCACGTGTCTGACGCTCGTGATCTCATTATCATGCTTACTTACACAACTCGCGCTAGACGCTAGACCAGGCCCAATTCGAAGCTCATCAGGGAGTCTCCGCGGGAAAATACACCATCGGCCTCGGACTGACTTCGATGAACTATTGCACGGATCGAGAAGGTAGACGCGCGCCTGGCAACCCCCAATCGCTGCCCCGCCACAGGCTGACAAACAATGCCAGATGTATGCTCTCTCGCGCTAACCGCCGTTTCATCACTTCTCGACAAGTATTCGATCGATCCGAAATCCGTAGGCAGACTCGAAGTCGGCACCGAGTCCCCCTTCGACAAGGCAAAGTCAGTCAAGAGCGTTCTGACTCAGCTGTTCGGCGACAACCACAGTCTGGAAGGTGCGGATACGGTGAATGCGTGCTACGGTGGCACAAATGCCTTGCTCAACGCTATTAATTGGGTCGAATCTCGCTCGTGGGATGGGCGAGATGCTATTGTTGTGGCCTCAGATATTGCGCTCTACAAGCAGCCTACCGCCAGACCCACCGGAGGTGCAGGGTGCGTCGCCATGCTGGTTGGCCCGAATGCTCCTATAATTTCTGTTCCTGGCCTGCGTGGTACGTATATGACACACGCATATGACTTCTACAAGCCCGAGTTGCACTCCGAGTATCCATTCGTGGATGGCCATCTGTCCATATCCTGCTACCTGTCTGCGCTCGATGGGTGCTATGCGAATCTGCAGCAGAATGCAGCACGAACGTCAAGTAACGCCGAGAGATATCCAGAGGCCGCCGCTATTCTCGAGCGGAATCGACAAACCTTTGTCGACATCTTCGACTTCATGGCCTTCCATACCCCCAACTGCAAGCTTGTCGGGAAATCGTACGGCCGACTCCTGTACAACGACTTCCTCCGCGAAAACAGGTCTCACCAGGCCTTCACCAATGTGCCCAAACACCTTCGCGACTTGGTCTACGAAGAATCTCTCCGTTCGAAGGAACTCGAAACATTCTTCGTCCAACTCAGCAAGCCTCAATTCAAAGCCCGCATTGAGCCATGCATTCGGGCACCAAGTCGATGTGGCAATATGTACACTGCCAGCCTGTACTGCTCACTGCTCAGTCTGATTTCTTACGTAGGGTCCGATGCACTCCAGAACAAAACCATCGGCCTATTTAGCTATGGCAGCGGCATTGCAAGCACCTTGTTCACTCTGCAAGTTGTGGGAGACGTCAGCCAGATGATTCAGAAGGTGGATCTTGCTGCTCGTCTGGACCAGCGTCACGTAGCCACACCTGATGAACATGAAGAGGTAGGATGCTAATGTCCTCATGCTTCCGATTGAGACTAATGCTAAACGTCAGGCCTGCAAACTACGCGAAGCGGCCTACGGAAAGAGAAGCTACACACCACAGGGCTCGTTGGAACATATCGGGGACGGAGTCTATTATTTGGAAGCTGTGGACGATCAATACCGGCGCACATACAGGGTCCAAAGTGCGGCCGTCAATGGAACTTATTAAGCACGCAGAACAAACCACAATAGACAGTAGACAGTAGACGCATTGATAGCTGATTGAAACCCCTCAAATGCTGTACTTCGGATCCTGTGATGCGCAATAAGTCTCCGTTCACCGTGCGTCAATTGTCACTGACCAACTTCATCCGTGATCGAGCCTGGCCTGCAGTAGTTGTTTACGTCGGAGGATCTGCGCTTTCAATTCTACTAGTTATAACGAGGAAAGTCAGGAAATATACAAAGGATCGCCGTGTGTAGAATAATGACCGAACCTCGAAAGGTTGGATGAAATTGCGATCGAGCTGATACACAACGCGCCTTAAAGAAATCCCCACTCGAAACCCCCAAGCTCCCAATGCATTCTACCACTCTACACTGTACTGTAGTTACTGACTTCTTCGTACAAGTTTTACCCGAAACTCGGGCTTTTTCCATAACAGATGCATCTCACTTTCTCCATGCCAGTCCACCGCACCTACCACCGAAATATCATAACGAAAGAGCAATCGAGTGAGGGTAATGTTCAGTTCCAACCAGGCCAAACTATCAAATACCATGTTAGTCCCGCGATATGCTCGTACAAACAAGGACGTCATCGGAATGATATCGCTTACCTGCGCCCGAGGCAACTCCTGCTTCCTAGCGAAAAGGGTCTGCTAGCCTCAAGAGTATCTCCGCCGGCTTTACCTTCGAGCCAACGCTCCGGTCTAAAGTGTTCAGGAAGCGAGAAGTTACGGGAGCTCATACTGGCGGCGTATGGATTGGTCGAAACGCAGAACTAGGTGGGAATTAGTTTAGGCGGAGGAAACACAGATTGTGAGCGGCGAGACTAAGAGCGATCGACGTACCCCTCCCGGCACAAATTGGCCGTCTACCAATGCACCGCCTTCCGGGACCACTCTTGGTAACCCTAGCGGTAGTGGCGGAAAGATTCTGAGAGCCTCCAAGCACACGGCATGTTGGTAACGAAGCCTTGCAGTGCTAGTTCCGTTTATATCCTCATAATTCATGAATGTGTCGAAGATTTCTTTGCGGACGGTCTGCAGCATAGAGGGGGTGTGGCAGAGGTAGTATAGGACTACAGTTAGAGTTGTCGCTGTAGTTTCACTCCCTGCAATGCTAGCGATTGTCAGCCAAAGTCTATTTTAACAAAGGGAGCGCATTCAACGAAACAGGGCGCTGTACACAAAGTCTGAGGCGTGTGCCGCAAGCTGTATATCACTAATGCCCTCGCGCGCTGATAGAAGATATGCCATGAAATCCTTTCTCTCGGTCCTTTCATCTATTCTCCTGGTGGGCTGTTAGGGGCATCTGCAGCACTGATGAAGCAAGGAAGGGGCAAACGAACTGTTTCGTGATTCTCATGGTATATCTTTGATGTCTTTGGCTCGCAGCCATGAGTGAATTGAGCCAGCCCGGTCTGCAGAACATATAAAGCTTTCCGACCCAAGGAAAGCGCGCGAAGGTATCCGAGAAGCTGGCTTGCGACATGCTGCCGAGGACATCTTCGATCCAGTGGTGTGTTTTTCCTTTAATGCGCAAGCATTAACATATTATTTCCAGTTTTTTACCAGGGGAAGGGTCCCACGTACCACTTTCAATGCCCTCGAAGTCCTGGCCAAAGGCAAGCAGCCCAATGATGTCTACATAACCTGTCAGTGACTTCTTAATACCAAACCTCTCAACACGCACCAAACGTCATCAAATTGAACCACTTAGTCAAGTCGGCTGATCCCTCCTTCTCGCTAACCTCTCCAATTCTCTCCACAAATTTGGTAATGACACTACTGATCATATCTTCTTGCTCCCTCAGGCTCTGCTCCGAGAAAGCGCGCGATAGGAACTTCCTCATCTGAGCATGCTTCGCGGGGTCCCGCTCGCTCACAATGCTATGTGCCTGGTCCGCGAAATTTCCGCCATCGTAGAATGCCGATTTGATGAACTCGTTGCCTTTGCGGGGGGCGTAGATGTCGGTCCACGATTGCGGTGAGGAGAAGGAAATCTCGTTTGGCGAGATGCGGACTGCGGGCCCTTTGAATTGAATGTTGAGTTAATTGCTTCTCCCAATGCTATGGACATCTATTGGAGAGACTGACCATAATTTTCGTGTAGCTTCAGAATATCCCATGGTTGTTTGCCGCTTAGAAAACTTTTGCTGTACGGATACTATTAAATGTCTCAGCTTCTGTCTGTACCGCTGGCGTGCACGAAGTGAATGCTTATTACATTGGAAAGTGCTGCCAGCTTTGGGCCAGGAAAGTGTGAAAGCGGGTGGAAGTAAATTCGCCTGATGACCCCGAAAACAAGGAATGACAATAACTTCCCAGCCAGTTAGTAGTTGGAGGTCTAAATGTGGGATAAGGACTAACGACGATGACAACCGAGAGAGTAAAGCTCATCAGTGAAGTATCCATAGCTGGCTGGCCCGAATACATCGCCGTTGTGCTAACTTCGCAAAGAGAGTTTCGTGCAAAATGCATGTACCAATATTTTACGACCAACCGATGCACATTCACTGGTCCAGTCGAATCGCAATTGTTCATTATTATTGAAAACCCCATTCGAGCAGCCAGATCAGTTGCTGTGACCGATCGGAAACGTCCAATTACCCCTTTCGGCATCACCCCGATCGGGCATGGCCGAATTAGTGCGTCCCTCTAAGGAACCGTACTGCACATCTGCAAAAGAGCGACTTCCACCCTATGTTCTGACTCTTTTTTTCATCAGACTTGCCTCTGGAAGATGCCAGACAGTACACTCAGTTCGCCCGAAAGTCTCGGTCTGGGCCGTCTGGCTTTTGACCGAGAGACACTACCCATGGTGGGGTCCGCTTTGAATCGGCATCGCACGACCGTCGCCACCACTTTTGTTACATTGTTGATACTCTTTCGGCTTTTATTTATCTACAATCAAGATAGGCGCGAGCCGCGACTCATCAAGCCCCGGTTCCCGCTCATTGGACACGCGATCAACATCTACCGGCATGGATCTCGTCACTTTGTAGGAATTGCGTAAGTGTTCCGCTAGCTCGCTCTCATGTGGAACTTACACTAACAATGGAATAGGAAAAAATATGGGCTCCCGATATTTTTGCTTCCGGTTCCCGGTGGTCGCATTGCCATTGTCGCGACTCCAGACCTATTATCCCACGTCGACAAGAATCCGAAGGCCATTGCGTTTGCTCCGATCGCTGCGTTGGTCATCGACAAGCTGTCGGGCCTGTCGCGCTCGGGATCCAAGGTCGTCCTCGACAAGCTCATGGGCGAGGACAAGATGGATGGGTACATGAATGCCGTGATGAAAGATATCCACGTAACGCTGGCACCGGGGCCACACCTGGAGGCCATTACGACTCAAGTCGCGCATGACCTTAATGGTTCTATTCGAAAGCTGCATGGAAAGACGACTCGTATAAACCTATTACAATGGTTCAGACATGAGTTTGGCCTGTCGTCGACCAATGGAATATACGGACCCGAAAATCCATTCAAAGACCCTAAGGTCGAAGCCGGGTTTTGGTAAGTGATCATACCTTAATCGGTGCTTCCAGTGTTAACCATGAACGTGGTAGGGCCTTCGACGATAACATTTCCGACCTGCTCATTACGCCCAAAGCCAGCTTCACATGCCCTTCCGGTGATCGAGGCCGAGCCGACGCTTGGAAAGGATTCGCGGAATATTTTGCAAACAATGGCCACGAAAAGGGTTCCGAACTCGTAAAGATTCGTCATAAACATGCTGCCGAGCGTTGTCTTTCTGATCTCGATATCGGGAAGCTTGAAGTGACGATGATTATCGGCATCCTGACCAACACTGTTCCTACCATATTCTGGGCTGTTTATTACGTATACCGCGATGCGACGCTCCTCCAAGACCTTCGTGAAGAGATCAGCAAAATCGCAATCAAGACCGCCAGCGAAGAAGGTGAACCCACCTGGACTATCAAGAATGTCGACTTGAAGAGCCAAGCCCAGTTGCTGGCAGCAACAATTGACGAAACCTTCCGTCACAGAACGTGCGGCATCTCTAGCCGTTATGTGACCGAGGATGTCACACTGAAGGGCCAGTACCTCCTCAAAAAAGGAACTATCATGGAACTTCCCAACAACGCTCTCCACTCCAACCCGGAATACTGGGGAGCTTCAGTGGACGAGTTTAACCCTCGCCGCTTTCTAGCCAATCCACGTTCCGCGGAAGCGAAAGCCGCTCGTGGTGCGTTCAGGCCATTTGGAGGCGGTGCTTCGCTTTGTGCCGGGCGCCATCAGGCAATGTCGCAAATGCTTGGAGCGTTGGCCTTGTTCATCATGAGCTCGGATTGCGATCCGGTGAGTGGGAGCTGGAATTTCCCCGGTGCGCATGGACACACGATTGCAGCAGCCGTCGATTTACCCTCGACCGATCTTTGGTTAAACGTAAAGCCTCGGAAGAATTTTGAGAGTGATTACTGGCGGCTTGATCCGACAGCGAAGGAGTAGTAAACGTTCTCCTTATCATTGCTTATACGTATCAGTCAAGAGATTATCTTCGTTATCCTTCCTCTTCAGCTGCAACCTTCGTTGTCCGAACTTCGCAGCCATATCCGCCATGCTTTTCGCCATGACCCTCTGCTTCGCTTCCTCGCCCCTCGAAAGCAGTATTCCTCTATTCGACTTCCATAGTTCGTATTGCGGCTTCAGCTTCGGCGATAGCCCCTCACATGCGTTATCGTCGGTGCGGGAATAAATGCTATACTCCATCTGCGCCCAGAGCCTGAGTTGATCTGCGAATCCGCTGTTGGGCGTAATGACTGAACGGGAATTTTGTGCGAGTGCGAGCGCGGAGTCGTAGTCGAGAGACTGCAGGCGCATCAGGTACGCTACGACGATGGCGCCGCTACGCGAAATACCCTGCACGCAGTGCACTAGCACTCTCGTCTCCCGCGAACAGACTGCCTTCGCACTCGAATCGACGATATCCGGCACTTCGGAAGCGGTTTCTGAGTTGGGCTTTATCTCGTCGCCTTTCGATCGGTTGCCGCTACAACCCCGAGCCTCTGTCGTTTCGTGGCCCCCAGATGCGCAGGAGAACGCCGCTTCGATCCACGCACACATTCCCTCCAATGACATCAACAGATCTTCCAGCGGATTGTCCTCGATCTTTACATGCAGATGCTGGATCCCAAGTTCGCTCGGGATAAGCGGACGGTCTTTCTGATTGGTCAGGCTTATGACGTGGGTAATACCGTGCTCTTGAAGAAGGGTCGGAGAGCCCGGTGCCCCGATGCTAATGATCTGTTAACGTGTTGTTCCTGAAGATACAGAGGGCGGACTACTCAGAAATATATAATCCTGGAACGTCCGCGACCGCGTTCATTGGTTCGACATTAAAGACTTCCATCATGCAAATGGATAGACACGGGAGCTTGGAGGTAGTTTTCTGCGAACGTTCGAAATGGCTGAGGTGCTGCCTATTTAAGGTGGTGATACGCCAAGCAGTGCTTGTGGCTGTGAGCATAAGCACAACCCCAGCACCCCTGTTCCACGGTCGAACGCCTCGCTGACGCACCGGACACGTTGGCCACATTTGGTTCCAAATTATTTGAAAAGACTTTTATTATATTAAATACCTTCTGTCCTTACCATCAGCCTCCTCCCAACGGGACATTTGGATCCGAACCGGCCAGCGAAGTTGAAAGGGAAAAGCCTAAGCGCGCCCAGCCCGTATCTGACCATCAAGAAATAGGAAAAGATAGCTATGATACGAAGGCTGCGAAAACAATTCGCATCCGGAGGAAGCTGTAGGGTTAAAACGAGAGAAATCAATCAATCAATCAAGCAAGCAAGCCATCTCGGTGGCAGAGACAGCGAATCCGCATCCGCTCCCCTGGAGACCTCCGGACCCTTTGCGCGGCGAACTGAGGGATCGTTTTCTTTCCATTTAACAGAGGAGACTCAGTCAAGCCAACGGGATCCGCTGCGAGATGTTCGTGGACGTAGGGCCTTGATTATGACCCCCGAACCACAAAGGCACTACCCAACTAGCCCTCGAAGACTCGAATCGAACATTTCGAGCCCGGTCACTTCATGTTGAAGGCGACTATGTCTCGGACTCTGAATTCTGCATCCTCGAGCAACTTCTCGGTATCCGAGTCGTACACCCTCATGCCTGGCTCATGCCAATAGACAAACTCCAAATCTCCATCGCATTTGAACACGGCCTTTTGACGCGCGAGATAAAGTAGAGACAGCAAGGGGTTTTCGCGAGGCGCTGTCCAGTCGAGCTGGATTTGAACATAGTCTAGGTTTGCGAAGCCGTACTCGCCGCTTGCTAGTTTGGGTACGTACTTCCAATGAGGCCGTTCGGGCTTGACTTGGAACACAAGGCGCCGCACGTACTGGTTGTTTGGGAGATTGGGATAGCGGAAGCTTGCGTTTGAACGACCTGGCTTCAGAAAGAAGGTGTTGGTCTTGTAGAATACTTCGTGTGCTATGCCTGCGATCTCGAGGGGCATGAGGAGGTAGTGGGGTAGCAGTACTTGCCCCCAGGGCCAGCCCCCTGTCGTGCGGCAATAATGAATGGGCTCATCCACGGTAAGATTGTACCGAAGTATTCGAACTTTTAGCTCGTCCGGTAACTTCTTCCAGCCTTCGGCGAAGCGAGAGTCAAGGTTGTCTTTTGCAGCGAAGTGCAACCTTGGCACTGAACGGGTCGCTGTACGGGGAAGAGAAGTGAGTGTGATCGGAGAGCGGCTAGACACGATGATCGGCCATTCGCACCCTACCGAAAGCTCGAATGGGGTAGAGCTCTGGACAGTAATCTCGCCGAGGGATAGTACAGTGAGGCTGTTAAACAGTTGCACTACCTCGAGATTTTCGGTCGGTTCAGTGGTCTGCATAGGCATAATGCAGTTGCTTTGGTGATTTCTTTTCTTCGGGTGTCTAAGGTTGCCTGGCGAGAGCGTGGAAAAGAGATGCCGCTTCGAGGGGGAGAGTGCTATACCTTTTTATACTAAGCTTTCCTAAGTATACTAAGGCTATACTATACTAATAATTATATATTAACAATATAATAAAGATCTTAATAATGTTAATAAAGAGCTTAATAATATTTAATAAAGAGCTTTAATATTATAATAAGAACTTAATAAAGAGAATAAAGAAATACTTTTTTATTTTAAAGATTTTAGTAACTCTAATAAGTTATTATAATAACTATAGATATAGTTATTATTATAGTATAAACTTATTAATAAAGAAAGCTTTTATATAAGCTTTATAGCTTAATAGTTTTTTATAAGTTTACTAAATATAACTTATTAAACCTAATACTTATAAACTCTTACTCGAGTTTAGTGCGAGTCGGCTTTGATTTACAAGTGACGCCGACAGGATTCTAGAGAAAGAATGCTCTAGGCCATTCACTTTCATCTCCGCCCATACGGTCTACGCGCAAGCCGCGCGCGGTCGGAAACTCAAAGAAGCGCAACCTCCCCGCCACACCGCACGACCTCGGATACGGTCCACGCACGGAGCTCTACCCCACTCCGAACACAACCCAAAAAGTCCAGACTGCATCAAAATGGATATCGCTCTATACCATGCCGTCGGATCCCTCACCCTAGTCTCCAGTCCTCCGACATACGTTCCCACGGACAAAACCCCGACCTCAACCCTCGGACTCTCAGAATCAAACCCACTTCCTCTACTCACGCCCATAAAGCTCCTCACAGGCACGCGTCTCTGGATCTCCTCACACGGCCGTATCCTCGAGGTCGGCGACTCCTACAGTGTCATCCCCGAAAGCCGCCATCCGATCCTTATCACAGCCAAACCAACAGAGGGCATCTAGCTCTTCCCTACGGCGCCACTACTCCCCGTCTTCCGAAACGGCTGGAACAAGCTCCCTACCGAGCTCAAGGTGCGCGTCCTCGCATGCAATCTCACCATGTCTGCACCGGTGTCTGCGCCGGTGTCCACGCCGATCGGAATGACTCCCTCTGGCAACATGTGCACCGCGCTGTTGCACCACCTGCGGGCGACGCCTGAGATGGCGCGGTTGGGAAAGGAAGTCTTCTACAAGACGAATACGTTCAAGCTCCAGCCGAGCTGCAGCACTCTCTATCCCATCATTAACCCACAATATCAGCCTACGCCACTAGGCACTAGGTACCTCGCGTATCCTAACCGCACGGTGCAGGGGCTGATCCGTCGCATTGAATTCGAATTCGTCTTGGGAGACCCCGCGGAGTGGCGCCACCTCGTCAGGTTTGCACGCGGAAATTACGGCTTCCGGGCGCTTCGGTACGTTACTGTTGTGGGTGAGTGGGGCCGCAGTTTCCTGCCCGCGTTGCGCAGCGTGCAGGGGTGTGTTGATGTTATGGCGGGACAGATGCATGGTTGTGCTAGGTTCTCTTGCGATGGGGAAGTTGTGTTCAGGGCGAGGGTTAGTGACATTTTTCGTGTTACTCTTGGGGCTGAGATCGAGGTCAATGAGAGGTTGGAGGGGTTGGTGAAGGGCAAGATCTTGTTTAAGCAAGCATCAGGTAGGAGAGATTAGACATGAGTCGTATAGAATAGGTGATGGATGCCAAGTCAAGCTGAGGTGGACCTATGCAATTTCCTCAAATCTAAATGAATGCCAGTCCCACCCGAGTTTTTAAGTGCCTAATAACTCTCCCTGTGACACTGTTCGATGAAGCTGCTGCTCTGGGCAAGTCTTTCTTCGCCTAAACTCCTCCTACCTTGCTCCTCTTAGAGCGGGAGTTCAGCGCCAAAAGGGCAGTCCATTTCGGTATTCCTTCGATGCACTCTCTTCACCCAGACTCGTTGAATGTAATCTTGGTCTTGAGAAGGTTTTTCATGTCTCGAAAAACATCCGCGGGTACCTTCCATCCTGGATCGAACAGCCCACGCTCTCTCAGGCATCCACTGAAGATCAGCTCTCCGCTGCACCGGAAGTTGACCCCTGCTCCCACTACCGTCTCCAAAAATCGCTCCCATTGTACACAAAGGTCGGACAAGTTAGAGAACGTGGAAGGGGCCGCGAAATGTGGATAGCACCAGCTGATGACGACATGGACGCATTCCATGTTCTCGAAGCCGTAAACTCCCGTTGCGAAAATTTTAAGCCGTGCCCAATACTTCGGCGTCAGGTGAATTGTCATCCGCACTTTCCGAATGAACCAGTTGACGGACGGATTAGGATATTTCAAGCATCCCATGGGAGTATTCTGGCGGATCGCTCCCATGGAATCCTCTGGCAGAAGTTCGAAAGTGGTTTTGCTGTAGAAGATCTCTAGTGCTAGAGCAGCAATATCCGGAGTCATCCGCAGTTAGCGGAGGACAAACCTCTTTAACGCCCTGGGAAACACTCGACGCAGACACAGAAGTCAGATGACTGGTGCCATTTATAACAGCCTCTGATGTAGAAGTTTTCCGGCCTCAAGTCGCATTTGATGTTGAAGGAAAGCACCATGACCTTTAGCTCATCCGGCAGCTTATTCCAGCCGACAGCGAATCCCGGGCCCAACTCTTGGTTCGGAGAAATCTCGGCTCTTCTTGTTGTAGTGACCGTAATAGGCGTGGCAGCGGATATGAGGATTTCCGGTGCGATTTCGATCGGTGAAGTGGCTGTAAGATCGATTTTCGCGTTCGGCGGTAGGACCATATCGTGATACAGGCGGATTGGGCGAGGAGCCTCGCCTATAGTAGATGCAGTCGCCGTATCTTCCTCAGTGGAGGCATTGTTGGCCGTCGAAAGATTGCGCTGGTGAGCATCGCTTGACGGTACGCTGGAGTCGTCTCTGTGCGCCATGACTATCGATGCGTTGGGAGAGGGAAGAGGTGGAAGAGGGAAGAATTTCCGATGCTGTGGACGTTAAATAAGAGCGGCCAGGCTTGGCGTGGTTCGCTTACGTCATGGGGGGTGGGGGTGTGAAAGGGACGGTGTGGTGGAGGTGAATCTATTCTTGCGCTACTGGGAGCGCATATTTATCCTAAAGCTTAGCTAGGCATGTTGAGAACTCATTACAGTATCGAAAATGTGAATGGTGTGTTTTAGCGGTTTAAGAGAAATCCAGGAGCCAGAAAACCACTGCCCCTAATTTGCAGATATCACCCTAACCGCAGTTCCATGGATACTGGACTCCTTCAGTTCGCCTTTCCAACTTCACTCTTCGGGCAGAAACACGACGGCCTCCCTTACCATGTCCATTAAGAAATCCCAATCCGCCCCGTCCTCTTCCTCGCTCTCTTCCTCAAATCTAAACTCCAGCTCTCCCCTGTTCCGAAACCTGACACGATCCCCGAGTATGTCCACCACGTTCACGCATCTTCGATCGGTGTAGATGCCGCCGGCATAGCTTGAGTACAGCACGAAACTGATGTCGACGACGACAATGACGTACTGAAGATTCTCAAAGCCGTACGCGCCCTCCGCCAGTCGCTCTAAGAATGGCCACTCATCGTCATCCAGGCACACTCTGATCTCAAGCTTGCGTATCCGCGAGTTCACTCCGCGTGACGGATAGGCCAGAACGAGATCGTCCGTTGGTGCACCGCTGGGGAGAGAATATCTCACGGGCTGGAGACGGAACGTATTCGTCGAATAGAATACTTCTCGGGCGAGACCAGCGATTTCGGGCGTGGTGCAGAGGTAGCCCAGAATGCCTTTGGCGAGCGAACGAAGGCAGCTCATAGTGTCGAAGTAGCCGAATGTGGACGTGCGCGTGAGATTGAAGGAGAGAATGCGGACTTTCAGCTCATCCGGTAGCTTGTTCCAGCCGTGGACGAAGTCTGCTCCAAGATCCTTGCTCAATGCTATTTGGACACCCGTGGCATGGGTAGGTTTGATGGTAATCGGAGCAGTGGATTGAATGACGATGGGGCCGTTGACGGTGATAGAGGTTAGGGATGTGACTGTAAGACTAGTGCCGAAGGGGATCGTCATTGGCGTGAAGAGCTGGAGTGGCTCCGCGAGCGGATCTCCTGTCTCCGATGGCTTTGCGGCGTCTTTGTCGGCCGGATCCATATTCGTTTTGTCTTTGCTCATTGTAGGCGGGAGCGACGGGCTAGGGACGGATAACTTCGAAAGTGGAACAGGTAGGAGAGAGAGAGAAACAAGAATCTTAGTCCGGCGGCCCTGATTTATAGAAATACCCACGCGACAGGGATTTTCACTTCCGCGATTGCAGGTGAAGGTGAGAGTTGCGGCAATCCCGTCGTCCCAAGAGATGCTCACCAACTCTTGATTCGGCCCATTCATATCGATACTCGCAGTAAAATGAGAGATCATAGAAGAGGCATGTGATAGCATTTACACGCACGGGAGCCTGTCAGCGCCCGATCGTCAGTACCCGTGGGACCCGTATAGCCCCACGAAGCCGGCACATCAGCGTTGACTCTTACTTTTCCTCCGCCGCCCCAAACCGTATCTTAGCGCTCAGCTCTTCTTCCGGTTCTAGCTGCTCCTCCTTCGTCATGCGGAGGATACCAGGAAGCCGGTCCGAGTCCGGTTATCGAAGCTGTAGAGAATAACAGGCTTGCAGGCAGTCTATCGTACCTTGAACTTGATACGGCTTGACTCCTTGCACTTGTGAGAAATCCCAGCCCGACCGGCCGCCCCCGATCCCCCTCTACACATTAGAGGTCGCAGGTGCCTTCAACGCGTTCAAGTTCTCTTGTTATTATGCGCCCCACTCCCCTTGACTACGCTGCAAACGTCGCGGCGCAGTTAGCACATGCCATAGATTAAGGCAGAAGAGAAAAGTCCATACTGTAGCATATCTCAGGCCTTTACCCGCCGAAAGCCTTTAGAGGAGGGACCTTTCCACAGCCCAAGGCCAAGACATACCAAAGCGTGTGTCGCAACCTACATACCTCATCCTCCATCCCAGACCGCCCTGCGGCCGACATTCCCAGCGCAGGGCAACACCCCTCCTATGCCTCAGTGAACGACAATTCCCCGGCAGCCCTGAACGCCACTCCCTTGCGCACTACTTCCGCCATGAACTGGCGCTACCGCTCCCTGATAGGACGAGTAAGGGACAAGGGACCGCGGCCCGGGACTAGTTCCGTGAACGACGGCCGAGCCGACAGGCGTAACTATAAGTAGACCCGCGGACGAAATCAACACCGGACCCGAGATTTCAATAGTGCCAGGGAGTGAGATCGGCAGCTGTGTTGCGGCGCTGACATGCATCGGAGTGTGAATCAGCAGCGGGCTCCCCGGTGTCCCAAGAGCGGGTGCAGGCCTCGAAAGACGGTTTGCAGTTGACTGATCGGCGGTTGCATCCATGGCATCCGCGCGACGGAGGTATGCGAGAGGTAGTATCTTGAAAAACGAGCGGCCAAGATCCCACTGACTAAGCAGCGAAAGGGTGAAAGATTCCGCAGAGAACTGGAACGGGCTGGATTTTGACAAGAAAATAAGGCCGTCAGGGTATCTCATGTCCGGCCAGCAGACCTACCTCTCATAAAGCCGCCTAAGTGTAGCAACGCGAACTCCAAGCATGTATCAAACATCAGACAGACGCAGTCCTTTTCACATCCCCCGTCCCCACCCTGCTTCGGCCCCACCCAATTCTTTCCCTCCGCCGATAAGATGTCCATTCCCCAGCTCCCCATTCGCAAAAGAATTAGGAATATCCTTCCTCCCCACCGCCATCTCCCTCTCGTGTCTTTTCTCCGGCTCCGATGGCGTGGAGAAGCGATGTTTCTTCTTCTTCGCACCCTTCTCTTTCCATTGCGTGGCTACCATCGGGCCCGTTACAGCCCGGTCCGGACCCCCAGCCGCGTTCCCGTTCGCATCCTGTAGTCGTTCCCCCTGAGCGATGGGTGCGGATGTAGCTTTCTGCGGCTGCCCATTCGCGGCACGGTCCCCAACAAGCCCCAGATGTGACGTAGCCTTCCCAGGCACGATCTTCCCCTCTTTATGTTTCGACCTGCCCAGCAATGCAGCGCCGATCCCACTTCTGTTATTCTTCCTTTCTTCCCGGATCAAGCTTTGCAGTGATTTCCACCTCGAGCTTACCAAAATCTCGAGCTCCTGTCTCTTCGCCACTGCCTCTTGTTCTCCCTCCTCACTGTCGCTGGCTTTCCTTCGGGGCCCCAGCTCGGCTGCCTCTCTCTGCCCCTGCATGATCCGCGTTCGTCGGAGGAAGCCTGTCGGTTGATACTTCTTCTGGTACTCTTCATCAAGGCCTTTCATGAAATAAGCTGGCGGACCGAGGAAAGCTGCAATGTCTTTGAGCACAACGCCGCCAATGCCCATACCGAGCCCTCTTGCGAACCCTAGAGCACCACCCTCCTTTGCCCCGCGGTAGGGCTGCGTCCACAGCCCTGTGACGCCGTCGGAGATGCCGTACACAAACTCCTTACGTCCAGCGCGAAGCCCGGAATAGAAACCTGTGATCCTCGGTGGTCGACGGACTGTGTCATCACCGTATAACCGCGGCGCATTATGGAAGCCCTGTGTAATCGCGAGCGTGAAATTCATTGGTGATCTTAGAATAGACGCGCCGGTCTTTCGGAAACCGTGGCCCGCATCGTGGGCAAGCTCCTCGGCAAGCCACTCCTCAGGTTCCGATAGCTTCGAAAGGGAAGTGTCCTGCCGGGAAGGAGCGCGCGGTCGCCCATCCGGTTGCTCATTGTGGCTGGTTTGCTTCGTCGCGCCGTCGGTAAAATCGTTCATGGTGCGATTGACCGCGTCTGCGTTCGCTCGGATCAGTGTTTCCCTTTTATGCTTCTCCTTCTTCTTGATTCTGTATTTCTTCTCGTAGTACTTCTCGCGCTTCTTCACGCTCCTCGCCATATTAACAGGGACTAGACCAACGCCAGTGGCTACATCGCCCAGCGTCGATTGGAGAGCGCCCCAACCACCCGTGACAGGCTCGCCCGGACCACCGAAGTCGTTCCATTCGTAATGCCTGAGCAATCTCAGATCACCCCATTTGATTTTACGCCACTCTACGAGAAGTTCCGCCGCAAGCGGGCTCAACCCAATCGACGTGTTCTTCAATCTCCAGGCGGCGGCGCGATTGGGCAGAAGTGAGCAGCGCATGCTGCTCGGATCCTTGAGAGGCAAACTGCGATGAAAGGACCTCACTGCATTGAGCGCTCCGTCGCCTTCCTTGACGATGCTGTCGGCAATCTTCTGGACATTTGTGCGCGCTTCATCGGTAAGGCACTGCTTGATACCCTCGGCCAACCTCTCGGCTGTGAGCTTCCTGTAGGGAATGCATTCGTGTGCGCCAGCCCTCGCTTTCGATACCATAGAGCCCCAGAAGGGTTGATCACCGAAGAAAGGCACGATCATGGTCGGCTTGCCGCACTTCAACCCAATCGCGGTCGTTCCAGCGCCGCCGTGATGGACGACTGCACTGACGCGCGGAAAGAGCCAGTCGTGAGGCGTATTTTCCAGCATAAAGACATTATCCGGTGCGTTCTCATTGCTGCCGAAGCCGCCCCACCCTTTCGAGACTAGAGCACGGACTCCAGCGAGCTCCACAGCCTTAAAGATGAGCTCGGTGAAGTTGTCCGGGTCGTCGACTACGATAGAGCCAAAGCCAATGTACACTGGGGGCTCACCGCTTTCCAGGAACTTCATGAGATCATCGGGTGGCTTGAAAGAGGATGCGAGGTCAAGGAAGACGAAGCCTGAAATGTCGATTTCGGGGCCCCAGTCTTTCGGCTTTGGCACGAGTCCGGGTGACCACTGCAGAGGATCAGCGATAACAACGTAAGGTGGGATCATTTAGCTTACCATGTATGTATAGGGCACCTTCAAGCGATACAGCTGCCCTGGCGCCCAAAGCGTCGACACTTCCTCCAAGCACAGGGTCTTTGACCGAAATCGATTGATCAAGTCGCCGAGACCCTGCCAGGTCATCATCTCGACAAGCGGGTAACTCATGAAGTTAGTGTAACCGCGATCGACATTACCGGCCTTGATATTGGCCAATGGGTGAGGAAATTCGACAGTAGGACTATATGGAAATCTAGTTCGAATTAGCTCTACATATTCAGGACAGCATACTGAGAAGCTACATACGTGAACATCATATGCAGAGGCACGCCCAATCGCTCAGCAATATGTGGCGGTGCGAAGCTAGGAGGATTAGCAATGATAGCGTCGGCGACGAAGGGAGCCTTGTCGCCCACTGAAGCAACGTCAGCATGGATACGTAGAACGCATAATAGGCGCAACTCACGCAGCTTTAGATTGGCTTCATCATTCTCGTCGTCGGTCGCACCGGCGGAAGCGCGCCACATGCCTTGAAACATCTCGTACATGGAAGCCCTCCGCCTCCCAATCTCTCCGTCTTTAACAGTCTCTAGACTCGGTATGAGGCCAGGGTTCTTCACCATGAATGCCATAAGCTCCGCGGGATCACCGCCTATGGAAAAGAACTCTAGACCAGAGTCTTTCTCTACAAATTCTTTGAATGCGGGGTGTGTCGCTATTCGTACTCGGTGCCCATAGTCCTCTTTGAGAATCTTCCCAATCTTCAAGAACGGCTGGATGTCTCCTCTTGAACCGATGACGATGACTACGATGTTCAATCTCACCCGTCGCTCGGGGTCCTCCATATCATCATCTTCTGGCGCGATCTTCTCCAAGTCTCTGTCGGCTCCTGTTCCTTTCATTGAGTCCATATCATCCGCACCCTTGAAGTGCTTCTTCAGCCCTGCTCCTAGCGTCTTCGCAAAGTACCCGCTGTTTACTGCCTCATTTATTGACAGCTTGAGCCGCCCATCCAGCTTCGACACTTTCCCTTTCGTATTGAAATGTTCGTTTGCGATCTTGAAGGTCGAGAACGGGCCTGGGCTCGATCTTCGGCGCTTGCGCTTGGTGCGGTCTTTGCGGGTGGTGCCTTCATCTTGGCCGTCGACACCCGTGGGCGTGCAGGGCAGATCTTCGGAGGAGGAATCGGAATCTGAGGAGTAGGGATCGAATGTCAAAGTGGCCTGGTGATTCAGCTGCGGTGGTCTCCCCACAGTCCCTGCGCGATTCCTCCCCAGCAATGAGTGCCTCGGCGTCAGCCGTGGGCGCTCAGTTGCGGATTTCTGCACTGAGGGACGGATCGAAGGCGAGGTCTCGCTGGTCACCGCTGGTCTCAGAGGTTCATGAGGACGCAGCGTTTCACTGTCACGGTTCTGCGGCGAGTCCATCTTCTGAGTAATGTCGGAGACGGCGGCGCCATCGGTTGCGGAACGCTCGAGGGGTGCGCTCTGTGTGCGCTCGGTAGTATCATCATTGGGATAGGGGAATTCGGGCTCCTGGAGGCGAATGGCCGTGGGCACGGGAGGCGATTGTCCATGGCTGTCGTCAGCCATGACGCCGAGTGTTGCGATGAAACGCTGGCAAACGCGCTGTATTGTGGATGTGAAGGATGGCGGTCCCGCAATTCGAGGAAGGAGCTATGCTGAACCCTGCGGAGTAGTGGGGAAGGGACTAGCGAGGGATCTGTGAGCGAGTAAATACAGACATGTCACATTGTTGCAGTCAGTCCTCGGATGGGATTTTCTGTTGACGCGCTGCGACGGCAAGTTTGGCGTCACCAAAGCGCCCAGGAACCGTTCCAAGCTGCGATCCCTGCCACGAAGGGCTAGATCCCGCATCCTAGCGACCGCATTTGCCGGGCCCTTGCCGGTGATGTCATCTAGCACCTCGCTAATTTCCCCGCTTTCGCCGTCCCGTCTATTTCTGGATGTGGCCCTCGAAACGGCGCAGCACGGCAACACGTCGGTTCTTGCTTTTGCGAGGGGGCACTATCCTTTTGAACAGAGACGACTCATGACATTTGACATTTGACAGGAAGAACCTTACCAACGGTTGCTGCCATACCTACATAACGGCCATGCAACCCGCAGCCACCGGCCGACGCTATAGTTCCTTAGAAGCCTTCGACAAACAACGGCTCATCGGCGCCATCCGAGAGTGTACACAATGGCCTTCACAACATCCGTTGCCCATCCGGCCCATCCGCGCGCTGCCTGAACGGCATTCAGCACCTTCACGATGTTGCGGTCGAAAGCATCCACCTCCTCCCAGTCGTCCGCACACGGCTCCCACAAGGCGGTTTCGGTGCTCCCAGGAGTAGCTTTTTCGACAAGCTCCCATTGTCCGTCGTCGCGCTGCTTGACCGTTACCTTGGGCCCAATCACGAGGGCGCGGCCGAGAACGCGCGAGTCGGCGACGAAGCGCGTTGCGGCATCCACCACATCTTCAACCTTGCCCATTGCCCCTCCGGCTAGGAGCAAGCGAGCGGGACCGGTAACGATAGGAGTGTCGATAAAGTACGGGCAAAGCATGTTGATGCGAACGCCTTGGACATGGGAACTCGCACGGAGGGAGCGGAATAGGCCCAGGACGGCGTGCTTCGCCGCGCCATATTGGGGCTGCGCTGGAATGGGGGCGAGAGACGCCATAGAGCCGAGTAGGAGGAGGTGCCTGTCGCGAGACTGTTTCCCTGGCTGGGAGTCCATGCTGCATGCCCCAGAGCCAGGGTTTCTCGGAAGCCAGTAGTATGCCAGGTGAGTGGTATACAGAAGGCCGGTGCAGTTGACGTCCATGATTTTGAACTTTGGCTTCGGTGGCTCGGCCGCGCTCAGGTCTCCCGGCATCTGCATAACGTCCGTGCCGGCGATTCCGGCATTCGCGACCACTGTGTCGATCCCGCCATGAGGGCTCAGCTTGACTGCCTCCTTGAAGAGGTTGACTTGGGACTGCCAGTCGGTCACGTCGCAGTTGACGAAGTGGACGTTGTGCCGGCCCGTCTCTTTCTAGACTTCCCTAGCCAGCGCGTCTCCCTTCTGGACGTTGATATCCCCAATGATTATGGTGGCTCCATTCTTCGCCCAGTGCCGTACGAAGCTGGCTCCGAAACCACTTGCTCCTCCCGTTATCAGGATAGTCTTGTCCTTGACCCAAGCGGCATCGTAAGGTATTGAGAGGTCGATCGGCGGCGACTGCCGGATGGCAGCGACCATACGTTCGGCGGGCGGCGAAGGCATTGCTGCAGTTTGAAGGCGAAAGGTTAGAGTGGCGCGTGGATGTAGCTGCTGGCGTGAGCGACGCGGTCGATCTGGGGCTATACGCAGCCTTCACCCATTTCACAGGCCGAGGCTCACCTCGTATTCGCTTCCGGTCCACGACCAATCGGACTCTGCATCGCTTTCACTGCATCGTTCTCGGCCACAAAGCCATCAACCATCCATCTTTGGGCGCATATATCTTGAAGACAATAAATCGACATAGAAATCTCTTCCTCGCCTCCTAGCCAAGGGCTAGGCTCCACGGCCGCGCTAGAAATTGCAGTGCAGTCTCGCTACGAGTCTCGCTACCCCACACTTTGATGCTTAGCATGCGCCACCGCCTCGTTCGTCTGCGGGACCCTGCCAAGTCGCAATGCATACAAGTAATGGTTCTTCAACATCTTGGACTTCATGGTTTTACAGCGTTGTGAAGCTGTGCAAATATCTCCCTGGGTATCTACGGAACAAGGTCCAGAAAACGTCCCTAAGCCATTGACAAACCCACGCTCTTCATCTCCTCACAAGGCTCATTCAAAAACGCCGCTCACTAACGATACCCCTTTCGATTCCGGTCAAAGCCTCCACTGCTATATCGCAACATACATATCAAAACGGCGAACTTTATCCCACCTGCAAGAAGCCTGCGCGCCTCACTCACAACTCGTTTCACGTTTCACAAGCTAACAATCCCAGACTCAACCCCAAAAATAGCGCGCTCCATATGTAGAAGAAAGTGCGTCCTGAAACATACCTAGGTACCATGTTCTACCCCTGCGTTCCATATCGTTCCTTTTAAACGAGGTAGCCAGTGCGACCTCGCGCGCTTAGCCCCCACGTTTGTCCAGCCGCCGAAATCTTGCAGCATCGTTCATTTGATTGATCTTCTCTTTGGCGCCTGGGATATGAAACGGTTGCCTCTTTTCAGAAATTACCGTGTAGAGAGACGCGCTTGGGAGCATGGACGGCGTAGGAAGGTTTAAGAGTTGTGCCTTGGCTTTTGTCTCTTTTTTATCTACGCCTGTGGCGCTTTGCACTCGCAATGCTGCGAACGTTAATTTGTTCTTAAAAATAAGCACTGTCTACTTTGTCTCTCATTATTCTTCTCCCTCATGGATAGTAGAGCGATGGGTGGTAAGATCGAACAGCGAGGAGATGAAACAACAACAAGACAGAGTCTGAGTACAGACCCAGAGGAAAGGTAACAGCGTAGTAGACCAACTTCGGAAGCTATACTAACGTACGCGTAGTCTGCTAGAGAAACCCTTGCCTCGACCACCCTGGGCAGCTGAAAATGAAGACGACCCGCACGAAAAGAAACCATCAAAGTTCAAACGGCTCCTAGCTCCCCTCATTCGACTATGGGACGCAACGCCGCCCCATGCCAAATGGCGCAAAATGATGATCCTGTGGACTGTACTCCAATGCCTCCTTCTCATCCCGCACATGGTTGTTAGCGTAATACTGAAGAACGAGCCATTTGGTCTAACCAAGTTGCGGACCATACCTTGCAAGGATAAAGCCATCTGGCAGATTTTTGTCCTGGCGCTGCCGCTCAACGTGCTTGCATCGCTTCTGCTCGCCGCCTCCAACTATACGAGGCAGGTTCTTCTCGCACCCTCACGGCACGACTTGGACGAAGCGCATGCGCGAGGGAAGACGTGGGATATCGGGGTGCCTTCGCTGAGGAATTTAGTCCGGACGTCGTGGAAAAAGAGAGTAATCTGGGTGACCCTGGCCCTAGTATCGATCCCGCTGCATCTGCTGTAAGTACTTACTCAACCGGGCAAGCCGTGTACAAACGTTTGGAGCTGTTTCAAAACGACTGACGCAAAGTTTAGCTACAATTCGCTGTTCATGATCGTGGTCTCCGCACACGACGCGTACCAAGTCGTTATCTCCGAACCAGATTTCACAGCAGGCGTTCCTGCAACCTTGGCTTCTCTCGAATCCAACAACATCACCTTCGAAAAGGCTTCAACATACGACTCTTACCTTGATGCATGGCCCGCCATCGCAAACCTACAGTCATCCATCTCCTCCCTCCAGAAGAATGGCACCAGCCAATGGACCGATCTAGCGCCCGTAGAGTGTGCAAACAGGTACGAATCGGAGCAGTACGACAGCTTCTCCAGCGTCATACTGTTCACCAACTGGACGAGTCCGCAGACACAGAACAACTCCGCGCTCGTCCTTGCCGCCCTTGCTGGATCCGGCATTCACGCCGAACGCGGCCTCTTGGATCTTTGCCCGCCCGCTTTCCTCGCCGCCAACCAGACTTCCTTCTCCACACCCTCCCAATATCAATTGGCCCCCGAAACCGGTCTTTTCATCACCGCTTTTGACATTGAGTTGTGTCTGTCGTACGCCAAGGGCGACCGCTTGCAAGCGACGTACTCCGGCGTGAAGGTACAGCACTGCTTGAGTCAGAACGTACAGGACGAGTGCGTCCTGGTGACCACTCCGATGGTGTGGAAAGCCCTGACCATTTTCGTTGCGGTACAGACGCTTGCCATGCTGGCAGCATTAGCCTGTTGTCCGCAGACGCCGCTGCTTGTTGTCGGCGATGCAATCGCCTCGTTCCTGAGCCGGCCGGATACAGTAAAGAATAGGCATGTGAGCGACATGCTATTCGATTCTCTTATCATGGGTACTGAGAGTTGCATTTCGCTTGCGTTACTCGTGTGGCTGACGGTGAATATCGTCATCGTGATGGTGCTGCCGGGGAGGAAGATCGGATTCGTGCAGCCGGACGAGTCGTAAGTCAAGCCGACGCATTGCACCGCCGAGAACAGATCGCTAACCAGACCCCAAATCCAGCGACCATCTATGGATGTGGAAAGTCCGTCCACCATCCTCGCTCACTCCCTTCCCCTGCTCTACACCGCATCCGCTAACCCGTCCGCAGCTCATCCTCTTCGCACGCTCCGTCCAACTGCTCAGCATCATCCGCGAGTACTTCGAAAACACCGTCGGCTCCACAATCCAAGCACGTCACGAACTCTACCGATACGGCCTCGCCCCCACCGGGCTCCGCGTCACGCAACCCGCCGGCGGCGCCCAACGCTCCACATACCTCCTTTCCCTCCCTCTCCCCAAGGCGCTAACCCACATGGCTCTGACCGCATTCTGGCACACCGCCCTCAGTAGCGCGCTATCCCTCGAGCTCGTCAATCTCTACCACGTCGACGACCCCACGACGCCGCACCTGCAGGCTAGCAGCGGCGGCATCATCCGCATGCTAGCGGAAAAGAGGGACAAAAACTATTCGGTAGTGGGGTGGGTGATTTACTCGAGTTTTATCGGGGTCGGTATATGGGTTATTCATGGACTTTTCGTGAATACTTTGTTCTATGGGAGTGCGGTCCGGAGTTGGTGGCGGCGGAGGAGGGAAGCGTGGAGAACACGGAAGGAGAGAAAGTGCTCGATGAAAGAATGGGGGAAGAAGAAGGAGAAGAAGAGGAAGAAGGTGCAGAAGCCGTGGAAGTCGGATGTTGCGCCGAACTCGCAGCTTATTGCAGATGCGTGCCATCCGCCGCCTGAGGCGGGCGATATTTCGCAGAAGAAAGTTGTGCTGTTTTTTTATTTGGGCTAAGAAACGTATCGGCAACTGATATGTTGCGTCTTGTAGTCCGGAAAGAATACCTTTATCATATATATTTGCTTTCTCATATGTGCGAGGCGAGGAAAGAGATTGGGGATCATCAACCAAAAGCTAACATAAAAATAGTCGTACTCTCCCCCTACCCGTTGCACCTCTAACTGCTTCTCCTAGAATATTTGTATAGACCGTTAGATAACAAGAGTAATAATTTCTTGAGCTCTTCCATCCACTACGAGCACCGAACGAGCCCATTAGGCCTGTTCATTCTGTTTCTAGAAGTGCCCACAAACAGCTTGCAAAGGACCCACTGTGCCAGGTGCACCACACGTTCTCGGTCCACCGCACCACTCAACAGGGAATAACCCATGGATACCTTGTGGCCCCGAGAATTCACACCACACCGAATCGTAGATATGAGTGCCGTCCGTAGGCCACCCCGCTTTAGCTAATGCACCGTAGAGTTCGTCTTCGCGGCCTAGGAAGGGCATCAGTAAAGCGCTCTACGGAAAGGTCGCGGCGAGCCGCGGCGAGAAACAGCCTACCGTGTTCGGCGAGGTCCCAGCCGCAGCGCTTGTAGACATCTTCACACGAGTTGCTGGCTAGAGCAGCGGAAACGAAGAGAGTTGAAGCAGCGACGAGAATAGGTGCCCGCATCCTGGTTGTTGAGGGATTCAAAGGTCACGGCAATGATATTTCGAAGTCGTGGTAAACGGGAGCTACAAGCCAGTGTGACGAATATATATGCTGTTTTGTTGTTGGACAGCTGCTTTTTACCTTGAATCGAGATGCCTTCGCACCACATGCGTCAGTTCATTCCCTTGTGCGACTGACTGTCGACGCTTCACGACACCGTAACTCTATGCTCAGGATCAGCTCATGTTGCTCCATCCGGCCGACTCCATGTAGTCGCCGGATTGCGACGTCTGGATAGATTAAAAGCCTCCCCTGAATGGGGTAAATATCTCAGGTTTGTTGCTCATCGATGGCTGTGCCATGTCGGCGCGGGCCCGGACCCCAGTATTGCGTTCAGCTTCGGGGTGTTCAGCTGGGGGTCCACACCGCACGCTTGTGATACAGTCGGACTTGAATGTAGCGACGAACACAAAAGTCGGATGTTCTATTAACCATAGAAGGTTTCACCAGCCCCGGCTGCCGTTTTCATCGGTCTCGTACTCGGTGTTGGTTGTACTCGCTTTGCTGTGATCTCCTGAGGTGGTCCATGCGGGTGAAACAAAAACGTCGGCCTTTGCCCGAAACAAGAATTAGCGTAGTGCCTTTTATTATAGCAAGCGTTCTCGGAATGCTGATATTGGGTATCAGCGAATGATGTTCAGGTAGCCTCATGCAATCCTGAATCTCGACTGTGCGAGGAGTGGTGCGAGACGAAGCTGTTCGGGCAGGTGAGCAAACTAGCTGTGTTATCACTTATCATTTCTTGGAAGACATATAAGACGGCCTATACCCTCGGAGAGTCAAGTCTCCACAGGAATATATCCAAGCAGCCAACCTACATCAGCCCCATCATGTTGACGAGCACCGTTTCCGTCTTCCTTTCTCTTTCTCTTTTTATAACTTCAGCCTTCAGCGACCCTGGTAAAACGACCCGCTACTGGGACTGTTGCAAACCCTCATGCTCTTGGCCTGGAAAGGCGCAAGTCTCGAACCCGGTGCGAACCTGCAACAAGCAGGACCTCTGGCCGAATCCAATGGATCCGAATGCCGCATCAGCCTGTGGTGGAGGCGAGGCATACTCGTGCAGCAACAATGCCCCATGGGCCGTTGACGACAACTTGGCCTACGGCTTCGCCGCTGCCAGCATCAAGGGATCGAGCGAACCGAACTGGTGCTGTGCTTGCTACGAGTGGGTTCCAGGTAAGAGGAGATCGACTGCTCTCATGCTGACACGATTTAGACTCACATTCACCTCAACCTCCATCGCCGGCAAGAGACTGGTCGTACAAGTGACAAACACGGGCGGCGACTTAGGGGAAAACCACTTCGATCTACAAATTCCAGGGAGCGGTATGGGTTTGTTCACCGACGCTTGCGCGAAGCAGTTCCCGGGTGTATGGCTGGGCGAACAATACGGCGGCTATTCAAATCGCGATGATTGCAACAGACTTCCGGAGGGAAACTTCCGCAATGGGTGCTTCTGGAGGTTCGACTGGTTCCAGAATGCGAACAATCCGACTATGGATTTCAAAGAGGTTCAATGCCCACAAGCGATGATTGATAGGACGGGATGCGGGAGGTGGAGTTAGATCGGAGCCTGGATTGCATGGAGGGAGCGAAGAGGGAGATGGGGAGAATTCGTAGAGAAGATACGGTCCAAGGGGGCGGTATCTCAGCGTTGCGTCGACGGCCACGTGCGGGCTCTTGAAGAAGTCATGATCGTTCTTAGAAGGGGTATCGGCAGGCATGCATAAGTTATGGTCATGACTCGCGTGTGAAATCATGATTCAAACCCTCGAGCACTGTGGAGAAGCCCTTATGCACAGCGCCTGTGATGTAGCCTATACGCGACGTGATCTCCAGGAAGAAGGCACGATCTGCACGAGAATTCGTTCTGAGACCACAGGCAAGTTGTGGTGATGGAAGAACGTGGCGACGGACAGGAAACCTGGGGTGAAACGGGTTCAGATTACCGCACTAGATCTATGTCCGGGTACTTTTGACTCCTTTTTGGAGTTTTTCTGTCGCAGCTTTTAGAGTTACTCACAGCCAAACTATCATGTTCAGCCCTTGCAACCCCGTAATACCCCACACTTACACGAAACCTCACAGCTCCAATGAATTCACACTGTCCATATCACGCGTACTATTGTCCTACCAATGGACCAGACTATTACAAACAACGCTTTCCTTTGTCGTGAGTAAATACGTTGTGAGCCGCGATACCACAGTCTTCAATTATCACAAGGCGTTGTTTGGTTCCGGAGTCTCTGTAACAATGTGATTCTCAAGTTGAATTACTTGGTTTATAAAGCGTCCCTACACATGAAGAGAAACCACTACTCCTAAGCACAAACGTTCCAGTACACTATTATGTTTTAAAGTCGCTACAAGCGTGTCAACCGGACAACTCATACACTTACCTTAACCAGTATGGTTTTGAGAAGCAACCACGGTCCCATACCAGGCGTTTTCAAAGACGAATTAGAACATTTGCGCAAGGATCATGTTCCACGCTACCTATTTCGTGCATGGAGTACCAGAAATGGAGGCGGACCTGACGTCTCCGTAAACTCGTTGAAAGAGATTGTACCTCCTGCGTTTGTACGCCACGAAGGGCACAAATTCTACGACATGGATGAAAACCATATCAAAATCATTACCGAGGCGCACTATCATGGATGGTCTTCTCCATTCACTGAGTTCAGCTCCTGGTCCCACTCACTTGCTCTCGTGATAGGATTCTACAAACACCGAAAAGACACCCACATTGCTGTCATGGATACTCAGCAGCTTGATGATGATGTGAAGGTCTGGCATTGCCCTCATCTAGGCAAAAGGTTTAATAATTATGAGTTTTTAGTACATGGTCCCATCCGGGGACGTGGCTACAAAGCTGTGCCGCTCGAGAAGCTCCTCCAAGCAGGACTAGAAATAGTTTGTCCGGGTCTGGAGCGATACGAATGGCAGTTGCCAAGTCGCAAACGCAAAGTGTTCGCCGTCACGAAGGAGGATCTAGAAATCGTGGGTAACGTTGCATCCCTTTTCGAACATCTTCGTGTGCCAGTAGCCGCAGCATTACTCACTATTCTACCACGGATAGATGTGACGACTCATAAGGAAATAGACGCACTCCTCCATGTTTTGGGCTACCCTACTCTTCCCTTGGAACTGAGATCAGAACGCTGGTTGATGGAGCCGGGAATGATAAACACAGCCGGTCGCCCGGATGCTGAACGATACATCCAATTGCTACGCTCATTAGTAGTCTATACTACAGAAGCCTACAATATTGAGAAGACTACTAAACCGCAGTTCAATACTTTCTATTGTAGCATATGTTGTACTTAAGTCTATTATATCAAAACTTGGTGGTAGTTTAATATATCTTTAGAGTAATACAATTAGAAACGTGGTATCAAAATATTGCAAAGATAGCGCATGGAGGAACAGGCTACCTAGGTATGCTCAAGTTACGTAACCCATGTAATGAAGCCCTATTTATGAATTATAGGCTATCCGCAGACACAGATAGCTTGAGTTCTCACGACCAATCATCTAGCACGTAGGAGGCCTACCGACACCTGGTAAGGGCAGGGTGGGTATTCTATAGACGTTAAAAGCGGCGGATTGAAGAGGCAAGGAGCGATGCCCGATATGGATAAGCGCAGGGATCGCGCTAAACCTGAAGAGGGAGTCCTTGAACCAGTATTACGCCATGCCTCATGAGCGCTAGCTCCGACCCGATCTCATTCACGGAAAGTTCTCCCAACCGCATGTTCCACCAATCAACCTATCAGGCAATGTTTCCCCGGAAATATCCATCCCCAGCTTTGCGGAGAAGCTCGAAGCTAAGCGCGCAGCTTATTCGCACCACGTCCATGTGGAGATGGCGAGCAGCCGGGCACGACAGGAGCGAGGTTCCAAGACGGAGAAAATGGTGTCTGACACCGTGGAAGCGGAAATCTCAACCGGGTAATTGGGAAGATAAATAAAGGGCCCTTGGCAGCGTTCCTGGAAGTTCACACGCGCAAGGCACACGCGTCGACATTTTTTGCTTCTCGTTTGTCAGTCATCATGAAGCTGTCGCACCTCCTTCTCGGCTCCCTTGTCTCTCTGGTCTCTGCCTCTGCCATTGCACTCGAGAATGACACCCCTGCCGGAGCTTCGGTAACATTGCCCCATTCGTCCTCGGTGTTTGCACGCGTTCCAGGTTCATCTAAGAAGCCAAAGAAGGACAATTGGGGAAATTGTGTGGAGCAGGACAGGAAGAAGATCACCATTCGCGCATCGAAGAGCGACACAGATGACATCAGCGCTGATTTCCTCTGGGCTTTGAGGAAAGCGAATCATGGTGGTTTGGTGCATCTGGAGAAGGGAAAGAAGTATGTAATTGGCAAGAAGTTGGACTTGACTTTCCTGAACGACGTGTATGTCAAGCTTGATGGGGAGCTCAAGGTCAGCGAGTACAAAATACTGGTGCGACGAGATCGCTGACTCCTCTAGTTCACTAATGACATCGAGTACTGGCAAGCTAATAACTTCTACTACGACTTCCAGAAGAGCATAACCTTCTGGATCTGGGGTGGAAAGTATGCAAGGCTCCATTGATTATTATCCGTGTACTGACCAATTGATAGGGACATCAAGATCTACGGCTCCGGCGTGCTGAACGGCAACGGCCAGGCCTGGTGGGATGGCTTCTCGGGCGCGGAGATCCTCGACCCTAACAACAAATACTACCGACCGATCCTCTTTCTCACAGACAACGCGACCAACGTAGAAGTCAGCGGCATCCACCTAAAAGATTCGCCATGCTGGACGACATTCATGGTCCGCACCAAGAACGTCGTTTTCGACGATGTATACATCGACGCCGTGTCCACCAACGTCTCATCTCTCCCCAAGAACACCGACGGCTTTGACTCTTTGAATGTCGATGGTCTAACTGTCACCAACACCCGTGTAAACGTTGGCGACGACTGCTTCTCGCCAAAACCCAACACGACCAACATCTTTGTCAAGAACCTGTGGTGCAACGGCACGCACGGCGTATCCATGGGCTCCATCGGCCAATACCCTGGCGTCAAGGATTACATCTCCAACGCTTGGATCGAGAACGTGACTCTTCTGAACGGACAGAACGGCGCGCGCCTGAAGGCTTGGGCTGGACCCGATGTTGGATACGGATACATCGACAACATCACCTACAAGGACATCCACATCGAAAACACCGACAATCCCGTTGTGCTCGATCAGTGCTACTTCAACGTGAACGAGACGACCTGCGCTGCCTACCCCAGCAAAGTGAACATCACCAATGTGAGCTTCCTCAACGTTTACGGGACGAGTAGTGGGGCTGAAGGTCGCGTCGTTGCGGACCTGACGTGCAGTCCGGGAGCTACTTGCAGTGGGATCCACCTTGAGAATATCAACATCACCAGTCCGGCTGGCAGCCCGCCGCAGATCGTGTGCGATAATATTCAGGGAGACATTGGGGTTGATTGCATCCCCGCGAGTGAGGCAGATGACTAGGGGGAGACATGTAATTACTAGTAGACAAAAGAACAACGGGGTGATTCTACCCTAACTCATTCTCCGCTATCCATGTGCAGGTAGTTACAATAGGCGGAGTGAGCTGCCTGTGCCGATATCAGCTTTTCGTAATCGAGCCTAGCGTACTATATACCTATGGTACCAAAGAACCAGGTACGCTTTACTAATCCGGGCATCGACCTCTTCAGACTCCTTGCGTTATTACCCACACTTGGAAACACCTGAAAAAATCGACTCATAATCTAAATCCTGCGTGCCGACATGTTCGTCCGTTCCACAAAATGCTATTTCCGCAAATCGTCCGCAATCCCACAAGCGAACGCTACAACCAGCTAGAAAGACGGTGCCGGACAGATGGTCAGTTGACATACGACCGCATGGATGATACCTGGTTAGAGTCCGAAACCATCGTGACGTCAGGTCTGGAAAGAAGTTTTGATGCTTAGCGCGGGCAGCCTAGAATTCTCAGTCAGCACCGAGCAGCCTACATGCGCAGGAAACCACCCCGCCAGATGTCCGAGGCAGACCAGCGGCACTACTAGAAGGTAAACCAGGTCATACAGGTGCGCTCCGCTGCCCAGTTGCATTCCCTGGCCGGCACTCAGTTGTCCGCCAATCAGACGCCCGCAGTGTTCTTCCCTGCATATGCCCCCAACCGCAGCCTCGCAGCCTCATCTCCACACTCTCATCAGCGACCTGCATCTTGACCTTTAAACCCCGGACAGCGCAGAGGATCCGGCGCAAAGGACGCTGCGGGGCGTCCTGCAGACGGAGATTTCAGTGCCTCTGATCGCGTAAGGCTTAGCGCCTTGGGCGTCCCTGATCCCTGCATCATTTTTTCTGTCCCGCCCGTGTGACCCCACCTCCTTCCCTCCGAGTAAACACTCCAGCTCCCACGAGCCCACGCTACTCGGGCCAGGCTTCGCACCTCCTCGCGACCTCGAATCCTGAGACGCCCGTTTTAAATCGATCCGGCGGTCTGACTTTTTGACACAATGGCACACGCCGCCGCCAAACCCCCGGCCCTCGACGTGTCCCCAACTCATATCGTCGCCACCCTCTTCTACAAAACGGACAGTCTTCACTTCTTCCCCCACCCCGACGCCTCTCCGCATAGCCCGACCGATCGCCTCCCGTCTGCCTCCCTCCAGTCGCTCAAAGATGGCGCCGCACCTACCGACAAGATCGAAGACTACCCTCTCGAGCCGCCCACGCCGGGCCCCAATCCGCTAGACCACCTATACGGCTCGTATATCAGCCAGAGCTGCCTGACGGACTTCTTCGTCACGCTCACGGACATGATACCAGGCTTGATGGAGGACACGATTGTGAGCAGGAGGCTGGAGTGCACTAAGCTCTGCCGGGTGGTGGAGGTGACGTTCCCGCTACCCAGTACCTCAGCCATCACGCTGGAGACGCTAAGGCGAAATGAGGCGATCTCCCGTTTTGAGCGCGAATGGAATGTTGAGGCTGTGTTTCAAGCCGACACGGTATATCGCCGGTACAAGCGGTTAGCCGTCTTCGACATGGACTCCACGCTCATCCAGCAAGAGGTCATCGACGAGATCGCGACTCTGATTGGGGTCGAAGACCAGGTCTCAGCTATTACCGCTGCTGCCATGAATGGCGAATTAGACTTCGAGGCCAGCTTACGGAAACGCTGCGCGCTGTTGAAAGGCGTCCCGAGCACGGTGTGGGAGACGTTGAAGCCGAGGATAACGTTGAACGAAGGCGTCTTGGCGCTGATAAAAGCATTAAAGAAACTTGGATTCAAAACCGCCGTGTTGAGCGGTGGATTTACTCCGCTTACGGGGTGGATGGGTAAAGAGTTGGGCATGGACTACGCCTTCGCGAACCACCTTGTCTTGTCGGAAGACGGGCAGGAGCTCACGGGCGAACTTACGGGCGACATCGTACATGCACAGAGGAAGAAGCAGCACGTCCTCGACATCGCCGAAAAGGAGGGCCTATTACTGGATCAAGTGGTGGTTGTTGGGGATGGCGCGAACGATCTGCCTATGATGAGCATCGCTGGGCTGGGCGTTGCTTTCCATGCGAAACCGAAAGTTCAGATGCAAGCGCCGGCGCGGCTAAATTCGAAGAGTATGTTGGATATACTATATCTTCTTGGAATCTCGAAAGAAGAGCAGGAGGTTCTTCTACGGTAGTTAGTCCGACAATGACAACTCGTGGCTGGCGGCCGCAAACCAAAGTTTTCTCGCCTGGTATTTAACACGAGATGTATTGGCTTGGTACTAGATCGCCCACCAGCATGTTCCGCCTGATGAACTCCCATCAGGCTCAGCTTTATCGACCAGCGATGACGCTCATCACTGCTTTCCCCTTTCTCACTCCGTACGCGCATTCTCGCACACCCCTTCTTTCCACACCTCCCCAAACTGTTCGACTCTGAATACACATCGCACCCCCTCTCCCATACGCCCACTCGCGCTTTTCTTTTCGTTGCAGGGTCTGCATTATAGGTGAGCAGACTCAGGATTTCCCGTCGAAAACTTTTGCACGCAGGCGCTTTCCATGTCGGCATCCATGGTTCGCTTTTGGTCTTCGGACGCGCAGGGACATGCAAATTTCAGCAAATCGCTTTTGTCCCCGGAGTTTTGTCGCGTGGCTGACTCCCTGCCGAGGGCAAACGGGGCATGAGCTGTCGGAGCTGTGCTTTTTAGTCTGCGCGGGAACATATATGGATCGGAATGGATCTTAGTCTCCCAGTATGCGCGACGAGGAACTGCGGCTGCTCGTGTATTGTGCGGGAGGATTTCTGGTTTCCGGGCAGGGGGAAGCGCGCATAAGGCTTCTTGGATTGTGAAGGTTTTTAGGGGCGCGCGGCGTCCGGAGCGGAGCGCATAGAACACTCATAGTTTTGTTTTAGAGCGGCGGAAGAGGAGACATCGAAGTACGGGTCGTACGTTTTAGTCCCCGGTATACGGTGTAAATGAAAAGTGGTTCGGGTGAGAAGGCGATCGAGGGAGGATTTATACGTACGGCGAAAGACTCCAGTAGAGTTGTGCTCAACGCCTTTTCGAGAACAAACAAAGATGAGCATATAAGGACCCTTCGCTCGTTTTAGTTGCGTGAATCCGGAAAATGGTTTTTTTCGGAGCATGTCAGCTTGATGAATGGCTTTGGTAGCGGCTGGAGCATGCTGTATTCATGCTCATCATTTTGTTTGGGCAAGAGGCAGGCTCCCAGGGCGGACATGTCCCGTACTATTGGTGTTTTGTATATTGTGGTTTTCCGGGTCGCGGTTCTGGTCATGGTTCCTGTGTTAAACATATTTCAGGCCCGTTTATCCTGGATGAGAAGGCTTCAAATCCCCAGACATAAAACTCCATCCTTGCAGATCTGTTTCTTTTGCTCAGGGTAACTTTCATCGGACAGAAACCGTTCATGATATTTGAAATGACGACTCCGAGGGGCCATGAGCAGAGCGGACCGTGGACTTTTTTTGTGGTGGAGCCTAGAGAGGCTGTATGCACTATGTCATTGTGTTTTTGGACTTCGATGGGGTGGTCCGGAGAACTGGCTCATAGTGAACTAGGTGTGCCTTTTTAGAGGAGAGACAAGACGGGCATGTGCAAGTAGCGGTTTCACTTTTAGGTATCCCGAGAGTGGAGGTGGAGATGTAGCGAGAAGAGGAAGCAGGGGGAAGAGAGGTTATATATACATCGCTGGTTATGCCGAGGCAGGAAAGAGCCTCTCACGTCGCGCATGGGTTCGTGTTTCTTGCTGCTGGAAGTTGGGGTCTCTTCCAAAGGCCATGCATGGACCGTCAGCGTTGTTTTGATGGTCCGGTAACAAACACATAGCGAATGAGCTGTGAAACACAGAAGGCTCTTTCTCATGGGGCTGTGATGATAGGGTTTTAGGTCGACGAGAGGGTGAGCACATAGTGGAGTTGAGTCTGACGTTTTCGCGCACTGAACGCGGGCCATATAGTGTAGCTCTTGCATCTTTTAGAGGTAGCGAACCGACATCGATGACAGGGTAAGAAGCCTTTAGTACGCGGGGATCAGATGTGGAGGAGTGGAGAAGAGGGGGAAGAGCAGAAGAGGGGGAGCTCGTGGAACGTGCGCGGTTTGATCTAAATTTGTGCCTATGAAGGTCGTGGTCAGTGCTCTACCGCTGACCTGTCGCTCGGTTTTTCTCGATGCTTCGTTCTTCGGTCTTTTGTGCGGGAGATCCCACAGAGACGGACTTCGGCGGTCTTTTGCAGTCTCCTTGCTGATGGGGATTCAAGCCAAATAACCAATGCGGTGGTTCCATGTTTTTAGCGGCCAAGCCAGTAAGTCATGTCTCGCTTATAGAACAGACAGGCAGATGCTGAGGTATAGCTGGAATCGTAACCCCCTTTGAAAGAGGTGGAAACATGCGTGTAGGAAGAAGATTGGCGATAAGGGCGATAAACCCATCGTGAGCAGACTAATCCAAATTGGGGTTAGGGCGCTCATGTGTTTCATCTCCATCAAAGGCTCTCGCCCCGTCTTTCTCCAACATAACTGACATACGCTCATCATCTGAATACGATGACACGACAAACACTCATTACAGCACCCTCTACGCTCGTAGCCGTAGCTGTAGCATGTAGCCGTACTCACCGGAGATTGATCGCCGTCTCCATGATTAGTGTTTGCCACGGAATCTGTGTTTCCAGCAAGCGGTATGGGTATATTAAAGACAGCAATGTCGCTCTCATACCCTCTTGCCTCCTCACCAGTACAAGCTCTTCTGCTCTCCTCACAGCATGGAGAAGGACACGCAATCTAAGTCGGACGAAGCGAAACCCGCGAAGCGGATTTCAGTTCGTGTCATCACGCCCGAGCTGGCGCAGTCCCACCATAACATCACCGAGATACCCACGATTGCCGGCGACCCCTTGACCACTGCGAACACTCTCCGAGACCTCAAGCTGCAAGTTTTGAAGCACCTGGAGCTGCACTCCGATCTCCTTCATGTCCGCGATGCAGAAGAATGCAATTGCTCGTTTGCCAGCAAGATCGGCGCGCGGTTCAGACTGTCCAAGAGACATGACCCTTCCAAACGCCTCATCGTCGTTCACGGGAAGAATGAGGTCTCAGCTGTTGAAGCGGATTCTCCGCAAGCACTCTCTCATCGTCACTTGTTCGAGCTATGCAAGGCACAGCTCCCCGGGCAGACCGAAGGCAAGCACCTATCCGTAATCCAGAGCCAGGGCGACGACGATCGGTAAGTGTCCAGACCATGTGATCATAGTCAAAGCTAACAAAGCGAACCAGATCTTCTACACAGTCTCGGATTTCCCAGCCCATGGTCATCGCCTGCTGCTCTTCCTATCGTCACGCAGGCGAGGTTGGCCCATCTGATGCCGACTACCCTATTATGGACTTGGTCGATCTCCATACAGCAGAATGCCCCATCGAGCTTACCTCCGCCAACGCCAAGGTCACGATCGAAGAGGCCAATCTAGAAGAATTGCGCCATCTTAAAGCTCTCAATCTGTACGCAGTACGCCGCAAAGGTGTCTACAAAAATGAGCATTCGTACCGGAGCGAGACCAAGGATGAAATATTCCAGGAAAGCGATGCCTGGGACCACTCGCCACAATGGTCTGAAAGGGGGATATGCATGTTCCTCTCCTCATTGCGCCTCCTCAACTACCTCACCGAAACAGGTACAATGGCTCTTGAAGAACAGGATGCAGTGCTGCATGTGACGCATGCGATCACCAGATTTCCTCCCGCCGTCCGAGCTTTGGGCACGTTGATGAATGGTCGGTCGCCTCGTTATTCGGACCGAGCAGCCCTTATTCAGAGCATCAACGCAGCGTTGAAGCGCATCATCCCGCCCGGCCTTATTGACAATAGTCCATCACGATACTTGGAGGGCACTCGTCTTCTCTTTGGATTCATCCTGCACAAGTCCAAGGACCTCAAAGACTGGACCACGAAGCACAACATCCCATACATGTCCAGCGCCCTCAAATTCGTGGATTTTGAGAACAAAGAGACAAAGGAGAGGATGATATTTCCCTGCGAGACCGACATTGGGATGATTGATCGTGCGTGGTGTGAAGCGCTCCGCAAGAAAGGCCCGCTAAGACTTCGGGGCGAGTTTGTATTGGGAGAGATCGTGCCATGGTCGGGTATAGATGGGCGTGTCACCATCTTGTCTGGCGGACTCATCCAGGAGACATATGTGCTGGACATCACTCGGATATCGAAGCGGTACTCTGAATCCGCTACAACAACCTACGAATTCGACGTCGACCTCCACGAGAATGAGTTGACAGACCTTTCATACCTTGCTACGCTTGCGGTAAGGAATAATATGAACGTGGTTGACCCCATAGTCCTCAGGAAGACTAAAGCACCGGCGCTGACTTTGGATGGAGATGGTCTTCTAGCCGTCTTTGTTCAAAGGCCGCCTTGTGCTCCTCCAGACTTGGACGTAACCATATTCAGACCGACCCGCGATGGCGACGCTGATGTCGATGTTTCGGTGATCGCCCAGCAACTCGTGCCTGTTTTAGCCAGCAAGGCTGCGGATGGCACCGACGTATTCGATTGCTTCGGAGAAAATAGACGACAGCTTACACCGCCCGAGGAAATAATAATTCTGTGCGTCGATTGCAGCGCCAGCATGGGCAATCCCACCGACTTTCGCGACATTATTGAGGATAGCACGAACGATGGGTCAGATTCCTTTCACCAAAACTCCGATGTGGGTGACTTGGATCTTCTCGAAGATGCTGTAACTCTGGATGCATTGAAGCAGTATCTTTCAAGCCACTGCGCGTTCTCTGATATGCTCGCCATCGTTGCATCTGCTCACACGACCGAGGGACGGCGCAAGAACGCCGAGAACGTTCTAGAAATCCTGGATGACTTGCATCAACAGACAATTCGGATGATAAAGAAGGTCAGAGGCGCCAAGAAGTCGGAAATATACAGCGGCGTAAGTGGGGAAGATGCGGGTGAATGGCAAGCTAGGGCCGGCAATTTGTTTCGCTTTCGGTCTTCACTACTGGACTTTCTGGTCTTCAAAGCCTCCGACCCCGATACCTACGAGCTACCATGGATATGGAACGAAGGGGATCCAGTACCAGATGTAGCTTCTGGTGTACGAACGTCTGCACATGTTGCGGTTCCCAATCTCAATTTCGCCGTACCTACCGAACATCTCTGTCCGATCTCACAAGAGATCATGGAGGATCCTGTGACTACCAGTGATGGTGGCACATACGAAAGGTTCAACATCGACAGATGGCTTCAAATGAACCATAGACTGCCTAATCCTGGACCTCACGCCAAGGATCCGACGCTCCGATCGGATCTAGTTCGGAAGCGGACTATTGCGAAATGGGTCGAAGGTACAGACATCTTGTCAGCATGTGCAACAGACGAATCTCCCACGTTGTATACCGAAGTTCACATACAAACAGAGAAATGGCCTTTGGAGCTACCGAGAGGAATGGAAGTTCGTGACTTGTACCATATTATCTTCCGACGGATGAAAGGTCGCTATACGAAATTTCAGTTGCATCATCGGTCCAGGCTTCTTGACCACAACAGTCGAGAGCAACTTCAAACCAAGATCCCGATGAATTCTGTGATCTCCGTGACCGTATACGATATTCATGGAGCCCATGATCCGTGCGATACCGACCAGCACCTTCTACTTAAGATCTATCAGAAGTTCGTTGATCACGTAGTCTCTTACTGGGTACCACGGAGTGTAAAGAAATCCGCAGAATCGATTCACTTCGGCTATTGGAGGGCGCTTTTCGAGAAAGACCCTTCCACCGAAGTGCAGCGTGGACTACAAGTCGCGTGCAAGATCAAGAGCATAGGGGATAACTGGATAAGTGCAGCACTAAAGGCCCCTTCTATGCCCCTTGCACATTTGTTCGATATACATGGCTGGGATAGTGCGGGGACGATATACGACACGACGGCCTACGTGACGGAACAATCACGACGAAAGAATCCAAGAGCGTTCAAAGTAGCAATTTTGACGTGGCCAGAGATAAGTGGAAGTCGGCTCTCGCGGCTTGACGTCCTCAAGCAGACTTTCGAGTCTTTCATCAATCGAATTGTCGCCTACAATTATCGAACACATCTTGGTAAGTACGCTTGGTATCCCGGCGTCGGCCAGGACATACCCTCCCAGAACTAAGTCTTCTTTACTCTGCTCCGCTGACATAGTACGGTTTTAGGCCTTGTTACCATCCGCTCGACGGCCACTATCTCGCAGGCCATCACGCATGCTGTTGAGGACTTCAGATACCGGCTCAGCAACATGACCAACGAGGGTGATACCGCCCTATGGGATGGCATAGAGCAAGCACGGCAACAACTGACTGAGTACGGGAGCAGATATCCGAACGCGAAGAGGCGGATCATTTGTCTTACCGATGGGCGAGATACTAAGTCGGACACGAAACTACATGACATTTCTCGAAGGCTGAAGGTGGGTCCGCTCATCCAAGGAACCACTTCTTTGCTAACATCTTCTAGAATGACGATATCGTGCTAGATTCTCTCTGCCTCCAAGGTTCGAGGGTAACGGACCTTGAGACACTGGCGTACCTTACTGGTGGGTACAGGTTCCGACCGGATTCACTCAGTGAAGCCATGGCCATTTGTGAGCTAGAACCTTTTCTGTCTATCCAGGAGCGTCCAGACATCAATCTTCCCCCGGAGTCTTCACAGTACCTGAGCGATAACCGCATTCGATTTGAGTCAGCGCGGCAGGCGGCCGCGAAAACGGGCGATAGGGTGACGCGCGATGAGGCCCCTCCTCGCAAAGCCCACGAGAATTTGGAAGGGCCATACGTACAAGCTCGTGACCGTAACGACGCGACAAGTTCGGATGTCGGCGACAACCGCCTGAGCTGGAGAATTACCCGTAACGGAAGAGTCTACAATGCAATCCGCCAAGTCGCCGAGAACAAGCACCCGGACTACGACGTCTACATTTGCGAAGCAAACATGTGGTTCTGGAAAGTCATCATGAAAGGCCCACATGGTAGCGCATACGAGAGCGGAACCTTTCTGCTTACAATCGAGTTTGAGAGGGACTTTCCGGTATACCCTCCAAAAGCGAGATTCGTCACCAACATACTTCATCCGAACATTAACCGGCATGGGAAAGTGTGCCGCAGCATACTTGACCGCAACTGGACAAGTGATATGACCATCATTCAGGTCCTGAATTCGATCTATGGCCTTCTCCTCCAACCTGAGTTCTCCGACCCAGTGAATACCGTGGTGACGTTGGATTACCATCATGACGAGGTAAAGTTCAGAGAAGAGGTGGAAGAGCATATTCGGAAACACGCATCGAAGAGCAGGGAACAGTGGAAGAGCGAGTTGTTGTTGGAGACATGATGCGCGGATTTGCAAGGGCGTCGGGGGCGCATGATGGAGGCGTTAAGATGTTTTTCAAGTGGTAGAATGCGCAGGTGGGGCGGGTTAGATGAATAGGCCGAATGCCAATCGTAACCAATGAACGGGAGCAAGAGTCCAACCAGTAAGCCGTGACGTGGGAACTGGGGACCTGATAATGTGGTATGCAGCTACGCTGAGTTCCCATATCAGCAGTGACAGGGTGCTCACGACACGGACTCTAGCATGAACATCAAGCTGCTAAGTTCCCATTGTCTCCATTTAGAGATTTTACGAACCTAATCTATATCAGTTCAGAAGCAAGGAGACGTTACGCATATCTAATAGTTCATTAACTCTTCGCTGCTGAAGGGTGGTAATTCACGCCTCTTTCCGATCCAGGTAAGGTTAGGCAAGGGTGGGGCGCACGTCAGCAAAGCTTATTCTGACAACGCAGACAGTCGGACTCTGGGGAGCCGCGCCATTGCTTGCACGCGCGCCAAAAATAAGCGATCGTCGTAATCGATTGTAGCACTATTGGCGGAGTCGCGAAAAGGCGTGCATCTCGTAAGCCTTGTCTAGGCAAGGCCTTTCGCTTAACAGGCTCCCTCGTGGCTTCTTCCCCGTGATCGAGATCTCTCGCGAGGGATGAAAACATATACTGGCCGATTTAGGAACTATCGCTCACCGTCCTATCGGCGATATATATGTGCGGCTCACGTACGCCCGGCAAATGACATGGGATAACACAGCTCCAAGCCGTCCACATAAGAGCCTTCAAGCTTCTCGCCCCACTTCCCACATCAGCTTCTAGTCGGCCACCTGGAGTATATCTCGAGCTCGCATGCCGACCGCCGATGGTGATTATCGATTGCTCTTCAGTGTCAGCACTCGGATGGCGGAATGGGCTGAATGGTGGCAGCCGGCGCCGAATGTGGTTTCTCAACGCGAATAACGTGTGTAAGACAGTAGTGAGATTTGTATAAGTTCGCACGCATGCCTAGATACGAGTATGGTGGAGCAGTAGCAACGCAGCAGCAGTGCACTTTCATTTCTTTCCTTGCATCCGGGTCTAGTTTCGACCTCCTAATTCCGTTCGCTGTTCAAACATCTGCACACGATGCATCTCCAGTCTGCCCTTCTTCTCTGTCTTTCCTCAGCTACTGCAGCCTTCGACCTACAGCCTCGCAACTCCAGCACCAGCAACTGCCCCCCCGTCTGGTCCGACGTTGTCAAAGACCTCGAAAGTGACTTTGCCGGCTGCAACGACAACGCGCACGCTGCCATCAGAGCGCCATTTCACGACTGCGTCATCAACGGTTGCGACGGAAGCCTCATCCTCGGCGGCGAATGCTCTCGCTCTGAGAACGCCGGCTTGACCGACGTATGCAACTACCTCGGCAACAAAGCGACGCAATACAACGTCGGCGCCGCGGACATGATCAGCGTCGCAGCCGCCACCGCCATCGCTATCTGCCCCATGGGTCCTCGCGTCCGCGCGCTTGTCGGACGAACAGACAGCTCGGTTCCCGCACCCGAGGGCCAGATCCCGTCAACGAGCGACCCCGTGGATAAAATCCTCGCGACTTTCGGCGCCGTGGGCATGTCAGCTCAGGATGTCGTAGCGCTCGTGGGGTCGCATACCGTGGCGCGGCAGTCCTTCGATGATCCGGATAAGGCGGGCGCGGCCTTGGATACGTCTCCCGGCACGTTCGATAATACGTTCTACGAGGAAACGAAGGAAGGGACGGCGCCATATAGTTTCTCGAGCGATAGGCGCATGTCAAACGATTCGGAGGTACGTCTAGAGGTTGTTCAATCGCATTACGTGCAGAGCTAATACATGTCTCCTAGACCGGCGATACTTGGAACAGGTTTGCAGGCAGCCAGAGTGCCTGGATTGCGGCCTTTACGGATGCCTGGAATAGGTTCACTGTTACTGGGAACGATGTGGGCAGTTTGCAGGACTGCTCAAGCCTTCTTCCGGGCGGCGGAAGGAATAAGCGCGATGCGATGAGTGCACCGTTTTGTCATGAATGCGGACGTAGGGGCGTTCACTTCCGAGGGCGGTCATGAAGTGAGCTGTAGGAATGTTGCGAGATGGTCATTAGAATGCGTCGGCTTTTTGATGGTAAGGAAGATCTCTAGAAGTACTAGACGGTGTGTTTTCGCTATCTGAATGCGGCGCACCTACACATCGTCGTTAAGAGAGAAAAATTGCGTTCATCACATGATAAACAATTCACCCGGGCACTCTTACATATCGAAGGTATTCACACAGTCGATTACAAGGGAAAGATAATAATTCAATGGCATCTTCGATTTCGCAAGTACAGGGAGAATGTATTTACAGGATCTACATACAAAATAGCTCGGGTATCAGCGCAGACGGAATCGCAAACTATGAAACGCAATAAAGCACGGATTGGCAGTCCAGGGGCTGTGTGGGATAGAGGCTAAGGCACCCACTGCTGCACTGCGAAACGGACAGGGTATAGGGCAGCCTGGAGGCCGTCAGCAGATATTCCGTTTTCAGACCGAAGCCGAAAAAGGAGAGGTATATCTCACCGCAGAACAAAAAATCACGAAACAAAAAAACCCTGTCACATGTTAGCGATGCCAAAGCAGAGTGTCAGTTCCGTACATACCTGCTCGCGCAAGTGCGGTTCGCTCTCGGCTGGAGTTCCACTGCTGCCAGCCTAGCGCGCATTCACTCATATCCCCATATCCATATCTCCCGCAACCCTTTGGGCACGCCCGCAGCACCAGCTCCCGCGACATCCTGACGTCCACGCTCCACCGGCGGCACAAAGTCTAGCACCTCGAAGGGAGTGTCCGGCACTGGATTCCCCTTCGTTTGCGCGCCAACCACTCTCCTCCGGAAGCCCTTCGCCAGCCAGTCTGGAAGCGGCAGCGTGGTGCCCAGCTCCCCGGCGAACTGCGTGTTACTGGGCTCGTACACCCCAAACTGGATCGCCTTGGGGAGGTTGCCGCCAGTGAAGTGCTGCCGCATTTGCGGGCTGTACCTGCTGGTATGTCAGCGCTTGTTGGATTTTCATTAGAGCTTGGAGCAACTCACCCACAGCGCTGCATGAGCCGTACAAGGCAACGCAACATGGCCATCCCGACGTCGTTGCTCTTTGCCTCCTGACTCGGCCACGTCCATTCGGCCCCGAGCAGAACCGCGGCGGCACGGTCGATCTCATCGCTGCGCAGGGCGGAGCTAAAGTCCCAGAATTCAAAGACCGTTCCGAAGCTGCCGCTGCCGAGGAACTGGTCGATGAAATGCTGCTGAGCTGCCCGGGACTGGAGACCGCCTAGCTGTGGGAGACTACCGGCCGTTCGAGGCGTGGTAGCCACGAGTCCTGCGGGGCCGCTAGCCATGGGCTGTTGCACCTGGCCAGGAGCGAAAGGACCAGTCCACAGATGCGGGGCAGCTGCGAACAGCGGGGGCGGATGATGCTGCTCCTGGTGAGGCAGCCCGAAACCATTGACAGCCGGAGGCGGAAGGGACTGCTGAGGCATGAACCGCTGGGCGTCGTGAAAGGTCCCATAGCCGCTCGCAGCAGGATGCGGAGGCGGTTGCTGAAATCTGGGTGGTTGCGCCTCATAGGGAGCCACAAATCCAGTACCGGCTGGAGGCAGAAAAGACTGCTGATCCATATATGGCTGGATCTGCTCACCAGCGAAATGTCCCTCCGACCAATGACCCGCATAGAGGGCTGGAGCACCACCGGCGACTTGCATATCCAGCGGGTTCTGGACATGCGACGAGGGGAAATCCATCTGCGGTTTCTGGCCAACTACCTGGCCTCCATTATAGCCAGGAGTATTAGCATCCTGACCACCGTGATTGAAGTTGAGAATAGGAGCCAGAAGTGCTAGTTCGTTTTCGTAGTCCGGGAAGAACATGGTTGCGAGATAAGGCTTGGAGAAAATCGGCTTGGGATGCAAGGGCGATTCCGCTGGAGTGGATAAAAAAAGGACCAGAGTGCGAGCGGCGGAATATATAGGATCATAACTCAAGAAGCATGGGCGGCTAGTAAAAAATTTTCAGCAGCAACCTTTGGATAGTTGAGCGATACTCCCAACGCATTCCGGTTCTCTCTATGGCAGCCGAAGTTCCTCAAGAGCAGATTAGGTATGGAAGAACGAATAGGAACCGCTACCAGAGATGAAGCCAAACTTTAAGCCTAAGGGTACCACATTACTGATGTGTCTCGCACCCTTTGAAGAACATGCGCAGTCGCGGAAGGCTACTTTGGGCAAGAAGAGGCGAGGCATGAAGTGCGGTAGTCCAGAATTCAATAATTCCGGAACCTGCCGGCCCGTCGATGCGCTCTACGTTTGGGCGTGGCCAACAGCTTAACAGTTCTCCACCAGTCACAGCTCTGACGGATTATGACAAGGCTGGTCCTTGGACTGCAGGATCCTTAGGTGGCAAAACCGGAAGCGCCCGACACACTCTCTCGTGAGTGGTGGATCAGAAGAAAGAGTCGTTCGGGGACGATAGTACCATCGGACCGCCAAGCGGTGAGACCTTGGATCGAACGCCTGCACATGATTGATCGGGTGCGACAGCCTGTGCAGGCACGTGGCCAGTCGACGATGGTGTAAGCGGGAGCGGACGATAAGGACGAAGGGAGGGAAGTTACGAACCTAATTATGAGCTGTGGTGATGGATGGTGTGAAAATGCCTACGGAGCATGCAAAGATATCATGGTGTGGCACAGGGTGGTCTCAAGGTATGGCGACAGCGTGCCTGGTTTGCTGCTGGTTCTGCCATATTCAAGGTCGAACAACTACTTCTCCAGTATCCTCCCCCGCGACTACCCCACGACAACGTTCCTGACCCGATGCCAAACGCTTTTCTTGGTTCCTTCAGCGTCCTCCCTCTTTCTGATGTCCTCACGGCGCCCAGTCCATATATCCATCTCATGCGGCCGTACAATCGTCGTCTTGTTCCAAAACTTGTACGCGAAATAGAAGACAATGAAGACGGGAAGAAGGATATAGTTGATAACGAAGTCCTGGGCGGAGAAGGGGTTGAGGAAGCAGGTGTATCCTGAGAGCCTCCGTAAGCAAGCGCCGCGGACGGGTCACAGGAATTCTGCTTACCTTGGAAGAAGATAAGGAAGATATTCGCGGCAAAGCAAGCATAAGTGCCATACGGATGCAACAGCGCCTTGAAGGGAAGATTGTGGATGCTTTGGCCTTGCGCAACTAGAGCCTGCCGGAAGCGGAGGTGCACGAATTCGATGACGCCCCACACGATGAAAGTCGCGACGCCGGACAGGGTGATGAGCGCGTTGTACAGTGTACCGGCAGAGGACGATTGCGACAGGAAGGCGATGCAAGCAAAGACATTGGTGAAGAGAAGGGCCGCCCACGGGACGCCGCGTTGGTCCGTTTTGCCAAGGAACTTCGGCGCCATGCCGTTGCGAGCCATGTGGGTAATGGTGCGGGAAGCCACATATAGTGAGGAGTTCCCAGCAGAGAGGACCGAGACGACGATGAGAGCGTTGATGAGGTGCGCAGCAGGGTCGATATTCGCGTCGGAAAGAGCGATAGTTAGCGGGGAGGCAGCGGCCTTTGAGCCCTTCCCGAGAAGGCGCGAATCGGTGTATGGTATGAGAATGCCTATGAAGAACATCATGCCAACATAGAAGATCAATATGCGCCAGAACACCTGATTGATCGCTCGAGGTACCGCACGGCGTGGGTTCGCTGATTCACCGGCCGTGATACCAACCATTTCCGTTCCGGCATAGAGTGTGCCTGCGATAACGAATGTTCTCGCAACGCCGTTGATCGAGTCTGCAAACGCACCGGGGTCATGCCAGTACTTGAAGCCAATCTTTTGCGGTCCGATACCTCCTGCTGAGATTGCGATCGCCAGGATAAAGAAGACGGAGATGGATATGACCTTGATCAAGGAGAGCCAGAACTCTACTTCTCCGTAGGCCAGCACACCAAGCATACTGAAACTCAAGAAGATGGTCCAGAAAATGATAATCCAAGCCCACTGCGGCACAGTGTCGGTCCAGTACATAACGACGAGCGAGATGGCGTTGTACTCGTTGGTGAGCACAGTAAGCCAGAGGTACCAATATGCCCAGCCAAGGGCAAAGGCAAGAGCAGGGTCGTAAAAACGGGAAGCATAGTCGATGAATGAGCCAGTAACGGGGATGACGGTAGCCAGCTCGCCCAGTGATTGCCTTTGAACGCCAGTGAGTTCCAGCTCCTCCACGCGACAGACGATGTGTGACTCACATAACAAAGAAGACAATGATACCAACAAGAGAGAAGCTGATCAGGATACCTGCCGGCCCTGCGAGACGAAGTGCATTCCCAGAGCCTACCAGAAGACCGGGACCAATGATGCCTGTCGCTCATCAGTGAGCTGTTCGAGTTGGTCAGCATACCATCGTTTCATACCTCCTATCGCGATCATCTGCAGATGCCTGGACTTCAGCTTCCGATGTAGCGGCTTGAATTCCCCGTGTCCCACATCCGCCTCATACGGCGCCCCTCTTCCACTTTCGTCAACGATCTGTGTGTCGTCTTTGATACCTTTTAAGTCAGCCATCACTACGATGCGGTCGGCAAGCGTGCAACGCTCCTAGATGTTCGTGTAACGGGCTTCGCGATGCACTCCATGGCCTGGTTTTTGTATCCTGGACACTCTAGTCGTTAGGCCTGTCGCATTAGTCCTTTCGCAACTCGTAGCTCCGATAACGCCATCGCTCGTTAGTGGCTAATTGGCCTGTGGGGGCACTTGGCACTGCGACCTTAGCGATTGTGACTAAGAAGCGTCGCCAAGCTTGCATAACAGAACGAGGAGGCTGCTATGAGAGAGGAGCTATGCCTTTATAAGAGATATGGAGAGGTCGTTTGGTGTTGTGGGCGTCTTTGATGCGATGACAACAGTTCGGGGGCTTGCTGACGTTTAATGGTGGCGGAATGATGAAACGTGGGTTCGCTTCGACCTGCCTGTTATGGATAACCACGTGCAAAATCTTTCTCAGGTTCGTCTCATGTTCTCCATTCCAAAAATCTACCGATCTACATCAACGATCACCGTCTTTCCATTTCCGGGACGGTAATCACGTTCGTCTATTCGACCGCGCAAGAGGACCCTCACTCCTTCGCCCAACGAGCGCTCTTACTAGAGCAGGAACAAAGTCAGCCCATCCTTACAAAGACAGAGTACCGCATATCCTACCCACTACACAACGAACTCTTACTTAACCACTATTCAATCGATAAAAGAAAATGGCTACCAACCCAAGAATGATCCCTTTGAACAATTCTCTCAGCCAGGAGCTCGCAGACATCTTCTGGCTTCCTCCCTGCACAGCACGGAACCGTTTCCACCTACTCCTCTCCTCATCCCTCCAATGATAGCTGGGCACAAAATCCCAGTCCCTTGCGCTGATCTCCGTCTCGTCCACCTCCTCTCCCCCGGGCGCTTTCACATCAAGAACGAACAGTCTCCGACCGGGGTGAAAGCAAGCGACCTGCTCGCCGTCCACCGTATAAATCACACCGTTTGCCCCATGTCCTAAAGCGACTATATAGTGGTCCAGAATGGGCGAGCCGATTACGTTGCAGATGAACTGGGGCACGTGGAGGACCTCCGTTAGGCGGAGGACTTTGGGGGATGTGGAGTCGGGAGTAGGCTTGGGGTGAAGCTCGACCGTGCCAATTCCGTGGACGGCGGCGGCGGGGCCGCCCAGGTAGACGGGGTGGATGGTGGATTGGAAGGGCGTGTAGGATGTGAAAGAGTCGCGGTCTTTGGCTATGCTACGACGGTTAAGCGCGGGATCTCAGACAGTGAAGGTAGCAGACTTGTGAGATCGGCTTACTGGACATTGGAAAGGTTGCAGAAAAACCAGTCCGGGCTCAGGTGGTCGTCGGGCGAAGTCATCGTATTCACAAGCCGGGAACGTTGTGTTGAATGTGCCTTTGAGGGTGCAAGTGGGTAAATAAGCGCGAGAAGACGGTGGAAGAAAAGACACCAACTTTGTATCGGCACTTGTTCAAGTACTCACAGCACGAGGCTGTGCACTACGAAGAGTGTCATATTTTAGAGTCACCAATGCTGGCGCACTGACCGCCAACATTGGTGACACTGCCACGGAGGTCCATACAGCCTCACGCTTAGTGTGTGCACGTACCGTCTATTGTGACGTCATCGTCCTCGTTCCTTCGCTGACGACTTCTTCATGAGCATTACCACAAATACTTTTATTCTTGTCGATGCGCTTCTTCCATATCGCCAGGATAGGAGCATTAGTCCTTCAAAATCCAGGCACAGTTACTAGAGACCCGGGAGCAGGGAACTGTTACACTGTTTGGAGGAGTCATCCTCAGACCTACCGGAACCACAACGCTAACACAATGCCCGAGTCCAAACCCCTTAAAATCCTGATCACTGGCGGCGCGCGAGGCATCGGTAGAGTCTCTTCCGACATTTCTTATCGACCGGCCATTCAGTGTACAGCCTCGACTCCAACGAGCAAGAGCTGAACCACACCAAATCCCTCGCCGATAGCTGGCGCCCTTCCCCATCGAGATCATTATAGAGAGCGGAGCCATGCGACCTTCGCGATCGCGTCCGCATATTCCATAGGGACTTAGCGACAACAGTGTTTAACTGGGAAGTGGACAGGAGCTGTTCTGGTGCTCCAAGACTCAGGCTTGTGGGTTGCTTCTTTGCCTGCCGCGCTTGAATCTGAGCTGCAGCATGAACTAAAGAGAATCCTGTTGTATCAAATAGACAAAGCGGGCTCGGAGGGCTGGGATGACCTACTTGCGGAGTCAGATGTGTGCGCCGAATCTGTAGTACAGGATTGAGCACTAATCAGAGAATTCAGAGAATCCCGAGACCACGATCTTTAAACTCTTACACCAACCCTTACCATAATTATTGGCACTAAACGGCGAGGTATATAGCGGACATTCGAATAACTACGTGACATACGATACGATTCCATCCATCCAGAGACCGTGATCCATATCAAGCTCCAGCGGTCACGCGAGCGTCAAAGCCGTTCAATTATTCGCAAACGAGGCCGTGTCCTATGTTTTTCCAAAGCCAAGGCAGTCTTCCGGTATCCACTTGGCAGTGATGGTCATTGCGTGTCTCATGGTAAAGCCCTGAGGATACGTGGTGATATTTAGAGTCGGAGTATTTTTGCTTCCCCACAATACTAGCAATAGCATCCTCAGAATTCCTCGCTTAGAATAATGTCCGCAGCTTGTTCCGCAATCGCGTATACGATAACCTGGTAATGGGATGCTAGAGGCTTGGGAATCTGTAGTGGGGGTGAGCGGTAGGGTCACAATTGGGCTTAACCTTTACTCACCACACTTGCGTCCACCACGCGGAGATTCTTCATTCCGTAAACCTTCAAAGAGCCGTCCACTACTTTGCCCATCGCTGCAGTTCCACCAGGATGGAACACTGTCGAACCGCCCAGTTTGACTCGTGCATCAATATCTGTATCTGTAGCATCGGCGTTAAGGGTGGGAAAGCCTGGCGGTGTATGCTCGCCTTCCACGAGCTCCTTGCCTTCCGGCGTATCCAGCATCAGCCGCGAATGCATGCGGAAGCCCTCTCGCATCACATGTTTATCGGTCTCGGTCGCATAGTAGTTAGGATCGATAACCGGAGGAGCTGCCGGGTCGTTCGAGCCTAGAGTGACAGAACCACGCGAAGTTGGCAGACAACCCATGTAGTACGTCATGATGGATGTTCCGTCAAGAGGGATGGTGAGGCCGAGCGACTCACTTCCGAAGGCACCATAGATAAGGTTCATTTCCAGGTGGCTGCGCGGACCTTTTAGACACGGATGATCATCTGAAACCGGGCCCTCGTCTTTCTCGATAGCTGCCTTTAGGGGCTTGATAGGGATCGGAGCAGTGACGAGGAAATCTGCAGGTCCTCCTTTGTCGTAGTTTAGGCCTGTGAACTTTGGTGAGCCTAGTGCAACTCCCTTCTCAGGGTGTCGCAGCTTCCAGTATCGGTACATCAGCAAATGGTCGTGCAAGTTCCTCCCTACTTCTGGCAGTTCGACTGTTGTGGCGACTCCGTGCTGCGAGAGCTGCACCGGGTCTCCGATGCTAGAGAGCATGAGAACCTGCGGTGTCCGATAGGATCCGGTGGATACAACAACTTGCCCATTTGGTTTAACCATGAGTTTCTCTCCATTAGCCAACTCGACTCCCACGGCGACCTTTTCCTCATTGAGGAGCACGCGACGAACCAGGGTGTCCGTGAGAACCTTGACGCCATCCAGGGAATATACGGAGCTTGCGATCTGTCGCTTTCCATCACGCCAATTCTCGACAAGGTCGGCAATCCCCTGAGGGCGGCCATTGTTCGCATCCGGAATATAATCGAGACCGAGATGCTTCCAGAGATTGAGGATAGTGTCTCGCAATGGATACCTCCGTCCGGAAGCGCTCACGGACATCGTATGTATCGGGCCATCAAGGCCATGCTGCGATACATCCGCATTGGCATTGAAGTGCTTTTCGGAGCGTTTGAAGTATGGAAGCAGGCCATCGTAGCTCCACCGTTGGTCGTTCACATCACGTGCCCATTCATCGTAGTCCAGCGCATCTCCTCGTATCCAGCCACCTGCACGTTCGTGAGTCCCTCGCCAACTGTATGCTGATACGAGCGTCACATACCTGAATTGATGACCGTTCCTCCCGAAAGAGCTTTGATAGCGCAATTGTACTTCGGCTCGCCATCGAGGTGCTTCTGCGGAACGGTGGAGTACTTCCAGTCAAGATCGGAATTGTGCAGGAGGGCAGCCTCGGCAGGGTTTGAGACATGCGGATGGTTGGAAGGATCAGGCCCTGCTTCGATGAGGATGATGGAAAGCGGTGGCTTTCGCTGATGCAGGCGTGAGGCGAGGACAGAGCCGGCGGTTCCACCGCCGACGATTATGACGTCAGCCATGATTGACATCCAAAAGCACTTTGAAGTCTCCTAGCGGATTAATTTACGCTTAAGACTGGCGACAAGAGCGATACAAACGCGGATGGGTATTGTTCACCGGCTGTTGTCATGGTAAGTACAATTTTTGCCCTGCTGTGCCGCATCTAAGGCGTCCCATCGCACGAGGTTCCACTTGCTGACGCCGATGCACACCATACGAATCGGGATGAGAGTATTTCCCTTTAAACACATACTAGCTACTGCTCCGAGCTATCCCCATTTTTCAAGGAACCGTGAATTACAACCGCGCGTCTATCCGTTCGATGCCGGACCGTCAACCGAAGCTCTACGTCGTTTACGTTCGATCGTTTCCTCCAGTTTCCGAACGTACCCTTTCAAGGAAGAGTGTGGGAGTTGAGGTTTCTGCACGAGCGACGGGACTTCAGATTGAACCATTGCCTCCTGCTCCCCCTGCATACGAGACCCGATCTTAGCAATATCCAACCGTACCTCCGGTGGGCATTCCTCACTCTCACCCATCCAAGGGAGTTGGCTTCTCATGTCGTTAACCCAATCTTGGCGCTCCTGTCTCTCGGAAGATGATGCCAGATTGGAAAGATGCGGGTGCTCTCGCCACGTTACATCCCAAAGCGCCCTGATGTAGTCCTCTTTGACCGGACTGGTGAGCTCCCCATCGATGGCATAGATAGTACCGTTTTCGATCGAAATCTTCTTGAAGCTCCCCGGCGCACCCTTCGTTATCATTTCCAGATGCCACCATTGATCTCGAAGGTCCTCTCTCTGCTCGTGGCTGTAACTCCATTGGTCGTTCTCGGGACCCCGAATCTATTTCCGCAATTGGAGAACCAGTCCCAGAGCGACTCCATACAGAAGACGTGACCCACGCATTGAGAGTGACCCACGATGAGTTTGGGCCGTCGTGACTCATGATCGAAGGGCTCACGACAGATTTCGCAATTGGTCATCTGGAGTCGTTGAAGCATCCCGGGCTCCGGATCTACGATGCCACATCGCGGGCCACCATGGTTCAAGAACTCTTTTCGAGAGGGGAGGAGGAAGTTCAGTTGCTCGATATCCATTCTGAGGTGTTCCTTTAAGTGGAGATGCTAACATTCGTTATGGCGAGCGCGGGCTTTATGCTTCAAGAAGAATCCTAGCAAACATGACCTTGATTCATGCGGCTTCCACAGCTGACCAAAAAACAAACTTTCAGAGACCCTGTTAGCATCTCGGTTTCAATCAAGTGTTCCAAATGACTGCATGATCTGAACATGGGATACAAGATTGCTGCTGATGTGTGTGGCTACAACCTATGGACACATGGAATCGGAGAAGCAGAAACTGACAGATGCGATCATAAGATGTTTGAAATGGGGGAAGTGTGTCCCACAACATTTCATGAACCCTCTCGGTTTGCTGCGTCCTTTCACTCGGCTTAAGATGTGACGCTGCTACATGGAATGTATAGAACTCGGGCGCCACTCAACAAGGCTCCGGTGACTTCTTCGACGACTTAGAGTTTCTCCTGCCCTCCCGTCGGGACTTTCTCTCCTTTGGCGGACTAGAAAGCGGCGTAGCACTGGCAGACGAAGACCTTGAGCGCTCAGAGCCGTTTCAGGACATCCAGCATCATACAGCAATTGCCTATCAATCGTATGTATTCAGCTTTTGAAAGTAATCCCGGTTGACTCATTCAACCAACAAAGAAAAAGGCAACCCGATCACATCTAGCCATATGCTGTCTGAACGCCGTCCACCCCATCATACAGTGAACCGACCATCATTTGAGCACGCCAACATCACTAGCAGGATCCCTCAATGGGTCAAATCCTTCATAGTCCGAGTAACTGCCGAATAAGACGACAACAATGAAGTGATGCTGGATCCCGCACTCTCAAAACTTCGATAACGATTAGTTGGAAGATAAATATATTTGATGTAAGTATACTAACCTCGCACATATGGCGAAAATCGAAAGGGATACCACTATGATACCAGCACCCGGACTCAAGCTTATCCGTTCGGTGGACAGAGTTCCTAATGCGCGTCAGTTCGGCGGCAGCCTCTCAAATGCGGAGAAGCTCACCGTCGAGAGATGCAGTCGGAGGCTTGATCGCTTCTGTTTTCAAGCCACATGCTGCAGGCGGCCGACCAGGCTTCATTTTCCCTGGCCACCGGTCTGACTTTGACCTCCTTGGCTCGAGACCGCACCTCGACGCCCGTCGCCCAGATCATACGTTCCGTGTACCTCGGTGCCGGACATGGGGCGGATTCGAATTGAAGCGAATCTCTCAGCGAATGTGGTGAAGCGAATCTCTCAACGAATGTGGAAGATTTGGCGAATGTGAGACAAGGAGATCCAGAAGCGAGCGGCTGACGGTCGAAGATCGAGTACGAGTCGGATATCCGCGGTTATGTAGGAAATATAGCGGGAGACGAAGTCGATGAACAATGTTTGCGAGCGCGAGGTGTGCATTATGTACAATTCGAGGCGTGAGGGGAAGTGGAGTGCTGCAATGAGGGTGTTTGCAGAGTGATCTGGTTACAGAGGGGGTTACTAAGTTGGGAGGCGACTTACAAACGCCTCTACCGATCAGATGTAATCCGCCCAATCTCAGTATTGACCAGGAAGCTGCTCCGGGACGACGCCCCGCAGCTGTGGACGTGATTCGATGGCGTGCATTTCTCCTCCATGCCCAGGCTTTCGTGCTAGCTTAGGTCGATTCGAGCAGGGTGAACGACGTTTGCTGTCTTTCTCAGTTGATGTCACGATCGTCTAATTATGTATACGTGTGCTATTATTAAAGAGTATGTGATTCTATTGATGTACATCAAGGTGCGCAGATGCTCACCGCCTCCCCCGTTTGGACTAGAACACTCGTCGCAGTGGTGATTGGCGCGAACTTGGTCTACTCGTAGCGGTCATAGTTCGATCGGCGCATCGTGATTTGCTACTGCTCCTGCTACTCCTGCCAGTAGAGCGTTCACCATCTGCCCAAAATGGGGGAACTTCTCGTTGATCTTGCAACATTCCTCGGCTGACAGAGGCAGCTTGCCCTTGACGATGAGGTTTGCGTATCGCTTCGCAATACATAGGAGAATTGGGTCCTCAGCTGGTGCATGCTGGAGTAAAATCTCGGCGGTCCAGGCATCATCTGCAAGTCCATGCTCCTCTACCAACATCTCAATGAATGCACGGAGGGAGTCCGCGAAGACATCCATGCCCAGCCTCCGCATGGCGACGTATGGATAGAACCAGTAATACTTGTCCATATCCACGATCGATAGGCAAGGTCCCAAGAAGTCACTCCACCTGTTCATGGTGAGTGCATTCGCAAGCCAGTCGAGAACTTCCATGGCGAATCCCGGCAGAATCTTGCCCATCTGGACTTCGACTTTCGTAATGCCCGGATTCGCACCGATATAATGCCGGAACGCTGGCGACGCCGCTATTAAAGCGTTTACGGGAAACTCTAAGGCGCACGATCCATGATACCTTTCCGACTGTTCTTCGAGCTGACGGTACCGGTCTGGTGATACTATGCCCTGAGCAGCGGATAGCTGGTGTAGATAATCAAGGGAAGATCCGTTGTACATAGCGATGACGAGGACCGTCGGTCCCTCGAGCAGGCTTTGGCGTAGGTCTCGAGGGAGTCGCTCGAAGTGTGGAACTGTAGTTTCAGCGTTCATGTTGGACATTTCCTAGTTGCTGCAGACTTGTAGTGATACTGGGAGTTGAACATAAGAGAGTGTATATAGAACAAAAGCATGTTGTATACGAGGCACAGGCTGGGATCATTGTGCATCAAAAGCGCCGCCTGGAAAAGTGCGTGAACATATCCGTGGTGGGCACGTCAAACAGTCAAGAGGAAGAAGTGAAAGTCTCAGCCCGAGTCCGCCGCGCCGCAGCCTCTTCGGTGAAAAGCTTTGCCTATACCCGCTGAAACCTCTCAACCGCAAAAGCAAACCTCACCCGCCCAAACTCACAATCTGACTCAAACTTCCTACGATACCAAACCCAAGTATCCGACGTTGCGCGCAACTCGACATCGCTTTTGACATGCGCACTCCACCTCGCCCGAGACACTTTCAGTTTGCGGCAGGCCATGTCAGGGCTATCAACAACATCCTAGCAGGGCCGCGGCCACCGCGCAACAGAAGGCGTTTACCTTCGGAAAAGCGTCGGTCCAAGTCCCCAGAAGAGGAGCCTCGCGAGGAGCAGAGTCCGCCGGAAGAAGGCCGCTTAACATATGAAGATGACCGTTTTGTAAACTATTACGAGTTCGAAGAACATCTTGAGCCGGAAGATCGTAGAGAAGCTGAACAAACGCCGCTAAGATACGAGAACGTAAGGATACACGATCATAATCCAGATCAAGGTGCCACCGCCGACCCAACGCCCGATGATCGTGAGCCTTTCCCTCCGTTCGAACCCACAATCGCAACGAGACACGAGCAGTCCCGAGTTAGAGCTCCTCCCACGCCGCGAAAGAAGTATAACGTGGTACCCCACAGCCGCGAGAGTGTGCCCATTCTGTTCTCCGACAAGGCTGCGCACAGCACACGCACTGAGCTCGTGCCGGATCCATCTCCAGATGCTGTTCGACACGCCTTGGAGCTAATCAAGGACGGGTTTACCGCTCGCGACCTGGGACTCGCATGCGCCATCGCCCCGCTAGCGCGTGACAGTCGGATTGTACGCACGGGACCGGCAGTCGTCATCAATGACGTGGATCTCTACCTTCATGACAGGACAATTCGTGTGGCATCTGAAGATGGTCTGGTTACTGTGCCGGATTACCTGGAGTTTAGAGGCGTGCCCGAGACGAGGAAGGTGCGCTTCAACGGCCGGACGCCTCCATGGGCGAAAAGGCTCTTCGGGGACGCTGAGAAGCGCCGGATCACTGAACCTTATGGACCAGAGGCACCTGGCCAGTTGCTGCTCCCAGTCGGAGGTGTTGTCGAAGTCTACAAGGTCGATGGTTGCGGCTGGGCGCTCGGAAAGCTTACCGATGAGGACCGCATAGGGTGGTTTCCTGTCGATTTGACCGAGCCACTGACGCACGGTCCATTTGCGACGACGACGTTTAGGAGTCGGTTCCTAGATGGCGAGCCGATCGACGACGAACCGGAGATGATCAATGAGGGTGGGGCGGATATGATCTCCGAGGAAGGGAATGTAGGTGAGGACATGATGTCAGATAATGAGTTCGAAGCCAAGGTCCTGGATGAGGCAGCTGAACGCAGTCAAGAGAGCTTCCTGGAGGAGAGCACAAGACTCTCACGTGAGGAAGGCGGGCTGGATCAGGCTGAGCGCGAGCTGGAGGTCCCCAAAGTGGTCACGGACGCCAGCGAAGGAGCGATCTCGCCAGGTTCAGTGGAAAGAGACGTTCGCGTGGAAGACGAAGTAGACTATGAGGACTACCCTTTGTGAGCGAAATTCTATTCCGCGGTGGGGATGGCATCTGAGTAAGTGAAACCCTTGGCTCCGATAATGGAGTGTCCTGGCGCCTGTTGACATACTAGACAATGAAAGCTCAGAGGGGTAGAGCGCCGTACAGGTATGATATTTCGTTATGTTTATTCTCAAAAAGGATTGACAGATGAAAGGCTTGTATTCGAATGATACAAGCAACTATTTGTTAGACTCTTCAGTCGGTTTTTTGACCGCAGGCGGGGCTGATGGTGCGGATTGGGTCTTGCGTGGCGCATACTCGATTTTTCCTTCTCCTGGGAATGAACACACACCTCTGAGATAGTATGATGACTTTGCGTTCTTCTTATCCAAATGGAGATCATCGCCAGGGCCTCGCCGCACTGGCCTGTTCACGATGCCAACATTCAGCGGATATCCAGTATACGCAGCTGCCGTGCTACCATCATACCGGACTCCGGACCAGTGCCTGATGCAGTGACCGAGAACCGCCAGCCTGGGAGGTACGATGTACGTATCGGCTGGGAAGTCTGCGCGCCCTGCAGGTGTATTTGTGTATTCCAAAAACCTAGGTTGAACGGCGGCTGACATAGGACGGTCAGTTCCTGTAGGTGCGGAGCCGGGATTGTCGCGGTCGGCCCGTGATCGCAGGCCGTAGGTCCCAACGACATGGTTTAAGACTGGATCCAGGGTAGGGACCGTATAGGCATGAAGACGAGCGACTGAAAGTTCGAGAGCTTCCAAATGACACCTTTTCAACGGCCGTTTGTACATTTCTTTGCACAGAGCCTCGATTAGAGGCTCCTGGATAAAGCGCGGAACTGAAAGCTGAAGCATGGCGCCGTAGAGGTAGATCTTATCGAGAAGGGAATCTGGAATGTTTGGTTTGGGAATTTCTCCTTTGTGCCTATCCTCAGCTAGGTACTCTTCCACTTTCTCAAGCCACGGGATGATTGAATCTTCGAGAGGTGCCGGCGTGATATAGGCCATTTGGGTTTCGTACTTCTCGTAATATTTTTTGCTGCCGTAGTCATGCCGCCGCGGAAACCGAATCGGAAGAGATAGTTCCTTTGAATCGGGCTTGCGCATAAAGTATTCTTGCGCATATCCAGAACACTTCATTAGAGTGGCTTTGTGTACTCCTTCTTCAGGAAGGCGAGTAGGCTCGTGGGACTCTTCCAAATAACCCTGGAGGCGATAGCCATCAAACCAGGGACGGTCTTCTTGAACCCGGCTATAGAGCGTCCAGTGATCCTGGGGGTGGATACGAAACTGGACACGATCCGCGGACCTCTGGGAGACCTCCGGTCTTTGTCTTTGCAAGGCGTCCGTCTGGCCCTCGAAACCGCATGCCTCGCTGTGCATTTTAGCAGCCCGTTCCAGATAGTCCTCATGCGCCTTGACTACTCTTCCATCGTCGTGATAGAGCACCATAATGTGACGTGTCCGAGATTGGTCCAGGGAAATTTCAGCAGTTGGGAGGAAGATCGCGCCCAGGTGTCAAGTCCCGGTCTCATATCGCATGCTTCGATCCCCATTCCGGCGTGATCGCTTCTTTGTTGACCGAAGAACAAAGGGCAAGCGCCACGGTATCTTGCCATATCCATCCATTGCACTAAAACGGCACAATGCCTTCCCTGCGCTAGACAAAGGCGAGTGTGGAGCATTCGGTACCCAGGTCCCCGATGAAGTGGGTTTGCCCGGGGTCGCGCTGTGCCTACCCTGTTTGCCTCTAACGTAAGGGAGAAACCAGGTGTGAAGAAAGATGCCACCAACGTTACTTTTGGGTTCACGCCTTGCTCGCAACAATTTGGCCGCATGGATGGTGATGATGTTTGAGATGTAAGGTGCGGGGTTCCAAGGTTGGTCCGATCCATCGCTCGGCGCTAACCTGCCTAACCCGTTACGCTATCTTTCAGATCGCGACAGCCAAAAAGTTTCGGTCTCTGGGGATATTTGCAGTCTGAGCCCGAAGTCCAAAGGTCTGAAAGAGAAACTGGCCTAAGCAGGAGCACGTGCGAAGGTGCTAAGCGACCTCAAAGCTAGTCACGTGACTGCAATTCTCTACCGGGTGGGAACTGCTCTCCGTACCACCTACGTGAATCCCGGTTAAGCTTATCTGGAGACACAAGAGTCCTTCATATGGGACTGCTTGCTGAAGTTACCACTCGTTCAACAGGGTGCGAAATAGTCAAACGTGCATTAAAGCCTGTATTAGACTGATCATGATATGTATTCGCATACTCAGATGATGCCCTCATTCTTCGCTAACTACGCCTATCATTGCGGGATGTTCCTTTAGGGACAATTTATTAACCATCCTTATGTTCCTCTACCTCTGCGTCCTACATCATCGTCATAGCAAAGTCGCTAATCCTCACGCTCAGCATACGGTAGATCGTCGTCTTCCTCAACCACCGCACTGCTCGCAGCAGAGCTCGATTGAGAGGACAGCACTGTGACCATGAAGACTCCATCCAGGCCCAAGTCCCTAAGCCCGCTAACGGAAATTGTTGAAGGCCAACCTTCCGGCAGTGGCGACCATGCGATCGGGTTGTCGGCAAACGGGAAGGAAGATTCGGATGGCGTTGATGGCTGGGTTGGTGATGAGAGATGGGTGTGGGTGTTTGCATAAGATGGAGAGGGCCTGCGAGAGGTGATCGGGTAGGTGATGAGCCGACGAGGGGAGGGAGAGATAGAAACAGGAGATTGGATTGGGCTTGCAACGGTGGAGTCAGGGGTGGCCTCAGCATGGGCTTGGAGGCGCATTCGCGCGTTTGGTGGTTGCATGGGTCTGCGGAGGTTACGCCAGCGAGGCGACAACGGGAAGATCGTCAGATCAGCAACCAGATCACGGGTGGGATACCGCACAGGACCCACAGCTCGAATACCTTCCCACAACGTCGGGCAATCTTCCTGCAAGTACTCCTGAAGCTCTTGGAGGTTGAGAAGCTGGTTGTGCTGGAGGCCAAACGCAAACGTATGGACGATCATGCGGAAGACCGGATCCCTAAGAAGCGTCTGGGGCTCCCAGAGCAGATGGCAGAACCACAAATCAATCCTATGAAGATCATTGTGAGCCAGTGAGCGCCATGTAGTCGTGAAGTTGTCACAGATCCAGGATGCCATCCGAAATAGGACGTCCGGACGCATGCCCATGAGCATCATATTCGTGTAGATTCGAGCGTTTTCCTGAAGAGATTCAGCCATGGGGAAGTCGTAGTGCCGGTGGTCGCCTGGTGATGCAGATGTTTGCTCGACCCAAGCCAGAACCTGCTGCACCGTACGTGTGTAACACGTTACAGGCAGATGTGCGGATGACTGTTCCTGGTCGAGAACTTGATGGGAAGCCAGACGACTGAAGCGAATCATCGCATTGCGGGTAACTTCGCCGGCTTTGATGACAGGGACGCCATCGATGAAGATGCCAACTTTGCGCATGTTGTTATGCCCTCACTGAAGCGGAGTTGTGGGTTTCTTATGCTAGGTCGTCCGACCACACTTTTTTAAATACCCACTTGCTACAGTGCGCCATGTCTCGAACCCGCCTGAAGTGTCTTGCCGCCTCTTCACGTATTGGTCCGAGAGAAGTATCCCTCGTATTCACCCAGACACAGTGTTTTTGGCATTTCTTACATTTTACATTCTTCGGTAGAGATTTCGAAAGAGATCCGCCTCTTTCCAGTCGTAGGAGGCATCTATGAGCGAGCCTTCCATTCGTGGTTTCAATGATGCTCGATTAGTCCACTGCGACACCGACCATCATGGACACCTGAGACGCTAAGAGAAACGCGATCGAAGCGACCAGGACCACCGTGAAGGTAGTTGCTAGCTAGCAAACTCATCAGTGTCTCACTTTCTGACTGCATGAACCGCCGTACTGACCTTAGCATCCTCGTCCCACACTATACCTCTCCCATCCTCGATCACTGCGGTCCACAACAGCACCAGCATCCCCAAAATCAAGCAGGCCACGGCCATTAGTAGGAATACCATTGATGATTGCCAACTCCACACCTGGAATGGTCTAGGGACCAACTTCAGCTGTCCTTCTTCACTGTCCAACCGCTTGCGGTCTCGAACCAGGCAGAGGCGGATGTAATGCAGGCCATTGCGATGCGCGGACAGTCGATGCAGGCGAAGGGATTGCTGAGCAGCTGTAAGGACGGAGAAGACGGCGAAAACGATGCCGCAGTACCAGATGGCCTTAATAAACCAGGGTTTGGAGCTGATTTCGGGCCACGAGCCTGTGCTAACCAGACAGACTGCTGTGAGGGGACTCTACTTCCGTGGTAAGCGTGACGGTTCCAGATTACCTTTTGGCAGGGGAGGGATCGTGAGAGGACGTACGGTAACGCCGATGAAGCTCAACTCGTTCAGCTTATGATCGCGCCACTGCATGGTGAGCTTATCTCGCTCGTCTGGGTCCGGGCAGTTCAGCAGCACCATAATCGTAGCATATGTCGTGTCGGCGGGGGCTATGAGTCCCGTATAGAAGAGCTTGAAAATGGAGCGAAGGATGCCTAGCTGCACGGAAGTCAACTCTCATCCCTTAATCGTGTAGAGGGTGCCCTACATGGCTGTCAACGCTCCTAGCATTATGTCGATGGCTTCCGGTCGAACGCGTAGTATCGTTCGCTCCTCCGAGCAATGGTGCGTCAGCCATGTGTTCCTGTGATCAAAGCCTGCTTGGTTCCGACCTCCGCGAGTAAAACGGATAGGAATGCAAACGAAGCGTGATTCTGCTTTTGAGATGGTATGATTAGAGTCTCTCCAGCCGGTTTGCACATGCATGCATCCTAGCTCTTTCGTGGCACTCTCGTGCTCGATAATGTCCCAGTGACGTCATCTAGCCGCATATGCATGGTATGCATGCCGCAACAACGCCTATGCAACCAGGGGCTCAGTTATTCGAGAATGGCTTGATCGACAGTGGGGATGCTTGATGGTGAGAGTGAGGGGGCGACCACAAATGCCCCCCAGGTCGGGGCGCGCTCTTCGGTCCGAACTGCACGCTCTCTTCGCTCGCCCGACGATGGATATCCATTTGATGCTCTCCAGAATTGTCTCGCGATATCAAGGACCCCAGAAAAACACCAGGCGAGTGAGACTGACGGGGAAGACACGAGGCGGGACGATCGATGACGCCCACGCCCACGCCCACGCCCACGCGGTGGTCCGTGCACTAGACCCACTTTTCTCCAACCTCGCCTTCACCAGCTGCGCGTTGATTCACTCACAACATCCCTTGAGACCCGTCCGCGTCTAGTTTTCACTGCATCTCAGAACGCCTAACAGACATCTCAATAACCCGTCTGGAGCCTTTATGCCATGGTTTCCAGTTGAATCCGCCAAGGTTGAACATCCGTTGATCGCGTCCACCAACAACACGGGAAATATTCACTACATGATGGCCTTTCTGAGGCTGCCTTTCCTTCACGCAACACGAGAGTTCAGAGTCCAGCTTGATGTGATGACACTCACTTATCGAGTGCATTATCGTTGCTTGGTGACGGCCGTCAAAAGCTGTACGAGGCGTGTGTTGGATGTGTGGCACCAATTTCTAAGGTTCAGTGTTGATTTTGTTGGGGACGAATATGGATTCTGTGTTGCGAAGGGGCACGGATACCAGCGAGAGGTCTCAGCAGGGGAATAGCTTCACAGTTCGGTCAAAATATATTTGGGAAGGCGGAATTTCGAGTCCGCTGCGAAGAGCTTGGTAGGGTGATTGGAAGGCCGGTTCAAAAGTATGTACGAAGGGTAAAGGTTACGGGCGCCCGATTGCGGCGTTGGCTAAGTCTTTCACTCTACCGCTCCTCTCATCGGGCCCCGCCTTCCAACTTCCATATCAACTTCGCTCTCTTTCTCCCCCCCATACTCTGCTACCTCTGGTTGAATACATCGCCGTGCGAGCTGCGAAGATGAGGCTCGCTATTGTCGGCCTCTGGGCCCTTGCGGCTCTCGTCGCCAGCGATGCCAGACATGTGTCGTCTTTCAACCTCACCGGACTCTCAAGCCCTCCGTCTCTACCTCGGCCGCGCGATGCCGCTTCGAATGCGTCTATTCCGGACACAGCGGGCGTTGGAGTCCCTCCGCCGCCCCCACCGCCAACTGTCGACCTATGGACACGCTGCAAATGCAAGGGAGACAACTTACTCAAGGCTATGTATGCGTCTGACAAAGATGCCGGACAGTACTTCAAGCCTAAACGCGAGGCTGCTCAGAGTCCGTTCGAAAACTATCCTGGTAACGCGCCGAATGTCCTGTAATACAACCAGAGGTTAACTCTTTCCTACAGACGACTTGAATACATGGTATTGGCATAACGTGCCTTCCAACAAGATTGCGGGGTATATGTTTGAGTTGCACTGGACATATGGAGTCGACCGTGCGCTCGGAGCTCTTGGTGTTTCGGACCGCTCTACCTTGGATGGTGGCGACAACGAGATCATACAGTGCGATCACTACAACCAGGATGAAAACGCTGAAGACGTCAGTAAGCAAAGGTATCGCGTTGAGGATAAAGAGTACCGAGTACGTTGCATCACTCCCGAATGTGCTGTGACTCCAGGAGTATCTAATGAAGTGCTATAGGCGACAGGCGCATCATTCACATTCAGCATCAACTCAAAAGATGGCGGTATGTGCACTAAAACCTTGGGTACAATAAATGGCTGACTTATTTTGCCGTAAGTCATCATCACGATGAACAGGGTGTCACCAAAACACGCAGCACGAGATATGAATCCGCCAGTCCCGGATGACCAGCTCCCGGCGCTCAATCAATTCTCAGATGTGGCTTTTCTATATTGGAAAGATCGCATCAGGGACGTGCGTCTTAAGCGTATTCGCTACCTCCTGTCCGTCTACATTAGGAATGGGGACACGACAACGGTCATCAACCAGGCGCTAGCGAGCATTGCTGCACCTCTCAGTCCGTGGCCTGGTCATAGTTTCTTTCCAGACTCTGATCACTACAAAGCAATTTTAGGTATGTATTATCAATGTAAGGGCGTGGAAGGGGCTAACGATCATCCAGGCACGCCGAATGGCCAGGGATTTGGGTACTTCATAGCGGAGCACAAAGATAGAGTGGAGCTCAATTCAGGCGCTAAAGACGGTCAAGGCAGTCTGTATATCTCCGAGATTGTAGTCTTCTACTGCAACGATCGGGAAAAGAGCTTTTGTCTGCTCTTCAAGGTCCTTCCTGTTCCACCACCGAAAAACCTTCCACCAGTCGAGGTGGTCAAGCGCACAGTCGGGGCCGACTTAGCCACAGAGACGAAGGCGGGAAATTACTCCCGGCGGTTGCGCGATCTACCTATCAACTCGTCTCGTCCCGTTGCTGTCAACTCACCCTGGTCGCTTGCGACGAACTTGTCTCTTGCTGGCGACCCAGACAGGCCTCCACAACAGAATCCGCCTCCACGTCAAGCTCCGCCCCTAGCAGCCGCTGCTGATGAGAAGTACTGGTGCGATTGTACAAGCAAAGGCAGTACCCTATTAAAAGCCATGCGCTCTTCCGATCACGCCGCCGGTCAGCTTCTCCAACCCAAGCGGGAGTCGGCTGCGAGCTCCTGGAACAACATGATGGACCTCAAAGCGTGGGGTTACACATACTATACTGATCTAAGTGACAATCTCATCGACTTCGACGCTGGGCACGACTATCCACGCTTCGGATGGGGCGTTGGCGACGCTCTCAGAGCGCTACATCTCAACGACAAAGCGGACGCAAACAATGGCCTGAATTTCGTCTACGAGGTTATACACGGAAGAAGGCACCTCGACGATTCCGGCGTAGTGCCATACGACCATCAGCGATACCTCGCCCAAGGAAGACCCCATCGGGTAAGTCGGGCTTTCCCCGATTATGCTTGGGCGGTCGATGTATCTAACATTGCTTGCAGGTCACCGGTGCACGTTTTGTATTCTCAATAAACTCAGCCCAAGGAGGTACGTCTACGGAGGTCATTGTGGTGATAGGAGACTCTAATATACTCATTCGTACTTGCAGTCATCATGGCGATGGACCGAATATCTCCGAACCACGCCGCCTTGAAGAGGACACCTCCCGTACAAGAGCTGCCACAGCTCAAGCAGTTCTCAGATGTTGCGTCTATCTTCTGGTTTAGGGAAGCTGTCGGCGAACAGATACGAAATATCCGCTACTTCTTCTCCCTCATGATTAATAATAAACAGACGCAGAGCATAATTGTTCGAGCTCTTCAAAAAGTAGGAAAGACGCTACAGCCATGGCCAGGCCATACACTACGGTCGGACTCCGAGGAGTATAGTGCAATCCTAGGTATGGAACCAACCCTCAGACGTTTTTCGAGAATTAATCAAGGCTTCAGGCACGCCCAATGCTCAGGGAGTGGCCTATTTTCTTGTGCAGCACAAGGCAGCGCTCGGAAACAAGTACATCTCTGCTATCCAAATCTTTGCTGGCAATACCTGGAGCAGACTTCCTTTCCTGCTTTTTCACATTGAACCGGTACCGGAGGAGCCATCAAATCCCGAAAACCCGGAAGATGACCCTGAGTCGACCGCCGAACTCGATCCTATGGGACCTATACGACAGGGAGAGAAGAACTTAGTGAGGCGGCACACTTCACAGTTGAAAGGCAAGAGGGCAGATACGCCCCCACCAGGGGACCCGCCTCCGCCCCCTCAGCCCCTGGCAGCCCCTTCTGATGAACATTATTGGTTTGAATGCCAATGCAAAGGCAGCGACCTACTGAGAGCCATGCGCTCTTCGGATTCTGATGCAGGTCAACTTTTCGAACCACCAAGAGCGTCGGCTCAGAGCCAATGGAACAGTCCGGACGATCTCACTACTTGGGGATGGAACTTCTACGCTATAGCGGACGGTCCAATCACTGAATTCGACGGCGGATATAATTATCCAGAGCATGGCTGGGGCATAGGTAATGCTTTGAGGGAGTTACATGTGTCTGATAAAGCCACAGGACGAGGCGGCTGGAACTATGTCTCTGTGGCTTCCCATGGAAACCTGGATCTCCTAGATGATGGGGTGCCATACGACGATCAGAGATATCTAGTAAATGGAAGAACTTACCGGGTAAGTTGGGTATTGCCGAGTCGACTACGCTCAAGCAGTTCAAACGTGCTAACGATTGTCGCAGTCAACTGGAGCCAAGTTCATATTCTCCCTAAACCCAAAAGATGGAAGTGCGTGCAAAAACTTTCCGCGAGCTGTATGTGTTTGACTAATTCGTTCTGCAGTCATCATGGCCATGGACAGGCTCTCACCCAACCACGCGGCGCGTAGAAGGGTCCCACCCGTGCAAGACTTACCTGAGCTCAGGCAGTTTTCGGATGTCGCCTGGATCTACTGGAAGAACCTGGCTCCACCTGAGGTCCTTCGCAATGTCCGCGGCTTCTTCTCGCTCAGCATCACGAATGCCCAGACTCAGAGCATAATCAGCCGAATTATGAGCGACCATGAACAGGAGCTTGAGTCATGGCCAGGAACCTCATTTCGGTGGGGCACGGAACAATTCCGAGCCATCTTAGGCTCGCCCAATGGCCAAGGATTTGGCTATTTCCTACTCCAGCACAAGGTATGTGGGAACTTCTCTGTGGAGCAAGTACAGACTCAAGCACCCTAAAATTTACTCCCATCACCCCTTAAGTTGTCCCGGGATATCTGCTAATGTATACCGCCACATCTGCAGGCACAGCTCGGCAACCGGTTTATTACGAGTGTTTCAATTTTCAAAGGCGATACCTACCATAACCTTCCTAACATAATGTTTTACGTCGATGAGGTTCCGCAGGGGCCATCAGCAGCACCAGAGAACCCGGAAGCCGACACCCAGTTGGGTCTCTCCAAATCTACGAGGCAGATACGACAAGTCGAAAAGGGCGTAGCGAGGCGAGATATGCTTCTGCTCAAAGACAAGAAGACAGAGGTTTCCGGAATCCTGCCGAGGCCGCGCGATGACACCCTCAACTCATCTCTCGCAGCTACCGCAGGCGTTCCCTTCCCACCATTGTCTCTAGGTCCCGCCGATATCACATTGTGGAATAAATGCTTGTGCAAAGGAAGGGGTCTAGTGAAAGCCATGGCACTCTCAGACCAGGAAGCAGGCCAGCAGCTTTACCGGCCACCGAGGCAATCCGCTCAGAGTCCATGGCAGGACCCACATGCCTTAGTCAAATGGACATATGATGGTTACAAGCCGGTTGAAGGTGCATTGGTCGACTTCTACGGAGGTAATAATTATCCAAACCATGGGTACGTAAGGTCGCAGTACCCAGTCCAGCATGTCCCAGGTCAACTAGAAGTCTTTCCGCGTCGATTGAAGCCGAGACATGCTAGGATGTTAACTTTCCCCGCGTTTACTGGAGACATCAGCTAATGTTGCAGGTGGGGCATCGGTCGTGCTCTAACAGCGCTTGGCCTCTCCGATAAGATCGTTGCGCAGAATGGCAAGATTGAGGTTTGGATGATTAGCCACGGATCGCGGTCGTTGGACAAAGCAGGAACCATACCGTACGATCAGCAGTTTTATACCGTGGATGGACGGCGGTACCGGGTAAGTCTACTCTCGTCAGTTCATTCCGAGTTCCTAACCGGGCTGCAGGTAACTGGTGCGGAGTTTCTAACAGGATTCAATACGGAGGAGGGAGGTATGTATCACCTGCGTGTCATCTGCATGTACTGCTTGCTCATTCCTGCGTGCAGTGCTTATCGCCATGGACAGGCTCTCGCCCAAGCATGCCGCCCAAAAGAGAAATCCCCCAATCCCTGATTCTGGACTACCCCCAATCCAGCAGTTTTCTGACGTGGCGTGGCTATTTTGGACTACTCTTGGTGGCAACAACAACAACAACCGTCCTATCCGGTACTTCATGTCCATCACGATCACAAACGGCGAGACAGAAGCTGTCATTGCCAAAGCTTTGAACGACAACGGACTGACTCTCGGACCGTGGCCTGGACACTTCTTTGAATGGGACACGGACGAATTCAAGGCTATCCTAGGAACGTCCAACGGCCAAGGATTCGGGTACGTACATCTCAGTACACGTAAACCAGCATGGCTCAGTCTCTCTACTTCGGTTATGGAAAGCCATCTCCTAAAGGCTTTCAACAAGCACAGCGTTGAGACGTGCTCCCCTTTCTCTCCTAGAGCATTTGCTAATACACACGGACAGGTACCTCCTAGTGGAACACAAAGCGCAGTTGGGAAACCGGTTCATCACCCGCGTCCAAGTCTTCCACGGCGACACCTGGCACAAGGCTCCCTGCCTGATCTTTTACGTTGAGCCGCAGCCGCCGCCAGAAGCAATCCCTGAATCCTCGTCTTCATCCTCAGCAGCAAACGCGAAGCGTACGCCAATAATTCAATCGGACCGTATAAGGAAGAAGGGGAACAACTTTGAGAGGGTCCACGTTTTGCGCTCCAAGCTCTAGCTTTTCGAGCGCTCTCATTGCGAGCTTTGACTTGTACAGAAATCTCGGAAGAGCGATTTAGCTGGTAGATCTAACGAGTATATTGGCCTCGCTAGATTCCTTGGGATCGGGTCACCAGTTAGAGGTCCAGGCGATATCAATCTCTAGCTTACGGAACTGGCATCCACTCCCAAAATAAATGACACCAGTACGACCAAATTCTGGCAGGAGGGATAAAATCCGATCAGGTTTGTTGGATGCCTAATGATGCTGTAGCCTCAACCCAGCGTGGAAGAACCACTGTGACGGGGAAACTTCAGCAGCTAGAGGGTCACGTGATCTGTCCATTCACCCCTTTGTTTGCACATCCATACTTCCCATTTTTTTCGTATCTAGAGTAACATTTACAACTACAACTACATTAACAAAACTAAAAAAAACCAAAATGTACATGCAACAAACAGCCCGCGTCCCAGCCCAACTTCCACCCACCACCTCCAGCTTCCAAACAAAAGCCCTATTACAACCCTCCAAAATGTACAACCTTCCCCTCCAATACTCAAATTAAAAAACACACGCGATAACTATACTACATAAAAAGAAATGAAAAAAGCCCACTCGGAAGAAACTCCACCCACATCCCCTGCCCCTTCCTCCCCCCCAAAGGGCAGGAACCCCCCGTCCACCCCTCATCAAAAGGCGCCCAGCACACCTCACCTCACAACCAATCCCTACGCACTCCCCTCACTCCTCCCTCGTCCCCTCATCCGCGGAAGCAGGACCGGAAGCCCCCTTGCCCAGCTCCGGGCCCTCTTTCCCCCTCGGCCGCCCGTCCCCAATAACACCCACCCTGCGCGCGCGCTCTTCCTCCACGCAGCGCCGCTCCGCAAGTCCTTCTCCTCCCCTGCCCTGCCGTCCCTCCCCTTCACTCATCCTCACCAGCGTCCTGCGGCGCAAGAACTCAACCGCCTGGGCGCGGACCTCCCTCCTCTCATCCTCTTCAATCGAGTCCTCGCGCAGCGCGTCGCGGATACCCGAGCGAGGAGTCGACGATTCACGGGGCGGCGGGCCCCAGGCCTGCACATCGCGTGCCGAAGGTCTCCAGGCGGGGCGTTCCCAGGGCGAGGGCGGCCAAGCAGAGGGGTCCGAAGAGCCCCAGGCTGCGCGATCCGGAGCCGGAGCGTTGGCGAGCGTGCTCCAGGCGGAGCTACCCGGGGACGAGGGCGCGCCGCCGTCGTCGAGTAGCCCCGACGGAAGGTGGTGTGTGGATTGCGGATCCTGGGGGCCTTCAGGGCGTGTTGGATGGTCGGCTGGGATGAAAGCCGACCATCTGTCGCCGCGGGGAGCGCGGGAGAGAGCGTAGACGCCGGAGGGGTATAAGGTGAGCTGGGGTGCTTTAGAGGGCATTGTGAGGTTGGAAACTGGTATGTGGATAGGGGATCCTGGAGCACTTCGACGTAGTTTCGAAAGGCGGAGATAGAGAAGGGAACACTTCTGGGAGGACGCCTATATACTTGTCCGCAAAGTGTTGAAGACAATTTTTGCAACGCAAAAAGCATGCCATAGGCTGTACCGACCTTTTGCTACCATCGACCAAGTACCACGGCGAGGTACGCGTAAAATTTCCTCCCCAACTTCCCAACGCTCATCCCCCTGGACGTCCCATGCATGTGATCCCTCGTCCACCACGGTTACCTCTTCCACCACGGCTAATCCTGCTCTTCCAAGAACTTCAAGCCCTCCATTGCCTTCCCTCCACAAGCCCTCTCAATAGTCAGGAACGCAAAATGCCCTCCCACCACCGGTCGGGCAAAGAAATTCGGGCCCGGGAATCCACCATCGCCCTCCGTCTTATACAAGTCAGTGAACGCGCGATCCGAGACCGTCTCGTTCAGCCACAGTGCCACACGGTCCAGAATCTCGCTGCGCACTTTCTTGGACGCCACAGCGGCGGCTTCGAATTCCCAGTCGGACTTGGCGTATAGGTGGCGCGAGTCGAGAGGCAATCCATATTTCTGCATCACAGCGGAGTACCAAGACGATTGGATCTTGTAAATATGCGATGGGATGAAGTCTTCCGTTACAGGTGTGCGGCCGCTGTTGGGGTCAATGGGCTTAAGAGGCTTCTGGTGCTCATGATCGCTGGACAAGAAGGCGGAGGGCGGTTGTTCGGATGATGCATTTGTGATGGATGGGTGGAAGCAGAGAAGCGCATCGGCATAAAGCGAGTAGAGCGTCGTCCAACTGCCGTACCAGTCGTATGCGAGTTTGGCGTGAGAGCCATCGCGCGAGATACCGTATTCCTGCCATTTCTTGATGTAGTCCTCGGATATGTTTCGATAGTGCTTTGCGTCGCCGGAGCGGTCGAGCAGGTCCGCGAGCTCGCTAAAAGCCTTAATGCCGACAATGCCTTTAAGGGCGAGGTTCGTCTGCAGCGCAAGCCAGCCGGCGAAGTCATCGGTACAGACTAACTCGATGTTAGCGGGGGCCTGCTGAACAAGCGGAAATAATCCTACGCTGATTGTGAGGCCATAGAGCGTCCTCGACGAGATAGCCCGTCCATTGTTTCCACAGGTCATAGCTCCCTTCCAGCCACTTCTTCGCTTGATTCACCCCTTTCGCACCGCCGCCCCAGGAGTCATCGATGTATGCAATACCGTCCTGCGTACCCAGGTTTGTCAACGCGAATGGCTTCTTGTTTTGCGCGGTAAATTCGGTCTTGTCTCCCACCGTCGACCAGATCGACTGTGCCTCCTCATCGGAGTCGTACGTCATCGAATTCACGAGCGCAAGGCCCATGATGAGCATGTCTCCACACTCCTCAACGGGCATGTATTCGTCCCTTCCGTCCGCGTGCCCGGTGAGGTTGGGGAAATGGGCGCCAAGATCGTGCATCGAATATTTGTTCGGATACTGCCCGCTGAGCTGGTGTTCGATCAAGGGCTCCAGAAGGTAGGCGGCCCACCTCGGGTTGGTGTAGAGGAAGAAGGGGAATGCTGGGAATATCACGTCGACGGTCTGACAGTTTCCGTTCGAAGAAATCTCCTTCAGGAACAAGAGCGGACTTTCCGGAGTGCCCGAGAAGCTTGTAGCACCCATTGCCTGGCGTGCAGACAGGGCCACTATATCGACATAGTTGTCGGAGCCTGACTTGTATGCGTCGAGGCGTAGCTGCTCGGAGTAGTTGGAAGCCAAAATATTTGCATTTTCGAAGTCGCCGTAGTGGAACTGAATGAGCTTGTCATCGGTGGGAAACCAGGACTTCCACAGTGGGCGCATGAATGTCAGGCCTCGAGCAGACGCATACTGAGTGACCGGATTTTGGATATGGGTAATGGTGAACAGGACACTGCTACTCTTCGAAGCGGTCTTAGGTGCTGTCTTCTCCAGCTTGAAGGACTTGGAGAAGGCAAAGACAGGCTCCTCATCCATGATGCCGCGGAACGACTCATCGATCTCATTCTGCAGTGTTCCGGTCCGAGCGAATCGCTGGCGAAGCAGAGCCGAGGTACCACATTCATGGCGGACGTCCTCAGGGCCCGTGAAGTGCAGCTGCCCCCACTCAGGCTGGTCCCAGGACTCCGTAAAGACCTGCTCGACCTGGCGCTTGACTTTCCAGGTCTTGAGCCCCTTTGGTATTCCAACAGCTCCCTGCTGCGTTAGGCCCCATTGGATGAGGCTCTCGCGCTTTCCGCTAACCCATTGTCCGTTGACGTCAATGTAGATGTCAACATCGAAGCTGCCTTCCGCATATACTGTAAGGTATGTCGCGGGAATCGACTGCCGCAGAGTCGAGGTCGGTGTAATGGGGGAGAGGAAGGAGAGTGTAATCTCGAGGTCGTCGGCGTCCGGGAACTTCTCCGGCGCTGGGAGGGCATACGTGAGGTTTGTTGTCGAAGCGTCATACTTTGCGCCTTTGTATATGGGGAAGGAGATGCTGTATCTGTATCCATATCAGCACTGGTCTTTACGGCGTCAGCTGGGTACTTGCTGTGTCTCGTCTTCATCCAGGGAGTCGTGGGGCCGGCCCAGCAGCGGGAATACTTGGCTCGTGTCGGGGAGGGAAGCAAGGACGCCAAATCCGACCTGTGGAGCTACGTTAGCAATTCCCGCGTGTTTGCAGCTCAATTGACGTCAATCGGGTGCCTAGCATCCGAACCCGTCAGAGGCCGTCAACCTACCTCGCTACCAGTCCAAAACATAGGCCACTTGTGCCATGGCTCTTCCCGCGCGTTCCCGAGCCAAGTACTCAGATACGGGTTCCTCACGATCAGAGGAAGGACAGGCGGGGTGAGTGTCGAAGCGTCCGCGACGCCTGCCAGAAGCGCCGTAGCAACGATGCCGAACCGACGCATTGCGTCACAATCAAGCGCAGCCCGAGCAATGGAACAATAGGAAAGAACAGAAGGCTAGTGGTCGACACAAGGGCAATTGCAATCGTACATGTACAACCCTCGATATCGCAATCATGAGAGGGTGAGGAGCTGTTGTGGTCGGCGGCAATAGTGGAGCTGCACGTGTAGCCGTCAGCTGGACATGGGAGCTGCCCGGGTGGAGCTGTTGCGGGGTGAGCTGGAGTAGCCAATCAGCGTCGCGTCCCTTGCATCACCATCTGGGGCACGTGCAGGGTTGACGTTTCAAGCCGAGGGCGACGACTCTGTCGTCCCATCTCAAAATTCCTTCAATTTTGAATACAAGCGCTGGACGCTCCTCGACTGCAGAAGCTCCAGAACGATGCCTCCATCACGCTTCCTCGGGGCCACGCGTGCAATGCACTGATTCTGCCGCCTCTCTTCCCAATGCAAGCAACCCCCTCCGAGACTCCCTTTCATTCAACTGGTTATCCATCCCCTCGGGAAACGCTCCTGGGTGCATTCCTGCTGCCTGAGTCGCTTGTCAACTCTGAGCTCGGTGTTCCCCGACGCTTCCACGTGGTCGCAATAGCGTTCATCAGCGACGTAGGCGTGAAGCCCCTTCTTTTGCCCAAAGGCGGCGTTGATATACCGTCGCGGATCGATTTGACGGGGCTCGGTGTCCTTATAGCCCACTCGTCGACTGGATACGCTGGATGAGGCCGGTAACTCGTCTCGCGGGGCGACGTGTCATTCTTTCGGGGGAGAGACGGGAGCGGTCGCGATGAAGGTGCGGGCGGGTAAAGCCGGCAAGATGGCGGAATAGAGAGACGGTAGAACTGCGGTAGAGTCACGCCGCCGCTGTGACACTCAGCTAAAGCTTGCTCAATCGAGTACCTTCCGGAAGTACGCGAGCCCGGAGCACCAGAAGGAACATATGCGCGTGGCTGGAAATCGGTTGTGCCCTCGTCACTCGGCCCAAAGACGTCCCCTGGCTCTCCCTCAATCACTCCTTCGCTCCCCTCCGGCTCTTGCGGCACCATGTCGGGGCCTTCATACGGCTCGATCACGGACATATCTGTGTCATCTCCGGGCTCGCCGACACCGTCCTTCAACAAGTCCAGCTGATTGATCTGTTCCCAAGTGCGGTAGTAATATCGGAAGGTAGCGAATGGCTGATCGGTAGGGTCGATAAGCGCAAATTTGTAGAAGCGCTTTGGCTGTTCCGGCCCGGCGCGACCTGCATTCACGAGGCTGGTCTCATCAGTACAATGGCGGACCCCAGGAGGGCGGGAACTCACTCTACTCCGCGTCTGCTCTTCGCATGTTCCGTCTTCTTGAAATCCTCAATCTTCCGTTCGATCCTCTTCCTTGCGTGTGCACGATGCACTCGTAGCTCCATGTAAGACTCCTCGTCAAACGCATCTGGAACGTCTTTCCACTGCCCATCTTTCTTATCGGGCGATGTAAAGCACAGCACTCTTTTCTCAGTCCGCCTCTTCCCGCTCTCGTCCTCCCTCTCATACAGCCCAAACATTGTCTTTCCCCTCCACCTCTCCTCTTTTCCGGTAGACCAACTCACGATATGCGTGCCGTTGATGAAGAGCTTGAAAAGAAACTGCTGGTCTTCAGGCACCGGCGGCGACACCGAGTAGCCGATCCAGAATTGGCTGCCAGGCAGCGCCGGGACGTAGACACTGCATATCGAGGCCTTTTCGTCAATAAGAGGCGGAACATTGCCAACTATATCGCGCTCGGTATAGTATGCTTGCGGACGAGGAAGATATTCGGGCAACGTCTCGATATCGAACTGCGAGTGCAAGGTAAGGGTGATGCTTCGATAGGTTGGCATAGTGCCCAGGTGTCGACGCCAATCCGGCTGCCCGATCCAGCTGCAAATTGTCGAGGAAATGAAACGTGCCGATGGCACGGGTCGGAGGTAGGTACCTAGGTAGCTGTTTGTCGCAGCTTCCGTGTTTGTCGGGAGCGGGCTTCGGCAGTCGCCACCAGTACTTGGACTCTTCACCTTTTCCCCCTCACGTCAAATTCTAGGCCAAGGCGTATAATTGGCGGCCTCCGGTATCAACCAAGTAAGTGAAAGCCTTCGCAGTCAGTCTGCCCATCTCACTACCTGCTATAGTCATCGCCCGCGTACACGCAGCTACTCTGCTCTTTCACCGGTCCTGCTATTGTGCCTAGCCTTTGTGCGCTATCGCCCCCTATAAAGAGTTGTCGAGCGCGCTCACTCCGAATCTCTTCCTCCTTACTCGTCACCACCATCCTCAACACAACCCTTCCGCATCCATACTCGACTCTTTGAGCTCCCGATCTACAATTTAGCACTCTTCGCAGACAGGAATTACGAGATCAGGGAACATGTCCACTCGCGGCGCACCCCCTTCCCAGTCAGGGTAAGCTCACTTCCTCTTCTGTCATGAAAGATATGACTAATTCTTTCAGTACCAACCACCGCGGCCGTCGAGCTGCAAAATCGAATGGAAATGCCAGTCAGCGAGACAACCCTTCCAAGCTCGCAGAGTCTCAGGTCAAGACCAAAATGGCACCGTCAAAGGGCGGAAATATCACGAAGGCCAAGAGGGCGTACCTGACCCCAGCCCAATTCGCCAGGTAAGTTGATCGCGCTCTAGCATCTACGGGCATGTCGGCACACAATGGCATGTCTTCACCTACAGGAAGGCATGGCTTCGTCTCTGCCATCGAAGGCCTTCAGGACTACTTTCTGCTGCCGGAACAAGACGTTTCTAATACGTGTATTGCAATTTTCCCTCTCGGCATGATGACTAACGGCATGTAGGTTGAAAAGCGGGAGGAAAGCCAACGTGTTCGTCGGACCAAAAGGCGACGGCTTCATCGGCATCGAGGGTGCCTATGTTAATCTCCTACATCATCATTGGGGTTTCGCGAAGAAACATCTTGCTAACGGAACTTCTGCGCTCTTCATTGAGGATGGAGTGAAACCGATCGTTCAATGGATCTACAGCTACATGCTCGGCGGGGAGAAAGATACGGATTGCCAGTCGAAGCTCGACGATCTGAGCATCCCCCAGCTCATCGATCTTTACGACCATGCCACCTACTTGGAGTACCAGTCGCTTGCCGACCGAGTGATTGGGTATCTGCGCTCCCGATTCCGACAGGTGCTGCCTAATGTCAATTCGATACAGCGAATCAACTTGGTTATTCCTTCGTTGACCGACTATGTCATTAAATTAATCGCCGATGTCATGACGAAGCCGTTGGTGTTCGACTACACGGCCTATATGACTCACGCAGAAGAGGACGCAGATTTCCGCATTGCACTAGAAGAGTCTATCCATCAGACCCTGGACCATCGGGTCATTCTCTCGGAGAAGTATTACAATGGACCGAATCCGAATCGCTACCTTCGGGAGTCTAATGACTACTACCTCAAAGTTGCAGCACAACGAAGCGTCGCTGAACCTAATGTCAATGAGAATGGCGATATTATGGACGCGAAGAAACCCAGGAAGCCTAGGCGATCCAGGAAGGCCAAGCGAGCACCCCCACAGACGGAGAATAATGGCATCCCCCCAAAACCTGTCGTGAAGTTGCCTATCGCTGCTGACACCAAGAAACCAACATCGGCCTCAGCAGAGGAAGGGCCACTTGAGCGAAAGCCTCGTCAGAAGCGCCGCCTTAGGAAGCCAACGAAGAACACCGTCGAGACCGCATCGGTTGACGCTAGTCAAGCGGCCGAGCCTACGACCTCGCCCGCCGATCAACCCGAGGCGAAGAAGCAGAATCGCAAGGAGAAATTCAAGTCGCGCCAGAACTGCTTCCGCTGCGGTGAGAAAGGACACATCGCCCGCGACTGCTCCGTGACGCTCGATGAGGGTATCGCTCCCTCTATGAACACCGATGGGACAGCAATCCGGGCTGGCGAATCCGTTACTACCAAGGAGGTATCCAAGAAGCGCACGCGGCGTCTTCCTGTCTGCTTCAACTGCAGTGAGACCGGCCACACCGCTCGTAACTGCACCGTGGACCAGGGCCTAGCAACAATCCCGGAAGAGAATGCGGCAAAGACCGGCGAGGCCGATACCGGGATCAAAGACGAGTCGAAGAATGGCACTCGCCCGCCACCCGTTTGCTACAACTGCAACGAAGAGGGTCACATTGCCCGGAACTGTCGCTATCCGCGCGAGTTCTCTAGGCAGAATCACTTCAACGAGAACTTGACCGACAACCCTGACCCTAACGTAGGCCGCGGCCGCAACAAGAACCGCCGTCGTGCCCGAGTCGACCGATACATGGACTACGTGCAAGCCATTCCAGTCATTCATAACGGGGAGGGAATTACGACGTGTGATCGCGAAGTGCGTCTGGGCGAGGTGACGCGGACTGGGCTGTGGATTGAGTGAGTCGAGATAGCTTACCGATCCAGTTGAAGACAGCGTCCATTGATACTCAGTAGTCACTAGATGGAGGAACGCGAAACCTCACATGGTGATACCCGAAGAGGTGTGATGGCATGAACTTAGGGGGTGAAGCACAAAGTTAGTACCAGAAATAGGCACTTAGTATATCTCACTTATGATAGCCTCCTAGCAGGACATCTCCCCTTCCCTTACGGAGGCAAAAGTCAGTAGTCAAAATAATGATACAGCTCTGCGCTACTTCCACGTTTCTAGCGCGTGTATCGAATAGCCTGGTTCCTGCACAATGATTCGCCGCAGTAAGCAGCCGCGCCGCATTCATGCACCTTGGCAGAGCAAGGCAACCATCACTTACATTTACCCCATTCTTCCATGACTCTGTCTCCCACCACTTCAATTCTACACCAATATGCTCAACTCCAAAGACCAAGCGTTTTCCCAACACCATGACGCAGAAGCAAATCCCCCGCGCCCCCCTACATCCCTGCTCTCCCTTCCCACAGAACTCCATCTTCTAGTAGTATCGCATCTATCCCAACATCCTATATCCTTAATGTCCCTCCGCGCAGCCTGCACATACTTCTTCTACATTCTCCCCTCTCCAATCGCCACCCTCGACCTCCCATTCCAGCGCAACGCGCTCCGCCAAGGGTACGCCCATTTCCTGCACGATCGTCTTCTTCAGGTCCTATGCGAGCAAGAGCGTAATGGGATTCTGCCGGACAATCATCTGGTTTGCTCGGGGTGCTTTGCGTCGCATCCGGATACGCTATTCTACCCGGTTTCTAGAGACGAGCAGCCGGAGAAGAGGATTTGTCGGGGAAGAGAAGGGTTGCTGTGGATTTGCGCGCATGTGTCGTTGACGTGGGAGCAGCTTCATTGCGGCGGGAGGCAGTTCTGGTGTGGGAAGAGCCATGGCTTGTGCGGTTTGAGACCCAGCCCTCATCGAGAAGATGATCAAGATGCGCCGTACCTCTGGTTTGATATCCGAGAGCGTGGATATAAGCGCATTGGACCGAGTGTTGAAGGACAGCGGGGATGCTTGCTCGGGCCTGTTGAGGCATGCGATTCGGAAACATCTGGGACGGAGAGAGCAGCTAGTAGGATGCGGCAGGCGGCAGATCAAAAGCTCGTCGTCCGGTACGAGCACGTCCTCCTGCACTGTGGGGCCAAGGAGAAAATCTCCAACAGCCAGATTAAAGAGCACTTGAGCTTCATGGCGGACGGGAAGGGCTTCTGCCCGCATCTCTCCACCGCCAACGTAGTCGCTCTCCTCGATCAGCAGCCGTACCAAGACTGCCCGCGTCGCGGATCCCACGGAGCAAACGCAACGGCCTGTTCGCAGTCTGCCAGCCGAACACTCTCCCTGCCTTACCTGCATAGGCGCAACAAGAAAGCACCAAACAAAGGTCCATGTCGCCAAGCATACCACTGCCCCCATCCCCCCTGCGCGACCACCTTCTCCCTCCACCGCACGCGCATCCACAACCCCCACTCCCCTCCGCGCGACGAACTCCTCCTCATAGTCCACCGCACCCTCGGCGCTCTTTCCACGCCCAAAACCCCCCTCTGGACCACGCAACTCCAGGAACCGCGCCGCGTCTCTGACATCCCGTTTCCGCTGCACAACTGCCCGCCGCACTGCTGCGCCGAGCGCCGCCGGTACATTGAGAGTCATAAAGAATCGCGTCCGTGGCCGAAGTGGATAATCAAAACGGTCATCGAGAAACCGTGCTGTGGGGTGTTGCTTCCGTGTTGTCGGATGGAGACGCCAGAGTGTGGGTTTGGGAGTGGGGAGGTGCTGGTGGGTGCGAAGACGGAGCTTCGGCAGTGTACTGGGGAAGTGGGGGATGCGTGTTTCCAAGAGATCAGGGATGAGGGTACGCTAGGGAAGGGGGAAGCGGACGAGAGGAGCAGGAGTACGGGGGGGCTTATACGTTTTGATAATGGGGAATAGGGCATGAACGGGTATGCCGCATCATCGAAGCCGGGACGAAGGCGCATATCGATTCGTAAAGCTTTCTCTCCAAAAAGAACAAGAGGATTGTGTGAGAGGCGGACGAGGGCCCTGACGCATGAGAGGTCATCCAAAAAGATCCAATGCGAAGACAGATGATGGCCCGCCGTAATTAGTTACGCCTCTCGGCACTGGCCTAGACTCGTGGCTAAAAGAGCTGCTATTAAGGCAGCCAATCGTAGCAGCTTGGCGGCGTCCAAATATAAAAGAAAATTTCAGGGAAAGTGGCAAGTATTCAGACATGAGTTGATCGATTGAGAATACAGGAAATATGGTTATATATATGACCAGAGGTCACGTGAAGCAGTGACCGTATCCGGCTACAGAACACCATCGCGATGATAAGCATCGACCAAGCTCCCGCAGATCCCTATCTATTATCCCACATACAGCTCCGGTGACATAGTTTCTCTATATTAAAAGAGTGGCCCTTCCTGTATCAACATCTCATCTTGCCTCCACCATCCTTCCTCCGTAACGCTGATGGTGAAAACCCGACTGGATCATGACCAGTAACGCCTATGGCGCTGAATCGGCTGGATCATGGTCAGTAACGCACTCGCCACCAATACCATGAGCGAAAAACCGATCCACGCCATCGCTATCGCACCAACCCCAATATCGGTCTTCAAATTGCCATAGTTTGCGGTCTCCGCCATCGCAGCCGCACCCACCGAGCCTACGTGCTGCCAGAGGCTGGCAACTAGGCATAGGGTTGCGGCGACGGAGGCGCATGACAGGGCGGCCTGCGAGACGGGCCGAGACGGAAAAGTCTTAACTTGGACGCCTGAACCGCCTGAACCGCCTGAATCGTCTGACCGGCGAGCAAAAGTCAGCGCAGTTCTTTAGCGTGGGTGTTGGTACCTCTGTGTGCGGCAATTACTGTTGCGCGAAACGCTAGCTAGGTAGCTTCTCAAGCGGGCAGACCAACAAGTAATGCACAGGTTGTACCGTGAAGTTACCTACCGCGCTCCTTGCGCCAGCCGGGGAAGGTAGCCATCAGCAGGGCGCTAAAGAAGGAGAGGACGATGGCCATTAAAAACAGCCCGGAGAACAGGACATCATTTCTGAACTTCGATGCTGCGCCTATGAGATTCAGGGCATCATTCTCGGGCCCGATCTGCTGTGCAAGGCCATCCGTGTCGGCACTACAGAGCCAGAGGACCCCACGCTGGCGCACACACATCCCGAAGTAGCCTGTTCGGACTTCAAGCTGGGCGTCACCTTTGAAACCACTCAGCGTCTCAGAAAGTTTCTTCTCGACTGGGCCTAAGCCCGATGGTGTGGAGTTGGTGTAGGAGAGGCCAAGAATATATACGTTTGTCATGCTCGAGTAGCTGGAGCAACCCACTAATAATATTGCTGTTGTGCCAGTCAGTTATGACGAGAAACACGAGAAGAGGCATGTTCATAAAGATCCATGAGGCTTACAGAGCAATATTATTGCAATGACTTGCGCCATCACCAGGATATGATGGAACTGGAGAAAAGCAACTGAGTCTAGCAGCAGATGTTAATAGGAGCAGCACGCTTCACTTAGGTTCACTTATGTTCACGTACGCGTGCGCCATCGAAACCGCATTCTAGCCATATTGATCGAAGGATACACAGAGCTTGTTGGGATCTCGAAGCTCTGTGGTGTAGCGAGGATTAAGAATTGGATAACGGTCGAAGTGTTGATGTTGAATGTTGTGCACCAGTGAGGCCGGGTCAACCCCACTTGGTACACCCTGAGGCTCACGTGCATTTTTGGATCCTTGGCGTGAGAGCCGGTCTCTGCAGACCTCTTTCAGCCAGCCTCATGGCGGTTCTCTCACATTGCGAACTTTCATGGATACCTGAGTGCTTGCGCCAAGAGACTCCATAGTTTTGGCGAGCCATCGTCCGAGATGGAGCGGTCAAATAACGCACAGGCGCAGCGTCAGGTGGTAAGCAAGCTGGAGCAGGAACACGAAGCCAAACACCAGCAGGAAAATGGGCCAGACGACGAATTGAAAGATCAATCAGAGAACGACCCCAGGAACGTTACCATTAGCGAGCGATCCGAAGAGTCCGGGCATGATAAAAAATCTGAGCAAGACATTGCACAGATAGTGAAGAGCGAAGGCAACTTCGGGAACAAGCCCCGAAGTTCTGTGGACAAGGGAGAGCAGAATGTTCTAGAAGAGGTGGCTAAAACCGAGAATCACCACAAGATAGATTCTCGCGAAACGAAGATCAACGAAGGAAACACCCAGCGTCCTTTGCCTGAACAAGGTCCAATTCGATCGTCCCTCGACGACATACAGAAATGGCCACAGCCCCGAACATGGCAGGGCCATAATCCTGCTGGAGCAAGCCGAACCTCACTACCTCCTTCAGGGGCGTCATCCATCGGCTCATTATGTCCCCCAAAAACAGGGCGACTATCTCCAGGACGGTCCTTGGAACAACTGATGCTGCAACCGGAAAATATTGCTCTGCCCAACGCTGTCACGAAGAAAAAGCCTCCACCGCAAAGTACATTCACGCAATGGGTCACCAGAGCGCAATCCACGAAGGGGGCGAAGAAAGAGTCAGCACCAGAACAGCCGGCGGCCGCGCCAGAGGTCCTTGCCTACAGAATGAATATCAACCTGCTGGCCAGTTACTTCTCCAATTTGAAGAACATTGCGGCGGAAAAATCACGTCAGGATTGGAGTTCTCGCATTGTCTTGTACGATTATGTAGGATCTGCACAACCTCACGGTCTAAGACGACAAGAGCCATGGAAAAGCCATGCATCCGCACCGCTTTATCAAGAATTCTACAGCACATTGACGAATATCCCTGAAAATTGCGTTCAGCGCATTGTTCTCGTGGAAGATCTTACTCCAATGTTGATTGACCTTTTGGGAGCGACATTTCAAATCCCGCCACATGTGTTCGAGGAACATTTGGACCGCTCCGGTTATGGAAACGCGTTGGAGTCTCGTGGCAATAATGCTACTTGGCATACCCGCTCCTCTACTTAGGGATATTCGTCTATCACATGGTATCGTCCTGTATTGCCGTTAGTCCCTATGACATCAAAATTCCGGGCAAAGCTTATTAAAAACCGGAGACCGATAGTTCCATGCTTTTTCGACGGGTGTAGCGGTCATTACCTACGCCTAAGTGCGCTAAGAAACATTTGGCGATACCATCTTGAACTATGTCCAGAACCCGGGGTCCATTACAAAGGCTCGCAGACTGAGTACCCTGTGGGGTGGGAAGAGAAGGCAACAATTTGGACCCGGGAAAATGACAGCTGTAAACTTGGTATGGGCTCCCCTCGGCTAACGATGGCTTGCCTGATCTCTAACAAATCAAGTGGTCCTACTCCTCGACCCATTACCCATTGTTGTCGTAGAGAAAGCAGGTGCTCGTCATAGGCACCCGCGGCAGCAAGCGCCCACACTTGCTAATCTTCGGATCAGACGAGAAGAGAGAGTCACCAAGTCTCGCAATCATCAGACTCATACGATTCCCCAAACTCTTCATGATTGGATTCCACCCCCACCCTCGCCTTCCCATCCCGGGCCCTCCCGTTCTCCTCCTGCCGACGCTGGACTTGCCCCGCCTCCACCATCGCCACCCCCGGGAATGTCTCAACTTCCCGAAAGGGTCGGCTTGGATATCCCCACCAAGAAAGAGCCCATCAAGAAAGGCATTCTTAAAAGGCCAAAGAATGCGGACACACCACTACCCTTTTCTCCTCCACCACCATCTTCTCCCGGCGGATCCAAACACTTAGCGACATCGCTGTTACCTCCGCCTCTACCACCATTTCGTAAGTTACTGCTTTCTTCTTGTCCGGACGTTATCTGCACCGATTTAGACGCCATGGAGTCAACAGCGTCTCCGTAATACAGGGCTTCTACAAGCAATGGCAGTCATCATGGGCATCATAGCTATCATACCTAATCTCACGAAATTGTTGATCCTTGGCACTGGCTTTGATGGGGCTTTCGCGGTCGAATCTCTGACGTTTGGACTGGGACTGTGGTTCTCGACTTCGGAGCGCTGACGCTCATTACAGTACGTGCGCCATCGCTGCCACTGGGACTCACATCAACATCAGTGCCACCGCCCCCGTTAGCAGCTATTTCACTATGTAAGTGACTATCTTCCCTTCAGTGGACCAAGTGAGGTTAGGGGCAAGAGAAAATGTCAATCACCCTTCCCTTGTTCGATACGGCGACTGTTTTAGTCCTCCGCTCCCAAAAACCCTAGCTTAGGCGTTCAATGGCTCTAGCCCAGAGCTGGAATGATAGAAGACCTTTCGGCATGGAGATTAAGAGTTTCAGTCACTAAAATTCTTTCCAGCTGCCCCACCACTACCGCCACCAATGAATGTCTCAGCTCCGGCCGAAATAGTTCAGTCACAGACTACCAGCATTCAAACCGATTCCTCAGAAGCTGATATTCACCTGGCTGCATTGAGGCGACGGGCCCTGAGGACCTCTATGGAGCATGATTCAATCTCAAGCGGGGAAGTAGAGAAACAAGGGCCGAGAAATCAGAATCGTGGGTCCTCCGTCGAGGTTCCGTTACCTGCGCTTCTCCCTGACGCTCTGCCTCCTCCACCTCTTCTTGAACCGGATGAAGGGTCCCTAAGCGCCGAAAACCACGGACCCTTTGTTCCATATCACCCAGTTAGACCCAGATTATCGTCCACGGCTTTGTATGGCGACCGTTTTACAGCTCTCCAAATGCGCGCGTACATTGAGAGTCGGCAGGTCCCAACATCCACCCTAGATGAATTCGATTACTTGATCCAGCTACCAACAAAAGGCAAGGAAAAAGAACATGATCCGCTCCGGGCGCTCTTGCGTGCCATTCACGACGACACTCTTGGCCTTGTCGACATCATTCGAGTCTCCCTGCAGCGTATCCGCGAGGGCACGTTAGACGAGGACTTGATGCAAAAGCGAGTTACTTTCTGGAGGAGCCTATTGTACCAAATGAACTTCAGCCTTGCGGAGTTTGATCAACAGCTGCAAGAATTTGTTCACTTTGCCTACGAGCCTGAGACGCACCCTCTCTCGGGCGAGCAGCGCAGCGATCTACCCTCTGAGAAACTAGCGAAAGCCACTCGACAAACGCTGCGCAGCTGCATGGATCTCATCGACAGCTCGTCCGACTCGTTACGCGCGGAAATGCAAATCGTAGACAGCCGACGAAGCATCGCAGAAGCCGAAAGCATCTCCAAGCTCACCGAACTGGCATTCGTCTTCATCCCTCTATCCTTCGTGGCAAGTCTCTTCAGCATGCAAGTCCATGAGCTCGAAGGAGGAGTGCCGTTGTACAAGTTTGTGCTTGTAGCGATTGCCTTTGTGGTCGTAGCGTACGCGGTACGCTTAAGCATCCGGAGCTCACGCCTCGTCGAATACAAGAATAATACGCTGAATCAAATCCGCGAAGAAGCGAACCTTCCTTACAACGAACCGATCCCTACGCATACCTTCCTTGCATGGTTTGGCACAGCTACAAGCGGGACAGGCTTTAGGATCACGAAGAGATCCATTGAAGTCTTCGCGCCCCTGATTCTCATCTTGGCATTTATCGCGGCCATTTTGAGTCCCATCGTCCTGCTCTGGCTCCGCGAAATCGATAAAGGATTTTCAGCTGTAATTACTGCGCTGCTCTTGCTACTGGATATGTTACTTGTTTATCCCGTCATGACAAATGCTTCTGGGGAATTTGAATTCGATCCTAAGGCGATCATTCGGGAGATACAGAGAAATCTTGAGGCTAATCGGAAAAAAAGAGAAAAAGCGAAAAAGAAGATGCTGAAGAAGAAGGCGGCAGTTGATCCAGAGTCACAGGGCGTGGAGGGCAGTGATAGTAGTGATGATGGAGAAGTTGGAGAAGTTGGAGAAGATGGGGGAGATGGAGAAGATGGAGATGATGGAGATGATGGAGATGATGGAGATGATGGGGAAGATGGAGATGATCGGGATGATGGAGATTATTCGATATGAGAAGAGCCGGTCGTATTCCAAGCATTCATTTCAGTCGGGTAATGGTAAAGTTTTGGGTTAGTGCAGCGGCTATCAAAAACCGTTGCGCAAGTTACTGTTCTACTTCCTCTCGCACTTCCTTCCCGATGCTCCGTTCCCCTTGAAACCCACCGTGCTGATGTTTTCCTGCCTCGCACACGTAGGCTCACTTTTCGCCGCGTGCTAGCAGCTCCTGCCTTGCATCATCAAGGGTTCGGAGGTTTTACAAGTGGAAAAGTGCCATGTCTGGGTGTCAGAGATTCACTGGAGCCTTCTACGAAGGGTTGTTCTCGGGTTGCCACGTGATGGAGTGTTCGTGCTTCGCTTGTATTACCGAAAAGAAATATGGCGCGAAACGCGATGACGTTGAGCCCCTGACACGTACCAGGCCTTCTACTCATCCATTCCTGCCACTCATCACACCGAGCTTTCCAAGTACAAGGCATCCAACACTGATACTTTCCCGCTGCCCATCCTGCACCTCATTCATTCAAGCATTAGACGTCACTATGGTGTCGCTTCGTGACGGTACGCAGATCAAAGCAACTGCAGCCCGCGATGGCCGCGAAGCAGCCAAAGCATCCAGCCCAGGCCGTTCCTCCACTCGAAAGCGCAAGAGCGACAATTTGACACGCGAAGAAAGCGAGACGCCGGAAGCTGACGGACAGGGAAAGAGATCCAAAACCGGTGGGAAGCCCGACATGCATTTGGCAACGGAACGAGAGGACAAGCAAAACGAACGCCCACAGACGCCTCCAGAGGGATCACCGAAGGATTTCCCCCAACAGCTTCAAGAACGCAATCAGAAAACGCCCGGTCGAGTAGGACCTGTCAAGAAAAGAGATTTCGACCTCGAGCCACAAATTCACCCCTTTAAAGGCGAGCCGGGGCATAAGGTTCGCAAGTCCGCAGCCGAGAAAGAGGAGGAATACACGCAATTCATTCGAGAGCACGAAGGCCATCCCTTCCACGAACTCCACGTCTGCTATGACAAAGGGCCAGACGGCTCCCCCACTTATGACAAGGCGGGATTCGAGCTCGACTACAACAAGGTGGTTCAGTGGATGAAGCCTGTCAGCCGCCAAAGCCTGAAGTCGAAGAAGCACTACCAACGTATCGACGAGAAGATGAAGGAGGAGGCCAGAAAGCGAGAGATCTTCTTCGTGCCCGGCGAGGCTCCCGACGACAAGGGCTCTTCCCCTCTCCTGGAGGCTGCTTGGACAGACAGGGTCTCTAAGGATCTGCAGATTCCGTATCATAAAGTTGGTGTCGCGGAATTTGAAGAGTGGGAGAGGAGAGGGTTTCCCAAGGCCAGGAGGGGAGAGTATTCATCACTTACCAAGGAGGAACTTGACAGGTTGATGAGGCTAACGGAAGGGGCGGCGCTTAGGAAGTAGCCGCCGTTGAGTCATCGATACTATGGACTATCTTATTAAGAAGAGGTTTCAGGGATTGCGATTGAGTGCGCGACCGGGTCCGTTGGCTGAGAATGGCGTTGTGACGTTCTGGCTTACGGTTGTGGTGTTTGGGATTTAGAGTGGGGTAAATATATTCTATACGGCGAAGGATGTGCAGACGGATCTACCAAAGGATATGGAAATTCCAGTTGTGGGCTAAACTGTGGACTTGGGTCGTCGATGAGCGGCCGATGAGAGTGCACTCGCAGTTTGACGACTTCAAATCTGCATATTATGCGAGGGCATCGCAAGTAGATGCAACTCGAGGCCGAATGGGATGATGCTAAGTGGCAGCAAGCGGTGGAAAACTACCTAGTCTATGCGCATCATGATTACACAAACATCTGAGAACTTCTATTTAGCATAAGATTCCCCTCTATTGTTGACCGTGCTGCTCTCATATTTCCACGATAAGAAATGTTAACTTCCTTGCGATCGTATCTTCTCTCTGGTGTCCCTACGCGGAGAGGGGAACGATGTTAGGGTCGACTATTCTGTTCCGAACACGGCCCTCGTGTATGGAGTATTGAGAGATTATAAAGGATCTCTCTGCAGGTGCTCAGCAGCGGTGGTGGCGAAGAGTCTTCCTGTCAAAAGCATCGAACCGCCGGGCCCCTGTCCATACATCGAATTCGATGCCCAGGCAAGGAACAAGTCGAAAGGCTGTACATGCCGGAACCTCAGGAATACCATCACCCATACATATGCTAGGTGCTACAAATGGACGAAGGCATTCGGCATTATATTAGACTTCAACAAGACTTGTTCGCCGACGTAGGTTGGGAGCGAAAGCCGACCATACGGCATGAGGCTGGACCTAGTCGGGCAAGAGCCTGATGTACCCGAGGGGGAGACACCTGTCTGGATGAGAGTTCCAAAGGATGATAAATACGTGCCGAGGCAGGTTTGTACGTGTGGAGGGAATGTGACTGTCCATTCGTAGGTGGGGAAAAGAGACGTCTACACATTCCGCGTTGCGCTTCGGGACCTTGCAGAAGTTATGCCGGGACCGTAGCATCGTACTCGCGTGCGAAAAAGCCTAGGAGCAGGAGCAGGAGCTGAAGCAGTTATATTGACCGACCGCGAATTGGTCGTTGGCCTAAAGGATAGGACTTATGGTTGATGGTGGGCAGGGGTCGACAAGAACGCAATCATGGCATTCCCAAGGGAGTCACATTTTATTCATCCTTTCCGCCTCCCTTCTTTTCATTCTCGAGAATATCCTTGATACTGAACATGCCGGTGCCCCGTTCAAGTGGCTTCGCCTGATTGGGGCTACGTTTCCACCCAATCATATAAACCAGTCGGAACGTTGCCGGGAGACTACCGTCCTCATTCCCATGCAACTCCCTATAGATACCCTCGGCAGCCAGCAGGACATCCCGTTGGATCGCGCCTTTCTCCCGGCTTATCACTGCATTCGATTCGCCCATAGCTTGGAGATCTTTCATCAGTGCGAAGGTATCCGGGAAGTCAACTACGATGTCGTCGACGTCGACGGTGAGAAGATTGAAACCGGCTCGTTGGAGGAGTCCGCCTACATCCCGGACGTCCGCTAGCGGAGAGGTGTGGGTAGAGACGCCGCCTCGTCTGTCAAGCTCGGCCAACTGAAGCGAGGTCCGGAGCTCGAACAGACTGTCACCGCCCATCATGACTCCTATGAATGGACAGTCCGGTTTCAGTATGTTGTTGACCTGCGCGAGCACGGATGGGAGGTCGTTTATCCAGTGCATGCTCAGGCTGCTAAGAACGGCGTCAAACGTATTCGCTTCGTATGGCAACGTCTCGGAGGTAGACAGGACCTCGCGATGGATGTCTATCTCCTTGTTAAAAGGCAGGTCTGCGTCTCTGTATAGGAGCGTTTCGGAGGAATCTGCCGCTGTCATCTTTCCGACTCGTTTCGATCGGGGACCGGCGTCCGGAGAGTCTTCGGAGGGCAAAGTAAGCATGCGAGCTATATTGCATGCATTGGCTCCGAGGTCGAGAACGTGCGCAAAATGTCGATTGATGTCCTGCGCAGCTCAGTAAAAGATCCTGGAGATGGCACTGAAAGCGCACAAGAAGTCTTTCGCACAACCGCGAAGCCACTTCGTCCCTCAAGTAATCTACATTCCTGCTAGTTTCTACATCTCTTGCTGCTCGCTCCTTCTGCATCCACTTGTGCTGCTGACTGAAGATTTCGATCGTTGGGGCTCCGGGAGCTTGGACGGCGTACCGACGCGTTGTTGAGAGGGGTACGCATCGACGCGTAAGGGGTGGGATGAAAGCGCGTATTGAGAGGGTATTCATTATGCACAAGGCAAAGCGGGCAAAATATTTACACAAGCAATTGGGGTGTGAGGACCCTGAGAGCGGCGGGAGGAGGTCTCAAGGAAAAGTGATGTCAAGACCCTAGCTGTCGGCGTTTAATTTCACCGATCCTCGACCTCAACCTCCAAAAGTTCCTACACCGCATTTACGGGAGCGCTACCCGACCACAGTTCAGCTCCCGGCCGCGAGGCCATATGTTGCTCTTATACTCCCCATACCCGCGAACTACGGCTCCAAAATGGCACAGCCCTTCCCGTACACGTACTACGCATGCGATTGCTACGACAGCAACAACACCACGTCCTCAAAACGCGCCTCACAGATCCTAGCCGCAGCCGAAGAGGAAGACAGAACGTTCGACCCGCGAAGCCCGCGCTCAAACTACTCTCTCTACCCGCTCGAACACCTGCTATACTGCGAGGACTGCCAACAAATACGATGTCCGCGCTGCGTGCTAGAAGAGACGCTGAACTGGTACTGTCCGAGCTGCTTGTTCGAAGTCCCAAGCTCGGTAGTCAAGAGCGATGGAAACAGATGTACGAGGAACTGCTATAACTGTCCGATATGCACATCGCCCATGACGGTCAATTCGTTGGATACGTCGAACGACAACGGACCACCGTATATCCTGGCATGCCCATACTGCCACTGGAGCACCGTCGAGATCGGCATCGAGTTTGAAAAGCACACTGGGATATCATCACAATTAGCAAGGATTGCAAATGGAGGCAAACCTATCCCTACGCAGAAAGAGCGGGACAAGGAGCGCGAGAGGAGGAAAGAGCTAGGATCAAGGAAGCGCGACGGACGAGACGTCCTCTCTCACTCCGAGGACTCTCCAAGTACGGACACAGAGCGAGACGACCCCCCACCAAGCCACGACGATGTCTTCTCCAATCTCGGCGCCTTCTACAAAGCCCAAATCGAAGCCCAGACACCCTCAAACCCTTTCTCCCCACACGACATAACCTTCTCCTCTCCCTCAGCCTACAACCGCATCATGAATCTCTATTCCAACACCAGCTCCAAAAGGAACAAACGACAAAAACCCGCGCCCATGCGCGAAGCCGCTTCCCTCATCGAGGGCCTCACAGTCCACAATCCCTCCGCAGACGCCGCGGCAATCGAGCGTATCAAGAAAGAAGGCTGGGCCGCCACACTCTCCCCAGCCCAAAAGCTTACCCAAATCAACCCCAACATTCGCTTCGAATCCGATCTCCGCCCCATCGCCACGCTCCTCTGCACAAAGCGCAGCAAACGCTGCCGCTCCTGCCGCCACATCCTCTCAAAGCCCGAATCCAAAATAACCTCCACGCGCTACAAAATAAAACTCCTGGCGCTAAACCACATCCCGCGCCTCAGCATCCGGGCTCTGCCCTCCACTGCCACCATGCCACCACCACCCAGCTCATCCACCCAACAGCCGCAATTCAACTACAACGCCCTTAATTCCGGCATACCAACCCACTTCCTCCTGCACCTCAGCAACCCCCTCTTCGATCCTATTCGCGTCACTCTCGCCACGCCGAGCACTACCCCCGGGAAAGTGCAATCGCGCGTCACGATCCTCTGCCCGCAATTCGAAGTCGGCGCCAACACCGACGTCTGGGACGACGCGCTCTCTTCCTCCCTCTCCCCTATAAAGCGCGGCAGCATCATCAACGCCGACGGCCAGATCGAAGCAGGCAAGATCTGGGACCGCGGACGCAACTGGACGAGCGTCGTTATCGAAGTCGTTCCAGGCTTCCTGAAGCCCGTGGCTGGGTTTGGACAGCAAGTTGACGGAGCGGATGGAGAAGAGGAACTAGGCGAGGACGAAGACGTGCTCGAGATACCGGTTTTTGTACGCATCGAGTTTGAGGCGGATGTCAATGCGGAGGAGAGGGGGCTCGGCGATGCGAGGGGGAGTAAGGGCGAGCGCGAGAGGAGGGAGGAGGCGTTTTGGACGGTGGTGGGCGTGGGGAAGATTGCGGGGATGTGAGCGAGCGATCGCTCGGTCCGTGGCTCCAGCTGGGAGTCTGGCAGTAGAGGACGTAGAGAGCGTGAAGATGGAGATAGGAGGAGTTGCCAGATTCATCAGATTTTCCGCGCGTAGATACCCAATGCAATTGCCGTCATAGTCGAAGCTTGTGCTCAAGCTTCTCTCACTCTCACACACACATACAACATACATACACAGCGTATCCATTCCGCCCGTACACACGGCAGACAATATCCACCTCCAACGAGACAACAAAAACGCCCTACCAGCCCAGCTTCCATCGAGCACACTACAGTAGCTGCCCGTCCACGAACGACGGCCGGGAGATTCGCCTCATCTCGCACGCGCTTCCCATCACCTTGCCACGCCCAGCATCACCCCAGAAACCCCGCCCGCGAAATCATCCGCACGCAATCTCCACACCGCAGGCAATTTCCACACCGCAGCACCGCACACTCAAGACATCTAGGAAACGATCTCTTATTAGGGAGGGAGCGAGTAGCTAGCTAGCAATACTACTACTACTATGCACAGTCTATCTATGATGATGCAGTTCGATCCATGACAAAAGAGAGAGAGAAAGAATAGTGATAATAAGAGAGATCGGACGCAGAGACAGACCGAGCAACCGAGCCAGCCATGCAGTAACGCCAGAGAGAGAGAGAGAGAGAGCCAGACAGAATGCAGCTTGAATATAAGAAAACGCCCACGCCGATGCAGGATTTTCGCTTCGAGATGCCCACATATACTTTGTACATCCTCCCGCTTGTTTTTTTTGTTCACTGAGCTTTGCCATCCTCTTCGCACAACATACGATCCCGCCATTATATACGTCGTCCCCCCTGCAGCGCTCCACAGGTGTGCGCGATATACCAAAGCACCGCGGGTGAATACTTCTCGTCTTGGTCGGGGCCGTCGGTATCCTTCAACTCGAGATCCAGCGACCAACGCAAGGCGCCCTTGACACACCAGGGTCGGCTCAGAGTTCGTCATCGGAGTGGCAGGACGGACAAGCCACCTGGGAAAAAGGCAGGCTTGGGGTCTTCAGTGCCCTACACGCGCCCACGGCACGTACAGCTCACTTTTCCCCAACCAACATATCCCTGCCCTCGACACCCCATCCGAAGTCTAGAATAAGCGTGCGTCCGTCCTGGCTGGTTGCAACCACACGGCGGTAGTCGCTCTTGGCACTGAGAATCCAACTCGTAGTCCAATTCTCATAGTTTGCGAAGACCTCTCCAGTTTCATAGTCCGCAATGCGAATGCTCTGGTCGTAGGAGCCGGAGACGATCCGTCCGTTAAAGGCATCCAAGAAGAGCGATCTCACCAGGCCGCCATGCTTGGTGGACGTGTGCAGGAGCCTGCCAGTAGTTGCGTCGAATTTGTAAACCACGTGGTCGTTACCGCCAGCGAGCACTATGTTCGCGTCGTCGGAAAACTCCACGGCTGCGAGGCCGCGATCCTCTGATGGGAAGTCCTTGACGGAGAGTCCAGAATCAAGGTTCCAAAGTTTAGCGACTCCGTCACCGGATGCGGACACGAGCAGGTTGCCGCGGAGCTGGACGGCGTTCACTGGTCCGCGGTGGCCATGGAGAGTGCGGAGTTGCTGGCCAGTTTTGCGGTCCCAGACGATAATGGCTGAGTCCTTGGAGCAGGAAATGATGTGTTTATCATCAAGACAGACGTCTAGAACACCCGCCTGGTGTCCTCTAAGCCTGTACATGGGGACAAACTTTTCGCCGGTGATATCCCATACAATACAGGTATGGTCGGAGGATCCTGTGACCATGATCCTGTCGTCGTACTGAAGGCAGAGAATGGAGGCATCGTGGTAATCGCTCGGCACGTGGTAGATATCGTTCCCAGCTGGGGTGCCATTGACTGATGGAATGCTGGCGACGGTCTCCCTGTGGACATCCAAGGGATGCGGAGTACCTAGCTGAGGGCGATGCGCCGGCCCACCAATCACCTTGAGGCACTTGAAAGTGTGCATATCCCATACACGGATAGTGCGGTCACGCGATCCGGTGATGATCTTATTCCTGAGGTAGTATTAGCAGCCGAAGGTCTCCAGGACTAGCAATACACATACTCGTCAAATTGACAGCAGTACACCGAATCAGTGTGGCCATTGAGATAAATTGCGTTTGGTGTGCAAGCCTTCCACCTTCGATTGATGGTCTTGCGGACGTGGTACATCTTTTTCCAGTCTTGCGCAGGAGCATACTTGCCATTGTGCATTTTGCCTATTCGTACTGTTAGTGGAAACCCCATCGTGAGGGTCTTCAGTGTGAACGTACCAATGCCTTTGCCTCCCATCTGTATCGGAACAGGGGAAACATGGACTGTGGGCTCGAACTTGCGCAGGAAAACCTCCTTCCACACATGCGTCGAGGAGGCCGCATCGTGCCAATGCCGTGAAACGAGCTCGGCTTGTATGAGAGATGGCGCGTCGAGGTTGGAAAGAATAAGCGTGGCGATCTCAGCGGGCAGAAAAACCAGCGGGTCGACTAAACATGTCAGTGGCCGAAGTACGCTCGGAGCCCTCCAGGCTACGCAATGACGAACTCACCCATTTTCTTCTCCTGCACACTGTCTGTCCGCGTTATCGGCGAAGAACACGACATGCCCACCCCACTCTCACTATCCTTGATAACATCCATCTTCACGGAAGGAGGCAGGCACCCTTCCAGAAAGCGTCTCGTCTGGGCCTCCTGCTCCTGCTCTTTCTTGAGGCGTGCATCGTTGGCTGCAGCTGCCGCCTGCCGCGCAGCTGTTCCCGGCGCCTGGACCTGGACCTGCGACGGGTAGTTTGACGGAATGGGAGGCGGAACCGGGTTGTACTTTGCAAATTCTCCTGCGGGCCCGGAAGCAGCTGGTCTGCGGCGGAGACTCGAGAAGCGTCGGAGCATCGAGTACTTGGAATTGACGTTGGGGACTGCCGCGGCTTCCTGCTGAGGCGGAATTGGGAGCCCGGAGTCGTGGTGCGGAAGAGGAAGGCGCAGCAGATCTGTGCTCGATTTTCGCGACGACGACGAAGACGCTATGCTGGGCAGCGGGCCGTCGAAAAGATTGTGCAGCGAGGGCCGGCGTGACGACGAGGACGACAGTTTCCGCCGTATCTGCTTGAAGCCGCCCTCCAGCATGCCTCCCACACGCGACAGCGAGCTGGTGTGCCCATGGTGCGAGGACGGGTACTCCATGCCCTCATACACTGCTCCCAACAACACGCCAGCGTCCCGCGCATCGGCATGGGTATTAAAAGTCTGCGAGGCCGTCCGTTTCATGCTCTGCTCGAAGGTTCGGGGCGAGGGCGCGCTGTCGTCGGCGGCGGAGGAAGTCTTGGGCCGGTGCGAGAGGATGGAGGTTCTGCGTTGCTGCATTGGAGCAGAGGAGAACGCAGTCGCTGGGCTGATCTGGCGGTGGGTCGTTCGTTCGGGGCTAGGGCGCGTGGTGGTCTGTCTCGCGACGGAGCGTGAGACGTCGAGAGAGCGACTTTTTCGGATAAGCCGATGGCGGGCCCGAACCGAACAATGTGATGTGACGGGGCTATATATAAGTTCTGGTTGCAGCACCGCTGGGGCCTGAGGGGTGAGTTGGTTCGAGTGGTGCTAAAACGCAAACGAGGGCGTGCGTTGTCGCAGAAATCTAGGAGCAAAGGAAAGTGGCTGGGTCGCTGGGAGGTACTGTTACAGGGAAATAATGACAACAGAACTATCAACGCTATGCGAGAGGCAGCGTGCAGGGATAATGTACAAGGGAGCGGCGGGCCACAGCGGCCTGCAGGACGAGAACGAGGACACGGAACGCGATAGATGGGTAGAGAGAGAGCGGCGACGACGGCGACGACAGGTGACGCGGTCGGGGGAGTTGGAAGGCGGGAGGGAGAGAAGCTGGATAGCAGAGCGCAGCAACGGGCATGTTTTATGATTCAAGCATCTGCCCCAAGGAACTCAGCAGCCGAAACGCTAAACCGGGTCCGTTCGCTGCAAAATTGCATGAGGGACAAGGCCATCCTTGGAATGCCCTGATCCGTGCCCCGGCCTGGCACCCCGTCACCGCCCCCAGACAGACAGCTCGATGATTCCCGACCGGTAGCGCTCGCAGCACATAAAGCCGTCACGACCGCCCTATTACTTTCACGCGCAGCGGACCGCCTTCGACATTCCTTGGGGCCCGTTCGGAGCCTCCTGCGCCCGGGGTCTCGCCTCACCGCTTTCCCTGGCGCTCTCCCCAGCTGAATCGCGGCCTTCCGCCGTCCAGAATCGCCATGACGACAACATCGCCATCGCCCATTCCGCCCGTGTACCGCCTTGTCTTCCTGTACCTCGAGCCGCTCTCGACGCTCGTCGGCGCCGTACACGCCCACTACCTGCAGGCCAAATACCTGACGCTGACGCACGCCGCCTCAGCACCAGCACCGGGCGAACCAATCCCGCCCTCAACGTCAATTGTGCTCTCGCAACTGGCGAACCTCTACTTGCTCCTCTGCATCAACGAAGCTCTGGTGCTTCGTGCAACCGCGGACCTAAAAGTCTGGAAGGTCTTCTTGTTTGGACTGCTGGTTGCGGATCTAGGGCATGTGTACTCGGTGAGGCCGTTAGGGGCATGGGTGTACTGGCAGTGGTGGAGGTGGAATGCGATTGACTGGGGAAACGTGCCGTTTGTGTATTTTCTAGCAGCCGTACGAACGTGCTTCTTGGCCGGTGTGGGCTTGAAGCCAGCATCGGAGAAGGTGAGGTTGAAAAATACATGAAACTACGAAATCAACCTCAATCAGTCCCCTTTTCGCCTCGAGTCCTGCTCAAACAACCCGCCACTATCTCCCTAACGAGAATCTCTATCCACCGCAAAAAGCTTCCCCATTTGTACCACGCAGCCGCCATGCATACAGCCCTCAACATATATCTCCGACCCCCGAATCACATGCACAACGAAAACCACGTACTACCCCAGACCCAGCCTTCGTACAACGACACGAAAGAGAAAAAATCTCCCATTCCATGGTTCATCCCCTCCGGTACTCTTTCACCACCGCCCCAAAAACATGCAATCCCTTCCAGAACCACAGCCCTCGTCGCACGCGAACCGTCGATCCCCCGGACAGATAAACACGACGCGCCCTGTGTGACCAGCGGTACATGAACTGCAAGTGGCACCCGACATCCAATTTCTAGCACGATCCATGACACCTCGCCAGCCACGCCAATTTCAACCGTGGAACTCTCGACTCCTTCGCCCAAGAAAAAAAATCTGCCTCGACCGTTTTTCGACTCTGCCTCGCGTCGTCTCGTCTCAAGCTCACCACATCACATCACCGATCCTGCACGCAAAAACCCGTGGTGCTATTCTCGGCAACGCCGCTTCGGCTTCGCCACCCCACACGCCCTGCACACAACACACATCATCCTTCCTTCAGCCTCAGCGCGATTACGTGCCGCACAGTAGTCGCCGCCCTGCATAATCGCTAAGTTAAGCGGTGAGCCTCCCCAGCGGCCGGTGCGTTAGCTCGCACCCCCTGCACGCCGTTTACGCCCCGATTAGGTAGGTGAATAGACTTGGAGTCTCTCGGAACGCATCGGAACCAACAGGTAAAAAGCATGCATACATACATACATACAAACCACACAAACACCCACCCATCTCGAACCCGCATCCGCCAAGAGAGAGATGCACGAGATCGCCACCACCTCTGACCCACGGGTGAGCCAGGCGTGGTCGACGTCCACTCCAGCCAGACTTCCGTCCAGCACCAAGCAAGCAAGCAAAACCCCACAACTCAACAACTGTCAAACCACACGTGTGTTGATTACCAGCGGGGCTCTCAGCCGTAGGGCTAACCACTATACTGTATAAAGGTCTGGCTGACTGGCCGGCTCTGTACTAGACAGACAAGCGGGAGTCAACCAGACTTCCTCTCGCGCATTCCGAGAGCGTAATTCCGATGAGTGCATTCCGAAGGGTACGTCCCGATGGCGAGACTGTTGAGCGCAAAGAGCATCCATGGCTCGCCGTATTTGGCGAGGAAGTTGGGCTTTTTATCGTGCTTTGATGATTTCATCGTGTTCGCGGGCAGGTGAGCCCCGGGAGAGTGAAGTCCAGTCCACGGCTAGCAGCTTTCGACGCCGTATCACAAGCACGTGATTAAAACATGCCCAAGCTGGGTCCAAGCATGTTGGACACTGGCGTCAAGCATCGTCAGGTCGAGCGGCGTGCGCGGATTTTCAAGGCCATCACATCACATCACAATATAAAACATGAACATCAACATCAATATCATTCCGATATAAACTTATCCCAGTGCTCTCGCGCCAAACCAAAGAAACCCTAGATTGGTAAAATGAAGAATGCGCCCGAGAGGGGCTACCGGGGTATAATTATTCCAAAAAAAAAAAAAAAAAAAAAAGGGGGCCGCAGAAACAACCGAAAAGACAGAGATCCCAGTAAGGAAAGTCTCAGTCCATATAGTGCGCCATTATCTCCCAGAAGATCCCAAGGCCAGGCCGGCCATTTTCCCCAATCCATAGACACGTGGCTCATCATAAGAAAGTATAAACACAAATAACGCCATGCAGCGAAAGAGACCGAGATGCAAAGGCGAGGAAGTAGTCATACATCCAGAAACGAAGAGAGAAGTAAGGCACAAACCGAGGGACTGCTGCGCAAGTCTCCTAGTATGAATGCAAGGTATGCAATAAGAAACAAGAACGGCGCCGAAGCACTAGAAGCGGACCCAAAGCAGGGCTAGAAGTATTCGAATCGACTTAGGCCGCTGCGCTCAGCACGGCGGGATCCAACGTCCCTCCAAGACTCTCCATCGTTTTATCCAAGGTGTCGAGATCCATCATGGCGCTATCAGGATAGAACAACATCATGTCGTCACTATCCATTGGCGGCAGCTCAACACCCAGATTCTGCAAATCCTCGGAGAGCTGAGCGTCAAGCGGTAGCGGATCTCCATTCAGCGCAGCCACCCATGCATTCGGCATATCCACATCCTTGATATCGATGTTGATCTGGAGATTGTCGTTCTCGGAGATATCGGACTGGCGGGTGGACGGCGTATCCTTTGAAGACGAATCGGGGGTGTTGATTGGAGAACTCGGCCGAGAACGAAGAGCCCAAGAGTTGTCCTCGTCCTTGAGATCCAGCGTGGTAAACGGCGCATTCGCATCGAGCACGCAGTAAATGTCGTCATAAGAGAAATCGAACAGAGACGTTGGGATAAGCGGCTGTAGCTCCTCCTCCTTTTCCGGCTCAGGCACAGCGGCGACCTCGGGCTCCTTTGGCGCGGGCTTGGTGACGCTTGCAGGAGTGGCTTTGCCAGGCACTCCCGTGCTAGGCGTTGCGACCTTGGCAGTAGTCTGTGGAGTCCTAAGGAGATTAGTGGATGGCGAGTTCTTGATTCCGGGCTGTGTTGGAACCCGCGACATAGGTGTGGCTGCGGCTGGCGGCCCAGCAGGCGTCGCGGCAGTCTGCGACATGCTCGGAGTTTGTCCAGACTTTCCTGGCTGAAGCGGCGCACGAGGGGCTGCCGATGCCGATGCCGGTTTGATAACACGATTTGCAGCCGCTGAGTCGGCCTTTGGTCGGCCTGTCTTTACATCCACTTCCGTGAGATCAGCCATCGACTCAAGAACGAACTGTAGTGGGTCATCAATCCTAGCGTGCGCCTGGCTAATATGCGCCTCCAGCTCGGCTTGCGTGTCGAATCCGCGAATGGCATACTCGCAGTCCGTACTCTTGCATCGGAAGGTTGGTTTCTGCACCGCAGGCTTCTCGGGCGGTGGCTGTCTCTTGAGCTCCGGAGAACCGCCCTTGCCCGAGCTAATACGTGGAGAAGGTTTCGAACCAGGAGTCGGCATCTGACTAGTGGGGTCCATCTTCTGCCTCTTCTTCTCCGGTAGGGCTAGGTGTGTGAGTGGCTTTGCGCCTTCGAAGTATGTGGGTGCTCCGCTAGGAGACTGCCCCCCAATAGGGAACGGTGGTTGTGATGTGACAGGCGCTGGTGGAGCCTTCTGCTGTCGCTGCTGCTGCTCCATAATTTTGAGATTGGCAGCGTTGAGTTGAGGGGGTTTTGCACCTTGGTTCTGAGCCTGAGCAGCTTGGGGTTGCTGTTGACTCTGTGGTGGTGCATTGCCTTGACCTTGCTGACTTTGCGACATCCTTGACATGACCTTGCTAACGAAGCTGAGTATATGGCGAATATTCTGCCTGAACTCGGCTTCTGATATGGTGAGGTCGGAATGAAGGGTACCGTCTGCGGGGTTCATTTGCCTCAGCAACAAGATGCGGGCCTTGATGACAGTTCGTGCAACGTTCTCGGAGTCTCCTCCCTCATAACCGGCAAGGAATATTCGGAGAGCCTGTTCCACTTTCTTGATGTGCTGAATCTTCTCCTTGATGGTGTGCTGCAGCTGCGACCGTGTCTCCGGCGAGATGTGGACAGGCTGGCCTCGTGGGAGCTTCTGATCCTCCTCATTGATCATGAGTCTGTACTTCTTCTCTCGCGCCGGATCCTTCAATCGGGCCTGAAGCTCCTCCTGACTGGGTAGAGAACGTTGTTGCGCCTTGTTATTCGACGCGTCTTGAGCCTTCAACAAGTGTGCGCGCATGGCTGGAGTAAGCTTGGAAATTTGCTCCTGCGTGAGGTTGAGTCCTTGCTGGGATCTCGACGGAACCATGGCGGGCGCCTGCGGGGCTGCGTTGGAGGCTTGTACTTCGGTGCTTCCGTCGGCCATCTCCTCGTTCGGTCGCTTCACGCCTTTACTCAAGTTGTTCGGTCCACTAGGCTGGGCGGGTTGCGAGGGATGTGGTGGCTGTTGTGGCTGGCTCACCGGCTTTGGTTGGGGGACGGCTTGAGCAGGTTGGGGTTTCGCAGTGGGCGGACGAGAGCCTTGCGGCATCTGACCCGGCATGGCCGGAGGCGGTTGTGGACCTTGATTTCGTTGCTGAGCTTGCATGTTGTTGAGCATTTGCTGCTGCTGTTGTCTCCTTTGATTCATCCTGTGGTTGAAGATGAAGGTCCGTAGCTGGTCGTCGCTAACGTTGGCTTGCTGCGGAGGCAATTTCTGTCGGAACATCTGGATCTCCTGGGGGCTGATTTGAATGGGCCCCATATTCTGCATATTTGGTGGCGGTTGCGGTGTTCGAGCAGGCATAGAGTTAGGGGTCATGTGGGCTGGCGCCGCAATGCCGCCCATGTTATTCTGTTGCTGAGGACGTCCGGGTCCCATGCCATTCTGCTGTTGTTGCTGTTGTTGCTGTAGCTGCTGTTGTTGCTGCTGCTGTTGTTGCTGTTGCTGTTGCTGTTGCCGCATCAAATCCTGAAAGTGTAGCACCTGAAGGAGGAGAAGCTTCTGACTGTCGACACCGGGCATAAGCGCCGGATTTTGGCTTGCCCAGTGCTTGAGCTGGGCCCATGTCTTGACGTTCTCGGGGAGACTGTTCCGTATTCCCTGGTTTAGGACGCTGAGGGGGAACAGCTTGCCGTCCGTGACCGCTATGATGCCAGGATTTTGCTGGAGCACTTGCTGAGCATTAGCAAGACGCTGTTGGGGCGGCAACCCCGGACGCTGACCCATTGCCATCTGCTGGCCACCCATACCGTTAGGTGTCTGCTGTCCCAGGTTCATCCCCGGCCGCATGCTACCCATAGGGCCGCCGTTCATCATCTGTCCCATTTGAAGTGCCTGTGCCGGATTCATCATCATGTTTGGTTGGCCGGGAGTGGGCTGCCCGCCCTGAAAGCCAACATTGTGCATGGCGTTATTTCGGCGCACCTGCGTCATGTAGTTCTGCAGAAGGGAGCGGAACTGGGGCTCAGGGAGCTTGAGCAATTGTTGCTTAGCCACCGGGTCGAGGTCCATGGGCATCATGCTCATTCGGGCCTGCTCGGTCAATGGCTGGCCTTGCGCGGCCACAGCGGCTCGTTGCTGAGCCTCACGCATCAGCTGGGTTGCAAGCTGAGGATCGACTTGGCCCTGACTTTGTGGTGTCATTTGAGGGACATGGGCCTGCGGACGTTGCTGCGGTGTCGTCGGCCCGGGCTGGCCTGGAATATTTAACGGCCGGGTGAGCATTGGCATTGTTGCGGGACTTTGGGTGCCAGGTGGCAGATTGAGACCACCAAGCTGACCCTGGAGCATTTGATTGGGATTCCGTTGCTGTTGCTGCTGCTGCTGCTGCTGCTGTTGTTGTTGCTGCTGCTGCTGCTGTTGTTGTTGCTGTTGTTGCTGCTGCATTTGCTGGGCACGGGCTGCTTGGGCTTGGGCCTGTGCCTGCGCTTGCCGAGCAATGTTGGCTTGATTCTGGAGTGCGGCAGCGTGAGCAGCCTGGCGCTGGGCCATGGCAGCGTTCTGCGGCTGTCCCTGTTGCGCGTTCTGCCCCGGGAACGCGACCATTTGCGCGCCATTCGAGTTGTTGCTAGCCGGGACGACCTGTTGCCCTTGGTTTTGGACCTGGATCGCCTCAATCTGTTGGTTTGCCAAGGCGTTGAAGTCAAAGTCCTGGTTGGGCTGGCGTTGGTTCATGTTCATCTGCTGGTTCTGCATCTGATTCATTTGGCCCGGCTGCTGCGCTGCTCCGCCCATCTGGTTGACCTGGTTCTGGCCTTGAAGAGCTGCTATTTGAGCTGCGTTGATTTTTCCGCTCTTTACAAGCTCCTCCGCCTGCTGTCGATATTTCCACAAGAGAGGGTTGATACCCCTCTGCTGCATCGCCTGACGCCTCTCTTCCGGCCACGTTGCGACTTCCTGTTGGATTTGTTGTCGTTGTTCGTTACTCGAATTCTGCATTAACTTGTGAGCGAGCCGGAGGAGGAGAGCATTATCTATGCGCGGTTGTTGCGGTTGAGGTTGAGGTTGCGGTTGCGGTTGCGGTTGCGGTTGCCCTGGTTGCATGTTGGGCTGGTTGGGCTGGTTAGGACCATTCACACCCATAGAAGACTGGCTTTGTGACATAGGAAGCGAGGAGACCTGCATAGGTTGCCGGAGTTGAGGATTCGGGAACCCTGGGGGAAATTGCTGCTGCTGCTGCTGTTGTGGGGTATTCTGTCGAGCTTGGGGGTTCTGCTGTCCCATCATGCCCATTTGCACAGCATTCATGGCGGCCATAGGGTTGTTCGGGTTGCCTTGCATACCCTGAAGCTGCTGCTGGCGGAGGCTCTGCATGGCGTACATCTTCTGCCTCATTTGGGTGCTATACTGGTCTTTCGTCTGAGAAGTCGAGAAGGTCTGGGTCTCGAATTGTATCGACATGCGCAGCGCTTCTTGTTCGCTGAGCTCGGGCTTCAGCAGCCGGTACGAGGTGAAGAACTGGAATGCGACGGTTCCGCGCTCCTCTGGGGGCACGGATTGCTGCCATCCGGGTTGTGCTTTCGACTGCTGGGTCCGGTAATGTCGGAGGAAGCTCTGCTGAATGGTGCCGGCGCGGTTGGCCGCCATCATGTTGGGGAAGTTCGGGTTGTTCATGGCGAACGAGGCCGCCTACACGGCGGAGAGGCTGGTGGGAGCGATGTCGAGGAAGCGGTCGACTGCCGCGCTGGGAATCACGCTACTGCAATCATGCAGAGCGTGCTCGTATGGGCCGAGGAATGTCGAGCGTTGCGTCGAGCCGTGGTGGGGGGGAGCGACGGAAGGAGCGCTCGGGACGGGCGCCGAGTGAAGGCTGAGAGCGAGCGGCGACGGTTCTGGTTTGCGTCGACGTGTGCAGCCAACAAAGAGAGCAGAGCGACGGTCAAGGTGCGCTCTGCATTCGAGCCGCCGAGTGAGGCGTGCAGCGGGTGTGCGGCGACGGGGGCAGGCTCGAGGGCGGATTCTGCGCGCTGCAGATCTGCAGCGAGGCACTATAAGAGGCGGAGAGGGCGGTATATGGCGTCGAATCCGGAAAACGCCCGAAATTCGAATGTGCGGCTCCGAGGGTGTGTGCAGCGAGCGCGGTGCTGCGGCAGCCCTTCGTCTCGACGGCGAGGGGCAGGAGCCTGGGGGGGAGGGCGCGGGAGAGAGTGGTTTGGGGACGGTGAGAGGTGTGCGTTGGAGTTGATGGGATGGCGGAGCCCTGGAAGCCAGCAGGCGGCTGCAGCGACCTGTGGGCCACAGATCACCGGGATCCACCCTGCCTAGCGCGAAAGACGTAGACTAACGTTGACGACGCCCGCGCGACAAACGACGTGAAGCTGCTGCCGCTTTTCTTCGAGGGGGGTTCGGAGCGCTGCCCGCACTGTGGTTTTGCAGCTCGAACCTCAGCGAGCGAGCGCTGCGAGGGCTGCTTATTGCGCCGTCCGCCAGGGCAGGCGTGACTGTTACAGGTCATGTCCGCAGGGCAAGCGCACCCCCGGTCGCGGCTTCCCAGAAGAGATCACGGACGCCTCACTAGCCTCTCGTCAAATCTACCCGCTGCCACGCCCACGCCCGCCTGTTGGCAAAGTCGCACCGCCTGCTGCCACGACGGCTTGCCCTCCGCCATTTTTCACTCACGCCGCTCCGCAGCGACGAAGTGAAAGGGCCGCCGCTGGAGCCTTTGCGCGCTGCGGGGTGCTCGGCGCTTGAATGCTGGTTTCATCTTGGAGCGTCGTTCCAGCGCGGCTCCCGATTCGTCGACTCGATAATATGGCTGCAAAAGAACTCGACGCCACCTGTAAACAGACGTATCTTGCACATCCCTCGATATCCCCGCCCGCAGCGCCCATCGCGCCATCAAGCCCGCTGCGTATTGCGGCTAGCCAATTCCGTCGCCGCTCCCGCCTGGTCTGGTGACGACTCGGATGGGGGCAACCTCTCTCAACCACGCATTGCCAGTCAATTTGTTCTCCGACGCGCACGACGGCAGACCGACGGCGACGGAAACAGCGAGGCATTTTCGCAGCTCAGCGGACACGAGTCCCCTCCTGCCCTCCTGCATTTGCCTTTTCTCCGTAAAAATAGACCCCTCTGTCATCCGCAGGCTGGCACGGCGGGCAGCTCCAACTCCGGTGCCAATCACACCGCGGGCACGGCATCGCAAGCCGTTTGTTCCCCCCTTGCCTCCTACTTATTCGCAATGAGTCCTCTCCTATCTCCATCACTCTGCGGCCCTCCAGGCTAGCCTTTGATAACTCGATCCGCCGTTGGGCTAGAGCGACGCCAACCGCCTATGGTCGCTGGCACTGTCGCGGCTTACTGTTTAGACCGCCACGTCCATCAAAGGCAAGCCCAGTGTCACTCTATCATTCTGGAGCGACCTGATGATTCCTTTTCCCATCTACCGGCGCCTGGAACACACACTGTAAGTCTCGTGGCTTTCACGCTCTTGTTCCCCCTTCTCGTTCCCTTGTGGTGTTCACAGTCCGAGCTTTCGAATCTGCATTTGAACCCCGGCGATCCTTCCTTCCAAAAGCTTGGCGCCTTAAGCCATGATCCCTGCCGCTTGCCGCCATGATCGCCGGGCAAGCTCGCTGTTCCTGGATCGTCCATCTTGATAACCTTTCCTTGCCTGCCGCCTTTCGTCTCTGTAGTGGTGAATCAACACCACCAACATCTCGATAAGCCAGCGCGTAGTGCTGCGTGGAGTTTTTTTCCAGGCTGCTGAGCGGCAAGATAGCTTTGTCATCTTAGCCGTCAGTCCGCGGTCCTGCAGCATGGCATACGTGGTAGCCGCCGGGATAGTTTCGGATCGACTGGGTGAAACCCACCTCCGGGCCCAGCGCCCTCTTTTGGCGCGATCGATCTCGAATGGAACGTCAAAGGATTGTTCTGGGGGTGTTTGGACAGGGGGTCAACTACGCGTTGCAGACTTTGGAAGTTCAAACGTGCGTAGCGTTTCTAGCGGGTAGGGTGGTTACTGTATAGGGGTCGGGCTGTATGCATGCAATGCAGGCCTCGACGCTCTGTAATGTCCCATCGGGAAGTGTGTCGAACACAGCGATAGGGTCGAGGGCTGAAAGAACGGCGCAATGTCACAGGACCCGTGCAGGTGAGCCTGCCTAAGTATTGCTAGTGCCAAGACCCAGCCATTTATGGGCCTCTACGGTTGGCTATGCTCTGATCTCAGAGCGATAGAGCCACAGTACATGTGCGTGAAATGAACCAGATATGAAGATGATGACTATTTAATCCTCCGGGGGGCTTAACTCTTTCCTTCGGTGTCAACGCTAGCTCTACGTTGAAGACCACTCTACACCTCCTATTCCCACGAAAATCCACCACCTTTTCTAGGTATTCACACTGCAAAGCCTATACCAAAATCGTTTCTCCTTCTTGGCCAGACTCTCCGCGATGATGCAATATTGCGACAACGCAGTTCTCCATGTAGTGAACACTTGCGGTAGATTCATCGATAAAGTGAGGCCTTGAGCAATGTCTTCATAAATTGGGAAATTCGCTAACGTCCGAGAAACAAAAGAAAGGCGGTCATCCTAGTGAGTGGCATGCACAGCATGGAAAAGGTCTCCAACGTCGTGCATTGTTGGTCCTGGATTTGGTGAAGATGATAGTTCCAGGAGACTAGCGAGTAATCATATTGTTAGTATAGAGGAAAGCTGATCTTTGACGGGACGGAGCGAGCCAGTGTGAATGTCTTAGCATAATAGCCGCTGGAACAGACCTAATATGGGTTGCCCTTTCTTGTTCTTTCCTGAGGGTTACAGGAAAGAGGAAAATCGCCGAATAGGCACCAAACTGATGTCACAGATTTAGGTTACGAGGATGCCATAGATTGAAAGGAACAAGAGGAGTGAGTCTTAGTGCAGCAGGCACAGCATTCATCGATGCATGACGATTGGCAAGGCGATCCACATGTGCTTGACTTGATTGATATGGCTTGGCCGACGAGGGATCCACCCCAACTATGATACATTTGGTCCCGCAGCTCGAGCCATTCTATGCATTTGTTCCACCCTCCGATGAAAGAGATCTTGTTTGGCGAAGAGCTGTCGTTTACTTGGAGCCGAGGGCGCGGGCTCGCTCGTCTTCGATCCTCTGGTAGAAAGCATCGCGGTGGCGGACGGCGGGGACGTGATAGCCTTGGAAAGTCAGTCGATATAGAACCCAACAGTACCGGATGCACAGGTCGATGAATAGTCGGGTTTGCTTTCACGTACCGTACCAGAAAGCATAGCCGGCCGCTATTCCGAGGCCTGTCCGTTCAGTCAGCCGAGCTCGACAGCGCGCCTCTACAGCCATAGGAGCGCATGTAAAGCCTAAAAATGCTTCGCAAATAGTACAAGGGCCCGCGTACCGAGGGAAACGGAGATGTCAAGGACAACTGCTCTTCGGAGCATCTGCATCAGTCGTTAGCTCCCTGTGGCCGGACGCGCCCGGAGGGGTCCAATGGCGATACATACACCAGTAATGGGCTTGATGGCCATTTTCAAGTCGGTTTTCGCTGAGCGGAGAGGGTTGTGGTTCGGGTTGCGAGATCGGGCAGCTGGTGAAGGACAGTGGAGCTGGTTTGACGTTCGATGCTCGGATGATGTGAAAAGGGATTATGTAATCCGCCAAGAACCGGCCGACCCGCGCTTTGGGAACAGCTCCCTCAAAGACCAGAGACCTCACTTTCTCCAGGTGAAGGCCAGCGCCGACACAATACGAACACCCGCAGAGTCACCACCGGCCAGAATCGCGGGACGCCGCACCAACGCCGTGCGCGAGCTCTGCCCCTCTGGAAGCTCTCTCACCTGGAACAACCAACCTCCGACTTCGCGCGCCGCAGACGACATACCTACATAACGATTACGAGCCATACGCAGGCTTATGCCCGGACTGATCTCTCCCTCGAGTGCCGCCAGTGTCGGTGCTGTCGCAGGCATGAAGAGGGCATACGCCGCGGAGTCGGTACCGACGTACGGAGAGCCGCATCCTAAGAAGCGCAAGGTCGTCCACAAGCTACACCACACACAACCCATTCAACAGATTGTCGAGCCGGTCAGCGCCGAGATTGACCCTACGGGCGAGAGCAAAGACTTCTTCGATCATCAGCTGCTGCGCGCAATCGCGCTAGAATGCAAAGGCGTAGGGTTCGATGGCGCGCGGCCAGAGGTGCTGGAGCAGTTTCGGGCGCTGGTTGACAGTTGTATGGCATCACTCAGCCGGCAAGAGCAGGGCATCATAGCCTGAGTGAACTACACGTTGCTAACTAGCTGTAGACATGATGAATCTCCTCGGCGATGTCCGCAAATCCATGACCAGCGCGCGGCGCACCGAACCCGTACCACACGACTGGGTCTATGCTCTGGCCCGCGATGGGTTCACCGGCTCATCATCACTCGAACAGCATCTCGACACAGGCGAAGTCCCGCCCTCATTATTGCAACCGACCCTCTTCTCCTCAGTTCCCGAGCATGACCCAGTAGCCGAGATCGACGAGATAATAGGCCCAGACCTATCCGGTAGGCCAGACAAGGAGAGCAGGACATACATCCCAAAGCACTTTCCACCATTTCCACCGAAACATACCTACGTGGCTACGCCCGTATTTACACAGCGTGAGACCGATCCGCGAAAGATCAGAGAGAAGGCGACGGACGAGGGCATCGAGGCTGAGAAAAGTCTGAGAAAGCTTATGGCGAAGCAAAAGGAGGGCTTGCAAAAACAGAAAGCCGGCAAGCGGAAGAGGAGCCAGCGCATGAAGGAAAGTGACAAGCTCTGGCAGGAAGCCATGGAGGATGTGCTCAAAGACGAAGCAGAGGCCGACGAGAAGGCCAGGCTGCGGCAGGAAGACGAAGACGAGTGGGAAGGAGTTGCGCTGCAGCCCAGGTCAGAACGGAAAGTCAACCTGGAGGAAGGCGTGCACGTCAACTACGACCGCAAGTTCTGGAGAAAGTCAGCGAGAGGGGTGTGAGGATCCGACAACGTCGCAACAAGGATGGCGCCAGCAGTATTTGGTCGGTCGCGATGTTTTCTCAAACTTTTGCACAGCATTTCAGCGAGGCGTTCTTGGGTACACATGCATTTTGGCCAGGACTAGTGAGCATTTCGGAGGCGTTCACAAACTGGCCCTGCTCTGTAGTTGTCTTACTACCACGACGCCAGGCATTGCTATTGCCTCGCCTCGAGCTTGAATTAACCAATTCGCATCTATCTAGACGAAAGAAATCTTGATGTGATGCGGTTTCATATCGTACACCTCTCTCGTGACTCTTACGCCTTCTCCTTCCCCTCCTGCCCCGCTCTCCAGTCCTCCCAAGCCGTAGTCTCAACGTGCAGCCCATTCGCACACCTAACACATAAGTCAGCTCCTCTATTAACAATCCCATCCACGCCAAGCCTTCCACCACGCACAACCATTCCAAACCGGAAAGAGCCAAAAAACTTACTCCCTAAACAACCGCACCACGGGCTCACAAACAATAATCGGCCTAAGGCCCTTCTGCTTCGGCCGCTCCGAATTGCATTTATACTGCACCATCTCTTTCAAGGCGCAGTCGGCTAGGTTGACGGGCGGGCGCCGCGGTTTGCCCGAGGGCAGCGTGTTTATCTCGTGCTGCAGGGCGGAGAGCGGGACTTGGGGTATTGGTGGCGCCATCGCAAAGCAAGTGCGAGCTGAGCGGGGAATATCTCGATGAGGAAACAGGAGCTGAGCCGATAGATTGGGAGAGAGAGAAAGATGACGGATGCAAGTGGTGGTGGTGGTGCGAAGCGATTGGGTGAGAGGTTGTTGAAGGAAGTTGAGGTTGAGGGGTTGAGCGATGTTCGTCCGTCTATGCGAATGCCCAAGTTTACGTGAACAATGAAAGTTGACGGAATCGCAGCTTCTCCGCTCGCTACGAGAGCTCGCACTGCCTCAGAAGGAAAGAGAAGTTTTCGGGATCCCGGAATTGGACGCTTTACTCCCTCCACCGCCGCCGCAACAGCAGAAGAACCAGCCTCACCCGGAACCACCAAGGACTGCAGCGGACGATGAGCTCTGGGATCCAAACGCGCGACCCGCTCAAGCACCGCTGCCTCAGCCTCAGCATCCACCAGCCACGACGGTGCAGAGGAAAGAAAAGAAAGCTGGGGGAGGAGGAGGAGCAGTCCTAGAGCTCATCTCCCCACCACCCACACACCACCCTTCCGGCGCCGGTAAAACATCCCTAATCTACCTCCTCACCGCCCTCGCCATCCTCCCCTCCTCTCTCTGCTCCATCGCCCTCGGTGGTCACAATGCAGCCGTCATCCTCATCGACCCGCTCTCGCACATCAGCATCCCGCGTCTCGCATCCATCACACTATCCCTCATCACCCGCAAACTCCAAGAAGCAGGAAAAGAGCCCCTCCACCCAGAGCTCCAAACCCAAGCCAAAGCCCTACTAAAAACAAGCCTCCTGCACGTCCACATCCTGCGCCCCTCATCGTGGCCCAGCCTGCTCGCCACTCTACGCACACTCCCAGAGCACCTCTTTGACGCCTCGCGACACCGCAGTATGCACCGACGCATCCACTCTATCGTCCTCGAAGACCTCTCCAGCTTCACGTCCCAGATCCGGAACAACACCACCACCACCTCCCCTACCACTCCAAACCCCTCGCAAACCCTCCTCTCCGCCGCCTCAGCCAGCTTAACCACCCAGCTAGACCGCCTCTCCGCGCTGCTCAGCTGCGCCGTCATACTTACCAGCCACTCCGCGTCGGCCACGCACTTCCGCCCCGCGGTCCCGACGGCGTGGCCGCAGGGCATGCGCGTCACGCGGCTTGCGGTGCGGCGCGTCGAGGTGCTGAAGTTTGCGCCGGGGGTAAGCGTCGAGGACGCAGAGGCAGAGCGGCGGCAGCGCTGGGAGATTGTTGCAAGAGGGAGGTTTGAGGCGTGGAGGGTTGGGCATGGGGCGGGGGAGAGCGAGGGGTTTGTGTTTCGGGTGGGAAAGGGGGTGGAGATTGAGAGGAGTGAGGAGAGTATGAGGATGTAGGGTGAGGGGATGGATGGATGGGAAGGAGGATGGAAGGCGTTTTGTTGCGTTTGTGGAGATAGATACCCGGATACAGATGTCTTCGCACTTAGCGGGGAGGATAAGATCGATGGACATGTTCGCGGTGTGGATGTGCCTAAGGGGGTATTGATCGGATGTTATGACATGGTATGGTATGATACACAAGAAAATACACCTCTTCCCGGTAGGTCCCTGTAATGCATACATATGCGACGCTTGCAGCCGTAGACGCTGAATATCGTACACCCCAAACCCTTCTTCTATACACTTCGCGAAGACAGCCCCAGATCCGCCCGTTATTTTATGTCCCCTCTACCACATCAGCTCCTCCCCTTCACCTCTAACTCCCTCACGCATCATCCCTACGCATCCCGTCCCCAAAGCTCCCTCCTCCTCCCCCTATCCTCCCTCGCCGTCCGTCTCCTAACCCCCCACCTCGCCCTACTCCTCTCATGCTCACTCTCCACCCGCTCCGCCTTCCCCTCATTCTTCGCCACCAACCCCACAAAAAACTGGCTGCACCCAAACTTCTCCGCCAGCCTCACCCTCGTCCACCTCTCCGGATCCTCCCTCCTCAGCCTCTGAATCTCCACGATATCCGCATCAGTGAGGTGGTATTTCTTATCGTACGGAATTCGCACAGGCGGCGGGAGGCCCGCCGAGGGCCGCGGCGGCAGGAAAGACGGCGCGCTGAGCGGCGTGCCGGGCGCGGCGACGGCGGGCGAGGCGGTGCGGTGTGCGGTCTGCGTGGCGGCGGTTTGGAAGGCGGCGTAGAGCTGGCGGCGGCGGTCGTCTTTGGGGAGGAATTTCAGCGGCGTGTGGTAGACGCTTGGGGCGGAGGAGGGCGGGTTGAAGATGAGGGTTGGTTGGGACCGGTCGGGGGTGTAGGATGGGGCCGCGGGCAGGTTGAGCAGCTTCTTGTGCCGGCGGGTTGTCGATTCGTGGCGGCGTTGGGGGAGGGGGAGGAAAGAGGGTTGCCGGTTTCTGATGCATATTCGCGCGAGAGGTTTACATGTCGACATTATGTGGTTGGGGAGCTGGGGGGAGGATGCGTGATGGGGTGGTTGAAGGGTCCAAGGAGAGAGTTAGTTTTTGGTCGGAAGCGGTTTTTCCGGCCGACGCCAGCTGATTGGTCAATGGCTGGCTCATTCTATCACGACTCAGAATGAGCGGAAAAAAGACACAGTAGTAGTGGGGGCATACAGAAGATCTCATTCGGGTTTTTACATCCTTTGCGTGTGTCCGTCTGTAGAGAGCATTCTAATGTTCCCTAGCACAGCTTGACCCAACACGCAACGCGTTCTCATCACCCCTTAGGCACGCTTGAGCTCTCCCGCGACGTAGTGCAGGTAAGCTCCCAGCAGCTTCGTCCCCTCAATATAATTCCTCTTATCCAACTTCTCATTAATCGAATGCGCCGCATCTGTCGAGCTCCCCATCGGCAACAGCAACACATTCTTGCCCAGCTCCTCCTGGAACGTCAGTGTAACGGGGATACTGCCACCCTCCCTCGTCATATCTGGCTTAACGCCAAACACCCTCTCGACAGCCTTTGCCGCAGCAGTGTAGTTGGGGTGGTTAGTGTCCTCAACCCACCACTTGCCGCAGTGCACGGTATTTAGCTTCATCTTGTTCTTAGATTTGAGCTTTGCGAATTCGTCGTTGACGTGCTTCTCCACGAGCTTGTTGACGGCGTCGATTTCCATGTCGGGGACTGTGCGGATGGAAAACTTGCCGATGACTTTGGCGGGGATGACGGTCTTTGCTCCCGGGGTGTAGAAGGCGCCTTCGATACCGTGTAGTGAGAGCGATGGGTACCGCATCTTGTGCTTGAGCGCATCGTCCTTGTTATCGAAGATGGATACTTCGTTGCCGAGCGACTCGTGCAAGTCTTGCATAGTGAAGGCGATTGGAGGGTACAACGCAGCTTCCTCGTCGGTCATAGGAGCCACTAGGTCGTCGATGCCCTTGATTAGGATCTTACCATCAGGATCCACAAGGGAGTTCATGATGCGGACTAGGTCAGTCATAGGCTCGTGGGTTGTGCCGCCATATACGCCAGAGTGCAGGTCCTGTCCGGGCCCAGAGACCTCGACGGCGTAGTAGTTGCAGCCGCGGACGCCATACGTCAAGCAGGGCTTCTCTGTGCCCAGCCAATAGTTGTCCGAGATGCAGACCGCGTCGGCTTCCTTGAAGAAACCCTTCGCTTCCGCGCGAATCGTCTCATCCAGCCCCTCTGACCCGTTCTCCTCCATGCCCTCGAAGCACATGATCAGATTGACCGGAACCTCTACGCCGGCCTTCTGGTGTGCCTCAATCGCGTTAAGCCAGCCGAGAACTGGTCCCTTATCGTCCGTCGAACCGCGTCCATACATGCGGCCCTTGTCGTCAATGCTCAGCTTGAATGGATCGGTCGCCCAGCCGTCCGACTTCTGCGCAGGCTGTACATCGTAGTGGCCGTAGATGAGAATATTCGGCTTCTTGGGGTCGTTGCCGTATCGGCCGAGGAGGCAGGGCGGGAGGTCGAGGTGCTCGCGGCCAGGCTGCTTTCCGAGCTCGCGCAGCTCTACTGTACCACCGAGTGCTTTGATCTGGTCGGCGAGCCAATGGCCCATCTGTCGTTCAGCGATTAGCTTACATCGCTCGTCTCCCATTCTATTGGCAAGATCCCACCTTCACGACGTCCTTCCTCCGCTCATCTTCAGAGCTGATGCTCGGAATAGCCACAGCCTCCTTCAGCCTATCGACGAACGTCTCCTGCAGCTTATCTACCTGCTCGAAAAACGGCACGAGGTGAGGCATTGCGTCGTACGGGGCGTATAGGTATGGCCAAACTTTGTCAGGAGGGCGATGTTTTGGTGTCGTCGAAGCAAACGTTCGGGTAGGACGAGGATTGAAGCAGTTGTGACGAACTGTTGGCGCGGTTATTTGCGGCGGCGAGGCAAAGCGAGCTGTGGATAATCGGGAAGGTGAATAATGTGCCTGCGCCGCTCTCCGATGCAGCAAGACGCTGCGGGGCAGGCGGGGCATATTTGTGGTTGCAGGAAACGTCACACGCGACGACCTGATCCGTGAACCATGGCCCAAGCTCCCTCCGCTGCAACGATGGCCTACCTTCAACAGGTGACATTCACCGTCAATCAACACATCATCTCACGAGCGGCACTCCAAGTCTGAAAATTGTTGCTTGATTCCCCGCGCCCGACAGAAAGGCGACCAACCAGCTATGCAGAGTATATACATCTCCGCGAAAACGGCAAATTGAAACGCTCCATACAAGCTCATGCCCAAGGAAATATCCATCGCGATCGATCATGCCATAAAAAACCACATTAGTCAGACCTGGTAGGGAAAATGCCGAGGCAGGGAGAAAACTAGTAGTACATAGGAATGAATGCTCGAAATGCTCTAGAGGACATTACCGGGCATGAAATGCCATAGAAAAGCAGAAGAGGAGAAAAGATAAAAAGCACAAAACGTCCCCGTCTACCGTACATACTCTATGTCTCGGTCGGGCTGAGCACGTCTTCCCTGGGCGGCAGATCCTGTGCCCTCTTGTCGTCAGCCTTCTCTCCACTAAAATCCGGCTCTTTGAACAGTGGGTTATCGGCTGTAGGTTTCTCGAGAGGCTGCTCAGTCGGCGTAGGCTCCTTGCTCTTCGCCTCAGAGGTGCCATCCTTACCGCTTAACTGATCAAGCCCATGCGGCGAGCTGCCTCCACTAGGCGGCAAGTGATGGTGAAGCGCTGACTCCGGGCGGGGAATCGAGTGTTCCGGCAATGCCCTCAATGGAACTTTCGGGTGGTTGGGACTCTTCAGATGCTCGAATTCGAGGAGTGAGGATCGCCGAAGCTGTTCGAGCCTCTCCTCGGGGTTCTTAAAGTTGAATTGAAGTTAGCTTTTGTCTGCGCAGAGGCGATAAGATATGTGTGAATTCCAATAATTATGCGGAAGTCGCGGCAACGCTTGATACATCAGATGCAGAAGGTGATGGAGCGTTGAAGCCAGGGAAATGCGTAGGCGGATTATCAAGGAGAGCCGGATCGGTCAAAGACATCAAAGGGGCTCCACGAGGGCTGATGCCGCTTCGAGGATGAGGCTTGGGTGGACTGGGTGGACTCTTGGTCGTGTCGATCTTTTGTGGAGGCTCTGTGGGTTGAGCCTTTGGAGGGGCTGCAGGGGTTTCCTTTGCAGGTGCAGGCGCCTGCGAAGGAGTAGCAATAGCTGTAGCAGTAGAAGCTGTCGATTCGCGACGAGGACCACGAAAATCTGACTCGCTAACAGAGGAAAAACCGCATCGCGGACATACCCATTCTGGTTGATCAGGAACGCCTTCTGCAGCTGGGAGCTCACGCGCCTCATCCCTCTCCTCGCCCCAAAACGAGGGTCGTTTGATGGGCGCAGGAGTCACCGGCAGACTCGGTCGCTCTATCGCAGTGGGGAAGTCGGTGAGGATCAGACTCTCGCGACGTTCCTTCCGGCTGATAGAGGGAGAGAATACCTCGTCTGAACCGGTCACTTGGTGGAGGACCCGGGGCTCACCACGTCGAGCCTGTGAATCCATGATAGCGCGGACATACGTGTCGATTCCAGGCACGCTGTCCCACGCGTTCACGCTGCTCTGCTGGAAGGCTTGCCATTGCTCCTCAGCGGTCCTTGGCGAAGAAGCGCGTTCAGGACTGCCCAGTGCAGGCGCAGCTGTTTCAGGCTTTGCCCCTCCGTCGTCCTCAAAATGAACAGTAGAAAAGGGGTGTATCGGCGACGGCCCAGTTGGAGCCGGCGCTACCGGAGCTGGTGCAGGCATAGGTTCAGGTGGAAGATCTTCAGCAAACACTCGGGTGGCTTTCGGACGGTCTGGTTCTCGCTCCCACGGGAAGATGGGTTTCGGCGGCTCAGCGGGCTTCGGTTTTGATTCGGGCACCTCATACCACATGTCCCTTGGAGGCTCTGGATACGCCTCTGGAGCTTGGAAAAGGTTGTGGCTGTCGCTGAACGTGTACGTCTGGGTTGGGAAGTGTTCGGCTTCTGGCTTCGATTCCACGGGAGGTTCAGATCTAGTGAATCAGCGAATGCTACAAGGGAACGCATCGGACTCACCTCGTCGCGTCCCATTCCACCTGTGGAGCGGAGAACCTCCGCTGCTCAGCAGTAGGCATCGGCTCTGTCACACCTTGGTCAATATTCTCTGCCTCTTCACCGGGCTCGGATAGGGGAGCTTCTGTGGTAGTCATGGGGGCCTCGGGCTCGACCACGATCTCAGGTACGGAGGTAATGTGCTGCGTCGAAGCGGTGCCAAAGTCTGCACTGGTCGTCTCACCATGCACATGCTGTTGGACGACCGAAGAAGTGCGTCCAGTGTCCAATACTGACTGAGACGCAGCGGCGGCCTGCTTCAGGTGCCTGTCATACACAGCCCACCACCGAGCCAGAAGCTCATTGTAGACGCCGGATCCGCGAGGGCCCGTCCGTCCGACGGTCCACGGCTTGTCCTTGCCAATGAAATGAACAGCGCTGATGTCCCTCTTGTAGTAGCGGTATGCTGGTTCCCACTGATATTGCGCACTCGGCGTGCAGTTGTAGGTGAAGCTCAAGCGGTGCCAATTGCGGTGCTCGTAGTACTGGTTCAGCAGGCCCTGATCGGCGCCGTCAAAGCTGTCACCGCTTGCGGCCATGGTCTGCAATGCCCAGTACTCGCCCATGTCCGGGGTTATAGCCATGACGCCGGTATTGAAGGCGTCTGGCCAGCCGACATCTGGTGCGGCGGCAAAGGGCGCTTCGAGGTCGAAAAGCTCGTCCAGAGCTCGCAGGGCGACGACGTCGGAGTCGAGGTAGACAATCTTTCGAAATTGCGTCTGTCTCCACAGCGCAATCTTGGTGAAGGCGTTCACGAGGTCTGGGCGACCCATGAGGAACAGGTTGGCCGGATTGGGGTTCCGTACGCGATCGACCGGTATCAGATAGTCGTACAGAGACTTGAGCTCGGCAATAGTGTCGGCGGACAGCGTGTCCAGCGTGACGAGGACAGCGAGCTTCTTCTTGGTCCCCGCATCGCGCAAGGAATGGGCGAGAACGGCGGCGCCTGGCACATTGGGTCAGCCAAGCTTTCAAGCGTCTTCTGGCGCAGTGGGAAGTCTTTTGCAGGGCTATTTGAGCGCAGAAATGCGGAAAAGGCCAGTCCTCGACCAATTGATGGAAGGGCTCGAGTACATACCTGGGAGATAGGAATCGCTCATGAGGAGCTGCAGGGCGGTCAGCTATCGCGTGGCTTGTGTGACAAAGGAACTTACCGTGCAGTACGCATCTTCCAGCGGCCTCGCCATGGTGGCTCTGGCAGGAAATTGAAAGAAAGACAAGAGGACGCAAGGTGCCTCGAAGAGAGGAAAGATAGGTGGGCCACGCCGGCTGTAGCAGGTGACAGCTTCCCCGCAACAACAGCTATAAGCGCGTGCAGTTGCGTCTTGCGGCGATCACTGACGCAAAGGACCGAAAGCGAGTGGTGCTGCGGCGGCCGAGCTCGCTAGCTTAAAAGAAGGGCATATCCACAAACGGGACGCTGATAACGAGGATCGTGAATGCCCGCAGAGGTGAATTGAGGGCACTGCAGCGCGATTCTCGAGGGTTGACGGGAAGGTGACCCGTAAATCGAGTCGTGCCATGGAAACCGCCCGCTTCGTCGGCAGACCGTGAGCTTGGAGCTTGGGCCACCCACGCGACGCCAGGCCAATTGGGGCGCTAGCGCTACCACAACCGTCGCAAGCGCCTCGATTCCGCCGCGGCGGGGCTGCCCCGTTCCTCCATTCTCTATATTTCATCTCTCAACCGTTTTCCACCACCTCCTTTCCGCACGCCATCATGCAAATTTGCCGTCCCTTTCCTTCTTCGCCGCGTTCCCATCCTCCCAGCCCATGTCAGCGTGCCCAGCATCGAGAGCTGCATGCGGCAAATCCCCCTCTCCCGACTTTTCATCAGGTCAGCTTGGCAGTGTCAAATTTCCCAGATTGGTTACCACTCACACGGTACTTTCCTTTGGGCATTCCATAGACGGACTGCCAGCTCTTAATGCTCCCGAGGCCCTGCCCCGCTTTCGTCTTTCCTGTATGTCCATCATGCGACACACGATCCGTCAACTCGGTTTCGCTGTTCCGTTTCGTTCAAATTCTCGAAAACCAAACTCAAATGCCAATTTGGATTAGTAGAGTGCGAAGAGAAGGAAATTAGCACATCGTGAGGCGATTGACCCGAATTCAATACTGCTGGTCGCGTTGACGGACGCGAGAAAGATGACTGTCTGTGCCTGTGGCGTAAGTGAACTGGTTGACCTCATGTGTAACTCTTCCACACAAGGAACAGAGCTTGTGTCCATTGCACAGGGCAATGCCGTCGAGGTCACCGTGTGCTAAGTCACCCCGGGGAATCACGCTTCATGACCTACCTTGACGTGGAATCCTCTCTATGCTTTACTCGCAGCTGTCGAAGAATGTCGAGTCTACCTACTTGTCGCAGAGGACCTGGTCAATGAGCAAATCGTGGGCGAGTATGGGCTCTCGGACTTAAGACTGGCCCGACAGTACCCTAGCCCCAGCCGTCTCGGCCAACGAGACGATTTCCAGGAAGCCAACAACCGCGGTAATAGATGATGCGAAGAGACTCAGCACAGCGGAAATTTTGCACTCTACTGGAACCCTGAAATCCTTTCGAAAAATTTTGGTGGTCATCAAGACGGACGAGCTTGCCAACTTTCGCGCCTATCTCGACTATGAAACATATGACGAACTCTAGCTTGGGTCCCGATTAGCGTATCAGGATATCCATTTGGACAACAGCTTCGCTTTCGGGCTCCGTGTACACGATGTGGCCTAGCCGTCCGGCCTCTCGACTTTGCGCTTCAAGATCGAGCCAAAGGTCTAATGGCCGGCTCAACTACCTCTGAGCGAGGCTCCTCTCCGTTTCAACTTGTTTGGAACGAACGAGTGTCCAGATGTGTATCACCTCCTGTGGCTGACTGATAGCAAGGCTGTGGCTTGATGTTCGCTTGCTACTAAGCTTCTCTAGGCAAGCCTCATCTGAGCCGATGCGCCCAACGCCAACCATTCTCACCACCATGTTCCACATGTCGGAGCCATCGCACGCGCCGAACTTCTAGCCCTGCTCTCCATTGCTAATGGCTGGAGTCCCGCGTATTCGTTATCAGTCATTCACGGAATCAACAGGTCGATCATGAGGAGCTCCGACTGAACCCTCCCATGGGCCAATGACGGGAGGAATCAACCGCCAGGCCACGCTTTTACGGGACGAATTTGTGTGGGGTATCTCGTGTTAAGCATTTTCTCGAGGCATGTCAGTCTAGCGAGCCGTCGGTAACCCGTTGTGGGTCCCAGCATACCATTCCTATGGTAAGGCTGAGCCAGTTGACAGTCGAGTTTCACACGGGTCGGTCAAGGCTGGCTGCTCTTGCTCGGACACTGCTTGCCATGTACCAATGCCTACATCTCTTGCCCCTGCCCTGGGGATATTTAACCATGCATTTCCCTTCCCTTGTGCCCCAGCAACAGCGGTCACTCACTTTCTCTACACCTGGGCATCTAAACACACACTCTTTTGAAGACATGCTGTTCTCCTACGATCTTTATGGCATTCCACCGTCGGGCTTCGACCCAGAACGGTCATTCGTTCGATCGCACTTCCTCCCACCTGTCGTCCTGGCGATCATCCGCGCTACAATAGCACTCTACTGCTTCACCACCATCATCGTTTGCTACAGCTGGCTGGCCCACAACCAGTCCACGACCAATCTCCAAGACGTCAACATCTCGTCCTACACAATCATAACTGGCTCCAATGGCATCGGTCAATCTTTCAGCTTCTTCACCTACCTTACCTACTGGTCGCTCGGCTTCTACTTTCTCTTCGCATCGATGCACACCTTCCAGTACGCATACAGACGAACAACATGGCTGCACGCCTGGCCGCGACCACTACAGCTCCTACATTCATTCTACTACAGCACCGTCACTTGCTTTCCATTCCTCGTCTCTATCGTCTTCTGGTGCACGATGTACAGTGGCCCCTGGCCTGAGCACCGCTTCGAACAATGGATCAACATCTCCGTACACGGTCTCAACTCTCTCTTCGCCATCGTCGAAATCGTACTCCCTGCCACCGCACCACCGCCCTGGACACACATCTCGATATTGCTCGTTGTGTTGAGCATGTATCTAGGGTTAGCATATCTGACGCGGTTCACCGGCGGGTTTTACGTGTATGAGTGGATGAATCCAGCGCATGGGTGGGTCAGTATCGTTGTGCATATCGCTTGTTATACCGCCGGCATTCTGTGCATTTTTGTGCTGGTGCAGGGAGTGATTAGGCTGAGGAATAAGTTAGCGGCAAGGGGCAAGGAGTATGAGGACGGTAAAGAGATTATCAGGCTTGCGGATGGGTCGAAAGTGGACGTTTCGTCAAAGGAGGTCTATGTGGTCGATACCTATTCTGTTCGGGTTGTTTAGGGGCATGATGACGCTCTTCGTTACTTTGTGTCGCCCTTTCTCACACTCGTTTATCTTTTATTTTACATTGCACTATGTATAAGAGTTAACTCCCGTCTACCTCTTAGAGAACCTCTAGAAACCTTTTAGATGGTGCAATACTCTCTAAGTGCGGCGTGGCAGAGTGAGGAGCTGCAGACATGAGGCGTTCTGTTGAATGTGTCGTGTCGTAGTCATTCGCAATGTGGCAGCCTGGACTAGCGATACAGCCCCGGCTTGACGCGTCCGTCGTTACATCGGTGCGCCGTATCAGTGCCGTGGACTACGACTTCTACGTTGCGAGACCGAGATTTGCGCCGTCCGTGTTGTACTTAGGTATGCTGGTGTGAGCACTTGCTTACGTAACCTGTACTTACTAATCACATTTCTGCCCCCTCTCTTAAGAGACCTTCGAGCTTTCCACAACTGGCCATTTATCTGCACACAACTGGACGTTTTTATTTCTTTCCCGTCTTTATCACAAAGGCGATGAGACCTCATATCGCCTATCTTCTCGCACCTTTACCGCCGGCTCTGACAGAAGCGAGCTCTCGGTTCAAAACACGAATTATCTCCGGCCGTAGGAGGACCGAGGATGATGACGACGAGGTTCAACTCCAGCTCTTTTCCAGAATTCTACTCAATCTAGAGAAAGGTAGATGGGCCGCTATAATTAGCAAAGACCTTTCTAAAATGACATTAACACTTACAGACGCAACTTTCGACGCTCTGCATGCAGGCATCCCATTCAAATGGACGGAAGCAGAGCCTTACGATACAGTCAACCCCTTCGGCGACTTTCGACAAATCGACTTTAAAGCCCTCTGGACCTTCGACATACAAAATGACGTGCTACTCCATATTAACCGCCACCATCGCGCCCAGATACCACTCGGAGTTCTTCGAAGTCGTCCAGTCACTCTAGGTGACATGGAACCGCTCGGTCCGCCTGTCCCTCCACTTCTGCATCCGACGTTGGATTCAGGAATGCCGTGTTGGAAGCCTCAGATTCAAGTCGATGAGAGAAATCGCGCATTTATTTATCGCATCCTTCGCGATTTTAATCACCAATGGCGGCACATTCTTCGTAACAACTACAATACTATAACTCTACGAGTCCTTGCACGCGCTATCATCCGGCTTTCAACACTGGATTTTGAAGTTCGCGAAGAGACCAGTTCGCGACATGGTTTGGGGGGCGACTGGGTTTACATCACCGAATTGCCCACGTGGAAACCCTTCAACACAGATATTGTACATGTTGGAGACGTTCACGTAGTCATTTGCCATTCGATACAGGACGGACTTTCCAGGGCCAAGAAGCACACAACCTCTCAGCAATTTACAGCCGCTAATGGGACGAGAGACTGCGCCCGAAAGCGGCCACATTACATGATCTTGTCGGTTAAGCACATCATGCTGTGTCGTGCCATAGGTCCGAATGAACTTAAGCACACTGCTCCAGAGCCGATCTTCAATGGCAATCACGGCGTCGGACCTCCATCGAACCTGGCTCTAGATTACCTCCTCTGGGCTACAGCTCCAGCTATTGGTTCAATCCCCACACCCCTTCGATCGCTGCCGATTGAGGTCCAGGACATCATACTAGGCTATGCCTCTGTAGGACCCGTAGCTTCTGCTAAAATTGGCTGCCTACTCAGCCTAGGAACGCCTTTCTTGTGGAAAGATGGTCTTCTAGAGATCAAATTGGAGGAGGCATGCAGGGATCGCCACCGTTGGTTGCCTGTCAAATCTCAGCTCTGGTTTTCTGAGAGCAGAGTTGGCATAACATATAGAGGCAGAGCGTAGACGAGCTACTGCCTAGGGAGCGTTCTTGAGGAAGCAGAAACAGTAGAAGTAATCGCTGGCACCCTATCTCATTCAAATGCCAGCATATTTAGACAATAACTCATCCAACAAATTTGTATTGTGGAAAGATAAAAAATAAAATACGGATATGACCTTGAACGCCCATCTATGCTTCCTCTCAATTTGATTATCGGATCATTGAAGTGGAAGCGGGTACTTCTTCAAGTACTCAAACATGGCGGTGATGTGTGCGACGTCCCTCCGCAAATGAAGACGGCCAGACATTTGCGTAAGCACTCCGTGATCTCCTTTGAAGAATCGGATCTCCATTCCAACATGAACAATACCATAGACCTTTCCAGACGATGCTCTTCGTTACTTTGTGTCGCCCTTTCTCACACTCGTTTATCTTTTTATCTGCATTGCAGTATAGCGGTTTCTTCTAGGCCATGTTACCTAACATGACTTCTTTATTATCTACTATTGTAGCGCCAATAAATTTGCGCGCTCCGATGCCTAGCCCAAAGCCATCGGCCCGACTTGGTGTCTTTGCGATAAGCGAAAAGCTAAGCTCGATCGATGATGACATACATTCCACCTCTCCCTTTCTTTTGCCAGACAGGTTCATTGATTGGATTTTCTCTTGACCTTCCTCTCCATGGTGTTCCTAATGTAAGCCTGCATTTGTCCACTCTCCCAGTTTGCATCTTTACTCTTATACTGTACTACCTGTCTAACAAATGACCAAGCCGCGGGTGATCTACTGGTTCCGTACAGACCTCCGGCTTCACGACTCGCCAGCTCTAAAGGCCGCTTTAGATCTCAAACCAGAATGCCTCTATCCCATCTGGACGTGGGATCCGCACTATGTCTACAGGGCCCGAGCCGGTCCCAACCGCTGGCAGTTCCTTCTCGACTGCCAGAACGATCTGTCTAACTCAATCACCAAGCTCAACCCGAATTCAAAGCTCTTCGTTATTCGCGTAGCGCCGCAGACGCTGTTTTCTAAGCTCTTTCGCGAGTGGCAGATCACGCATTTGGTGTTCGAGAAGGATACGGACGCGTATGCGCGCGAGAGGGATGACAAGGTAATGGAGTTGGCGAAGGAGGCGGGGGTGGAGGTCGTCGTGAAGACGGGGCGGACGCTGTATGATCCGGATGAGTTGGTCAAGCACAATAAGGGGAAGCCAACGATGAGCATCAGCCAGGTCCAGGCTGCAGGCGCGAAGATTGGACATATCCCCAGACCGATTCCCGCGCCAAAGTCTCTTCCTGACCCGGGCAAGACCGAGCTGAGTTTCGATCAGGAGAAGCCCGCCAGTGATCTGGACTTCAATGCGATTCGGCGAAATGCGGACGAGAAGTCGTACAACGCGCTTGCGGGACCTAATGGTGACTTTGCGGTACCTACGATGGAAGAGCTCGGCTTGAAGGAAGCAACGACACCACACCGAGGAGGCGAAACCATAGCCCTCAAAATGCTAGACGAGATCGCCGCAAACGAAGACTACACCGCAACCTTCGAGAAGCCCAAAACCGCCCCAACAGCCTTCGAACCACAAGCCACAACCCTCCTCTCACCCCACCTGCACTTCGGCTCCCTCAGCAGCCGCGAATTCTACTGGCGCGCCCAAGATATCGTCTCCACATACGCAGGCAAAGCCTCCCACCCACCCACCAGCCTCACCGGCCAACTCCTCTTCCGCGACATGTACTTCGGCGCGCAAGCCGCCCTCGGCCACGCCTTCGCCCAAACATACAACAACCCGCACTGCCGCTTCATCCCCTGGCACCTGCCCTCCTCCATCGACCCCAAAACCGGCCTCACAACCGGCACCTACCTCGTCGACAGCGCCGCCGCCGAAATCTTCTTCCAGCGCTGGAAAGAGGGCCGCACCGGCTTCCCCTGGATCGACGCGCTCATGCGGCAGCTCAGGCAAGAAGGCTGGATCCACCATCTCGGGCGGCACGCCGTGGCCTGCTTCCTCACGCGCGGCGGGTGCTACGTCGACTGGGAGCGCGGGGCCGCGGTGTTCGAGGAGTGGCTGATCGACCACGAGGCGGCGTGCAATGTTGGCAATTGGCAGTGGTTGAGCTGCACGGCTTTTTTTGCGCAGTTCTATCGGTGCTATTCGCCCGTGGCGTTTCCACGGAAGTGGGATAAGGAGGGGGCATTTGTGAGGCGGTATGTACCCGAGTTGGAGCGGTTTGATGCGAGGTTTGTTTATGAGCCGTGGAGGGCGCCGGTTGCGGATCAGAAGAGGTGGGGGTGTTTGATCAAAGGGGACGGTGTGGAAACTGAGGAAGGGGGGTTTAAGGTGTATCCGAAGCCGATGTTTGATTTCGCTGAACGGAGGGAGATTTGTATCCAGGGGATGAAGAACGCGTATCGTGTCGCATTGTATGGGAATGACCCGAAGGTTCTAGATGGGAGCTGGAGGGAGCTGTTCGACGATGCGGCCGAGGGGCCGACGGAGGGCAAAGATGGACCACCGGGCGCTATGGTAGAGCACGAGGATGCGGATGAGATGGAGATGCCTGATAAAGAGCAGACGAGTCCGAAGACTGTGAAGATTATGAAGAAGGGGGAGGCAGAGGGGAAGAAGACGGGCGTGCACAAGAGAGCTGCAAGTCAGAGAACTTTGGATGGAATGATTACGCGGAAGAGAAGAAAGAGTAAATAGGAACTCAGTGCTGAATCATAAACAGGGTGTACGCTCAAGCAGCCAAACTGGAATCTAGAGACCAGATGCCTGTAAATACCCCGAACGAAGCCCAAACACACATTCCTCCATCCCCCTGCCCACCATCAAGCCGCTCAATCCCGAAGCCGCATCCTCAGTATTACACAGGACCTCCATGTTCCACGCTCTCCCTCCCTAACCTCACTATTCAACCCCCTATGGCCTCCTCTGCTCCGTCTCCCTCTCCTCCACCCGCTTCGCCGACCCACCAACCGCAACACTAACCCTCACCTTCCCACCCCACATCTCTCGTCCATCAATCTTCTCCACCGCCCTACCCGCCTCCTCCGCACTCTCAAAGTCCACAAAAGCATACCAGCCATTCCCACCCGCACGCATGTTCAGATCACCAACAGGCGACTTAACCTTCGACACAGCCCGCACCCCGAACCCCCTAAACAAATCCCGGAGCTCCAGGTCCGACGTATGTTGATCGAGCGGCTTGGGCAGCCCGCCGACCCACAATCTTCGTCCTTCGCTGGTTGGCTCTAGGAGCTCCGCAGTTGGCCGAGCGCTCTCGCGCCAGCGCGTGGAAACTAGGGTTTCGGAGTGGAGTCTTGAGCTAGAAGTGCGCTTCTGCACGCACGGTTTGATTTTTAGCGGGCGGCCGAGGAAGGTCACGCCGGCGAGCGTCTGCATGGCTGTTGTAGCTGCTTCGGTGGTGGGGAGGTCGACGAAGCAGTACGAGGGGTTGCGGGAGGTGAAGGGGTCGATGGAGATGTCGATGTTGACACTGCATGTGAACGTGTTAGCACAAAAGCAAGATTTTTCGGAGAACAGGGAAAATGGAGTGGTTTTCAGGCTGATGGTGGAGGAGAGAAACGCACATAGAGAAGCCCGCTGCTTCGAACAGCTGCGCTACGTCGCGTCGCTGCGCCGTGTATGGCATGTTTCCTACATAGATACGCGGGCCTTCTGTGGTCTGCTGCGTTGGCTCGTGGCGCGTCTCCTGCTCTTTCCGCACGCGTCGCTGCTTCTCCCGCTGGTTTCGCTCGTGCCGTTGGTCGCGGTGTGGGGTCTGCTGGCCTGGGCTCGATGCCCTTGGCTCGACGTCTTGGGATCGCCAGTTTGTAGAGTTGAGTGCACGGTTGGGCGGCATTGTAGGTGCAAGTTGGGGAAAAATAGATTGTGAAGATGGTTGGTGTCTACGAGATGATGGGGTAGGAGTAGCGGATTGAGGGCTGTTGATTGTCGTTTCTTTGTGTGAGGTTGAAATGTTCTTTGTTTAGCACTGTCGCTGTCTCCGCAGGCGCAGGGGTGCAGGCTGGCCTCGGGATGTTGCAGCACTGTGGTCGCAATTGCCTGAATGGCAGTCGAGCCCTTGTGCGTAGTTGATATTGATTTATCGTCAAACGCACACAAGTACTTCGCTCCAACAACCCAGTAGATAAACTTCTCCTCAAAATCGCCCCTCCCCCACCACCGTCGCTCAACCACACAACCATCACACACGAACTGCAAACCATCCAAATGCCTTGCCCTTGTCTCCACACACGCACATCCCACCTTCTACAACCTCAGCCCCTCCCCCAACAAAACGCCATACCACACCATCCCCAAAAACCCCACCAAATTAACCAAACTACTAACCCCATGCAACACGCCAAACCGCCTATTCAACGCCATCATCTCCTCACTATGCGGGCCCTTATCATAGCTCTTCTTACCATCCCTAGTCTCCTGATGTTTCCTCAAGCGCATGATCTCCGTCGTCTGCGGGCCGACGTACAGCCAATTGGCCAGGCCGGTAACCAGCATTGTCGATATAAGCGTGAAGGCGAGGCGGTCGGTTGATGTTTGGGCGGAGGACGGGTGCAGAGATGAGGGGCCGCGCGGGAAGGTTAGGTACATGAGGAGCGGGCAGAGGGATTGCAGCGTGAAGTAGGCGGGGAAGGTGTTCTTTTGGAGGGTGGAGAATTGCGGACGCGGGAGCACGCGGAAGGCTATGATGCCGCCGATGAAGGATTGGAAGAGCGTGGAGCCGAGGAGGGTGCCGTAGCTACGGTGCGTTAGTGCTTGGTCGAGCATGATGAGGGCTGGGATGGGGAGGAGAGCGGTACCTTAGTAGGTGGTACGCAGCGGGATTCTTGAAAGAGGATAGAGAGGACATGTTGCTGGGTCGTCTGGAGTGGTGATAGCAATTGTAGGGAGTGTGGGAGTGCGCTGTCTAGGTTTCGCAATGACGAGATACCAAACCTATTGCCTTCGGAGGTGCGATTGATAACAATACGAAGTTTCCAAGGTCGTAAACAAAGTGGTGACAAGTCGTAAGCTCACCTCTCATATCCCGAGGTCTGAAACCCAGCATCAATGATGCGCTCTTCCTCCTGCCCCACGCTAACCCAAAATCCGTTAAATCCGACTGCCCCACCCACAGCTGTCAAACCATCGAACTCTCTCCTCGTCCAAGTCTTTGTCTAGGGCTTCAAGATACTGCGATTGTCAACACACATATGCTCCTCCCGTCGCTAATCTCCCTCCGCCGCCCAACCGACTCGCCGCTCTCGCCGGAAGATATCTTCGGGTCGTCCCTCGGCGGCATCTTCACGGACGACCTGCAGAACCAGCACGGCGATGATCCGAACACGGTGATCCTATACCGGCCCTCGAACCCCGCATACAAAGAGCTTGAGTTCAGGACAGCGGACGTTGATGGCGAGGAGCAGCGGCGCAAGTTTGCGCATTATCTGTGGAATGCCGGGATATTGATGGCGGAGCTGATGGGAGGAAGACCGGGGGAGAATAGGGCGCGGGACAGTGGTGTTGGGATCGAATCGATTAGTGAGCACGAGGCTTGGAAGGATGGAGAGTGGTGGACTAGTAGAGAGGAAGAAGAGCGGTGGAGCGTGAAGGGACAACGGGTCCTTGAGCTGGGTGCAGGTGCGTTGGGCTGAACGCAAATACAAACAAATCAAAGAGCGAAAAGGAAGACTGATGGAAGAGTCACAGGAGTCGGATTGGGTGGCATAATGAGTGCTCTGACGGGAGCTGAAGAGGTACGGTCCTAATGATATTGGCGGATGAGCCGCGCGATGCTGACGTCAACTAGGTAGCCATCACCGACTATCCCGCACCGCCGATTCTCGACACGATCGAGACGAACGTCTCCAACAATCTCCCTCACGATCTCCGCTCCAAAATGATGGTCCAGGGCCATCAATGGGGCGACTTCGTTTCGGAGTTCGCAACCTCACACGCCCATCGCCATACGCGCATACTGGCAGCCGACTGCCTTTGGATGCCGCACGAGCACGAAAACCTCGCCCACTCCATGCTCCACTTCCTCTCCGAGTCTCCCGACGCTCGCATATTCGTCATAGCTGGATTCCATACCGGGCGTGCTAGGGTAGCTCCATTCTTCGAGGAGACGGTACCCCTGGTGGGAATGCAGATCGAGGAGATATACGAGATGAATGCGGAGGGTAAGCGCCGTCCATGGGCGAAGGAGAGAGACGGTGGGCGGGAGGATATCGGCGAGCGGAAGAAGTGGTTGGTCGTGGCGAGGTTGAGGCGTCGAGCTGAGCCATGACAGCTTCTCAAGGAGTTGTCTGAGCGAAAGCTCGAGGGTGTTGTCGATATCTCCAGATCATAGCACACCTAGATCACCTCTTCTTGAAACATAGCGTGCACACACTCGTCCCTGTCCTCCCTCCAAACGTAAAGCTCGGATACTTCACCTTATCTTCGTACACAAGCTCTCCACCGTCAACCTCAAACCAGCCCTTTAATTCTTCATCAGTCCAATTACAACTTGTAATCAGAAACCTGCCTCCTCTCTTTATCAACCTCTCTACCTTCTCCCTATAGCCCTCGCATATTCTACGTCCCTGCGCATCCATCTCCTGCGAGAGGCAAATCGCGTCGAATGTGCCTTTATCAAGAACGACGTCGAAGCCAGACGAGGGAAGCCAGGCGCCGGGCGGCTGGGCAAGGACGTCCCATTCGTAAAACCGCACATCAGCGTAGTCTTCGCCTTTGCTCGTGCAAATCTCTCTCGCGAGCTTGACGCTCTGCGCCGAGTAATCCACGCCCACCATTTCGCCCAACCAGCCGTCTTCTCTCAGTACAAACAGCAGGTGTCCGTTCCCAGTTCCAAGGTCGAGGAACTGTGTAAGCTGTCTTGTCTTTCCTTCCCCAGCTCCGTCGGCAGCTTCTTCTCCACCCTTGTGCAACTGCCCCTCGTCGGCGAGGTTCTCCAAGAATGACAGCATGCGCTCCTCGGCTCCCGCGTCGCTGAACCATATCGTTCCTTCGTCGTCGGCGTTCGATGCGAAGTTCTGGAGCTCGGTCGTGTACGCGGTGTCCCAGTAAGACTTGGTGCCCAGTTCGGAGGGGTTTAGGTGCGCTGGATTCGACATCCCTTCTCAGCGAACTGCTCGGACTATGCGAATGAGAATCTGTGAAGGATGTAGCGGGAGTGAAGGGTGAGAGTGGAAGTGAAGGTGAAGGTGAGGGGCAGTTCTTTAGACTTTTCTGGAAGGGTGGATTGGTACCTGAGCTAAAATAAGCGAGTACGATGTGGGGTGAAAGTTACGAGCAGCTATGACGTCGGTGACTGTTGTCAACCGCCTTTTTCGTCTCCGGGTCTGAGGAAACGCCAAAACCAAAAACCTCAATACCGTTGCTGATCCTTCTTTTCCGGAAATTCCTCTACGATATACACAGCAACGAGCAACATGGCGGACATGGACTCCACCTCGCCACCGCATACCTTTCTTCCAATGATCGGTCTTCTTCTGGTGTCGGGCTATGGAATGTATCATTGCTACCATATCATTACGCGCTTCCGGCAGTATGAGGAGCAGACGGATAAGGTTGCGGAGTACTTCGACACGGTAGCCCAGCGTCTCTACAGGACACGTACCACGCAAATGGGTGCTACCATCGCCGTACATCTCCCCTACACTTGTTGAAGGCCTTCTGGAGTGGCTTTCTAAAGTCGCCGTCTAAGAGTACTTAAATCAGATCGACCAGACCACCCGCTAATAACTTCTAGGTCCTCATATCCTTCGTAACCGCAGAGCTACTCGTGTGCATCCACAATCAGAAACACCTCGTTGCCGCGGCGCTCTTCAACACCGCCATCCTCTTCTTCTCTCGCACCCAGATGGCCAACTTCTGGAACGACAGGAACCAACTCAGGGTCCCGTTCATCGAGAAATTCAACGAAGCGATCGAGGGCAGCGAGATCGTGGTCAAGGTGCTGGGGTGGCTTTGTGGGGCATGGTTCGTCGCGGGCTTCCTCTGGTTATGCGGGATGTAGAGCACGACGGGAGACAATGGGTGCTTGGGGGCTAGCGCCGGGTTCATGGCGGGGATGCAGCTTGCCTCTACGGAGGCCCAAGACAGCTGCGTAGAGTACTGCAGTGAGTAGACCCTAGGGATCCGCCGGGAATCGAGGTCATTGTAATTCCTCGGTCTCTAGCGCAGAAATGAACGGGCATCGCTCGATGTGGCCAAAAATCAAGCCAGGCCTCCCATCTCCCTTGCAACTCTCAGACTCTCCGCTTCTCTGACCCAGTCTTCGATTCGCGCGCCTACATCTCCTACGAGTCGCTCGTACGTCTCACCCATGAAGAATAACGTCGTATGTGCCGCGACTTCATCGATGTTTTCCATGAAGACACGAATCCACGTGGGATCCTTATTACCATACGCATCTTTGGGCGGCAGCATGCAGAACTTCTTGAGGCGCTTCTTCTTGGGAGCGCCTTCGGGCCCCGGCGTAGACGCATTCGTGTCTGTTGTTGCAAGCGAATATGTCGAATCCGTATACGTGGACGACGGATGGCTTTGCTCGTTCGGGTCCACTTGGTTCAAGATGGCGCTGTGCGAGAAATCGTAGTTACCGTATGGGCTCGCCCCTTGGCTGTGAGACTGTCCGGTCACTCCCAGCTGCATAACGCCAAAGTCTTCCTCGAGCTGCTCGGGCTCAATAGCGCTCTCTGTCTTCTTTTCGTGAATAGGAACTTTCTTTCGTGTGAGTTCCTTTTCCTTCTGTTTCCTGAATTTCTCCTGCATTTTCGATCGCTCCTTGATGACCTTGTTGCGTGACTTGACTGCCTGCTGATACTCTTTGCTGGCTTGCTCGTACTCTTTCTCAGCCGATTCCATCTGCGCTTCATCGGTGTACAGTGAAAGATCGACAAATGGCGGCTCCTGGGGTATGGGCGGGATCTCAGGTAAGTGAGGTCCATCTTTCTCTACAGGATTCTCCCCAAACGGTAACTCTCCTATCGGAGACGTCGCGGATGGTGGCATTTCTGGTGTAACGGGCACCACTTCGTTGTCCCGATGTTGCTCGACTGAAATTCGAGGGCTTCTCGGCGTAGTATCCGGCGGAGTTGTATTCAGCGTCAACTGCGAGGCAGAGGTAAGCGCGGTGGTGTTACTATCTTGGTGTTGTAATCCTCTGCTGGCCGGCCGAGATGGAGACGGCGATTTTGGAGACTTTGGCTTCTTTGGCCTCCCTGTGCTGGCGGTGTAGTAATTCGCGAATCGTATGCGGGGGGGATCCTCAACTTCGGGATTCGCAGATCTCCTCTTCTTCTCGTCGTCTTCTTCCAAAGCCCGGATCCTCGCATAACGGGCCTTCAGAGAGCGATAGTCTGCCATGGCGCCACCGAACTCCAGGTGCGATCTCACCAAGCCTTTTGAAGCTTTGACGATGCCGTTTGAGTGTTTGTTCAGCCAATGCAGCGTGTTTTCCCAGCCTTTCCGAACTGGGAGATGCACATCGTTGTAGAAAGTTGGGTTGAAGTTGGGGTCGGATGGTCTGGGGTTGAAGAGCGTATTCATGCGGCTCAGCCTTTTCCCACTCGAAGTCGGATCCGCCTCCGCCTCTACTGCGGCCTCCTCTGGCATGGGCCATGGTTTGAAGATGCTCCCAAGTCCAGCTTTCACGATACCGGGATGCATACCAACGAAGGGAACATCGAAGTTGATAGTGCCAATGATGCGGTGGCGGAATAGTAGAGCTATGTCGGCAGCAATCAGTCCGCCCATGGAGTGTGCAAGGAGAATGACATCGGTCCAAGGGTTCTCATGTGGTGCGAGCCTGTTGCGGAAGTTAGGACACGCCTTAGCGTGACTCTCGAAGCTTGGTGCTACCTAGGTAGACATACCATTTGGAGAACTCGTCCCTTGCGACCTCGAGAGCGTAGCGCGATCGATACTTTGGGTATAACTTGGTATGCACAACGTGCGAGTCGCCGAGAGTAATGGTCACGAGATTATGCACATGTGCTGGGAAGCTCCGGAAGCTGGTTTCGTCCCCCAAGAAGCCGTGGATGAAGACTAACAGCAGCCGTCGCCTGCCGGCCGTTTCGGCATCCGGGACGAGCGACTGGGTCGATGAAGATCGCGGGTCGCGCGCAGACATTGCCGTGTGTGAGGAGTAAGGATGAGTATGGTAGACATCGCCCGATGGCCGTGGGGGAAGAGGCGGTGGTGGAGCATCGTCATTGTGGTGGTTCGCGCCTGCCGGCTGTTGTGATGACGACATGCCGAGGGCTCTGAGTGGCTGAGGCAGTCACTTAAACAACGTCCATTCTGGAGGAAGTGGAAGGGTTATGTTCGAGATGGAGTCGAAGCTTGGCTGCCGCTTCTTGGACCGAAACAGGATCTTGGAGAAGTGACGTGGCTCGGACGTGCATGTTTAATCGCTGAATGGGCAAGCAAAGTAGAGAGGAGTAAACACGTAGCTGGGAGGCGCCAAATGCGAGGAACTACTTCTGCAACGGCTATCTCCTACTGCACTGGCGTGGTTGAGGCCTGTGTTGCGGTGTTGGTAGAGCATTGCCCCTCATTATTACTTAGACTGCGGGGAATACTTGATCCGAACCTCACGGTTCACGGGTGGCAACATGCGGCGTGCCTGACTAGCGATGAATCTTGCATGGCTTCGGAGGAATAGTAAAGACGGGTCTGACTACTGCGTGCGAGACGTGTGAAAGGCTCCAGTTCAGGAATACACCAGTATGTGGGCCCACGTGATGGCGCCCATGCTTACGTAGCACCCCGGTCGCAACGTCCGTCGCGACGGCTTGGCAATATTGAGTGGCTCCAACCGCAAATTGCTTCGAACTACCAGCCGCCCATCAATTCCCGACGTGCTCTCGCGTCAGACCAGAGATTGAGTCGGGCATGATAGGGGCGGCCACGGCCAAAAATACAGCTGTCGAGCTCCGGTCATCAGGCGTTGCGGTGGTGCACAGGTGACTGACAGTGACAAGTCCGTCGTTGGGAAAGCGCGGGCGGCTCCATCGCTCCATCGCTCCTGCAGCGGGACAAGAAATTGGAACTCATCGGTGGGCCCGTGCGCCCTCTCTGCGCCGAACCGGCAGAGAAACACGGCGGCCCTTCAGGTGAGACGCTGCCCTGCGCCAGCACGGCATTTGCCACGATTAAACATTCTGTCCAAACAAACACCCCTCGCTGCCGGGCGTCTTAACTCCTTTTCTATCGCTCCCAGCCCTCCCCCGGCGCTCGTCATCACGATATCGTGAGCGGGTCTGTGCTATGCCTGCGCTGGCTTGCCGAAATTTGCGCGCAGGGATCCCAATTGCAACCCCGGCCCTCCTGCGCGCCCATTGGCCACGCCTCCCAACGTCCCGTGTGCCCACCCCATCGCCAGCCTTCTCCTCGCTGGCTTTCTTCTGTCGCGCAGCGTGCGCTTCCTCACCACCACGACCTCCGCTGCGACGTCGCGACAACCGACCCTCTCCGGGCTGCCAGCGCTGGAGCGCGTCCAGGACCGAGTGCTGCTTGCCAACCCACAACCCATCGAGCCCCGTCACGCGATAACCCCCCGACCGTGTACCATAGCACAACAGATATCGTCTCTAATAAAGGGTCCCACCGCTCGTCGTCGCCCACACGCGAATTGCGCAAAATTGCCGCCCGCCCGCACGTTGTAGCTGAGCGAATGTTGGTCGACTGAGGTGTGTATGCTGCCATCTCTACCTGTGACTTCACCCGTGAAGCGATTGGAGCGCTGATCGCTCACCAGGTCACTCGTTCCACTGCCGGTCTATCTGGCGTCCGTTCTTTTAGCTTTCCACGCTCTTTCACCACCGTACATACACCGCATCCATTGACTGGACCTTGACAAGAGCTCAAGCCTCATCGTCCGCTCATTCGCATCGCCGCCGACGTCCACATCCAACTTTTTACGCTCTCTAAACCCATGCACCGCGATATTGAGTTTGCCACATCTCTGAGAGCACCACTCGCGCCTAAGTAGCGTCGGCCATCCAACATCTCATGGAAACGATAGCATTACCGTCCCGTATATCCAGAGTCGATTCACGCTACCGCCACTGGGCGCAGGACGTATCGCCCCAGGGGAAGGCGGTACAGAGACCGCGGAGGGAAGAGGAGGAGCAGGAGGAGGCACTGTTGCACGACAGTCTCGACGAGCCGTTGCTGCTACGGGAACAGAAAGGGCGAGCTGTCATGGGACGGGCTCATCGCCTGTTCCACCGGCGCGCGGAGCAGAAAACGTCTCGCACTCTGACCGTGAAAGTGGAAGTTGTTGCTACTTTGGATGCCAGTGGAAATATTATCGGGCAGGAGACTGCGACGGCTTCAATACCACAGGTGCCGGCAGTACCCACGGATCCGTTGCCTTCGGTTCCTGCAGTACCTCCTTTTCCAAGCGACTTGACAGTTCCCGCATATCCATGGCCTTCAGGCGTACCAACTGGCGTCGCTGGAGGCTCCGGCACACAAGTTGTCATTTCGCCTGCGCCAACAAGCACAGCACTCCCCTCTTCGGCGGGGTTTAATTCCACTATACCTAGTGAGTTGCACCACCTGTATGCACTTTTCATGTCTGACACGGAAAATAGGTACAATCACGTTAGGAACATCATTTTCCTCAGCGCGTAATAGCACCTCCACATCATCTTCGTCATCATCGCGATCGTCCAGCCGACCTTCGACCTCATCCACCCGAACATCAACGTCGTCTACATCAGTACCCTCCTCCAGCTTTTCAAGCGCGGCCACCTCTACCTCTGCTTATGGAGGAGGTGGCGGGGGTGGCAACCCCGAAAACACGGCACCGCCTCCGGCAGCGACAACGACCGCCGCGGTAACCAATGCCGGCTCTGACGGCAGTAGCCCTCTCGGGACTCCTCAGGTCGTTGGCACTGTCTTCGGGAGTCTTGCAGGTGCTGCACTTCTTCTAGCTCTGATATTGTTTCTCATCAGGCGACACAAGCGCGCACAACGTGGCGCTACTCAGCTCACAGGAGACGATAGCACTGATAACCAGCCCATTACCCAGTCGGCTGCCCGGACCAGCTTTATCCCTCCCTCCTTCCTGAACCGCTTCTCAGGTGCCTCCAGGTCGACTGTAGGGAGCAGCGGCACGGGCGAGCGAGGCTTCCAGCGGATATCCGGACGGAAGCTTCCGTCAGCGTTCAGCGAAGGCATAACATCTGAGCAGATTGCTCGTGGTGAGGGTACAATGTCTGGATCCTCGTTCTATCGCGACGACAAGGGCCTCTACGGCGGCCCAGGCATCGTCCCCAAAGACTTCGGGAAGGAGACCGAGCCGCCCTCCAGCTCTGGTGCAGTAGGGCTCAAAGAGACTCTAATGCCCAGCCCCGCACGGACGCCCATAATCCACCATCCAGACGACGCGCCGCCATTCGGTACCAGCCGCAATGGTGGAGGGTCAACGCTAAGCCCACCACATACTCCCAACCCAGATTTTCCGCCGCGAGGCACCCTAGGGAGAAGTCATCCATCACACGATGGCTCACGGAGCTCCCGCTTCACGGAGAATGTATGACGATCTGGACCTTTTTCTCTGTACTTCTATACTGTCTTTTCCGCAATATTTCCTCACGACACGCATGCACGTGCATAGAGCCGGCATTCCTTCCCTGTTACTGTTATCGACGTCGGCTCCCTTTTGTATACCCCCGAGGAGCCTAGCGTCCAGCGTCCCCGCACGGCACGCACTGCAAATACCCCAACAAAATATCGACTCACCCACATACTCTCCTTAATACCGGCCGCATTTACGACGGTCGCGCGCTAATGTTTTGTGTCTTGATCGGTCCTTCCAAGGTTCTGCGTTATTATTTCATTCCTCTTGTCCTTCTGTTACGGCACGCGAGATTGGCATCTAGTGCGTGTCTCATACCCCGGGTTCGCCGTCGACGTTGGTGCTCTTTGCCGTCGGCCCGACCCCTATTTGCCTTATTCTTCTTGTATATAGTTACCGGCCTCCCGCGGACCAAGGCTAGGTGGTGGGTCCGGGGTTATGCATATGCTTGCGATGTTTGTCATGTCCTTGATACGGCTAGGAGGGCTCGGGGAAAGGAATAGGAAGGCCAATTCCCTTGTTGATAGGCGTGCGTGGTGCGAAAGGTGCACTGTAATTTCCAATGCTAAAGTTCAGCTAGACTCTTCAATTGAAATGGAGGTGACACAAGTGAAGCGCTATGCCTGCATCAGTGTGAGCCGCGCCATTACTGCCGTTTGGCGAACGCCCAGTAGTACGTTCTAAGAATCCATTCAATCAGAGGACTTGCAAACGGGCAATCAGGGTAGAGAGATGTACGGCGGCTCGCTAGATCATGCCTTCCACCGCTCACCACCAGCCTTCCACACCGTAGGCCCGCTCACTCTCTCGATATGGCGCCGTACATTGATTCCCCTCCTCCACTTACCTCTTCGACTCACCAGCGTGAAAACGCGGCGTACAATTCCAATGCGAACCTTGCGTTTTCGCGAGCGGTCCAGTACAGACAGCTCGTCTCGAGGGCGGTGACGCAGCGCCTGCACTCGCTATCGCTAGATGATCTCACTACCTTCAGCGGCGATGCGTGGGAAAAGACGGATCGTGTGAAAGCGAGGGAACGCGTGAGGAGGGATGTTCAGCTTTTGGGAGTCGCTTGGGGTATGTACATACGTGGCATGGAAAAAAGAAAGGACCGGACAGTGTTGATTGAGAATGATAACGCTGATGATGTCATGGTAGACACGTTTAAGCGGGATGTCGAGAGGGCGGGGGAGGAGAGACATGTTCTGAGCCCCGTGAGGTATGAAGCGGTAAAGAGCGTAAATGGCAGCGGCAACGGCAATGGGGACGGGAAGGCGGTTGCGCAGAATAGAGAGGCTGCGTGTGAGAGGCGAGAAGATGCGGACCGCGGGGATGTGGGAGTGCGGGAGCTGCATGTGAGGCAGCAGGCGCTTGTTGGGATGTTGATGAAGCTTGGGAGGCTTAGGGGCGGTGTGTAGTGGAGTTGGGAGGAGGTTGGGGGGAGTGATTGGATTGGGGGTTAGGGCTCTCTGATCTGTATGGAGGCTTTTTATGGTGATAATGAACTGTTGCAGATGAATGGCTTTAACGATAGGTGAGGTGTGGATGTTTCTAGGATAAAGAATTCATATTTGCTTTTGAAGGAGCCGTTGGGAACGGTGATTCAGGAAAGCACCGGCGGAATCGGCATCGAGAAGAAAAGGGGGGAGGAGCTTTGAACGTAAAATTCGATGCTTGCCCGTGAAGAAGAAGTGTATGTTGGGACAGACGTCGGGACAATCAGCGGGCCGGCTCAGATCGACAAAACGATTTGATGTGCAGCCGTACATCGTTCCTCGGTTTCCGCCTTCTCTCCGCGACAACACCACCAAAAGCCTCTTCGTAGTCCTGATTCATCCCCAACTCGTTCTTTAGATGAAGGATTAGCGATTGGAGTCGCCTCTCAAGCGGCTCTCGTAGTATGAACGTCAGACAATGAGATCCCACTGAGCGATGAGTATACAGGAGATTGGATACGCTGAGAATGGGAGCGCAAGAAATCAAACCGGAATGGCGGCTAGAGCTATGACGAGAACTGTGAGCGTTCTATTGGCTATTGGAACCTTTGAGTTAAGAGACAAGAAGCGCGTAAAGAGCCGGGTGCTGATAGGGTTTCCGTTAATTTGGTGGGAGCGGTAGCCGTAATTGGTGGCATCCACACTGACCCGTGCAGTCGTCTGAGGGAGCTCCTGGAACGAAAGAGGCATAAGCTTTGCGGGAATATCTGTCTTTGAATTATGTTCGTTGAGCGCTTCTTGGGCCGTGCGCTGAAACGCGTATTCACTCCTGAGTGTGCTGCTCGACTGCCAGCCAGAATTTGGACTCCCAACGTCAGCGTGCGCTACACGATGCACATTGCTGAAGGCTCACCTAGCAACGGCGCTCATTATTTGTGCCCGTTGCTAGGTTTGTCCCCTAGCTCCTTGCCTGTGGCGTGTCTGACAGTCGTTGAGGTTTCACTCGAAAGTAAATACCTGTCTCAGCGCACCAAAATTCTTCCCCTCCCGGTCTCACAGACACACCTACACCACAACATTTTCTAATCTCACGGCTCCCGTGGATTTTATCTTCATCGACCAACGGTGCTTCCTCAGGCTACTCGGTTTGCTACCAAAGACACGTGCTCCTGTGTGCCCACGTGTTCCAAATCACGTCCAGATCGCAGCTACTCCGACAAGCGTCTCTCGAGCTGATCGGTGTATAACAATGGCACATATTGCTACCAGCTCCAATGCTTACTCCGTACTCGCCAAGTCGTACGCCTCCTAACTCTGCGCTATATACGCTAGTACATACTAACACCATGATAGGGACCCAGCACAGGTAGAACCGGGCAAAGGAACGTCGAAAAAAGCTCGCAAGCGCCATAGAAAGGCTGCGCAAAAGGCCAGCGCTTCCACCACAACGAAGGAGGAAACATTCAAGCCCCAAGAGCGGGCTGGCCAGACCAACACAGCGAACATAACTCCTACTAAGCCTGCTTTCGCCGGTGCGAAGGTCCTTCGGCTCACTGACGTAGATGTGGCTGTCAAGCAAAGTGGCTCCTCCGCGAAGTCTGGGCCGCCTCTTACGAAGTCCGTTTCCGCAGCGGTAGCTCTGGGCCATCAGATCAAGTCGCCATCAGATCTGGCGAAGCCAGGCGAGTCGTACAGTGCTGTCGCCTCAGCGGCCCAGCAGACGCCTTCTTCGCCCATTGTCCCCGGGGCCGATCGAGACGAACCCAAGCTGTCCAAATCATCTCGATCTTCGTCGCAGTGGCCTCCCTCGAATCACTTCGATGTGTTGAAAGACACTAATAGCGTCGACCCTATCGCCCCAACAGGCAAGCCCAAGGGCGTTAAAGATAAGCTAAAGGGTAGCAAGTCCGAGAAGAAGACTGGTTCACAGGGAGGCCCTTCGTTTGCGGCCCCTGCTCTCACATCTGGCAACGACGCATCGCGGCTATCGGCTTCTGCATGTTCTGAGGGTTGCGAGCCTTCCAAAGCATCTTCGAAGCTGATGCTGGTGGGATCTGCTAAGGCTGAAGTCCAGCCTGTACCGACCGCTTCAGATATCCGCAACATGGAGCCCACGAAAGCGCCTAATGCGTTGGGCAAGTCACCTACGGCTGCGGCGGGCTTCTCTACTCGCAATGCTAGAGCCTGGGCTGCTGTATCCATTCCGAAGCAAATTGGCCAACGTACCTCTACTATGTCACGTTCTGAAAATGCCACGACACCGACCGTATCAAAGAACCCTGCCGCACCCGCGCCAACTGGACCAGAGAAGAAACGTACCGAAGTCACTGCTCCAGCTATCTTGTCTCCAACACCGTCGCAAACCACAGCATCGCCAAGTGCGTCTGATAACCCCGTCACACAGTCTCCTTCAGCACTAAAATTCCCTGGCTCGGTCGAAACGATCAAGATCACTACTGCTGAGCCAATGAAGCAGCAGGCGAAGAAAGCCAGGACACAGAGCCCCGTTGTCGAGCAAGAGGTAGATGATCTGCTTCAAATGAGCCGCCCGCATCGCCAGACGCTTTTTGAGGGTCCTCAAATGGTCATCTACGTTGGCGAGAAGAGCGTCCCCAATGTAGCCAAGCGCGCCGCTATGGCTGCTTCCCGCATGCTCAACGACCACTTCAGAAAAAAACCGGAGTCGCTGGAGTATTCTTTCGAGGCTGGCTTCGTGGACCTTGCCGCCATTCGCACCCTTTTGGTCACCTGGCCTCTCCAGAGCTCCAAGGAATTCCAAGCAGGTGAGGTGCCTTTCCAGGACACCTTCGAGGAGAACATGGCTCTCCTTCGGGCAGCGCGTTTCCTTGGGATGGAGCGCTACACGAAAACCATCCTCAAGTACCATCTGGACTACCTAAAGACGTCGCTACCGGAATACTCTGAGATTGACACCGTCGAGCGGATGGCGACCTCTGACAAAGACCCGCTGTGGACATCAATGGTGAACCATCTCACCCACAGCCGCTTTAAGGGATTCATCCCAGACCCGGAAGAGTTTGCCGCCTTCCTGGACAAGCACCCGAAGCTGAAGGCGGCGATGGAGGCAGCCGATGAGTTCTTCAAGAACTCCGCAGCGAAAGAGCGTGAGAAGAAGGACCAGCGGCGTCCAGCTGAGCAGAAGGCGGGCGAAAACGCGCGGCACCAGCGCTGGCAGAAGAACAAGAAGCGCCGTGAGCGCGAGAGCGCCACAGCTGAGTCGCTATAGCACAAGTTAATGCGAATCGGAGTGGGAGTATGGGCGTGTAGTCGATCACGGCTGAGGAAGCTGCTATGCTGAGGGGTCGCTGAGGATTTCCGAGGGATCCTGTAGTCCCGCATAGGAGACAGGCGGCAGGCGTGCCGCGGAGGAATTTCGCGCCTCGGACGCCATTGGGATCATCTGAGAGATGGAGGGAGGGGTTCTTGAGGCGAGGATGGCCTTTTGTGTGCCAGAAACTCCCGCCAATTGTTCCAATGTAAGCAGAACTTATGTTACGAAATAGAATAGTGGAAGGAAGTACCTAGGAATCTGATTTTCTCGTCTAGCTCCAGCTGCGATGACGCTTTCCACGGCATCAAAGGCCATTGTACGTTGAAAGTGCGTATGTCTCTGCTAGCGTGTGGGGCAGTAATAACAGATTGATTGATTGATTTTTCTCTTTTTAAGTCACCAACCTATAGAGCACACTGACCGCTCCGGCTCTGGTAGAAGGCTTGCTTCGGGAAAGCATTGGACGGCTTCCTGGTTCCGAGGATATAAAATTTCCTGTTCTCTCTTTTGCTCTTCGCCTCTTCGTCAATGATTTGCTCTCATCTGCTTCCAACTCCTCTTTGTCTCGTCTACACACCGTTTTGCTGGAGTCCGTCGGAAGCTGGGTGCGTTGAAGGAAGGATCGCACTCCTACGCCACCTCGGGGGTGTTTCCGAGCGACGAAGACGTTCCCGCGGCGCGTCATGGGGGAGCATCCTCCGAGCCAGGTTTGCGAGGCTCAGCATCGTCTACGCTGCGGTCGCCCTGAGGGTTGGTATCGTCGTCCATTATCAGTACCGACCTGATGATGTGGAAACGAAAAGGGTTGCAGGCGGCATTGGAACGATGAATGAAGAAAAGACGCTTCCGGACGGTCCTGCGACGTGCTTAGTAATACGCTCAGCGCTAGCGGGCCATCTTGGAAGCTACTGGTATCCTCCACTTTCCATCCGCCTCGGATCGAATCGAATCGTGCCGATTACCACATTTAACGCTGTTATTTCTCTGAATGGAATGGCCAGCCATTCTAGATGCGAGTCGAGTAGCATTTGATAGCGGCTTCCGCTCGAAGCTAGATGCTCATATTTGCATAATCACACTCCGGAGATGAATCGAGGATGGGTGCCTGATTACAGGCCGTGAGATAATTCACTCAGCTCAATTCCATCATTATCTTAGCGAACCAGCATGCCCATCCGGAACTCCACATTTTGAAGTCCGATCCTCCCTCAGATTCGACCATCCCACGCTCAGATCCTCCACTCCACACTCCAGTCGCGACACAGAAGCCGACTACTTCGCAACGCGAAGAATGTTCTCCTCGTAGATAGCGGCGGTTTTGCCGGTGTTGGAATTTTCAATCTGGGCACAATGTCAGTGCCGCCGCGCTTATTCAGCAAGGATGCGGACACAGACTTCATAGCGGGGCCGCTCCTCGGACGCATCGACTTTGCGGTGGGCAAGGGTGGTTGGCTCAGTGGCCACCTTCTTGATGATGCCTGTGCTCTCGGCGGTGTTGGAGTTGGGGCCTGGTAGAGCTTAGCGGGCTAGCAGTGGGAGGAAGATACGAGTGACTTGCCACCGATGGCCTTGTAACGGACGGTCTGGCCTTCCTCGTATTGCGGCATTTTAGAGTTAGTGGTGGTTTGGTTGAGGTGGAGTCGGAAAGCGGCGGGTAGTTATTGGGTTCGTGAGTAGTTCGCCGTTGTGGTTGATTGAGGTCGTGGTGTGAGAGCCGCGTTCTGGCTGAGGTTATGCTCTCCGCTGCGCCTTCCTCGACATTGTTGGTTGACGTCAGTACCTCGCCTAAGGCACCTGGGCAGGCTAGCGCACCCGAGCGAACCTTACGCGTTATCACGGGACCTCGTGCCGTTATGGATGCGTGCAGGTGCACTCGAAACGCATTCATCCTAGCACTATCTACACTAGTGTCTACCGGTGGCTTTCGATGCCCGCAGGTGAGATGAGAAGCAAAGGATTTTTCAAGGGGTGGTGGAGGGAAGCGCAAGGACTTGTGTCCAGAGAAGCCGGATGTTAATAGCTGCTACGGTTATTACAATGAGTAGACATGCACCCCCAAGAGTACCGGAAGAGGCGAAAACTGGTATCGAAGCAATCTGGAGCACTGTTTCGCAAGCTGCTGATGCCTTGCCGATGCACATCAACGATGAGGACTGTTAGACGGCAGTGGGGTGCCAAGGCGATTGGTGTTGAGGAGCCTACCTTGCATGGATGTAATGCGGACATATCAGGAGCTCTTGTAAAATAATATCCTATATCCGGTAACAGTGGAGTATGCTAAGCCACTATAGCGTCTTCCTCCTGAATAGATATAAATCGACGCCCGCGGCGGAAAAATCACCGAAAAAAGCCCGTTACCTAATCCTGACGGAGAAAGGATCTGGAGCATGACAAGTTGTGGAGACACGAACCGTGGCTTCGCCTTAGGATTCGTCGCCTCTTGGCGCTTCCAGACACTAAAGCCAGGTACCTCGGGGGATCGCTCCGCGACCCGAGGATCCGACCGCTTCCATGGGATCCTGGGCCGGAAGAAAGAATTTTGCGCTTCCGACGAAACGTGGGGTAGGGAGATGCAAAGGTGCTGGATCAAGTTCCTAGCCGCTTCAATTTTTAGAGAAGCCGAAACGTACCGCTAATCCCAACATGAGCTCTCGAAAGCCATCGCGTCCCAACTTCCTCATTTTCCTAGCAGACGACCTTGGATGGTCCGACACGGGTTGCTTCGGCGGAGAGATTTCGACACCAAACATCGACGAGCTGGGCTACCATGGTCTACGCTTTACCGACTTTCATACCGCAGCCCTATGCTCCCCTACGCGTGCTATGCTGCTAACCGGAACGGACCACCACATCACTGGCCTCGGACAACTAGCAGAATGGATAATAAAGTCGCCGTCCCACCTTGGGCAGCCGGGGCATGAAGGCTTCCTGAACGATCGGGTTGTGACGTTTCCCCAGATGCTGCGAGATGGCGGCTACTGGACCTGCATGTCCGGGAAATGGCACCTAGGCCTGGAAAAAGACCAAAGTCCTTGGGCGAAAGGCTTCGACAAGTCTTTTGCCCTGCTGCCCGGATGTGCGAGCCATTATGGTTACGAGCCACCATTGGCGTCGAAAGAGGAGATTCCGCCATTTTTCTCTACTAGCACTGCCTGCTATCATCGGGAAGACGAGCACATTGTCCGGCGTCTTCCAGAGAACTTTTATTCATCCGACTTTTATGCGGATAAGCTGATTGAATACCTCGGCGACCATCAGAGGGAAGCTCCTGACCAGCCGTTCTTCGCATATCTTCCATTTAGCGCGACTCACTGGCCGCTACAAGCACCCAAGGAGAACTGCGAGCATTACTTGGGCGAGTATGAGGACGGACCACATGCGCTGCGACTGAAACGCATTGAGCAGCAGAAAAGGCTGGGTCTGATTCCGAAGGACATTGTCCCGCATCCGATAGTCGCGCCGGAAGTACCAGAGTGGGAGAGCATGTCTGCGGATGCAAGGGCGAGATCATGTCGAACAATGGAGGTGTATGCTGGCATGGTGGAGCGGATGGACGAAAATGTTGGAAAGGTTGTCGAGTATCTGAAGTCATCCGGGCAGTACGAGAACACGTATATCATCTTCATGAGCGACAACGGTGCGACACCCCGAAGGTGGAGATGAACGCTAAGGCCATATGCTGACATCCTGAAGGAGCTGAGGGTGCAGCCATTGAAGCAAGCCCGACGATGCAAGGAAAGACGCTGGAGCATATGCAGAAATACTACGACAACTCGCTGAACAACATCGGGCGGGCAACGTCGTATTGCTGGTACGGGCCGCTGTGGTCGCAGGCTGGGACGGCTCCATCGAGGCTGTATAAGTGGTTTAGCACTGAGGGAGGAGTCAGGGTACCGTTCATTCTGTCGAAGCCGGGACTGGCTCACAAAGCGGGCATTGAAGAGGCATTCTGCACGGTGATGGATCTCGCTCCGACTATCCTTGACTTGGCTGGAGTTAAATGCCATGATGGGTGTTATGCAGGACGCCAAGTCGCGCCAATACGTGGGAAATCGTGGAAAGAATGGCTCTCATCGCCAAACGGCCTCGAAATCCATGATGCGGACTATACTGTAGGGTGGGAACTCATGGGCTGCGGAGCGCTGCGGCGCGGGGTGTGGAAGATTGATTGGGTGCCGCCGCCAAAGGGCCCAGGAAGATGGCAGCTGTACGACCTCTCGAAAGACCGCGGAGAGATGAATGACCTCGCAGATACTTATCCCGAGAAGCTTGAGGAGCTGGTAGGACTATGGCGGAAGTACGCGAAGGAGGTGGGCGTTGTTGGTTTGAAGAACGAGATCGAGGAGTTCAGAACGATGAAAGTAGAGGAGAATCCAGATAGGGTTACTTGGCTGCAGTTCATGGAGCCCGACGGCCCGCATCATCGAGGGACTGTGGCGGAGGCCTGAGGTTTAATGGAGCTGGAATTTGCATCACTAAGCGAAGGCGCTATCCCTGTAAAGGCAAGGCGCTAGCTTATGCTCATCTTAAGTCTTGGGATCTCGACAATTGACGTCTTGAATATCCTCAAGTTAACCTTCATATCTGTACACGCGCCATCTATGCTGGAGTCTTTTCTTCATGCTTCCACTGCGCTCATAATGGGTCCTCACATTAACCTCGGTTACACCCGAGTCCAGGCTTGGCCTGACTCCGAACGTTCGGCCGCTTTCCCCGCACCTCACGCGGCTTCCGTCACTCACACCACGATCCCCCCGTTCCAGCATGAGTATGCCACCGGCACAGCCTGCCCACGCCGAGGAACGGCCTCCCAAACGCACGAAGATACGGCTCGCGTGCCAGGAATGTAGAGATCGCAAGATTCGCTGCGACGGCGGCAGGCCCACCTGCAATGCTTGCGCTCGGAAAAAGCTGGGGCCCGAGCACTGCATCTACATCGAGCCTCATAATGAGGTAGCCCCGAGCTATGTTAGATCTCTGGAGAGCCGCATTCGAGAGCTGGAGGAGAGGCCAGATCGGGACCGTGGCTTCATCCGCAAACGCATTCCCCAAGCACAGACGGGCGTGCCCTTCTCAACTCCCCATTCTCAGACGCCGACCCAGCAAGATCACGCGCAGATGAAAGACCCCAAAGGCTACCCCTGCTCCTCTCCATTGCGTCGGTACGACGGCGAAAGATCCTTACCAAGCATCCATAACGTCCTTGGCTCAGATTATCCGTCCCATCTCAACCACCGCCAGCAGAGTGCTCCCCTGAATGCACAAAACGGCCCTAACACCGAATCTCCTTTTCCTGGCGCGTACGCGAGCCCTGAGCCCCCTTATCGCTCAGACTCATTCAACGTGGAACAGAGGCGCAATGCAAGCCCGCTCCATGGACAGACGGGTTCGCTATCAGCATTTCAGCCGGACTTGGGAGGAATCATTCATGAACAAAAGTCTCGGGCAGCTGCAGATAACCCGGAGATCGAGGATACGCTTCCAAACTCTCACTCCGACGAGGCTCTAGAAGCTCAAAGGGCGAGCGCCATGGGAGCAACAGCCGGCACACCACCTTCCGCAACGGTTACAGGCTCTGTCTTCTTGGGACCTTCAAGCGCTGCAGCATTCATGAAGGAAGTCCAAAAAACTTCCTCTGTATGGAAACGCACCCATTCGGACTTTGTGGGCGATGGCGTAGCTAGTTCAACGGCCTCGCGAGCATCTCGCCCTCGTAGTAGGAAGGAAAAGGAGCTCGTTCGTACCCTGATGGAAGAGCTAGTTCTTCCTCCTCGGCGAGTGGCGGACGCACATCTCAACAACTATTGGAAGCACGTGTATCCTTTATACCCTATACTACACAAGCCTAGTTTTATGAAAAGGTGAGTTTTGTACGAACCGCGACTCTGAATCCAGTCATCACATTCCCCGATGAACACCGCTTACGAGTCTTCCATGAAACATCCAGATACGAAAGCGTGTGGAACCATGACCCTGAGTGCTCTGAATCTCAAGAGACCGTACATTCTCTTCGAGCCTTCTTCAGTACCTTCAATACTATTCTTGCCCTGGGGTCGAGATATTCGACGAGAACGGACTCGTCACAAGGGTCAAACCTAAGCGCGGAGACCTTCTTTCAAAGATCACAACAACTAACGACGCATGAGAGCCCAGACCATGGCTCCCTCCAACTTGTGCAGGCTCTCATTCTCACTGCTCAATATCTTCAGGGCTCAGATATGGTCAATCGCTGTTGGGTGACCGTCGGTTTGGCCATTCGAGTTGCCCAAGGAATTGGAATTCAATTAGACTACGCGTGCGAAAGCCAAGCCGAGAGAGAGGAGCGCAGAAGGACCTGGTGGTGCTGCATTCTAATGGATAGGTAGGAAGACATATCCTTCTTCCAGACTACTAACTCAGTGCGACCTATAGAGTTCTCAGCATGACCTTTGGAAGACCACCGATGGTTGTTTGGCCGTCTCTCGTTCCATTTCCCGCCATTGTCGATGACGAAGAGCTCTCCATGGAGCGATCAAGCTCGTCTACTCCGCTTCAAGAACAGCACAATTCCAAGATTGCCTTCTTTATTCATGCGTTGGAACTTTCTAACACTCTCATAGATGTGTTGAAGTAAGTCAAGTGCTGGCACAATGTCTGAGAGTCAACTGACGACGCAATAGAAACTTCTATACTCCTCGCAGAACACCACGACCAGCACCATCGGAGGGACTCCACTCAGAAGATTGCCGCCCACTCTTAGATTTAGATGACAGTCTCGAGCGTTGGAGTGGTCAATTGCCTGAGCACTTGCGCTACCGTGAAGATGCTCCTCTCGATGAGCTCGGAACGATTTTCCGTCAACAAGCCGTAGTATTACACTGCAGGTAAGATGGGCTCCTTCCGCTCACTTTGCACGTTGCGCGACTAGGCTGGGAAGTGCCTAGTTTGCTGCATAATCTCCAGCATACAGACTGCATATGACTGTGCCGTATATTTTGTCTCACTCCTATCCTGGGATTGCTGTAGTTTGAAACTCAAAAGCCGAGGTCGCATAGCGTGGAACTACACTCTCCCATTAGGACCGCGAGTTAACCGCCCACAGATATCTCCACCTTCGGATTTTGCTTTTCCGACCTATCGCAGTTGACCTTGCTCAAAGCCACTACTTCGACCCGGATTCGGATAGCCGGCATACGGTGCTCAAACACGCGATTGCTGCGGGCTGTATCCGGTCTTGCGTTTCTGCTGCACAAGAGCTCATCCACACTTTGTTCAGAGAGTATGACAGGGGCCATCTCCCCGTTTCGTGGTACTCAGTCTTCTGTGGGTGACCCCAAACCATAATTCGCATATGCTGACCATTGAAAATCGGAAAGACCTTTACACCGCTGGGACTGTCATCCTAGCAGTTCTTGTGACTCCGACACTTCGACGAGCGGAGAAGGACAATTTTGCTTCTTTGGAGATGTCCTGGGCGGAGTGTATCGAATGTCTATCGCGGTTCGCAGACACGGAGGGTGGCTTTGCGAAAAGGTGTTTGTGGATGCTGCAAAGTGCCAGCAGCCAGATTCTGTCGGATGCGCAGGCGAATCGACACGGTCTGATCGTCCCTGACCACCATTTAGCTCTGTAACTGACCCAGTTTCAGGGCTGAATAATCTGCAAGCGAATGGCCAAACCACCCCTACACCGAACCCCAACACTCAATCTGGTAACGGAGCTAGGACGGATGTTGTCGCGGAAAGTGTTTTCGGACATTATGATAACATCTTTGCTGAAAACGGATTTGGTGAACCCTGGTGGCCTATAGGCAGCCTTGAGTGGCTCAGCAACATACCAACAGACTTCAACGATCACCCACCGCCACCTTTAGATCTATCTGGCTATTACGGGAATGATGCGCCTGGTTGAAGCTTGCGGTGGCGAGCGCTATTTCTCTATACTCATACTGGCTCGCCTTCCCTGCGATACATGCCGAGGTTCTTGAGCAAGGGCTCATCGTTGACGGCGAAAAGGTAACTGCGCCCGTTCTGGTCCGCGCAATGCACTCTTTCTGTCCACGCCGGCACAGCGAATGTATCTCCCTTCGCCCACTCCACCACTTCTGTTTCACCGTTTGCACGCGTCAGTTCGCTTCGACCCTTGCCCTCAAAACAATGATACACGAACGAGCAGGACTCGCGGATTGGGATCGACCTGGTACCAGCATCAACGCGTTCGGCTTGCCCACCCATTGTCAGTGACAATGGCTTCCGCGCCCCTCCTAACCCAACCCCATAATAATACACCGCGTGTGTGCCTTCCTTGCTGTCCAGAATCTTCTGGACTTCGTCCCAGCCAAACCGGAGGTCACCGTCACCGGAACTCAGCCTAGCCGCTAGGTCAGTCCTTGGGTAAAATGAAATTGCATTTAAAGACACATACTCGCTTGGGTACCTATTTTCCTTGTAGAGTTCCGCAAAATTCACAGGAAAGGCCTGATATAGCGGGAGATCGAGACCATCGAGCCAGATCATTGGTCCGTCGCCTACCGCATGTTAGCAACCCCTCTTTTCTCTTCCAAGGCTTTACCTACCCTCATGGCCATGATCATGCCACTGCCAGGACGGCGTCAAAATCACATCGCCCCTCCGCATCACCACTTTCTTTCCACCAACAGCTGTGAACCCTCTCTGCCCCTCAATGATGAATCGCAGTGCAAACGCAGTATGTCGATGAGCTGGCGCCGTCTCCCCCGGCAGGATGAGCTGTAATCCGGCATATATGGTATCCGTCGTGTACGGTGCCTTCATCGAGGGGTTCACCAGCATGAGGACGCGACGTTCGGCTTCTTTGTCGGAAACGAGACGACCGGCTTCGAGAAGCAGAGGTCGGATCTCTTCGTACTTCCAGCTAGCGACTGTGGCTTTCGGATTTGGCGCTGGGGGCACCATTGCGCTCATCACAGTCCACAGTGGTTCGACATTCTTAGCCAGCAACGCGGCAAGATATGAAGCCGTCTCCTTCGTGGTAGTTTGGTGCAGCGACATCGCTCCAGCAATGGTAAGAGTAGACGGGGGGTGAAGGGGGTAGTGGCAGTCGGGCTTGAAATATATGGTGGTTTCTGGAAATCGCGGTCACACTATCAGGTCCCCACAAGAAACATGCCACAAATCCTTATGTCCTGTGGCAACCGCGGCAGGGTCAACCGACCCCGCATCATGCCGGGGGCGGCTTGCGGAAGCTCAACCGTGATCTCGGGGAACGTCCCGACTCTTCTCAACAACACTAGCATCCGAGTGCATTTCGGGCTTTCAATCCTGCTCACTATGCTGGGATATCAGATCTTTTATTTGCATAACCTGGAGCAAAGCTTGATATTAGTGCCGCTTACCATAGAGACGAAACAGGGACGGAGGGGTTGGGTATCTGCACGTGATTTTCCAAAATGACGATACCATATTACAGAAACAGCCGACTTCCTCATCGTCGTTGCAGACAACCTCAGATTTAGCGATACCTCTAAAGGGTATGTGCAGTTATAGTATCAGAATTAGGTATTCCATCAAATCGAGCCTACGACGGCAACGAGATCGGTGCCCGGCACTTTATGCATGCGCCCTGGATCCCTCACTCTCATCAACGAGTGGAATTCGTGATCGACTTCTTTGATTCTCTCCAGGTAGGCTTGAACGAGCTGTACGGAAGTGAAATGGCCGTTATTGAGCCCTTCATTGACGTCTGATAGGGTGATGTCGAGTACAGAAGGGTGTTCTGGCGCTGCAGGGAACTATGGTTTTGGTATGAAATATTTTTCGAAAGAATCTAGACAAATGTTGCGGAAATGGAGGATCAAGGGGGGATTTATTAATGAGGGATCTCCCAAACGCCAGGCCGTCGTGCTTCAAGGCCTCATTGAAGACACCATATCCACCATGGTCCGAGAGAATCATGGAAGCCAAGCAGGTGGGCGAATAGTCATGACGATAATTTAAGCAAGACTATTCTGGCCTGCTAGTATCCTCGTCCATGAGTACCCTCGTCCATCAGTATATCCTCACTTCTTTACCAGGTCTTTTAGTCCACTATGCGCGACCAGAATGTGGTCCTGGAGGGTCAGTGACGGTAACGGCTCTGGCACTGCTGGCAACTCACCTGAACGCTCATAGGCAGGAGTATACGACCATAGCGTGTCTTCAGCGCATTCTTTCCTCGCCAGATTTTGCCTGTCTTCCCGGCTAGAATATCTGTCACCACTTCTTCGGCGTAGCCCTCCGGCTTCTGTCGCTTTATAAAGTCCCTGGCCTGCGCGCTATCCTGCACCTTTCCTTCCAGCGGAGTATATAGGGAGTTGGACGGAAGCTTGGGCGCAGGAAATTTGTTGTGGAGACCAGTGTCGATGGATCCGATGACGATGGTCAGGACGGAGACGGAGTGCGGCGCCAGCTCAACTCTCATAGTCTCGCCCAAGACATGCACGGCTGCCTTGGAAGCGCTGTAGATTCCTAATCTAGTAAGTTCAAAATTCTAGGATGGTGTGAGGCACGTATATAGGATGGACTTACCGGCATATGGAACATTAAGATACCCGTTGATGGATCCAATGTTGACCACCGTGCCTTTAGCGGCAACTAACAATGGGGAGAGTGCCTGCGTCACCCGTAGAGGGCCCCAGAAGTTCACGTCGAATAGTCTCTTTCCTTCTTCGATGTCGGTGTCGAGCGCAGGCATCCAGTATCCGCGACCGGAGTTGTTGACGAGGTAGTCCAGCGGGCCGCCAGTGACTTGCTTGACTGCTTCGACGGCGTCGGCTATAGAGTACGGATCCGTGACATCCAAACTGAGGAGGTGCAGGTTAGGAAGATCCTTGAGCCCAACCATCTTCGACAAGTCTCGCGTCGTAGCGAAGACGACGAGGTTGCGACGTTGAAAAGACTGCGCAAGGGCGTAGCCGATGCCACCGCTGCTGCATCCTGTTATGAGGACAGACTTGGACATGGCCGTGGATATCGGTGGGAATGATGAGGGCTAGTCGTTTGTCTGGCCATTGTACTTATAGTACGGGGGCGGACGGAGAGTATGGAGCCGCTTTTGGAGCGATCTGGTCGCCGACGGCGCCACGCAAGCTCCTTCTCACTGTTGTGCAGCGCGCTGGATACCGCATTGAGATGATGATGGATATTTTTGCGGATGGAAAGTGTCGCGATGCTGGGTACGCAGAGCCATGCACAGAGGGACAGACTGCACTAATTCCGTTTGAGTTAAGCGTGTCAGCACCTCGCATACGCTAGGTCCCGCTGGAGGCCTTAGGTTCCCCACACCGCACATGTTGTCCTCCGTGATGGTCCCCCTTGAGATGGTGTCTACTCGGAATGACTTCACCCTTTTCCTGCGATGTTGACTCTATCTAATGCCGGGTGCCGGCAGGGCGCGCAGACTATTAACGAGGGCGATGACTGGATAGGAAAGAAAGACCCCAAAGAACGACGTCGCATCCAGAACCGGCTGAATCAGAGAGCAGCCCGTACGCTCATTCCCCCACTTCTGCCTTTGACAGCGCTCTAACTTGAGCATGATAGGTCAGCGGAAGAATCCTGAGAAGTGGACGCCTTTACGCGGCAGGTTGGGCGATATCGCTCAGGGACATCAGACACTGCAGACTCCTCGATTTCCCCTAGAACATGCGGATGAGGGCCCAGCTTCCGACTGCAATCCCCACCAAGGGGCTCCTGTCGGAGTTTTTCCCGATCAATCGGCCCGTGGGACGGATCGTCTTTCTTCTACGGACGTACTTCTCGCCTTCTCCGCCGACCGTCTTCTAACACTTGTTCACTTCAACGTGTTTCGAGGTCTCCTGACTAACATGCTTCTGCTCCGCCTCCCTAATCTCTTCTCCTGCGAAGTCGCTACGAAAGAGCCACTCCTAATCTCCGCCCTCCCGTTACCGTCGTTGCTTCCGCCAGCGCTCTACCCGACACCTCTACAGCAACGCATTCCACATCACCCTTGGATCGACCTGTTCCCGGTTTCCAAAGTACGTGATACCCTTATACAGGCCACTGGCTCATTCGACTCCTGCGAGCTTTGCATCGACGTTCTCGGAAACATGGTTGAGAAGAACTTCGACAGGAGCGAAGCGATGATGGCCTACGATACATATGAGGGAACAGACAGGAGTATGATCGTTTGGGGTGACCCATGGAACATCGCTTCTTGGGAGGCCTCTGAAGGTTTTCTTCTCAAGTGGGGCTGGATGTTCCAGGGCTGTAGGGAAGCAATATTGCACCCAACAAATCACTGGCGGAGTCTCAGAGGTGAAGAGCCTTTGATGTGAAAGCTAGGATGTGGCCTCATACCAGACTCGGTGCTCTTAGCATCGAGTCCAACTTGTGACCCTCGCCACATGGTCCATACAAAAGCACGGCGCATCTCATATTCGGCTTCTAACACGCCAATGCACCGGTCACTACGACACGCACCCGGGCCTCTTTGGTATAAAGCGCACCCATTCTCGCGAGTGTTCGTTCTTATCTCAGACACAACATCTCCGCTGGCCCAACCACGTACACAACCCCAATCGTAACATATCCTCTCTTCGATAGAGAAACTCGTTGCTGGCACCCGCAGAGCAACCTGGGAGCTCCAAACGCAACCCTGAGTCATTCCAAAATGGTTCAAAAGATCGACCCCATCATCGACCAAGAATTGATCAAGGATGTGCGCGCCTTAGGTGAATTCGAGCGCAACGCCCTCGCCCAAGGCCCCACCGTCACCATATTCATTGGCCAGAAGCCCACGGTCTATGAGATGTCCAAGCGGGTCATCATGGCTATCTCTCCGCTGGCCAACGAGTACTTCAACAACGATCCCGCGGCGATAGAACTACATATCCCGTCTGATAAGTTCCACTGGGTCGGTGTTCTCGTTCTCGCGCAGTGGATGACCCACGTATGCAAGTCGCCCCGCCCCTTCTCGATCCGCGGCTCGCATAACCCACTTGAAGATATCAGCATCTACACTGCAGCTCGAGGGCTCGGCCTTGACCTATACATCCACCCTATCTTCACAAAGCTGGAGGAATTCGTAAAGGGCACAGAACACGGCCTGCTCCACTATGAGGAGCTAGACGCTATATGCAAATGCGACTCGGATGACCGCCTCTTCATGACTACCACATCTGTCTATGCCCGACTCCGCTACTATGAGCAGATTCCGGACCCTGAGGAATTCGATGACTTCCTCTCGAAGCATCCTCGATTTGAGAAGGCTCTGGATTGGGTACAGACGAATCTCGAGAAGCGCAATGGGAAGCGTGGGAAGACGAAGCAGGCCCAGAGCAATCACAAAGGCTCGGGGCCCCGCCATGCTCGACGAGCGCAGCGACAGCGTCAATCTGCCATGAATTAGGGGGAGACTGAAATCGCTGGATATTAGATGGACGTGACCGGTATTTTCCTGCAAGCTATGCGCCTCTAGTTGTAGCGAATAGCATTCAACGCAGCGAGGTGTTCAATCGTGCAAGGACAAGACGGCCGCCGTGTGGATGGCGCAGCCTAGAGTACTCCAGCTAGTAGCACTGCGTCAACGCGGCAACATTCACTCATAGAGTAGAATGCATGAGAAATCAGAACAGAATGCATTGAACAAAACATCCACTATATACGTGCCCAAGCCAAAAAAATCAAAAAATCCGCAAGCCTAGACATCAAACGCTGTAAAACTCCCCGTCAAGCTCTCCAAGCTCTAATCCCCCTCGAAGCTACTCGATCACCGTTTCAAATAGGGCCCGAAGATCCTCATCAAATATTGAAACGTAACCGGGATCCTGAGGCCTTTCAGGGTAGTTACCGAAGTCCAAGCTCGCCAGGTCAGATGTAGGCTCCGTGACCTCGAAGGGGTTAGCGAAGCCCGCATCATTGAATAAGAGGAAGTCGTTAAAGGTTGGCTGAGGGACTTCAGCCTGCGATGCCCATCTGGCCTCTGGCGGCATCTGCGGCCCCATAGGAGCGGTGTAAAACGCATCCTGAGGGCCGTCAACCTGCAATCCGCCGTCCAGGAGAGCAAAGCCCTCTGGAGTAATGGCGGGCGTGTAAAAGGGAGCCTGGAGGCCTTCAGGCTGTAATGCGGCCCCGAAGTTAATCGACGTCGGCGGGCCGGGCTGGGAGGTGTTAAATGTAGCCTGGGGACCTTCAGGGGGTAATCCGGTGTCGAAGACGGGCAACATGTGCGGAGCGGCGGCAGGAGCGTAAAAGGGGGCCTGAAGGCCTTCAAGCTGTAACCCATCCTCGAAGTTAGCCAGCATTGGCGGACCAGGCTGGGAGGTGTTAAATAGATCTTGAGGGCCTTCAGCGGGTAATGCGGCGTTGCATCCGAGAACAGGCCAATCCGGGGTGATAGGAGGAGTGCAAAGCTGATTCAGAGGCGCTTGACGTAGTTCCAAGGAGGAAGACACTCCGGGATCAGGATTCGCTCGGAGATGAAGGGATTTGGTAACGCGCTTTCGCTGCGCCTGCTTCTTCTTCTCCTTCCTCATATCTTTAATTTCCTTGGTGACTTTTCCAAGGAGAATTGCCGCGATCATTTGATCCTTCCTGGTGATATCTGACGTCGGAAGGCCCTTCTGTTTCAAGATAAATTTAAGCTCGTACGTGTTCATCTTTTTAAGGTCTTGCTCAGTAAACTTCTTATGGGCATTGCTGACTGAAATCTTCTTGGGGAATTGGGGACGAGGGTCTGTTAGATGGGCCATCGTGAAGAGAAAGGTGGCTAGTGGGTAAAAGTGTGTTGAGAAAGTAGAAGAGTAGTGTTAAAAGGGGTGAAGGGGAAGGTAGCTAGAGAGCAAAGGTGTCTTGGCGAAGTGGACGAGTGGTGTTAAAAGTGGTGAAGCCGTTAGTGGTACCTTTGAATCATGAGTAGCTGGTGAAAGTGTGGGGCTGAAGAGAGAAAAAGGAAGAATTTGCCTCCATATAAGTACGTTGTGCGGTAAGAAATAATTCATTTCTTGGGTCTGTTGAGGCAAAAATTTTCTTGAAGCCGTCTCAACACGTAGCACATGATCACGATGCGAGAGGTGGTGTTTGTTTGGAAGCGGTACGCGCTGCATCCATGGTACGCTCCAACTTTCCGTGAAAACTTTTTCGAATATCATGCCCGTTTCACTCCATTAACAGATTCTAGTAGAGGAGCTGGCGACTTTCACGGTATATTTAATTTTAGCCTCAGTTACCGAAGAAAAGTGAGAAGAAGGTTCAAGATTTCCTTACGCTACCGCATCTAGACTGCTGACAACGGTCTGTCGACCTCCAGGCTCCATCATGCATGTTTTGAGGCATCAATGGGGACATCGAGAAAGCTGGCGTGGCGAGACTCCATTCCTGCCTTCACCACCTTACGTGTAGGTTGCTGGGGCTCTCCCCGCTTCCCAATGTGCTCCTTGAGACTAAATGATATTATACACCCGCCGAGGATACGTATCCTCATCCTGCATCGCCTCTCCATCCATCAATCCATGCACATACGCCGTTCCCACCAAGCAATACCTCGTCCCATCACCTTCCATCTTTCTTACAACAACTGGCACTGACCCCGTTTGCAGTACACATATCTCGTCGCCGGCTCTTGCCCATACGCCCACAGAGACTACCAATTGATGTTTCTCTGCCAGAGCCAGTCTCCGCCATTTACTTCTTGTTTCTAGGGCAGTTAGAAAGTCCGAGTGGGCAGGCTTGCGATTTGAACGCAGCGCGCGGTACCACGCGAGGAATCGCTGTCTGTATTCGGATGCTTCGTTAGCGCTGACACGGCTTTCGAAAACATTTGTGTCTTGAAGAAGGGTGCGCCATATGATGTCACATCGAGTAGTGTCATCTTCAAATCCCTCCTCCGCGATGAACGAGGCCGGTATCGAACGAAGGAGCTGCAAGTGCCATTCCAAGCGCGGCCACGACTCGTCGTCGAGAGAGTCATCGACGGAGTTGATGCAATCAACATGATATCCATTCGCAACCAAGATATTATCGTTCACAGTGAAGGACTCTTTCCCGAAAACAGGCGATACACCAGCTTTGTAACGTGGAGGGCGGGCCATATGATCGAGGGTAAAAGAGTCGCTGTTTAAGCAGGGGATCCACGATGGCTGCAAGGGCGCCATTTTGCTCGGGTCGTCAATTGAGTCCTGGCAGATAAAGTTGAGGTTCCCAGTACAGGCCAGGATGGACGCTACAGTCTCGAGAAACACTTGCTGGGTAGGCTTCGTGTAGTCGGGTACGAGCCCGATGTCTTCAGCCAATCCGAGAAGGGCGTAGACCTTATCTCTCTTATCTGTCGCGTTCCATGAATCGAATGAAAAGAGCAGCTTCTGTAGCGGCGGCCGAGGTGGATACCGAACCTGAGTGCGCCAGCCAGCTAGAGCCATCGGCTGATAGCACGTGAGAAATAGGTCCAACTGGGGAACCTCATATCCCGCATCTTGGCTTTCGGATACAGTGTCGTTGAGATTGCGCATGACAAGCTCCAAGTGGGGCCACAGAAGCGAATCCGCTCCACAGATCAAAATGACATCCCGTGAGAGCACAATTTCTTGGACAATCCATACTCGGGACCAGATCGAGCGAATGAGGAATGTTTCGCGCAGTGCCTCCAGTTCCTCTTCTGTTGAATCCCCAATCCGTGGCGAGTTTGGAGATACATGTTGACCCGTGGACTTTGGACGTCTTTTCGCGGCTAATAACGCGGCATGCGTTTGTTTGACCCATCGAAACGCAATGGGGCTATATTTGTCTTCCTCTCCTAGCCACACTAGGTCGATCTGCGCCTGTCGATACACCCGCCCCATTTGTGTTACTTGGTGACCCCTCTCGTCCACATTATCTTGATTGATACAAATCTGGTCGACCCAAAGAGTGCGAGTGCGGTCTGCGAGGCGTAGATGCAGTAGTGCAGTTCGGAGGGAATCGGTAATTCGAAGCTTGGTTTCGCCCATCTGGACAACGGTGGCGTGAGCGCGAGGTCCCCAGACATAAGAAACGCCTTCCCCTCTATTAGTAGGCTATCGCTAGTAACCGCAATTGCAGCTAATTTTACGCGCTGAAGGCTTCCAGTAAATGTCACTCACATTCATACTCTGGATTGTCTTCTAGATCCGACTCTTCGAGCCACCCATGGATATGCGGAGACTCCGGCGAGGCTGGCTCGAGATGAAATAGCCTGAAGCTTGTCGGTCTCGGTAGCTCCTTGTAAATGTATGCTCGTTCCGTGATTCCTGCTCCTTTCCTCACCTCACCGTCGCACCCGCTTAAGGACGCCATGCCTGCTCACTTGCTGTAAATTCAAGCCTGTAATGAGGAGAGTAAGTCGTCTTGCGCGCCTGATGCGCGTAGATAAGCGGATCAGGCTGAAGTGTGCCCGCGGGTTGAGTGTCTGCTCGGGCGTAAGGTACGACGGCCGCCGGGCAACACAACGATACACGCTCCGCTTCGCGTTCCCGAACCTGCCAGATTCGGCGAAATCGCTTTAGAGACGGTGGATTGCGGGAGCTGGTATCGTTGAAAGGTGCTGGCAGGCGTTCAGCCACAGTTCGCGTAGGGCGCCTAATGGCGGGATCTGCATGAACCCAACCTATCAACTCCCACGCCATTCAATAGCTCACATTTTGGCTAGTCGATCTCGGCGAGTTAGTAGGGTTTATGAGGTATGGCTAGCTCGAAACCGACAGCGTTGTACTGAAGTCGCCATCCCACAAGCTCCACTTCGCTCGTTCGCTCTCTCCGGCATCTGCAGACACTGCTTAGATATAGCCAGAGGGTAGAGAAAGGAAAAATTTCTCCTCCGGGGACGATGTAGCATCACCTTTCCAGGACGCTGAAAGAAACCCACAAATCTCCGGTTAATTCTTCAAGAAGATCCCAATGAGCTCCAGAACAACATGCACAACCCGATCCCGCGACTCAAAATTAATCCCATGCCCACCGGGAATACTCCTAGTCAGCGTAATGCCGCTCTTCTCCAAGTACTTCTCATTCAGATCCTTCGTCAGGATAACATCGTCCTCGAGGCTCACAAAGGCGAGAGAGTCCGTATAGTACGGATCCTTATACGGCGCATAAGGTATCGGCCCTGCGATTGCTGACACCGCGCATGGCCTCAGTTTCTTCAGCCACATCGCAGCCTCGTCGTCCGGCAGACTTGGCCAGAGTGGTTTGGCATCAGTGAACGTGAGTGTGCCCGGCTTATCCTATCGAGGTATTTCAGTTGCGGGTTCGATGAAGGTCGGAAGTACCTTACCCCGGGAGCAATTCCAGGCTTCGGGTTGCTAGGATCCATCTCCAGTGCCTGCAGGGTCGACTCCCCCGGATCAATACAAAACGCCGCAAGATAAATGACGCCGACCACTCCACCCTCCTCGCCCTTCTTAGTCCTCTCTCTTTTGCTCAGGCCCTCGAGCGCTGCGGCACCGTAGCCGCCACCATACGAATGCGCGACGACTACTACGTCCTTCCCTTCAGCCAGGAGCGGGGCGAGGACCTTACTGCGCACGAAATCGACGTCGTCTTGGATAGTGACGATCGTTGCATCCTCAACTGTAATGCTGGGCGGATCGCCGCAGGCGGTGGGGTAGCCTTTGGCTTCTAAGGCGGAGCAGAGGGAGGCGTAGTGCTCAGTTGTGGCAGCTGCGCCGAGGATGATTGCGATTGTCGGCTTTGCCATGGTGGTTGGACAAAATAGCTAACGGTCTTCTCGTAGCTAGTGGTCTGGAATACCACGATATATGAAGCAGAATCGAGCTCTCGTACGATAAAACGCCCTCACCTGATGGATATTACGTGTGAGCCTTTCTGACTGCATAGCCCAGCTTCGCAAAGACACCCTATCAATATCTCCCTCTGGAAGCGACATGGTTGGCACCGAAAACGTCTACGCGGGCGGCGACCGATCGAAGGAACCTGCCCGGTGGATCTAGGGGGTTGTACACAGTAGAGATACATGCGCGAAGGACGGAGAGGAAAAACCTATATGTCTGCACGTCGGCCCGGCTTATGTCTCACTTGTTGCACTAGTGCATTTTGGGCTAGACTGTACCTAGGTACCAACCCTACGCAGTGCTTCGGCGCTTTGCTCCTCAAACGACAAATATCCTCCACCATGCGGACTCCATAGGGAGTAATCCTGATCGTCTACACGGATAACTACCGAAGTTTCTTTCGTTTCTCTATAGTATTCTTCTCACACACTTCAATAGCTTATCAGCGCTCTCGCACGCATTCACTGCACTTCACACAGCGGGCATCCAAACATTGAATCACATTATTCATCTCTCATTCATTCATTCAACCAACTACACCTTACCCATCTAAATACTCGCAAACACCCCTAGACTATCCATCGCCTGCCCCTGATCTGTAACCATCAAATTCCACCCACAACTACTCCCCAGCCCCGAATTATCGATCCACGCCGGCTCCCAATAAAACAGTCCCGTGCCCTTACTCCCTACATTCGCCACCCTAGTCGCAACCTGCTTCATCCACTCCGTCTGACCGGCGACGCTGAACGGGATGCTCTTGGTGTCCGACGGGAAGCTGTACGCCGGGTTCGGGCAGTACGTCGGCCAATTCGTTTCCACCACCATGACCTCCTTGCCGTACTTGTTCGCCATGTTGGCCAGCGAGGAGCCGAGCGCGGCCAGCGTGGCGCCCGAGTTGTAGAACGGGTAGTACGACACGCCCTGGACGTCGTAGTCGCTGGCGGAGAGGCCGCCGCCGGACGCGAGCACCGTGTCGTACCACCACTGCTGCGTGGACCAGTCCCAGCCGTTGTCGATGTGGATCATGATCTTGGGCTTCGTGCTCAGAGTCGACTCCTTGATCGCCTTGGACGCGGACTTTAGCAGGGCGGCGACGTTCTTCGGCCCTCCGGACTTCGACATCTGGCCGTCTGGGAAGAGCAGCCCGGGCCGGATTTCGTTCCCAATGCTAACAAGCGCAAGCGGGATATTGTTCTTCGCAAACGTGTCCATAACATCCTTCGTATAATCATAAACCTTTTGGATCAGCGCCGTCGTGCTCAGACTATTCCACGCAGCCGGCTTAACCTGCTTCCCGGGGTCCGCCCACGAGTCGCTGTAGTGGAAGTCGAGGTAGATCTGCAGACCGGCATTCTTCGCGCGCTGGGCGAGCTTGATATTGTAGTCGAGGTTGTAGTTGCCGTCGGAAGGGTTGACCCAGATGCGCTGGCGGACGGTGTTGACGCCCGAGGCCTTGAGGATGGTTTCGAGGGGCTGCGTTTGGCCCGCGGTGTTTTTGTACGTTTTGCCTGCTTTTTCTTCGACGAGGAGCGAGGACCAGTCGACGCCTTTGTAGGGCAGGGCGCCGAGCGTGCTGGCTGCGAAGAGCAGCGGGACGAAACTTGCGAGGCGCATGGTCGGCGGTGAATTGGAATATTTCCTAGCAGATGGGAACTTAAACCGCAGCAATCCATCCTTCACATCTGGCTCCCACTTGCCTTAAACCTCTCCCTCCGCTTCCCTCGGCTAGCACGCACCTTGATCATTTCCAGCGTCGGATGATCGACCGTCATCCACGAGGAGAAACACGGAGCCGAGAGCGACAGAAAACGCTCCAATAGAACACGCAATCCTGGTCTTGGGGTTATACCCGGAATTTGAGATTGATGAGCGTGCGCAGACGTTTGGTGGGGTATGGGGAATTAAGGAACATCCTAGTACGACACGTTAATAAACAGCGGCGCTCGTTTCCGGCATTGGCTGAAACAATTGGATGCTGCGGATGGGATACCTCTTTTGGATTATGTATTAGCTGTCGGAAGAGCGACGACTGGCGGATAGCCGATATTGTATAGAGTTTGAACAGAAGCCCGGTTGTAGAGTGGCGAAGATGCAAGCGCAAAATCTGACGGCCCGTCAATCGCGAACAATCGAGCAGGACGAGAGACTACGGATGCGGTTAGCATGGTTGCGGGAAGCGGCTTATGGATTTCCGCAGTCCTTCGAGATATTCGCGGCCGAGCTTGCAAGGTGATCTGTTGGTCGCAAAATGGAAGGGTTGGAACATGCTGGCGCACAGGGCGCTGGGTCATACTATTACACCTAACTGCTACAGCAAACATACAGACCATTACGCCGTTTGCAGTGCCTACTGATCAAAATGCTTTATCTCAGGCATCATGCCCAAGCCACCACCACCAGTGCCCTTAACGCCCTGACTCAACCCCTTACCCTCGACCCCGGCGTCCCCTTCGCTCACACCGCCAGCACTCCGCTCTTGAACATGTCCCCTGATCATCGCCAAGATCTCACTGTCCTTCCACCTCTGCGGCACTGGTCGATACGCCGGCTTGAACGTGCCCACTGTCTGCGCCCACTCGCCCCGCGCAGGCTCCCTCTTCCACTCATCCTTGGGTTTACCTTGGGCGGACTGGGAGGCTAAGTCAGGGGAGGAGCCCTCGGCAGTTTCCACGGAAGTCGGGGAAGGCTCTTGCGTCACCCAGTAATAGATATCCCAGTCGTTTTCGTCTAGGAAGAGGTCGTATTGGCGGAGCTGCTCAGGGGTCATGGAAGCTAGGTAGGCGTCGGCGAAGGTGGAAAGAAGGAGATCACTTTCTAGGGTGCCTCTCTTCCGGCTTTGATCTACGTCTTGTTAGCCATCGTGCTCAAGGGAATCCCCAACCACGAGCTCAACCAACGCGATCCCTAGCAGCACTAGCACAGATAATCGGGAGGGAGGGAAGCGTCCGTGGGTAACGGAGATAGGGTAGGAAACGGACATAATAACCTCGCACGCATCGTCGCCTCATCCTCTCCCGTCCTCCTCAACGGCTCGACCTTAAAGGTGGCGCCCTCCAGCTCGCCCACGCCGAGCTCCTTCGTGCCCTTCAACTTCTTATTCGCCCCGCTCGCATCCTCGCTCTTACTGCCCTGTGTGCCACCCGTCATGCGCTCCGTATTCTCGGGCACCGCGTCTTTCGGCGTGAATCCGGGCTCTGCCGAACTAATCATCTCCGGAGGCGGAGCGTCTGCACCCAAGCTCGGCATCTCATTATGGATAGTTGAGTTAGTGTTAGTGAAGTGTGGGTTCAGCGGCTTCTCGGTTTGGAACTTGCGGTGCGCTTCGGCGGTGTCGTGCGCGCGCTTGTTAAGGGCTTCGAATTCGTTGCCGCGGGCTGCGTAGACGGAGAAAGGGCGAGACGAGCGGCTTAGGCTGAGCACGGCTCTCGAGGAGCGGAGTACCAGACGTGAAGATGCCATTGCGTGCGGTCTGAGAGTGCGGGAAGCGTTGTGGGGCTCAATTGAGATGAGGTGTGGGAAACACAGATCATGTCAATTCAGAGGAAAATGGTTGATGTCATGCTTGGCGGCTTACTAACGCAACTTACCTCGGTGGGCAGGAACGCAGCGCTTTAAAATAGAGTGCCAAAAAAAAATGTAGAGATTGATCGCTCCTATTACTACTATTCTACAGTATAGACGGGGCCATATTCGCCCTTCTTGATCGCACGGAAAGTGTCGAAGGGAGATCGATCCAGCACCAGATGCACCGTTCCCATGCAAATATCCGCCGTGGAAGTAGGCTAAACTACTCCCACACCTTAGGAAACCGCCCATAAAAAGATGAAAGACGCCATGGTGTCCTGCGGATAGGCCACGCGGATGCCGATGCCTTACCATTACTGCTCTATCGCGTCCTCTTTGCCTCTCCCAGTTTCGTCCTTACTCTCCTTCCTCCCTAATAACATAGCGCGGAAGTCTTGATTGCTCTTAGCCTCTCCACTACTCTCCTTGATGGCACTCCTCGGTACTGCAGGCCTGTGTCCCAGCCCAACCTTTCCTCGACCCCGCGCGCCTCCTCGAGCGGCAGCCGGTCTGTTCACGCGCGTAGGCTGCACGAAACTGTTGCTCGCTTTCCATTCGCCTTTCTGCTTCATGAGATCCCTGACGCGTCCGATGCGCAGCTTCCTACCTTCAAAATCGCGGCCTTGCAGAGCGATCTCGGCTTTTCCGGCATGCTCAACACTCGTGAACTCAACAATGGCGCCGCCATGTTGTGGCATGAGCGTGATCTTCTTGTAGCCGTAGGGCTCGACAAGAGTCTTAATGCGCGTATCATTGACCGTATCAGGGACATTGAGAAGGGCAATTGATCGCTCGCCGACGGTACCGGTCGTTGCGCCTGCGTCTGAGGTGGTTTCTGCCTGGCCGGGTGTAGCTTCCAGTGCTTCCGGCGACCCTGTGTTCTCGATCGTCGATTTGACCTTTGGCTTCGTGTCTGGCCTATCGGTGGCTATCTCGACCTTAAGATCCATGCCCCAGAAATCTTTACCGTTCATCTCCGCTACTGCTGCGTCGGCACTCTCTTTTGACTCATAGACAATGAAGCCGAAACCCTTGTTGTTGCCAGTCTTCATGGTCGGAATGTTTACTCTCTCAATCTTTCCGAACTTTGAAAAAGCTTCCTGAATTTCCGCCTTCCTGATCCGATAGTTGAGTTTCCAGACATAGACCTCGCGACCTTCGGCTGTGGCTCCGTCGCGCTTCTTCTTCACATTCGGATTCGAGATCTTCGCAATGATCTTCAGGCCTTCGACATCCGTGCCGTCAAGCCTGGTGGCTGCAACAGCATCGTCGGAGTTGGCAAACTGTACGTAGCAGAAGCGACGGTGGGTATCGAATTTGAGAGACGGAAACCGCATTCCAATTATCTCGCCGAAAGGCTCGAACAGGTTGCGCAAATACGCCTCGTCCGCGTGGGGCGGGTAGTTCGTAACGTATAATGTCGTGCTCTCGCCGCGCTTGATCGTGATGTCTTTGCCTTCAAAGCCTTTAGCCTCCTTAGTCATGGCGTAGTCAGCCTCCTCTGGTGTCTCAAATTCAACAACGGCCACCATGCTATCCTTTTCCGGTTTCATGGTCACGTTGCGGACGCTGCCGGCATCGGTAAAGAACTTGCGTATCTGCGTGGACGTGGTATTTGGCGGCAGTCTCTGCACGATGATCGATGTATGCTCGCGGTCTCGTTTCTGTGTGACGGAGACAGCCTCCGACGGGGCCTCACTCGCTTGCCGCGCAGCAGCCTCGGTCGAGGCGACTGGCGGTCGAGAAGTTTCGTCCAATTCGAGCTGTTTGCTCTTCTTTGCGGCGAAAATGTCATCATTCGTATCCTCCCTCTTTCGCTTACCAGAACCCTCCGCGACGTGATTTTGCTCGCTTGAGGTAGCCGCTGCGGTAGCTTCTTTCTGTCTCCTAATAGAGACTACAAGCTCCGCCCTCCGTCGTTCAACCTGAGCGCTCCGCACCTTCAACACAGTCTCATGCTGTTCGCAATGATTGACATACATCTCGATCAGTGGGTCGGGGTGGTCGATCGTGTGGAGGCGCTGCATCGCACGTTCCAACACAGCCGTAGCTCGGGAAGGCGACGACAGGTGCTTCCCGGCATTACTCTTGTCTCGTATCGCATGGTTTGCCCACACGACCATCTCCCAGATGTAGTACCGATACCAGAAGTCGTAAGAATCTTCTTGCGCTTTTACGAGGGAATCCCAGATATGCCGCGCCTCTTCTAAGCTGCCGCGCTGTGTCCAAAACTTGATGTGAATCCGCTCAAGGCGATATTTGGAATCTCCAGGCCAGTCTCGTCCATGTTTCTTCATACCAATCTCCCTGACCAGCTCGAGCGCGGAGCGAATGCCGACCTCGGCGATATCAGCATCGTCTTCTGTAGCTTTGGGGTCATCGAATGCTCTGCGGCGGAGGTAGCCACACCATGCGATTTGGACCTTGATGAGTTCCTCCAGGTCAGTGTGCTCCAACAGTCCAGTCTCAGTTGCATTGTGCTTGACGCTCTCAATTTCGTCGAAGCCTTTCTGTTCGGCCTCTAGTGTCAAGATGCGGTGTGACCAGAGAGCGCCCGACCAAGGGCAATGGCGGGTGGCACGCTCAAGCACATTTAGTAGATCCACCGAGCGGTTTTGTTGCCATATTAGAAACTCGATGTGATCCTCCCATAAAGTGGAATCCACGGGAAATCGAACCGTAGCACGCTCGTAGAGAGCGTTAACGATGGGGAAGCTGTAGATGCCTATCGTCTTCTTCTCCCATTTCAAATAGCGAGTCAACGCGTGATACTCGGCATCCCGGTCGCCCTGCTGGATGGCCTGAAGCATTCGAAACTCGAAATCTTCACGATTGGTATACTGTTGCTTGATATGGGTGTTCTGCTGGATAGCTTTCTCCATGGCCTCCTCGGGGTCGCCAAGGTTGAATGAGGAAATGAACGAAATATATCTGGACAAGGTGTCGGACCACGTTGCATGCGGCTGGCTAAGTCGTTCGTTGAAAAGCGTCATGATCTTCACCGCCTTATCCTGGCTGACTCTGCCCCGTTCGCGGTCACGCTCACCCTCAAGGTCGTCTTGTAGGAATCGCAGATAGCGATCCCACACAAGGCTGCCGTCGCCAAGGTCGTACTTGACCTTGTCCGCGCCCTGCTGCCAGATGTCCAGCAACAGCTGTGGCGTGAAGAGCTCGCGTCCAATAGTTCTCTCTTCGTCAGACCACTGGTCGGGCGGAGGCTGGTCCCACGAACACGATATTAGGTAACCGACGTAGTCTGCGTAAGAAACCCAGAGCTTCGCGCTAAAAGGTTCGTCTTGCGTTGCTAGCTTATACAGCTCAAGCAGGTTCATACGTTCTTCGATGTTCCGTGCTAGCGCCTTTTCATCGCTTATTCTGTATTCCCACAGCGACTCGCCGAGAGGGTACTTGTTTGCCATGGACTTGTAGGCATCCTGCAGAAGAGGCAACAGCTCGTACGTTCGCGCATTCGCGGGGTCGACCGAGGCCAAATGGTTCTGCAGGCCTTGGTGCAGGATCGTGACAAAAGAAACGTGGCTGTAATAGTCTAGCGGATTCTCGGTCAACGACCTGTCTAGCTGTCCAAGATAGTCGACGTGCTGCTCGTCGAGCGCTCTGGTAGCAAAGCTGCGCGGCCTGGGCGATGCCTCGCCCATGCTGATGTCGGTGGTCGAGTTGCCGGAGAGAGTGCGCGGGATGTTTTGGAGGCTGCGGAAAGTCAGCGGTGAGGTGATGTTGTTGTAGTGCCAAGACACCACAAAGGCAACCGTGACCCCGTGACTGCCGAGAGTCCGCGACTTTCAGGATTCGGGTGAAAACAGGTTCCGAGCAGAACCGCACGGGGGAATATCGGTCGCAAATTGATCGTACCCACTAATGCGACTGACGCCGAGCCAAGGAGAGTGAGAGAACGTACCTGAACGAGGGTCGTGAGGACACTGAGTTCTGCCGCGCAGCCTGTTGCTGCTGCTGCATCGATGCCAGGTCTAGCAGTACGTTAGCCATTGTACCCTTTCACTCTGACATGTCCAAAACAAAGCATCAACCTGGTGTGAAAGCCGCTCGCCGTGAGCCTTCCCATCTTTTCTTTCAGAGAATGCGCCTGGCTCGGGCAGCTATCACGGTGTCTGCTCATGCCTTCTATCGAAATATACACCCACCTGCTAATGTGTCCATGCCTGGAGTCGACGCCTGCCGATGCAGCAGGTGCGGAGGTGTCATGCGCGCATCGTGAGGGGAGTTTAGAGGCGGTGTGCTCGTTGCGCTGTGAATCGCTCGGCTGCCGTTGACAACGTTTGCGAAGCCTGGGGAAGGGAGCTGCTGGTATGCAATGTGGGGCGACGACGTGATCTGCTGGCTGAGGCCGGACGGGGTGCGCGAGGGCATTTGGCGTATGGCGCGCTTGCTTGGGGACTGCAGCGACGGCGAGGCGAGCGCAGGATGCGGCGGAGGTGTCTCTTGCGCCGGCGAGTCCTGCGGCGACAGCAGCGAGTTGATGTCCATTATGCTTCCACTCTTCGCGATCTCTTTCTTGACGGATTGAGCTCTCGCCGCTTGAATCCCCGCCTGGGTCTTTGCTTGTTCCTTTTTCCCCAGCGCCGGGTCCGGAGGGCTATTTCGTCTTGCAGTAGAGCTGCAGCAGGGACCGTGGACAGGTCGAGAGCAAGGCCGAGGGGCGCATGGGATGATGCCTGGTTGTTGCCGAACTGAAATCTCAGAAGTCGCAAGTCGAGGGCTGAAAGGAGCGGAAGGGCGTCGTGAGAGCTAACACTCTGCGCCGGTGGTACGTAGATGCGAGTGTCGAGGTCTGGGCTGGGTCCAGAGGACGAAAGAACTAATGACGGCAGAGCCTGCAGGTGCACCTCGCCAATCTTCCAAGGTTATCTGATAGCCGTTGCGCACTGCACACAAGCAGCTTTTGAGCACACAGCTATTCCGAGAGAAGGACACTTTTACAAAACTTGCGACGCACAGCAGAAGATTCTGCGGGCTGATCAGGACTGATCCGCAGGTTGCCATATCATGATCGACGTCACGTGCCGGAGAATGCCGCACCGCAGGCGCTAATTCCCGCGTTGCGGCTGTTGCCGAGACATGGTCAGAATTTCCTTCGGACCTCACGACAACCTCCAATCTCTCAACACCTCGGCATTGAGGTGTCGCATATCATCATGAGCGCCCGAATACCAACAAGGTGGCTAGGGAAGTCAGGTATGCCGGCTCTGTTTTCTCAGGTTCGCTTGCGGGCTCTCAATGGCCGCTCAGAAGACCGCTGGCCAGCATAAACCCGCTAACAACTTCTCTCCACAGCTCTCGCCAGCCTCCGCCCTCGCTCAACGTACTGGATAAGCCCGAGCCGACCTTTCAGTAGCACTTTCAAGAAGCAGGACGCAGAAAAGGAGGTGCCATCGAAAGTTGCCGACAAGAAGCCCGACCCCAACGACCCCCTCGCCAACCCAATCCTCGAAAAGTACCTCCAAAAGCACGATCCCAAGAAGCAAGCCGAGCGACCCCCACCCAAAGAGGGCAAAATGTCCAACCACCCCTCCACGATCTTCAAGCCCGAGTACGAAATCCCAGGCTGGCGCGACGACCTCACTCCTGAGGAACAAGCGGCGCTGAAGGAGCGAGAGAAGAGAAGGCGAATGCAGATCGAAGAACAACAGGAATACAGGCTGAAGCAGTTGAAGCTCGACCCAGCTCCGGCGGCACGCCGCAACTTCGAGCGCAGGATGGTGATTAAGAGTCTGCAGAAGCGAGGGAGGGTCACCAAAGCCGTCAAGCTGATGCGCACGGAACGCCAGAGCCTCTACAAGAGTCCGACGCTGCCGACCAGCGTGAAGAAATTGACCAAGCTGATGAACCAGATCAAGGGCAAGCCCGTCGACGAAGCCATGGTCCAGCTGCGCTTCAGCAAAAAGCGCGTAGCGCGCGACATCCTCAAGGGTCTACAAATAGCACGAGATGAGGCTATTGCAGCTCGAGGCATGAGTCTGGGCGCTTTCGGTGAAGCACAGCTACAAAGGGAGGGCGAGACATCGAGCGCGACCGCGAACGAACCATTCCTTCCGGATGGCACGAGGCTGACGCCGAAACCAGGCCAGCCCACGTTAATCGAGCTGAAGGACGGTAGCAAGAAGCTCGTGCATGACCCGACGGAGATGTATATTGACCAGGCGTGGGTGGGGCGGGGCGAGAGCTGGAAGAGTCCTGAGTTCAGGGCGAGAGGTAGGATAAACATGCTGACGCATCGGACGACGAGTAAGTCATCTACGTTTTGAGCGGGAGGATGTTACTAATGAGGCTAGGTTTCTCGGTCCTGCTCAAGGAAGAAAAGACGCGAATGCGCATCTCGGAAGAGATTAAGAAGAAGCGCGAGAACCGCAAGCTGTGGATACCGCTGCCTGATCGACCGGTCACTTCGCAACGGCAATACTGTCTGTGGTAGTACAGGTGTTCACGAATTGTATCATATGTATACTCTGTGGTTCTGACAACATAGCATTTGCCTGGCAAAGGCATGTACAATATACCATCCAAACCGTCCATATCCAAAGCAAACATGCTTTATCCGGGTATATCTGCATCCACAAAACTTTTGAATATACCAAAAATCCGACGCCCTCGCTATGCAATACTAAACAAGCAATAACATGTCCCACTTCAGCTCTCAGCCGCTTCTATTCCAGCAGCCTGCGCACTCGCCGTCAACATATCAACCATACCACCCACACTCCATGCTACCTGGCTTGCTTCGACCACCACCTGAACTCTCTTCACCAGCTGATCAAAAAGCAAATCGATCTCTTCACTCCTTCCCAGCTGGTCGGCGTAAAGATCGAGCACGACGAGTGCAACGTCAGTCGTTAGCCGAGTGATGCGATAATCAGAGATAGTACGGATGAGCCAGCGGAGGACAGGCTGGAGAGTAAGCTCATCCCGGTTGGCGAGGGCGGCACGAAGCGCACTGCGGTGTCGAAGGGCAGTGAGAACGGTAATGCAGTGATCGCGGGCGTTGGAGTCCTGCAGATGTTAGTCGGCAGTCATCGAGTGACTAAAAGCATCAATACCTTTTGTTCAAGTACTATGTCCAGCGCTCTCGCATACTGTCCGAACCGCAGAGCATTTGCCCACGGGAAACTCTGGTGGATCTTCCCTCGCGCGTTTCCCTCAATGACAATATCCGCACCCTCGCCCGTGAAGTCTCTCCCTCGAAACCGCTTCTCCCAACCTTTGCCTCGTTTTCGCTTCTTTTGCCTGTCGTATTCTTCGATTTTACCTTCTATAAGCGCTTTCATCTCCTTCTCTCTTTCCCTGGCTAGCGCTTTTTGTTCTCCGGACAAACGAGTCTTGATTGATAGGACGCCCGACTGCATCCCCACTGCAATATGCTTGTCTTCTTTCTGAGACGGGATGACGCTGAGCGAGAGGATGGGCGAGGAATACTTCATGCCCGCGACTACGTTCCAGCCAGTCGTTTCGAAGACTTTGACGTGGCCGTCGAGAGCTCCGCTGAGTAGCCTTCCGCCATTGTTTGCCAACGAGAGCGAGGTGACCGTCTTCTGATGGTTCCGAAGTAGGTGCATCGGCTTTGCTGCGACTACATCCAGCACGCTGATGATGTTGTCGCTTGTGGCGAGGACTGCAGTGCCCGAGGGCATCGGCAATACGGCTTCGACGGGCGCCGCATGCTTAAACACCATGACTGCCTTCCCTCCCGCTCTTGAATCCCAAAGCCGTACCGTCTGATCATAGCTGCCAGATACCAGCAACCCACTCTGAGCCGGCATAAACACTCCGCACCGCACATAGTCCTGGTGTCCATCGAAAGTCATCGCGCTCTTGTCGCTCGGTAGATCCCATAACCGCACCGTCCGGTCGTCGGAGCAGCTCATTAAGCTCGTCAGCTCTGACGGGTGCCATTGCGTCACCCACACAGGCTGCTTGTGCTCCCTCCATGTCTTCAGAATCGCGCGGCTGTTCAGATCAAACGCCTGGATTGTGCCGCTTTCTCCTCCTGCCACCACGACCCTTCCATCCCGCCGTATGTTACCGGAGTGTGCGATGTCGTCAACACCAAATCTTGAGATGTTCTTTACGAGCTTGCGGGTTTTCGAGGAGTAAATTTGGACGCGCGAGCCTGTCGTTACTGCGAATAGGTCTTGCGCCGCGGTTGTGAGATTTGAGGACGGAGGCGGCGGGATCGAAATGTGCGTTACGGGCGAGGAATGCTGCGAAGGATCAAGTCGCAGCTCCGAGCTGAAGGAGTTCCAGTACTTCTGCTCCGATGTCAGGGTAGACGGGCCCTTCGGCAGCTTTATGGGCTGCAGCAGTTGCACTTCGGCGGCCATTGCGGACGTAATAGAGGAGCGGTGACCGTGAGCTCTCCGCAATGATGGGCGTTTTGCGGTTCGAACTTTTTTTTGGTGGAGCACTGGTCCGTGCCTGGCGCTAGTATGTAAGAGGGATAGCATGCGCTTCCACGAACTATTCCCAATACGGCTCCCTAGGCAGCCTGATGATCCTTCGCGCCCTCTTCGTCAGACATCATCCAAGGGCCAACCTGCCCTCTTATCATGCGACGCCCAGCACGCCTCCCTCGTTTTGTTCTTTGCCCTATCCTTGAGCTATCAATGGTCGTTCCTGTTAAGCCAGGATAAGCCACTTCTCGCCCTCCGCTCCGCCGTCTTCCATCCGCACAGGCATCAATATGGCGAGCAACCCGTTGGATAGCTTTGATGAGTTCTTCGATTTTGCTCAATTGGAAAGCGACAATGGCCTCCATGTCGATTCTCAGCAACATCTGCATGAGCAGACTATATCCACTCTGGCTATAGATTCGGCTATGGACTGGCAACCATCCACTCCCAATGACAACGGACCCTTCGCTGGCTCTACTGTCGGATACCCTTCATACGATGGCTCTATAACGCTGTCATATGATTCCGCCACCCTCGACCCTGTTTCATTGTACGAATCAACCGGAAGCCTGCAGCCCCAGCCTTGCTTAAGGGACAGCATTGCCGGTGGCTCGAGCGCCACATTCCCCTGCTCCATAAACTCGCACGAAGCAGCATATCAGATTCCTCAAGACGCACTGTCTAGTCAGCCGGTTGCCGCATTACCATCGCCGGCGGCCAATAATATCGAATTGCGTGCTCGAGGTATATCCACACCGGCACAGCCCCACCGTAGCGGCACCATAACTCGCAAGCCGGCATCTGCCAAACGGAAAGGCCCTTCAACTCGCATTCCCCTTGAAGCGAAGCAAATGCTGGAGGAAGAGTTTGCCGCCAACCCCTACCCTTGCTCATGGGAAATTGATATTATCGCCCATCAGGCCAACCTTGACGTTAAGAGAGTGCGGAATTGGTACAACAACACTAGGGCCCGCAAGAAACCATCAGGTGACTTTTTACACCCATGATATATTACTTAGCTTATCTCTTTTAGATACCTCAGAGACCATAGCACCAGATGCAAATGCTAGCACTATCTCGCTCGCATCAAGGCTGTCCAGGGACAGTCTCGAGGCTCTCGATAAGAATGCCGATCAAGTGGTTCAGGCCCCGCAGCCACCTCTTGCTGTCTACCTCGCTCAATCATATCAAGAAGAAGCCATAAATTTCTCGGCTATCCAGGCTGCGATTGACAGCGGTGAGCTCAGTGATGAGGGCGATTTCCAACTGGACACCTCATCCAGCTCGAAAATGGGGAGGTCCGGCTCGATTGTCACATCCATCACGTCGTCTGATGGAACAGCACCCACAACCTACAGCAGCGGCAGCAACATGTCCTCTTTTGGCAGAGATAGGCGGCGAGGCCGCCGACGAATGGCTTGGAAAGCTTCACCATACACAAGGACGAGGTTTAACGGCCTCAATGACGCCGGCGTTCCGCAAGAGGACCTACCATTTTGCTGCACCTTCTGCCCTCGCGCGTTCAAGACCAAGTACGAATGGATCCGCCATGAAGATTCAGTGCATGCACTCCGAACGACGTGGATATGCTGCGATAGTAAGAACGCCCCGCTGCTTTCATGTCCTTTCTGTGGTCAGATGCGGCCGGATGAATACCACATGGCTAGCCATAAGTACCAGCAATGTAGGAACAAACCCGAATCGCAGCGGACATTTTATCGACGGGACCATTTCATTCAGCACCTACACCACGTGCACTTTGCGAACGTCAAGCATCCTTCCGTACGCCTTGGCTGCCAAACACGCTTGATGGATAGCGAAGGCTACAACTTCGGCTGCAAAGACCTTGCCATCAAGTGGCGCAGATTTGGTGCACCGATCAAGGCCGATGACCCCATGCTGCATTGCGGATTCTGTGGCAAGAGGTCAAAAGACTGGAGCGATAGATGTGAGCATGTGGCGGAGCACATGTATGCCGGAGAGCTCGACAGATCGGCTTGGTGGCCAGAGAGACTGGAGAACCACTTGGAGAACCTTTGCTCTCCCCATGCAGTAGGCCCTTTCCGATGCCGTTACTGCCGGAAGGTGTTTGCCAACAACGATGCCATGAACAAGCATTCGCACTGTCGCGTGTGGAGCTGTCGCTTCTTGCGATCGTTCGACGACGTCGCCGCAGAGAATGCCGGACCCCCACTCTGCCCACAGTTTCCATCTCCGAAAGCGCACCACTGCCATCTGTGCGGCGCTGGATATAGGTCCTTTCACATCGAACACGCGCAGCATTATCACAGGTATCGGCAATGCGATCAACGGCTGTACACGTCGGAGGATGATTTCCTCCAGCACTTACATGAATTCCACGGCGGGTCTCTTCCTCAGTTGATGCGAGGCAATTCGATATTAGAACAAAACTTCTCGAGAAATAAAGGTGCCTCGTTTGAGCCACTTGAGTTTGAGGAGATCTTGCAGGGTTGTCGTGTTGCGACACCGCGCGCGTCGTTCGTCGATCCGGTCACAACAGAGGGACCTCCAAAGGCTTCAAGCACAGCAGAAGAGCTCCCCAGAGCGAAGGCACAATCTCCAACGCCGACAAGGAAAAAGGTTACGGACCACTTGCCTGATACCCATCAAAGACCTGCGAAGGTTGGGCGCCAACGTTCGAACAGCGCCGACTCAAAACCTACGCCTCAAGGCCCTCGATTCTTCCGCCTTAACCCTCTGGTACCTTTTCTGTCATCGCGAGTATACTATTTGCGCAGCGCGATACCGGCTAGCCTGTTTCCGGACGGCAAAGCCGTGCTCGATGAGATGCCGAAGAGCCATATCGCTTCTTTGGTGATGTCCTCCGGACTCTTGGGCATGGCAGGCGTACGCTTTCCCGTGAGCATGAAAAGAGAGGGTGAAAAAGGTCCAGTCGAATTTGCACTTGAGGAAGACGACGAATGAGCTTGGCTTAGCACGTTGGGCCAGCTGGAGTTTTAGCCCCGCTGAACGACTTGGCTTGACTTGCAACCGAATCCCGGCTCTCGAAAGCCAACCGGCTTCATGGATCTCCCTACGTAGCTCAAGCTAGAAATCTTCCACTACCGCCTGTTCCTCTCCATGCCTTTCAACCACCTCATGCACGAATCGCGATCGCGCAAGAAAGGCGGGCGACTCCACATCGCGCTGACATGCAAAGAGTTCGCCAACCTCGCCCTGTATATCTACTACACCGAGAACAGCTTCGTGCTCGAGCCGAAACACGACGAGTACGGGTAATCCCATTCCACCTCCGCTATCCCGACCTAGCCGTGGGCCACCTGCTCCGCAACCTCGAGCTCCGAGTAATGGTGAACCCGGGCTTTGAAACACTGGAGGGGATGCTGAACTACAAGGACTACGACTGGCGCTTCCTTCTGCGCGTCGATCATCACTGGAAGGAAAGCGGTGTGCGCTTGAACCGGGAACACGTCCGTCGTGCGCTTCGAGTGCCAGATCTTGCACGCTGGCAAGACTACTTCCCCAATCTGAACTCGCTGAAGATTGTTCTCTGCGTCCCAAACGACGGGCCCGCCGATCCCGTGGCGTGTTTTGGTGACTCGGCGGCGCAACCCGGGTTCCTCAGCGTGTTTGCGGAGCGCATTGAGAAGGCGCGCATTGATGTGAGGGCGAAGGGGGTGGAAGTAGAGGTAACGGGGATCGCGTCGATTATCGGCTTCGTCGTTATCTGGCCTTGTATTATCGGAGTATCGGGGGAGGTGGGCGTATGTGCCATGATGCTTGTGGGCGGATTGTTAGGACAGCAGTGAAGGGTTTGACAGAGACCACTGATGGCAAGGCGAGCTAAGGCTTAGAGCCTAGGTTTTGTCGTCGAGTATATGCGCTTTGAATTGGGCGGAGCCGGTCGGAGGCATATAAAGTCGGACACAAAATGCGTTGCGTTGCTAGTATAATAGAAAATTTTAATCGAAAACGGAGATGTAATGTCGTGGTTCTTCCTGCGTATGTTTTGGCCTGTTCTGCGCTTCGATTCTCGGGTCTCAAGCTGGCATCACCATTTGTGATGTCGCTGAGTCCAGCGCATCGGTTATGTTATTTCCATCATGGCATTTTTCCTCATCATGTCGTACCTTGATCAAGCTCGTGATCGCATCAACAAGACTCTTGACGCAGGGACATGGATCGGCGCGGCGATCCTGCACATTGGAGAAGAACCCGTCCTCGCGGCGGCTAATCCAGCCGTTATTGAATACAGCCTCCACTTTCTTTGCCCGCACCAAAACATGGCACAGGTCCACCCAGCCAAGCTCCGTCGGGCTGAAATGAGTCCTCGTACAGCCGACATAATCCCTCAAGTCAAGCTTCAGCTCGTTCAACTTGGGGAGAGATGCTTGCCATCGGGTTCGCTGGGAGCGGTAGAGGGGATGCGGCTGATTCGGAATCAAGAGTAGATTCAGCGAGCAGTATAAGCCGCTCAGCATCTGATCCAATGAGGAAAGGTCGGGACAAAGCGTGACTTGAAGAGCGATTTGCAGCTTTCGAACGAGGTGGCCGACACAAGGTTTTGGATACGCGTACCAATAGAAGCTTTGCCGGCCAGAAGCAGTCGTTTGGCTGTAGCCTCTGACGTCGAGGTGAAAGGCGTTCGACCCGTAGTAGATCTTTGTAGCCAGTACTTTGAAATGTTTGTCAACTAAAGCCAGAGGGACAAGGCGCTCCCACGCAATGCGATCATGAACTTGTTTTAAGATTGGCCTGGTGACAGAACACAGACGGTATTCGAGGATTTTCAGCTGCAGTTCTACCGGTAGGTCGTTCCAGCCTCGGCCTATCGTAGCCATGCTCCCTGTGCACCCTGCCGGATCGATGGTTTTGCCGCCCCTTGATTCTTTTTGCTTAGAGCCGGGAGATCCCGAAGGCGCCTGGCAAATCTTGCATTGTATAGTGCGTTCGGCGGTGACGTGTCAGCATTTTGTCCAATCTGAGCGCCGCCGTTGGAGATCCGAAAAGATCCGAGCATAGACCGAACTTGCGCCGATTCCTCGTCGCTCCTTTAGAACGCGTAAGGCAGGCTGAAGGTCTTTGGCGCCTTGAGGAAGAAGTATCTTGTTGAAGGTCTTCAGCCGTGTCGGTCCGCTGGCCAAGAAGACGCTTCTAATCGGCCCAGCCTCTCTCAGGCCAGCCATCCGTTCCTGGTCCCACTTCCGGCCAGCCTTGTGGAATGGTCGCATATTTCGGCAGTATATATCTCTTCTCGCACTCCTCTCGGTTGCATGTCAAGTTGCACAAACCAAAGGCCTGGCAAAAGCACTCGCCAGCGTCCTCACAGTCGACCGCAGGCATTCCGAAGATGATGTGCCACATATACTCGATAATTCTGCCGCTGATCTGGTCGTCCAAATCCGTCTCCAATAGCCAGTCATGGATCCGCTCGTACTGCTTCTTTGGCCGCGCCTGTATGCGTTCACGTGATACGGCGAACTGGCTAGAGCAGTGTGCGCCAATGGCTTCAGGGACTTGCTCGCCCGGAAAGAGATGTCGGAAAGCAGCCGCATATGCTCTTTCATTTTGGGACCGATCGTCACTGCCGGATGAGGGTTGGAGAGGACGGAGTTCTGCTGGACAGCCCATAGTCCAGGTGCAGCGCAGAGCTACATAGCCGCGCTTTCGCACATATTCGAGACGCAACCGCTTGAGGACAGGGACGCCGTCGTACATAGGATCTTCGTTGTGCCATTGGTAGCGCAGACTGTGCATAAATATTGAGACATCCGGGAGGTCATCGTAGCGGTCGATAATATAACTGTACGGTCAGCATATGATATGGGTCCCCACATTGGAAGACACACGTGAGAAAAGGCATGGCTTCTCTTCCCTTGTTCACCTCAACGGTGAGTGGCGCTGACGCATTGTTGACAACGTAGATATTCTTCTTCCATGTATCGAAGAATTCATCCAGCCAACGCGTATCATCTCCGGCCAGACTTGCAACTACTAGCTCTTTCTCTTCTGGCCTAGCGACTTTCTGTGCGACGGTATCCTTCAGGACCGCCTGATCTGCATAGGCCCGTGAAGTTCGCGAAGCGGAGCGCCTCGAAAGTCGTGTCGAGAAGCTGTAGAGTAGGAACAGGGAGAACGCTATGAATAGCGCAATAGGAACGAACCTTCGATGCCTGCGTCGCCAAATCATGGCCTATTAAAATGAGGAGACACACGTTACAAGGTGAGGCTGAGGGGAATGATGCTCATCTGGTCGGGATAGGGGCGAGACGGCCGCGCTAGCCGAGTGGGGAGATGACACCTCCAAGCTTATTTCCCACCAGAGCCTCCAAAGGCAGCGCATATACAGGACATTCCGGCGCAGGAGCGGACACATGAGTATGCTTCAGGGAAAGAAACATCTCATATGGGTGAGCAGTATACAGTACGGATCATGGAATACTTCATCTTCTTTCCTGTATGTTTGACATACCTCGCTGTGGTTCTGAGGTGTACAAAAATGGAAGGGGAACACGACACCAACAATATGCTTGTGGCCGTCGAATACTGGCCTTATTTTACCATCGCTAGCCAGATGTGCTCGTCCGGTGTAACTGTGCGATATCTGATACCTACGACATGCACGGAACGATGACCGAGTAGCGGGGCCACTAGCGGGGCAGCGGCCTCAACCCGTCGTTCCTCAGCACTACGGCCGCCTCCGACGCTTGCTGGCGGCTGCCCGTAGCTTCAAATACCCGTAAATCCCCTTGCGAGCATTTGCGCTGTACCGGAAGCATCATCAAAGCTACCAACGATCCAGACCCGCATGCAGGAAGCCCGCGATGGCATCCAAAACCGCGGAAGGCCTCACGCCAGCGCAGCTCCAATTCTTCGAGGACAATGGGTACCTCCTCGTTCCAGACGCACTCTCGCCAGATACAGTCCAGGAGCTACTAGCAATCACCAACAAGATGCTGAACGAGTTCTCGCTGGACGACCACCCGATGACGAAGTTCTCCACAGGCGGCGAGGACGGCGCAGATCACGTAGGCGATAAGTACTTTCTCGAATCTGGGAACAAAATACGGTTCTTCTTCGAAGAAGGTATGCAAAGCACCAGAGCCCCTCGGAACTGGCAATGCTAAGCAATGGGCTACAGACGCATTCGATAAGTCCGGCACCCTCACCAAGCCTAAGCACCGCGCTATCAATAAGATAGGGCATTATCTGCATGAACTAGATCCTGCCTTCCGCAAAATCTCCCTCTCCCCGCGAAACGCCGCCATTGCACGCTCGCTCGGCTTCTGCGACCCCCGCGTTCTCCAGTCCATGGTTATATGTAAACAGCCCGAAATAGGCGGAGCAGTGCCACCACACCAGGATAGCACCTTTTTATATACGGATCCCCCGAGCGCGGTGGGGTGGTGGTATGCGCTGGAAGACGCGACGCAGGAGAACGGCTGCCTAAGCTTCGCGGCAGGGAGCCACACGCGGGCCCCAATCTCGAAGCGCTTCGTGCGAACGGGGAAGGAGGGCGCGGAGGGAACGGGTTTCATCGACAACGAGGGTGCGAGGTATCCGCGAGCAATGCGGTCGGTACAATATGGTGGCACAGCGGACGGCATGCCCAAGAGCCATGCGCGCGTCGATGTCGAAGCTGACGGAAAGACGCAAGACGAGGAGTATACCATGGGCGAGGTGAAAGCAGGTACGCTAGTGCTGATTCATGGGAATATTCTGCATAAGAGTGAGAAGAATGTTAGTGGGAAGAGTAGGTTTATCTATACCTTCCATGTTATTGATGGGCAGGAGAAGTACGATGAGAGGAACTGGTTGCAGCCGCCGGAACAGGGATTCTCGAAGTTGTATGGGGAGACCGAGGACAGCTTATAGCATAGCATTGCTAGCAATGACCATTGGCCGTTTGTCATAAGGGGTTGCTCGCTAGAGTTGGTGGGCTACGACTTGCTCTGCACGCAGAGTCCTATTCCACCAAGCACGAGCACCATGCCTATCCAAGTATCTGTCCCAGTCAGCACAAGTGGCAATCACCCACCAACAGAGACTCACCTCTGCTGATCACTTTCTTCTCTGCCCACCATTCTCCAAGCACCGTAAATAGAAAAGCCAATGAATTCGTAATCGGCACCGTGAGGCTCAATTCTGTTCTCGTCAGCGCCTTGCACCATCTTCAACTAATTGTTTATAGCACCTACCAGCCTTTCCAATCAATATAAAGAACCAAACACTCCCCGTCACATTCAACAACAGTGGAACTGCATATGCTGGCCGGCTCAGTACCCCTATCACCGCGTACCACACCCCCAGTATCTTCCTCTTCAACCATGAGTTATTCGGATCGGTTACGGACGGACGCGGAGGAGGCGTGTAGTTCATGGCCGCTTTTCGCATGAAGGGCGTCGTCAGGCCCCAGCAGGCGCCGACCATGAGGAAGCCCAGGATCCATCTGAAGAGGGACGGTTGAGGATCGGACGGGGCGGGAGGCACGTCGGGATCCATTGCGCCGGATGACGGGGGGTTACTAAGGGGCTTGGAAGACTGGTAGATGCGGTAACTGAGCTGGAAAGCGGTGCGATCCAGACAACCCACACGGCACGAACCTTGGAAGGTCGCTGCTGTGCCACGGGAGCTCGTGGAGACGGGGGTCCGACGGCAGCTGGAATTCGGAATTCTATGGGAGCAGGCGCAGCGATTCGGAGCGGCGACGGTGGCCTGTGCGCGCCATCAACACCAGCCAGTCATCGCAACGCAACGCCGCTCTACCAACACTCTCCGCACATCGCCTCATTGTCGCAAGTCGCAGGTCGCAGGTCACCGCAAGACAAATAAGTCTCGCTAGCATAACAGTGCCCTTTTTCGCCAGCCAAGCGTTGCGCATGACAGCACGCATGAGACAACACCCTCTAGAAGCACCCTAAGAAACAGCTACCTGGCCAAGTATCTTTCATCCACCGCTCTGGTTTTGTCAGCTGTCTTATCATCCTATCATATACTATCTCCGACTTCTTTCTTTGAGTCAGCTATCACATCTCTCCATCATCGCGTCTGGTACCTTCGATCAGGTCCTCGGCACTGGACGTTTGCGGTATGCTGGCCACCCATTCCAAAGAGGCGACAAAAAGAGAACCCAGACTATCGAACCCAACCACCGCAAAACCGGGGAATTATAGTATGGGACCTTTGATCAAGAGATATCGCGAGAGGAAGTAGATGACCGCCGTGTAGAGGCATATCCTTTCGGAGACGTTCATCGAGCATCGACCGCGCGGATCTATCCGTCGCAACCTCATCAACAACCCTGGAGGCAATTGCAGCTAAGCGTCGGAGGCTTGACAAAGACCCAAGCAAGAGGATTGTAACGTCCTACGAACCCTGTTAGTCGGGCTGGACCCTGGAATGTAACGTGGTGGATGCGGTATGTGGCTGTTTGCGGCATGCTGCCAACCCCGCCACACCCGCGCGGCTTGCCCGACCTCCTCGCAACTTCTAGCGACTGCTTGACTAGTTAGCACATTGTGCAAAGTCATCAAACGGTCTTTCGTCACCGGGAGTCGCTTATGCCAACTCATTCCTCGCTCGGTCGCTAAGTATAGAACGTTGCAGCCCAGGAATGCAACGAAAGACGAAGGCTGGTAAGAACTCGAGCATGCATCATGCAGCAGTATGCAGCAGTATATATCGAGTATAGGTTTGTGCGATTATCTTGTTTACCCTGTTTGCTTTCTGCATCATTGGTGCATCGTTCCATTCGCGCTGCAGCCCTTCTGCAAGGTACGCTTGCCACACTCATCCCTCTATCTCCCCCGCTCTCTCGCGACGAGTTGCTTCGTGCATCTTCCAGCAACCGGGTACCCACTCCGCACGCTAAAGACACTCTTCATGACCTCTTTACTACGGCACACCGACATACCAATGCGGCAGAACATCGACAAAGAGCTCGGAGCCCTCGACCTAGATCAGCTCTTTGACCAATACGTTGAGACAGACCTGCTCCAGCTTACCGACCCGACGGCAGACCCGTCCAGCTCCGATGACCTCGCACATCTCTTTGAGCTCCCTCCATCGAATGGGGATGAAGCATTTGAGACCAGCCCTATGCCCGATTGGGATGCCTGCACAGAGCATGCTTGGCATAAGGCTCTCCAGAAGCTCGAACAAAACCCAGCCTCGCCCACCACGCCGGACAATTCCTTTTCTATTTACCCTGAATCGCGTGGCAAAGCTGCGCTGAGCGATCCTGAGTTTTTCATTTTAGACGATCTTTTCGCACTGGACAAAGTTGAGCCGCGAGCGCTCTCGCAGCCTTCTACACCCAGACCACAGGTCGCAAGACCAGCGAAGCAGGCTGGCCCCAGCCCCGATCGGTCAATTCGCCACGGAATACATAAGGCAGTGACCAGGAAGGCTGCTATCTCAAACATCGCAGCCAAAATGATGCGACAATCACACTACCGACCAGGCTTCCAGGACCTATGGACACGGAAAATGGACGCCGCGCCAGAGGCATTTACCCTCCAAATGCCATCTCACGATGTGCAATCGCCTCCAGCATCAACGAGGTTCACTCAAGACGACAATTCATGCGGCTTCTTCCCGCGACAACAACAGCCTTACACGATCGCCATGAGCGACGACCCCACAACAACACCCGAAACCCAACACTCAAACTACCAACTCACGCCCCTATCGTCTCCAGCAATCGACGCCAGTTCCTCGCGCAATGCCAACGGCTCCCACTTTCAGTTCTCCAACGACCACATGGCATCAGCCTACATCTCGCACCAGGCGGCTCTCTCAGCCTTGCAAACCCCGCCCCCATCACACCGCCTTCCGATGACGACGTGGGGTTCCGAGCCGTCCCCCAACCTTGATTTTTCGTCCTTTTCGGCCTCGCCCGATTTCTCACAGTCCCAGGACTCGAAGACGGCTGCGGGATGGTCGTGGAGTGGTAATGGCCCCCCAACTGTCCCCATGACTCAGACTCAGCCTCATGGCTCGCACTCCAGATCATCGAGCCAAAATATGAGCTTTAGCACCGCATCTGTTGCAGGGTTAGGTATCTCATGCGATACGGCGTCTTTCGGCAGCTTTGGGCCGGAACTTAGTGCGGGTTCCAATGGTCTCAACACTTCAGCCTCGTTCGACATGGCGTCCTACAACACCATGTACCCTCCACCAACCACATCCGGAATCCCCATCGGCCACGGTCCAGCCAACCCACCATCCCGCTCACCCTCACTCTCCCCTCAACCACGCTTCACCCGCCGCCGGCACTCCTCACACAACAACGCCCATCACCACCACACATCGTCCCGCTCGCGCCGCAAATCGAGCAACTCGTCCAACCAAAGCGGCGGGCGCTCAGGCTCCGGTTCCAACCCCGGCGTGGGCTTTGTAAACTTCACGCCCGATGATAGTAGGAAGATATTGACTGGCGTTGCGCCGAGTGGGAGTTCGAAGACCAAAGCAAGGCGTGAGAAAGAGGCAGCGGAGAAGAGGCGGAAACTGAGTCAGGCGGCGATGAAGGCCGTTATGGAGGCGGGTGGGGATGTAGGGAGGTTGGAGAGGGAGGGGCTCCTGGTGCTGGAGGGGTAGGCTGGAGTTCTTACGGCATGGCTTGGACTCCTCACGCGTTGTGGGTTGAGTTGGTTGTGCTGTGGGTTGACTCGCCTAACCGGACAGCACTGCTCTTCTCCTCTTTTTCTTCTCCCGCCATCGTATTGTCGTCCTCTGATGGAGACCGGGTGTGGTTGAGGAAAGGTTTCGTGTAAAGACTATTACCATCGTTTAGCACTCTACGGTGAAGAATTCTGATTTGGGAAAGCGCTGGGGTTAGGGCGGCTAATTTGGCTTTTACTATTAGGTATCTGGGGTGGTAATGCGTCTATAGTACGACGACCTACATACTGTACTGCATGCAATCGATGATTTTCGTCTCGGTTCCACTGAGATCCCCATCATGCATCGTGGCAGTGCTTTCGCATCGATATACGCGCTCACCCTTCGCTCAAGATCCCGAAACTGAGCTCGGGGTGTGGCGTCTTCTGCAAAGCTAAGGTACGCTACGCTTCCTCTGGGCTCCTCAGCTAGGTGCAACGCGCCTTCCGTAAAACCGTCTCGTCGTTGCTCTTTGGTTGGTCGATTACGAAAGCGAGCAAGCGGATATGGCGGATAAGGACGACCGCGTTCTCAAGGCCGTTGGCTCAACAGCAGTATCACTGTCTTCATCTTTCCGTCTCCTGCTGTACTTCATCCACCCATTTCCAGCCTGGCCAGAACAGTCTCAACAACTCCCTTCGCGCCCACACCCCTCTCGACACCACCCAAACTCCTCTCCTCAGCCTCCAACTCCACAGCGCCCTCATACACCCTCGCAATCATATCCTCATCGACCCTACTCCCACACGCCACAAGCCCCTTAATCAACGTGCTAACCCTCGTAATCTCCCTCAACACGCCCGGCTGGATCTCGTCGTTCTGGCTCGAGTACAGCGTCTCGGACACGCTTTCCTCCAGTCGCGTGATGCTGACGTCTTTCTGCTCCTGCGCGGTTTTCGAATGCGCAGATATGAAAATGTACCCGTTTACGCCGAGGATGACGTCGATTTCGCCGGCTGCCGTGTTGAGCGTGAAGGTCTGGCGCTTGGAGCGCACGACGCCGCCGCGGCGCGAGAGGATGCCGCCGCCTGCGCCGGAGAGCGACGTGAAGAGTCCGTTGCGCAGCTTTCCGTACTTGAGCGAGCGCGTGTGTAAGCTCGCCGTGTTGTCCTGGTGCAAGCTCTGGACTTCGGCAACGAGCAGATCGCCCTCGCTGAAGAATGTCCGGATGTTGAGTTCGTCGACGGCAGTTCGGCGACGCAGGATACCGCCTGGCAGGTTTATCGCGCTTAAGGGCAGTGAGGCTAGCATCGGCGCTGCGATGTCCACTGTCCATTTCTTCGTCTGCACGCTGACTATTCTTCCTACCACTAGGTCCCCAATCTCGGGGTTGTATCGCGCGCGTAAGGGCTGGACGGAGAGGAGCTTGTTCGTTTTGTGCAGGTGCCCTGCGACGGTGGAGATTATGGTGCTGGTGTCGGCGGGCACGTAGGTGCCGTGGCCGCGCATCCATTGCGGGTCGGACGTTATGGTTTCGCCGGGGGTTACTATGGAGGATTTGGAGGTGGAGGTTGGGAGGTCATCGTCGGACATTTCTTCGTCGGAGTCTTCGCGTTTGAGGTGCTGCGCAGCGATTGGGGCGGAGGGTGGGAGGATGGAGACCGGCATGCTGGGCGAGGGAGCGCGCTGTGGGGCTTGGGAGTGGGCTGTAGGGGACGAGACGGTTCGAAGGAGGATATGGAATCTTTTAGTGGGCTCTGAGGCGGCAATGGGCTGTATATGCCGCGGAATATGGGGTGGTTAGTTCAGTAGGTTGAAGCTTTGGAAATTTTGGCGGGGATTTCCAAGCTTAGCCCCGGGGAGCTTTAACGACGCAGATAAGCTATACCTAATTTAGTCTAGCGTACATTCCAATTTGCATAAGTCATGCCATTGGCATTCGTCACTCGTCCAACTTCGTACCATCAAAACAACGAGACAACAGACCTTCTCTATCCTTGAAAAGAAGTATCTTCACGGGAATACGACCCGAACGATCCTATCATGCCGGCATCAACTCATCCGCCTTTCCAATCACATATCACCCGACCCTTTGTCTCCACTTTGGATGCCGCATCCCACGCCAACCGTCAGGACGACCCAAACTACTATGCTGAGGACCCGCGCTCTCTGATCAGCACCTCGACCATTCATTCTCTCATTACTGGGACTGGAGACGCTGTATACCGATCGCTAGCTCCTCTTCTGGAATCGACAAATCACGAGCTCATCCTGGTGACGTGCTTCTGGGCACGGTCATCAAGTCTTGAAACTTTGAACAGCATTCTTCGCAAGCTATCTGATAAAGCAATTCGGCGCGGTAGCGAGAAGATCCAAGTTCAACTATGCTTCTCGTCGCTGTCCCTCTTCCAAAAGCTCTTTCACAAGCAATCAGTAACGGGCCAGACATATCCTCCTTCCGTATGGGTGAAGAAGCTCGGCTTACCGGACCCTTCCGAACTAGGCGGCCTGGAACTCCAAGTCAAATCGATATTCCTTCTTCCGTTCTGCGTCATGCATCCGAAGTTCATGGTCATCGACCGGCAAACTGTAATCCTGCCTTCCTGCAATATCAGCTGGGAGGAATGGTTTGAAGGTTGCATCACGCTCGCTGGACCTATCGTGGATAAGTTCTTGAGATTCTACAAAACGTTTTGGGCTCGGGGGAAGACGCATGGCCTACAAGGGGCTAGCATCGGAGAAGGCATGACCTGGCAAGCAGACAATGTTGGGAAGTCCGACCTCGGACATGGTAGCATCGTCAATTACTTCTCAAGTGCTGCGAAGCAATCCGAGATATCGGACATACCGACCGTCTTCCTCCCTAGCCCGCATCGACGGAACCCCCGCTTCCAACCTTTTGCCTCCACCGAAAGGGTCGTTGCACCACCCACGCCACTCAATGCCTTCGTTTTAACACTGTTCGCGAAGGCAGACAAGACTATCCGCATTCAAACTCCAATCCTTACCGCTCCACCCGTTCTCTCTTCACTGCTAAAAGCTCTCGAACGCGGCATCGATGTCACTATCTTGACTTCAGAACGACTCATGGTCCTCGAACAGCTAGTCACAGCTGGTACAACGACTTCTCGTTGCATCAGGAAGCTCATAAAGCGCTACAAGAAGCTCACGCTACGCAATTCCCGTGTTTCAAGCGACGAAGAAGCAGTAATATCTGCGCCGCAACCGGGTCGCCTACGGGTATCTTACTTTGAACCAATAAATGGTCCCAGGCCGAGGGGTGAAGAAGAAGGAGAACCGCAACAATCACATCTGAAGATGACGATCGTCGATGACGAGGTGCTTGTATTGGGATCAGGGAATTTAGATCGCGCAAGCTGGTTTACAAGTCAAGAGCTTGGTGTTGCGTTCTTCGACCGGCAATTGGTCAAGGGCGTGGAGAATGTGGTTGACGAAGCGACGAACGGGAGGTCAAAGTTGGTTTATGATAGTGGGGACGCTGAAGGATGAAAGGTAAATAATTTCCTTAGGTTTTTAGAAGAGACTAACCGGTAACCCAGTTTTTTAAAATCAGCCTCCATCCACTTAGTCCATCTCACATGTGTGATAAATGCCTCGATCTATTATCGCATAGACTAGGATGAAGCGAGATACTTTCCGTCACGGGAGGTGTCATATCTAGGTAGTTAAGTCTCCAACCTCAATGGAGGTAGTGTTGAAGTTGATGATCGACAGACCGGAAGCATGACGCCCGTCTTCGATCAGTTGCTTCCATCGACTTTGGGTTGATGAATGGGCGTGCAAACGCGTGATGAGAACATGGGTGTCGTCCAAGATGGGCCCGAGAAACCGAACCACAAACACGCTATTCCCAACACAGATTAGTGCCATCTCACTGTTTTCCTTCCCGATCTCCTTATGCAACTTCGCCTCCTGCATCAACATTCCGTGTCTATGCGGTCCGTAGCAACCCTGCTCATAACGTCACGCGGATATTATTTATTGAGGAGCTTGAATTCTCCGGTCTGGCCTCCGAGAAACCGCGCGTATGGAGCCGACCGGCGACGGCATTTCTACCACCCTCGTTTCACCATGCCTCCCGCAATATCGCAGAACAAGGGTAAGCATGTTTCCACCAACGAAACATGAGCGGATTCCCCTGGAAACGAAACCGCGTTCGCTGTCAATGCCGTTCCTGGAATCTGAGAAGCCCAGTTTGGTTTCTCGCTAGGACCTCGGGAACGTTATAGGAAAGTAATAACAAGAAAGCAATGATACAAACGCAATAACACAGCTGTCAAGGCGATCGTCGAAAGACGCATGAACATTCACCCAAGAGATGGAGGCAGTATTCTTTCAACCTTCCAGCCCGTTCGGCTGGTTCCTGTGCGATCGTCACAATCTCGGCGATTTCTGACAACCCAGTGGATCTTCTCATTTCCACCAACGGGCCACCCTCACCCTTCATCTGGAGTGGAAACAAGCACACGCCCAGACCTACAAGCTTCTGTTGTTCAGAGCTTAGCTTGCCGCTGGCGACTATCAAGGGACCGAAACGGTGCTATATAACCTCTCTCTTATGCTCACAGATTCGCTCACCACCTTCAATTACTTCCTTGTCTTTGAATTCACCTGTCACTCTTTCATTTCTCAAAATGGTGTCTGCCCGCCTTTCTGCTCTCCTTCTCGGCGCTGGCGCTCTTGTGTCGGCTGCCCCAGCCCCGACGCCTACCCAGCCAGCCAAGCTGGCAGACCGCGCTGCGAGTTGTACGTTCATGGACGCAGCATCTGCTAGCAAGTCGAAGACTTCGTGCTCTACCATTGTTTTGAGCAACGTCGCTGTCCCCTCTGGAACAACTCTTGATCTAACCAAGCTAAACGACGGCACGACTGTAAGCCCGACTATCTTCTTTGGCTCTGCCACTGATGACTAACTTGTTGCAGGTCATCTTCGAGGGTACGACCAGCTTCGGGTACAAGGAGTGGGAGGGACCGCTGATCTCCGTTTCTGGTACCAAGATCACGGTTAAGGGTGAGAGCGGTCATGTGATTGATGGAAACGGTGCAAAATGGTGGGATGGCGAGGGCTCCAACGGCGGCAAGACCAAGCCCAAGGTGAGTGCATCTTGCTCGCCTGACCCGAACACCAACTGACCTTCTCAGTTCTTCTACGCTCACTCGATGAAGCAATCCACAATCTCCGACCTCAACGTCAAGAACACTCCTGTGCAAGGTTTCAGCATCAATTCTGCGACTGACCTGACGCTCGACTCCATCACCATCGATAACTCCGCCGGGGACACCGACGAACTTGGTCACAACACTGATGCTTTCGACGTCGGCAGCTCCACCGGCATCACGATCTCCAACGCGAACATCAAGAACCAGGACGACTGCCTCGCTATCAACTCCGGCACCAACATTCACTTCGTTGGCGGCACCTGCTCGGGAGGTCACGGTCTCAGCATCGGCTCCGTCGGTGGCCGCTCCGACAACACTGTCGATGGTGTCGTTATTGAGTCGAGTACGATTTCCAACTCGCAGAACGGCGTGCGCATCAAGACAGTGTACGATGCTACGGGCAGCGTCAACAACGTTACATACAAGGATATCACCCTTTCGGGCATCACCAAGTACGGCATTGTTATCGAGCAGGACTACGAGAACGGTTCGCCGACGGGTACCCCTACTACTGGTGTTCCCATTACCGACCTTACTCTCAACAAGGTCACTGGCTCGGTGTCTTCCAGCGCCACACCGGTCTACATTCTCTGCGGTTCTGGCAGCTGCTCTGAGTGGACGTGGAGTGGCGTGAGTGTCACTGGAGGATCGAAGAGTTCGAAATGCGAGAACGTTCCCAGCGGTGCGTCCTGCTAATTGCAGCCACTAAGCCTATTCTCTAACAGACCGTTTTGGTGCGCGCATAGCAACCTTGAGCTAGAGGATGTCGGCGGTTTCACGCATACTTCATTTCTTGTGCATATTCTTCATACTCTTGTCAATACTTTCTTGACTCCTCGAAGAGGGTCCCTTTTATTGAGATGCCATCGTTGGCGAAATATCATTGGGCATGAGGATCGTTTGTGTTCCACCGAATAGAGTGACGAAAACGACCGGCCTGCTGGCATGTCAAAATCGAGGTGTCTCTGCACTTGGGCTCCATGAGGGGAACCACCTGCCGTTTGTTCACCGGTGAGATTTGAGTGCCCAGCTTGTGGGTCGTATATCCGCTCACCGGTCTGCACGGAGAGTTTCGCCCTGGTCGACCTGATTTTCGGAGAAGATGGCCCGAGTTGCTCGGGTCATTGGTGGATTCTGGAATCTGTGGCACCGTACCTGCAGCTTCTGGGCACTGCCGTATCCTGTACGAGATTGAAGATGGCATACCAAGACTCAGCCGCAATACCACAGTAGCTGCCGGACTTACCACCAAAGCAGTCCTGGAGCCGATGCACGCCTAGAAGCGATAGTGTGCGGGGAGGCATGGGCTGGAATTAAGAATCAGCAGCAGGGCCAAATCTTTGGAGGGTGGTCAAGGTGCCGTAGAGATATGCTTTCCAAAGTGGCCTGATGCACCAGCTTTTAAGAGACTAAGGGTGCAATGGAGCCCTCGATGTTAGGACTGAAAAGTGCGCGCCCGTGATGAAGTATGCGCACCTCCCGCACACTTATTTTGGGTACCGTTACGTAACCTCTCAGCCCTTCCCGACATCCCGCCAGACCTCCACGTCCTCCGCACCACAAACGTCCTCTTCCCCGCCCGTTCCTGCGAACATGCATGCTGTCTCGAATCCTCCAAAAGAATGCGAAATACGAGAATCTCACGGGCTGACCGAAATGTCTGCGTGCTTGGCGCGATTGGTCATCCCACCTCACGCTCTTTCCATTCGTACAGAAGAGGACGCCGAACGGCCATACATTCTTCCCGCCGAATACGAGCAGTAGATTAAACGGCCCCCCTGCCCAGCCTCGGTTTTGCCTACCACGATGCGACGTTGTAGAGCTTCATCACCTTTCTGTTGCTCTCACCACCTACTTTAGCTGCCTTGCCCAGCACTCCGATATTGCGAACCTATGGCCTCGTGGATCTATACGAAGGTCGAGAGCTCTGCGGTAGAACCGTCTCCAAGATTAGCACGGACGTTTGCCAATCTCGTCGCTTCCATCCTCCGCTTCGCCGGCGACCTCGATCCTCCCAAGCAAGCAGTTCCTGGATCTCCATGCCTCAGGCTTGTTCGAAATCTCGTACACCAAGGGTACTTTCATCTATGCTGCATGTAATAGCCTCTATTCCAAGGCATCACCATGCTCTCGGGCTCTCCAGATGTCAGCTCTGCCTTCATCTCTGGTCAGAGGCATGTTTTTTGATCTCGCCATGCCACAGTGAACTCCATCAGCCTCGGTTGGAGCCGCCATCTATAGCAGTATAAACCGGCTATGATCCACTTCGATGCTTCCCTCTTCCTACGGGACCTGCAGCGTCCAATTGGCCTGGAAGTGATCATTCGTTCTAAGAAGAATACTCCACTGTGCATTATTAACCGGCCATGAAAGGCATATGCCTCTCCTTTGCCGTTCTATGGCTCCTGCAGCTTGTCGCTGCCTCTGGTGACCTAGTCGAGCTGGTCCCACTCCCTCGTCATCTCTGGGACCAATCCATCCGTAAGCGGGATGAAGCTACTGAGGCTGCCAACGTCACCTTGATGGACCACGAGCAAATGCTTTGGACTAGCCCTCCCAATGGTGTGCATGATTCACCACGTACGAGATGGCCAACTAATGAGCCTAGATACGCATCCGAAGATTGTGTCCATGGTCCTCTGGACTGGACAGGACCGGCTCATCCTCGACATGGCCAAGTTTGGCTGGGAGCTCAAGACCGTGAATTGCACCGAGAACATGATGGTGCAGTTCCGTCACAACATCAGCTTCCAGGCCGCGAAGAAGCAATGGGACTGGGTCAACTTCAACGGCATGCGCTCTTTCGTCATGATCGCGGATCACATCAAGTGCGGTAGGGACTGGTCGCCGAACCCATGGCTCGTCAGCACCGTTCGTTTCGATCCGTCTACACTGAAAGTCTTCATGGAGGCTGAGAAGAAGACCTGGAAGAACATAACCCGCTCCTACGCCATGGACTTTGGGGAAGTGCAGACTGGACGCAAGCGGCTCCTGGACTTCAACCTCGACAAAGCATTTACCCTTGACCTCGCTTCAACGTTTCCCAGCAAGATCATTGCCAAGAACTGGACTTCAGGTAACACAAAAGCTTCTTTCGGAGTGAGCTGCGTCGACTGCGGTACGTCAGGCCAGCTTGTGTTTGCTGGCCACATCGAGGGCAGCGCTTTCGGTGGTATCGACAAATTTATGGTCAGCGCTACTCCAGTGGGTCTTCAAGCTGCTCTCAATCTTGAGGTCGCTTTTGAAGGCATCTACAAATTCACCAATAACAAAGAGGAGTTTGATCTCCTCACTATCCCTTTGCCCTATGGCTGGACCATCCCCGGCGTGTTGACGTTCGGTCCGAACGCCAAGGTCATTGCAGGGTACTCGCTCGACAGTATCCAAGGATCAGCAACCGTTACCACCGGTGTGGCAGCAAAGATCCCGGACGACTCCCTAGCGAAGGTCGACCTCTTTGGCAAGAAGAAGCTCGATGTCCATGGCTGGATTCCGACATTCGAGACTAAGCCACTCGAGATACAAGCCGAGATCACTGCCGGTGCATCCCTTTACACTAAGCTCGCAGTAGCTGTTAGCATTGAAGTTCTCGGTAAGTCTTGACGGCACGTGTCACATGCTATACGGTGCTGACCCTATGACAGATGAGAACGGTGTCAACGTGGACGTGAATCTTCAGTTCCCGAAGCTCATTATTGCTGCCACTGGTGGCTATAACGCGGAGGGCTTTTGCTCGACCGGTGGCGATACTTTCGGCGTCTCCCTGGATGTCTCCCTTGGTTGTGAGCTCGAGCTGGAGGGGTGGGCAGAGGTCGATGGGAACCGCAAAGTTCTCTTCGAGGTCGACCTGTACGAAAACGATCACCTCTATGACTTTCCTACCCTTTGTATAGGTATGGGCGGAGACAGCGATTCGTCCTGCGCTGCCGTTCCCCAAACTGACGATGCGGACTGGTTCTACAATGAAATCGACTCGCCCAACGACAACGACTCATTTGACGAGGACCCTTACGCCACCCCTTACCCTACTGGACTTAGCATACGCAAGCGCAACGTCAAAGACCCGTACTTTATGGAATGCGACAAATGTGAGGGTGAGAACTGCAAGCGGCAGTATCCGATTCAGATGAGGCCGTATCCTGGGCCAGGCAACCTGGCTAAAAATGTAGCCAGCGGGAAAGCCGATGTCCCAGTCATGGAGCCAGGCTCTTATGACTGCGATGACAGCGATTGGCACAACTGTGATGTAGGTAAATGGGGTGTCAGCCCATCAAGTGTCCCAGCACCCCAGGCTCCCGCCAAGGTCGGCGACCTCTGGGATGGTAAGTAAACTCCTTTAAGCCCCTCTTTGAAAAGGAGCTCATAATAGCAGCGGAGCATGTCTACGAAGGCGACTTCATCAAATCGTTCCTTGATCATCTCTACGAGACCCATTTCAAAGCGCAGGGCGAGAAGGAAGGGTGTGCCGCTCTGGCTGGCATCTTCAAGCTCAAGGAGGGCGGGGGCTGGATGGACCAGCTGATGAATCAGCTCGGCAGAACATACACTGTCAACAAGACCATGACTCTTTTCACCAAGAAGGAGAACCAGCTTAAGCACCGTGTAAGTGGTGGCCCTCTTCCTATGCATTGCATTTGCCTTGCTATAATCGGCTTGCTGATGCGCAGAGGTTAGATTCTCGCGGAAGACATTGTGCAGATCGATAGTAAGGCGGAAGATTCCCCCAGCAAGGATGTCAGGCTGTGTAGGATTCGCCGCGTTGTCAACTCCTGCAGATACCTGATGCATGAGAAGACGAAGGACCGCATGAGGTGGTCCATCGTCGGATATACTCTCAAGAGCGGTCCCTTTCCCGGAGTCAATGGCATCTTGTAAGTGCGCTCTCTTACTTTACACGTTTACCTTGTCGCTTTTTTCTTCAGCTGGCTGACATTTCTATAGCACAGAAATGGACAAACCCGGGAGCAAGATTTGGGACGGCCGCACAAAGCCCACCGAATTCACGACCTGGCAAGAAGAGCACCAGACGTGGTTCGACCAGATGTACAAGAAAGGCTTTACCAACACTAGGAAGAAACTCCAGACTTATGCTGATGGGCTGACCAAGATGGACGACTACAAAGGTTATTTCGACTCGGCTACAGAAGAGGCAATCGACGCCATGGCTAAGGGCACGAATCTCGATACCTGGTGCATGAACGACTTCAACTGGCCTTGAGCGAAGTGGGCGAGCGCGAGTCGGAATGCGAATGTAATCATTGCGTCTTTGTTCTACATATCCGTCAATGGAACGCACACATGTGGGGTCGCGATTGGAAGCTAGAACTCTTTTGTATACGGACCTTGCCGTCGGGTTTTAGTACTCTCGTAAATTGATGCAGCTTTCCTCTTTCCCGTTTGCTATCTGCCGTCTCGTGCGGCATCGCGTGTGGGTCGTCCTCGGTATCCTTAACAATGCACGTGTAATTACCTAGCTCGCATATCTCTGCCATAGCAAAATCGCGCCGGGCTCTTCTTGTCCACGTACCATACATGAACTTTGTTACTATTCGCTTTGCGCGATGAGACTACTCGCCCTCACTCACAAGCCTCCAACGGTGGCGATCTTCCAGGTGTTCTACAAGGAACTCGTCGAGTTCGAGGAACAGGAAGTTGATGACGTTGATGTCTTGGCCGAAGCAACAGCTGCTCACCGCTGTTCAGATCAGTTGGCCGAGCTCTTTTCGATGATAAGGCGCGATGGCGTGCATGTGTGTTGACGTTCTTCTTGCGCAGACAGTTCTCGCCCTCGAGCAGTTTTGCTTAGAGCTGCCATACCGCTACGGCGTAACATTTTCCCTCCAACTGACATTCGCGGTGCTAGTCATTCACTCCCTCAGAAAGAGCGCCGTGCACCCCACGAATATAATCGCCGTCGCCACCCGCCGATATAAGGTTCGTCTCTCGCAAATAAGACCCATCATAACACAACCACGGCCTCGACTCCACACCTGCTGTCTCAAAAGGCTCGCTTCCGCTTGAACAAGATGGTGCCTCCCAAGACAGCCGACTTTTCGGAGCAGTACGTTGCCGATATCCGCGAATTGCCGTATGTTGAACGTCAAGCTCTGAAAGCTGGGCCGAAGGTCAAAATCTTCGATGACAACACTTTCATTATGGAGCTGCCGCGCGCCCTCTTCTTAGCCGCCACTACCGAGCCGCGCCTGATCACATCGTCCGGCGAGATCCATCTTCCTCCCGACACCGGTGTTGACGGTATCATCTCTGTCGGATGCTGGCTACTTGCCGTTGTCGATTCGGAAGAGACGTTCCACCTCCGGCCGAAGAAAGACATGGCTGACGATCTCCGCATCTGCCGCGCTGGTCGTCTTCTCGGCATGGAAAAGTACATCGACCACATCCATAGGCACTACTGGTGGAAATTCTACAACAAGCCCTTCAGCGCCGCCGATGTCGATCTCGTCGTGGGCCTTGCCATGGACCCGAAAGACCCGTTCTTGCGCCTCGTCTCCGAGCGTCTCGCCGCCTACCTCCGTGATGGCCAGATCATGAACCCCGATGCCCTGCGTGCCTATATCAAGCAGAACCCGATGCTCGACAACACAGTCCGACAGGCCAACAAGGAGTTCAAGAAGAAGAAGCTGAAGGAGAAGGACAAGGCTGAGCGTGCTGCGGCCCGCGCCGAGCGCGAGGCGCTCCTCATCGCACAGCGCAAGGAGGAGGAGGCTCGCCGTGAGGAAGAGGACCGCCAAAAGAAGCAGGAGCAGGCTCGAAAGGCGGCGGAGCAAGCCAAGCTCAAAGCCGAGATTGAAGCCCGCCGTAAGAAGCTGGAGGACGAGTATCGAGAGAAAAAGCAGAAGGAGCAGGCGCTGTGGGCGGAGCGCAATAAGAAGGACGCCGAGCTGAACCGGTCACTTCAGGACAAGATCCGCTCTGGGAAGAAGACGGTTACGCGGGAGGAGGCGCGGTACTTTGAGCGCACCCGGGGGAAGCGCTGCCCTTACAATGTGGTGTAAAGGGGACTCTTCTCTTGATATATTTCAGACCAGGCAATTTTCGGAGTATAGCGAATGGGCTTTTGATGCGATATGGGGAGGTCTGGCGCCAGATACGCTAGGACCGTGACTGTTCTTTCAGTTCAGCGCGTGGAATTTGTGGCTACATGAGCCATCTTATAGGCGTCTGGTCTGGATTGTGTTACTGGAGTCTCGCGGGAGAGCCCATATGCGACTCATCATAGCGCTCATATGAAAGAGTTAGGATATCCCGGCAAGCCATCAACCTAGACGCATCGCTGCAAGGAGGGCGTGGAAGAGACAAGGGACTCCGATGGCAACCTTCCCCACAGGAACTCAAGCTTCTTAGGGCTCGAAAGATATCCGCATGCATTCGTTGTAACGGTGTCGCAGCGTTCTCGTGGACTATCGCTTGCTAGTCTACCGGTTCTCCTTCCCCTCACCATGGAGATTCGCCCACGGTACCTAGGTATCTCCTTCAAGGATGCTGACCAGACTGGACTGTCTGGGGTACCGCACTCAACTCAACCTCACCGTTACGTCCCAACTCATATTACAACCCACTTGTTCCTTCTACTCCTCCCTCTTTCAATAGAAGACTGGCCTTTTTTCCCTAGAACAACTGTAGGCACACCTGGTTCAAGGAGCTGCATCTACGTCTCCAGATTGAGACACGCAATTTAGGGGCGGCTTCAGAGCCAAAGGACGGTGCTCTCGCAGGTCCGGCCCCTTGCTTGGCCTCGCACCATCACCTTTTCGTAGACCGCAAAAGAAGCCACCAAGGACGGCGGATCCATCGTCGAACGCAACTTTAAGCTCACCAACACCTTGTCGGAGGCATCTGACAGCCTCTGCGGTCGACAAGGTTTTCCTGTCATTCAAATTGCCTGGTTACTACAGACGGACAGACGGACGAAGCGGTCGCTGATTTTGAAGCAGAACCATACTCAAGCTTGCGTCGTGAAAGGTTAAAGATCTAACAGGAAACAAGATGCTGCTTGCCGGATTCCACCCGGAGATCTTCGAGCAGATCATTCATCAGTTAGTTTCAGGCGTGGGCATCGTCAGCGTATAGAACTTGCGCGCTGTCTGTCGTAAGTTCCTGCAGTTTGACCCACAATCGCACATTGAAGATACTCCCTCTGACGTCGACAACAATAGGAATATTCGCACATATGGTCCTCAGAGACGTCTTATTGAATCAACCCACACATTCTCAGATCAAATCGGTTTCTGGTTTCTTCGCGCAATTGCTGCGAATACCGCGGACTAGTACCCACCTATCTTGCAGACTTCCTGCTTAACCAATCACACCACCCCGGTCAAATGTAGAAACTGCTACATGACTTTCTTAATGTTTTCGGATGCAATTTCTTTCTGCATTGGCCCACACGAAATGCCGCACCTTCCCCGCCCAAGGTCGATGCCTAGGATCTTGCTACACCGCCTAGTCCTTCACTTCGACTTCGGCCGCGACTTTGCACGGTTCCTTACTAGATTTGGCACTAGCGTTGTTAGCTTTTCGCCTTCACCTCGACTTGCGCTGGCTTATAAAAACCTTTTCTCTTCGTCCCCTACGTCTCCTGTTCTCTACAACTACGCTCAGAATTTGCTAACGCAAACCAGAAACAGGCGGCGCAGTGCGCAACGACTCCTGAGAACACTCACAGGGATATCTCCATAAAGAGAAACTCGGTAAGCTCTAGGCTACCCTTGTGCCAAAACATCCGCTAACTAACCAACAGGCCCTGCTACGCACTCAACGAAGCTAGGCTATCAATTCGAACGTTCACGAGCAGCAAGATGCTTTTGCTCGATTCCCCCCCAGAAATATTCCAGGGAATCGTGCACGCATTGGTGTCGCAGGCTGGGGTGTCTGAGGCGTGGAAGCTGCGTGGTGTTTGCCGTGAGTCCTCGTTTAATCCGTCGTGGAATACCACAATTTCCTTGATCCGCTCGCTACTAACAATAACAGGCACCTTCGCGGCTGAGATCAAGCACGACATCTTCGCCAATCAACCCAAGGACGCCTTCCGAGACAGCCGTAGCCGTCGCGTGCTCGCAGAAGAACTCCCGCTATATCTATCCAACCGAACTAAGAAGCTTCTAGACGCGGAGAACGCATTGCCAGAGAAGGTCAAAGGCATGGTGGGTAATCTGACCAACATCCTCGACGTTGGTGACCAGGCCGATTCTCAGAAACAGCACTACACAGAAACGCTGTGCAAAGCTGTCCTGCGCGAGTGGGGATTCTCAGCGGTCTTCGCCATAATTGGGATGGACGGGGACAATGACCGGTCTCTCAGCCTTGGAATTTCTCTGCAGCGAGACTTGGATTTTGAGGAAGATATTGCCGCATTCGCGGCAATTGGAGAGCATGACATTGTTCGAAGACTCCTTCCACGGTTCACACAGACTTCGGAATCGCCTACCTTCGGAAATCCTCTTGCCAATGCAGCACTTATGGGCCATGGCAACGTTATTACTGTCATCTCCGACTATCTTCAGCGTGCCAAGAAGGAGACTACTTCGAACTACGCGTTCCTCCTCGACAGATTCTGGGATGGTAAATTGGCATATATCATTAACACTACCATAAAGTCTGGACGCACTGATATCCTCGATCAACTCTTGGCCATGTACAAAACTCATCACGGTCACCCGGACAAGAGCTTCTACAACCGATGGCTGCGGACAGCGGTGGATTCAGGAAACGCTCAATTCGTCGACCGCATCTTGAGGATCACGATACGAAGCAAACCAAAAGTCCTAGTCAAGACATTCGAGGCCGCGTGTGAGCTGAAGAATGCGGATGTGGTTGCCATGCTATTGGGAACGAGTCGTATGCATCCGGACCAGGCATTCCTACTCTTTTCTCCCTTGGCCGCTGCGATAAGGTTGGGGGATGAAAGCGTGGTCACGACAGTTCTGGATGCGGGAGCTAACGTCAACGGTGTTTCATTCGAAGGAAAACATTATCCAGCCCTTCAAGTGGCTGTTGACCTAAACGAGGCCTCCATCGTCAAGATCATGCTCGACCGTGGAGCCATCCTGGACGGAATCCAAGTACCGGAGAACATGGTAGCTATCCGCAAGCTCTTTGCGGATGCTCAGCGCGAGCGCGAGCTTGAACTGGATTACTGGATTAGCTATTGGGTTATGACCGTCCAATAAGCGTCACGCCTACGATCGGCAACATCCATCCTTCAACTCTACGGCACCACATTTAACGACATATCTGCTCTGGAGGGAGCAAGGCCTTTACTAAGAGCTTCTGGGCTTGCTTCGTCCACATTACAAAGCCCGCTCCCACGATAGGGGAGAACTCGGCCATCTCCCTTACAAGTAAATGCGGCGAGACGGATATGGGTTTTCTCTTCTCTATTGCTTGCTTTTTCAACTTTGATCGAATTGGCCACTTTCTCGCGGCTATCCATTCCCCTTGTATTTTATCTTTTCACGGTCATTACACTTCCTGCCCCTTGTCCTGTAGTCAGTCATGCGTATAAAACATATGAAGCTCTTACTTTCGTACTATTCGCGATCCATGCACCTCTCGGTCGTTTCCCTTCAAATTTCCAGGATATATTAGAGAATTTGAACACGTACTGAACCACTCGGCTTCGCACCCTCTCAAGCCCTACACAATCTCCCATCTCCTCCCACTTTCCATGCATCACTCCCCACAGCCGTCGTCGCATAAAATAAATCCTGCGGATCCCACTTCTTCTTAATCTCCGTCAATTTCCCAAAGTTTGTCCCATAGAACTCTTCCCTCCACCTCGGATTGTGGACGTCTGCCTCGTTCATATACGCACCGCTCCCCAGCTCCTGCAACGGTGGCATAATCTCCTCGGTGAGTATACGCTCCTGCTCATGCATAACGCTAACAGGGACGGTGTAGTTCCAGAACTGTATGACCATGAAGTAGGCTAGTGCACCGCGCCAGGCGGGGTTGACGGCGTTAGGGGAAGAAGGTGCGCGGGAGACATCCAGGGCGTAGGGCGCGATGTAGAAGTTTGTGGAAGTTGTGACGTTGCGGAGGATGGAGATGAGGGCGGTGCCGTTGGAGGCGACACCACTGCGCGGGAAGAAAATACCGCCTTGGAGTTGGGCTGCTGGTATCGTGCCATAGGGGAGAGGGCCGCTGTAGTGGTCTGCGTGCTGGAGGAAGGAGGGGAACAACGTCACGTTCATTTGGTACGCAATCGAGTGGCTGTCGAGGTACTCCGTGAACGGGGCGAAGGCTTCGCGCATGTCGTCCTCTGTTGCGCCCGGAATGGTGGCCACCGTGACCCCGAAGACTGGACCGGCAACATACCACTGGACATGCGCGCCGGCGTCGGTAATTGCAGGGAGTCCAGTCTCAAGAAAGAATGCTATGGTGTCCCAGAGCGTGTCAGGATCGATAGTTGGGTCCGTAAAGGCGAGGCTTGCGCCTCCGACGATGCTATCTAGATACGCTTTCGCGGTTAAGGAGACAACCACACCGTAGGTGCCGCCTCCACCGCCACTCAGTGCCCAGTAGAGGTCTGAATTCTGGGTGGGAGTGGCGGTCACGAGCGTCCCGTTTGCGGTGACGACTTCCCATTCCAGGGTTTGGTCGGCGCCCATGCCGTGTTTTCCACCCAGGAACGAATGGCCACCGCCTTGCGTGTATCCGCCTGCAACACCTACAGTAATGCATTCGCCGCCTAGAGCTTGCAGGCCCATCTTGTCGGCTGCTTCATACAATTCGAAGGCTTGCACGCCGGCGCCCATCTTCACTGCGGGGCCGGTGTACGGTTCGCTGGTGTAATTAGAGAAAGAGATGGACTTGAGGTTGTGCATCCACAGGCTAAGCGCTCCTTTACCGGTGGACTTGCCCAAGTAGCTGCGCTGCGATTAGACCGAGAACGACGGCTGGGAGACGGGGTACGACATACTCATGACCAGTATTCTTAACTACCAGCCTCACATTCTTTTCCTGCGCAAACTTCAATCCTGCAATCACGTCCTCCGCTTCCAGCACCTCAATCGCATACTCGACGTAATTTCCCTGCCTGCAAGTCGTGTTCCGAGGCGTATACGGATCGCAGCTCGCGTTCTGATGGTATGCGGACATGAAGCCCGACGGGTCGTCGAAGCTGGCGTAGAAGTTAGTACAGTTTGTGGCATAGAATTGTGGATGAGATGGGTATACTGGGATTGCGGCAAAGACCACATCTGCTCGAGCTCTGCACATGCACTCGCATCGTACGTCGGGTCGTGACACACATGGCCTTGTGGGATGGTGGCGATAAGGCGACCAGATACACTGGCGTTCAATTGAGACCATTCCTCTGCGCTGGGCCAGCCTTCATCGCCAGGCAGATAACGGCATGTTGGGTCCGCACTTTGTGCTCGCAAGACGGTCGGTCCGGCACACAGGCAGACAAGAGCAGAAGTGAAAGAGAAGAACGAGCCCTTCATGATCGGTAATGACTGAAGCACAGGCTGATGAGAAACCAAAGATGTCGTGAGGTACGACACTCATATCTACAGCCTCATTCGCAATGCGCAAATTTCGAACCTCAAGCCGAAGTCGCGCGAGTACGGTTGTGCGTTCAGCAATCCCGACACTTCGGGAATTACGTGAGATGGTGGATCTTTACCTCTTCCGGTCAGGAGAGTTCACAGCTCATGCCTATTACGGTTAGCCTGCTCTTTACCGAATGGTCATCAGGAATCAGCACGGCGGTAAGCCGGGCGTACATTTCGTTAAGAAGAGATTTGCGCCCGTTAGCGATTCCTGGATTCACGCGTGGATGACGCGGGAGGATTGAGCCGGAAACGCTAATCCCGAAAGGCGCTAGCGTCTTCATCGTCTCTTTTGGAATCGAATTCGGGCGCCTAACACAAAACACTACACAGACCGACTAGAGACGAAACTTATTTGGATCCAGCAGCCGTAACAAATTTGCGAGCGTAGCGATCCGGAACGAGCGGTACCGGGAATGCCGCCCTCATCGGTGCACTTAGAGAGTGACATGTGCGCGGTGAATCTACGGTTCTCGGATGGCCTGTATCTCTATCGCACTATCTTGTCACACCAGTTGCAAAAGTGCAATCGACATGGAGGGCGTTCAGAGATTCCGAAGAGTTGCGTTGCCCCGCAGCCCCAAGTTCGCTGAAGAAGCCTACGACGACCGACGAAATATGGTCGGTACTCGGAAAAGCCTAATGCTAGACAGAATGAAGACTCGTTTCAAGACGAAGAGACTCAGTCTTGCGAGAGGCCACGGTCTTCCAGAACTGGCCTAAGGAGAAGATCAGGCATTTCGCCGCATATATATGCACATGAAAAGCTTGCCCTGTGCGGAATATCCGAGTCAACAAATACTTTTTCCCCACAGTTGCTTCACCGCGTCCCTGTTGCACAAAGCCCAGCAGTCTCATGGGTACTTTCACCGTGCTTTCACGATGACGTGCCTCGCCGGAACCTATTACGTATGCGGTGATCTCTTTCACTAGACTCGCTACTACTCCGCGAGCTGTACTCGTTCATAAGATCGTCAAGGCTCTTCGGCAGTCAACAACCGACAAGTAACCGCGGCACGAGGGAACGACTCCCTTCTTTACTACTTAACCTCATTCACATCTCAAGCGCGCGTACGAATGGCTTTTCACTCTCGACTTGCCAACGGAAGCGAGACCACCTCCGAGCCATCCCGACGCCAGCGCGTCCCGAACGAGATCCTCTTCCAGATCATTGGCGATGCGCTCACGCTCGAAACCCCAAGGCCTATCGACGTGAAGCGATTCGGGGTCCTAATCTCAACGAAGGGCCGCCTCAACCGCTTCCTCCGTATCTCTCCAGCACTGCAGTCGGCGGTGCTTGAGGCTTTCTACAAGAACAACTCCTTTTGCATCACGACCAACATGCGCTTCACCGAGGGACGCTGGACCTCGCAATATGCACTGCCACCGCCTAACGTCTGTCGCCATCTCCGGCGCCTGAAATTCCGCTGGACCATCTCGAGCATTCATTATTTTCCTTGTCAAGCTGTGCCCCCGCGTAATATCAAATCGGCAAACGAGCTTTTAATATCTTCCCCGGCGGCCTGGGTTCTGGGACTTTTGACGCATCCAGACCATGGCTTTGCGCAGTTGACGCACCTCGAACTATGCCTCGAAATAGATATCGGAACTCCACCTGGGTATGAGCTGTCGGAAGATTTTCTGGAGGCCCTTCGACAAGCGCGAATAATAATCAAAGCCGGCAAAATTGACTTCAAGGTCAAGGAGGACTATCGGCTCGCCCTTGAGAGCGTTATAGAGCTGGTAGAGACTGATGCGAAGGGATCGGCCTAGCGAAAGGAAATTTGGCTCATCGTGTTGTGACGAGCTTCAGGCAGTGCTTGACGCGCTGAGGGGCACCGTGTCATCGCGGGTTACAACGAGAAAATGCCCCTAAGTCAGTTTGGCAGAATTATGGAACCTTTTGCGAGGGTTTGACGATTTGGCACATTCATCGAAGGTGTGGGCTGGGCTGAATTGGCGCAACGAGGGTGCCGCCGATGTAAAGATCATAGACCGCCCCTAAACTGCGTTTTATAGCGGCAACCCGTCTCTTTCCTCCCTCTATACTTCGTTCGCCCCTCTAGCATTGAGCATTGCCGGTAAAGTTAACACTTCTTGGTGGCAGTACTATTCCTGTTTGCTTTACCAGTTCCGACTTTCAAGTTAGCACCATGTAACCCTTCACTTTCCTCTTATTGAGTCTCGCTCTGAAACTATACTTCTCTGGTGGAACTCCTTGATGAGAAGGTGCAAAGGTCACGTGATATTCCCAGGATAGATCCAACCTCCGGGAGAGAAATTTCTATCCCGATCCGAAGTACTTGGTTCCGGAAAGCCACAGAAGCCAGCGTTATATGTGAGTTATGGTACTGCCTTCCGAAATTGCTCCATAAGCGGAGAATTCGTATCGATTTATGAATGGATGCTACCTGAGGTATCACCGCTACTACTCTACAACGTGTTGCATGTATTTCCATGATAGGGAATAAAATCTAGCTGTCTGCCAGATTTGACTTGAACTAGTTGGTTAGCTTCTCATTGAGCGCACTCCAGGTATTGCATTCCTGCCGATGGCGATTACACTGTGGAGAGCAAATATGCCCATCAACCACAATCTCGAGCTCGGCACATTGAAACCTTAACGTCTCACCACCAAGCGCACGCTGGAAGGCTTCGATTGCATACCAACAGTTCTCTCGTATACCATCCGCTGGCCTTGCGATCACAATGGTAAAGCGCCTCAAATTATGGAACCATAGAGTGCCGAACGCAAGATTCCGAAGCCATCTAGCCTGAGCAGGAACCCATCGCTTGCCAACTATGGCCCGGTCGTCTATGAGGCATGGAATGAAGTGCATGTCGCGGACGTGTTTGTTGACTACTAGCCTGGGATACCTGATCATGAGGTGGTTGGCATGGGGTCGAATGACGAGCAAGTTGTGCTTGTACAGTGCTTCGGGGGTCAGGTTCCGTAATTGATTCACTCTGAGAAATCGATCGACCCTGCCGGCCAGCAGAGACGGCCAACGCTCAGAGTAAATGCCATTGGGGAACTTGAGGGCTTCGGCGAGGATCTGGAGTCGCAACTCGTCGGGGAGCTTTTCTAAGCTGTTTTCGTTTTCCTTAGGCTCGATCATGGCGGACTCTGGGAGCAGATGCTTGAACGCAGTTGTGAGGTAATGGAGCATTCGCAAAGGCAATACTAGAAAGACGAGCGGTTATTATACTCTAGACCTCTACATCACAGCTCTAGCCAATTGTCGAAAGTTCTGACGTTGACAAATGCGTACTTTGCTTAAAGGGCAATTAGATGCATTTTCATGTTTGAGCGTCCACAATCTTTCTGCCAACCCAATCCACCATGGGCAGGGCAAACGCGTTGGTGACGAGCAGTAGGAGAACTATTACCAAGTACGGCTGTAACCTAGACCAAAATCAAACTTCTACCCGTTTCTAGAACATCAGAGACAACCGGTTATACAATGTGAACCATTAATACGGAGTATGGACCACTGCTCCATGGATGAAGTACTGTTCCAGCACCGCAACCCAGTAGCACGGAGTCCTCCAATCTTGCTGGAGTCGTCCATCCATGGAGCAAACTTCGCGTTTGCACGAATGGCGCTCAACAGTAATCTCAACCGTATCCACGCCCAAGGCAATAGGGCCTGCTTTCTGAAATTTCTGGTATAAGCTCTCGAGGTCGCCCCATAAATCAGGCCTTTTCTTTTCATAGACATCGTTAAACACGAGCGTCAACGAGCGCAGGCCTTCGAACCCAACAGCTCCGGAGGCAAGTCTTTTCATCCAACGTACCTGAAAATCGCGTGGAGATGGCCAAGGATGACCGGGCTTCGGTACATACGAGTGATTAGTCAGGTTGAAATGTATCTCCAGTTTGCGCACCCAGTGATGGAAAGCCGGCCTTGGGTACTCGATTCGGCAGGCATCTCCGTCCTTGACGAGCGCTCCGGATCTCTCGGCTGTTGCAAATCGTATGGTAACTGAGTTGCTCTTGTAGAGTGCTTCCGGAACCAGGTGCCGAATGCCCTCGACTAGAAGGGGTGGGTCGACGAGCCTCCTCTTGATGACGGGCCATCGGACGGCGTCGAGACCCTTCGGCAATGTAAAGGCGTGACACAGTATTTCGAGCAATATCTCGTCAGGCAGGGCGACGGCCCAGTTCGTTCTCGAACGTGATAAGGGCAGCGATGACGATGATGACATATTTGTATCTTGTTATGGGAGTATTTTTAGAATCGATTACGGAGATGCACAGCGAGTGAGAGTCTTTATATGCCGAAAGATTCCGTCAACGTTGCTCAAGTTAATGCTAGAGATGTGAAGTAGGCTTCACGGTTCGAATTGTGGCATGATCCATTTGTGCGAAAATTGACATAGGAATTATCCACAAGTAACATGCAGGTATGGAAAGTGAAGGATTCGGTTGTGCATGTCAATGGAAATCGCAGAAATACAGCATGTACTCGTCTTTTTTGAAAGTTAAGTGGGAGGATCCGTCACCGAAAGGCTGAAGTGGTGAGATGAAGGCTCAACCCTAGGAAATGAGAGTGCGATCCCAGCAGGGGTGTTAGGAGTATGGGATATTTCAAGTTAAGCCTTCTGCACCGTAACCTCCATTGACCTAGAGCTCTTCGTCCCCATCATCGTAAATTCCATAGCCAAACACCCGGAATAAGTCGTGGGGAAAAGGCCGCGAGCCGACGCTCCTCAGCTTCTATCTCGAGAGGTTATTGCCTCTGCACGAGCTGTACGAAGTCAAGCCATCTACGCATCGTCCAGTCAGCATAAAAGCGCACTTCCAGGAACTTGAGCTTCAAGTGACCGAGAGAGCCATTCGCGGCTCGCTTCAGGAGACGGCATGGGGAGGCGTTCGCCATGCAGAATACTCCTATCGCTAGTTGGTAGAACCCATTATTATATTGGCGAAAAGCGATATTGCAGCTGTTCCGTTACGTATGCGAATATTTCGAGTTTGATTCCGGTCGGCAATTCGAGGAATGTCGTTGTCTTGCGAGATCGACTTGGGTGAGGCTGATGAGGCTTGTATGAGAAGCGGGTGTCGAGGAAGCTGCTAGAGAAATGTTTTCAAAAGATGGTTCCTATTCATCGTCATCAAAAAGCAGAATGTTGAAGCGAGGGCGTGGCTAAGAAGATTTCCCCGTTTTGCTTTGCGGCTCATCATATTCACTGCTAGGCAAGCAGATTCCGATGTGCGCATACCGTATGTCACCTAACAATAAGTGGGGGACAAAATCACATTCGTCGCCGGGAAGCTGGGAGGCTGTTACTTATTAGCTAGTTTGGTGTTAGGAAATGTACCATGTAGCCTGAAGACCTTTGCCAGGGAGTCCTACCAACGCTGGAACGTATACCAGAGCCAGCCAGGCCACGCTGTGATGCTTTCACACGTAGTTCAAACACAGCCTTTCACAGCTGTGGCTCGATAGCGCGAATGACAAATAGGCGGCGATAGACGGGAAGGATTTTGAACGAAGAGCGAGCTCGTTGTCATCTTCAATTGTGGCTTGGCGAGACAAGAAAGCGTCATCGATCCCGGTCCGGGGTCCGTGCGCGAGGCGCGTGGGGCTTGAAAGCTTATTCACACATCAAAACCTCCTCGACGTTGATATCCAGCACCTGGACGACGAACCTGAAAACTCCGACACTGACGAACATGGTGAGCGGGAGGCGCTGTTCTATATATTCGCGGCATTTTCTGCGATCCAATCGCGCCGATCCCGCCCCCAACATGGCACACTTGGTGCCTCATCGGAACAGCCACCACACACTCCTCGATGCACTAAACACCGCCCCCAAGCTACACAGCGTCAAATCCGACATGCGGTTCATGATGGGCTTTCAGGCCTCCCATGAGGAGGTCGGCCGCCGTTCCCCTGCTTTCTTCCGTCTGTTCTCTCTTCTCACCTTCCTCAACCGAACTGCAACGACATCACAATTTCCCGTTTCGCGTCGCAAGGATGTCGCAGCCGAGATATCAGCTTGTGTGCTACATCTTCGTTCTTTTTACCATCATCGCGTTGTTTGATGGACGCGTACGCGCGATAGAAGTTACCGCTGACTCGCAGTGCTCCAACTTCTGCATCAACTCGCCCGGCCTTAACGTCTCGGACATCGCCAGCTCGCAGACATTCAGCGGCGACCTGAGCTGCCTGGACTCGGACTACGATGGCACCAACGAGACTGCAATAGGCCGCAAGTTTAGGACGTGCGTGAGCTGCGAGCAGAATAGCACGGCTGTCGACACCGTCAACGAGGAGAACGATGTCTACTGGTTTTTGTGTAGGTTAATCCACTTTGCTGCGGCAGCGAAACTGACTGTGCCAGTCAACATCAAGTCCACGGTAGCCTGGTGCGTCCAAGGTTTCTTCCAGGACGAGCAGAACCCCAACGCGACCCTCGCAAACTCGGAATGCCATGCCGCATGCGACCCTATTGGCAATGCGATCGAGGACCGACTCAAAGAGACGAACGAGACGCTTCAGTACAACTACTGCGAGTCGAACAATGGCGCGTTCATGTCAGGCGTCGATGATTGCTCAAAGTGTCTGTACGGCGTGGATAATGTGAAGATTCTTGGGAATTGTAGGTGTCACGCTTGCAGGAAGCTAGGTCATATGCTAACGAAATAACAGTTCTCAGCGCACTCAAGTCAGCATGCCAACAAAAACCCTCTCTCAGCTCCACCATCTCCCTCAGTACGAATGTGTTCTCCGTCGCAACTTCCACGTCCCCCGGGTCCTCCACATCGCCCACCACATCATCAACATCCTCACCATCCTCACCATCCTCTGACTCCTCTGACTCCTCCCTCTCCGGTGGCGCAATAGCCGGCATAGTAATCGGGGCCATCGCCGGGCTCGCCATCCTCTGCGGCCTCGTATTCCTCGTTCTCCGCCGACGAAAACGTAGCTCTCCATATACACAGGGCGAGTTGGACGGCAGGGGGATGCAGAATATGCCGCCGCATATGCAAGAGTATAAGCAAGGCCCCGGATCTGGGCACAGTCAGGTGCCGGTATATGCGCAGCAGGCGCCTATGGAGATGGGGGCTGAGAGGCCGCCGGTGGAGTTGCCGGGGACGGGGAGCGGAATGAAGAGTCCGAGGTTTGAGAGGAGGAAGTGATGCGAGTGAGTCTGCGGAAATAGATGGATTTTAGACAATCAAGACTTCACGTTTATGTCCGTATGCACATTTGCTTTCCTCCAACCGGAGAAGTCTGTTCGAGTTGCTTTCTACGGTAAGCCTTCATCAGCGGACTTGGCCTCTCTACCGCAGGGAAGATCCTTCCAATTTCCGCTTAAAATCTCTCGAATCTGCGATGCTCACATTTGGGTGAAGATACCACATCCGATTCTGTTGACATTCCCGAAGCCGTCGCATCCGATCCAGTCTCGATCCCGTCATGTCACCCGGGCGAAATCATACGATCAAATCTCAGCTCAATGAGCATCAGCCAACCCGACCTTATCCGCTGTCTCCCTCCGAATGAGCTCAAAGCCCGGCTGGTCCGAACAGGTCAGTCCAATAGGCCGGACGGCCAACTCGAGGTCTAGCTCTTGCTGCCAGTGCGCGTCGACAGGCAAAAAGAGCTTGTACCCATCCACGGTCTTGACCTTGATCTTCCAGTTCCAGAAAACCTGCATTCGGGCAGAATCCGGGAGGAAGAAGACGCGGATGCGCTCGAGCAGTGGGAACCCGTACTTGCCGAGGGCGATGTTCTTGAGGAACTGCCAGGTGTCGTCTACGAGCTTTGGACCGCCCGCGAGGTACTGGAAGCGCTCGTACTCGTGGTTCATCAGCTCCTCGGGCGGCTTGAAGTCCAGGCGTTTGATGAAGTGGTTGACGCTCAGCACTGGGTAGAAGAGGGACAGGTATGGGAGTATGATGATGTCCTTGGTTTCGCGGCCGGGCTGCAGGACGAACTCGTTCTTTTGGTAGAACACTTGCTGTACCACACCACGGAACTCCTTGGAAACCAGCTTGTAGCGAGTGAGGTCGTAGCCCAGCCAGTCACGGGGGGTCAGTCGTGTTTGACGATGACGCTTCCTGCCGCTTCCGCCGCTGTCGACATCATCCGCGGTAATCTGGTGCGGGACTTCGAGGAGGTATGCCAGAATCTTGATTTTGATCTCCAGCGGCAGGCCCCACCAACTGCCCACGCAAACAGTCTTGACTAGATTGACGGTGTACGGCAGGGACGGATTGTCGAGCTCGGCCTGTAAGAGTTGCAGAGCGAGATGCTCATCATCGCAAATCTCCCAAGGCGGGTAGTCATCGCCACCAGAGCCGAAGCCCCAATCCGGAGGGGGATCGAAGTCCGCGGCCTGCACTCCGTCGCCAGTCTTGGGCAGCGCGTCCCAATCATTCGCACGGTACACCATGGTGGACCGGCTGGCGAGGCTTGTTAGTTAGGCGTTAGTGAGTCAGAACTGCGAGTGCGCAGGGCAAAGCTATTTTGAGTGGACCAGAATGGGCAGCTCAGCCTGACGTGCTTCGGCGCGGTTTCAATACGCCGCCGGCCTTCAACATTTTCTCGATACCGCTCGGCGGTGTAGTACGTACCTTTTTGGGAAGACGGATGATGGGCGGTATGTTCTGGCGTTTGTGCGGTGGAGGAAATGGCGACTTGAAGCTTCGAAGCCAATTGTTGCGCCTGCACTTCACCGCCCATTTTGGACTAGCGCGTACGCTAGAAGCTTAGCATGTTGTCAGTCCAACGCTCTGAACGCCCCACTTCAGTGTCACCAACGTTGCAACCCCACCGCTCCCTTCGTCTTTTCTAATCGCTTGAGGACGGATCTGCTTCTCTTCATATTTGCTCTCCCACGCGCTGAGCTCCTTAGTAGCTCCCGATGGCGCACCGTCTCGACAAACGCTCTAGCCGGAGCGAGGACGTAAGAAAACAACTCAGTGCACCCGCCGATGTGGATGCGTGGGAGTTCTATTGGATCGATCTGCCTCCCGTCACTTCGGATCTGCGGATATTCGATGTATGGTTTTTCGGCTGGAGCGAGCTGCCAGATGAGTTGAAGCTTCAGATTCTCACGTACGCTCTCACCTACGAAGACTCCATTGGCTACAAGCGGTTCTGCAGCGAGATCTTGCCGGTATTTTCTTGTCTGCAAAGACTTCGCGAGGCTTGCACCCGAAGCTTTCTATTCGGCAAACACTCTGTTCTTGAAGGGATTGGACGAGTGGGTCTCGAAAAGGGGGTTGCACGGGAGATTGCCACCACCAAATACTAGGGCCTGGATCAAGAGGATAGATATTATTGCGGATCTTCCTTTATCCGTTTATTCGCCAGGGGACCTCGACATGATGTCTGACTGGAATACCATCCTTGCACTGTCACGCAATCAGTCTCTGTACTCTAACCTGAGGCAAATCACGCTGCGGGTTGCGTTCTACGGTATTCTACACAGCAAGAAGGAACTTCTTCACTTCCGGCACATCCTATGATCCGCTAGAGTACGCTTCAACGTCGAAAACGTACGGATGCTTCGTTTCCATCGAAGCTACCATATAGCGAATGCCGGTCGAACCAATCGAACAATTTTGCCATCACTTCCACCTAGCCCTTTTGAAGCAATGGTTATGAAGGAGCTTGGGTGCAAGTATGATTGGGAGGCATTAGCGGAACTGAACATTGAGCTTGCACGTGAGATGGAGCAGTTCGATATGGTGTTCGAGGCGTTGTTTGACGAACTTGGACCGTTACATCATCGCCCTCCTCCACTACCCTCTACTCACGCCAGGGAGCACCGAAAGAAGGTGCTAGGCCGAGCCGGGCGGAGACCGTGGTGAAATCGATGTCAGCCGAGGGAAAGTCATCAAAAGTCGGTCACTTCCACCTTAGGCCCCGCCCTAGCGTGCGAACCGATGAATATAAACTCCTCTGCTGGACTCTAAGAATTCCTGCGCTCATACACCAAACCACAGCCACCTCCAACCTACACCATGGCTACCACAACCGAGGCTGCGAGGAGCAAGTGCTGGTCCGATCTTCCCGAAGAAATCAAACTCGACATCCTCACCATGGTCTTGTCGTATTCTTATCCGGTTATATATAGCAAATTCCGTTGGAGTATCCTTCCTATCCTAATGACCTGCAAGGACTTCGAGAGAATCGGCCTCGAGGTGTTCTACAAGTCGAATACAATCAAGGTTAAGGGACTAGAATATGCCCAAGCAAAAGACCTATTTCATTGCTTAACGGGAATTACACGACAGCCAGTGCTTCCGCCCGTGTCTACTCGGCCTTGGATCCGCTCCCTTAACCTCAAGCTCAAACTTGAGTTCGACTTTGCATCACGCGAGCTCGTGCACGATTCCAAGGACTTACACCTACTACGAAGGTTTGCTAGTGGCGAGCTCGGTTTCACTGGCCTGCAGTGTGTGAAGCTGTCACTTTTCCTTGGAGCTCTTAAATTTGCACCGACGCACCTCTCGCGCCTCCGCGCGGACCTCAGGAGCCTTGGAGTACGGATTCCAGCCGCGAAGGTGCAGTTGGAGTTTAAGGCTAGCGTTTCGAAAACGCCAGACCCATCTCTCCAGGCGCTGCTGAGGGAGGAGCTTGGTTGTCAGATGTGATGATGCCGATGTTTGGAAGCTTGAACGGTATGGGAAATATGGCATATGCTGGCGGGAATTTGGGCCCAGCCGGTGTTGAAATACTTCGGCATCCTCTCCTGAAAGACCCTACCCAGATACCACGCATCCTCTGCAATCGGTACATTTGCTTTCACAGCCGGCCGCACACCAATCGAAGCCCAGATCTCATGTACTAGCGAATATGGGCACCATGTTTTATTCCTTATGGCTCTGTCACGAAATTGCGAAGGTTACTCAGCCCTTTGGCAAATTGTTCCTACTCTGGTTCTTATATACCTTAGGGACACCCTTTCTTCCGTAGCTTCCTAGATTCACTTTATGCCTCCTTACTTGCATATCCACTGATACAAATTGATTCGCTTTCAGACGTATGCCTCTCTATCGTGGAAGTTCTTCGCATATCATTCTCTCTGCAGCACAACACACCACAAGCCTCCCTCTACTACATGTCCAGACTACCAACTCAACCAGTAGACATGCCAACCAAATCCGATTCCTAGCCATACAAGTCAGCGCAACGGTTCGATGTCGCGGAAAGCTTGAACCCAGACATCCTCCGCTAAGCGCTCTCTCCCTTCCACGATCCTATTAACTCAGGCGTGCTCAGCGAAGCCCTCTCCACGTTGCTTATGTCTCCAAGAAGCTTACGCATCTTGGCTTGAACGCATTCTACCCTTCCAGCACCTGCAATATCACCAGAAGCGACTACATCACGGCCAATTGACGCTCCGCACAAATCCAATCTATTGACGCCACCTTGGGCAGCAGCAGCTGGGCCCAACCTCAGGGTCCCATGATGAACCGAAGATAGAGGAACCGCGTATGCTTTTTCACTGTGTTTCCTCAAGCGAAGTTTTAGTGTTGAATCTAGTGGCGGTGTCAGGCCCTTATCCTGGTTATCCTCGTATGCGTACTTTCAGTGTCCGTGTATATCATACAGCTCATTCAGATTCTGCTCTTCGTTGCTAATGGTCAAGGGGACGAATGGCACAGACCACCGACCTCCTCATCCTCAGCTTTTGTAGAACGCGTTTGCCTGCTCCTCCGTAACATCACTCGCAAAGCACCTCTTCCGATCAATAAGCCCATATTTACTTCCCCTTATCCTCCACCACATCTCCCTCCGATCGCCCTTCAATTTCCCGCCCAGAATATCCTCCTTCAGCTGCCGGATGAACTGGTTATATATCTCAGGTTCTTCCAGCTCCGTAATCTCATCGCGCATCACGCGTATCGCCTCGAGCGCCTGGCCGTATCCGCTGTCGCCGACGGAGTTGGCGATGAAGTTCCGGATCTCGGCGCCCATGGCGTCGGCGGCGGCTTGGATTGCTTCGAGATCGTCGGTGGCGGCGAGGGCTCGCTTGAAGGAGGGGATGAGGTTCGAGGCGTCGATCTTGACACGCTTGGGGTTTCCGAGGAGTTCGTCGATGTCAAGGCCTGAGAGTGGCTTTTCACGGTCGGCGCGCGTGCGTTTTCCGCGGCCCTTGGTCTTGGGTGGGACTTTCTTGACATCAGCTGCCTTTTCCAGTGCGATTATCTGCTGCTCCGTCTGCAGTAGCAGCTCTGGCGGCGGGACGGAGTACTTTGTAAGTATCTGCGGAGGGCCGGGAAGAGGCAGTGTGGGATCAGGATGTGTGGCGCGCCAGCGGATGATGTGGTTGACTCGGTGTAGAAGTGGTGAATATGTATCCTCCAGCCTGGCATATTCCATGGGTTCGCCGTCTTCGTCGCGGTCGAACGTGGAAAGGTCCATTGCATCGACGTAATCGCTCATTGCCTGCATAAGGTCGGCGTTCGGTAGATCCCTGTGCTCGGTAATCGTCTTGCCCGAAATAGTGAGCTTCTTGTCCAGGGGTGGGAACTTGTAGCGCCGCATGTCTTCTTCAAAGGGGAGTTCGACATCCACCAGGGCTTCGAAGTCTGGCTCAATTCTCGGGACTAAGAGCACCATGAGGGGCGGCTTGTTCTCTTTAGCAACAAGCCGCGCGACAGCATAGCAACCAGCTTCGTAGAGAGCGTGGATGAAAGACGAGAGTGCTAGCTGCGCCTGTGGGTTGGCCTTTTGGGATACGATAAAGTTCGTACGCGACATGGGGAGGTAACGATCAAACTTGTCTTCTGAGATGAAACCGATGAGTTCCAGGGATTGCTGCGTCTCGAGCTTCACGACGTTGGAATCAGCCTCGCTGATGTGGACTGCAGTTCGACCGTACTCAAACCCGCGCTCCAGTTCGTCAGGCTCGACATTCATCTTCTGCCCCGGCTCTTCCGGATTGTCAACCTGGTAGACCCGCTGGCTCCGGACGGCAGAGAGCTGGCCATCCATTGGATGGTCATCACCGACGACTGTGGAAGTCGACTGAGTACTGGGGCCTGGTACGCCTCCGAGGTCCGTCCGCACCACGAAGGAGCTCGCCGTTGGGGGTTTGGCGACCATAGTGCATGGGTATCGCTCAACGTCGATCGTAAGCGTAGCGTCGTAGGTCGCGGCATCTCCAAGGGTGAGCGTGCCCCTGTAGCTCGGAACCGCTCGTGTCTCCTTGGTGCGGGGGATATCCAGCTGCTCGACAGCTACAGCAAGAGTTCCATAGGCCCCGTCACAGTTTTCTACGAACTCTTTGAGGATGGCCTCATTTTGCTCCTGGTCGCCATTAGGAAAGTCAGCGAAGCGAGATTGAGGGCGATACCTTATGCGCGTCCTTTTCCTCCTCTTTGTACCCGCTGTCAGGATCGTCGAAGTCCACGCCTCTACACCACATCAGCCCCTCCCCTTGCATCCAGCGCATCATACTCACAGCAGCACGACTTCAATGGGCGGATCATAGTCCCTCACCTTGCTCGTGATTGCTTCGAGGTCGCCAGTATCCATGTAACCTCTCCCATCTGTAACAATGATGATGCGACGATCGAACTTGAGCGGGTTACCTGTCTTTCCTGTCGTCGCTCTGTCGATTAACTGAATGGCGACAGCCAGCGCAGATATCACTAAAACCCGTCAGAAACGCGCAATACATATTGAATAACACGTACGGTCACCCTCGCCTGTTGCGCTAGGCTTCAAATTCTCCTCTAGACTCCGGATATCTGGAAGTAGATACCTATCTTTATTAGCGCCGTCATTTACGTGCTACCCGCAATCATACTCACTGCTTCAGCTCCGAGAAAACGGTAATATGCTCATAGCCCTCTTCTTCCTCCATCACCCCGCTCAAATCCGTCCCTGCTATCTCATTAGCGTTGCTACCCCCAGCGCGTCGTTAATTTGGCACGTACCATCCGTCCGAAACCCCACCACGCTCATCAACGCCGTCTTCCTACCCGTCGCAACCTATCTCGTTATCAGTGCTTGCCCCACAAACCAGCAGTCGGGACGCACTGTAGTCGTGATCTTATCCCAAACATACTCCAACGCCCACTCCAAATCGTTCTTTTCCCTCCCATGGCGCTTCTCGCCCATCGTCTCCCCGAGATCGAGAATATATACGGTCGCTTCTTTCTGCGCCATTGCTTGCGAAATAAGGGAGTGGAGCGACGAAAGAGTGTGGTGTTAACAATGGAAGCGATGCTGAAGCCTCACGGTGAGCTAAGGGTTAGGGATACGCGCACGGGCCACGACGCGCGACGAATAGGACGCGAGCTCACATGACGAGCAGGCAACAGGCAAAGCGGCGATGGTGAAGCATAAGGACGTGAGTAATGTTTGCTTTGCTTGTGATTCCACTCTAAGGAGGAAACCCTGCCATAACTGAAAACCGGAGTTTATCCCATACGCCGAACAGATCCACACTCAACGCGATGCTCTCAATATGCGATCCTCCCTCATTTCCTCCCTTCCACCATAATAACATGATACCCCTCGCCCGTCTTGCACTCTCCCCACTTGGGGCTCGCCGTCGTACTAGGCTCCAGCTCATACGCGACCTTCTCAAACTCCGCAAGCAGACTGCCGCGCGTTTTCCAGCCCAGACTGCCGCCCTGGCGCGCCTTGTCCTCGCTCATCTCCCGCGCAACCTCGTCGAACTTTGCCCCGTTGCGCAGCTTCTCCAGCGCCTCCTCCTTCTTGCTGTGCTTTTCGCAGAGTATGTGCCGCACGTTGATGCTGGTCGCCGGCTTGAGTTTGCCGCTGCCTTTGCTGCTCTTCGCGCCTTCGTCTTTCGAGGCGTCTTTCGCTTTACCTTTGTTTTTGGGAGGCATTGCGTGTGGCGCGGAGAACGAGATGTACGGTGGGGAGGATGGAGGTTGAGAGTTATGCGTGGGCGGCGATGCGGGGGTCGCGAGATGTGGGATGTGTCGGGAGTTGGGATGCGGGGCAAGCGGTGCGAAAACCTGGGTAAGAAGCTGTGGGATGAAGGCGTGGGACGTGAGGGGAGCTCAACGGCTCAAAACAAAGTATGAAGCGAGAAATATGGATCGCGGGTGGTGGAGCCTTCGAGGTGGGATGTCGATGCGGGGCGGCAAAATCGCCTCAAAGAGAAGGCGGTCAAGCAAGCAGCCTCAAAATGGTGAATGCCGTTCCAGAGCCCCGCAAATTCTTATTCCCCAGCTTCGGTTTCACTCTTTCCACTAGAAGCACTTCACCGAGACTACACATCATGCAGCCATAAGCACTGCAACAGTCTCATCATCAAGATGACATTACTATATGCAGACTCATCCCTCCATATCCTTCATACGGCGTATCTTCGCCAACCCATCCTCATAGATACAAAGAGAATCTGAAAGATCGTGTGCACCCCATCTGGTCCATTAGTGCGGCACAGTCCTGATTCATCTCATCTTCATCATATAAAAGCTGGATCCTCCAAAAGTATCGTGTCATCCCCAGTCGCGGTTCGCATCGCCGCAACCGTCCATCGGGACAACGTATACCCGCGCCAGAACTGGGCGGGAAGTGAGTAGAGCAGGCCGGGATGGGCCCCGCGAATTCATCCCTCGCCGTTGACTTTTGCAGCAATGCCGTTGACCAGGTTCTGCGCGAGCACGGTATCCATGAAGCTTTTCCTCGGTCTGTGCTTCTTCTCCGGCATTGTTTCCGCCTCGGTCTCCGCGACATGAATTCGCCTCCTCCTACTCACGTCCTTGATTTCCTCCAGGAGCGGCCGTAGATTTTCTACTTTCTCCACCTCCGGATATAGCACCACATCCTCGACCCAGTACAAGCCGTCCATGTTCAGGAACTGCTGGCGGGCCTCCTTAATGCTCTCTTGGATCTTGGCGTAGTCAAAGTCCGGTGTACCCTCCATCGGGAAGCGGAAGTCCTGAGCGAGGAGGGCCACGTCGTACTGGCGGAGGAGTAGGTCGCGCTGCTGGGAAGTAACGGCGACACGGTCCCACGACGAATATGGCACATCGAGACGTGCGAGGTCGAGTTCTGGAAGTCCAAGAATACCAACGACCTGGAAGGAAGGAATATAGATCTTGCTCACAGCATCCTTGGGCTCATCCGGTCGTAGATCGTGCGATGTCGCATAGAATAACGGGAGGAAGACGGCGGAGATACCAAGCTCTTCGCCTGAGAAATGCAGCGGTCGGTTGTTGCCCAGCTCGCACGCCCTACGCAAGGCTCGCGGGAGCATAGACACACGCTGCTGACGAGCGGCGAGTTCCTCTTGGCGTCGCGCCTCCTCTTCGGCTCGCCGTCTCGCTTCCTCCTCTTCGCGCCTGCGGGCAGCTTCCGCTTCCTCCGCCAAACGCTTCGCCTCGGCCTCTGCTTCAGCCTTCCTTCTCGCCTCCTCCTCTGCAGCCTTGCGTGCGGCTTCCTCTTCACGTCTTCGAGCAGCCTCCTCCTCTTCGCGCTTGCGTGCTGCTTCTTCAGCCGCTTTCCGTTTCGCCTCGGCTGCCTGCTCCTCGGCCTGTCTCTGTTCCTCCTGACGGCGCTCTCGGACCGAATCTGGCGTGGAGGCTTTCTCTGGAGGCGCAGGGGTCGACTTCGCGGATGCACTAGGTGTCTTCTTCACCCTAACGTCAATCGTATCGTTCGACGCCCGCCGCTTCTTGGCCTTCGGGCCTTCCATGGATCGTGGCCTAATCCTGTTCTTGATCGGCTTCTTCTCGTCAGGCGACTCAGGGTCTGGGGTAGGTTTGGCGCTGTGAACTTTTTCCATCTTAGTGCGAATTTTTGACACCGGCTTTTGTTGAGGTTCATCGTCGCTGGCGTGCGATTGGGCACGAGCGCGCCGCTTCGAGACGTCTTTTTCTCCCGAGCGAGCTTTGATCTTTTTACCCGCCTTGTGGTCCTCACCTTCGCTGAAAGAGCGAGGTTTGATGGCCCGTTTGGCCGGCGCTCGTACTGCATCATCGCTGTCGGAATCTGAACTCTCATCGTTCACAACCCGTCTTCGCCGCTTCCCTTCCCGGTTCGCCATCTCTTTCCCAGACATTAATCTCCTGGACTTTTGAGGGCCTTGCGGCACGGTCGTCGACTTAGTAAAATTGGCGCGTTTCGCCTCCGGCCGCGGCGACGACGAGCGCTCTCGCCTCAGCGGTGATGATTTCCTTTTCATCCGGATGGCTGATGGGTTTGGCGCCTCTTTCTTGTTCCTCCTCGGGCTCTTGTGTGACGTTTTAAAGCTGTCGTATGCACTCTTCAAGATGTCCCTCTCGTGCTCCCATTTCGGACCCCGTCGGTCTTCGGATATCTCCCAGTAAGCTTTGCCCTCCCGGTTTCGCCGTGTGGGGTCGAAATTGTCCTGCTCGAGCAGCAACTGGACAATCTTGAGATGTCCTCGCCCGATGGCGACCAGCATGGGCGTCTCGCTGTGTTTCGAGGGGTCAGGGTCTGCCTTGAGACCGCTCGCCAGAAGAATGCTGAGGATATCGTAGTGGCCTCCGCGCGCTGCAGCTACCCCACACGCAATGTTCGGCTTGATGTTGCTGTTGATGAGCTCGCCCACAGCGAGGATGTCCCCATCTCCTGCTTTTTCAATCAGTGTTTCCGTGTTGTATTCGTTGTACAGCAACCGAGACGCTGATTTCGTCTGGCTCACTCCAGACTGGCTGTAATCGTCATTGGCCGTCGTATCGACTTCTCTTCGCATGGCCGCCCTGAGCTCCTTTTCGATTTCCTCGGCATCCTCAGTCTCGTAGTCCAGCACGTCGATGGCGCGCTGGCCCTTCTTGTTCTGATGGTGGGGGTTCACGTGGCCTTCGTTTAGTAGAAGCTTCACCACATCCAAGTGTCCGTTCTCGACCGCATCGATGAGGGGCGTGTCCCGGTCGTTGGATTCGCAGTCGGTCCGGCATCCGCTTTGGATAAGATATCGCACGACATCTGCCCAGCCGTGAAGCGCTGCCTTTTGCAACGGCGCAATACCCGCGAAGTCTTCTTGGTCCAGCTCTTCTGGCGCCGCCTCGTGGGCTGCCTTGACCGATGCGAGGTCGCCCTTCTCGCTTTCTCTAGCCAGCCGCGTCGCGCCGAACCTGTCGACCTTTCGCCCGTGGGGCATTGCGCGTGCGGGCGAGGTCAGCGCGCGATGCGAGGAGCGCTTGAGTCTTGTGTGAGGCAAATTCGGCGTTGTTGTGGGGCGAGGCGACGACGAGTTCTCGGAGCTGTCGTCGGACCAGTTTTTACGCTCGGGCAGTGCGAGTGCAGCCAATTCTCTGCGCTTGCGGCCTACAGCACCGGATACGATCGACTGCGTCGACTGCGAGCGCTTGTGGGGACGGCCCAGCCCTGGGGTTGCGGGTGACGTCGGCTGGCGCAGGTCTTTGAGTCCCTCTGTTTTGGCCTTTTGTCGCGGGGGCTCCAGCGCCTTGGGGTTCGACTCGTCGCGCAGCTTGCGCTTGCGGGATTCGACAGTTGACGCGCTGCGGCCGCGTCCAGCGGGTTGGGGCGGCGATGCAGCAGACGGCGCGGGGGATCTGACAGAGTCGGCCGGGCTGGTCTCTTTAGTGTGCCGCGATGCGGTGCGGCTGCTGGGTGAGGTAGGAACAGGGCTCTTTACATCGCGCTCGGAGCCGTGCTTGGCGCCGTTCACCTTCACGACCTTGTCATCGCGCGAGGGGCGGCGGCCGTTCGTCGTCGGCGACCGCGTACGCGAGTCCTCCTTAACGGAGCGCAGGCGTGCGGCATCATCCTCGTCGTTGTTCTCCGTCTTGATCACCTTTCTGTCGCCGCGGTCGTCCTTGGGGTCCAGCACGACCGTCTCCGCCTCGGACTCGTTCTGGGCGTCGTCGGCGGCATCCTCGCCGTTCTGCACGTGTTCCTTTGGTGCTGGCTTCTCTCTCGGCGACGGCGAGGCTGGCTTGGAGTCTGGTCGTGGTGTGGCGTCGTTGAGGGTGGCGGCCGAGATGGATGACGGGTTCAGGACAGCTTCGCCATTACTGGTCATCACGCAGGAAGTGGACAGGACTCAGGAGTTCCTGCCTCATGTCGGCTTGTAGCGCAAGGGACAGTGGGCGCGGGCGGCAAGGACAGGGCGCTTGGCTGCCTGCCGGGAAGCGCGCCGTCGCGTGAGTCGTTTTGTTCAGCGGGAGAATGGCTCCCTGGGTCTGGCGAGGAGCGGGCGAGGAGCGGCAGGCGCGGGCGCGATGGGTGGTGATGGGAGCGGAGCAGGCGTGGCAGCAGCGCGAGGAGAGCAGTGAGCTGTGAGTGTGCAGCGTCGAGATTGGGGACGGAGGCGAAGCGGCGGCGAGCCGTGGCGGGCCAGTCAGAGGCCGCGCCCGGCCTTGGGCCTCTCCTGAGCGCGCAACCCTGCCCCTCGCGGCCTGCCCCGTTATTTGATCACCATGGGCGCACGCGAGGCAGTGGAGGTAATAATGGACAGCTGTCGGACGCCGGTCTGGCGCTGCATACCGCCCGTCGTTGCGTCTCCCAACGGTCGCCCGCCCGCATTCCAGAGTTCGCCCACAGATTAGCCTTCCAAGGCTGTCCTCAACACCCCAGCGGTGAAGCGTCCATCCCTCCTCGCTCACCACTCCGCCCCGCACGCCCTCCACGCCCGCGGTGGTACGCTCAATATATCCACTGCCAGCGCAATGGATGCGGCACTGGGCCATCTGCCGGATCCGGCCTTCGTGCTGCGCGCCTTCTACGTCGCCGCCTCTGCTCTTGTATCGCGACACCATCAGCCCTCGCTCTGCACCTGGCTGACCTGCGCTGCTTACTAGATCCTCGCTGTACAGGCCGCTCCCGCCCTCAGAAGCCGCTTTCTTGCCTATGGCTCTCGTGCGACGTCGCCAGCCGGAAAGGCGACCTCAGCCTCGAAGCGGAAGAGACGCACCCGCGCCGAACAGCTCCTGGACTATGCTGCAAGCTTCCAGGTGCCGCACAACTACTTTGCACACTTTTATGTCGTCTCGGTAGCAAGCTCGCTTTTCTGGGCGTGGAAGCTCCAGCTGTGGAACGCTCACGGGCGGCTGCGGATGGTGTGGGCCCTCATGCTGCTGCAGGGCGCCCGCCGGCTGCTGGAGTCGTATGCATACACATCGACGAGCAAGAGCACCATGTGGTTCGCACACTGGATTCTGGGGCTGGTCTTCTATTTGGCAACAAACGTCGCCATCTGGATAGAGGATGAGGCAGCGGTCCCGGGAAGCTCGTCGACACTCGACGACGCACAGGCTGTACCGTGGAAGAGTGTAGCCTTAGTACCAGCCCTTCTCACGGCCCATGTGCTCCAGCACGTATACCACGCCTACCTCTACCGGCTCCGCACGCAGAACGCCAGCTATCAGCTGCCCTCGCACCCGCTGTTTCCGAACCTCTTGTGTCCGCACTACACGTGCGAGATCGCCATCTACGTGTTGTTATCGGTATTGGCCGCCCCACCGGGCAAGCTTGTCAACTGGACGTTGGCGTCCGCGACTCTCTTCGTAGCCGTGAATCTTGGGGTCACGGCAAGCGGGACAAAGGCATGGTACGCGGAGAAATTTGGCGAAGAGAAGGTGAGTGGCAGGAGGAGGATGATTCCCTGGATCTGGTAGGGAATATACCGCCGCGGGTGTCTTCGTGAGCCCGTTGCCCTTCAGAATTGGGTTTTACTATCCAAGTAGGCGTTATACGTCAATGTCTAAGAGTCCTGCCTACAACCCTTCTCTTACGCATATTCGTCCAGAACGCACTTCATTCGATTTTTTCATCACCGCCCACCATCGTAATAGCAGTCCCTCCCTGCCTTTGCTCACACACAGCAGCAACAAACGACACCATCCTAGCTCTGTGCTTCCCGGCCCGAAGTACCTCTAGTCCAGCCCACAATTCGAAGAAGAACTTCCCAACCCGGTCAAGCCCCTCTCCAATATCCATGTCTAGCGCACCGTTCCCGTCTCCCGTCTCCACTCCGTCACCCTGCAAAATGCAAATCCCCCAACTACCCCGCCGATTATTGACCACAAATACACACCACAATTCTCTGTGTCACTCACTCCCCTCTGCTCGCCATTCGTCCTGACTACGTTGAAACCGCACTTGGAATTATTTTTTGGGCTCCGTGAAATCAGCAATTCCTATTCCCAACCTACTATCCTATTCTCTGAAGACCCGAGAGAAAAGTTTAGGAAAAAGAGATAGCAATGGCCTCTCCAGACGTCCCAAACGACTTGCCCGAAATGGAATACCGCTTCGTGGGACGCAGCGGTCTGCAAGTCTCCGCCATCTCGCTCGGCGGCTGGCTCACGTACGGCGGGCATGTCGGCGACGGTACGTTACTATCTTTTCTCCAACCACATCACACGATTGATGCCGGACTACAATTGACGCAGACACAGTCAAGACATTCGCGTGCCTGAAAGCCGCCTTCGACGCGGGGATCAACTTCTTCGACTGCGCGGAAGGATATGCGGGCGGCGAGTCGGAGAAGGTGATGGGGCGGGCGATTAAGCATTTTGGCTGGAAGAGGAGCGACATTGTTGTTTCTACCAAGGTCTGGCGTCCCATTTGCTATCTATGCCCCTCAATCGGGTCTAGCCGTGATATCCATGCCAACGCACGCAGATATACTGGGGCACGCACAACTCGGCCCTCGCCGCTCCACGCAAGAAGATCAACCACCTCGGTCTCTCGCGCAAGCACCTGATCGAGGGCACGCAAGCCTCGCTCGACCGGCTGCAACTAGACTACGTCGACATCCTGTACGCGCACCGCCCAGACCGGCACACGCCCGTCGAGGAAACCGTGCGCGCCTTCAACTACCTCATCGGCGCGGGGAAGTGCTTCTACTGGGGGACGTCGGAGTGGCTGGCCTCTGAGATCGAGGAGGCGTGGGCCGTAGCCGACCGGCTGGGGCTTATTGGCCCGGTTGTGGAGCAGCCGGGGTATTCGCTGCTGAAGAGGGACAAGGTGGATGAGGAGTTTAAGAATGCGGGGTTGTATGCACGGCGGGGACTAGGGTTGACAGTCTTCTCGCCGTTGGCGGGCGGACTGCTGACGGGGAAGTATGTCGATGGTGTGCCGGAGGATTCGAGGTTGAAGCAGTCGGATGATCCGTATATTCAATCTGTGGCGAAGACGATTGGCAGCGAGCAGTGGAATGCGCAGCAGAACAAAGTGAAGCAGTTGATGGGGATTGCGCAGAAGCTCGGCACCGATGTCGCAACGCTGAGCATGGCGTGGGTGCTGACCAATAAGGACGTGTCGAGTGCGATCACGGGAGCCTCCCGGCCGGAGCAGATTTTCCAGACTGTGAGGGCGGTCGATGTGAAGAACAAGTTGACGGGCGAGCTGCTGGAAGAGATTGAGAAGGTTATGGGGAACAAGCCGGCAGAGCTGATGAAGAGGTTTGGATAGAAAGGAGAAGAGGAAAGGTTCATGAAGTAGTTGGTGGGGTATCAATCATGCATATTCGTTAAAAGATGTCCTACGGTCCACGATCGCTCAATCAAAAGTAATCTTCTTCCCCTTGCTCTCCGCAATCGCGTACGAAGCTCTCTGTGCACTTGTGTGCGCAGCGCCGGGCTTGATACTGCGGGGATCCACTTTGGCTTTACGCTCAAACTGCTTGTACGGCTTTCCCGTAGGAACGTATGGGCCCCTCCTGTTTAATGGACGTTCGCGGGGGCTCTCTTCGGTTATCGCATCACCGTCTTGCGGCTTTTCCTTGGCGTAGCGTTTCTGATATCGTGTCGTCGGGTCCTCGGCGAATTCGCATCGTAGATCGCGACCGAGGAGCTTGTTGAGGCGGAATTTGCGCTTCTTGCTCTTCTTCTCGGAATGCTCTTCCTCGGTCTCTCCTTTCGTCTTGATATCCTTGTCCAATTTGTAGACATAGCCATTGACGGCTGAGGTCGCAGCCTCAACGTCTTCAAACGTCACCCATGCGAAGCCCTTGCACTTGCCCGAATCCTCAAACGTCGCCATATGGATATTCTCTACCGCGCCACACTGTCCGAAGTGCTCCTCCAGGTCCTCTTTGCTCGTTTCAAATCCGAGATTGCCTACAAACACCTTCCGACTCGGCTGCCTCTTGTCCTTCGCCTTCGCTGCAGCTTCCTCCTGCTCTGACTTGGGCTTATCCGGCCGCCCTTCAAAGCTCTTCGCGTTCTTGATCAGCAGCGCCCGCCTGTCCATCTTCGTCTCGGTGAGTGCGATGGCAGAGTACATTGCCAGCTCGGTTGAGAAGTCGACATAGGCAAAGCCTTTGTTCTGTGGCATCTCTGTTGTCCAGTTCGGTCTGGGAGCCTTGGTGGGCGCGGGCATGAAGACACGGGTTATCTCCTCGGTCTTGATCTCAGAGTTCTCGGTGAGGAACGCTAGCAGCGATTCCTTAGTAGCAGACCAAGGCAGATTGCCGATCCAGACGCCATGGACAGACCGCTTCCCAGTGTGCTCCCTCACTTCTTCCTCTTGCTTCTCTGGCTTGGACTTAGCGTCCGTGGTGCCATTTGTGGCTGTCGCAGCGCCAGTGGACGTTGGGTGAAGCTTGGCCTTCTTCGCTTTGCGGGCGGCTTTCTTGGAAGCGGGCTCTGGGGCGCTGACGTCGATTTCTATTTCTTCGGGGAGAGGGTCGCGCTTGCGCTTCTTGGAGGGGTTGGCCTCTTCGTGGGCATCTTGGTCGGCTTCTCCGTGCGTGGGTCTGGATTTCTTCTTGCCCTTCTTGTCCTTCTTTCGATCTACTTTGTTGAGTGATGTCTCGACTTCCTCGTCGGTGTGCGGTTCCGCAGAATTCGACATTGTGGGCGCTGAGTGGTGGATCTCGAAGTTTAGCACCAGCTCAGAATTTCGAGATTGGAAAATTCCAAAGTTGGTTGGCACGGTTGGTCCTGACTAAGCTCAGCGCGGAGCACCGTCGGGGTCGAGAGCCTCACATTGCAAGCCTATCCAGCGCTACATCGGAAGGAAGCATGCCGTCTAGAACAGATATGCATGCTAATTCACTCTTCTCATAGGCAGCATAATAGCAAACAAGCATATCACGCGTGTCAGCTGAAGCGCCACGGAGCCGATGTTCCCACGCAGCAGAGCAGGCTGCAGACAGATCGCAGCGAGAGCCGAGCGAAGCCGACTGTCCGCAAGCAACGTTCATGTCATGTGTACTGCTTCCTTGAGCTCCGAATCATACAGTAGCGGTGGCATGCTGTGAGTGCAAGAGGCTGCCGCAACCCCTCAGTCTGTGCTAGGGCGCCGTGCCCCATCCGAGGGCACATTCTGCCCAACAGCAATTGCTCAACGGTTGACAGCACGTAGCTAATCAAGCCATCCTCTGTTGCTGTCGAGATGTGATTGCGTCACGATGCGAGTGGTCGTGGTTCGCCCCACCAGCTAGCGCGTTACCTCTCTCGCACCCGTGAAACCGCGGTCACGTGCGGCTGCTCGTTGCTTGGTCACCGCGCTGTTCTTCGAGAGCTCCCTCTGTCGCGGATTCGCTCTCCATAGCAGCCTCTCCTCTGTTTGCGTTTGTGGTGGCTGCCTCTCACCGCTGACGACGCCTGGTCGGTGCCTCGAGAGGCGGGATTCGTCGTTCTTGACCGGCCGTGGTCCGCCCCCGCCGCTAATAAGCTAGCAGGCACCAGCTCGACACACCTAACACCACACCTACACCTCGCTCCCTCCTTCCTCCCCATCTCCCATCGCCAACTCTGCGGAGACTCTCGCTACCCACGCAGCTGCATCTCCTCGTTGGCCCTCCGTCGGCGAGTCGTGCAGCAGTAACCCCTCCCCGCCCCGTCGATTATTACGTCGTCAGCCTCACTCGCTGCCCGTCATGGCGACCAACGTCCCGGTGACGCTGGACACGCTGATCGTCGTCAAGATCCAGTTCCAGGGCAGCACCAGGAAGTTCAAGATCCCGCTGCGTGATCTCGGGGCTACCGTGCTCCCAGGCAAGGTGCGTCGCTCTCCCGTGCATCCTCGGTCAGCTCAGGCTGTCGAGTAGCCTGACTCCCCTCACGGAGCTTGTAGCAGCTTCACCATGGCTAGATGCTGACTGTCCCCTCTTCGCAGCTTCGAGCCCTCCTGCAGGTGCCGTCCGATGATGAAATCGTCTTCGAGCGCTACTCCGACAGCGCCGGCGCCTACGTCACCCTCGACGCCGACAAGCCGCAGGTCTACAAGACGCTGTTCCGCGCCGCCAAAGCCAAGTTGAAGCTCCGTCTAAGGGCCACCATCACCACCCAGCACCACGAGCCCGCGCCTCCAGCTCCGCCCGCACCCATCCCGGCGCCCCTCTCGAGCCCGCCCAGCTCGCTCCACCGCCTGAGCTCGGACACGCTGTCCCCGCCGGTCATGGCACAAGCCTCGCCCGTCATCGCGCGCTCCCCGATACCCTGTCCGCCTCCACTGGAGAGGAAGTTCGAGGTCGAGGCCGTTCGCGTGAGCCCCATCTCCCCGCTCATGACCAACAACGCCGATGCTGAGGACAAGGGCGAGGCGCCCGTGCCGCGATCTTTCACTGCTCGCCAGAGTACGGAAACACCCCACGCCACCAGTGTTAGTGTATTAACAACATCCCCAGGCTTCTTCAGCGGTCTTGCCGCGGCTTCCCGCAATGCCGACCTCGCGTTCCGCCCCAAACTGGAGAGCGTCCAGACGTCCTGGGTCGTCTACTGCAACAACTGCAACCTCCCCATGGAGGATGAGCACTACCACTGCAGCATCTGCGACAATGGCGACTACGATCTGTGCCCGTCGTGTGTCGACTCCGGCATCCACTGCCCTGGAACTGGTCACTGGATGGTCAAGCGATTCGTGAAGAATGGCTGCGTCGTCAACAGCACCACGGAGCGTGTCGGCCCGAAGCCCAAGCCCCAAGCTGAGCAAGAAATGCCGGGAGCGTTCACCGAAGAGAAGCAACACGCGCTTGCGGCCGACCTCCCGCATGAGGAGGAGCCGACCCGAACCTGCAACTGCTGCGTCAAAGGTGAGTCGCCCATGTCTCTGATGCGTCCGCGAAAGCTAACCCGTACAGTTCTCCCCGAGAAGGAGTTTGTTACGTGCGCTTCCTGCGACGACTACGACCTCTGCATGGAATGCCACATCAACAACAAGCACGGCCATCACCCCGGTCATGCTTTCAAACCCGCTACCCCAGAGACTGCTTTGCCTGCTCTGGCAGACTTCCTGTGCAACGCTGGTAGGAACGTGCGCCACTCTGCGGTCTGCGATGGTTGCGAAAAGTTCATCTACGGTGTCCGCCACAAGTGCTTGAACTGCCCTGACTGGGACTTCTGCTCCGAGTGCGTCAAGAGCGCCAAGTACATCCATCCCGGCCACCGCTTCGTGCCCATCTACGAGCCTCTTGCGGAGCCTGTCAACAGCGGCAACCGCCACTATGGCATTTATTGCGATGGCCCGCTTTGCAAGGACAAGGAGAACCTGTCGTACATTGAAGGCATCCGCTACAAGTGCGCTGTGTGCCACGATACCGACTTCTGCGCCAACTGCGAAGCCCACCCTTCAAATAGGCACAACCACACTCACCCGCTCATCAAGTTCAAGCGCCCCGTCCGCAGCGTCAGCGTCACGACGCTGAACGAGGACAAGAATGGCAAGTCCATCATGAGGGTTGGTGACCGTGAGCCCGCTCGGCGGTCAACTGCAACTGAGACTACCCCGGTTGCTCCTTCCGCCAATGCTGCTACGCAGGTGCAGACAATCGTCGACATGAAGCCCACTGAAGACTCTCAGCCAAAGACCACCAAGGAGAAGATCGAGATCCGCGACCTTCTTGTGGAACCAGTCCAGGAGAAGATTACGGTCCAGGACCTGCTGTCCGCCCCCGCAGTTCCGACCGAGGACGTCAAGCCCGTCAAGACCGAGCCTGTTGCGATCGAGGCTGAGCCAGCTAAGCACTCAGAGGAGCTAGATGCGCACTTCATCCGCGACACCATTCCCGATGGCTCCAAGATCTGTGCTGGCTACCAGTTTGTGCAAGTCTGGACCCTGCGCAATCCCGGGCCGAATGCCTGGCCCGCTGGCTGCAGCGTCCGTCACGTCGGCGGCGACAACATGCTCAACATTGACAACACTCAGCCACTTAGCCAGAGTGAACTCGCTGACGCGAGCGAGAGCAACGTCGTCGGTCGTACGGTCGCCCCTGGCGAGGAGGTCTCCTTCCGCATCGTCATGAAAGCACCGGTTCGCGAGGGCACTGCCATCTCCTACTGGCGTCTCAAGGCCGCCGATGGAACGCCTTTTGGTCACCGACTCTGGTGCGATATCCAGGTCGTTAGCCCCCCTGTCCCTGCTCTGCCGGCTGTCGCTCCGGCTCCCGAGACGGCCGAGGCATCTAGCTCTGCTACCCCAAGCCTGACTCCATACGAGCGCTTCCAACACGCCAAGCTTGAGCGTGTGAGGGCGATGCAGCGTGCCCAGGCCCAGGCCCAGAGCATCCGCCACGAGAAGTCCAAGGCTGATAGGGACCGCACCGTCGAGCTGCAGATGGAGGCGGTCGAGAGGCTGAAGGAGATGAAACTACATCTCGATGAGAAGGAACGCCAAACACCCTGGCTCGAGCGCGAGAAGATGCTCCACATTCAGAGGGTCCGCAAGGCAGCTGTCGAGCGCCTCCTTGAGACACGCCGCAAGGAGCATGAGGCTTTTGCACAACTCCAGCAAGCCGTTGTTGAGGCCGAAAAGGCGCCCGACGCCTCGGTCAAGCAGGAGACCGCCGAACTCCCGGTCGAGGACACGGCCGTGGAGAAGAAGGCAGCAGAACCCCAGCCACAGTCGTCTGGCATGATCTTCCCTCGTCTCGAGAAGGAGTCCCCGGCGTCCAGCACTCATGAGGCAGCCACCGCCGAACCTGAGTCGCCCAAGTCCGAGAACGCCACGGTCGCTGAGCACTCCGACGAGGAGTTCTTTGAAGACGCCGAGAGCGTTGAGATCCGGTCCCTCTCCAGCGACGAGGACGGCTTCTTGACGGACGAGGAGTACGACATCCTTGATGCTAGCGACGAAGAAATGCCGTGAGTGAGATCCGTCAAGGTATGATTGCGGCTTAGAGACGCGGACCTAGACAGTGGTGGGGCTAGACCGACCGGCCTCGCTCGCACTGCCATGTCGCTGGTGCATGGAAGAGAAGCAGAGGCTCTTCATTGGAGTTTGTGGAATTTCACTGAGGCTCAAATTCATTTCCTTTATGGTTTTCGGGGTGTTTGAGGAATTGGGTACACTCCTCTTTGGACTGGAAACACACTCCTTACCAAAACATGGCGCCTGGTCATGCGCACACTCTCTTTTCGGGTCGGATCAGGGCGCTGACTGGCGCACTGATTCTGACTTCTTCGAGCCCCTAGTAATGCGTGTGCGTGTCCTTTCTCCTCCTTGTCTCCTCCTATTATAGGCTTAGTTTCAATGAGATGCCATTTCCTAAACAGAGCTCCATCGTTTCCGTGATTCTGAGTTCAATGATCGTCTCTCATTCCTTCCTTGTGAGTCATGTTCGTACTTTCTTCGGCCGATTGCCATTATCGAGTTGTTTGTGTATGGCACGCATAGTAAGTGCCATGGCTACGCTGAGGCTCCTCTCGCTCCTCGATACATGCACTACTTCCACCGAACTATCTCCACTCCACCTACGTTTCTCGAGCACCTAGAACGTTCATCTTCCTATTACTTCATTTTTATCAGTTTATGCGCTTGCGCTTTCCTTTGACCAGCTCTCACGCTGCTGAGCAGAAAAAACCGAAGTCCAGTGAGAAGCCCGTCAGACGGTTTCATAACGCCCTCAGTCCTTTTGGTCCCGATCCTAAGTTTTCTACTCTGCACGCTGCTCCCGACGCCAAGTTTGCCTTTATCCAGCCTCAGAACCACGGTTTCTTCGGTCGCCCTCATCATCGCGTACCTCCCCGGCCACTCCGACCTCAGCAGGCCTACTATTCGCCCCAAGAAGCTCTAGCCCGAGCACGCGAGCGATTGAAGCGCGACTTCCAACGAACAACCCGTAGTCGTCACACCCCACGAGACGTCCGTACAACTCTCTGCGAGCGTCTGCGTCATTTGAAACCGGCATATCGATGGCGTCGCAGCAGGGGAAAGAACTCAAGCGGATCAATGTCAAGTCGAATCCGAATTTCGAGAAGGCGGGCATGAAGAGTTATGCGAGCTTGTTGAAGAAATGTGAGTTCCCCCGCCATACCGTTTTGGCTATTATCTGCGATCTCTCTACGCTACTCTCCACACTTTCTCCTCGTCCACGCGCCGCATCACACCATACCACCGTTTCTACACGGCTCATACTCCTGCCTTATCCCTACCCATGTCCCCACCCGGCAACCGCGGCCTCAGGTCTCGCAGGTCTTCCGTCCTCTTGGGCCGTCCCGCCATCGTACTCTTATTTTGACGTTCACTGACCTAAATGTTCCTGTTCGCAGATGACTTCGCACCTACCACCGAAGGACCGTATCAGAAAATCGACCAGGCAAAGAAGGACGTCAAGAACCTGTTCAAGCCCAAGTCAAAGAAGAGCACCAAGCCGGTGCTCAAGAAGATCGAGGAGGATGGCAAGCCCGGCGAGGTGAAGGCCGATGACCAGATGAATGACAGCATGTACATCTGCCCGGTCGAGATCGGGACGCCGCCGCAGGTGCTGAATCTGCATTTCGATACAGGGAGTTCGGACTTGTGGGTGCGTATCTGATCCTTCATTATCTTGCCTGGAAAAACATGGGGTGGCGACGGAATGAAAGATAGCTAACACACAACAGGTGTGGTCCACCAAGCTCGACCCCAACACACAGAAGGCCGGCAAGGCCTCCGACCACAACATCTTCGACCCGAAGAAATCCTCGACCTTCAAGAACATGTCCGGCGCCTCCTGGCGCATCCAGTACGGCGACGGCTCCAAAGCCCAGGGCAAGGTCGGCACCGACGACGTCACCCTCGGCGGCCTCTGCGTCGAAAACCAGGCCATCGAGCTCGCCGAGAAGCTCACGTCGGAGTTCACCAAGGGCGCGGGCGACGGCTTGCTCGGCCTCGCGTTCGGCAAGATCAACACGGTGAAGCCGAAACCCGTGCAGACGCCCGTGGAGAACATGATCACGCAGGAGGACATCTCGCACGACCAGGAGCTGTTCACCTGCTACCTGGGCAGCTGGCGAGACAAGGACGAAGAGGACCAGGGCGAGAGCTTCTACACGTTCGGCTACATCGACGAAGACGTCATCGCGCGCAGCGGCGGCGCTGACCCCTACTACGTCCCCATCGACGCCTCCAAGGGCTTCTGGCAGTTCAAATCCGAGTCCGCGACCGTGGGCGGCAAAACGATTCCCCGTCCTGGCAACACCGCCATCGCCGACACCGGCACCACGCTCGCCCTCGTCTCTGACTCGCTCTGCAATGAAATCTACAGCGCCATCCCCGGCGCCAAATTCGACCCCAAGCAGCAGGGCTGGGTGTTCCCGCTCAACACGCCCGCCGCGCAGCTGCCGACGGTCACGTTCGCGGTCGGCGACCGGCAGTTCGAGGTGCAGAAGGAGGACTTTGGGTTTGCGCGGTGCGGCGGCGGGATGCAGTACGGGGGTATTCAGAGCAGGGGCGCGAATGAGTTTGATATCTTGGGTGATACGTGGTTGAAGGCGGTTTATGCGATTTTTGACCAGGGGAGGAAGAGGTTTGGGTGCGTGCAGAGGGTTGAGGAGACGCAGAATGTGGCGGCGCCGAAGTGAGGTTGGTGGTTGGTGGGTTTGGAGTAGTGAGAGGTTGTTGACCTAGTTGGTGTTGTTGAGGTGATAGATTGCAGTGGTTTTCTTCATGCGCTCTTGTTGATTCCTTGCGGTGGTTCTCCTATGTTGACTCCGAAGCCACTAGGTATATGAGGATTGTGAGGATCATAGACGTAGTGGTGGGCTTTCTCGGCGTGGTGCCTACGAGTAGACATGGATTGACTCTCCAGCAAATTATAGATGAAGATCGATTAATCTATAGCTCTCGGTCGTTGCAGCCTGTCCAGGAGTAAGGTACACAAAGAGAATCTAGCGTGCATTTCGGCGCTGCACGCCTTCTATTGCAATCCTGTCGTCTGTACGTACAATACGCTCATAATCCCGATCATACGATGTCCATTTTTTATCCATGCTCGTCATTGACCAACCCGAGGATGCACAGCGTCTAAAGCCACGCCGGCCTTGCCCATAAAACCAAGAAAAGACACAGTCCACCGATGATGAAAGTTCCCTCAACGGCCGTCGTACTCGCACCGATCTAACCCTGCTGCCTCTTCCGCTTGCCGACCTGTGCGGAGAAACCGGTCTTGATGGCGGAGACACTGCGCCGAGATCCGCAGCTGTTGCACGTAACAAAGTACAAGCGGTTTTCGCCCTTGGTGAGTTCGGAGTCGGGGGAGCGACACGTCTTGCAGGACACATATTCGACGATATACCGGCGTAACACATTCCTAGTGACGAGAAGATTAGCAAATGCTCAATATGTGGACTGCGGGATGTGCTTACTCGATTTGCTTCTGCTGGAAGCGGCCCTTGATGACCAGCCTTCGGGATCCGTCAACGGAACCGGAAGTACCCAGTTCGGCGAACAGGAATTGGGTAACTAGCGCGGAGTCAGTATATGATCTTAGCAAACAAGGATGCAACGTACCATGCTCGTCCGTCCGCTTCATACGCTTGCAGATCTCGGAGATGTTGGCGAAGATGGTCTTCTTGTTGCCTTCACGGAGACACTGCGGCGGCGGGATCTTGTAGCTCTTCGACCCTGATGATGCGAGGTCAGGGTGCTGCGAGTGGAGCAGGGTGAAGAAGCGGTTGAGGAGCATGTTGTAAGGGATCGGTCTCTGGGAGTCGTGCGTCCAGATGCCCGTGCCTTTCTCCATATCGCCCTCCTCGACGTCTTCGCCAGCCTCAGGCTCCGCCTCGGCCTTATCGCCTCCCGCGGCCGCCTTGATCTGGGCCTCGAAGTCATCCTCGTCCTCGGCCTTGGGCTTCTTGGACTTCTTCTTCTTTTTGAGGGCCCCAAAGTCGGCCTCGGCGCCCTCGTCGCCCTCCTTAGGCTTGCTCTTCTTCTTCTTTTTCTTGGCCAGGTCGGCGAACATATCCGTCACCTCGTCGACGTCTTTGTCGTCGCCTACATCTCGCGTGTTAGCCACGGCGTTCCTCACGTTTCTGTAGGCTCGCTGACCCTCCAGCGGGACCAACCTACCCGCTGCGTGCGACTCGGCGCTGCTCTTGCCGCCGTTCATCTCGATCGACTCGATGACTTGTCCATCCTCGTCGACGATCTTGGCGGTGTCTTCGAAGGCAACGCTCTTCCGGGGCTTGCGCTCAGTTGGGGGCTCGGCCTGCATCGGGAGTGCGTTAGTTATGGGTCGTGAACGGCGTGTCCTGCGGTGCGGAGGGGTTTTTGAGAGGGTGTGGGGTTCTGCGGGGACGTACAACTTCGGCCATGATTGCGCTGTTCGTAGGTGTTCTTTTTCTGCTACGAGTACTGTGGATCTTCGATACTGCGGTAGTATTCGCTGTGAGGATATAGGTGTTGTGGTGGAAGGTGAAGGGAAGGAAGTCCCGGTGGAGTGCTTCTTTTTGCCGCATCGATGGGAGTCATCGCCAAGATTACCGTCACGTGTGGGCGCTAAGCCGCCCTCGGCTTGATGGCTGACGTAACTGGGTGCGCGAGCTTCACCAAAGCATCGCCGAAGCCTCCCGCAGCTTCACCACGCTTCCGTTCGCCGTCCCTCATCAATGCACCCGCGGTAGCCTGCTCCCCCTCCAGCCTATTGATTGAGGTGCGATTCCCCACCATGTCCATGGCCAACAGCGCCAGCTTCATCGAACCGCCGACGGGCTCCTCCGATGTCGACGAAGTCGATTCGCTGCCCTCCTCCTCCACGAGCTCGTCGGTCGATGACGAGGAATACGTTTCGGATGCAGAGCGGGAGTGGAGGGAGTCGCTGCAGCAACTGGAGCTGCTGTTGACCATGCTGGTGGTGCCGTATGTGGGGAAGTACTTTGGGCGGAAATGCGCCTATTGGGGTGGGTTCCCTAAGCCTGCTCGGAATGCGCACCAGCGGCCGCTTGGGCTGCGAGAGGATATGGCTGACTGTCACCACAGGCTGGGCGAAGTTCATGGAATGGAAATACCCCGTTGAAATCGTCGTCACGAGCCCGGCAGCATTCAAGGGCGCGGGAGCCATCGAGGCCGCGGCAACGTTATAACCCGTCGCCCGAGTGACGATGCGGAGGATGCATTTGGGGGCATATATCAGACGGCTAGGCGTTGGGGCGAATCTATCAAGGGCTGCTTCATTTCGAAAGTTGTACCGAACCACCGGACACAGCATGTATAGATTCGGAACGATCAATCGAAAGCGAATGTAAATATTGGGAATTGTACCGAAGGCTGATCCAGGCTTGATAGGAGCAGTGCCATCCTCCGTACAGCACCGTCCAACTGGCCATCTACCATCCCCTACCCTAATTCCCGATTCGCGGCCCCTACCACCGCCTCGGCTCCGAAACATGCAACCTCCCAAACTTATCCTCGCTTACACTGGCCCCTATGGGCGCCGTCACCCAATCCTTCCTCCTCTCCACATCCATACCACCCCTCGCACCATGAATACTCTCCATCTCCAGCCTCATCTTGCTCTTTGGTTTCCCCTCCTTGACCCTCAGCTTCTCAAAGTATACATACGCGCCATAAAACACAACCGAGGTATTCCCCGCATACGGACCCTTCTTGGACCTGAAGTCGTTGAGCTGTTTGGACTGGATTTTCCTGTCCGAGAGGTGGTATTGCGCGGCGACGTCGCGGAGGAAGGAGGCTGAGGTTACACTTGGCTTTTGAAGGTGCGCGTTTATTTTGCGTCGGATTTCGTCGCATGTGTCTGCCCATCATCAGCAACTCACCTCACGTCCTCGCCTTCTCCACTCACCGAAAACAGGCACTGCATCCGCCATCTCCCCATCCAGCACTATGCCGTTGATACTCGGCAACCCATCACCCCCTTCACGTAACCCTGCATTCGCGGCTGTCCTCTGCTTCTTAATAGTCTTCACACCGCGGAGCTCGCGCTTCTTGAAGAACGCCCATGCAGCTGGGTATACAGAGCTCCCGGATCCTTTGTAAGGCCCGTTCTGGCCCATGAACATGGAGTATGCGTTGCTGGTGACGTTGATGGCCTTTTGGAATTCGCCGACACGCATTTCGCCGCTGTCGATGAGGGCGCGGATTTTGCGGCTGCGGTGGGATTAGAAAGGGACATATTTGTTGAGGGAAATTGAGACGCGTTGATTAAGTTTTTGGACTGGGTGGATGGAACAGAGCGTAGAGGAGTACGGTGTTGAATGGGAGGGTGAGAGGAGGGTCCGTACCGCACTGTGTCACAGCTATCCTTCATCGGCATATTCTCGATCTCGTGGTTGAGATCATCCTCATTCATCGCGAGATATTGGTTTGACTTTCGTTTCGACATCTTGCTCGACACCGTGGACGTAAAGAATTACAAGACGGTAATGGATATGTTAGAAGATGGATGAGGACGCCACATGGGATAAGGGGGATGTTAATTAGGAAAGGTGACGCCATGAGACGCGTGGAGCTATGGTTCGGGAGTGCGCTGTGCGCGGAAGGTTGACGCGAGATCATGTGAGAATCTAGAGTTTAGAACATCACCAGTTCCCGTTTAGTCGTTCATCCTCAGAAGCGGGTGCGCATAATTACTCCTTGGCTTTCACAAGATCGACGCTTTGTATACGCCTGCCTGAGGTGCCTCATATCATTCTGAATCTATTTCCAGACCCTATCAAGCAGAGATGGTGCCAAACCAGTCCATAGTCCCGTCATCTAGAAGATAAGCGCCACCACTCTTCAGACATCACGCCTATCCTTCTCGATTATTAACCTGAGAGGGTAGACTTGGCTCGTTCTCACAATCAGACCCAAAGAGCGTCAAGCCATGCGCATGTTCCCAATCAAGCAAAAATTTCGTAATTTTCAGCTAGCATGTTGAAGTACTTCATGGTCTTTTCGCGAGCTATTTTGAATGATCGTCCTCCTGTTATGGCCTTCCGGACCATGCATCCTAGGCCAGAGCCGCCACGGGAGACAAGTTTATTCACAGCGATCCAGTGTGTCTCCCCTGGTTTCACGTAGTTGTGAATATACAGGCTTCGCACGGAGCTGGAAGCGCATTGGATTCTCCCTTGGTATTCATGTGGATATCACCCTCGCATCCCTTTCCGGAATTGGTATGCTTACCGTATACATCTTCAGGCTTCTTTTGCACACGCTACGGGGTTGAGACCTCGCTGCTTTTGCAGATCCCGTTGATATCGGTGATGGGCCCCCAGCGTGAATCAAGCGAGGAGCTCTTCAGATACAGCAAGTCGACTGTAGCTTTCCGCTCCGTAAGTAATTTCTTTCGGGTCACCTTTGCACGAGAAGAAACGTGGCATATGCTCGTATTAAGGGAGGATTGCATTGCGTAACTCTCATCATGCGCTGCGCAGAGCTCGAACTGACCCGCCATCATAGACCTATTAGCGGTGAGATGCGGTCCAATTCGTATTTTTTGGTCCATGCACCGCCGTAATAGGTCCGGCTTACGTTACCAAAATAATAGTAAATCCAGTGAGACAATACTTCCGGAGTTAGGAAAATGGCATCCGTGCAGACCAACCCAATCTTACGTTTCGATACCTTCTTCCCTGACTTAGAATCCTCCAGGACTGCGGATATCGGAACATCTCGCTGCCGAGCTGACTATAGCTATGCCCTGCTTAACGCGGGGCGACTGTTCGCCGGCGGGGCAGTGGATACGCTCTTAAAATGGTTAGCACATACTGTGCCAATGCCCTAGCGTGATGGAGGATTTAAACCAGCCCATTTAAGACCAGCCGACGTCTACCATAAACCTTCCTAGATATCTCCACCTGTTTTACCACAATACGCGCAGAGACCTTCGAATACTTCATACAATGGCCTCCGACGCTTCTTTCAACCAAGAGACCAGTGGCCTCAAGGTCGCGGAAACGTACTCTTCCCGCTGTGCCGGCAAAACCGTACTCATCACCGGCGTGTCGCCTGGCGGCATCGGCGATGGGACTGCTCGCGCCTTTGCGCATGGTGGTGCAGCAACCGTGATTATCACCGGCCGCGACGACACGAAACTCTCCACCATGATCCAGTCCCTCACTTCCGCCTATCCCAAGACCAAATTCCGTCCCCTGAAACTCGACATGAACTCTCTCGCTTCCGTCCAAAAAGCCGCGCAAGAGATCTTGGACGACTCTTCCATTCCAGTGATTGATATTCTGGTCGCAAACGCGGGGATGAACTCTTTCCAAAACGTCCGCGCCGAGACCAACGACGGAATCGAGACGCACTTCGGCGTAAACCACATGGCTCACTTCCTCCTCATTAGTTCGCTTATTCCGAAGCTCAAAGCTGCAGCGAAGAAGAGCGAACCAGGTACGTAGGTCCGGGTGCAAGATCTAGCATGTCTGCGGTCTATATCTACCAGATACCTTAGGATTGTGTTTCCACTCTCCTCCCCTCAAGCATAAGACACTTGCTAATGTATACCGTTCTCTTTGTAGGCGAAACACGCGTCGTGGTTGTGACCTCCGGCGCCACGATGGCCAGCCCAGTCCGCTTCCACGACTGGAACTATGAGAACAAGCCCGTGCCCCCCGAAGAAGCACCAGCATGGGACAAGCTCTCCAAAATGGTCGGCCGCGACGAGCCCCTGCCCTTTGAATTCTACATCGCATACGGGCAGTCTAAAACTGCCGGCATCCTCGTCGCCCACCAGCTCAATAGACTCCTCGCCAAAGACGGCGTCTACACTTTCGCGGTGCATCCCGGGTTCGTGGAAAGCACCGGCGCGAAGACGGTAATTCCGCACCTGGACGAGGCGACGTTGCAGGCGTTCGGGTTCATGAAGACAATCGATCAGGGGTGTTCGACGACTATGGTGGCCGGGTTGGATCCGGGGCTGAAGCCGGAGAATGGGTTCATGTTGGCAGACTGTCAGGTTCATATGGAGATGTGTCCAGAGTGGTCTAAGAGCGACGACGCGGCGGAGAAGCTTTGGAAGCTGAGTGAGGACATTGTGAAGGAGAAGCTGGGGCAGTAGATGATGCAAAGAGGTGAGTCATGGCTCCTTCAATTTGATTGGTGTGACTTCTCCACCGTTTTCGTACTCTTCCCTACAGAAAAGTAATTCTAAAGGCCTTTTACGCCAATGGTACTGACTTTATGCAGCGACCAGGGATACATAGACATGACAAAATTCACCATTTCATCCGCCAAACGCTCCCCCCGAGAATGATACTGAATGTCGTCTTTCCTCAACCCGGGGGTTGCTCTAATACCTGGTATCATTTCTCCACATTCCCTTTGAAGATGACCTTCTCCTTCAACACCCGCTCAATTTCATCCGATTGTACCGTAGTACCCCGGAGTCGGATTTTCTGTGGCCGCAGAACTTGCAAATTGCCACTGCAAGAGAATTCAAGTCCAGTGCCGACACTGTGCTGTACGAAACGGTCCCAATCTCCCCGAAGAACATACTCACATCGCTGGTCTATGTAAACATGCAATTCTTGGAGATTAGGAAACCCGTAGCTGCCGTTCGCAAACCTCCTCAGGAAGTGCCACTCTCCCCCGCGGAGCCGAACGATGAACTGGACCTTCCGAATATGTGCATTCACCGCTGGCTTCGGGAAATCGAAGACGGCCGGAGACACAACACGCCGGATTGATGCGGACCTGGGTCGGAGCTCGAAAGTGTTCATCTTGTAGAATATGTCGCGAGACAACGTCGCAATTTCGGGCGTCATCCGGAGATGCTGCATGAATATCGATCCGAGGGCTCTATCCATAATGCCTACCGGGCGGTCCTCCACCAAGTTGTAAGATAGAATGCGCAATTTGAGCTCATCCGACAGCCTGCTCCATCCACGGGCGAAATTCGGGCTAAGTGTGGTAGATATCAAAAGATGTTGACCTTGAGGACCTCCCAGGATGTGGATCGGAGCACTCGACCAGATAGTGACACCATTGATCGTTATTGGTGACGGGGAAGATATTGACTGCGTTCCTTTCCATACGAGATTGGTCGGCGTATAGAGATGGATCGGGGGGTTGGTAGCGCACAGGGCTTCGGTTGGGGTGCGCTGGCCATCGCCGCCCGGCGCGGAAGCTGCAAGGTGGTCTTCGGACGCCATTTTCGGGGAGGTTTTGGGGTGATGAGCCTTAGAAGCAAGTTGATGGATACAGTTGTTCTATTGTTTCAGAGGGTGAAAAAGTAGTCCGCCTTTGCATGAGGGCTGCACTCCGGCGAGTCTGACGTCACCGCGGGTCTTTCTTTTACCTGCGTGGATTGGGAGACGTGAAATCGGACGACCGTGCGCGACGTACTGCGACTCATAGATACCAGTCTCCTTCATCCTCATTCTACACGCAACCCCTTCGGACCAGTTCTAAACTTGCAGCAATTACCCCTAGCTCACAATGTCAACCGAGCCTACGAAGAACAGGGGCGCTGGCCTCACGGACGGCGCAGTGGAGATATTCGCCCCAATGACGCTGGCGGCACATTCGACCTACCCTATCTTCTGTGCCAGCCCGATTCTACTTCACCTACCGAACGCGAAGCCAACACGCCTCCACTCTTCCGCTCCAATCTACATCACTGCCGAAAACCCTGTTTACATCGTCCCGACGACGCCTCCGGGGCCCACCTTCGCGGCCGGATGGGATAAGCTGTCCGACGAGCTCAAGGTGATGATTCTTCAAAATAATCTCGTCCTCGATCACTCAATACGCGGCGACGCATGGAACGAGGATGTTGCCCACGCACTCTTCCCCTATTTGCGCATGACGCCCGAGATTGCTGGGCTCGCTAAGGAGATCTTCTACTCGAAGAACACATTCGAGATACTGCTATTCTTTCTACGATCGCCCCACCGAGATGAGGAATGGGTCCTCAAGGCTCCGTCATCGCCATTCAGGGAAATAATACGCCGAATAGAGCTTATGACAGAGTTCTGGCCAGCACCGTTTTGCATCTTTCCTCATCTGGCAGACTATCAATCGGCATTCCCTGCCTTGCAGCACATCCACATCATATGCAGAGTGACCCATGCACTCAACGATAGGGCATTCGGCCAACTCTTATACGATTTCTCGCTTGCGACAGGGAAGGTAAAGCTACCCAAAATGGAGTTTGCACACCCAGGCCAATTGGATGTGGTCAGCGGGCCTAATATCTCGCCGGCCAACCGCAAGCGAGCACTGGAAATACTGAAACAAAAGATCACGTTCGCTGCGAAGGTGGTAGGGAATTGACCAGCTAGTGTCGCCTCCACGGTCCCAGAGAATCGACGATAACCTCGGCTGGGATAAACGGAAGCAACCTGTTACAGCACTCTCTGAACTTGAGCCTGCTCTTAGTTTCTAGCTGAATGCGGCTTTGTCTTCAACTTGGGTTGCACCTGGAATTCGTTGACTGTTCGTCCACATTCCATGGTTTGTCCTTGTGCCAACCTTCAATATCCTAGCGTATCTCTCTTCAATTACCCACAACGAGTTGTTCATCAATGTACAAATAATGGCGTCCTACCACTGTTCTTCCTCCACAAAAGAATGTACAACGAATCTGTACACGATATACCTGACGCCATGGCCACCTCAGATTACGAAACTCCGAACCAGACTGCGCTTGTGATATACTGGCCAATGAACATTGCCGCGAATACCAGTCTCTGGCTCTCTTGCAACGGACCGCTGGAGATCAAGTCCGTAGGGGTCACCGAAAGGCTCCTAGTCCAGTCTTCTTCCCCCATTCTGATCAACACAAAATCTTGCATCGACATAGTTCCCCCACTGACATCGGGCTTCGTAAAGGGCTGGCACAAGCTGCCCGACGAGCTAAAACTGCAGGTCCTTGAGCACAACGTCCTAGTGAGCGGACTGATTGGTGGATCCGCCCAGCCTGATCAGGTAAAGGAAAAGCATCTATTCCCTTACCTCAGGATGACCCCCGAAATTGCAGCTCTTGCCAAGGAAATATTCTACACCAAGAACGCATTCGCGATCAACCGCACGAGCGGCTTCCCCCACTCGCCTTTTGGGCTAGACGACGGGCCCTGCTACCTCTCCTATCCGAAGCGCCCCTTGAGCGACCAGCTCCGTTTCGTCACGTTCGCCACGTCGATGCACCAGGCAGACTTCGACCTGCTTGCCAGGCTAGCGAACGGCGAATTTGGATTCAGGAACTTGCAGCATGTAACTATCCTCTACAATATCTACCGCTTGCTATACAGTCTCCCGAGTTTAAGGATGCCATATGAGGGGGATCTTGCTGGACTGCTTCACATTGACGTGCGGTTTAGGGCTCAGGGGACGTTGGTGAGCCGGCGAGACGTGCTTTTTAGGGAGAGATCGGAGAGGGAGCTTTATTTTGCAGAGCGGATTGAGAAGTTTTTGAAGAGTAGGATAGTCTTTGGGGTGGAGACTGGAGCTGGTGAGTCGGGGAGGCATCTCTCTGAAGGTCGATGTGCTTGAGCTTGTTGTCAGCCCCCAATTAGGCATAGTTCTTCCTATCGCGGCTTAGGCGCGCCTTAGTAATCCAGAGGCTATGACCGACACAGCTAGGCTTCGTGATGGCGACCTCGGACCTTCCGCCCTCGACCCTACCTGGGTACGCGTTCGATGCAAACAACATGAATGCTTTGTAACCACTGAGGCGACGAGCGTCCACGGCGCTCAGCAGGTTGACGCGATGCTAATTTTGGCTGCGGGCTCTGACGGGCGCTTATTGGGCGCTTAGAGTGCCCCGCCAAAGGGCCAGTGAGGCTGAGCAGCTTGACACGCCCAGGCCGGCGCGATACGTGGGCTGACTGACTGACTGACTGACGGCTTGTCTCTCCTCCAAAGCTTCATCTCTTCGATCTCTTCTTTCTCTTGTTGTCGCACCCGCAAGAAGCTTCATTGACCGTGCACCGTGTGCGGGGCAGCAAACATGTCAGGATTCCAGGGGAGCCCGCCTCCGCCGCCCGGCGGTAACTACTATCCGCGTGAGTGAGCTCTGCTTTGGCGCTGCATATTGGACGCGCGGAGCTGATTGAGGGCAGCGCCGCCTGCTCAGATGGACCCGTCCCAGGGCCAGCAGCAGTACTTCTCGCCTCCACCCGGCGGCCAGCAGTATCCTCCCCCGCCGGCATCGAGCCCGCCGACCCACGGCCACTACCCGCCTCCGCCGGGCGGCGCACCACCACCGCAGTCGCAGCAGCACTTCTCGCCGCCCGATGCCTCGCAGCAGCAGCATTTCCCGCCGCCTGGGAGCGCGCCGCCCGCGCAACAGCCCCAGCAGCCCATGAGTCCGTATGGCGCCCCGAGCCCGAGCCCCCATCCGGGCATGCCGCCGCAGCAGATGAGCCAGCAGATGGCGCCGCAACAGGGACAGATGCAGGTGCAGGCCAGCCAGCCGCAGTTTGCGGGCGCGGCGAGCACGCAGGCGGATGACGTGGGCACCTTCAACGGCGGGAGCTACCGTGTCAGCCACCGGGACACGAACACCATCCTCACGGTGCAGCTAGCCATGGGGTGTCCGTTTACGGCGAAGCCCGGCGCCATGATTGCCATGTCGCCCACCATCACCCTCAAGGGCTCCATCAAGTTCTCCCTCAAGAAGGCCCTCGTTGGCGGTGACATGTCCAAATCGATGTATACCGGCCCCGGCGAACTGCTCCTCGCGCCCGCCTCCATCGGCGACATCACCATCATCAAGCTCAGCGGGCATGAGCAGTGGAGCGTCGGCAAAGACGCCTTTCTGGCGTGCACGCAGGGCATCGTGACCGAGTACAAGAGCCAGGGGCTGGGCAAGGCCATCTTCTCCGGCGAAGGCCTGTTCGTCTACAAGATCAGCGGGCAGGGCATTCTGTGGTGTACGAGCTTTGGCGCCATCATTCGCAAGGATGTGAGTACCAGCACCTTATCCGCGACCATCTGGCACTGACTTCAACAGCTGCAAAAAGACGAAAAGTACTACATCGACAACGGCCACCTCGTCGCGTGGAACTGCAAGTACGTCCTTGAGCGCGTGGCTTCCGGCGGCATCATCTCAAACGTCTCTTCTGGCGAGGGCCTTGTCTGCAAGTTCACTGGTACGTTCCCGCAATTCAGTTCAAAATCCACCCGCTGATGTGAACATGCAGGTCCCGGAACGGTCTTCATGCAGACGCGAAATGCGCAGGCATTCTCGGCCTGGCTGACGGCGAATGCGGCAGGCCAAGTATAGGGAATAGCGGAGGGCGAGACGGCGAAAATTCCCTTGGTCAATGTTATTTCCATTTGACGATTAGTAGCGTGGAGTTGGGTTGGTGAACCGTTTCCAGTTCTCCCTGCCTCCTTTGGTCTTCTAGTTGCTTGATTGAACGGGCACAATTGGAATTGCCCGGCATATTCGAGAGTATGCATCTTGGTTGCGTGACCATAGATCTCTTCATCGAGCCGCAACAATTGCTGGCTGCTGACGTGATATCTAGAGCTTGTGTCTGCCCACCAATCGTAACCCTCAAAGGCTTCTCACTTGGGCATGGTGTGTAATAGTGCTGACGGCTACGCTTTTCGCTTGTAATACTCCCCTCTCCCCATCCTCCACCGTCCAGATATCCCACCCCAGCAATGTCAGACATCAAGGCCGCCCTCCCGCCAACATGCACAGTCGTTGTCCCAACAGCAGACACACCCATCCACGAGGCAATCCCGCGCTGGTCCGACGCGCTCATCTCCCTCCCCTACGCCATCGTAACGCCCTCAACCACCGCCGACATCACCGCAGCAATCGCCTATGCTGCCGCCAACAACCTCCGCATCATCCCCGCGGCGGGCGGCCACGCGTCCTTTGTCCCCGTCACCACGCAGACCATCTACCTAGACATGCGCAGCTTCCAGGACGTCGAGCTCGATGAGGTGAAGCAGCAGGTCACCATCGGCGGCGGATGTCTCGCCGGGCGCGTTATGAAGAGCCTGGCAGAGAAGGGATGGTACACGGCGGTGCCGAACTCGGATGCTGTGGGGATGGTGGGCGCGTTGCTCGGGGGGATGAATCATCCGCTCATTGGGCTGCATGGCATGGGGAGCGATTGCGTGCGCGGGATCACTGTGGTTCCGTTTTCAAGAGCTGGGGGAGAGGTGGAGCCGGTAACGGTGGGTCCGGAGTCTGAGGGCGAGGAAAGAGCATTGTTCGATGCGCTGCGTGGTGCCGGACATGGGCTGGGCGTCGTTACCAGCGTCACGCTGCAGGTGTGGCGGATCGGCGCGCTGCGGCTGTCCGACGGCAAGGTCTGGACGCGTAGACTCATGTTCCCTGCGTTGCAGCTCAGCACGGCAACACGTGCATATATCTCTCTGGTTCCGCCTGCGCCGCAACTCGCGCCCGTGCTGGCGTTCCTGCGCGCTCCGCCCTCGGCCCTAAACCCCGGAGCGCCACTGGTAATGCTCGCGGTGAGCTATTTTGGGCCGGCGGAGGAGGCGGAGAGGGTGTGTGCGAGAACTTTTGAGGACGGGGTGGTTGCTGCTGCGGGGAGTGCGGTGACGGGGATGGTGGAGTGGGGGAGGTTGAATGAGGGGAATGCAGTATTGAACAGGCATGGGGGGTTTAAAGAGTATCATAGCGCATTTGTTAGAGAGTTCGATGAGGAGGGTATTGCGCGGGCGTTTGAAGCGTGGGAAGCATTTACGCGGAAAGATGTGCCGGGCCGGGGAGCGAGCTACGTGGTTCTAGGGTCGTGGAGCGCGGAGAAGATGATGGAGCGTGGAGGAAGGGGGTTCTTTAATGCAAGAGATAGGGGCACTTTTGTACAAGCCACGCCTTGGTATGTGGAGGCTCGAGAGGAGGAGGCGGATGATTTTGGGAGGGGAGTTTTGGAGGCGATTAGGGGGAGAGATCGGAGTGTGGGTAGGAGGGATTGGGGTTTTGGGAATAATTTGCTGGCCGGGATGGATATGCGTGAGGTGTATAGCGAGGAGCAGATGAAGGAGGTAAGCGGGGTGAAGCGGGCTTGGGATAACGCGGGTGTGGGGTGGAGTCCTGCGGTTGAGGGGTGGTGAGGCGACGATACAGGTAGTGGAACAGCTCCCGTACGTTCCCTTTGCTAAGTACAGAGGCATATGGCGAGGGACGATACTAGCTAAGCTCCTTTAGACCGTCTCACTCCCTTTTCTGCCCAATCGGCGGAGGGACATCGTTGAAAGGCGCATCCAGCGGCCCCTGGTGCGGCGGTATCGGCTTTTGCTTGACGACGTAATCAAAGTACCCGCCTCGCTGGTTGAACGAATTGTCTTCAGGGCCCAAGACCATCCTGTTCTGCGAGTTGACGAAGTTGTGCGGAAACCCGATCTCGAAGCCGTACGCGCCATCAATCTCCTTCATCTCGTCGTCCGTCAAGCGCAGGGACAAAGCCTCGATGTTTCCCTTCAGATGCTCAACCTTTCGGCCTCCCACGATGGGAAACGTGTACGGCGCTTTGTGCATGACATAGGCGAGGGCGACGGAAGTGATAAGCGTGCCTTTCTTCTCGGCAATGCTGGCGAGGACTTCGCCAACCCGCTCTTCCTTCCCGCTCCTGCCGCGCTGGAACACGGACGAGCGACCTGCGCCATCCTTCTCCTTCTGCTCCTTACTCTTGAAGGATCCACCACCCAGCACGCCCCACGGCGCAAGAGCCATCCCCTCATCCATGCACATGGGGATGATATCGCGCTCAAAGTCGCGGTCTGCGGCGCTCCAACGACCTTGGTACACACTGAATTGGCGCAGGCCGTGCTGACGCGCGTAGCAGTTTGCCTTGACGACGACCCAGGCTGGCGTGTCAGATATACCGAGGTACAGGACTTTGCGGGCGGTGACGAGATCGTTAAGGGCATGCATGAGCTCCGGGATAGAAGTTGTAGAGTCCCAAAGATGGATGTAGTACTGCAATTGGAGTCATTAGTCGATGCGTGTGATAGAGAAGGGGATGGAACGGATATACCAGGTCGATGTACGAAGTGCGCAGGTTCCTCAAGCTCCGCTCAACACTCGTGTATATGTTCTTTGCACTGTTCCCGGAAAAGTTGCTCTGGATAACCTTATCCCCCAAATGGCTGGTCTGGCTGCCCGTGAACTTGGTCGCAAGCATCATCTCATCCCGGCGTCCCCTCTGCTCCATCCACTCGCCGAGCCACGACTCACTCTCGCCATATTGGTAGTTGACGGCCGTGTCGATGAAGTTGCCGCCTTGGCTGTAGAAGTAGTCGAGCATGGCGAAGGCGGTTTCTTTGCTGCATTCGCCCAATACCGATTTCCATGCGTCGCCGAAATTCATGGCGCCGAGGCAGAGTGGAGAGACGCGCGCACCGGCGGTCGGTGACAGGATGCGGTGGCGTCCAAGGAGCGACACTGGGGTTGTGGGAGCGAGGGATACCATTGCTGCGGATGAGTACCAAGACTATTAGGCCTTGGACGAGAGGCGGCCTGGATGGAGATTTATACGCAAGGCTCATCCACCGAAAAAGGTTTCAATTTGGGAGCATTGTGTTAACTCCATCCTATGTCCTCGCTGCTGCCCGGAACCAAGATGCCGTCTTCTCTTACTGGCTGCCTTATGGCGTTAACTCCGCAATCGCCGGTCTCCTCATTCCGGGAAGAATGAGCACTTCCCACTAGTTTCCCGCACCCTCGTTGCTGAAGTGGGAGGCGAGCATCTTGTGTCACGGTACCGCAGGGTAGGGATGGTGTTGGGAGTTGAAGCCGGAGTAACACTAGAGCGAGAAGAGCTTAGTGCGGTTAGACTCAACACCACAGTTGTCATCATCCATCTCCACCCCATCGCCGATGAAGCGCACCGGTGTGGGGAATAGCAGCACGTCGCGCTATTGAGGTTGGTGCAGACCAGCTTGGCCCCGTGACAACTGTTTCTCGTGTACTGGTTGAGGTTCATCCCAATGCACGAGGGGATGAATGGAAGGAGGATGGGCTTGAGGAGCTGCATCATAGAGCTTTGCAGGCGAGAAGAATAAACGAGAAGAGCTTGGTGCTGTTGGCCTCTAATAGTTCTACCTAGGTACTAACGTCTTTATAGTCGCCTTTTGTTCTACAATTGCAGCTGATGTGTCATCTATTTACTGTGGTATAAGACAAACACGCCGCGTTGGACAGAGGGCACACCTGACTGGACTTCGCCTCTGATGCAGGGCGTTGCACGTACCAATGTCCAACGTGACGTTTCACCCGCTAGCAATACCGCCTTGCGATACCGACTTTTCCGCCATTGCGGGTCCAGCCCAACGTAAACAAACGTCAGAACGTTGTCACCTCGATTTCCCGTCTGTGCGTTGTCACCTAAATTTCTTCGTGCGATTCCAACATCCTGCGGCATGCTATATCCGTCGGGTCCCCCGGGGGAGCGACTTCTCTTACTCCTACTCACCTCACTATCACGTTCTACCTCTTCATCTCCAGCCGCTCCGGGTGTCCCCACGTCTAACCTCGCGATCGACATGGCTTCATCACCAGGCTCCGATCCTTCGACGCCCACTGCCCGCAATGAGAAGGCCGTCTCCCGGCATACCCGCCCACTGGATGCGACTAGCCAGATGATGCCTGCCGTACAAATCAATGCGCCGGATGAATTGGATCAACTCTTCAATAGACTGAAGCACGACGACGTCCGACACATCCGACTTCGCATTCTCGCCCCGCTATCCTGCACTAACTCTGCGGCTGAGCTTACAGAGGAGGAGGTCAACGGAGGAGTTGAGTGGAGCTCGGGGAGCAACGTTGCTCCATTGGTTGAGGCATGGCGAAACCAGTTTAGCAAATTGCCTGATGGGCATTGCCTGGAAAGGATCGACTTTGATATGAGCTGCCCTGGACGACACATTGAATTGCGCCATATTGGACGCCTGCTTGCGTATATTCAGATCTTTACTGGGAAACGAGGCCGAGGCAATGTACGCTGTGTTATTACTGGGGCTGGGGAGGACGAGGTACAAAGGCTGAGGGAGCGCTGGCTGGGCCCAGATGTTGGCGAGGCAGTGCAATGACTGGATCATGCCGCTGGTGTCGATACGCGGAACGCTTGGTCTTGTTCCATTCCCCTATTGCGGCATTGTTTCCCTGTTTTAAGGGCTTTGGATAGCCGTGGCGACATTGGCTCATCTTCTCTGGTCCACATGTGTCCGCGCTGGGACTGAGGGAGCACGGCTCGGCTGTCTGAACTATCAATCCAGCATATGCACCTACGTCCAGCGGCTTCCTCCCCCTAGAATAGCAAATATGTCGTGCCTCACGATACAATCAGACACATCCGGTAGTGTAATGAGAGCAAAAGTTGCAGTCACTACCGCGTCTGGCATTAGTTGCCAGATCCATCGTTGCTCAGCCCAGTTGCCTAGATGCGAGGGCGGGGCAGAACGCCCCAGTCCACACCGTCCTCAGCTCCACGTCACCTCCGTGTAACTATCCCTCATGAGCACTTTCTGCTGTGATATTACTCCCGAAGGTCCATTCCAAGTTGCTCTTGATCCTGCCTCGGGTGAAAGCCGTCGCCGTCTCGCAAATTCCGCTACACCCTTCGCCTGAACGAACTGAGCATCGCTCTCGACGACTTCTGGAACAGTCTTCTTCGTCGAGTTGAAGAAAGATTCCATCGTCTCATTAAGCGCTGCCCTAAACCAGGCGTCGTGTATGCTGTTTCCGACAAGGATAGCTTTGGTGGGAACGCGGTAGTGCATTCGCTGGAGCGGTCCAAGTAGGATGTGGCGGAGCTCCATCTCACGGGATCTCCCGTCGCTGGAGAGATTAAGATTGAAAGCAGGGTAGTCGGTGATGTGGTATGCATCATTGCTGATAGCGATTGTGTGATATGCGAGAATGCTGGAATCGGTGTAGTCGATGACGTAGTAGATATCATCCTGATTATGATGCTCATCGGGCGGCGGGCGTGGGCACGCCTCTCGGTCCGTAGTGTTAGTGCATAGAGACAGGCCGTGTCCCGCAAGCGCGGCGCTGGTTTCGAACGTAAGGAACGTGCCATCGTCATAATTCCCTCGCTGCATGATTTCGAGGTACTGCAGACCAGCGTGTTTGAACGCGTCGTAGAGATGCCGGTCATAGAGGGCCGGGAAGTGCGGGACAGCAGCTGCAGCTGCAATCACCTCCCGACAAAGCAGCTTTTCAGTTTCTTCTTTCAGACTCTTGACTAGGGCGCCGATTACGCGAGCGTCGTCAGAGGCCGGAAACCCAGGCCTTTTGTGTTCCTGTTGATGTGCTCGGGATTCGCGGTACAGTTGACTGTGGTCTCATCAATGCGCGTCTCATAGGGCCAAGAACAGCACTTACTGGAACGGGTGCTCCGAAAGCCTGAGCATAGTTTGTCGGTACTCATTGCTGCTGCCCACTTTTGCTACCGCGACATGTGTTCCATTTGGGTAGGCGATGGCCGCGGTTCCATATGAGATTCCGAGATTGAATCCAACCGAGATTTCCTCTTGGTTGCGCTTCGCCCGCACGCATGACGATGCTGCAAAGACAATCGAGAGGCGAAATAGGAGCATATTTGCGCGCAATCTCTGCGTTCGTGGAGGAGGAGCGGTGGTTGCAGGTGTTGGTGGAAGTGGCCGCAGGGCACCTAGCAGGATGACCGGAGTATTGTTTACTGTTGAGGATCACGTGTCAATCACGTGACGGACTTCAATAGCCGCAGAGGTGAAAGTAGAGACCTCGGGATGTAGTGGGCGCGTAAGTTTGCGCTACAAACCCTACGCTTGCTTTAACTCGCGTTTCAATAGGGTCGCCACTTAGGGTAGGTAATTAAAAATATATAACTAACGTAATATCTTAGATCTAGAGAGTTAGCGTAGTATAGTTAGATCTTAAAACGTTAATATAAGCTTTCTTAGCCTAAACTATAACGAGCCCACACTACCTTACCCGAAGGCTATGCCATAAGCGACCAGATTCCAAGCCCAAATCTTGCCTTTTAAGCTACTTTGTCAGATTATTAGATACATCTGTCCCCCCGCCATCGCTCATCTCCGCTCCGGCCGAATGCACACCAGCCCACCCGCACTCCACCACGCAGACACTGATGGCAGCGGCTCAAGAAAACGACGACGCCCCGCCCTTTCATGCGTGGAGTGCCGTCGCCGAAAGGTGAAGTGCGATAGGGAGAAGCCATGTGGGCCTTGCACGCGTACCAAGTCACCTATGTGTACGTACCGACCGCATCCGCGAGACAATGAGCGTCGGGTGGAATTGTCCGCTGCTTCGGGTAGCAGTATTACCGGACAGGGTGGTCTCTCATCACAGCCTTCGCCTTCGCCTCAACAGGCGGACTTTGACGCCATGGTTAATCGGTATATTGCACCAGGTATTTTCGGGGTGAGTGGGAAGGATACGTTGGCACCCCTGTCTAATATGCCTGGGGTGGGTGGGAGAGAGGACGTGGCCGAGAAGCTCGCAGATAGGGTCCGGGATCTGGAGCTGAGGCTGGCTACGGTTACGCAGCGAGCAAGTCAGACTAGTAGTCTCCCATTGCGGGATTCTACGGTCGGAAATGAATTGGCTGGACAGTTTGTGAAGTCGAGGTTCTATGGGGAGAGTCATTGGAATAACTGCCTCGAGCCTGTGAGTGTGCCCTTTTCATTTATGCCATCACCTTTATCCTCCTTCAGCTACAGCGGGTCATACTACAGGATTGAAGCTAAGCAGCATCAGTATGACGCACTCGGCCACATCAACATCACCGTCAACTCGAACACCAACAGAACGGAAATCAACAAGTCTTCCGAACTTTATGCTGCCGTTGCCGATTGCAAAAGAATGGCTCGCACGATCAAGGCCTCCCGCATGCTGCACCTTTCGGTCTCCCAGGAGGTACAGGATTCCATTCCGCCGAAGGAAACCTGCGACCAGCTCGTTCAAGCCTACCTGCGGACCTTCGAAGCGGTATTCCGGGTTCTACATGTCCCTTCCTTTATGAAAGAGTACGGAAGCTATTGGAGCAATGTCGCCTCAGCTAAACCGTCGGTCTTGCTAAAGATACTCTTGGTGTGCGCCATAGGCGTCCCTTTTTACACTGGCTCAGATCAGCCCCATCTCCGCGTCTCCTGCACCAAGTGGATCCAAGCTGCAGAATCCTGGCTCAGCGCACCGCACGAGAAGTCTCGGCTGAACATGGCGGGTCTACAAATCCAAATTCTACTCTTACTCGCTCGTCAGGTATGCAGCGTCGACGGCGACCTTATTTGGGTTCCTGCGGGAACACTGCTTCGAAGTGCAATGCATCTGGGTCTTCACCGCGATCCGGGCCATTTTTCAAAGATATCGGTGTTCCATGCGGAAATGAGGAGGAGGTTGTGGGCAACGGTGATGGAGATTACCGTGCAGAGCAGCTTGGATATGGGGATGCCGCCGATGGTCACGTCGCAGGACTTTGATACGCTTCCCCCGTCCAATGTAAACGACGATGATATCAGTGACGCGGACTCGACGCCGCTAGAGCCGAAGCCGCTCAGAGAGCTCACCCAGACGTCTATTCAAATCGCGCTCTGTGAGACGTTATCGCTGCGTCTCGACATCGTTCGCTTGATTAACAATCTTCGCTTCTCGCTCTCCTACGACGAAACTCTTCGCCTGGGATCGGAACTTCTCTCAGCCTGCCGGCAGAACGCACAGCTTCTACAGTCCTTCCTCGCTTCGTCCGAACCAAGCATCAGCGCCTACCAAGTCAAGCTTTTCGATACGCTTGTCCGGCGCTTCGTGCTCTGCCTGCACCGTCCATTCTACGCGAAAGCCAAAGACGATCCTAGATACTATTACTCGCGAAAGATTTGCCTCGACACTGCGCTGAGTATAGCCGCCCGCGCACCTCAATCCACGGAAGGAGAAGATGATGATTGGATGAGACTGACATATCGAGGAGTAGGATTCATGAAGAGTTTCCTCCTGCACAGCGTCTCTATTGTATATTTGGAGCTCGTATCCCAGCTTGAGGAGCAGCAGCAGGAAGTCTTGTCTTTCACTCCGGCAAGCACAGCCAGTTCGACTCCCGTTACGCCGTTGACTCTTCTTCCACATTCTATCCCCCTACGGAACGTCCTGGTCTGGGGGAAGCGCGTGACTGAAGAGCGGGTCCGCAATGGCGAGACGAATGCAAAAGGCGCTATGTTTCTCGCTTGCGCGCTGGCACGCATCGACGCTTTCGTTTCTGGCAATAACCCTGACGCTGCCGTGCTTTCGGCGGCGAAGAAGGCTGTCACCGATACGGCGCAGCTTATGCGCGATGCCTACCGCGCAGAACATGGGGCCGATATCGAGCTAGGCCCACAAGCAGGGCAATTTGCTGGCCGGGAGCATGGGAGAGGTGAGGGCGCGGACGATGTCACGAGGACAGCGAGGGCTGATGGGGGAGGGGCTGACGTTGCGAGCGGGACTTTCGAGGCGCAGGAGCAGTGGAGTGGAGGGGCAGAGGATATGGATTGGGAGGCGCTCATGGCGGATGACAGCCTAGATTTTGGGTGGGGGTTTGAGGGGAGCCCCGAGAGCTGGTTTGGCTGGGGATGGGAGCGGGATGCGCCGATCGACACATGAGGTTGAAGGTGAGGTGCTGCACAGCGGCGGAGTCTCGCCCCCCAAAACGGTACATCCTTCAAGTAAGGTCGAATCGGGATTCAGCTTCTCGAGTGTCTTCAAAGAGCTATTGGTTGTTGAGTTGGTAAGGAGATCAGTGCAGGAGACCAGTGCAGGTTGTTTATCACTCTACGAGGGAGAGAAAGCGGACGCATTGTACGATATCAACTCGTGTACGATAAAGACCGAAGTTAGCTTTCTCCTTTCATCCGCCACCGCTGCCGTGCGTGCTAACAAAGAAAGACATCTCATCTCTCTGATCGAAACATCAAGCCAACAGTGCCCTATCCAAGTCCCCACGAGCCCTCACGTATCCAACAGTTCCACAGGTTCGATCCCGTCAAGGCCGAGTACCTTTCGGGGAAAGCGAGATGTCACCAGAGACAAACGTCATTTTCCGGTCTGTGGAGGTGTTAGTACGAACTTCCCGAAGTGCTCTAGTATCAGGAGAGGGAAGGTCATACGCTGAGAGAGCTGCCACAGCTGCTCGAAGCGCCCACCGCGTCAGCGGCATCTGCGAGGTCGACAACACCGCACTCACCCAGGTCGCAGAGTGGCAAGCGGGTTATGACCCGCCGTTGAAGAATAATAAACTCAGATTATCCGAACACTATCATACCCCCAGATAGAAATACTTCGTCCAACTCGTGAGTCGTAAGCAAAAAGAAAGAGACAGCAGCCATAGGCTGTTCCAAAAAGAAAAGAGAAGAGAAGTAGAGAGTCTCAGGGCTTCCATGAGCACAGTCGAGAGAGAGGAAAGGGCATCATATCCACCCGTCGCGCTCCCGCTCGTCTTTCGGCCCTCCGTTCCCTTTCAGCCACCCAACGCCGACGTTCGCCACGCCTTTCCATCTCTCGACGCTCCTCTTCTTCGTGAAGCGATACTGCCTTTCGCGGCTCTGCTCAAGGCGCTGCTTGAACGGGCCGTCTCCCGATATTCCGAGACCGCCTAGTTCGATGTCCTCTCGCACTTCGGCCTCTCTGAAGCCCAAAGCCGAGCCGCCGCCTCGTTTTGACCTCATAGAGTTTCCTCTATTCACCGTAGTCGTCTTTGAGCGAATGGTCTCGTTCGACCGGACTCTCCGCAGGCGGCTCTGCAGATCCGCGACCTCGCCGTCGCCGACGAGACGGCCCTTGCGATTACTTGGTGGCGTGCGGTAGTCCCAGTTCGAATTGACTCTCCGTAAACTGTATTTGCGGGGGCTCTGATCTAGGATCTGCCCAATCTCTTGCAAGTCTTCAGCTTGGGCGCGCATTCGATCCAGCGACTGCATGCGAGGGGCCGCGAATGCGCGACCCTGCACAGATCGTGACGAACGGCGGCCAAGCCGCGGCGGGGAATGGCCACGTTGGTAGCTGTGCGCTGTGCGCTTCTCTTCGATAGCGGCAGCGACTTGGGCTACGGAGTTGGGCACTACGTCTAAGGAGTTCTGGGGCGGTCAGCTGGACCCAAGAGGGAGGAGCAAAGCGACGGACCATGTGTATGAGAACGATTGGCAGCTGAACCGTCACGAGCTTACTGAGGGACGTCAGTCTTCATCGGTGAGCGGATGCGGGGAACGCACGTATGGGAGCTGCCGACAATGACGTTGAGGAAGTACCGCACTTCGAAGTATTTGCCTAAGCAGTCAGCACAAGATCGAGCCGCACGAAACAGACGTAGCATACCACACTTCACTGTACCATGGCCCCGCGGGACTTCGAGGTCGCAGGTGCGAATGTGCGTCTGGTGCGCTGGAACGCCATGCCACCCTGCAGTGCCTTGCTTGACAATTGCTTTGCTGAGTATAGACCGCTCGTTGCTGTCAAATATTCGAGCCTGGCTTGCCGATTTCTCCATTGTAGAAGCGGCAGCCTATACGCCGCTCCATTAGCATCCCAAGCAAGCACGAACGACTTCGCGGAACAAACGTGTTTGTAGCAAAGAATGTCTCTCTCCAGCTGGAGCTCGATCTTCTTGACAGTTTTGCGGCTGTTGTTGGCAATGTGGACGTCGACGTAGATGCTCGTTCCGCTGACCCAGACTTGCCGGTGCAGGCCCGCAGTGAGTCGAACGACTTCTACCGTAAGATCGCGAGGCTTGATCCATTCGTCGGACGCGGTGAGAGGACTTGGTAGGGACATGAGAGCTTTCTCAGCTGCACGTCGTTAGCGGCGCTCGCTTGCAGAAGACTTCACCTACGGTCGTATACGGACAAGACCGAGATGTCTTCGGAAGCTCGGACAATGTATTGCTTTCCTTGGTCGCGAATGAGTAACGAGACGCAGAGAACATATCGGATTCGTGCGCTTTTCGACTGAAACGGCGGCGGCCCGACGTTGAGAGGCAGACTCATCATAAAGGGGAGGTTCGTGACGGAAGGCATCAGCAGCCAAAAGGGATCGTCGGAGCCCATCTGCTCCTGGCTGTCGACCATATTGTGGGGCGGCGGGTTCTCTTCGTCAATGAGCTCCGTGGCCAGGTTCAGAAACACGGAGCGCCGATTCCCAGTCATCTCTTCAAGACCGAGAAGGTCAATCGATATTCGCGCGATGGCCAGCGTCTTCCGGTGCCGAATCCGCTCCGCATCATCGACGTTTATCTGTACCGTGCCCTCAATCGAACCGCCTCCTACGAATATGCCGGCGGAGAGGTCGAGCCCGAGGTGGACGCGCGGATGTCGATGGGTAGGGAACTCTAATAGCTCGTTGGAGAGAGGCTCGCGGATAAATGTTCGGGAGGGTACGCGGCGGTGGGTATCGTGGGAGATGGGATCGAGCTTCGCGGCAACATGGCGCAGTGGAGACTGAGACTGGCCGCGGCGCGGGATGGTATTACCGGCCCCGCGAGGTGGAGGCGCGGGTATGGAAGGAACAGTGTGTAATGAAGGCGGCGCTGGAACACGCTGCGTAATGGGTATCGGTGGTATGGGCGGAGGCTGCCGTGTTCGCGAGGCACTGCGTGCTCGAGCTCGGGAGGATGAGCGGGGAGGCACGCTGCCGGGCGGAATGCTGTATATACTGCAATTGCTATGGTCTGCAGGACTTGATGGTGATGGTGTTCTAGAGGGCCGCCCTCGGTGCGCAGATCTACCGCCGTTGCTATCCATGCTGATCTTCCTGTCGGGCTCGCGGTTCTCCGCGACTCGAGTGTCCATGCTGGGACGGTGCGATGCGATCGACGGCCTGCGCGACATTTCTGTGCGCGACGCGCTCCACGGGACATGGTTCTCGGAAAACAGCCTCTGCGGTACCGTGTCCGCCAGGCTTGGTTCGGTGATCTCACGAATGTCTGACAGAGGACGGTTCTTCGCCCAGGACGGGACGTTGCTGGAGTGGCCTCTGGGTTCTCCAAAGGTGCTAGCCACCATGCCTCCGCAGCCGACTGCTTCAGATCCAGGGGATGCAACGTATGCCGAGCCGCCCGTTCTGTCCAGTGAGGGGCGCGCCTCGGATGGGGGTCCTTTTCCAGGCGGCGGCTGCGAGTGTCCTGATCCCTTCAGCATCCGCCCCGCGAGATCGGTCAAGGTCAAGGGCATACCGTCAGCTGCGCTGCTCTGTGTGGCGTCCAGGATATCGGGAACGACGCCGCGAAAGACGGAATGAGCACGAAGCTGGCGAGTGACGATGAGATGCTGACCGAGTGATTGATGTTGGTGCGGGATCCGTTACTGCTGGAATCAGTGAGAAAGTCATGTGAGACTATGTCGATGCTCGATATCCAAGGTGAGTCGATGAAGGTCGCCTGCGTTGGAGCACGGTAGCGGTGCGGTGTCGAGCCAGCCATCTGGTGGGAGCAGCGCTGGAAGGCGGGGAGGGCCCGCCGCTCTTTCCTCGATGGGCTCCCCGTACACATCGAGAAGAGGACTGCAAGAACGAAACGCAACGAGAAGACTGGTGTGAATGGAGCTCATTGATTGATTGGTATACCTACTGTGTGGTGCTATCAAACCGCACGACTTACCTCGCATCCTCACCTTTAGAGCACGGGATTCCACTGAGCGCTCAAGCAGATCCAGCCTGCCGTCAGAATAGCATTCCACGATGCCTTCACCACCTCACCGACGCGGCCAAACGCGGAGTGCCGTCATGTGCAGATTCTGGTCGGCGACCTCGTCGGGCCGCGGCATGCTGTCGAGTGCCGCAATGCGATCCAGATGTTCTATTGTTGGGACGGAGAAACGCGTGACCTCGGCTCATCCGCGCTAGTACCGTATAGGTCAACCAAGAACACGCCCTGCATATCGCCAATCACAGCGGTATTGTCCGATCTCTTGCCAGCGACGCTGGCCAGCAATCGCTCTTCTGCAGATAACGCCGTCCCCGCCGCTGCTGCGGCGCTCGACGACGTGGCCAGCTGCTCCGGGCAATCCGCTGCGCGAACATGCCGATTTTCGAAGGCCGCTCCATCGGGCACCTCCGAAGGCACCCCGGATTGCCGTTTCGGTGGGTTCGCGAATGAACGGACGTGTGGGCCCGGCAATGCGGCGCTGGCGTCTCCAGGCGAGAACACGCCAAGGCTGTAATTGATTGCAATCTGGTCAAGCATCCCCGCATGCAGAGCTGCAGAGGCGTCGTCCAAAGCGCGGCGGATATAGGATCGCGGGAAGCTGTCTGCAGGCATCGTTGCGAAGACCGGCCGGAAAAGCAACCACCAACGTCACCGTCCCCCCATCGCTATCTTGATCTGGAGAGGGATCCGGATAAAATCTCACCTGCATGCGATATCAGATCAACTCCGCCCTGCGCCGTCAGCCTTACCGCGGGGAGCCAGTGACTTCATGGCGCCGGTCCACGTCTCGCGGCGCGTGGCTCTGGTTGCATACAGTGCGCCGGATCACGCTCCGAGGTCGGGGTCGCGTTTCGGCGTCGCGTGAAGGCTCGTGTCCGGCAGCAACGGCGGTGCGGTGTGCTGGAGGCGCGCATGCAGAGTCGAGGGAACGGGCGCTGTTGCGCAATTCTCGAGCAGGATGCTGCTATTAAAGAGGGCGTGCTGCGTCGTGCTCTGCGCAGGGCAGGGCAGGGCAGGCTCCATGGAGATGCCGGAGATGCAGCATCAGGACTCGCGGTGGCGCGGGAGCTAGGCGCGCTCGAGCAGCGCGCTAGGCCGCATGCGGGGAAGCGATCCAGCAGGCGGGCGCGAGGGGCGCACGCCGGTCCTCTCCACGGTTCTTCGCGAGGACGTGCCAGCTTCGGCGTCGCTCAGCAGAGCACAACCACGACGCCGCGCTGCGCCGCCCGTCCAGTCGAAGCGCTGCCTGCCGCCAATGCAACGTGGGCACCCCAGGAAAATTTGAGGAGCCGGCCAAACAGCCCCTCCGCACGCCTCGCCTGCCCGCCTGTCATTTGCCTGCCCGCCAGCGGCCTGGGGGCGTCCGCAGCCTTTAAGCACTCGAGCACTCTCTGCCCAGCAAGCACGCACTTCTAGTCTAGCCCGTGACGCAGCCGTGGCCCGTCCGCCTTTGAAATCTCAAGCACCGCCGCCTCTCCGTCTGCTCCCTCCGTTTCCATTACCCAAAGGCTTACCTCACAAGTACTGCGCAACCACACACAGCTCCCGCGCGCTCTCGTTATCAGACATTATCAAACCCGCCCACACACGCACTCCTCCGTCCGACCCGGCGCTGCGGCCGCCCTCCCAGCGCGCGCTTAGCCGCCCAGAGCCTCCATCGGCCTTCCTGTCCAGCTCCCGTCGCGTCTATCGTCGCCGCTTGGCGCCCGGTGCCCCTCTATCTCGTCGGAGGGGCACGCTGCCCGCAGATGGGAGATAGTAGCGTAACAGAAATGACGGCGCCCGTGGGCAAGACGGAGCCCGCGCGCGATGGTTCGACGTCCTCTATCGGATCCTCGCCCGAGCCCGAGACCCAGACATATACCCAGGAGAACCCGCAGCAGCAGAAGCGAAAGGGCGGGCGCAAACCTGTGAGCACCCCATTGCACGCTGCCCGCCATGCCCGCAGCGCTGGCACAATCAGTCACCATGTCAAAGATAGGACTAACCAAGCGCCGTAAGATATACGCAACCTCGGAGGAGCGCAAGCAGCGCAACCGCCAGGCCCAGGCCGCCTTCCGCGAGCGACGCACAGAGTACATCAAGCAGCTGGAGAGCACCATCAAGCACCACGAGGAGACGCTGCAGAACCTGCAGAACAGTCACCGCAATGCCGCCGACGAATGCCTCATGCTCCGCTACAAGAATTCGCTTCTGGAGAGAATCTTGCTCGAGAAAGGTACCGCCGATGTCCCCTCGCAAAGCGATGCGCTAACAGCATGCTCCACAGGCATTGACGTCCAGGCCGAGCTGCGCGCAAAGACTGGCAGTCCCAACCTAGGCCCGACACGGGCCCCGGCTTCTGCAAACACCTCCCCGAACCAACCGCCCCTCCAGCAGCGCGCGATGATGAATAGACAGCAGCAGAGACGGTCGCTAGGAGGCCCGCCCAAGGCTGAAGGTCCGCATGGTTTGCCCATGATACAACCTGATGGTGCAATCCCAAACCGTTCACCAATGTCGCAGCCCACTCCCGGCTCGCACCTGTCGTCCCCATCCACCACGGCGACGCGCTCGCCCAACTTCATCCCGCAGGGCACCTCGGTGTCGCCCAACTTCGGGCCCATGGCTGGCCAGCAGCAGCAGCACTTGCGGCCGCAGCCGCCTAGGTCGCAGTTCACCCCGATGATGGGCCCGCAGCGGCCGTCCCTGATCACAAACCAGCCGCCGTCGAACGGCATATCGAGCGCCTCCACCGTTGGTAGCGGCGCGAGTGTAATGACGCAGAGCAGCACAAGCGGCGGCCCCACGTCGTACTACTCGACTCCGTTCACGGACCACATGAACCAACTCGGCAAGCTGTCCCGTTCCCTTTCGTCCCTTAGGTATAGAGCTTTGTTCGTCCTAGGCTGATTCTGTGTTATAGAGCAGGAGTACGATGAGCAAGCCGACATGCTCGACGACGAGCCGAGCGACCAATCCGCCGGGCCTGGCCCATTCCCGCAAAACTTCCCGCCGCCGAACGCGATGCAGTCGCAGAGCATGCAGCCGCCAATGCCGCCGGCGCAGAACCCGCCATTTACGAGCCCGGCCGCGCTGGCCCCGAACGATGGAGGCAATGTGTTCAACGGGATGAACCACCTCTTCGATCCGTACGATCCGATGCTCGATGCTGACCCATTTGGGCTGTCAGCCAGCATGCACTTCCCGACGATGTACGAATCGAGATGATGCAGGTGAGGGATGCAATGTGCAAAGAGACGAGGATTCAAGAATATTTTTTCGATACCAGAACCCTTTCGACCAAGATGTGTTTAATGTCGTTCAGCGGGCGCCAGGGCGGATTTGTCTCTGGCATGGTTTAGGCTACGATCAAACGGCGTTTCGACCAGGACGAGGAACTGCTCCATCAATGTGGGATTTATCAAGGGCGGCATACTCAAAAGTTCATTTTTATCACGACATGAGCGGAGGTATTCAAGCGGAATGTGGCTACCGACGGCTACGGATTCAGTGTTCGATATTGGCGGCGACGGCTACGGATTCAATATTCGATATTGGCGGCGACGCTCTGGCCCTGTCCATTTGGAGACCCAGCGTCAGCCTTGTAAATACTTAGAGGAATCGACGCTCAACGCCCAGACGAGGTCGTAGCATTCAACAGCCTCGTTGCCAATGAGATGATGTGAGGTCAATGCCAAGCGTCGCATGATCACATACCTGGATAGGCGGGGAAGAGGAAATAGTGATGAAGCCTAAGCGAATATTATCCAATAAGCCCAATAGACAATTTGACTCTCTGATGCTCCAGACTGCTCTCTTAGTATCATTATGGGCACAGACCTCTGTATTGCACACGTCTCCGTCAACCACGGCTCGCTTCGACCACTTTACCTGGGGCTTTTTTCACGAGTAACCTTCGAGATTTGTCGCGAGAGGGTGCGCGAGGGCGAGGAAGAATCGAGAAAGGGAGTGAATGCGTATTTGCCTACCTTGATGGAGCCTACATAGGTAGGTACGGGGTAAATCGCAGAGGCGTGAAGGTTGTGTGTTGTGGCTTGGGGCTTGCATGAAGGGAAGCGTAGGCGAGCCCAGGAGCAGACATCCGGGCGTCACCAGACTTCGATTCCATGTTGCGGCATCTGGTCCCCAAGTTCTCCAGCAGACCATCTGAAGGCTGTCTCAAACGTGCCACCGTATACGCACTGTGCGACTAGCATCGAACACTCAGGCGTCATTCTGCCCTTTGTCCAATACTGCAGAGCACAGACTCTTGGCTACTTGACTAAGCGAACGTTTCCGAATCCACAAACCAAAAATCCCCGTCGGCACCTCACCCCAACGTCAACCAACCCCGACGCCTGAGGACAGCACACATCCGAGAGCCGCGACCCTCTTTCTGCAGGGCCAGCTCTCACTTCAGCACTTAAAACCCAGCAGATTGCGCGTCTAGAAGGGAAAGCGCGAAAGGCGCTTTAATCCTACTCGACATGTCGTCAATCGCTTCCAAGGTAAGCTCCCCTCACGTCACAGCGCCCGCTCCAGCTGCGCGACCCATTGCGGAATGCATTTTTCCTCGTAATCAATTGTATGGGCTGAGAGGCTAACACTTTGCCAGAACCTGTTCGAGTTGCTCGGTACGTCGAGGACACATTGACACTTTCATGAGACGTCACCTTACGAACCCCGCAGGCAACGACCCAGAACTCGACCCCGACCGCGAGCCGGAGCCGCCAACGAAGGCGATCGACAAGCCGACCGCGAGGTCTGGCAAGCGCAATGCTCCGGCCGAACCCCCAGCGAGAACTAGTGGCGGCCCCGCTCGCGGTGGCCCCAAGGATTCTGGCAATGCCAACGACAACTGTATGTCTGACTCGAGCCAGCAGCACTGAGCGCATTGTGGAAGAGGCGCACAGCTCAGCACGAGGTGGATTGCGTGACAGATGGCTAACTAATAGGGCATAGACCTCCGAGATCGTGGTGTAGGGTCCGACAAGAACCGCAGCAGGGCTGCCCCGGGTGGTGAGCAGGCCTCCATCTGTTCCTCTGCACCAGCTAACCCAACCAGATGCTACCGGTGAACCGTACCGTGGTAGCCGTCCGCGTCGCGGCGTCCGTGGTGGTCGAGGCGGCCGCGCTGCCATGGAGGGCGACCGTCACAGCAGGACCGGCATCGCGTACGAAATTCCACTTGCTCCTTATTTTAACCACATCTAACGCCGTCCAGTGAACATGACAAGCAGGCTGCTCACGGGTGGGGTGCCCCCGAAGGCCCGGCCGAGCTGGCCGATGAAGAGGCCGGTGAAGCCATCGCCAAGCAGGACGAAAAAGAGGCCGCTGCCGACGCTGCCCCCGAGAACGCCGAAGGCGAGGCAGCTCCCGAGCCCGAGGACAAGACCAAGTCCTACGCCGCCTACCTTGCCGAGCAGGCCGAGAAGAAGCTGTCGCTCGCCGCCCAGAATGTGCGCAAAGCCAACGAGGGCAGCAAGCAGAAGTTCCCCGAGGGCACCCCTCTTTCCCGCGAGGAAGAAGAGGCTGCTTACATTGCTGGATCCGGAGGCAAGGCCAAGCGCCAGCGTGAGCGCAAAGAGAAGAACCTTGTCGAGCTCGACGGAGACCGCATGCTCGCGCAGCCTCCACGCGAGGGAGGCTTCCGTGGACGCGGCCGCGGCCGTGGCGAATTCCGAGGCGGCGAGGGTCGTGGTCGTGGTGGACGCGGCCGCGGAGAGGGTCGTGGAGAGGGTCGTGGACGTGGCGGTCGTGGTGGTGGGCAGTCCGGCCCCAACCTCTCCGACACCAGCGCTTTCCCCAGCCTGGGCTCATAGCCCTTTCGACTGCGCGTCGACACACGCACACATCTTGCGATGATTGTGCCTACCTACACGGTGAACCATTGTGATCAGTGGATAGTGAGCTAAGTGGATGGGTGGATGCGGGAGCGGGGCGAAAAGCAATATAGGATCTCCAAATGGGATTGGGTGGCGGGCAAAATCACCTTTGAGATGTTTTTATGCAAAGAGCTCTTTTCAAGTTGCGAGTGACTCCCTTATTCTCGATCCCCGGGCCTGGTCTCCTTTCAAGGCTCTCTCCGGCTTTCCTTTAAATAATGCAAAATTTGTGGATTTCGACGTGGATACGTGCTCGAGTGCGGACATGTGTGCATCTCATAATCATCACCTTCTGAAGCAACCTCGATACTCAAGAGCAGGCATCGAACGCGACTATCATCAATTAAAAATGGTTGTGCCTATGTCATGAACCAAATGGATCTCGTCAAACGCCTCGCTATGCCGAAGAAAAATGGAAGAAAAGTGCTCAACCCCAAGCTCCGGCGAGGCTAAGTATATGATAGAAAATGCACAAATCCCCACCCATCAAACGCCCTCGTTTCCTTCCCCTTCTTCTATCGTCGATATCCCCGAATACTCCCAAATAGCTCATATACGGATATCGGTCAAACGGTGCTGCTGAAGTACGCCTCGTTACCGCCCGCGCGGCGTACATCACCCTCATGATCGTGATTCGATCAGTCGTACTGCGCTTATTGCGCAGATAGCAGATTCTCCTTGCAGGTGTTGCAGACCAGCAGCCCGCACGACCGACACTCGTAAGCAAAGCTGAAGGGTGAGATGTCTGAAGCGAGCGAAAGTGGCTTCTTCTGGGCCGGAGCTGGTGGAGGAGTATCCGCGGCGCCGTCGAGGTCCATGCGGGATTGCAGTGCGTCTAGGACGTCTTGCTGGTCGTCAGAAGGTATAGTCAGGCGGGTGGTCATGAAGTCCTTCACCCATTCCGGCTTCTCGAATTCATCTTCGTCGGCAAACTGCAAAGTGGGAACGTCTATCGAGGCACGGCGCTGGTCGTCATGCTTCTCAGTCGTGGTAATAACTCGGCCGTAGGTATCTATGAGTGTCTCACTGTCTAGATCGTCCTCTTCCGGACGGTCGCAAGTGTACTCTACGCCGTCCATCGGCTCTGTAGCCGGAAGACCCTGAGACTGAAATGGGAGCTGAGGCGCAGAGTTGGGGAGGCTGCCAAATATTGGGAAACGAATATCGTGTGCTGGAAGATGGCCCCGGCGCCGAGTGCGGGTTATGCCCCGCGTGCCTATTCGCGCACGAGAAGCGTCTGCAGAGACCGTCCTGGATCCGCCGGTATTGATACTCTTGGGCATCTCAATCTCAGGGTGCACTGTGTGCCAGCACTTCATGCATTCCATGTTTGAGGCTGAAGGAACGTTGCGTAGCGAGTCTTCAAGGCTAACCTTAGCTGTCTTGAATTCATGCACGCAGTCCCAAGCGCGGTCCTGGATGTCATCTGTCGGCTCCTGGCCAAAGTCAAGATCCTGCTCTTCCCAGAAGCGGCCGGATCCTCCATCCAGATTCCTTGGGCGTGGACTTGGCTGTGGAGACGGTGGTGGCGGATTGGATGCTCCTTCCGCAGGCTCTCCCGTCCCCGCATCTCTAGTAGCAGCATCTTGAGTAGCTCCATCTCCGGCAGCCGCAGGCGCGTCCGCATCGCCGGCGTCCGCGGCTCGGGCTTCTTCCTCCTCCGTATCAGGCTCTTCTTCGCTGTCGTATTCCTCGTCATCATCATAGCATCCGCCATCGCAATCGTCCCGGCTCTTAAGGCATACCCAGCAGAAGTGTGCTCCGCATCTACACTCCATGTGATTACAGCCAAACATGCGCTTGACGCCGTTTCCGCACTTCGGGCACCGCTTATATCCCCAGCTTTTGAGCAGCTCTGCGGTCTCCTTATCAATTCCGAATTCCAGCGATCTGCATGTGCTATCAGGATGAGCGAAATCCCTACAATTCGAACAAATTTCAACCTCGCACTTCGGGCAGGCAATTACTGGCGAAGTCGGCGTACCAATACCGGAGTCGACGCGCTGTTTGCCCCTTTGGTTCCTAACATACGGGCACAAGGTTAGCATAGCTCTCAAAGTGTGTAGGGTCTTGAGTCAGTGTCTCAGCCAGGTGCTCGCCGTAGTGCGGAACGCCCCTCGTGGGGCGCTTCAAACAACAGCACACGCTTCGGCAGAGGCACAGACTTTGTAGCGGGGCCTTAGCTTACGTCTTGGTCTGTGAGAGGAATCTGCTCGGTATAAACGCAGAGCATGTCGGAACAGGGCAATAGAACGGTTTCGGCGTGCTCCATTCCTCGTACTTCGCCCTGAATAGAGCAGTCTCCTCGTTTGTCAAATGTGGGCGCGCATGGTGCAGGGGAAGCTGATTGCAGCATCGTGGTGGCATGCGGGTCATGTCATTGCAGGCGTCGATAAACATCTTTTTCAGGCAGGCCGCGCAGAACGCGTTTCCACACCGGCATGGTTTGAGAGCAGTGTGCTCCTTGTCCTTGGGAAACGGCGTGCAGCAAATCAGGCAATTGAGAGTCGTCTCCAACGCCGGAGGCGGAGGCGGAGGTGGAGGGGGAGGCAGCGTATCGGCAGGGGGAAATACAGGCGCGGGCGGAGGACGATGTACAGCGAGCGGATCGGGGAGCTCCGCCAGGGAAACGTTATCTCCTTCGTCAGACGGTTGAGCCGGTTGTGGAGCATCCATCATCTCGACGTCGGCCGTGTGCGCAGTGCGGTTGTCGAGTTGGGTGGAGGAAGTCGCAGCGTCGACGGGCGCGTCATTCAATAGCGGGTCACCGCGAGTTACTTGCGGAAGGCGCTGGTCTTGGCAAGGCCTGGTCTGTTGTGCTTCGTGATGGGAAGGCGCCGGTGGTGAGGCGGTTGCCTTGTGCACGTGCGGCCGCCGCACAGCCTTGGAAAGCTTGGAGCCCATGGTGAAGGAGGAATGAAAGTAGCGATGCTGGTTGCAAATGTGTTCTTCAAAGTATAAATAGAGGATATATGAGTGGCTGGGGGAGATCCCATTGAGTCAAACGTTAGGCGGTTGAGTCAAGATGGAGCAAGCTACCGCGGCGAGACATGTGTCTGCCTGCAGGCAGCCTTGGGGCGTCGACCATCATTGGCTCTTGTAATACGGCGTACAGTTACCCCACAATTATTTCCCGAAAGCCGGCATACGGTCGTTGAGAAATGTCAAACAATGGATATGGGTCCAGCATTAACGTCGTCGGGTTGGCCAATTGAGCTGCTGATGGAGGCTGAGCCATGGATGAGTCGCAGTACTTCACTCGACAGTGAGTAGAGATATACGAGAATTGCCTAGACTGGAAAGATATCTCGCCCTTCGCCCTTTTCCATCTCTGAATGATGCCAGACATGGCGGTTGGAGTCATCGAACGTCGGACTTTGGCGTGGTCCGTGGTCGGAGCCATCCCGATACAGCTAGCCCCGGAAACGAACCTCGACGTCAGACGTCCTGGGACTAGAAACCAGTCACAATCTCTCTTCTACCTTTGAGACTATCGTACTATCGTCAAAACACTGATCTGCCTGCGCTGCACAACAAGTGGGGATGCGAATCGGAAATAGCTGAGCGTATCTAGTGTCCCTCGCGAATCTTCATCATGGTCATCCAGTCCGTCCGGCTCTCTTCGAACACCAGGCTATCCCTGCTCACGGACGAAGGCATCAATCACCAGAGATCTGCGCATGAAGACGGTCCGAAACTTCCAGACGTTGGACTTCGTTTTTCTCCCTGTGCGCCGTCGCGAACCGCGTGTTTTGGACCCTGAATGGGCGTGACGCGCCAAGCGTCGTGGATCTTGCACGCGGGACGATCACTTGGCCCAGACTAATGACGTATGCCTGCAGCACATCGTCACCAGCCACAATACCTGTTGATCGAGGATGAGATCACCGCTGTGTTTGCAGTGTATATATTCGCCGCCCGATGCGGTCTGGTTGTCATGATTGATTATTTGCGCTGCCTCACCGTATTCACATTTTCGATATCAGAACATCAGATACCCACGCCGAACTTCCACATAATTTCTGTCTCGAGTATATCGAAATGCCAGACCAGAACAAGAACCAGAAGACCTACAAGCAGCAGGCGTCCGAGTACTACAACCGGCAGTACGAGAGCTGGATGCCATGGGTTGAAGACCAGTATCTGAAATGGTTCACGAAAGACAACAAAACGTCGTATGCCACCAAGCGTAGGTCTTCTTCTTCCCCCTCCCCTTTCGCTCTTCAGCCTTTACTTATGGACCTCAACAGAACAACTCGAGAAGACGAAGGTCACCGGCGTAGATCAAGTCGATAACCTCCAAGACGGCGTCAACAACCTCGTCAGCGGCCAAGTAGGCAAGGGCGGGCTCGCTCAGCCCATCGGCGACCTGGCTTCGAAGGAGGGCGTCAACCGCGCCGAGCGAGGCGGCAAGGACGAGCAGGGACGACCGGTCGAGAGCCAAGGCCCACTTGGCGGGTACGGACAGGGCGCAGTCGATGGCGTGAAGGGCGCCGGCAGCGGCGTGGCTGGCGGTGCGAAGAATGCCGGCGGTTGGGTTGGAGGGCTTTGGGGTGGGAAGAAGGGCGAGGAGCCCGGTGACAAGAAATAGACGGGCTGAAGAGAAGGGGAAGAGAAGTGGGAGAGAAGGGAGGATGATGTATGATGACTCATGATACCAGGGCATGGATTGCCCATCGGCTTAGATTGGATGTTGTTGATTGCATGCTTGGGTTCTGAATTGTATAGGGATATCTAAATGGATCTAATGCCGTTTCTCAAAGCCCCCCCAGTTGCATAGAATTGTTCGAAGTGCGTTTGCAACGAGAGATGATCGACTGTCCAAGTGCCTACACACACCATGGCTCTCATTTGCCGGCCCTACGTCCGTTGCGAGTAGAGCTGTATCGCTCGACGTGCCTGATCCGCAACAGGTCGCGGTTTTGTGTAGCCTGCAGGACTCCCTCTACAATCATCGTGTCGGTGATTGGCCGGTTTGGCGCTGGGATCAGCATGGTTCGGAAAGCGCACCTCGCACCTCCCCCGAGCGCAACTCCCGCCGCTCACACCATGCATCCTCCACCACGGCCTTGCAGCGTTGCCCCGCCATGTCAGGCCGACGCGTACGGCTACTTAGACCTTTAAAAGCTGCGCCGTTATGAACCTTCAGTTGAAGCTCCTTTGCTATCGACACTTCTTTCCTCACTGAAAGCACAAGCCAGCCGTCCGAAACACCTCGAGAGATTTCCGAAGAGAACCATTGTCGATCAAGATGGCCTCGAACGGAGCTGTTGACAGCAAAACACACAAGTTCAACCCGCACTTCACGCAAGCTGTCATCAATGCCACGGGTCCGAAAGCTTCGCCTCGGGTGCGCCAGCTCACGACGAGCTTGATCCGCCATCTGCACGACTTTGCGCGCGAGAATGAGCTCACGGTGGACGAATGGATGGCTGGGGTGGAGCTGGTATACCCCGTGGAGCTCTCTGTGCTCCGTGCGCACGTCTGACAGCGGAACAGATGAATGAAGCCGGCCGCATGTCCGACGACCGCCGCAACGAAGGCCAGCTCGTCTGCGACATCTTCGGCCTCGAATCGCTCGTCGACGAGATCACCTACAAGCTCGCGTCCGATGCCGCCGACGAACCCACCGCGACCGCCATCCTCGGCCCCTTCTGGCGGAAGGAAGCACCGCTGAAGAGCATGGGTGACACCATCGTCTCGGGCTTCGATGACAAGGGAGACAGGACGTGGATGCATGGCACCGTCACAGACTTCTTGACCGGGAAACCGATCGAGGGCGCGGTGTTGGACGTCTGGCACACAGCGCCGAACGGCCTGTACGAGCAGCAGGACCCAGATCAGCCAGACATGAACTTGAGGGGCAGGTTCACGACTGGGAAAGACGGAAAGTACAATTTCTACTGCTTGAGGCCGGTCCCGTATCCGATCCCGTACGATGGACCAGCGGGCAAGATCCTGCAGGCGCTAGATAGGCATCCGTATCGCCCGGCGCATATACATTTCATCGTGAGTCTCTCAATACTCAATCCGCCTTTTGCATAGGCTAACAGCTCCTCCACAGCTCACAGCGCCGGGCTACAAGCCCATCATCACGCAGATCTTTGACCGGAACAGCAAGTACATTGAGGATGACGCGGTGTTCGCTGTCAAAGACTCGCTCATCGTCGACTTCAAGCCGTTCCAGGGCGACCCGAAAGCCGATTTCGAACTACCATACGATTTCAAGCTGGCGACGTTTGAGGATGCCAAGAAGCATTCGGTCGCAGGCACAACTGAGGAGAGTGCAGCTTAATTCCACCTCGAAGGCCTAGGGCACCAATCTGAGTCAGATATGAGGCAGGCCTTGACCGCGGTGCGAGGCCGATCCTCGAAAAGTAGTTTAGCGATTTGAGGTTTAAAAGTCTCACACAGATTTTAGCGGTCAGCCAGTTCCCTTTTCCGATATTTCGTGTCACCAAGAATCACGGCGGATATTCCGCCCTCATTACTAAGTTAGGCCCAAACCAATCTTGCTTTATCTCCGGGCTACTAGTCTATCCCTCCTCCGAGCACCGGCAGCTCCCCGCATCTTACCTAATCCCCCCTCATCCGCTTACCGCCGGTACATGGTGCAGTTACCGCGGCTTCCATCAATGCAACCCTAGTGTTCTACGCCCTATGCCGTTCCTGATTCGTATCGAATTTCCATTCGATCTCTCCGCTGACGCCAACAACTTATCATTGCCATTGCTTCCCTGGTCAACTCTGTGTATACATAAAGTGCGGCTCCGTATAACGAGGGGTACGCTGACATTGTGCGGCACAGTCTTCGACCGATTGCTGTCATCTTCATAGAGATTAGGCTTTCCCGACTCTCTTGTTGAGTTCGGGACAATTGGGTTGGAAATTGTGTCTAGAGACAACCTCAAGTCTGGAATAAGTGTACGATACCGTGGCGGTAGGGATGGCTGCATCGATTGCTTTCCCTATCGACGAGGATCATACGCCACTGACAAACTTCAGAGATCAACGGCCCAGAGTTGTATTATTTCAACCTTCCTGCCTGCGCTAGCATTCGTCCTGTATCCGGCATTAGAAAGAGATAAACCTGGATAGAAGAATCGGCAAGATGTCCAAGATTACGCTGGGTCGGTACATGTGGGAGAGGTACACACTCAAGGCGTCAATCGTCTTTGCAAGAGAATTATCTGACTGAGCTTTTGTAGGCTACGTCAGATCGGCGTTGAAACGATATTCGTATGTGATCCTCAAACGAGACGCCACTGACCTTCGATTGTACATAGATGCGCTGACACGGCCTGAAGGGCGTCCCAGGGGACTTCAATCTCCAGTTCCTGGATTCGATATTCCAAGTTGAGGGTTTGAAATGGGGTATGCACACAACCTGTCTAGGTGCGAGGATAGAGACTGACGCGCTGCAGTCGGCAATCAGAATGAATTGAATGCTGCGTATGCGGCTGATGGTTATGCCAGGATTAAGGGGTTACCCGGGTGCTGTGAGTTCCACGGCTTTCAGTTTTTGGGCTCTAGCTAACGTTCATAATCTTAGTCGTTACCACACACGGCGTCGGTATGTCCTCCGCTCTCACCTAGGAAGGCAGCTGGCTTACTCCCGATGAAGGCGAACTCAGCGCCCTGAACGGCGTCGCAGGCGCCATGTGTGAACGCGTAAAAATGATCCATATCGTTGGACAAACAACCCGTGCAATGCAAAGCAACCACATGATGATCCACCACTCCATCGGATCAAAACCAGACCACCAGGTACCTCCTCCTTCTCCCTGCCCGTCTTCTCTTCCTCCTTCTCTCCATCAACCGATGCACTAACCCTCCCATAGCAATATAACAAAGCCTCTGTGCCCCTCCGTTTTGCCGCTGCCGAACTCTGGGATATCAAGACCGCACCTGCGGAAATTGACAGAGTGATCCGCGAATGCTTCGTCCAGTCCGGGCCAGTCTACATCTTCATACCGCTCGATCTCTCCGCTGAAGAAGTCCCCTCCTCCCTCCTCGACACCCCCCTCGACATCTCTCCCACCGTCGACCCCGCCACCCAAGAAGCCGCCGTAAAAGCCATCACCCAGGCGCTTGCAGACTCTAAGCATCCAATCCTCCTCGTCGACGCGCTCGTCAAGCGCTTCAACGCCGCGCCCGAGGCCCGCGAACTCGTCCGTAAACTCAACGTCCCATTTTTCTGCGCCAACATGGGCAAAGCCGTCGTCGACGAGACGGAGGAAATGTACGTCGGGGTTTGGAATGGGGAGATTAGCACCCCTGGCGTGAAGGAAGAGGCGAAGAAGGCGGATCTTGTGGTTACACTGGGGTATGTGCCTGCAGACACGAATTCGGCGAGTTTTTCGAGGAAGTTGGATGAGGGAATGGCAGTGCATATTAATCCGTTTGATGTCGTGGTATGTATTCCCACCCTCGTGTCAAACCATGTCTAACTGATAGGGTCCACAGATCAAAGGAACGCACTACCCCAACACGTCCATCAAGTCGCTCCTTGCCACCCTCGCCAAAGCCCTGCCATCCACGCCGCAGCACACAATTCCGAAGCCACAACTGCCGCCTCCGCGGGTGCCGAAAGATAAGGATGCTAAGCACATCACGCAATCTCACCTCTGGCCGCAGTTCACATCCTTCCTCCGCCCGGGCGATATCCTCGTCGGCGAAACCGGCACCACCGTGTTCGGACTCTGTGACATCACGTTCCCTTCCGACATCCGCTTCGAGGCGCAAATTTACTATGGAAGTATTGGGTGGGCGACGCCGGCGACGCTGGGTATTGAAATAGCCCGGCAAGAGCTGGAACGGAAGGTGAACGGGGACGGGACGAACGGGGTCAATGGGGAGAAGAAAGAGGGGAGGACAGTGTTAGTGACGGGCGATGGAAGCATGGCGCTGACGATTCAAGAAGTGGGAACCATGATCAAGGCGGGGTTGAAGGTGGTAGTTTTCGTGATCAACAATGAGGGATATACGGTGGAGAGGATGATCTGGGGTGCGCAGCAAAGTAAGTCTTCCCTGCTCTAGTCTACCTACTATGCCCATCCTACTAACACTCCTCTGCAGCATACAACGACATTGTCCCAACCTCCTATCAACACCTGCTCCCGCTCTACCAGCACCCCTCCCCGTCCACCTCCTTCCACCTTGCCACCACCAAAACCGAGCTCGCCGCCATCTTGGCGAAGCCAGAGCTCGCGGACCCGCCGCACTTGCAGCTCGTTGAAGTTGTCGTGGACAAGATGGATACGGCGTGGCGGCTGGCGAGTCAGTTGGCGTATCGCGGCGGCGAGAAGCATAGGGAGTATATGGCAAAGGAGGGGTTTGTGGATACGTATGGGAATTGGGGGTTGGATAGCGTAACGGAGACTGGGGGCGTGAAATGGCATTGATCAAGATAGAAGGTGAGGGATTGCGTGACCGTAGAGAAGAAGGGGTGAGTAGGTAGTTTGGGGGGGGTTCTGGATTGTGAATACACAGGCGAAAAGTAGACAACTAATATCTTCCCTTTTCGCAAAGACTTATACGAATCGTGAGTGGAAGTGCTGTGCAGAGACCGTGTGTGTGCAGCTGGAGCTGTGGAGAGAGTGGCAAGGAGCCCCAGACCCGTATCCAGCCATTGAAGCTGTTTAGAATGACAGAAATAGACTACAGACGAGAAAAATAGAGTCGCATGGCATTGTTGTAGACGTTTGTTGCAAGCATCGATATGCCGTGTCGTGCGTACTCCGGTCCCCATCTATTCTGCCGTTGGACCCAGCAGGATTCCAGACGATCGGACCCCAACCGTTCCGCGATCGACGCCCCCAATTGGCATAAGCCACGGACATCTAGATAGTATTCCGGCTGGAAAAGGCAGGTGCAAGATTCGCTTGGGACTTTATCGATGGCCCACAATACCCCATTGGATCCCGAGACAGGGGGATAGATTGCGGCACATGACGTGCGCGGCCCCCAGAATATTGGTAGAACCTCATGTTTTAGGTCTCGCCAGCACAAGACTCGTTTCTCTGGTTTTGTGGGGCATAAGTCGCTGTTTTAGCAGACCTTTCCCATCTTTCATATCATTCTCTTCGTCGTTGGAAGCAGGTTCGAAAGAGCAAGCGTGCAAGTTTCGACATGAAGGCGGACGATGCGAAACAATCGCTCCTCGTCCTGGGCATTGTTATGCTCATCCCGGCGTTCATGATGTGCCTGTTCTACTGGTTCAAGATCAAGGAGCGGTTGAAGCGCGAGAAGGAAGCGAAAGACGAAGAGTCGGGGTTGAACCAGAAGCCAGAAGGACAAGCTCAGGATACTGCAGTGCCGGAAATGGAAGGGACTCCCGTTTGTGAGCTGGATCCCGGGTTGATTCAAGAAGTGGAAGGGAAAGAGATCTGCGAAGTAGACGGGCTGGCGAAGGTGGAGCTTGACGGTCGCGAGGTGGTCGAAGCCGATGGGAGGACTGGGAAATTATGCATGAGTATTGTCGGATGAGAGAAGCGACTCTATGAAAGGATAGGAGAACTTTGGGATACACGCATGGGGACATCCGCCGGATTTGATTCTGCGCTTTCGACGGCGAAGAGGGAACAAAGCCGTTTTCTTTCGAGGACTTCGCAGGTTCCATGAAGCCAACGCCGTCGCGTAAATATCGATAAAACACCCTTGGATTGAGCCGGAAAGCCTGGCGGCCTCAATCCCCGTGCGCTCCAGTCCTGAATGCCGCAGGGCTCAGACTACCTTTTCGACCACCAACAGATCATGGTATTTCTCCGGTCCCTGTCTATCGTACCTTCAGCCCGTCCACTGGATCCTTCCACTCCCGACAGAACGTGCCGATCAGGTATCGTGAGCTGAAGACAATCACCGTACAATGCGGCGTCCGATGGCATCTGCAGGGATGATGGGCATGGCTGTTCCTTTGGTGAGAGACGATGCAAGATGTTGTCCTTCGGCGGAAGCCTCAAGATCAAAGGGAATGTCTGGATAGGGCTAAGAAGATTCATTTTGTATCCTTTTCAGCGGTGGACATCGTTGGGACTCCTTAAGGCCTGCTGTGTATCGGACCCTCGCTGGATAACCGGGAAGGAGCAGCCTAAGCTTGGGCAACACTGAGGACGCGAAGCGGAAGAACGGCAAGCCTCAGGTATCGTGGGCATGTTGGAAGTCAAGTTCCGTCGAGGGAGAAAGATGAATTGGAGCAGTAAAGGCGCAAAACGTGTCCTCTTTCGGCCTAGTGCCATCGACGCCAATCTCTCCGATCGCGACGAATTAGGGGCCATCTTCAACATCATCTCTCTGGGGCTTCGGAGCAACAATGTCGGCCGGCACCACCTGGGATCATTATTCACTCTCGCTGTTGAGGGGCGTTCGCTTCTTCCCGTTGTTCCGTATGCTTTCGCCTCGTTGGCTTAAGCGCAAATAACTAGGCCCTGAGCCAGTCCTTCGCACGTTCCGGGACACATATATCGAGGCCCCGCGCCTCGGCCTCGTAAATTCTCTATATTTGCTTAATTCAGGATACATAGCGCACTCCACAGTCGCTTCCCTTCCCGGAAGCCGCCTCCTTGGTGATACAGCCTCGGACGTCAAGCAGTCATACGGCCAACGTCTTTATCCATTCTGAAGCCACAGCGGTAATGATGGTTGGCGGACTAGGTCGCTCAAAGGGTTTCTTACCCTGCGTAAAGAGCCGTAATCATCCGGCTAGCTTCAATCTGGTTGAAAAGGTTGCGTTTGGTGCAGAAAGAAGAAGAAAGTACACGACAGGTCTGCCATCAGCCTCCGAAATCGGGCTAACGGTGAACTGCAATGTGATCTGCAGCAGCCAGCATGCGGAGCCTGCACAATGGCTCGGGCAGTCTACAGCTACGAGCGCAGCATGAGGTATGATGTCAAACTCCCAGTATCAACTGGCCAGTAAGGTGGATGGAGCTGAGCTGAACATTCATGCAGCAACTGAACGACATCTGTGCTTCGGTACGGTACTGGCGTAGCCACGTCAAAGGGTTAATGCATATGGTCCAATTCTACGTTCCTAAGACGCTGGAAAAGGGCTGCTCCCAGCAGATGTTCACTTAAATGCGGTTTGACGCGGTAGTTTTCACTGAGCTGGCGCTTGAATTACAATCGCTGACCACAATGTAGACCATAGCTGCCCTGGCCGACTGTAGAGCGACCTTTCTCTTCCTAGAGGCTGAGTATGGTCTTGCAGCAGCATTGTGCATAGCTCATTCTCTCGCTACCGTGGAGAGCTTCGTGTGTTACCATGGGGCGTATTAGGCGGGCGAGGAAAATGATGTCCAGGAGATTGGGAGGGCGCTGGAAGCGGTGCGGGAAACGAGCGTACATGGCTGGAACCAGCCGTGGAAGAAAATTATCGGCCGTATGGTGAGAGCGGGTTTTCAGGACGTTCCGGAAAGCTCAACGGACCGCTGAGGGAGGGCCGGCCCTTGTGGGTCCTGAGCCTGGGCAAGCCATTCAAGGTACTGTCCCAATTCTGCCCCCGGTTGACATATCTTGGTTTCCCCACCGAGCATTTTTGCTCCTTCTTTCCCTCTGTGTGCGGCGCTCGCTCGCTCTTTCCCCTCCGACGCTCACCCCCAGTGCCCAAACAATGACGTACCTCTCTCGCCGGGCTGACTTCGCACGCTGGTAGACACCCGCCGACTGCCTCACCTCAACCAGCCACATTTACGCTGGCAGTATTGTTAATACGGCCTTCCACGGCCATGTTACCGTAGCTCTCAACCGCGTTGAATAGCTCGACTTCCAAAGAACAAGCCTGCAACGTTTGCTACGGTGTTTATATGCGGTCTCCTCTCACGTACCGGTGAAAGGACGCCCTAAACGTTCACAACACGGTGAAAGCGACCGTTCCGCACCCGCCGTTGCAAGCCGCCTGCTGCCGTCCGCAGGCCTGTCACCCGCGATCCGCATTGTCAATCGCATTGTCAATCGCATTGTGAGAATGCGTCTACCTCGACACCTCGGCGCACAAAAGCAAGCTCTGAGTGCGATATTGTCCCCACTACATAAACTTCCCCGTGTGCGCTCACGCAACAACTCAACCGACACCGACCAGCAACCCGCCGCGAAGAAGCAACGCACCCACCCCAGTCGCCCACAACAATCCTCGCCGCCCGAAATGACAGCCGACTCGCTCACCTCTGCGAGCTGGCAGCCGGTCGCCAAGGATGCCCACTACAAACGTTCGCGCGCCTACAGGATGACGAAGCCCATGCTGCGGCACCAGACACGGGCGACTTTCGTTATTGCCGCCCGCGGCGGCCGTATGGGCCTCGTGCCGACGAAGAAGACGAGGCCGCCTCTCCGCCAGCGCCGATACAGCGTGGACGTCATCACGGGGTACCAGGAGCCCACGGGCCATGCTGCCACGGAAAGAGAACTCGCTATGCTAGACGCGCCCGCCATTTACTTCGAACAGCCGCCGCTTAAGTACCATGAGACGGACGAGCCGCTTCTGCGTGAGCCTGACTTCATCCTGCCAGACCCTCGCCGCTTCCCCGACTTCAACCCGAGACGTTTCCTCTACGACGTCTATCCCAGCAACCACACATACTTTGAGGGCGAGAAGGCGTCAGTCACGAATGAGGATATCTGGACGATTCTTCAACGTACCGGGGACCACTCCTGGATGCGCGATACTATCCTGGATGTTGGTCTCGAGCTCGTCGCCCAGCGCTACGACTGTGAGCGCCGCAAGATCGCCATCGCCAACTCCATGACCGCTGGGCTGCTGTACCTCCCTGGGAAAGCAGGCGACATTGACGAGAACAACTACGCCAACTATGGCGACTACGAGGAGCAGTTCCGCGACAAGAAATACATCTTTCTCCCGCTCAATGACGGGTTCGGCGAAACAAATGGCAGCTTTACCCACGGCTTGCACTGGTCCTTCCTCGCTATTGATCGACTCAAGATGACTGCCCACTTTGTCGACTCCCTCTTGATTGATAACTACAGCCAGCAGTTTACGGCGCTGACGGTAATGAGAGGGGTTGAGAACATCCTCAACGAGAGCTACGATTTCACAATCGAGTGGAACACGCCCCACCAATGGCGGAACAACAGCTTCGCCGGAGAGGACGCCGGCCCGTGCGGGCCATTCGTTGTCAAGATGATTGACTTGTACGTCCGACACATTGCCGCATACCAGGACAACGGACAGGAGGACAATTGTACCTTGGATCTTCCCGACGACTTTCCTGAGAGGTTTGAGACTATGTTCAGCTCTTGGGACGTGCGGGTGAAGCTCATGAAGGATATTGCCAAGGCGAAGGTCAAGGCTGACTCGGCGCGGATCGAAGCATTACACAATTCGCATGCCCTGTCTGGTCTGGAAGCGGAAGTCGTTGTACTCGACGAGCCGGGGGCACCCTCCAGCCCGGCATCGACCGTCATCCAAGAGGATCCACGCGTCCCAGAAGAAGAGACCCCGGACACCGAGGAGAAACCCGCCAACGACACGCAGCCCCGTAATCGCCCATCATCTCGTCACACTTACGAAAAATGGTCAGACGACGAGACCGTCACCGGCTATGAAACCGATGACGAAGATGAGCTTGCCGAAATTAGGCTGACGCCGGAGAAATCGAGGTCGGGATCGCCCAGCAAGCAAGCGCAGGAACTCCCGCGGGCCAGGAGTATCGGCGCAGAAGTTTGAGGATACTATCGAGGTTTATGTTGAGACCGCAATGCTGTTCGGACACCGTTTGAGCGCTTGGAGGTATCGACGTTTTGGCTTTTTTGTCTTACATGCCGGGCGTTTCATCGTCCTAAACAATACCCGAGATACCGGTAGTGAGACCTGCGCATATCCAAGATTATAGAACAAGAAGAAAGTTTAAGAAGATATAATTGCCAGTGAATGATGCCAGTGAAATGCGCATATACACTTCCCTATTCGTTGCTCATCGTGTGGGGGCTGGTTTGAGGAACATGGGTACCGTGCTCGTGGGTAATTTGGAAGTGTGTGACTTGAAATAGGGAGATAAGTAATGCGAAGTCCTGTAAGTTAAGCCGTAACAAAGAGCACAGGAAGAAACGCTTTGCACCTGCGATAAGTCAGAATGGTCCCAGGCCGATGTCGCACAGCTGCTGTCGACCCCAACGCCCCAAATTCGTGCAATGTTCCACGTTGCCATTGCTATCACCTTAGAGACGTAAGCCAATGGTTGGACTAACCTGATCGGGAAGCAGAACGTGATAGCACGACGTCGAGAGTGAAGGTGCTCAGTGTCCTCCCAACCATGTGATCAGAAACGAATGATAGACGCGCAAGAACTGAGAGGCAGTGGTAGCACATATCTTACATATAAAGGAGAGCGGACCAGCGAGATGAGCAACGTCCTATCCTCACCAGCCAACGGAATCGACTTCTCAAAGCCTCATCAAGTCACCATCACTATTCCCCGTTGCCGCCATCGGCAAGACTGCAGTCCCACAATGCACTTCCCTTTCTCTATCACCGTACTCCTAGCCCTAGCCGCCATCGGCACCACCGGGCCCATCGGTAAGCGCGTACACGGTCAGTGCAGCGCCGCGGACCCACGGATCTGCATCGTTGGTGGAAAACACCATTTGTGCAGTAACGTAAGTCTGCGGTTCTATATATGCAGTTAGGTTCTTCGCTGACATGAGGTTGGTCTGAAGGGAGCGAGCTGCTTCTCCGCTTGCCGGTATGACAATCTTGGGTCTATGGTTGGACACTATACATACGTACGTGAGTTTCTTAAAATTAGTCTTCTTGTCCTTCCACGCAGAGCTTGATGATTGACCAAAGAAACGGCTAACGTGTGCGTTGGGGAAGTGCGAGTAGCTCAGCTGAATGCTTGGCTTGGATCAACTGCGGGACTGCGAGGTCGAATGGACGGAGTGGTATCTTTTCGTCGGCGTGGCTTTTTCTTGGGTTGGGAATCACTAGGAGGATGCCTCCGCATAAGTACCAGTGTGCTACGGAGGCCGGATTGTGGTACATGCGGAGTGCTGCTTGGGCATGCTAAATGGCCTTTACTGCAATGGCGTAATTGGATGGAATATGCTTAGCTCAAAAGACTTCCTTCTTAGACTCTCGACTGTATACTCCTGTGTAATTGTCCCGGGGTTCCATAACAGAGGCTGGCATCAACCGATATCTTGGTATATTGACGCGGTAGATTGACTGTGCTGACAGCTAGGTCAAGTCTTGGTAATGACAACACCAATCCAGCTTCATGGTCCCTCTCATCAGCATCAGCCGAGGTTCTCTTCCAAACACTGCCGCTGACGCATCGTATTATCCGGCCCCACAAGGGGAAAAGGAGCATAGTATACCGCCAAGCCTCTACCGCGTGATAAACCCCGCTTACATAATCCCAAGCTAAGCTCGCCCGACCTCACCTCTCACGAAGCTGCACCTTCGACCCGCGAAACCCACATCCACACCGCGACCATGGCTTCAGGATACGGATTGGCTGGCGGTACGTATACTGCATTTCGTCAATGGCACGGGCGGAGGGATTCTGGCGAGCAGGGATGGGTGGAGAGTGTGGAATGACACGGCGACGGCATCGGCGAGCGAAACGATTGCGGCGGCGAGAGACGGCGATACAGCACTAGGAGGACGGATTGCAATACCAGGCAGTACGACTGCGTGATTGAAGAACATCCGAAGCTCTTCAAATCCGACTACGACCCTCCTCGACCCCCGCGAAGCCACCGCACCACCATGGTCCTCCGCCGCTCTCCTCCCCCTGTCGGCCTCGCACGCCGTCCCCCTACATCTCCGCAGCGTACTCCCTCAAAACAGCGCTGACAACCGCCTGCACAGGACCCTCCCGCTGCTTCCCCTTCTGGCAAGAAGTCCTCGCCTGCTACGTCACAAACACCAGCGCCGAAGACGACTCGGGCAAGCGGAAATGCCAGCCCGTCCTCGAGGACTACTACGAGTGTCTGCACCACAAGAAAGAGGTGCGTTCCCTTCTCTCTAACTCCCCTAATCCCAATCCCCGTTCTCGATGCGCGTCTCTCCACCCGCGTCCGGAACATCCATCCAACGCACACACACCATGGCAGCCGGAGCCATTCGAACAGCAAGAGGAAGACGACATGTGTGTAAGATGAAAGCGGAGTGCTGATAATGACAGGCCGCGCGCACCCTCGCCCTCCAGGCCGCCTACCGCAAAGCCGAAGCAAACATCAAGCGCGACGACGCGCCCTCGGCGGGCGAAATACGGCGACTGGGCGTGCTGGATGCGCCGCTCGAGGAGAAGAATCTCAAGGCGAGCAAGTGGTTCCCACACAAGGAGATCAACTAGATGGGGTACTGTAGACGAGGATTGATGCAGGGGATGGAGAGGGGTTCTGTATACCACAAGCGATAAGCAGGGTAAGAGAAATGCGAAAGGCATGAACGACGAACGCCAGAAGGTCCTGAAATACTTGGAATTGTGCATATCGTGTGATGCTTATGCCGCGTTGAGGGTGCTTCGGCGTATAGTCCGACTGCTCCTGCTGAAGGGTTGCTCTACTCCTCTGCGTGAACACCTAGAACTAATCTCCCCATCAGCTACACCACTGCTCCCCTCATTCGTTGCCTTCCGGCATCACAGCAAGCTTAGTCACGCGGTATCACGGCATCACACCGAAGCTCAAACGGAAGCCATCCTTTCAGCATATGTTTCATTCAATAGATGCCACCTACGATACCCAGCTCTCCCTTACGAAAGCACATAAGCCGACACACGCAGCCTCCCCATCATCTAAGGCGATAAGAAACTCGTGCCGTCATGAGAGGAAAAAAACCCGACTCATTCCCCATCCATGAAAACGCCCTAGAAAGGAGGCTCTCGTAAGCCCCGATTATAACCCCACCAATGCAAATGAAAGAAAAAACCCTACAAGTGCATAATACACGGAGAAGTCACCCAGACGGACGATGGCCTCCCGTTTTCCGACTCCTGCGATGCATGCGCCCATTCTCCTTCTTTTCTCCCATTGTATTATGTGAAACAGTGAGTAAGAAGGCGGTAGGAGTTGAGCGCAGCAGGAACGGTGTGCGAGTGGACAAGAAAAGGAACATGTACGCAAACATGTAATAAGACAAGGCAAAGGCAAGACGTGTACCCAATCCACCAGTCTTAGCACCAACACTGTACGTAGTACGAATGTACGCTGATAAGCCTGCTAGATAGGTAAACATCTCATTTCCGGGGACGGGGCGGGGTGAGGAAAGGCCGAGACTGGAGAGCTGGGTAGGGAATACATGTCGTGTTGCAGAGGGAGGGCGGGTTGACTCTCGATAGCGGTCAGGTGGTGATGTAGGCGGCAGCGCTGGTGGTTTACATATTCGTAGGCACGCTCGTCCTTGAATCTGGGTTCTGCGAACTCCGTCCAAGCACGCCAAGCGCCTGAGCATGGCTCCGGTGAAACGAGCCGATCTTTTGGAAGCCCCTTCGAAAACGTTAGCCTGTCCGGCCTGCTATCGGGCTGGCGCGGTGTGAAACTTACTTGGAGAGATCGAAGCCGCCCTCGTCCGGATCCTCATCGAAAGAGCCCAAGCTCGCACCACGGACCATCCCACCATTCGAAGTCTTCGGGTCAAAACCGTTGACATTTGAGTTCGACCGTGAGCGCTGCGAGCCGCCGAGCTCGCGACGGCTAACCGGGCGTGACACAGTGCGGCTCGGGCTCTCGGGTCCGAGGTCGTCCTCATCGTCGTCCATCTTGTCTTCCTCGTCCTCGTCCTTGTCCTTGTCCTTGTCCTCTGGTTCCTCGCTATGCACTTCATCCGCAATGATCGGAGGCGAGCTAGGCTGAGCTGGCTCATCCTCGCGGTCCTTGTCATCCTCATCGCGCTTCATCTTGATCGGGCTAAGCTCGGGCGGAGCCTTGGCGGGCGTGCTCGGAAGATCGATGTACTTCCAGAACGGAGCCGGGCTGGAGAAATTCATGTACTGGCTGGGAACCTGTGCAGTGCTCGGGGGGGCAAGATGGGGGGCATGGCGGGAAACGAGCGGGGTGACCAAAGCGTTGATACGACCGGCATCGTGTGCGCCGTTGGTGTTATTGCCGGCGGCGTCCGAGTACAAAGTCGGCGGTGAATTAGCAGCGTCGCCTCGCAGACCGGACACGTTCGGTTTGACAGGGTCCACGCCTGGCGAAGACTCCATACCGCGATGAGCATCCTCGTTGGCGACAAAAGCCGGGATGCGTGCCTCCTCTTGCTCATGGTAGAACAGACGTTTCGCAGGCGTCACAAAGCGGTCCTGCTCGCGGTGGGTCGGTGAGTGCTTTAAGCCTGCCATCTGACCTTGGCTGCGGGGACCACGATCTGGGGTATACGACTCGTTCGCCATCGGGACGGAAGACAGAGGCGGCGTAGCAGAACGGGGAGGAGACTTGACGCGGGCGCTAGCGGTCTGCTTCCGGAAGATGTCAGGCTGGTCAAGAGCGCCCTGGAGCCGCTCGGTGGCCTGCAACGGTTGCTCTCGAGCGTCTCGCGGATCCCGGTAGGTTCTCAGCGCCGGTGAGCTGGGGTCCGAAGTGTCCATGCGCATCGCCCCGCCGCCTTTGGTGGGCCTGAGCAGTTGTTTCTTGACAAAGTCTTCGCGCTCAGAATCCGTAATTTTCCACTTCATGCCCTTTCCAGGCTCATCGGTACGGCGGGCGACCTTCTCGAAGCACTTGTTCAGCGACAGGTTGTGGCGTATCGAATTCTGCCAGCCGCCGCTGGTATGCCGGAAGAATGCATACCGGTTCTTGATGTACTCGTAGATGTTGGCCAGTGTGAGCATCTCCTCCGGGCTGCTCAGGATGGCTTGACCAATCAGCTGAGCATAGCTATGCGGCGGCTTGATATCCTTGGCGGAGTCCTGGCTGTAGTCGATATCCTCGGTGGTATCCAGCATCATGCCCCGCGGGTACGCAGAGGGCGAGCCCTTGCTGCGGGGATCCTTCTCTGCGGAGCGGAATGCTATCGGGGTGCCCGCGTGCGGGCGGCCTGGGGTAGATGTCAATTGGTTGCCATAGCCTTGGGATGCCTGCTTATTGCGGGAAGAAGTGGGCGGGAACGGGTCATATTGCTCACGCTTTGGTGTAGGTCCGCTGGGGTGCGCGTGTGGCAGGGACCGAGAGGGCGGATTTCCGTCGTTGTCAGACTCGTTAGCCTCTCGGTCGTTGTTCACCTGGCGCCACAGCATAGGATGGAACACATCGTCATTTCCGGCCAACAAGAAAAGCATCTGCGTGCCCATAATACCGATGCAGATGCCAGAATGAAGCGCCGCACGCTGGCCCTTGTGCAAGTTGATGTCGTCCAGCTTCAGGCCGTTGCGGCTGTTCACAATGATGAACCACGTCCGCTCGAGGCCGTCGTACTCAATCTCGGCGTGCACGCGGGAGACCTGGCGCTCGGGGCCCAGGTCGATATCCACTCCCCACTCGTTGGCGGGGTCCTCGCTATCCGGCAGTCCAGACACCTCGTGCTGCGAGCTCACGGGCGGGTTCGGGCGGACAGCGGAATCGGCGCGGCCGATGAGCAGGCGGGTCTTCTGGACGAAGAAGCACCAGTCGCGGGCGGCGATCTTGGCGAAAGCTGCGACGTTGTTGCCGTGGATCTTGCGGGCCTGCAGGTCGTTGGCGTAGTCGATGGCGGCGTTGGGGACGTAGTTCGGCGGGGTGCGCAGGTGGGCGATGATGTGGTTCTGGCGCTCGACGGGGTCTGAGGGCACTTCAGCGTCTGCGCCGTTCGGCAGCGTCGCATTCGAGTCGTTGCTCGCGACCGATTCCGTGATGCGGGCTCGCGGGGCGTCGGCGATGGGGACCTGGTCGGCGCCGTTCAACTGCGCATGTGAGCGTGTGCCCTCTATAGCGGTGTCGCGAGGGCTGCCTACCCGCCTGCGCTTGCGCGAGGGCGTCGATATCGACTCTGGCGTGTCTGCGTCTGACTGCGGCTGGAGGTCTGGCTCCCGGCGGGAGCGCAGCCCGACTCTCCTACTCGCGGACGGCGGCATACTACATGTACACGGGGGTTCTCTGGTGAGGAAACGAGCGTCAGTAGGCTTTCTACTTGTATGCTTGTGTGTTGGGGTCGAGCGACGTTGCGAAGGCGAGTCCAGCCGGGGGTGCGTCTTTGACAGCTCTTTCGCCCCACCGAGACTCGAGGGGAACGCGGTTACTGTGGACGGCCGGCTGATGGTTCCCCGTCAGAGCAGCGGAGCAGGACTGTGTGGAGGCGCGGCAGGAGCGGGGAGGCTGTCTATGCGTAGGGCGGGTGCGGTGGTGAAGGTGAAGAGGAGACGAACCAGGTGGAAGTCGAATATTGTCCAGGGTTCCACGGTTGTTTGTTTTCACCGACGCGTGACGAAACAGCGGTTGGCGGATCTGGGACTGCGAGTGCGGGCGCGTCGGGCAGCAGCGCACAGTGGATGCGTGCAAAAGGCGTCAACTTCGATATCGAAGACGGCGGGCTGTCTGCGAGGACAATCGCGGCTCAATTGCGTCCTACCTTGGCTAGGTGCCATCGCCCGGCGCAATCCGTGCGCTCCCGTGACACGATCTGACGCGCGATGCCGTGCAAAATTCGAGCTCTACACACGTCCAGCAAAAATCTTGGGGAATTTCATTGCTACCACGTCTACTCTATCACAGGTGTATACCATTCAAAGCCGCTCCCTATTCTACCCATATCCGAATCCTTAAACGCGCTTTTACGGCTGCCCGTTTCGGCGCGGCCGCACCTCAGTGGGCTGCACGTCACCCCGTGTCCGCATGCAAACGGACCCAAACGGACCCTGAGAAGAGCCCTGCAGAACACCCGTGGACCGTTGAGAGACATTTACCACGTTTTCTCCATTCGTCACCAGCGGTGCTGCCAATCAGCCTTTGCTGTGAATGGGTAAACCGTGGATGACGTCTTTTGTTGTCGACAAACGCGCTTGCGCAGCCTCGCTTCCGTCATCGACGCGAGGCATGCAAGTCAGCACAGAGTTCGCAGCCAACCCAAGCCAAAAGGGCAACCTGAAGCGGAGCCGCACATTCTGCGACCGAGACACCTGCATCCCTAGAAACACGTCTTTTATTGTCCATTTCATTCGGCGCAGTGCGCCTTCTTAGTCCCTAAATATTTACAAAGAATTGCCCCAAGCATTGCCGCCCCACGCTAGCCTAACCAATTAAAAATTGCCATTATTTGTTACTTCGAGACCGAATACCTCTTCCGGCCCAAGCCATGTTTTCCAACCGACTCCGCATAATCAAACAAAGACATTACACACTACGTCGGTCTAGATATCGAGTGTCGCCTTGAGCGGCAGCCTCCGCGACGAGGTGCCTACATACACCGTCTTGGTGTAGTTGGAGATAACCCAGTTCTGGGAGACGGTGTCCCAGTTGGAGAGGTCGCGGCGAGTGATGTCGGCCGTGAAAGTAGCGCTGCCGCCGGGCTGGATGCTCAGGCGGTCGAAGTTGCGGAGAGCGACAATCGGGTCGTCGGGGCCGCCGAGCCGGATGTAGAGCTGGGCCACCTCCTCGCCGGGGATAGAGCCGGTGTTGGTGACAGTTGCAGTGACGGTGAAGAGAACGTCCCAGAGCTGCGGGTTTCCTCCGGGTCCTCCACCGGCGGCGATGCGTGGCTGCGGCGAGCCATCCGTAACACCCTCCGGATACTCCACCGGGAGACCATACTCAGGATCATGTGACGCTCCGGGGAGATCGGTGGAGTTCAAGTAGGGATATATGTATGCATTGACGTAGGTCAGGTTGGACGGCCACTGGTAGTCGGCAGGGTCTGTGCTGGCATTTCCGAGAACGGGCGCAGCCGTCGTTTTGCCGGTTGTAGGAGTATATGGGCCAGCCGGGACCTTGACGACGTTCAGGTTGGAATAGTTGAAGGTGGTGTATGACAAGCCGAAACCAAACTCGTAGACGGGAGTGATGTTCTTCTGATCAAATGCACGGTAGTCGATAAAGACGCCCTCTTCGAAGTTGTCCTGCGGACTGTCATGGCCGGCGGTAGGCTCGTAGATGAGATCTGGTCCGTATTCGGAGGCGGAGCTGCCGATAGTGAACGGCAGCTTGCCTCCGGGGTTGACGCGGCCGTAGAGGACATCGGCGATAGCATTGCCCGATTCTTGGCCAGGAAGACCAGCCCAAAGGATAGCGGTGACATTCGGGCTGTTTGAGAACGAGTCGACGAGGACAGGTCCGACGGAGTGGATGACCACGATTGTGTTGTTGCAGTACGCGGAAACGTTCTGGACCAATGTCTCGCCGCCCTGCCACAGGGTGAGATTGTCCCTGTCTCCCATGTTACCGTCGACGGTGATGTAGCCCTCACCGGAGTCGGCATTCACGAAGACGATGGCGACAGAGGCTTGTTCGGCGACCGAGGCAATCTGACTGAACGCGTAGTTGTCGGTCACAGATTGAAGGATGGCGCCGTGGCCAGCAGTCTCGCGCTTAATAGCTTCCAGAGGGGTAACGAGGTAAGGGAAGTCGGCTGTGCCAGAGCCCCAGCCCATGGCCAGAGTGCCATTGTCGCAGCCGCGGTCAGCGCAGCCGTTGGGCCCATACTGGTTCTCCCCAGCATCTTGGCCAAAGACAGCCGTGTTCTTCTCATTGCCCTTGAGAGGCAGGATGCCAGTGTTCTTCAACAGGACCGTAGACCGAGCGGCCGCCTCACGAATCGCCTGGTAGTGGTCATCTCGCACATCGACATGCTGGTTGATGAGACCGTATCCGGTCTGCGCAAAAGCATGCTCGTACCCATAGGTATCACGCGACCAGCTGTTGAAGTTGACGGGGACTTGGTACTTGTCACGGCCGACGAGGTAGTACGCAGCCATGATTCGCGTAGCCATGTCGTCAAGGCGCCACTCAGGGACGGTTCCGTTGATGATGGAGAGGGTCAAGTTCGGTCCCCAGAAGGAGTATCCGCTGTCGAAATCGGTGTCGCCCTGCAGAATTAGCCATGCTCGTCCCTAACGCGATATATCACTTACCGGCATAGTCATGTCAAGACCGGCAAAAGTGGACGCGACACCCGAATGCTGAGCATCCCAATCCGACATGATGAAACCCTGGAACCCAAGCTCTCCCTTCAGGATGTAGTTCTGGAGGTATGAGTTCTGGCACACCTGCGAGTTGTTCGCCTTATTGTACGAGCACATGATGGAGCCGGTGCCTGCGCGAACAGCATCTGCGAAGGGCCACAGGTACAACTCGTGGAGCGTCTTGTCGTCAACGTTGGAGCTGATGGCATCGACGAAGCCAACGTCCTCAAACGCTCCCGGGGAACGGAAGTGCTCCTGCTCGTTCAGGATGTAGTGCTTGGTGCAAGCAATAACACCAGCGTCCTGAATGCCGCGGACGGTCTCGGCAACGGCAATGCCGGAGAGCACTGGGTCAGGACTGAAGCCCTCCCAGTTGCGGCCGCCCTTGGGATTGCGACCAAGCGGGCCCACGACGGGGCCGAGCTGGACGTCGATGCCCTTCCCGCGTTGCTCCATGCCCATCTGGTAGCCTCGGCGGTAAAACTCTCCCCGATCCCACGAGGCCGCAATGGTGCCGCCAGCCGGGAAAGCAGAGACATAGTCGGCGAATCGAACGCCTAGCGGGCTGTCCTGCATGCAAAGGGAGCGGAACCCCAGTCGCGGGATGCTGCCAACATTGCCGACGCTGATCGAGTCAGTAAGCAATCTAGTATATGATGCGGAAATACTCACCAGGCCTCGCCTTCCCACCCTACACCGGTGGTGAGGTTGACCTTCTCGAGCAGAGTCAATTGTCGGACGAAAGCTTGCGCCTTCGCATAAGCATCAGCCCAGCCGGCAGCGGTGCCGTCCATCCATCTGCGGGCGGTCAGTGTCAATTGTTGAGCCCGCAGCTGCTTTATACATACGGACTCGGATAGAATGGAGGGCTAGTAGCATTGTCTAGGACGGTAGGACTAGTTCCATTAGGATTGCTGTTGTTGGGAGACTTGTTTACCGTCAGCGCAGCTCATAAACAAGAGCAGAAATCGGGGACTGGTTACTCGTAGAAATGGGAATAGTGATAACACGAAGCGCGCAAAGTCGGAACGCATTTGCGCAGCTTCTGTACGAATTTTTCATAGAGATGGAGGCGGTGCTGTGGTAGGGTAGGGTGGAGAGCGGAGTGGTGGTTCTACTTACCGATTGAGCCTCAGCCAGGCCGATCGCCAAAAATGCTTGTACAAGCCACAGCATGACGTCTCTCGGCTGCGCTCAAAGGGCGACGTTGGGAGCAGCAGATAGACACGCGCTGATGGATTAAGATTATCGACAATTAACACGCGCGAAGAAAGTGAGGGCGCTCGCAGCGGCCATGCAAGGGGACATGGAGGTTTTTATTCACCGCGGTGAGAGCGTCGACAGGGAAGGAGCTCCGAGCTTCAACGCGGTGGCGCGCCGGCCAACGCGCGACCAACGGCACAGCCGCCAATTTGCGGGGGATGGGGGATGGCTGCACGCCGCCCTGCTGATCTACCCCAGTTTCGCCGGGCAGCTCGATGGAGGCTGGTCCGGTGCCCACGCCCGCGCCTCAACCCATCGAACGCCTGCGAACAGGCACCGTTGCGGCCTGCCGCCTGCCCGCCGATTCCAACTCCACCACCTCTTCGCTGCCCACGGCTCCACAGCTCCTCAGCTCCAGCCCGCCTCGCAGAGTCCTTACGTCAGGGGCATACTGTGTAACGCCCCAGTTCCGGTAGCCGGCCTCTCCTTTCTCGAAGGATCCCCGCGCGCGCGTTGCCGTCATCTGGGCTGTCCTCGGCACATCGTCATTTCCTGACAAACCCGGTCGCACGCACATAAGCTCCCAAGAAAAGCCGCATCCGCAGCCCTCCTGCCGCCAACGCGTCCACCCCGTGAATACGAGCCTGTGGCGCGCCATCGCAAAGCCAGTGCAACGATGCATCATGATCGAACAGCAGATGCGGGGTTGGCGTCGCACATCAGCGTCGCCTTCTGCTCTTCAACTCTTGCCGTTGCGAGGACCGCGTTGGTGACATGTACCATCGGAGCGCCGCATGCATCTGATTTGTGGAATCCTGGACAGCTTCATGCCTGCTTTCCAGCCCGATCCGTCTGCCAATGTTGGCAGAATCTCGGCACAAACCCTGGAGAAGTCTGTTTCCCTCCTGCTCCCCCGATACGCTAACGCATATCCACAAACGTGCAATTGGACGTCCGCGGCGAAGTGTCTGTACATCACGGGAACCTCGTAGCACATGCAATTCGCCCGCTCATCGGTACCTGCGAAGTCACTCCAGCCGTAATGCCTCCGCCGCCAACGCGTCCTTGGTGGATTTCTGCGAGGGGAAGGTGGTACGTACGAACGGCAGGAGCGGAGCGGAGCGTCACCAGACCGTCAGCCAAACACCAGAATTGACTCCACCATCGTGACGACAACGCAAGGTGGTGTTCTCATTTCTCGTTTCTGTTCTCCGCATTCCCAGTCTCTTGTCATTCCTCATTGTCTGAGAGCGTGTGCCGAGAAGGGTACGACGGCAGCGTCAGCAACCCGCCAAGAGGCAACATTCCACGACATTTTACACCATATTCTCATCTCAGTCTAGAGACTAGAGAACTCTGAAAATACGAACCGAATCCTGCGGTCCGTGACAAAATTGAACCTAGTGTCTACGCTATTCCAGCAGCCAGGTTGATATGGTCCCTTTCCACTAGCAGCCGCTAGCGTAAGCGGCATGCTGCATCGGCTCTCGCAGGGCTTCGACTCCACCTCAGGTTATCGCTCTGGGAGACGGGAAGACGGTCCTCGAATCCACGCCTTCTTCCACCGGCATCTCACGAATCAGACAGCCGCACACGTCGATACGCTGAGTCAGCAAGAGTTCTTCCGAGTATTCGCGCACTCTTCATGCGCCGTTTACCAGATCGCTCAAGGCATCATCTATTCGCTGCCAGCTCTTTTGTCAGCTTCTCAAGAGAGATCTTAGTATTTGAAATTACTTTCGTCAGGAGATGAGCCTCCTATACCCCCGGCCACAATACAATCTGGGCGGGTGTCGCACGTATGCGAGATCATGAATACGATACCAACGACTGACTTTCATCCACAATCTGGCATACTGTCTAGTTGTTTCAAAGCAGAATTATCCACGTACTTTAATACTACTTGAAACAGTACCAAGCACGATTATTTCGTCTTCAGCGGGATACTTTCACGAGAGAGTACGCGACCCTCTCATATGTTTGAATATCTCACGTTCAAAGCTTCTCCCGTGCTCTTTTCCTTTCAACTACATAATGTTACATGCTTCCAGTACATAACCCCTTCCGCTCTTTTCTTCCAGGATATTCGTGGCCAACAATAGCCAATTATCGAATGTGGGAATCCGAGAATTGGATTATTATTGAAGGCGTGTGCGTCTCGGATGTCAATAGAATTCCTGGAACCGCTCACAGCAAGCATCTTTTGTCGGCGGCGTCAGGCTGAAGCGTGGCGTCGGCATACTTCCTCAGCAAACACCATTCACGACCAATGAGGTGTTTGCAAAATGCAACGAGACGGCGCTCACGTTCGGCGACTGTCACGAAACTAAGGCAGCGTTACTAGCAAGTATTGAAGAGCTCGAACGGATCGCACTAGAAAATGCCTAGCAACGACGCCACGCCCCTTCATCTACGTTTTCTGACGCTGTACCCCGAATTAGAGTCCTGCCGCGATTTCGCTCTCATCCGAGCAGGAGAAGACGAGCCCGCTAAAGACTACGCGACCGTGTCGTATATATAGGCTCGCTCGCAGTCAACCGAAGGATTAGATATCCCCGAGTGCCGGATATGGGATCTTTCGACGCACGGAGCATCTCCCAGGTCACCCAGATGCTCTCCGGTGGTCTTTCACAGAGCAATGCGCTTCGCTCAAGCCAAGAACTGCGTACGCGCATGGATCGATCAAGAATGCATCGATCAAAGCGACCCAGCCGACGTTGAGAGGCATCGCGTTCACCAGAAGAAGTCGATTGACAGTAGCCGTCCTATCTTGTACCCTACCCAGTGCCTCTCTTCTAGACACCTTCATCCCCGAGCTTGGCCAACTTGTGCAGGCGGCGAGTGATGTCCAAGTTCATTCGTACCATCAAAGCCATTCAGAATATTGCACACATAACTAATTTGAGCGCAATCTACTGAAATGCCTATCAGAATGACCCAGCCAGGTATGCCGAGGCAGCGTATCGCGGGTTGTGTGCCCAGTATTCTGATATGGCCAATGCACGGAGACTTTCAGTCCATCATCGATGGAGAGCATCTCGAGGGATGATGCATAGACGGATTGTTGCTATCGCTTACGGTCATCACTACTTCCTGGCGCACGTCTCCTCATAACTTCACATATTCCTTCACATATTCACCCTACTCCATCCATATCTCCCACAGCATCCCCAACACCAGGGAGACGACTCCTTCCTAAACATTCACCGGAGCCCCAATCCTCGTCCCATACACCACCCAATACTCACAGATCAATACCATGAAAATACCAGACACAGCAGACGCATAATTTATGCTATATATCGGTCCCGATCTGCGCGTGCGTGGCGACCACCTCTCAGATCATATGGACTCGTTACTGAATTGTTGGCCATGTTACCTGCTTCGACTTTGGCGATGAGGGATCTGCAACAGCACACATCAGCAGCAAGTCCCGACAAGCTACTCTAAGAATCCATCGCGAAGAGCTTGAGCCAACCTAGCCTCCGTACTTCAACTTTCGCAAGCATTTGCATGGACATGCTAAAAAGATAGTAAAAAGTTCCCAAGAGAACAACCGCTGATGATCGGCTTCGCGCTCTAAGCCGAACCGGGTAAGCACTGCAGTAGCGACACGCGCCCGCCGAACATGCAAGGCAGTATATTGCGATCTTAGTCCAATGGTAAGCTCACCCACCATGCGGATAGCCGTTGACTGGTCTAGTTCCCGAGGACGCGTCCCAGGGCTATGGAATCAACAGGACGGTGTTGCCCGACGCGGAGGGCAGCACATTGCGAGGTCATGGTACCCCGCTTTGGTCTGCGGGAGTAGTAGTCGAGTAGGCTTCTGAGATAGATAGGTAGATCGACTTGTAATCAGATTAGTGGACTGGATGAGAGCGTCCTGTATCGGCAGCCCGTGCGTGTACTGAAAGTTGAGGAAGTAGAATGCGATCTTGCACTATGTACCCCACCCTATTCACGCATGCTAGATGCGGTTCCGAGGACTTAGATGCAGAGGCAACTGGACCTGCGGATGCGTGTATAAAGCATTCCCAGCTCGAGTATTTGCTCAATACCATGTCTTTGTCTCCCTCATCGACCTCCTCATCTTCCTTCGTGCACGTTCTGCCCGCGAGAAAAATGTCGACCAAAGTGCGCGTCGGAGCCGTGCAAGGCGAGCCTGTATGGCTCAACCTCGAAGGCAGCGTCGGCAAGACAATTTCGTTGATCAAGCAGGCGGCTGCTGATGGGGTCCAAGTGCTGGGCTTTCCCGAAGTGTGGATCCCCGGGTATCCGTGGTATACTCCGCGCCGAAATGCACTGAGCCGAGAACTCAGAAGCTAACGTATTGTATCGTACCCAGGGGAATATGGACGACTTCCGTCATTGGTGTGTTCCCCATCTCCAGCCCAACCGAGTGGGCGTTAGTAATTCAAGCCACCTAGGCAACGTCGAAATGATTCACTCCTACATGGCCAATTCGCTCGTCAAAGACTCGCCGCAAATGCGCCGCATCCAAGAAACCGTCCACGAAGCCGGAATGTTCGTCGTTCTCGGATACAGCGAGCGCGACGGCGCTTCTCTGTACATGGCGCAGTCCTTCATATCCCCAGAAGGTGAGATCGTGCACCATAGGCGGAAGATCAAACCCACGCATGTCGAGCGCACATTGTGGGGAGATGGGCAGGCCGACAGCTTGAAGTGTGTTGTTGATAGTTCGTTTGGGCGGATAGGCGGGCTGAACTGCTGGGAGCATTTGCAGCCGTGAGTCTGAGCACCTTCCCTGAACGTGTTATTGACCCAATTTCCAAGGCTGCTGCGATACTACGAGTATAGCCAGCGGGTGCAGATCCACGTCGCTTCCTGGCCCGCCGAATTCGAAATGCTAGACCCAGCGAAGCAGCCATGGCTATACCACGAAACAGGCGAAGCCAGCTACCGCGCTAGTCAGTTCATGGCGATCGAGGGGCAGACGTTCGTCCTTGTCGCCTCTCAGATCATCACCGAGGAGAACCTCGAGAAGAACAATTTGCTGGGCAATCATGTCACCAAGACGCCCGGGGGAGGTTTCTCTATGATCTTCGGTCCAGACGGAAAGCCATTATGCGAACCGGTCAGCGATGGCGCGGAGGCCATACTGAAGGCCGATATCGATCTGACGGATATTGACTATGCGAAAACGGTAGGATCGCTCTGTGACTCCTCATCGTGTCCTTGACGTGTTGTGGCTGATGCTATCCTGTGTGCAGTTCATCGATACAGTCGGGCACTATGCTAGACCGGATATGCTCTCCCTTCTGGTAAACCCAGAAGCAGCGAAGCATGTAACGTTGATGAAGTGAGTGCCAGGCCCTGGACCGATGGAGGGAGATGTCGAAGTACAGAGAAGATTGCTGAAGGGGTAGGTATTTCCATGGTTTCGTAGCTGCTTTCTCCATGGACTGCGCGCTCAGATGAAAGATGGCATGTAAGAACCCGGTTCGATCAGATCCCTCCAATCGATCTTCCTCTCGATTTTCTCATCCGCAGCCAAGTCCTGTTGTTTCCATACAGCCTGCACCAGGCCCTTGATGATGTGATAGTTCCCTATTCTTCTATCTCTTGCACCCTCATCAATCACCCTCATTACCCTTATCCTGCCTCGATCTCCTTTCACATTGCATGCGAGAATGAAGAGCGGCCACGGACTGGTGCAGACTTCCATCTGGTCCAGAACTGCGAGGCCTTTGCTTACGTAGTCTTCAATGGAGCTCGGGGGAATTGCTTCAGACGGGCAGACCTGGTAGAGGTACAGGACAGCGGCTAAGCGGTAGAATTCGGCAGTTAGCGCGATGCGTTTTTGGGAGATGGCTCCCGCAGTTTCGCCGGGATGGATCTGGATCTCTTGACGGAGGTTCATGAGGCGTTCGCGGATGGGGATAGAAATATCAAGTGCACTGCATCCGAGCGATTCGTCGCTGCAGTGAAGGGACGTAGTGAAGGTGTGGAGTTGGTTGATGCAGGATATGAGACGGAGTAATTCGGTGGAACACCCTAAGAGTCCGATGATCTGCGAACGTCAGCGCTTAACGACTAAGTGATCAGAAGGCCAACGGGGAAGCTGACCTTTTGATTAGCTGGACTGCTTTCAGGGAGGACAATGTGATGTTGCTGTTGCCGAGAAGACGGCAGATCCGCATGATGAGTGTACGCCGCGAACGTGTCATGGTAGGCTAACCAAGGCTCTAGAAACTCCAAGCAAGGCAACTCTAGCTCGCCATCCGTAAATGCTTGCGTGATAGTCTTCGCGCCTTGGAGGTGTAGAGACCATGTCGTGTCCGAAGCATCGAAGACCTGTATTTCGTGAGAACAAGGTTCACGCTAAGACACCAATGATAGCGCTACTCACACTGTACACGCATAGCATCATACATGCCGCAAACTGAGCGACTCTGCTCGCGCTCGCTTCCCGGAAAGACTCTGTCAGTGCCCTAATAGCGTTCACCTTATGCCTCAGCGCCGCTTCCGGCCGACCTAGATGGAATGAAGACAACGCCAACGTTGCTTGCAGCAAGCTCTTCGATGACGCTTCCGAGGAAGACAGCGCAATAGGAATGAGCTGGAGGCGGAAGCCATTCGTGTTGTCGTCGATGGTGGTGACCATGCGGGCCACTACCGCGTCATCTATCCCACATTAGCGGCGTCGGGCTACGATTCAGATGCAGGTGCCGTAAGCCCGCATATGCAATCCGGCGCACCACCTACAATACGATAGCAACGACCCTTCCCCTTCGCCAATCCCATACATATCGAGCACCCTTGGAGCAATGCTCGGACCGATATGCGCGCCATTCTCGCCCCTGGCCACTAACTCTTGAACATTCGCCCTCCTCCCTTCGACGTCTCCAATTGTCGTGTTTAAGAACGCGAAGTTGCCATTCTCAGTGACGTAAGACTGTGGTGATGTCTCAGGCGCAGCTTGATACCTTTTCTGCTTCCTTCTGCCATCGATCTTGTCGGGCCAGGCGAGCTTTAGCCCGTACCCTTTGCAGGGGCGCTTAGAGCGTGTGCAGTTTAGACAAAAAGGAAGCGCCCTGTCGCAGCCGACCTTGCGTTCTATCTCGCTTTGTCAATGCTGTGTTTGCAGCAAGGCAAGACTGAGGAGTGGGGCTCGGTACCTTTACAAGTCCAGCAGTTGCGATTGGCTCTGCTCCCCATGCCTGTATAGCTATCGCTTACATATTGCCTGAACCTACTGAGCCAGTGACGTTTGGGGATAGTGCTAGATAATTTCGTGTTACCGTGGGTTGTGGGAGGAATGACAGTGCAAGTGGGATGAAGCTCTATTAGGCATCCCGTGTAACATGTGATTGGACGATAGATGCCGATTTGTAAGCGCCATCTGGGGAACAGTGGGAAGAGAATCGCGACCTTGGACTTTGTTTCTACGAACATCAAAAGGAATTAATTCGTACTGTATATGCATATGCGGGTACTCCGCTTTCATTTCATACCAGACGCTAGTACTTCGACCCGGTTTTTATCGTGGTGAACAATGCCAATGCTAATAGGTAATACAATCGTGAACGCATCATTCCCAAGCCCCAGTCATTAGAAATGCCGCGTCTAACGGTGTGTTCCCCGATATCTACTAAACTGCGCAACAAGACGCAAACAAGGCTGACAGATGCCAGGATATGGCTGCTCAACTCTGGGCTCAAAATGTCAGGCCTTCCGCCTTGTCGGTCTTCTGCCTCCATGTGCGGGCATGCTAGATGCCCTCGGGTGCCGATTCCTTGCTCGGCGCATTGCATGTTCCTAGTACGCCTGCGCTATCTCTTGGCCGTGGATGGGTATATAATAAGAGTCGTCCCTATTCTCAACTCCTTGCGCTCTACGTGGGCTCACTCGCCGGCGCTCGTCCCACGAAGCCTTCGGTTTAGACTCCCACTGCGATTAATACCGGATAACCCTCCGATGGAATTCCTATTTGAGCTGAACTGCGTCCGAGGGCTAGGCTCAGCCAAGGTTTGCTTGTCATAGGCAGAGGCCCTTTGACGGTCCAGATCATTGTATCGCCTGCTACTGTCCCTATAAAGCAGCCGATTCTCGTTTTCAGCCCCTGGGATGGTCGGACGGCGGAGTGACACGGTAGGTTGTAACGCAGGCGAAGGCTGCAAATCTGGCATGGGCTCTCGCGAAGTGTATTCCCTGCTGAAGCGGGACTTTTGCGTAGACCGAGTGTCTCGGAAATCCGTCAACGCCCGCGAAGGCGCCCGCAACGTTAAATCCTCGTCCTCCTCCTCGGCGTTGCGACGCGCCCGGTGTAAGCTTGTGCCTACGCGACTGAAGCGGTTCGGTATCTGCGACTGAGATGGGGTTGGCGGCTCGGCGCTAGGTTCTCTTGAACCTCCATATGCTCCACCAGCAAACATGCTAGCCCTACGTGCTTCAATACGGCTCATAGCTCTGCTGGGACTGGACCGCGGAAGTGCATCGCTCTCAGGCTCGATGCTTTGCCGGACCGAGGGCGACTCGCCATTGATCTGGACGCTAGGGCGACGTGAGGGGACAGCTGCTGTATTCCTGACGGCCGGGCTGGCGATGCTTGACTTGTTATCGCACAAGACAATGCACAGTTCAGTCAGGGTGCGACAGATGTTGTCTGCCTTGCGCCGAACCTGACGATCGGGAATTGAAGCACCAGTAAGGATCGAGCTTGCAGAGTGGAGCGTCCCTTGCGGTCCTGCACTTCCCGTCAGCTCCGCCAACGCGAGGGCTTCAGATGCCGTTGCTTCGAGCACCCGATAGACCGCGGGGGAGATGTGCTGTTTGGCCCTTGCTAGTGCTTCTCCAAGCAAGGGATGGACCTTGTGCTGCATATGGCCGCCGACGGTAGACTCCGGGGGAGACTGATTAGATCTCCGCTGCTGGTTTGGCGATGACGACACTGTAGTCGCGGAAGTGTTAGCGGTCCGGGGCCGGTCGGCAGATGCCTGGGACACAACCGCACCGGACGTAGCGGGGATCTTGCCTCCCAGCTCTATCCGACGGATCCTCGACTTGAGTTCATCCAACTCGTCCCACACAGAAGTAGCCGGTCCTGTCGAGCCATGCGATTCGGTACCATCAGCCCGCGATGCCGATTCCTGCGGCGTGTCGATGTGGGGAGTTCTTGGATTATCACGTGAGGTGGAATAGTGCAGATTTGAAGGACGATATGCGCCGGTGCGGTTCGGCGGAGTGTGTGTCGCATCTGGATAGGATGGGCGCCTTCTGCCCAGCTCCAGCTGGGCCAGAAAGTCTTTCGGAGAAAGCTCTGAATCCCTTGGTCTTGAGGGAAAGGATGGCTTGGGCGAGAGATCCTGAAGACGCGACCGCGGTGTCTCGAGCGGGTTGGCTGGCGTTAGCGGAGTCTGGTCCCGGGTGGACCTGGAGGGAAGGAGCGATGAGCGCCGGTGCTGGGTGCTCGCCTTGGTGTCGATCGCGGACGGTATCCTGCTGGCATTGGGCGTGGTGGAGTTCGACTGCGCTGGTGAAGAGTACTGCAGGCCCGAAGGGAAGGACTGGCGGTTGCTGGCGCGGGCTATCCGTGACTACATGGGTCAGTGTGCTCTGGCAGGCGTGTGTAGACGGTACTCGCAGCGGGGTCTTGAACGCTGCCGAATTCGCAGACAACCATGGAACTCACTCACCCGTAACCTGTCAGACCGCGATGCGGCATCCATGGATTCCTCTTTAGGTGCGCTGTCTTCGGCAATGTTCAAGAAAAGGTCTTCGCCCTGCCCGCCATCGGTGCCAGCGGTGTCTGCAGCCCCATGGCGACTGTTTACCGCGTGTGTATCTCCGGACAGGCTGCGCATGCCCGAGCCGTACTCGGAGGAGCCCTCTGCGGAGCTGGCCATGTGTCGCTGGCGCCGCGGCGTCCTCGCGGAGTTCTGGCGCGAGAGCGTGGGCGTGTTTGTTTGCGTCTGTGGTGCGAGCTCGCCCGAAGCGTCGGAATCCCTGCGCTGCCGCGGGCCTCTCGAGCTGCGCGGCGTACCGCCCGGCGACACAAGGCCGAGCTGGGAGAGCTGCTGCTGTGCAAAAGCAAAGTCGGCCGGCTGCTGCGACGGCCGGCGCGCGTAATCGGAGTTGCCGCGAGTAATGAGTGTTATTGGGGGCCCGCGAGACGTGTCGATGCCATGCCCGCTGAAGGACGCCGGCGGTCTGCGGGTGGCCGGCGAGCGAGCCTCCTTGCCAGAGGCGGCGGGCTGCGGGGAGAAGTACGAGGGCGAGGTTGCGGACGACGCTGATGCCTGTGTGGGCGTGAGCGCGGGCGTGGAGGGGTTCGTCGCCCGTCGAGACCGCGGCGACGCTGAGGCGCCGGTCGAGCTGCTGGACGGCAGGCGCAGGAGCGTGGGCGTCTCGGGCGCTGTGTTGTTGCGCTGGTGCTTGGGCGGAGAGGGCTGGAGGCCGGCTTGACGTGTCGAGGCGCCGGAGGAGAAGTGTTGTTGTTGCCCTGAAGGCCTTCGAGAATGCGCGGCGGGCATAGCGTCGACGCAATACCTGGATGAGCTGGCGCATATGCAGGGCTCACCCAGCTTCTCATCTGAACCGCAGCGCAAAGACCCGCGCGGAATGCTCGTCCGGGACCCGCCGTTTCACGAACAAAGTGTCCTCATCTTCGGGAGCTCTAAAAACTAGAAAAGAGGTGGTTCTCCGGCGCCGCTATTCTGGGGGTTGGGTCCTGGGTAGTCGTCTATTCGTAGCCGTCGACAAGCTAAGACGGCCGGGCCATGCACGAGACATCACAATCCCTTACTGCAGGCATTATCGTCGTCTCGCCATGGTGGATAAACGTTGACGTGCAGCTCCGGCCTAGACACTTTCGGCCCTGCTCAGCGGCCGTTTCGTCCATCGACTCCCGTCTGAATTCGCATGCCTGGTGCGGCGGCGGACCGCGTTTGTGACCCAGCCAGCAGAGCACCGCATGCCCCAGCTGCGAAAAGCAATTCGCCCACGCAGATGCAGTTGCGGAGGCTCCTAAGGTTCCTTTGTGCCTGCTATTACAGCATGCAGGCCGACATGTAAGGGCGACTCAGTATGCTGTCTGGCGTTACGAGATGGCTGGGATCTGGTTGAGATCCGCTTCCCACTGTGAACTCTAACTTTCCCCATAAAAACTTTCGTGCATATACCCTGGCTTGATGACCGCTGGAATTTCCCCAAAGAATCGCAGAGTTCCCGCAGTTCCAGAAGGACAACGGGGAAGATGCATCATCTGTGTCACTGCGGATTCAGGTCACCCCGTCCCTCAATGAATAATGTCCATATGTGATGCCGAGGCGCCCAAGTGTTGGCCGTCGAGCGAGGATCATCAAGCGACATGGCAGCCACGCGGAGACTAAGGCGCTGTGATATTTTGCCTTTCGCCTGCGTTTCACATCGTCCAAGGGCAGCTCCAGTCCACGGGAGGCCACGCTCCACGTGATCTGCAGCCTAGCTCGGCAAAACTATTCGCCGTAGCGCCTTTCCGAAAGTTTCGCCTCGTCACTTCACTTCAACGACCGCTACCCGCGTTCTCCACTGCTACCACGCGATCGCAACCGAATACCGCGAAGCCCCGGACGGCGTGTCCTCCAGACGATCACACAATGTCGGTTGCTACCCTCTCAAAATCACTACCGAAACCGAAGTACACGGGCGAAGATGAGGAGTTGGGCTCACGAAGCACCCGCGTACTGGGCACAGAAGAGTATCAGACACAGATCGTGAAGAGGCAGTCCGGGCCGCCTGCATATGGCCAACGAGCGCGATGGCGGCCCCGGACAGCTGAAGACTATGGAGGTACGTACCTCGCGATGCACATCCACTCTTTCCCTATGTCTGCCCTAGAGCCTCCGCTAATGTGTACCGCCGCAGATGGAGGAGCGTTTCCAGAAGTCCACGTCGCTCAATATCCTCTCGATATGGGAAAGAAGGGCACTGCTAGCACGTCTAATGCGCTCGCGCTGAGGGTGGACAACGAGGGCAAGACAAAGTACGATGAGATTGCCAGGAGGGGCCACAGCGAGTCGCGCATCGTGCAAGCTTCATTCAAGGACCTCATACCTCTGCGCCAGAGGGCAGATGCAGGCGAGCTCGATCTTGATCGGCCGAGTCAAGAGATGGTTGAAGCCACCAAGAAGAAAACAGAGGAGGCGCTTAACGCACTGATTGTTGGCCAGACCGCGGCGCAACGCCCAAAGAACGTGCGTGGGAGGACAAATGACGAGCCCACTTACGTCAAATATCAACCTACGGCGCAGATGGGAGAAGCGCAGGGCAAGACGCGTATCTTGAAAATCCAACAGCGGCAGATTGATCCCCTGGAGCCACCGAAGTTCAAGCACAAGCGTATACCCAGGGGGCCGCCATCTCCACCTCCACCAGTCTTACATTCTCCGCCGCGCAAGTTGACAGCCGAGGATCAAGAAATGTGGAAAATCCCACCCCCTATATCGAACTGGAAGAATCCGAAAGGATACACAGTTCCTCTTGATAAACGGCTTGCTGCCGATGGGCGAAATCTACAGGATGTCACTATCAACGACAAGTTTGCTCAGTTCGGCGAAGCACTCCAGGCAGCAGATCGACATGCCCGCGAAGAAGTCCAGCAGCGCGCATTAATGCAGCAGCGGCTCGCCGAAAAGGAAAAGCTCCAGAAAGAGGAAATGCTCCGCAACCTCGCGCGACAGGCCCGCGAAGAGCGTGCTAACGGCTCCCGCCGCCGTTCCGGCAGCTATTCTGAGTCCGAATCCGATCCCGAAGAAGAGGCCGTCCGGCAGCGTGAGGAGGCCCGCCGAGAACGACGCCAAGAGTTCCAGCGTGAGATGCGGCAGTCGCGGATGGGTACAGAGCGGAAGCTGCAGATGCTGGCCCGCGAACAAAACCGCGACATCTCCGAGAAGGTTGCCCTGGGTCTTGCCAAGCCTACACAGAGCGGCGAATCGATGTACGACTCGCGATTGTTCAACCAGAGCAGTGGCTTCGACGCGGGATTCAATGAGGACCAGCACTACGATAAGCCCCTTTTCGCGGCCCAGGATGCCATTAGTAGCATTTATCGACCGAGTGTGCAGCAAGATGACGGCGAAGACGAGGGAGCGACGTACGATAGGATCACCAAGACGAGCAAGTTTGAAGTCCTAGGTAGAGCAAAGGAGGGTTTCAAAGGCGCCGATCTTCAAGAGGTCAGTTTACACTTTATCGATATCTAGCAGGAAATCTAACAATGTCCAGGCTCGTGAGGGACCAGTTCAGTTCGAAAAGGCCACAGAGGACCCTTTCAATATTGATCAGATGATCAAGGAAGTGCGAGGCGAAAAGGCTGGCGAAAAGGCTGGCGAAAAACGTTACGGCATCCAGGAGCCGGAGGGGAGAGCTGCGAAGCGGGCGAGGGTCGAAGATGACAGTGATTGAAGCTAGTCGGGGATTACGAAGTCACGATCTCATCAACGTGAAGAGTACACAGTAGGATACCAAACCATCTGGTAAGCGCAGGTCCCCGCTTGCGCCCCCCACTTGCGCCTGGGCCTTGCCACCCCATGCGCTTGTGTCTAAGCGCATACCGTTTGTTCTTTGCGGATAGGGGAAAGGACGTATCGCCTGTCTGCTACTTGCACAAGGGCTTTGCCAGCCGCATGCGCACTGCGGTTTGGATGGAGGAGTCGCGAATTGGTCAATGCCATCTGGGGCGATGGTCGGTGGTCAGAGTGTTAAGGCCTAGCTTATCGTGATCTAGGTACTACATCCGTACTTGAGATACGGTGGAAAATAGCAAAATGAAGAGCACTGTTATCAGAGCCTCCAGAATGCATAACCGTCTCACAACATGCAGTGCATTCGCCTCCTTCGATTATGTCTGCTACTTTCCTCTATATTGTACTACGTACTATTCACCTCGACCGTCCTCCCGTCCCCCTCCTCCACCCCAAACAACTTCAAAACACTATCCATCTTAAACATCCTCGCGCAATCCACCGCATTCGGCTGCCCTGCCCGGATATCCGCACCCGCCTCAAACAGCACCTTCACCACCTCATCCCAGCCCTTGAACACTGCGCCCGCGATCGGGCTCTGGCCCCTCGCATTCAGCACATTCGCATCTGCGCCAGAATCGAGCAGCAGCTTCGTCGTCTCTTTGTGTCCATGATACGAGGCTAGCATTAATAGTGTGTCCCCTTGTGAATTGGTGAGGTTCTTCGGGACGCCGGCGGAGAGGTACTGGGACAGTGTGGTTGTTTCGCCGCTTCGTGCTAGATCGAATAGCTTTGCGGCGAGGTCGAGGGCTGCGGCGGGAAGGTCGGAGGGAGATTGCGGTGCATTTGTGCTTGTGGAAGCTCCGTCTGTGGAGGGCGCTGCGGCGCCGTTGGTTTGTTCGGATGCCATTGTGGTGGACTGGTTTCGCAATCTGTTCTATCGGGATGGTGGTTTCTGAGAGCGATCGTGCCTGCAAGGCGAGTTGTGTGAAAACTTCACATAGTGAAAGCCGAGATTGTAATGCTCAGTAAGAGCCGTGAGTAAAGCTCTATGACATAACCACCGCTGTGAAAGTCGCGCACGGACGCCCGCATATCTTGGCGTAGATTGGCCGCGACTTTCGTTCATTGAAGCACCTCGAGTACAGCTTTATTTCTACCAAGCCACGACTCGTCCAACCCCTAGGCTGCGCGTACCCTACCTACGCCAAATCTCCAGCCCAAGCTTTAGGAATAACGACGAAAATGGCCTCACCACCCCACGTCCCGCAGCTCAACATCCCCTCCCGCAAACGGTCATCTATCTCCAGCATCTCGTCGGCCGCCAAAAAGCGCAAACCCTCTGGCCTCCGCCACACCTTTGCTCCCGAGTCCGAAGTTGCCGTTGGCTCGCCTCTCCGCTACTCGCGCTCACCGTCAGCCGACAGCGTAGCCACGGGTTCCGTTGCTGGAGGAAGGAAGCGCAAGAGAAGAGATGGAGACGCAGTGAGCGTAACGGGGAGCAGTGCACGCGGCGGGAAGGCAAGGAGCGCGGTAGATGGAGGCGCAGGAGGAGAAGGAGGCGAGGGAGAGGAAGGAGAGGAGCTAGATGATGAGGACTTGGAGGAGGAAATGGACGCCGTGCTTGAGGGTGGGAAGGCCACAGACGCGACCAAGAAGCAGGAGAAAGAGCATGAGCGGTTCGTCTGCCATCTCCCTCCATCACCTCTTCCAACTCCCCCGCCATCCCCTCCCTCACCCCAAGATGCTAACGAGGATGTGGACAGGATTCTCATGCAAGCCATGGACGCCGACCAATCCGAGCGCTACGCAACCTACCGCCGCATCCGCCTAAAGCGCGAAACCGTCCGCAAACTCGTCAACCAAACCCTCTCCCAGTCCGTCCCGCAGCCCGTCATCATCGCCGTAACATCCTACTCCAAAGCCTTCATCGGCGAGCTGATTGACATGGCGCTCACGGTCCGCGACGAGTGGACCGCGGCACGAACACACATCCCGAACCCCGATCTACCCCCCGCAGTCCTGATTGCAGGCCTCCATGAACCCTTCGGTCATAGGAAGGATAGCAAGCCGAGCAGCATGCAGATCCAGCAGGCGGGCTATTATTTGAACCAGGTGGACAAGGACGCGGGCTTTTGGAAGGAGATTGCGAAGGATGCGACGCTCCAGGAGCGCTTGAAGGAGTGCGACAAGGGGCCGTTGACGCCAGCGCATCTGCGCGAGGCGCTGAGGCGGTATAAGAGGGATAGGGAGGGTGGTGGTGCGGGCTTTGCGGGATTGAGTCTGGAGGGGCCGGAGAGGACGCTCGCGAGGACGGGCGGGAAGAGACTGTTCCGTTGAAGCCGAAAGTGGCGGTTTTCATCTTGGTATGGGGTGGTGAGGATGCGTGTATCATCCGGGATCAAATCGGCAATGAGAAGGCGCCTCTTGACTGGTTCTTCCACATTATTTGCCCATACCTCAACATAAGTCCTCCCAAGAACGATCTTGAGCGGCGAGCTTCAGTCATAGTACATTGCATGCATAGCGTGGAGTTCGGAGTATAGGCCTCATGGAGGCTTAATCCTGATCATACTTGAGTAGTATACCCTCGGGACAATCATATCAGGCAAATCTCATTCAGCTACTTCGTTGTTCCAGGGATGACAAGAGCTCATGCGTTCCCTTGTGGGAGGAGTCCTTAGAAGTCCCTTTATGGCGGGTTAACGATCTCAGTATCACCTCATCAAGGCACACGGGAGGCACATCATATTGAAGAGACATCCTTCTGATTGGGATATTTTGCCATGACAGCTACGCTAAGCCATCATCCACCCACTACACCTGAATCGTGAAGAAAAGACCCGTAAGAAAGCCCTCCGAAACACTTAGTTCTCATCAAGCAGCTCCCGGAAGCTCTCGCCAGCGCGCTCCTTGCCCGCAGCATTCTCGGCCTTCACCTGGCCCAGCTTCTTCTCAGAGAAAGCCTTGGCGTACGGGTTGAGGCGGAGCTGCACCTGGAAGTTGCGGAGCGGGTTCTTCTTCTGCACGTGGGTGCGCTTGCTAATGGCGCCACCGCGGACAGGTCGGAGAACCTTCTGGATGTCGCTCGAGTTGATGAGCTTGCTGAGGTCGGGTTGCTTCATGATGGTTGAGGGGAGGAGGAAGTCCTTCTTCAGCGCCGAGGGCTCGGTGGTTGAGCCGTAGATCTTGTCGAGAGCAGAGAAAGCCGCCGACGTCCAGACGATGAAGCGGCCAAGGTGACCACCGGGAGCGAGCTGGAGAAGGTTGAGCGAGTACACAGACGAGGTCTCGACGCCCGGGATGTTGCGGAAAGCAAGGACAAGCTCCTTGCCATCCTCCTCCGGGTTGTAGATGACGAGAGGACCGCGGCGCTGCTTGTGACGGCGGCCTCGCATCTTGCCCTTTCCAGCACGCAGCTTGCGCGACTTCTTGACCTTCTCGATATCCGATCCAGCTCCGACGGCCTTCAACAGCGCGACGGCAGCAGAGGTCTTGCGGATAGCACCGTCAGCGAAAGCGGTAGAGGAGATGACGAGCGGGACTTCCGGAACGGTGGAGATGTTGTGACCGCGGGCAAGGAGGAGCGCAGCGCTGGAGGAGGCAGCAAGCGCGGAAGCAGTGGCGAAGCGCTTCTGGTTGAGGTTGATCTTCTGGTGCCACTTTCGCCAGACCTTGGTGGGAGCGAACATGCGACCAGACCGGCACATGTTACCGAAAGCAGCCTGACCAGCACGGTGGGTACCGCCTCCAGAGACACGCGGAATACGGGCAACGGCACGACCAGTTCCCCAGGACTCGGCCGAAGTTTGGTGACCAGCCTTCTCCGAGCTGTATTTGGTTAGATGGGGACGAATGCTGTAAATAGCTGGTGACTTACACGGCGTAGGGCTGTCGGCGGTTCTTGTTCATGCCAGTGTGGACCGTATGAACGATATCCGGGCGGATGGGGCTCTGGAGGATGTTAGCATGCTGAAGAAGTCTCACAGCTGGGTGGATTAAATCTTTCGCAACTGAAGGACCTCAGTGAGGGTAAGGAAATTGTAGAATGACTGGAGATAACATGTGGAGATGTGCAAGCCTCCGCGACATCCACTCCCACGCTTGTCCGAGAATCCTGTTTCGTAGGCCTTGAGAAATTGAAACCCAGGGAGCCCTATTGCTCAGAAACACTTCCAATCCATCTTCTCAGCTATGCGGGGAGTTGTCGGACGTCGAGGCGGAGTGTGCGATTCGAGGATGGAGAGCTGCGTCGAAGAACTATCGTGAGACTTGCCTTGAAGACATTGGGAATCGGCGCGGTATCTTTGGAGGCCTCTCCATTGGCGGAGATGATGGTGACGGTCGGCCTAGACATGGTGGGCGTTGGGGTGGAGCTCCTGCTGTTAGTACCTGTCGTTGAGGTTGAAGCAATCCGGAACTTTTTGGTGTGTGTTGCCAAGACTTTCTCATCGACCTAAGCGAGCGCATCACGGGATGCGCTAGCTGTTTCGGGACGCGAACGATCAACGAGGCAATTTGGACAAGGGACACACGGGACGCAGATTCAGGCGGCTGGAATCCATCGTAATGACTCCAGCCGAACGTGGGGTGCCAGAACTTCGCTAGGAAGAATGTGAAGGTATGGCGGGAAGGACAAAACTTCAATAATGGATCCTCTTCCATACAGATCGAAGATCGAAGCTATACAAGATCTCATATTCCATCACATATATGACTTGATGGTTTGGTCATGTACCATCTCCAACCTCAAGCTCGCTAGGTAAATATGTACCGGGGAGGTACCAAGTAACGGTATCTGAGAGCCGACGGGTTCCTCAAACGCATTGCCCGATTGAGTGTCATGTATACCTCTCGTCGACCACGCAGCGACTTTCTATTCGTCCTCTTTGCTACTCCTCAATCTCGCTCGAGGTCTGCTGACCGCTTCTCACACGCTCCAGGGAGACCCGTAGCATGCCGTACGCCCGAATACAGTGTCGTCCTAGGCAGCACTCTCATCCCACACACCGCCACAGGCTGTGCCTCATGCGCCGCTCCTCGGAAGTACTCCTTGGACTTTGTTACGGTCTCCGGTTTCGATATCAGAGGTGGTTTCCGGATCCGGACGGTACTTGGTACTTCGCACCGGTGCGTCCTTGGTCGGGTTGGTTTCCATTCAACCAGTGAAGGATCCGGCAATCCTCTGGTGAGAGGAGACGAGAGCTGAGTAGATGTGGCGGAAGTCCCACGGGTTCCGGAATACCAACACGAAAGAACTCCTGATTGCTTCAACGATTTGGCAGACTGAAGCAACGGAAAGAGGTCCTGTGCGACATGTAACCCAATATTGCCGTTCCCGGGAGCAGAAATCAAGTAATTGACAGTTCGCGTGACAGCGCTCTCACAAATAAGCGTCTTGAAACTGTGTTGACCAGATGACGAATATGCGTTGTCGCAAGTTTCGCGACCTCACCCCGCCAACCAGTGGGCCCGGCAGCCTCGCGTTTCACAATCACTTCTGTTGTCGGACAATTCTCTCTGGCCATAATGGAGCGGGAGTCGAATGAGAGTCCGAGGCCCGGTGCAGGATAGAGCCGCACGACGTGTGGTCGGGGTTTTGCGGCGAGGCCGAGTGCCGCGCTGCGCTGGACGGAGGATGCAAACATCAAAGCGGCAGTCTCCCGATGTGCAGTGCGTGCAGAAGCTGGAGACGAGGCGCGGAGTATGTGGATTGTGTGGATTATGGGGTCGCGAGACTGCGCGGTGCCCAGCGGGCCTCGAGGTATAAGGCTGCTTATTAGCAGTTCGGGCCGCCGCCGTATAGTAGAGCAGACAGGCTATTTTTAGCGGGGCCGTCCCTGGGACAAAGAGCCATCGGCGCAGTGGCAGCAATGCGACAGCAATCACATCCCCGCATACAGGACGACGTCCAGACGTCTCCGCAAACTCCAAAGATGCATTCGTGGCCGCAATCTGGGTAGGGCTGGACCGGCCGCATTGCGCGCGCGCTGCATTCTCGCTGTCGAGCAGGCCGGCCGTGGCGCACGGTTCGCCCGTCTAAGAATATCCAGCACGCGCATTGGCTGGCCCGTAGCCGCTCACCAAGAGGCCCTCGACCTGCTCTGGCTACTCTCCTTCAATCACCAGCGAGCGCCGCTACAGCGCACACCTCCTCCTCCTCCTCCACGAACGCACCTCGCCCGACCACGGCGGCTGCGCCAGACCGACTTCCTCGCCCGCTCCCCCAAGTCGGTCGCACCTGCCCTCAACTCCCATCCAGGTGGACGCGCTCCGGTCTCTCCTTCCCACGACGAAATCGACTCCCCCGGCCGTCGCTTCTCCGCCTTCCTCGCCGCCAAACCCAGGACGCCCTGCACACCCGCGCTCCGCCGACCCTTCGTCCTCTGCGCTGCCCTCCAGGAACAGGCGCGTCGCCTGGCCAGTCGCTCTCTACGGCGCTAGTCGAGGATCTGGTATTCTCGTTTCAAGTCACCACCAACAGCGGCCCGCCTCTGTTGTTGGACGTCGGTGCGTCAGGCCCTTCTTTCTGTGCCCCAACTCTCAACTCCCTCTGTCTCTCTACCCGCCCGCTGTTTGCTGTTTGCTGTATCCGGTATGTTGTAAACGCACTGCAGCCGTTGCTGCGCCCTCTGCCATTCCTCCCGTCGTAGCATGAGCACTCTCACCCACCACTCTACCCCGTATCCTCTCGTCGCGCCCCAGCGGACGGCCCGCACGTATCGTGTACTTCGTAGCCCTGCAGCGGAAGCCAGTCTTCTGCTGCAATGGCAACAACGGCGACAATGGTTCAGAAAGCTGACAGTCCCACTCTGAAAAGGGCTCTTGCGCCGCCTAATACTTCCTTCCCTTCGAAGAAGACCGAGCACGCCTTTTCGCGTCCGCCCACTCCACCCTACCACGCACCGAATCCACCGCGTTGGCCTCGTAGCACAGGCAGCCGTCCGCCCAGGTCGGGCCCACCCGCCAAAGCCCGCAGAGCCAGCATGCAAACCAGCCCAAGGACGTTCGTGCCGATGCCCTCGTTCGGCGCGGTATTCGGAGAGGACGCCAGTACTGGATTCAAGGCACTATCGGAAGCAGAAGGCACCAGCGCACATGGCAGCCACATAGGACGGCCTTCTTCGAGTGGGAACCCCCACACCGTACCCTTTTCCTCTTTCCACATTCACCGCGACAGCCGGGACAGCACGTCGACCGCGTCTTCAGATAACTCGCCGACGACGACGATATCGACTATGGACTCTTCTTCAGTGACAGACCCGTCACCAGGACCATCGCCAGAGTCGCCCATTGCCAAAGCTGCGCCGACTTCGTTCGTAGCAGATTTCCGGTCGCGGAGAGCAGACACCGGTCCGCAGGACTCTTCACCCAATACCTTCTTTGAGCTACAGCGGCCCACCACTCCAGCGAAGAAGCCTCGGAATCTGAAGAACCTCGGGATTAACACGTCGACTTCGCTGACCAATCTACGCACCAACCCTACGGCCTCGCTGCCTGTCATCGAGAAGAAGGAAAAGAACAGCTCAGCGCCCCCATCGCCATCCTTCATCAAGCCACCAACACCGCCTAAGCGACGGCCGTCAAATCTGAGCTTGACCATCTCGACGCCCGGGAGCAATGAGAACAAACCCATGAGGTTGATCATCCCTTCCACGCCGGCCCTCAATCGCCCAGCGCTTCGGCACTTTCAGTCTTCGCCTTCTTTGCCGCTATGTTCGCCCGCCGTGGGTCCATCAGGTGGAATGCAGCTTCCGTCACTTCGCCCTATCAAAACCAATCCCTCTGGCCTAGCCGAAGTGCCGTACGAGATGGAAGAAGAGGAGGACCAAGAGCCGAACTTCGACATTCCACAGTCTCGCGAGGAGAAACCCGCGGCGTATCCGAACGGTCCGATCTGCATATACCCTTCGGGCGTATTTCTGTATTTTGAACCGACGGCTGAACAAGCTTGCACTTTCGACGTCATCATAAACGTTGCCAGCGAAGTCAAAAATCCGTTTACCACGCCACCTTCCGACTCAATAAAAGATTTGGATGCGAGGCGAGTGGATGGACCTCCTGCGGAAACCGTCGACTTCGCGTGCCTTCCTGAGCGCACTAAACCCTCCTCAATTGATACGCAGAGCAGCTCACCCACGACACCGAAGGCCACACCAATCTTGGAGACTTCACAGCCCATCGAGCACGTCGTGAATGGCAAAGCCTACAAGACTCCGGAGTATATTCATATGCCCTGGGAACACAACACAGACATTGTGCCAGATTTGTTCAAGTTGGTGAAGACGATGGACGACAGGGTACAGCAAGGAAAGCGCGTCCTCGTTCACTGCCAATGTGGTGTGAGCCGTTCCGCCAGTCTGATTGTTGCTTATGGGCTCTATAAGAATCCGGGTATGAGCGTCCAGGAAGCATACGACGTCGTCAAGAAACGCAGCAAGTGGATAGGGCCGAACATGAACCTGATCATGCAGCTTCAGGAGTTCCGTAACGCGCTATTGAGGGCGAACGAAACGAGGCCGTACCACAACCAACCATTTGGAGCGCGGTCCGCGGGTCTGCGTACGGGAGTCTCGACCACGACTAATCGGCACTCTCCATTCGAGAGAGACATGCCTACAGGGGCTAGAACCCCACGTACCGCGCCCTTACCCCCGGAAACCGACGTAAACATGCAGCGTGCCAGCACCGGGAATATCATGTCCATATCATCCGGCCCTCTGTCCGCACCGTCTGGTTCGTCTCTCTTCTCTCCGGGATTTCGACAGTCATGGGCTGCTAGTCAGACTCATTTCGACTTGTCTCCGAAGTCTTCGCCAAAGACTACACCCTATGTAGATCCCAAGGGCCATGTTGTGCCAGTGCTCTCCATCACCGATGATGACCGGTCCGTTCTCCAACCCGAGATCCCCGCCTTATCTACCGACCACAAGCCAGAGGCTGCGGAAGATGCGAGCCTTAAACCACTCGTAGTGCCGAACTTCTCTCGGCAGCTCCCACTCAGGAAACACGATGCTGCCGCTGAACCCGAGCGACCACGGACATCACCTAGCCCACGAGACTTGCATGTTTCTGCCCAGCCGCTTGGCTTTGGTGCATTGCGATCTCCTGCGGTCTCCAGCTTCAGTATCCCTCGATTAGCCCCAGACCATTCAAATGACCCGCCATTATTGTCTCCGACGAAAACGGAGTTCAGCATCAACCCATGGTCTCGAGGCGATGGCATGGACTCTGAACCATCTCCAGGGTTATCAGATCTGCAACCTGCGCCTCCGCCAATGTCTCCTAGGGCTGACGAATTCCACATGGCTGCACTCAATCAAGGCGAAATAGACGACTCTTATGGACTCTTGTCTCCTCGCGCTACCGGCTTCACCCTTAGCCTGCAACCCGCCGCACCCTCCTTCGCTCCTGGGAATAGATCTTCTCAAGACTACGATCTCACGTCCCCTATCAAGACAGAATTTCCCAAAGACATGTGGGCACCCAGCGATAACATGCTAGACGCAGAAATGGCATCCCCGAGAGCTGCCGAGTTCCACATGACGCCCTTGAAACCGAGGGTTGCTGACGAGGACCCGTTCGGTTTGGCATCTCCAAGACAGTTCGATTTCCCACCTGACCTCCTCAAGAAGTCTGATCTAACCCCGCCACGGAATGCCAAATACGATGCACGACGTCCTTCGTTCCAGGCTATTCCACCTCCCTCCCACCTAGCACAGCCCGAGGCAGTCAACGGTTTCGCTTCACTCAATAGCACCGCCCAAGCGCCACCAGTTATTCATGCTCCGGTTGCCCCACCAAATCTCCAGTTCTACAAAACTCCAGACCTGCCAGCGCGAATCGACAGTTTGAGCACATCACCAGAACCACAGGCCCCGGAATCCACAGACGCGCCTACATCCAGCCTAGAGGCTTCACTGAAAGAACTTCCGGTGACGCCTACAACGCCGGAGCATTCGGCATTCCTCTCGACTCCGCTCCGACAGCCCGCTATTCGCACCAGGTTCTCTTCTCCCAACATGCGCGAACAGCGGAGACTCCACAAGCTACAAACGGAAATGGAAGCCATGCTCCCCAACCGGGTTCTCTATCCACCACAGGCCGCGGTCGACCTCGATGCGCTCATGTCCCCGCGTGCAGAGGAGTTCACTCGAAATCCCTTCCACGTGGATCTACGGTCTTCTACCGACGATAACAGCCCGGCGTCGTCGAATGAGACGGTTAAAGATGGTCAAAATCGCACTGACTGGACGGAAAACCGCCAGTGGACTCCTAAGAAATCGCTCGAGGAAGACCCACGCAGTCCGGTCCAAACGGGAAGCAGCCCGATCGTGAGGAATATCTGGGACGTATTACCGGTATGATTACCGTCGGCTCGGTACCCTCATTCCCTATCAAACCGATTCCTGCAAGTTACGATACGGCTCGCTTGGCCTCCCACGGCGCACTCCGATATTCGTCCAACGGTGGCGCGTCGGTTTTTCGGGCCAAAGCTGTGCCGCGTCGTGGAAAGGGGGATCAAATCGCTGCTGAGCCCTAATCTCCCAGCCGCGTAGGATCAGCATCCTGAGCGGTAGGCGCCGGTGATTGCCGCGCCATGGTTAGCGCCCAGCCACCAACACTCGGAGCACAGCCCTCTCGAGCCCGCTGCTCCTGAAACAAAATACAGAAGCAGCAAAGCCTTGCTTCGCAGACGTTCACTCTCGTCCTACGGGATTTTCCAGTCGCCAACTCGAGCGTTTCGCACGCCGAGCCACCAACTATCTCCTTGTTTGCTGTTTGCCGACATTCTCTCACTCTTTGCAATTCCTCTTTCTTTCGACTCCAAGCGACATTACGAGTTTTGCGGAGCTTAATACGAGTTACGTACCCCTTAATGTTATAGTCTCTAGTCTCTAGTACGAGCGATCGCCTGCCGACTCGGTCATTGACTCCGCATACCACATTCTCTACCTCTTTCCTGGATCTTCCTATCATCGACCACACGCTCTCTGTGCGCCTCTTCTATCTGTCATCTCTTCATCCTTCTTATTTATCTCATGATCAGCGCGCCATATTACGACGATCGCAAAGCGGACACACCGTCGCCCGTGTTCCTCCCACCCGGAAACATTGTATATAAGCAACGAAGGGTGGGGATAAAGGATTCTTGGGGTTCGGGAGCTGTGTCGCATCTCTTATGTTGCTTTGGAATTCCTTTACAGATTACATTCGCCGCGTCCTCAGGGACAGGTCTAGGGGAAGGCTTTTGGATTGGTATAAGCCTTGGAGTACTTACTACGCGTTGGCCTGCAACCTTGGTATCGGAAGGATAGACTCCGATGCGGAAAACGGATAGGAAAATCAGTGGTGATGGTACCTTTCTTTTTGACTTGACAGTGGGGAGGAGGGAAGAGGGATCCCTCGAGTAGATGAATGAAATATACATTTTCCACGTTCAAAGCATGTACGTGCTATCACGCGTGATGCGACCCATTCTTTCATTCTTTTCCCTAGGCTTCCGCATCCTTAAACGGACTTCAGTGCGATCCAGGGTCTTTGCGAAGCTCACACCGAGCTATCTCTGCTCTAGGCGATACCTCGACGCAAACAGTTGCAAACAAGAAGACTCCGAGGTCAATAAACGATACGGAGTTCACGTGGAGACGGTGAATATAACCATGGCCACTCGAGGCTCTCTTATCAATGTAGGCTATCCACAATACGAGGCGCATTTTCCTTATCCCACGTGGAAACCGCATTTCATCCTACCAATCATGCCAACCCGAAGTCATCACCACAGCTTAAACTGCTTCCGCCTTTAGTCAGCATAACTTCTACAGGTTGGTGACTCAAAACGAGAGAAATCAATCGATCAATTAGCCTCAACTCTACAACGTATTCTCTCATTATCCTTACCTGCCGCACGCCTGCTCGCCATCGCTGAAATTGGGATTCTAACAGATCCTATTTCCCCAGGTAAGAAGAGGGAAGTATGTCACTCGCTCACCGAACTAGTCAAGAGTCTGGAGTGGCTTACTTTGTCCCTCGGACTCCGCTGATCCTTGCCGGTTGCGGATGTGTGAGAGGTTGTAGTACGGTACTCCGTGTATGTGCGGTAAGCCGCTTAAAGGTAGGGTCTCTGCTTATTCGGATGCGGGGTATGCGTAAACGAGGAGGGTAGGTAGTACGAGGTAATGAGAGGGGGTGAGATTCCATCAGGTGCTTGCTTGCTTACGTCTTCAAGAGGAAAACCTGGGGTTGGATGGCATGTGCCATATGCCCATTCCGTCCAAAGGCAGGTCGTGGCCTCCGCGACAGCCATTGGATTTCTTCTGCCTTCTTTTGCTTGGCCGTACCCCGATATTAAAAAGGCTTACCATTCCTCCTCACACGATAATACGGAGTCAGCAATATCGAGGTTGGTCGAATGCGTAGCGCTCCAAGCTTCTATATGAGCGGAGCGAGGAAGGATTCATCGAAATGTCTGCTTTGATGGACGATGAGGATTTATCGAATACTCGGTGCTGGAAAGACGGATGATGAGGGAGTTTTGGGCGAGCGAGTGGAAGAAGGGCGTATAAAGAGGGGAGCGGAGGAGATGGTTTGGAAGGCACTCACTCACTCAGGACCAAGCATCACTTCAAAGTAACGTATATATACGATCCTGTGAAAATACTCCACCATGCAACTTCGCAGCACTCCCTTCCTCCTCGCTCTTGCGGCCGGCATGGCTTCTGCAGCTGACCTTCGCGGGTACTTTGAAGGCAATTGCGGAGGCGGATACCTCCAGTGTGGTAATGTGGGAGCTGGGGTATGTGCTTCCCCATTTCCTCTATTCATTCCATCCAGTCCGGCTCGCTCAACTCCCCTACTAATTCTTTGATTCCGTCCCCTCCCTACCCATCCTCCATTCTCAAGGAAACCACAAACTAACCACAATGCGAGCCGCAGACCTGCTGCATCATCCTACGCGAGAATGGGCTCCGCGGCTCCCCGTCCATCGCCGTCGTCTTTGCCGGCACAGGTACCCAACTCTTCGGGTATCAGCGCACACGTGACGGGAACTCATGCGGGTCTATCGCAGCGCAGAAGGCTACGGGCGGACTGAGTTATACGTGTATGTAACCAGCTTCCTTCCTTTTCCGTCCACCCACCACCCCGCTGACTCCTCTTTCCTGCAGGCCTCGACATCCCCGCTGGGACCGGCGAGTTCTCCGGCACCCGTTGGTACCCTCCGGGTCTCTTCCTCAAGCGCTCCCCGGCGACCTCGTGCGCTCCAACAAGCACGGAGGAATGCACTGGGCTCGCCACACCGGACCTGGTTGTGCTGAATGACGGACATGCGTTCGGGCTGACGGGTGTGGATGACGCGACTACGGAGGTGCTGTATGCTTTTGCGGCGAATGGGTCGACGGTAGCAGATTTGCCCGAGAGCGTTGCTGGGCTTGAGGTAGATGGGGAGGGCGTGGAGGCGAGAGTGAGGATGATGCGGAACTAGGGAGTGGAGAGCTCTGAGCGACTAGCATGAATGAGTGCTATAGTCGAGATGGACGGGTTGTGGAATCCTGCTCTTGTAGCCGCTGGAGAGAATGCTAGGTCGGGCTACCTCTCGCGTACGAGTAGTGTGTGATGCACCACCACTCACCGTCGGTGTGGAGCTAACATCATGTGCCACCGCGAATGAGTAATCGTCGGTGGTTAATCTCTCAGTGGTCAGGAGGTAGACTTCGCAGGAAGAATAGTCTTTCGATCCTGGATCGCTACCAGTCTTTCCTTGGTACGCAGCTCTGCTGACGTTGTGGTGTCTTGTGAGATGGTGTAGTGGATGCATAGGCTAGAGCTCCCCTTGCCTGCCCTTTGAATAGCTCTCGGTATTCGAGACCTAGATAGTACAGGGTCCAATTCTAAGGAAAAATCAGCAGAAGGTCTAGGTGGTAACGGTGAGAGCAGGCGCGTTCAAGGCTATCAGGAAGCTCTCAAACGGACGTGTGCGTTGTGTCTCGTACCTTTACGCGGACTCTCTTTTTCTAGACCACCCAAAACCAGATGGCCCTGATTGATTGATTGATTTTTCTCGTTTTGAGTCACCAAACTATAGAGGTTATGGCCCTGCCGAGCCTCCGTCGTGGTACCTTGAGGCTTATCATGCTGAGAAGGTAAAGGGGTATACGTATCCTTGTACTCATTGGAAATGTCCAAGAGTTGGTCAACGTCTGCTACAAGGCCATCTTTGATCTCGTCGCTTAAGTCACCTCGACCGGAAAGAGAATTTAGCTTGCCGATGAGTAAGTGCTTCTCCATGTGGAAACTGTGCATTAGCCGTGCACGGCATCGCACTACGTTCTTGTGATAGGTGTGCTCCATGTCATCCGATTGATATCCCTCCTCATTGGAATGGCTAGTATCCTCAGCCTTTTCGTCTTCAGCGTCGTTGTCTTGCTCCTTGTCCGAGAAGCTATTTCTCACGGGGGAATCGTATTCGGAATCCGCGACCTCATCCGACGGGCGTATAGAATCCCCAGGTCGGTATTCATCATCGGACTCCTCACTCCCAACTCTAACACCTCCGCCAGACATCCTAGCCCTCTTCCCAGGAACAGAGTCCAGGTGCGGTTCCGGCGAAGAGGCCCGCCGTTTCCCCAGTCCCAAGGGAGAAGGACCAGGATCGAACTCGTGCTTCAGACCTCCTTGAAGATCTCCAAGGGCGGCGATGTCTGCGCCGCCGCCGTTGCTCGAAAGACTGCGCTCTTGAAAGGACCGTCCTCTTCCCAGAAGGCTGAGATTCTTGGACGACAGCCCACCATTAGATTCAAGCGCGCGGGGACAGGGACTCCCCGCCGACATAGGAGGAGGACCGAGTGAGGAAACAACTTCCATCGCGCTTCAGGTAGACGGAGACCAATTAGCAAACGATAGTGGAGAGACGTACGTGCGTGAGGCAAGGCTGTCCGATTTTGGAATCCGCGCTACGATCGATCGCGCTAACCTCTTTCAGGCCGCAGCGAGCGATCAGGCGAGCATGAGTCAGACGAGATTAAGTGCACACTCAACTCACTCCGTTTTCGCGATCCGAAAGATCTGGCGCCCGACAAAGATGATGGGATGGATGGGAATGGGGTGGCGAAGGAGGTTTAGGCATCCTGCGGTTTTTGTACAAACCCGAACCGAAGCACTGTGGTGGGAAGGCTAGCTGTTACTCGTCTATCCTCGTCCTCGTAGGCACACCATTTGTCTAGGGGAATACCATACCTAGAGGACTTCAAAGGACGACGTGCGGGCGGGCACTAGAGGCCACGAGCATAGCCAGACAGCTTCGACCTCCATAGCACAGACACGATAGACAAGGGCCAAGTTATTTGTTGTATGAGGATTCATTTCCATTCATTCCCTTGCTACACTAGTAGCGGAGCTTGAACTAAATCATGCTCTACGCGAATTCCCCCATAGATAGCCATACCCTTCCCTTCCCAATTCCTATAGTCCTACGATCCCATTCCATTCCATATCATGGCCGTACGCACCCCATACCCCCACCAAATGAAAGATGAACCGGAACATCAATCATGTATGCTTTCGTAAATCATATGCAGCGAATGAGCCGTAGCGAGCGTGACAGCGTGAGCAGACAGAAGCAAGTACGAACGAAGTAGCGGAAGTGCCACTTAGACGCGAGATGATAAAAGGCCGCCTCAACGTAGGATTTAACTTGTATGGAATGGAGTAAGGAAACCGAATTGCGATAGCAAAACACAGGCAAGAACGGAGACGGGGAAGAGGGCGGGGAGAAAATACAAGAAAATCATTTCATTTACATTGGAACCACCTCCCAACCACGATGAGTCGGTAGTGCCACCCGGGTCATCGACGGTGGTGGCGGTTCGTTGGTGTTTGTAGAGATCAAGATAAGGGCAGGTAAACTGGAAATCGGACCCGCGACGGTATACCCAGGTTCCCGACGTATAGTGGGCTGTTCAAGCCTCGTGATATCGAAGATCAACCGTTTAAACTCCAGGACAGAGTTCGAGAGCCAAGCGTAGGTATCCCGCTGCACCCGATAATACGCTTCGAACGATGCCGTTCGAAGAAGTTACCACCTCGCGTATGTTGTTCATTCGTAGAAATGTCTCCGCTTTATCAACCATCCATAACCGATAAACTCCCTCAAGCACCATATTAGCGTCATGTTTGCTGCACTAGTAAACATACGTAGCATGTCGGCCTAGCGTAGGCTTAGCATACTCTCGATCACGCTCTAGCGGATCGCGGCCGCGTTGCGCGCTCCACCTGATGTCCTCGGGACCAATCTTTGGTGTGTATGAGACCTTTTCAGGGGAGAAGCTCGTCTGGCGTCGTGCGTTCTCGCGCCGGAGGTAATCCGAGTTGAGCTCTCCGTACAAACGGCGTCCACGATCGTCGCTACCCCGGATGGGGCTTACGTTCATCGTTGCGGCGCGGCTGAGTGGAGGTGGCGGGACGGAAGCTTTTGGTGCTGCGGTCGTATACGTTGCCGAGGCCGTTTCTACGGGCCTATTGGCTCCCATGGGAGGTCGTGATAGTGGCGACGGTGAGCGAGTGCGGTGGCGCCCGGGCTCGTGGAGCACCGTGCGGTGTCCATTTGCCACGCCCACATCCTCTGGGGTTAGGCGGACACCTCCTCCAGGTGTTGGGTAGTAGTACTTCTTGGTGGAGGATGACTGCGCTGGCGGCACGGTGGGATACGTTTCGGGGCTGCTAGCGCCGGAGTCATGCGGAGTGGTTGATTCGCGAAGGCCAGAAGGACGGGGCACAGCCGCTTCTTTTCTGCGCGATGATGAGGATACAGGCGCTGTCTCGCGACGTAAGAGGGGTGTAGGAGATGTCTCCGTGCGGCGGTGGTCACGAGATGACTCCGTGTAGGATCGCTGAGGCGTTGCGCGCGGCACATGCAGCTCGGCTGGCGATGAAGAAGCGTGCTTGAAGGACGGGATTTTCGGGACCCTGTCATCGTCCCAATCGACGATCTCAATGCCCTTGCGGTCCCGTTCCCGGCCGGACTCTTTCGGGCGTGCCGACGACCTGCGGACGGCTTCGGGTCTTTCTCGCCGAGAGCGGCTCTCGAAGTACTCTGGGCGGACATCTCGTGAGGAGGTGGTCCTGCTTGGTGACGGCCGCGCATCGGCGTCGGCCTTGGAGCGATGAATGTAATGGACGGCGTTGCTGGTGAGTTCGCTCGTCTTCCGCTCGCGGTCGTATCGGGCGTCTTCGTATGACCGACGGGACTCGTCGGCCTTCCTTCGGGCTTCAGCAGCCTGTCTGCGTGCCTCCTCTTCTTCATCGCGCCTCCTGTAGGCTGCCTCATAGCGAGCCTTATCATCGGGCTCGGAATCGCTCTCTACCGAGACGAACCTCCTCCCTCGGTCCTTACGCTCTTCCTTGTCGCGGGACTTCTTCTGGTCTGACCGTGTTCGATCCACGGATACCCTGGCGGCTCGTACTGGGGGCTCTTTCTCTGAGCGCGAAGGGCGGGATGACGAGCTGTGCTTGGGGTAAGCTTCATACGTATCGTACTTGCGGGAGCGCTCCTCGTAGTATCGGTCGCGCTCGCGGTCGTCGTAGGAGCGAGAGGAGGGTTTGTGCTGTTCGTAGCGGTGTGGCGTCGTTGCGGTGAAGGTCGCTCCTGCCGGGGCCTGTGTGCGCACTTCATAGCGGCCTGTTCGGACTTCGACGTTCGGCGCGCCGCCTTTCCTCGCGAGGTTGTCTTTGCGAAGCTGCTCGAGCTTGACTTCAGCGTCGTGCCTGGCCCGCTTCTCTTCGTCGCCGATGATCTCATAGGCCTCCTGGATCTTGTGGAATTCCTCCTGCTTCAGTTTCTTCAGAGACTCGTCTGTGACCTTGTCTGGATGGCATTTGAGCACCAGCTTCCGGTACGTCGCCTTGATGGTGGCGGTGTCGGCATCCTTTGCGACTCCGAGGGCTTTGTAGGGGTCCGGCGGGAGCGTCGATTCCATGGTCGGCGTGCGGGAGAGGGATCGTGGAGGAGCGGCGACGTGTCTTTCGCGTTATAAGTGCGGCGCGACGTCTGGGACACTCGGCGAGTCGGCGTGCGTGCCCAGGGACTGCGTAACATGCAAGTGAGAGCGGGATAATGCCGGTCGTGTGGCGGTGGTACGTGGCCCGGCAGAGGGTTCGGGGCGCGGGCAGGTGCTTCGTATGTCGACGATGGACGAACGGCGGGCGTTCGGTGTTCTGACGGTCCTTAAATGAGAGTCCGGGCTTTGCGACGTTGGACGTCCGTTGGGGGTGGTGTGGTTTGCAGGGTTGCCGGGGGGAGGGGGTGCAGCGATGAGGTGACGGGCTTGCTGAGGTAAGGCGGGATCTCTCTCCCCTGGCCCGCGTCTCAGAAGAAGGCCGGCGAAGCTGGTGGCAAGAGCGCTTTGCTTTGCTGCTGTGATTCAGGCCTGAATAATAAGCGGGGTGCCCGGGCGCCCGTCGCATAGAAGAGCAGCTTAGAAAGGCTGCGGCTGTGGAATGCTGCTGCTGCTCCGGATGTGTTGGTTTGGCGGTGAGCCTCGACGTCACTGGGTTTCAGTGGACTAGCGGACGAGAACGGAAGCCAACCTCGCGGAATGAGCGCGGTCGCAGGACACGCGGAAGATCAACGGAAAGGAGCAGAATCGAAGTGTGTGCGCGGAGGGTGCAGAAATGGCGGCGAGGTAATAGAATAAGCCTGCTGGGTGACGTTGGGGGTTCCCTTGGGGGTCGTCGAGTGCTAATATGGGCTGCGTCCAACCGACAAGGCGACGAGGCAGTCTTTCGGTGCGATAGATGGATGGCCCTGAGTTGCTCGGCCTCCCCTGCGCTCTCGAGGTCCTCTTACTCCGCGCAGGGCTGGCTGCGGATGTACTACAAATGCGCCATCACTCTTCCTCTCACGCTTCATCAGCGCACCTGCAGCTCCCGACACCTGAAGCAGCAGCCATCACGCAGCGTCAGAGCGCCGGGCTCCACACTATTACCTATTTACTGCACCAGACAGCTGCTGAGCTCTTGGTGTTGCAGCCCACTGGCCCGCTACACTTGTCGTGCAGCATGGTCGACCCACGGTGAAGGACGCTCCCACCAGTGCGAGAAATGCCTCCACAGCAGCCCTGAGCCACCTTTCGAATCGCGCAAGCCGCCTGCGAGGCCTGCACATGCACGTCTGCGTCGCCGGCCACAGCGGCTAGAAACAGTCGCCCAATCAGGCAGTGAAGCGGCCACATGGGCCGTTTGGGACCTGCAACCATCACCCGCCGTGATAGGCACGGCAAGACGCTCCTGCATCGATCCAGAAACCCGACGAAGTACTGCACCAGCCGATTGTAAACTTTGCTGCTCGATGTGACCAAGCCGGCCGTCCAATGAGAAAATGCTCGCGACACCTGCAAAGACATTCGCACGACGTGACCAACCAAAGCGCGATGGCCTGAGAAAAACGAAGCAGCAACAGTTTCTCGTTGCTTCCGACGCTGCCCTGATCACCTGCGAGCCTGGAGGGCCTCAACACGTTGCACATGGCGAGAGCTCCCGCGACCCCGAGACAGCGGAGCCCAGTGGATGATGAGAGGGTGCGGTCACGAGGCACCCGGCTAGCCCTGGAGCGTCTCCATGTCGAGAGCTTCGCCCTGTCCGCGTGCTGCGAGGATTGCCCTGATGGACCCGGCGGCTGCATCGCCAGGCAGACATTCTATCACCTCGATCCGTCCCGGATGGCAGACGTTAGCCTACGGTAGAGGCTCCGCGTGAGTGGTAGATAAGGAACGCGATGCGGGGGCGAGTGCGCCAGAGCGGGGCACCACTCGGTGGAGGACGGCCAATAGCGGCACCCTCGTCGCCCTTCCGGCGCCCAACACCACAGGTCCTCAGACGTGGGAGGGCGTGATTGAGCCGAGCCTCGTCGAGATGAATCTGCTGAGAGCTTCGAGTTATTGAAGCGTGGGAAGCTGATCTGTACGACGCAGTGATCTCATTCCGATCGCCGGGCGGATCTTGATGGCGGCTGTTTGCAGCAACCGACATCATGCCGCATTCTTCTCGAAGCTCCCGCTCCAAACGGGCAGATCGACGTCAACAACAATGGGCTTGTTGAACCACTTTGGCCCGCCAGCAATCCGCGGACCCAACAGCGCAGCATTGATCATGACCGTCTCCCTCCTCTCAACGTCCTCCACGTCAGGCTTATCCGCCAATCCGATATCGCTCGAGGCTGCAACTTGGCGATACTCAATTGCGCCCCCTAGCATAGCCATTGCCCTTCCCGTTGCCTCACTATACGCAACGCCCTCGCGGCGTGAGGTTGAATTAAGCCCACCTGCACCAGGCTGAGGGACACCAGGCTCGTCAGGCCGGCCCCCACAGGGGTCAACGCCCCGAATGAGGAACTCGGGGATATTGCTCTGACGTGTCAGCCTGCTACAATTGCCCAAAGGACGCCCTCCTTTCGCAGCAAGGTTGACCAGTGATTGCTTATTGCTGCCCGCCCCGGGGTCCTTCCATGCCTCAACGTCCTTCACTAGGCATCTATTTTCTGGGGGTGCGTCGTTCCACCACACCCGTTCCACCCCACGCGCTTCGTGGATATGGCCGAAGATAGAAAGCATTGGACGAACGCGGTGGAGTGCGTGAAGAAGGACCTCGCAGCCTGATCGATTGTCTTTTGTAGCTGCATCGCAGTGGCCCTTGGGCGGGGTATGGGTGACGACGACATCAGCATCGGATGGAATGGCCGACCAGAGCTTTTGAGCCTCTCCAGTCTCGTACTGGAATGCCCAGTTCCACTTCTTTGGCGTGCAGGGGCTTCCGTACACCTTGAAGCAGGTATGAGGGCCATTCGGGGCATTGAGGTAAATGGTGGCAGCCTCGTTCTCTAGGTACGTAATTGATTTCGATTCAGTGAACAATCTTCGACATTCTTCAGGGTCTTGTGGCCTCGGCCAGCGCCATGATGAGCCGTGCTGTCTATAGAAGTCCGCGTCGAGGGTTATGTCGTGGTTTCCTGATTGGGATCAGTCAATATTCAACAATCCACGGCAAGCAAAGGTGCAGTACCAGCAACAACGATCTTCGCCTCAAAGTCAGCCTTCTCCAGCCATTCAACCATCTTCTTCAGTTCACTATAGCTTCCTTGGTTCGTCAAATCCCCGGCGTGGATCAGCACGTCACCTTTCGGCAGCTTGGGCGTCTGCGTATGTGTGTCCGAGACGCAGACGATACGCGTCTTTCGTGTTGGAAGTTCCATACTGGGCCATATCTACTATTCGAAGAATCTTGGTCCGGTACGATTATCGACGAGCGTGTATCGAAACATGTAGTCGTGAAGGAACCTCGTGACTCAACGTTCACTGGCTTGATCTCAGGAAGCCTTCCAAGCAATGATCGAAGCAATCTGCAGCTAAACCCATTTTGCACTAGCGCACCCCACAACCTCTACCCACTTTTTCCACCTTGTTCGCAACGCCCCTCGGCGAATTGCTTCAACAGTCAATTGATCAACCAACTCAAATGCAGGAACTTTTTTTGCAATGACGCCCATGTGCGTCGGAAGCATCGGACCCACTATCCTCAAATAAGTCCTGCGCCACAGCTTCGTACGGATGCTCACGATCCGAGCTACATCGCCACACGTCGCTTCGACTGCCTGCTCGAGGTACTGTAATTGCTCGTATACACTCCAGGATGCCACGGAGAGCGGAAGGTGTCAGACACGCGAACGGGAGCTCGAAATGCGAGCCGTAAGACACAGATCTGGAAAGCCAATCCGAAGGTAAGCGGTGGACGAGATCTGCGCATCTGACTGGCTTGCCGGGACGAAGCTGAGCTGAAGACGGCGAGGGGCTCGCTAGGGATTTTCAGCGCTCACCGCAAGAGCTGGTGTCTGAGGGTTTACCCGACGGAAACTGTCCATTAGGTGGCGTTCATTATTGGGCAATTGGGATTCGGAGCAATGTAACCCTTGGCAAGGTTTAGGGTTCTCCAGGGGTGGTTGAGTCAGAACGACTCATTCCCACCGTTTCTGTCTCTTCTCTGGTACTACTCTTTCCAAAATTAGTTTCTGAATTCCTCAAGATATCCTCTACTCACTCTGGCATCCCGTGTTCGCGAAACTCCATTCCTCAATTCCACTCATCCCTCCATCATTATCATCCCATCTTGCCACCCCCAGGCAGCAGCCTTTCGCATTCCCGCACCCCGCAACTGTACCACCCCAATCTCACGCCTTTCCTAGCTCATCCAACGCTTCTCCTGCACTACCTTCCGCTTTCCGTAACTCTAGTCTGACATCGAATTAACGTTTGCTGCCCAACCAGAGGGGTTAGTGTGAGGGACTTTTCGATACTTGTTGATAGGTTTCACCGCAAGATCATAGTACAATGGGCTGGTCCACTGGAGCAGAGGAGGCTGATAAGGGTGTGTGGGAGCGGTGTAATGATGGTGAAGCGTGGGATTTGGTAACGACACGAACGACGGCGCCCTGCGTCTTGTCATGATTGATATACAAGAAAAATCTGCTTTTAGTGCTGAACGTCTGAAAGGACGCTAAAGCCCGCCGGGAGTAAGTATCTCCATGCCGCCCTTGCACCTACAGTCGACCTCCTGCCTTCCTCACACTGATCGCTAGGGGTCCCCAATTGAACGTACTGCATGGTGAGATAGGGAACACACAATATGAAGCAGCGACCCAAGTCCAGAGAACCGAAAGCGCTTCAACCATGAACCCCACCCTCCAAAACCCTTTGAAGCCCCTCACAATCACCTACCCACGTTCAACTGGTCCTGGCGCTCGCCAGGCGGCGGCTGCGCCGGGGCCTCTGCATGACCGGCTGCCCCAACCCCTCCTCGGAGGCTGGCGAGTAGGTCGCTATCCACCAGGTCTGAGAAGTCAACAGCATGTCGGCGCGTAGACCGACGAGCATTCCTAAACTCCTTGATGCGGCCCGTCTTGTAGTTCTGCTCCCAGTACAGCGTGCCGGCGGATCGATCCAGGACGACGAATAGCCTCATGAGGGTCCTCTTGTGGTGGAATACTGCGATAGTATCGAAGCCCTGCGAGCGCATGTAGTAGCACAGACGGAGGGCCTCGCGCGCGGAAGGGTACTTGTTCACGGGGTCGATGGATTCGGTAAGGGCGCGCGCTTTTGCCGCGTTGAGCGAATCCGCTGCGCAGGTGTCGAGGTACCTGAGCACGCCACGCTGTGCTCTGATGTAGGCAAGTGACTTTTTGCTCTTATCCTCCTCGTCTCTGTACTTGGTCTCTTCGAGCGCGGGAACGAGCGTAACGATCGGCTTGAGCTCTTCAGGCGCCTTGTTCTCCCGCGGCGGCAGAGGCTTCTGCGGCGCTGCTGGTGGTGGCCCTTCCATGTCCATTCTGAAGGACTCGACTCGGGCTCTGAATTGTGCGAGTAGTCGGAGAAGCTCCGGTGTTTGCGCAACCGTTGAAGCGCTGAGTGGGGAGGTGGGCGGGAAGAGCCGTTGTGGGGGAGGTGTATCCGACATGCTGGTGACGACGGATAGCGAGGGTAGTATTTGGGGTATAGCGTGAATAGAGCGATCGGATAGTGCTGTCCGTGAAGTATATTGGTGACCGTTGGTCATGGAGGTGTTGGAGATTGAGGTGAAGAAGAGCAAAAACGCCAAGAATTTGCTCGTGGCAGGCGCGTTGTGAGAGGGCGACAGTGAATGGAAAGTGCAAGGAAAGTGACGTTTCTTGCAAGTGACAGTGTGCCCACTCTCACTAAATATCAGATTCATAGGTATACACGTGGGAGTGACTGGGGTGGGTAGGAAATGTACCAGACGTGCTGAAAAACAATCTTGAGACTTGTCCCAGCGCACAGAGATAGACCTGTCGCATAAATCCTGCTCCTAAGAGACAACCATCAGCTTGACGCACAGGAAAAGACCCATTTCCGATAGCGAAGACATCGTCGGTGACTCCGCCGAGCTGAACAAGTGTCATCAACGCCAACTCAAAGTCCTGTTGTCCTCATCAGGTCTGCTTCCCCAAATACACGGTCCGATCCCAAATCGGCTTATCATGTGTATTCTGGAAGATTCTGCCCAAGCCCTTGATACTATCGTTGAATGCCCTCGCGTGTTGATGGCTATCAAACTCATACGCGACGTCGCCGTTGCGCGCTGTCCTGACCCGGAGCAGACCCTCGGGCATAGGCAGGAAGACCCATCTCGAGCGCTGGTCGGGCAATATGCGGCCCTGTTTGCAGTGCGTTTGGAAGTATGCGGCGTCATCGACGGTGTTGAAGACGAGGACGGGCTCGAGCGGTTGCACCGAGAGGAAGGAGGAGATGATGGATGGGGGTGGCATTGTGGTGAGGTCGGCGAGTTGCTGTAGTTGTGTCAGATCTCTGATGAAGGAATACTAGATGGCGGAGACGCTTACCAGGTCTACTAGATACCGTGAGCTAGTCTGTTGTGCTTGGTAGTGTTGGATGGTGATGTGTGCAGCCTTGTTGTTCCGTGCTGAGGTTCATGAGCGTGTGGCCAGATACTTATCCTTCTCTACGCTAGGCTGTGCGACCGGTCAGTCTGCTAGCCACATGTTCGAGAGTCCTCGAGTTCGCCGCCTTTTAGCCACATCTAAAGGCAGCAGACGATGGTGTTGTGCGGCTTTCTTAGCGGTGAGCGGGTTGTTAGGCGGAAGCCAAGGATATTTGAAGCCCGAACAGGCTTAGCGCATGAGGCGTAGCATTCAGCCCTTCAATCGACCTACGTTTACGGAGTCCTCCGGCGCTCACACCACGACAAAATTGTGATGGAGGTGGTGATGGCATTCCAGTTTCTCGCTTATTCGCGTGATAGTATGAGCCAAATTCATTGGGGGTTTGCTTTTTGCACCTTTTTCATGACTTTTCTCTTCTCCAGTCTTCACACATCAGTTCGGTCATTCCATCACCCAACAATGCCACAGCAAACCCTAGTGCCACATGGCGTCATAACGACAGAAACTTTGCAGATATCCATATTCTACATATGGAATGGGAACTGGAAACGCCATCCGGGAGTCCTTCCAGGCACTGTACACAATCCGTTCTTCTCCGACGCTCTACCCTTGTCTGGTCACTATCGCACAAAGATTATGAATTTAAAGGCCCGTCACATATCTTGTCTGTGTTGTCAGGTGGGAGAAACTATCCGCTTAAGGACGAGTTAAGAGCAGGATGAGTCAAGATCGGTGTGGAGGAGATGAAGACCGTGACATACGCCGTTCGCTCGGTTACGCACGCCGCATTAGACATACCAGGACGTTCAGGTCCGGCACTGTAAAGCTCCTCCTGAAGGCCTTAAGCAGGCGGTGACTAAGTCAGACGGGGATGCTAAAACTTTCCATGGTGTGCTTCATGGTATTACTGATGTGTACCGCCGCGCTGATAGGTACAATGACCTGGCTGAGAACTGGATGCAAGGGAAAGGCAGCTCTAAAGGCCTTCACGATAAGCTATCCCATATTCGCCAATCTAAGATGTGGATCCAAACTGCCTTATCTTGTACATGCGACATATTGACGACCACTCAATTGATAAGTCCTCCAGCCTAATCTCTAAAGACCGGATTAAAACCTTCCCTGTAACAGCATAGACACTAGCTTGGTAACGGCCCGCAACGGGTACTGGGAAGACACTCGCATCCACGACCCTCGGCCTCGGCATCCTCTCGGCACAGAGTATTGAAAACTTTCGCGATGTTGGATTCCAAGACAATATCGTACCACAGCATACATAGCACAAGACGCACAATGTAAAGAAACGTTTCAGAGAACCTAGAGACACTACTGGAGATGCTGCCTTCTCGACTTCCCGCAAGCAACGTCTCCAGCCTTGGATATACGAGTATACTACGACATTTTTTGGTCCCGTTCGTGGGGAACAAACACGAGGGCGGAATATGAGTCCGGTTTCGATAAGATATAGGGCATCCTGGAGGACTTCGACACATAATCACAACGTCGAGCTACTTGCGCAGAAGCGGGCGAAGCACGGTCGGCGTCTGTCTACGTATTCTGAAATTCCCCGTTCCATGACGAAAGGACAAGAGCTACGGTTCCGACATGCGTGCCCTCTCAGCGAAGAAGGGAAAAGCCGCCAAGGTTCAACTGCAAAGGAGATCCTCGGGACAACAATGCGACGTCGCGCATCCAGCCATTTTTGCCCACCACCCAGAAGCACATCCCCCCTCCCAAACCCCAACCCCAGCGCCCTCTACTCCAACCCCCTAAACCCCTCCACGCCCAACCTCATCCCCTCCAACCACCTCTCCCTAACCCTCTCCTCACTAACGCGTCCATCACTACCAACAAACTCCCCCTTCGGCACCACAACTTGATACTCCTCCGCATCCGACAGCACCTCGTCCATGATGCTCCATTCCCCCAGCCGACACCACATCAACTTGGCCTTGCGGTCGCGCTCCGTCGGCGTCGTCCAGATCCATCGGACTGCAATCCACACCTTTTCACTAACGAGGTCGAAGCGCGCGAAGACGGCGAGGGCGACGCGTTGCTTGTTCGGAAGAGATGTGGAGGAGTGGTAGGCGCCGATGAAGGGGGTGTTGATGAGGAGGGCTTTTGGGAGCTGCAGGAGGGGGTGGAGTTCCCTGATAGGATGGAGGGGTTGGTCGATTGCCCACGGGGGTCGTGCGGCAGGGGGTAGTGAGCACGATGCGGGTCGTGGGGGGAGTGGTGGTGGGCTGGCCATTTTTTTCGAATTTGGTATGGTTGCAAGCTGGCTGCGGTTGTGTTGCTGATTGCTTCGCGCGTTTGAATAATTGGATGTTTGCGCGTGTGGGGCCGATTATACGCGGGTGATGCGCTGACATGGTGAAAGTGGTGTGTGAAGACCTTCACGCATTTTAGTCTCCGCCGCTTGGAGACCGCAAATGGACTCGAAGTATGTCACGCTGCTATTTCCCCCAGTCGCTCATACCAAATCAACCCTCATCGATAGATTCCACTTCAACTCCGAAAGGCTCCTCGAGAAGGCCTTCGGTGACCAGTCACAAAGCAAGATAGAGATACCTTTAGCATTCAAATCACGACGAGGGCTCTGGTTCATGTCCTAAGCTAGTACCTCATTCTCTATCACTTTCTTAACTCCTGCCTCTCCCTCAACGCACGAGCCAACACCTGAACGTCATTCGGCAAAGCCTCTCTGGGTCACTGGCGTGAAGAGGTGAGTGGAGTTAAGAGGAGGTGAGAGCCGTTTGCATTCGGCGGTCAAGGAAGGAAGGGGCCGGTGCTCCTTCCTCACTCGCCACCTTTCCCCAAATCCGCGCGACTAAAAGAGGAAACCCACCTCGCGCCTACCGTCGTCTTAGATTTGCTGCGGCCCATGTGGTTGCGTGTCGGCGCCTTCACCTCACACCCCTCTCTCACTTACCATGCATGTATATAATTCAATAATTGAAGGACTCACTCTGCATTGGGAGACCGGGGCCAGTAGAATACTCTGCCATCACGCTATACCAAACCGCTCGCCAGGGCGCTCTTATCCATGTGGATAGGATTGAAGCTAACCCTTTGCCTTTTGCCTTTTTTATCATCATGTTTTCGCCGGACGTCGTGGGTTCGAGTCTGGGAAGGAGACGTACTTTTTTTGTAAAAGGAAAGGCACTTTTCTTTTTGCTGGAGGCTCATTCTTGGAGGCGCACGTTGGCTGCCTGCTGAGTTGTCCTTTCGACCCGAAGCTGACGCCTCATTGTGAGATTCGTTAATTAGGTTAGAGTGGGGGAGATATTGTATACGAAGTTGATAGCCAAGGGCGTGGAAGGGCGTGCTCTCCGCTGGAGATAGTCTGGCATTTCCCCACCTTTTCAGATCCTGGTCGGGTTATTGTGCACGGCTATCGCTAGCCTGCAGATTTGGAACCATTGAGTTAGCTATACTCATATACGCCCACTCATGCTCCTCTTCGTGCACATCAAATGCAATCCGCGCATAGTGAAGCTGTGCTTTACCTTTCCTTCTCTCCCTCGCTGACGCGCTTCCTCGCTGCCTCCGAAGGTGCCCTTCGCACTCGCTCCATTAGACTCGCCATCTCCGCATCTGTGCTCTCATCACTTCTTCCTCCCCCATCAACGCTATCCACACGTCCCATCCTCACCATCTCCGCGGCACTCTTCCCCATCCCCGCCAACACATCCCCATGACTCCCTTCCAGCTGCTGGCGCGCAGCTTCCGCCAAAATACAGTGCTTCCGGTATGAAGCGATGACGCGTTTGGTCTGCTCGCTGACGTGGGGCTCGACGTCTGATTGCTCGGCTAGGCGGTCTAACTTCGCGAGGAGCTTCTCGAGAGTTGGCCGTTTGCATCTGGTAACGGCGGGTTCGCCTTCGTTACTGGCTCCTGGTTCGAGAGGGTGATCGGGGCGAGCGTAGGCGGGAGGGGGAATGTCCGCTGTTAGTGAGGAGAGGTAGGTTTTGTTGGAGTCTGACGGCATGCTTGTTGAACGATGGTTCTTGTGGAAAGGGGCAGTCTAGATTTCGCGCTGTAGAAGACTAAAAGAGAAAGATAGTGCGTATAAATAGCGTGGCCACGTGATGACTTCAAACAAAGGACGGCTAGGATCAAGAAGAAGCGGAAAAGGAGGATGCCGAGAGGTTGAACAGACAACGTGTGATAGCTGTATTTACCGTGAAGCGTTCGACGCGACTTACATTTTGCAGGAGGACCCCGGGTCTCTTCTGGTTGTTGAGGACTGACGTTTGTCTGTTGTAAGTAGCTCATCACTTCTTGCCAAAACGGCGAAGCCAACGCTCGATTGGAAAACGACGTCTGGAGAACAAGAGCGGAACCAGAGATGCGCCATGCGGCGGGGCTGTAGAGCTATATTTTCAGATAGGATGACTGGTGGATATGGTGTTGAAGCCCTCGGGGTCCCGCATGTTCACTTAAGCTAGAGCGTGGGTGGTACCTTGAAGGACTTCAGGATATGGAATACCTGGTATGCAATCTGGGTTCATTCAAAGCTACAAGTGATAGGCGTGTTGGAGCGTGCGCCACCCACTGCTAGTGGAAAGTTGATACTAAGGCATCGAGTAGACAGCGTGGACGCGGTGCTCCGAAGTAGGATCGCGGTCGTGAGGCGCAAGAGCCTTCACGCTGACTTTGCAATACTCGACGCGGAGAAGTACCATGCTCAGCGCGCTGGTAAGGGTTCAAGCATTATCTGCCGTGGTTGGCGTGTGCAACGTCGGCGTAAGATAAACTTGCCGCAAAGGGTCATGTGCGCCCGTCACAGCGAGCTCCTGAGCAAACGCGCGCACAGAACACAGCGAAACATCGGAAAGGCGCGCTCAGCCGGACCATGGTCCAGACTGCGGACCGTGTCCCGCCTTCGCAGTATGTATGTACTGCACAACATGGAGCGCCGAGACCTGATATCGATCAGTGTGGTGTTGTTGCTCGATAGCGACGAGCATGATGCAGTTGGCGGGCATTACTGCCTGCGAGGGTGCAGTTACGTGAGTGCGCGGCGCAAGCTCATGGCAACGTCATTTGAAGTCAGAGATTGCGAATGATTGAAAGTGTAGGGATGGATAGGGTGGGTGGATGGAGGAGGTGATGTCGAAGAATAGCGTGCATGCGCTAGTCCCAGCCGCACGTAGATCAACGGGCATCATTAATCTTGTGGGCGGCCAAGCGAGATGCTGGCCTACGCAACCATGCCGTGGGGTCCGCCCGCATCCGAGACCTCAACGACGTCCATCGCACGGGAAGCGTTTGACGCGCCGTCGCCGTCGCCGTCCATCAATAGCCCGTCAATATGGCTGGACGCGCAGAGGAGCGGTGCCGTTTGCAGCTGCTCGCCTGGGCCGGGAGTGCAGCAGTGCCGGTGAAGCGCGACTTCAGCCTTGCGGGCAGTGGCTTGCGTTGAAGGGTGCCTGGCGTCGTCGTCGCGATATGGTGCAGCGTCGGCCGTCCGGGGTCGCGCGAACGAGCGCTGACGTGTCGCGCCGCCGGCAGCGTGCAAACCGATCATTCTCAAAGACGTCGCTGCCCAGGTGCGTCTCGAGGGCGACGTCCGAATGCGCGCAGGCTGCAGTGGGAGTGGACGAGTGGGAGGGCGGCTGTCTGCAGGTTCGGCGGCGCGAGTGAGGCGGTGATGGATCGGGCTAGCGCGGAAAGGGTCGCGGCGCAGTGACCACCTGTCCAGATTGGAGGCAGGCAGTCGCAACCCAGCACCACAACGCGCAAATGCACAGAGGAAACATCATCTGCCGGCATCTCCTCGAGCGCGCGCAGCAACAGCGATGAAAATGCTCCGCGCGGCGATGGAATGCGCGTGCAGAGGCGGCGCGCCGAATTTTCCTGCTCACCCTGAAACGGTCCGTGCGCGGCGCCAAGGGCCTTTCCTGTCGCTAGACCCCAATTAATTATAAAGGCACATTCTCATACATACCCGCGCAGCCCACCCTCTCCGAACCAGCAGCACTCCCGGGGCCACACTCTCCCCCTTAGTCAGCCAGCACACCCCGTCACGTGACCCAACAGCAGCTGCCCCGGTGCGCGTCATCGCAGCGTGCCCCCATGGCTCGGAGCTCTGCGTCTCGTCGTAATTTATAATACCCCGGTCGCGCGCCCTGTCGACCGACACACAACCGCCAAAATGAGGTACGTCGCCCCCGCATGCATCTGCGCAAGGCACGCCCGCTAACGAGCATAGTGGCACGAGATTGGATCGTCTCGTAACGTAAGTCACCCCGACTCTTTTGCACTGTTGTACCATCAGCCACGAGTTGTGTGTCTGTGGAGTCGGCGTCCATCGCCTTCGCAAATCGCATCTCGACTACCCTCCCTTTCATTGTTCTGTTCGCTCCGCTATCTGAGCCTCGCTAATCCCGCCAAGGCTGCTCGAGACCGGCAGCACGCCATTGATCCGCAACACCGCCGCAGACCAGCTAGCCGACGTCCAGAAACAACATCCCGATGAATTATTCAACCTGCTAACGCGGGTAATCCCGTACCTCCGGTCCAAGAGCTGGGACACGCGGGTCGCTGCTGCCAAGGCTGTCGGAGGCATCGTCGCCAACGCCGACAAGTTCGACCCCAACGCCGAAGATGAGCCTCTCAAGCCCGAGGTGAAAGCCGAGACCAATGGCCTTGTCAAGAAGGAGGAGAACGGCGATGGCAGCCTCTCGCCCATCGGCGACCAGCTCGACCTCGCCACGCTCGATTTGCCGTCCATCCTGAAATTTGGAAAGCAGCTCCTCGGCAGTGCAGGCAAGGAGTATGACTACAAGCTTGCTGCCATGGATCCCGCGGACCGGCTGGCGCATCAGAAGAAGAGCCTCGCTGCGCGTCTTGGTCTTGGCGGCGAGTACATTGAGGACGACCTGGTCACGGAGAACGACATCGTGGCGCAGACCCCTAGTGTGCGAACGCCATACCGTATCGATACGACAGTGTCCCGAGCGGACAGCATCGCGTCTGCGTCCTGTGCTTCTCCGCCGCCCGGGGCCACTCCGAACGGTGACCAACCAGCTCTCAGTAAGCGCCAGCTCAACGCGCTGAAGCGCAAGGCCAAAAAAGATCTCCAGGGCAAAGCGAATAAGGTTCAAATTGTGGACCTGGGACCAGGCCCGCGCAAGGCCTCTCAGTCAGACTATCCCCAGACTCCGGCAAGCGCACATCCTTACCCGGTCAAGCAAGAGCCGAAAGAGGAGAACGGCGACGAGGGTGTTAGCGACTATTTCTCCTTGGACCGAAAGGGCGGTGACGACGACCAGAAGTTCGTCAAGGAGTTCAAAGGCGCGCCGGTACCGGACAAGTCATCTTTTCAGACAGAGGCGGAGGAGGCCGGGTTGGAGTGGCCTTTCGAGCGCGTCTGCGAATATCTCAGCGTAGAGCTCTTCGACCATGCTTGGGAAGTGCGACATGGAGCCGCTATGGGTCTACGAGAGATCCTTCGCGTTCATGGCGCTGGCGCTGGACGGCTGAAGGGAAAGACGCGAGCACAGAACGACGAGCTTAACCAGCGATGGCTGAACGACCTGGCATGCCGCATATGCTGCGTGTTTATGCTCGACCGGTTCGCAGATTACACCTCGGATAATGCGGTCGCGCCCATTCGAGAGACCGCTGGACAGGCGCTGGGCTCATTACTGCAGCACTTGTCGCGAGAGAACGTGCTCGCCACGTTCAACGTTCTTTACCGTCTGATCATGCAAGAGGATACTGCAAGCACCGCATGGCAGGTCTGCCAAGGTGGCATGATCGGCCTGCGATATCTCGTGGCGGTGCGCAACGATCTCCTGCTTGAGGATGGCACGCTCATGGATGGCGTTCTTGAAGCCGTCATCAGAGGGCTCGGCGACTTTGATGACGACGTTCGCGCCATCAGCGCAGCGACGCTTATCCCTGTCGCCAAAGAGTTTGTGGAGATGCGCCCCAAGGCTCTCGAACGGCTCATGAACCAGGTCTGGTCGTGTCTTTCCAGCCTGCAGGATGACCTCAGTGCCAGCACAGGTTTCATCATGGACCTCCTGGCCAAACTCTGCAGCTTCCCGCAAGTACTCCAGGCTATGCAAGAAAACGCGAGGCACGATTCTTCGCAATCATTCCACGAGCTGGTACCCCGTCTGTTCCCCTTCCTCCGGCATACGATCACCAGCGTTCGCGCAGCTGTCCTCCGAGCCTTGATCACCTTCCTCGACATACAGGGCGCAGGCAACGAAGGCTGGATCGACAGCAAAGCTTTGCAACTCATATTCCAGAATATCCTTCTTGAGCGGAACGAGGGCGTGTTGAAGCTTTCGTTGCAGCTGTGGAACGCCGTCATCGATGGGCTCGGTAGCAGTCAGCTGCCTATGCATCTAGGACCTATCCTTGGTTCTATTATTCCATTATCTCTCACGCCGATCGGCGTCACTCGGCATCCAATATCCATGGACCTATCGCTTCTCATTCGCCCATCTGGGCAGGTGTTTGGACCTCCTCCAAGCTCCCAGTCTAGTCGAAAATCTACGTCTCCAAGCAATGGAGAGCCAACTCAGAAGAAGCGCAAGAAGTCACGCGTCGACAAAGATATGCTGACTCCATCGACATCCTCCCCTACCCACAATGTCGATGGCCCCATGATCGGCGGCGAACTTGAACTTGTCGGTTCCGAAGTTATGGTCCGGTCTAGGATCTCCGCTGCGCAGGCTCTCGGTAAAGCAATGGCGATCTGGCCCGAGCAGTCACGGCAGCAGACATTCAAACCCAGCCTGCTGCCGCCTCTTCTGTCTACGCACTCGACGACGCAACTCACAGCAGCCATGATCATCGAAGAGTTTGGCAAGTCGCTTACCGCCAAGGATGCCCTCGCCGAATCGTTCGCGGCGGCGCTTCTCCCGGTCGTGGAAGGAGAGCGGCCTAGTGCATATGAGGACCTGGTCCCGAAGCTTCAGATCGTGCGGACGCAGTGCACCGCCCTGCTGAATATCTTCCGGGACGGCCATGTACAAAATCTTCCTACCATTGCCGTCGTTGTCCAAGGAGACCCTGCAGCCAGCCAATATGCCTTCTCTGTTGCAGACGCAGAAAAGATCCTGAATGTGCACTACGAGAAGCTCAAGAAAGCTATGACGCCAGCAGCACGTATGGTCGCGCAGGCGAACCTTGAGATCACCAAGGCAGAAGTAGAGACAACTCTCCAGGAAGCCAAGGACATCAAAGAAGAGCGCGACGTTCGCATCAAAGCGGCTGCGGCCGGAGCCCTTATCTCCCTCAACTCTCCTCCAAAGAAGCCCTCGCCGCCGATCAAAGCGATGATGGACAGCATCAAGAAAGAGGAGAACGTCGAGCTGCAGAGGCGCTCTGCCGCCGCCGTCGCTGGCTACATCGTACACCTGGTCAACGCTAAGCGAACCGGTGTCGTCAACAAAGTTGTCGGCAACCTCGTCAAGTTCTACTGCATGGAAACAGCGGAAACGCCAGAGTTCCACGGACAAGCAGACGTTGACACGGGTATCCTCACCTTGAAGAAGGACGAGGATATTCGCGATCACCCGGATGCGGCCAGGTTCGCTGAAGAGTCCAAGGCAGCGCGCATTACTAAGCGGGGCGCGCGTGAGGGTCTCGAGCACGTCGTGCACAAGTTCGCCAGCCAGATTTTCGAAAAGGTGCCCATTTTGAAGGATCTCATCGAACGGCCCATTCGCAAGGCGTTTACCGAGGATACACTACCCGCAGAGATTACAGACGAAGACGGCATTTTTGGCCAGGAGGTTGTCGATGCCTTGTCGACACTACGAGCTTTGGTGGGCAGCCTTCACCCCGACGTCCGTGGCTTCGTAAAGGACCTTTTACCGCTCATCGCCAAGGCTCTGCGATCGCGGCTATACGTTCTTCGTTACGTGGCTGCGAAATGTTTCGCCACAATCTGCAGCGTCATGTCCGTGGAAGGTATTACAATGCTAGTCGAGAACGTCCTCCCAACCATCAGCGACGCTGGCAATGTGCATGCTCGACAAGGTGCTATCGAATGCATTTACCACCTGATCCACGTCATGGAAGACAGCATTCTCCCGTACGTTATCTTCTTGATCACTCCTGTGCTTGGGCGGATGAGCGACTCCGATAACGATGTTCGTCTGCTCGCCACGACCAGCTTCGCCACTCTCGTCAAACTGGTACCGCTTGAGGCTGGTATTCCTGACCCACCCGGTCTACCCGAGTCGTTGCTCAAGGGTCGTGAGAAGGAGCGCAAATTTGTTGCGCAGATGCTGGACGCGAAGAAGGTGGAGCCTTTCGAGATTCCTGTTGGCATCAATGCTACCCTACGCCACTATCAGCAAGACGGTGTCAACTGGCTAGCTTTCCTCAACCGGTACAACCTGCACGGTATCCTCTGCGACGACATGGGCCTCGGGAAGACGCTGCAGACTCTGTGCATGGTCGCAAGCGACCATCACATGCGCGCGGAGGAGTATGCCAAGTCTCAAGATCCGTACTACAGGCGCCTTCCGTCTCTCATCGTCTGTCCTCCTACGCTGTCCGGTCATTGGCAACAGGAAATCCGGCAGTACGCGCCGTTCCTTACGTCTGTGGCGTATGTTGGCTCGCCGCCAATCCGCAGCCAGGTCAGGACCCAGCTTGACAACGTCGATATTGTTATCACCTCTTACGATATCTGCCGCAACGACAACGATGTCCTGAAGCCGCTGAGCTGGAACTACGTCGTGCTGGACGAAGGCCATCTGATCAAGAATTCTAAGTCGAAGACGAGCCAGGCAGTCAAGAACTTCCAGTCGAACCATCGCCTGATCCTTTCGGGCACGCCCATCCAAAACAACGTCCTTGAGCTGTGGTCACTCTTCGACTTCCTCATGCCAGGTTTCCTCGGTTCGGAGAAGGTCTTCCAGGAGCGCTTCGCAAAGCCCATCGCTGCATCCCGGTTCGCCAAATCCTCCTCGAAGGAGCAAGAACGCGGCGCCCTCGCCATTGAAGCTCTGCACAAACAAGTTCTTCCCTTCCTACTGCGTCGCCTCAAGGAAGAAGTACTGGACGATCTGCCACCAAAGATTCTGCAGAACTATTATTGCGACCTCTCCGACCTGCAGCGCAAGCTCTTCGAAGACTTCACCAAGAAAGAAGGCAAGGAGATTCAGTCCAAGGCCGGCAGCGCAGACCGCGAGAGCAAGCAGCACATCTTCCAGGCATTGCAGTACATGAAGAAGCTCTGCAACTCGCCCGCGATGGTCATCAAGCCGACGCACAAGCAGTATGACGCCACGCAGCAGTTCCTGAGGAAGAACAACACCTCGCTCGAGGACATTGCGCATGCGCCCAAGCTCGGCGCCCTCAAAGACCTGCTCGTAGACTGTGGCATCGGCACTGTCGACGTCGAACCCAGCACGCGCATGCCCAACGGCGACCTCCCCGAAGCCGTCTCACAGCACCGCGCCCTCGTCTTCTGCCAAATGAAAGAGATGCTCGACATGGTGCAGTCCCAGGTCCTAGAGAAATTCCTCCCATCCGTGCAATTCATGCGCCTCGACGGCGGCGTCGACGCGACCAAGCGTCAGGACATCGTCAACAAGTTCAACTCGGATCCGTCGTATGATGTGCTGCTGCTTACGACAAGCGTGGGCGGCTTGGGCCTCAATTTGACAGGCGCCGACACGGTAATCTTCGTTGAGCATGATTGGAATCCACAGAAGGATATCCAGGCTATGGATCGCGCGCATCGCATTGGGCAGAAGAAGGTGGTTAATGTGTATCGCATTGTCACGCGTGGTACCCTGGAGGAGAAGATTTTGAAGTACGTACGCCCCTGCCTTCTACAACTATCAAAGCTAACGTGTTCCCAGCCTCCAACGCTTCAAAATCGACGTCGCCTCCACCGTCGTCAACCAGCAAAACGCAGGCCTGGGCTCCATGCAAACAGACCAGATCCTCGACCTGTTCAACGTGTCCGCCGACAGCGCGGAACCAGGCGCCTTGCCGCCGCCACCTTCTGCAGTGGAGAACGGCGGGACGGGCATCAGTGAGGAGAACGCGGTGGATGCCACCGGCGAGGTCAGGGAGAAGGGGAAGAAGGGCTTCCTGGATGAGCTGGGCGAGTTGTGGGATGAGAGGCAGTATGAGGAGGAGTTTGATTTGGAGGGGTTTTTGGGCAAGATGAAGGGTTGATGCTACCGATCGACGGCCTCCTCGCTGGTTCCGGCAATGCGGGAACTGAACTGGGGAGTTGATTTGCATCTGGCTTCTTTCTTCCACCTTCACTTCGGTGGAGTACACTTACTTGTTCTTTCGATCGACGGATGGATGCGGCTTTGGGTGCTGCACTCACTGCATTTGCAACACGAGTCTGGCGTTTATCGGTTGGTTGGCTTTTTCTTGCTTGAATGGCTGCATGGCATGGTGTGGCAAGGCAGGGCATGCATACACGGCACGTTCATATGGATGCGGCGTGCATGAGTTGCTACTTTTTGTTTTAGCATGGCGTTGGCAGGATGGGATTGCTGCTGATTTCATCTCTTCTCTTCTCTGGCTGGCCGTGATGGGCGGGTGGGTTGGTGCTGAGTTGAGTTGGTGGGATTGGAGTGCGTTGGGTTAGGTAGTTTAAGGGCTGGGGGGAAGGGGAGGTGGATGGATTGACGGACATAGGGCGAGCGAGGATGAATGAAAGCGATATACTTATTTTACGCGTGCTGGCTGTGGGTTTAGTTGTGATTACGATTGCGCTTGACTGTGCTCGTTGATAAGCAGGATGTGATGCGTGCCTCTTGCGCTAGGTAGGGAATTCTCCGGATCTAAGGGCTCGCCGTACAAGTAAGTAAGATTAGCTGTCCTATTGTACGCACCCGCGAAGGCCTCCAGGGCAGCTGTTGCGCACGTCGTTCTATCTGGAGAATTTTACACCGTGAGAGCGTGCATAATGTGCATCAGTCTCGTCTAGTATCTCTCTCTCTCTCTAGCCACATCGATTAGAGTGCTGGAAGATTCTTCACCGCGCGTTCTCTTGTCGCGATGCGTGCTCATACACGAAACTACACTGAAATGCACAATACTTATTAATTAACACCACTTGCGCGTCCTACGTAGCAAAAGAACGAATACCTTAGTATTAGGGCTCCTCCGCGATATATAGATATATCTGAGAAACTCCCCGCCCTAATGCTCGAGCGAGGCAGGTCGGTCGGTTATGCGGCCCCTTTTTTCAATGTCTCTTGATGCCGGTGCTGCCCACTAACCCGCGGATCCTTTCCGCCAGTGTACTAAACCGCCAATCCTTTTAATAATACCTACCCCTTCTGCATACAGAGTATAGAATATAGAGTCTTTTTTGCTGGTACTGTGTGTGTGTGGTATGTGGTTAGCGGATTGATGACGAGGGCGGTGAATTGATGAGTAAGATGCGTTTGGATTTGCGTCTTCCTGCTCGGCTGGGGGCGGCTTGTATTGATTGAGGGGTTTGGTCTGGGCTGGCTTGGTGATTGGGCGGTGGCAAGGGGGAGTGCGCGGTTTTTGGTGAGGGGGAAATGCACTTGGCAATGTATTTTTTACGGGTGGAGTGTTAGTAGGAGCAAAATGTGAGTACACTTTGCGTCCTACGCAGATTGGCATATATTCGACGTGGAGGGCTTCGGCTGGAGGAGTGGAGATGGGATGGGATGGGATTGGTGTCTGATGATGTAGGTGTTTGGATTGATCGGGGGAGAAGAGGACCTCATGGGTCGGCGCCTTGTTTGGGTTAGCGCTTTCCTAACTATGTCTGGCTTAGCGTAGAATTGGTGGTGGCTTTAACACGCACGCGTCAAACAGCTCAGCCTTAACCGTCCACGAACCTTCGAAATTTTGTCGCATGTCCGAGTTAGGCTGCTTGTTACGTTCCAAGCACTCGGAGAATTGAAAGAGAATAGCGCGGTTGGAACTGCTGTCTTACATGTATTCGACACGCCCACCACGAACGTTGGGCCAGTCCAGCCAACTGCCCATAACGGACTACGTTCCAGACAGGCGGCTTATCTACATAAAGGACCTAGATGAGTCGTATCTCCGTCGTCTTGCAGAGGCAGAACTCCGTGGATTCTCCCCGCTCTGGACATCTATGTTTGGTTTTCATAAGTATGTATTGAGGCGCGCGTCCCTGCCACTTTTTTTACGATGCTAACTAGCAGGGCGCGCGTGATTGAACTGGTCCCAACGCCGCAGAGGAGGTTCAAACAACGAGAGGTGGTTGCTTCTATAACCGAAGCAAAAGGCCGGCTGTCTTCCGAACATCTCAGCCGTCTGAGAAGCGGGCCTAGCTTTGGGAGCCGCGAACCGGGTATTTTACTCCGGAATCTCGAGCCGGGTTGGAAACGCGACGAGGATCCAACTCCTGCGTTGCGCGCAAGTAAACGACGCGCTTCTTCGCCACCTATGGACTCCCTCAGGGCGAAGTTCCCTCGTGGGAATCATACGGCTGGGCAATGGGACGACGGTTCTAGATCGGACATATCCGTGCGTTTGCCGTTGGTGGAACACGAAGATTTCCCAGGGCTTGGTGTTGGTGATCTTCGGGATTTCAACTTCGACTCAGATTTGAACGGGTTCGACTTCGATTTCGACGAGGAAGCCCCAGAGGTCCAGAAAAAGGTTCCAAGAGTTCAGGAGGAAGCTCCGAGCGCCCAGTACAGCCCAGACTATGGACGTCGAGTCAATAACGAGACCAACTCCGGTAGCGTAGACAGCGGTCCTCGTCGCTGGGACAAGCGCACGTCGCCAAACTCGCTACCGCCGTCATCAGAAAACGCGCTATCGAGACTCAGCAGATCCTCCGTGGTGAGAGCTCTGGCATGCCCTCCAGCCGCGGGAATATATATGCACTACACGATTTCACAAGACACCTCAACTGCAGCGGGAGCTAGGAACAAATTACTCGCAGTCCAGGATCGGAGACTTATTCTTCCAGCGAAGGCTAGGGGTGCGGCGAATGCGCCGTTGCGGCGGCGTCTACCCTAGATGCCCAGACCACGGAATAACGGCATATATACTAACACACTTGCGGTAAGATGCTATATCCCCAAGCTCTTACGCTCTTGCTGATCTATCTGTGGGCCTCGGAGAATCTAGATCAGGCTGACGCTGGCATGAATCCCGACGAATCGTAGCGAGACGAACCACCTGCACTCGACTTCGGAGCATGATGGAGAACAAAGGGTGCGACCCGAGAGTTCGCAGACGGAATCACCCTGCTCCAATGCTACCGCATTAGAACGGCGGATGAGACCACGAATTGTATGGGCGAGCCACAACACTTCTACCAGTGCATCTTCGTGGGAGGTTGGCGGTCATTTTCCTGCACGGCTGGGGCGACCTGACTTCGTCACCGCATCATGGAGGCTAATGGACAGTGGATTCGGCGGGGATTGGGTGCGAATTATGGAGGGGATTTCGGTGTTGTTGATGACTTTGGTGATGACTTCTGAGGCTGCAATTAGATGACCTAGGCCACTGACGCGGGGATAAGGGAGAAAAATTGTCATGCTTGTGAAGCGTCCTGCTGGCCATCGAGGCCACATGGCTCCTTTTGCCTCAAGGTCCACAGTAGCTCAGACATCCCCCTCCACCTCCTCCACACTCGGAATCCGATCCAGCCTCGTCCCCATAAACCCCCCAACCCTCGTCACACACTCCATCACAATTCCCACATCCGCACTACTCATCCCAATCCTCCTCGCCCCCCTGATATGCCAGTGCGTCTCCAGCCTCAAATTCTGAATCGTAATCCCCACCAGCACCACGAGTTCCGTATCCAAGTCATCCAGCACCTGGCGATCGCTCAAGTAAAGCCCATACGTAATCTCGGTGCTGATCCAGCGAAAGTCCTGGTGCGCGTCGAACAGCGCGAGCGTCGAGTCCGTGTTGTGCGTGTAGATCTGGCGCAGCCAGGACATGCCGCGCTCGTGGTTCGCTGCGTCGTTTTTCCAGTCCGCTCGCGTGAAGCTGTAGTCGCGGTCTTGCGGACGCTCGACTTTCATGATGGAGATGATGGCTGAGAGAGGCTTGCAGACGCCGATGATGGACACGAGCTTTACGAGGGCTTCGCGCAGGCGCCGGATCAGGGCTTGCCGCACGGGGGATTGCTGGTAGCCCGGCTTGTTGATGATGTAGAGGTAGAGTTGGGCTGCGAGTTCGGGCTCGGTGCCGCCTACGAGGGCCGCGAGGGCGAGGAGGTACCATCGCTGGTCGCCTAGAGTGGTTGAGGCTAAGGTTTGCTCTATGTCCTGGAATAAGGCTGCTACGTCGGCGCGGATAGTGGGAGCGGTTGGGGCTGGACCGGTGGCTTTTATGTTCTCGTCCATGGCTGGAACGGCGATGTTTCTCTAGGACTGATGGATGATGTTGAGCAGAAACGGAGGGAGATGGGATTTAAGCTAAGTGAGGGTAAAAGATGTCTTAGGCTAAGAATAGCCGAGCTACCTCGCAAGCTGACGACAGCACGTTCGGCAATGGCCCGATGTGGAAGTTAGCTGTAGAGCTGTGGTATATAATGCCGACCCCCACTAGAGGCGGCATTGGGAGACGCTTGTGCAGTATCTCTCCGGTTTCGGCTACCCGGTTGCGGAATGACGTCGTGCGTCCAGTAAAGGGCCGCTTAGCATCGATTGGAGATGCTGAATAAAATCATATGTCGGTACTCGTGTGCATTACATTGTTGTTTATGATCGAGCGTACATTTGCACCTGGTGGAGAAGAATGCGACACTGCCAGGCGCCGACGTTCGGATCTGCATGATTAGGTAATCAGGGCCAATGACTACTTTTCGAGCCGTGACAAACCTTTGCTTTCATCTTCTACTACATCACCCCAACACGGCCATTCCCATCCCGTTAGCCAGTACGCTCACCGTTTATCAAGCTGCTCCAAGAACTCTTTCGTTCGACTCACGGCTTGTTGCCTTCGTATCGGTTAAACTTCGCATGAGTTGTGGCTCCCGTCCTAGCATCTCAGCGGAGCACGAGGCAGAACGCATACGACCGGTCGCCGTCAGCCCGATGCGTCGAGCTTTATATATCGCAATGGGCCCTACATCTTTGTTCGAATGTGCGGTGGGGTTCAATTCAGAGCACACAAACACCTAATCTTTCTGTCTCGTTCGGTGAGCCATGGCTAACGGAAGATACTCCTTTATTGATCTCTTGGCTTGCTTTGTGCTCTACTTCCTCCTCTCGGAAGTTCGGGCTCTATATGAGAGAGATTCGTCCTTCCCCCCATCTCCCCCAACCAACCAAAAAAAAGTAAGGGACGGACTAAGGAATGGTACTCCGGCTCCGGATTCTTCCGCGTTCCACCACGACAGTACCGGCACGCTTGTGTTTGACTAAGAGAGACGGCACTGATACTGGCCGGATGCAAAGAGCTCTGCGAAAAGGTTTCTGGCTGGTATGCGGACATAGGCGCAAGGCTCAGTACCTAAATTATCCTGGTCTCCCAGCTCCTGAGCAATACGGAAGCTTCTCTATTGGAGAGGGGGAGACACCTCGTGATTCTGCACCTGCTTGGAGATTCGGTTTATTTCCTCTGGTCCCTTCGTTCTAAGCTGGAAGCGTGGTCACGATGTTACGATTTGGCCAGGGCGATCTCGAGAAGGAGTGGAAAGTCACTTCGAAACCTAGCCACAATCCTTGGCGGTTTCGAGGAGCTCATCTGCTTCTATTCTAGTCATCGGGATGTCTATCTTGAAATAAAGGAACGGTCGAAGTACGGGAGTGAGCGAAGGGGGCCTCGATCGGCGACCTCCTCGCTCGAGCCGCGCTCGAACTCGCCGATAGCAGAACCGATGAACGACTGTGAGCGATCGAGGCCACAGTTTCGTACATCTGCCAACTCGTTGTAGCGTCTATTGCTACAGTCGGTGGAGGTAGGACCTCACTTCCTGGTGGAGGAATCTCTACAGGTGGTCGCGTTCCTTGACATGACGCGGATCGGTTGGCGCGGATAGGATGTTTGGAGGTGGAGCGACCAAAGGAAACAAGAGGAGCAATGCCGTTGTCAATCCACGTTGGCGCTTCCAAAGAGCGCTCGCTAGGGTTGAGCCGCGACCGAAGGCTGTTTGTCACACCAGACGAACTTCAGCCTTTTCGCTTCTAGCGGGAATCATGCGGGTCAAAGTGCTTCCACAAACCTTCTGGTCCTTCGTATGAAGCGGCGTACTTCATTTGCTCCCGTTCCGCGTGACGGCCCGGCAAACGGTTTGCTCAACGAGCTGGCCACATATAAGCCGAGGGCGCGGACGTAGGCCAGCACCTTGTCAAGTATATCCAAAAGGGCGAGGGAATGGGTGTTCATGATGCACCATCTGTGTGGCGGCGCCTCTCGGCTTGTACGCATATCCGCGGCGATGGACTCGGTCTTTCACACCCCCTTCGAAAAAGTACGCAGTCGAGGGGCTTTTGGTCACTACTGACCCCGCAGATAAGAGTTCGGAAAATTTCGTCGCCCTTGGATACCTGCCTGTGTGAACGTAGGCGAGATCCTGACCTACGCTTCGGATACAACTACTTTGCACTTGCTCTTCTGGCCTGACTTCTCCGCAAACCTCCTCCCTCAACTTTTCATATACGACTCTACTGCATTCCTACCAGGAACCTATATTACTACATATACAAGCTATCTACCTCCGGTCGTCGACTCAATGGGCGGTTACGAGAGCTACAAGTTCGAGACGTCCGTCGTGGTATCGTGGGTGTTGCAGACGGCAAAGGATCATGGCAACGATGTCCAAACCACTGGCTCAGGCCCAGCGAATCCCCCTGCAACGGGATCGACGCGACTAAAAGGTCGAAACCGCACACTGGCTAAACGAGCGGCGAAACAGCGATCAGCAATCCCAGAAGCATTTCGCGCAGCCGCGCCTGAGGGCGACGCACAACCTCCGAAGTATGAGATCTCCACCGAGGAGATTCTCAACCAAACGCGCTTCCTTTCAGCCTTGAGGACCACGCTCGTCATGCCACGCTCGGTTTGGCGATGCTACAAGAGCGCCATCGCCGCGCGGAGGCGTTATGCTGATCGATACGCCAAGGACCAACTCGCGGATCCGCGTGATAACGAGGGCCACCTGTACTTCAACTGGGTGTTGGAGCAGATGGAGATTCTCCTGAAAGACCGCGTGGTGGTGCAGAAGGTGGCTAAGGCACAAGTGGGTGACGTCGAGGAAGTGACTACCGAGCCACTCGCGAATCTCTTCGAGAAGCTCAACCTCGCCACCACCGAGGACGAAGACTTCGAGTCAGATGGGGAGCGAGATATTATGGACACTACCTCAGATATATCTTCGACGAGCAAGGTGTACGTGCCGAAGTTGAGCAAAGAAGAAGAGCTTCGCTTCGAGTGGTTCTGTTTCCTCGAAGATGCGCAGAAGGCCTGGAAGCATATCCAGACTGTGTGGACGAGTACCGAAGATCAGAACAACCCCCCCGATCCAGGAGTCGCAGCGTTCATAACCGAAGCGGCCATCGAATTGATTGGCTACCAGGAGCAGCAGATATATGCGCGTGCAATGGCGATCGGCGGCAAGGCCGCCTTAGTCATTGGCGCAGACCCATCTGATCCGTTCTACCTGGGCCTTACAACTCTTCGTGACATTGCAAATATACGGAAGTCACACAAGGGTTATATATTCCCCCTCGAACCGCTATCTGAACGCTACTACGACTTACAAGACCCCACCTTGGTAGCGAAAGATCAGACGCTTGTCCAGTACATGATGGAATTGGGCATGGAGAGTGTAAGTCAACTACTCACTTGTTCTCGTTTTGCTGTAGACCAATGACTGATGATATGGCTAGATGGTTCGCAAGGGGCTCTGGGAGACGGAGAAGATTCGGTCCGTCTCGTATGAGCAGCCACTACCTGCCGCAAGTTTAGACCAGGTATCAGTAGTCCTTCAGGCTATCAACGACGGTGGCCCTATCTCAGTGCAGGCGGCACTAGCGGCTGAGACTATCTTGTCGCTATCGGTCGGAACCCACCTGGGATCGAGTACTGCCTTTTCCAAGCTTCTGAGTCTCGGCCAGGCCTTAGACAAGCGAATGACGGAAGCTGGTAAAAAGGTGCAGTTCGCCCAGGACCATAGGAAACTGGCGGAGACATTTCGAACTGTCCGTGGGTGGGTGTGCGCCTGGCCGTTCCCTGGTGCTCGACGCCACAAGTTGCAGGCTGCCCAGAAGAACGATTCACTCATGGGGGCCATGCGTGGCTGCGTATTGCCTCCGGACGATTCTGACTTCCTCCGAAAAGCGAATCCAGTTCTCTGCGGCAAGCTGAGACTGACCCTTTTTACCTATTACGAAGAGGCTGGTCTGAGCCTGGCGAATACATCACCTCACGTGTATGCGATGTCGTACCTGTACAACGGCCTGAAGCAGACAGAACGACTCAGTAATACCTGGGGATCCATCAAGGCCATCAGCAAGCGTCACAGTCAGGAGCTATTCATGGGACCTGACTTTCCAGTCGAGGCTGAGAGGATGGTCGACCGGATGAGAGTATCAGCCGGGACGAACCCGCATTTCTTGAAGGTTTCAAAATACGGGAATCCCTCTGGTCGCGCAGTCCCAGCTACAAAGCACGCTCGCCAATCCAATAAGACATGGGACATGGATACCTTGCCAACGATCCAGATTCTTCGCGACTATCTGCACGATGAGGAGACTCTTCTTCGCACCCTCTACAGGTTCGGCACCGAGATGCAGAAGGCGCTCCCGGAGCGGAACCGAAAGTCCATCGATGAACTGGGGCTGATACATTTTCTCGAGACGCTCCAGGAAGCACTCGAGGAAGCAGTCGCTCGCATGAAGATGGACTACGTTACGATCAATTGTGCTTGCAGCGTGCTGTTCCAGAAGATGGAGGCGAAGATGGGTAGCAGCATTGACGGAAAGGCGGCGACGCCAGAAGAGTGGATGGCACATACTACGCGCTCCTACGTCATCGCGAACACCGTCCTGCGAGAACTGTGGGATATGGAAGACTCAGTCAAGGCTCGCAAGGCTGCGAAGTTGGCTCCGGCGCTATTCCCTACCCCGCTTGCGGATATTGCGAGCGAAGTCATCGCGGAGTATGTGAAGGCCGGTGGCAAGGGGATTCCTTCTTAATAGAGGGATGGATTACATAACATATACGTTTCCGTGGGGTCTAAGATAGGCGGCATGGGGCGCTTTTGCGGTGTTTGATAGCCATGGGACTTCTCCGTACGCGTAGTTGGAATATACGATCCTTGATCAGAGGTTCTACTTGGACAGTCAGGTAATGAGCTGTGATCTTAAATACGCGTGATTGTTCCACAGGCTGCTTGCAAACTCCACACTGCCCTTCGACCTCCAGCGGGATCTCCGGCCATGTCGCTTTTGATCCGGGGTCCAGACTTCAGCAAGCTGGTAATTATGTACCTCAACCCTTGCGCCAACAAGCAGCCGCAACCATGTCCAACCCGCGGTCCTTCGCCGGGAAGACGTTCGCACTATAACGCGCCATGTTCGCCCTGGCGAGTGGTCTCATGGAGGACGACGACGTCGACTACTCATTTATTTTCGCGGTGATGAAAACGTGAACTGCGATCTCCTCCAGGTTCTAGGCTTATTGCTTCTACGCCGCCAACCGCAAACATTGCCATTCCCCTCTCCGGCTGACGGTAGAGAACATTAGTAAGACGCGTCGAGCGCATGAGAAGGGCGAGGAGAAGTCCGTTGCTGGAGTCGCTCTTCCATCGTGATGTCGTTGATTGATTGGAATCGGAGTCGCTGGCGGTGTAATTCAAATTATCCCCCGACTCTCCAATAGTGCGCCCTCTTCAAGCCTGCGCGACGTCGCTGCAATATCCGTCTCAAAGCCCTTGACGCGTCAATGCGACTGTAGGACGGTGAATCTATTCGCCCCGTAAGCAATATCCAGTCGCCAAAATCCTACTCACTTCCCCAGGTAATCCACAAACGCCACGAGCGTGCAGTCGCGGTTCAAATCTTACAGGTCTGAATTAGAGGAGGGATGAGGCTGCAAAAAGCCATGTTTACAGTCGTCGTCAGCACGCCCTCGGTTTTGTTGTTCCGCAACCGTCGCACAATACCAGCATATCCATGCTATCCCACCCATAACATCATGCCATTAACGTTTCACAATTAGTGACGTAGCACGCCGGGGGGTCTTTGTTTTGGTCCTCGGGCCACTTTCTGTTATGATGGTTTTCCTCCATACGTGCAGCCGCAGCATTTCGCCAATACAGCAATGTCGCTTCTCGTCGCTTGCAGCAACAACAATAACGGCGGCGCATCGGTAGGACGGGATAGCGATGAGAACAGAGGCTGTTTTCTGCTCGCGAGTTGCGCGGGCCAGTCGAGCCAGTCGCGCGAGCTGGTGGCGAGGAGTCTGGTGGTGCGGGACAGCAAGGTTTGTGGGCTCCACTGCTCTGAGGGCGGAATGTTTGAGAGAGGCTTATAGTGGCGCTAGGTATTTGTCGACGATGGGAAAGGGGCCGGAGGAGATCATTCAAGCCATGAAGCTGCTACCCGCTTTCGTCTATGCCCTTTGCACACCATCGAGGATCTGGATGCGGTGGCAAACGATGCCTCCGCTGCTGCACAGTGTTTCTACGTCGATTCGCAGACATACCAGCTGCGATGCGGGAGCCGCGAAGACGCCAGGCGCAATCTGAGTGAACCGTTCGGCTACTTTCTTGACCGCTTGAAGTTTCAGGGATGGGAGGGGTTCTGCGCCGTCGAAGAAGAGCAAAGTAGCAGCTGGACCGTGTACTTTGACGTCGACGACAACGCGCTGCGAGGCAGAGTGCCGGATGGGCGCAGAGTGCTTGAGATCGAAGTAAAGAGAAGCGACGTCGCTGGCGATAAGCAGCAGAGGGACGACAGAGTGGACTCGGTGCTGGGCATGCCGCCGGGATTGTACCTCCAGGAACCGGAACATGTACCCGAAGGACCTTCCAGCTTGTACTCGCAAGATGACGATCCGGCTCCTCGTGAAGAGCCGCAGGAGCCAGGGGGAGACCAGCAGCAGCAGCTCCCATCAGAGGACCGTCCCGACCTACCCGGCTGCAGCCAGACCATCGTCCGCGTCCATCCACCCGTCATAGAGTCAGTAACGCGCCTTCAACGGAAACGACGCCCGCGAGTCGTCCCACAACACCAGCAGGTTCCCACCGAGCGCAGCAAGCCACGGGCACCAGTCCGCCGAGCGCCTGCACCTCGCGCTCCTATCCACCAGCCTCAACATGACCTACAGCCATCGGAGAGCTTCGAGCGCTTCGTCCACGACTTTAGCTTCACGCGTCCGATATCCGTGCACTTGGACTTCCCAGCCGAGAATGTGTGGGGCCCGAAGAAAGCGAAGGAAGACGGCATGGTCAAGGCGATGCTGAAGAAGTTTTCCGTTCCGTTTACGCGTGGAAAGACATCCGGCGAACCAAAGGCGGAGGAGAAAAAGGCAATGGAGGAGAAGCGGCAAAAGGAGGGGAAGCGGCTGAAAAAGGAAGCACGGGTGGCGAGCGAGAAACGACTCGCTGACGAGAGACGAGTGACGGAGGACCGACGCTTGAAGGAGGAGCGAAGAATGGCAGACGAGCGGCGCATAGCTGAGGCGAGGCGCAAGCCTGACGAGCGGAGAGAACGCAGGAAGAGGCAGCCCCCGGTGGATGCTGTTCATCCAGCCCCAGAAGAAAGGTAGGTTGATGACTGAGCACTTAGTGACACCCGCTAACACCTGCACAGCTCCTGGTTCCACCGCAGTTCGAACATGGCCCCGCCATCGGGCCTCACAGGAACACATCGCCACCCTCCCCTCTCCTCTCTTCCCAGCCAGCCAAGAAGCGCGAAACCGAAAAGACACTCGAAGCCGCCACAGGTAGCTCCTCCCGACAGTGTCGCACGCAGCAGCTTGGAGATGTGGCAGCGCACTACGTCGAGAATCCGGAGAAGTGTAAGTATTCGGAGAAAAGATGGTGCCGAACTACCGGTGGATGGAGGACGTGTTCAAGGCGACGATCCAGCTCAAGTGGCAGCGACGAGGAATAATGAAGAGGAGAAGCGTGGCGGTGGTACCTCACGGTTCCGCAGGAGTTTTCAGATAAGGAGATGAGAGATACCCGGAAGGTAGAAAACATGCGTGGGATCTCGTCGGCGTGGTGAAGAGTGGCAAAAGTGTTGGTTAGTCTAGCTTACATACCCATTCTCATGCAGCGATATCCACCACTACGATCCTACAAGCCAGCCGCTCAAAGACGCGCGGAGCGCTGCTCCTTTGACGACGCACCATCCGCAATGAGTCCCTCCTCAATCGCCTTGATCTGCAGCGCCAGGATCCTCGAATAGTATCTCGAAATCGCCAGATTGCCGCCCATAAACCACAGGCCGGGGTGTCCGCTCCGTTGCCACATCGTCCTGAACTCGCCCTCCTCATTGAAGCCCCACACATCGCCGACGCGATCCGCAACCTCATCGCCGAAGATGATGCGCGCCTGCGAGCGCATATTCTGGTACCCAGTCGCGAAGATGATCTCGTCTGCGTCGAGCGTCGTGCCGTCCGCGAACTCGATCCCGTGGGGCAGGATCTGCGCGATCTCCTGGCCCTGCTTGACCTTGATTTTGCCGTCGATGATGAGCTGCGACGCGCCCACGTCGATGTAATATCCGCCTCCGCGCTGGAAGTATTTTATCAGCAGGCCGGAGTCGTTGGGCCCGTTGTCGATGCCGAAGCCTGCTGCGCGCAGCCCGTCGAGCGTCTTCTTGTCGTGTTCGTTTTGGACTTTCGTGCATTTCACCTGCTGCGCTTTGAAGAGTTCGCTCGGTAGACCCCAGAGGAAGAGATCTGCGTCTTCGACCGGAGGTGCGTCTTCGTCGTAAAGACCCTTCAGCCCGATGGCGGTGATGGCTTCCGACGAGATAACGCATGTCGTGCTGCGCTGGACAATGGTAACGTCGTATCCCTTCTCGTAGAAATCCTGCGCGATATCATGGCCGGAATTGCAGCAGCCCACCACGACCGCCTTCTTGCCCTTGGAATTCGGATATGCGCCGGAGAACTCGGAACTGTGGCAGAGCCGGTCGCCCTTGAAGCTGTCCATGCCCTTCATGGTTGGGAAGTTCTTCTTCCCAGAATGCCCGGTTGCCTGGACGATGTGCTTTGGATGGAGCGTTCGCGTCTCGGTTGTTCCGTCCGCCTTCTTGCGCTCCACTGTCACGCTCCATTGTTTCTTCTCTTCGTTCCAGGACGTTGACTTCAGCGTCGTCTGTGTCCAGGCGCTCAGCTCTAGAAGCTTGACGTACGATTCGAAGAACTCGGCGAGTTTATCCTTTGGCGTGAAGACTGGCCAGGTGGGTGGGAATGGAATATATGGCATGTGGTCGTACCAGACCGGATCGTGCAGGACAAGCTGATGATACCGTTTCCGCCAGTTGTCGCCCACTCGTTCATTCTGGTCGATCATGAGGGACGGGATATTGAGCATCTTCAAGCGCGCAGCAACCGTCAAGCCTCCCTGACCGGCTCCGATGATAAGCACTTGTGGATCGCTGTCCTTGAACTCCGTCTGTGCATCCCGCTTCTCTTTCCAGTTCTTCCTGTTCGGGTCTCCGCCATGCTGCACGCCCTTGGCCCTCTTATGACGAACCGGCTCTTCATACCCTTTTAACTCGGTCAAGGCGGTATAGAGGGTGAAGATCTTCCACTTCCCGCCCTCTTCAGCAAGAGTCATCACGCCCTGACCCCGGCCCACATCCGTCTCAAAAGTGATGAAGGAAGAGATCCCGTTCACATCGCCCCACGCGTCGATCGGGCCGAACTTCGGCGCCCGGAACGCTGAACTGCTATCGACTTCGACCTTGGTGAGTGGCGTCGTGCTGGCCTCAAGATACTTCGAGATGTTCTCGCCTCCCTTGAGCGTTCGCAGCTCCCAGGTCAGCGCGAGGTGATCGCGCCAGTAGCTCTTGTCGTCCAGAAACAACTTGGCGAGGCTGGTGTAGTCCTTCTTGGAGAGGGCGTCGGTGAGGCTGGATATGACGTCCTGGGCGACCTTGGCTGCATCGACGGATTCGGACTTTGATGTCTCCGGATATGAGCCTAATGGGATGTTGACCGAGCCGGGCTCGCAACGCTGGCTTGAGGGCTCTGGGCCGTCATGAGCACCCATGATGGCTGATGTTCTGCGGGTAGTGGCGGGCCGACGTATGTGGCGAGTCGAGATTCAAGAGCTCAGGAACGGTGTGCCAATTCGTGATATGGATTTCGAGGAACAATCGCCATGGAGAAGGAGGTGCAAAGAAATGAGGCTCTGAATTTATAGAAGAGTCCCAAGGTCGGTGGCTTTCTCTGTAGTGCGACATTCGACGTGGTCACGCATCGACTCATCCAAAACGGGTAGTTCTCACTCGGCAAACCTTCCTCGTGGAAAGTGCGGGGTGAAGTGCGGGGAGCGAGAACGCTCTCCGAGGACCTAATTCCGCGCTTCCACCACAACGTTAGAGCAAGAACGCGTCTTTTGGACGGCGGACCAACGCGAATTGATCGGACACGCGGAAGTTCAGGGTGCATGTTAGATTCACAGCAGTCCACGTTGGGCGCTACGTTTGTCTGCAGAGACTGGTCCACCACGATGGACCGCCTTGCGTCTTGCTCGGACACCAATGAACGCGCCCGCCTCGAATCTTTCTTAAATCCACCGCACAAAAAGAGAGAAATAGTCTCCGAACCGGCGTACGCCAAACACGGGTGGAAGGATGGAGCCACTGGGCCAAAGGAGCGCTCCCCCTCTCAACATATGCCGTACCCATTGTAGCTGTTCGGATGCGACTGAAACCCGCAGGCAACCGAAAATAGGGCCTCCCGTCCAATCCGAGGTGGAGCGTATGATGTTGTGAGAACGCGGAGCACGTATACCTGTTACCCGTATGTACTAATGGGGGGACGTTGTGGTTATCAGAAGAATCCATGGTATTTCCTATTTCGGTAAGCCGAGGATCGGTGGCTATCATCAAAGTCGCACCGCTTCACGGCCGTGATGAATGAGCTGGAAAATGAAGGCTTGGATATTGTAGGATGGTGACTAGAGATAGCTGAATAATGTAGACTGCTGCAAAGACGCCGCGACCCAACACCAAAAGAGAAACCAGTGGCGCGTCCAGACATCGTCACATTTACGCTTCCACATCATCCGCAATCTTCACAACCACCGAGCCAATGCCGCCACTCTGAGTCCACGTGCGATGCGCCTCAGGCACCTCGTCCATGGTCCACTCCTTCCTAATCGGCGCCTTGATCTTCCCCTGAAGGACCATATCAAACAGCGCCTTCAGCTCCGGTTCGAATGTGCTCTGGTCCCTTGAGATGTAGTAGAAGCTCGTCTTCTGCGGGCAAAACGGAACCATATTCCTCGCAAGCAACTTGGTGATAGACGGAATCTGACTGCGAGCCTCCCCTCCGTTCAGCATGTGCAGGTTGCCACCGTAGCCGATAAGGTGGCCGCCCTCCCGCGCCAGGATGCGCCAGCTCTCGTCCCATGATTCGTAGCCGAGGGGGTCGAAGACGACGTGCGCGCCGCCTATGGTGTTCATGCCCATGACCCAGTTCTTGTCTGTGTAGACGAAGGGGGTTGCGCCGACTTCGCGCAGCTCGGCATGTTTGGATAGCGAGGCGGTGCCGTAGACCTCTGCGCCCTCGAGTTTGCAGAGCGTGAGGAGCGCGTAGCCGACCGCGCCGCTGAGACCGTGGATGAAGACGCGCTGGCCCTTGGAGACCTTGGCGCTGCGGTAGACCATGCCGTAGGCGGTGTTCCAGTCCAAGATCATCGCAGTCGCTTGCTGCAAGTCCACGCCTTTGGGTACGGAAATGAGGTATTTCTCGGGGAGATTGACAAGCTCGGCCTGCGCATCGTAGATGGACAGGCAGACGACGAGATCGCCCTTCTGGAACTTGGTGGAAGAGGAGCCGTTGCGATGGACGCGTCCAACGAGGCAGTAGCCAGGCGTCAATGGGGCTTTCTTCTGCATGGGGTAGTATCCCATTCGCATGGCCTGGTCGGCGCCGCTCATGCCAGCGTACAGGACTTTGACCTGGACTTGATTCGCAGCTGGCGGCTGGATTTCGGCGTTAACAATGGTGACATGGGATGCGTCGCCAAAGGACGGGATGAGGACTTTGCGGATGGTGGTAGACATATTGAAGGTTGATAGAGGAAAAGGGATGATGTGTTTATTTGATGAAATCTGATGCGATGGGATGGTGATCGAGTGCTCTGGCTGTGTGGGTCAAGTGTAGAGTCGCCATCCTCAGTGTCTTTATACAAAATCAAGGGCGCGAAGGCTGCTGCGCTGGTATGTATGAATAGCATATACGTCCGTAAGTACGCGGCGGAGTGCTGGACTCGGAGTAAGCCTCGTGGTGTTGTGGGCAGGGAGTGCGGGGCGAAGGGTCGACCCGAGACGGCTTGATGTTCGTCCGCGAGGCTGAATCGGCCCCCTTTAGCCCTGTTTTGGCTTAGCTTAGCCCTGTTTTGGCTTAGCGCCCCTCGCAGCATCATCCCGTCTGTGTAACCCCGAGCGTTTCTCCATTCCCATCCCCACCCTGTGCTTTTGGCTCTCCGACGAGCCAGCCAGCAGGAGGACCGACGGCGCAATCTCTCGAGAGACCAAAGACTGCATATCTCAAGGATGCATGAAAGAGCCCGAGTCTTTGTTACGCCGTGTCGCGATGCTTGCATCAAATAACCGAGCACCGTCCGAAACAGCGCGGGTGCTCATACAGCAGATACCTCGTGCGGAACGCTTTCGAGCGACGAGGAGCTCTCGTCTCTGTAATAGCGTTTTGACTGGGCTTCCATTCTGTTCTAAGGGCATAGCACATCCATACTCTACCCAGGTCTTATCTTCCTGCCTCGATCATCCTTTTGGGGACACATCCTGCTGCGAGGGTTTGCATTCAGCTCGGACATTTGTCGCGCCTCGTCAGGCTGTCAAGATGGTCGCTCCCTACACCATTCATAGGGGAGCGGATATTAGCCGTACAGCAGCGCATCAGGTGCGTACACCTTTTCCATTTTGCACGTCATGATTGGGCGCAACCACAACGCTGTACTAGGTGCTCTCCCGCGAGAACTTAACCGCAGGATCGCAGGATGGCGGACCCGGTTGAAGGGGCTGAACCGGCCTTTCGTGGTTGAAACGAGTCTAACTTGTTACGGAATGCAGCGCGTGAAGCCAACCAGAGACGAGAGTTGGAATCCTAAGCCACGCGCCAGCACACGAAAACTCTCCACATCTTCTCTCGTTCTCAGCCCCCAACTATCAGTCCTGCACCGTCTCCGCGCTAAGCTTCGCCTACCAATGCTTCGGCTCGATGCAACCACTCAAAACCTTGCATGTCGATTCAAGCTTTATTAAGAAATGAACCGGGGGCGTGGCAGTGCTTAGCAATGGACCCCGATTGTGTCGACGTTATCGGGGGCTATGATGCACTATGCAGAGATGCGGTCTGAGGAACTTAGATCAGTCTTCGGCGGTCCAGAGATATAAGGCGGACAATTCTCTCTTCCCGAGGTCATCTTCGATCCTCACCACGGCCCCAACTCCCCTACTTCTTTACCACTTCGCCCGTCTTTTCTAGCTCACAATGGCCTTTGTAATCAGAGCCGTAACCAAAGGCATCTCTACGGGCCTTGGTCTGGCGGGCGAAAAGTACTACGACCACAAGGAAAGGAAGGCTGCCCTCGCAGAAGGGGAGGAGTCGGGGAACCCCTCGAGCAGCGCCTCCGACGTTGACCAATCCCTCCGTTCACAGAATCCTGCAGAGCAAGCAGACGAGAGTGCAGACGATGAGCGCATCTGGGCTCTCGACGAAGCGGGCGGCGACCCACCACCGAGCTACGAGGCTACCGAATCGCAGAATCGCCCCACCCAGCACCGAACAGTGTCAGATCTTGTCCACGACACTGTCTCAGTAATGCATCATGACTCTCCGGGCGAGGTTGCACAGAAAGCGCGTCTTCCCTATCCTGTCATCATCCCTCAACGTCGCCCTGGTACCAAGACTCGAGGCTTTGCGCGCGCGTACCCACCAGACCTCGACGCCATGATTGACCAAGAAACGTTCTTGAAGTTTCTGCACAACTTCGATGAGGCCTCTGCGGCCTCACCTTGGCTCAATGCGCTGTTCATCTCCGCCGGCGCTATCGGCTTTGTACCCAGCCACATTACTCTGGCTGTCTCGATCAGTGTGCAGTTCGCCGCAGGGTAAGCGACGTCCCCATTTCTTATACTCCCCGCGCTAACGATCCTTCAGGACTGCGATAGAGCTCCAGAGCCGATACAAGGCAAACGCCTTCCTCGACCAGATGAACAAGGATCTTTTCATGCCCCTAGGCCTATACTGCATGATCCTCATGTGCAAGGACGGGCCCGGCTCAGCGGAGCACCCAGTCTTCGGCTACGAAACGGTGAACCTCGACACAGCAACAGCGAAGCAGATCACCAAGTGGGGGCTCCCAAAGCAGAACGAAGACGACGAGTACGAAATCTCCAAGAAGAACAAGGCCCTCCGGTCCATCCGCCTTACATCCGGCCGCATCAAACAGTCGGATATGCCCCTCGAGATAGCTCCGCTCATCTACCCGGGCCTGGAAGACATGATCGAGCGCCCTGCCATCAAGCGCGACGAACGCTTCAAGGACCGCCTGCTACGCAACAAAGACTTCGTCGCAGACTACTTCGACCGCCGCGCCCAAGCCGACTACACGGGTAACAACCCCGACTCCACCCTCACAAAAGCCTCCTCCCCGGAGACCCAATTCCGGACCCGCTTCGCCGACCCAAACCACCCCTGCAACAACGGCCATCTCTTCTCGCTCGTCACGGGCGGACGCTACGTCGCACAGCCGCTTGGGCGGCGACGCGGCATGCTACGGCAGGTTGGCGAAGACGGCAAACTGAAGCCGAAGCCTAAGGTGGAGAGGCCTGTTCGCGGGCCTATTAGCCTTGTTGCGAAGGGCGTGCGCAAGGTGCTGGCGAAGAATATCTTGTACTTGACTATTGTGAATTTGCCGAGCGAGGAGGAGTTGGCTGAGGCGAGGAAGATGATGGAGGTGGAGAGTGAGAGTGGCGGGTTTAAGAGTATGTTTCAGGGGTCGAAGGGTGCGCAGGGTGTGGCTGAGTGAGCGCGCTGCGCTGCGCTGTGCTGTGCTGCTTGGCCGCTGGGGGGGAGAAGCATGATTTAATGTATATGACTTCTTTTTATGATGTATGCTTATTATGTTACGCACAAGGACCTAGCATCCCAACCGACTAATGGCACGACCTACAATGCTACCAGGGGGTACAAGGAAAGAAACACCTCGGACGCAGCATCAGTGCAGAAATGGAAGGATTGCGTCACAAGGCCCGCTGAAGTGCAATTCACTTTGGCGCTGGAAAGGTCCTGGAAAAATACGGAGGTTCACGATGGCTGGCTTTCATGCTCAAAATTGTGGCAGCTAATCCCATTGCCTAGACGTAGCATAGGCCGTAGACACGCCGGAAGGGCCGGAGGCAGTGTTCGATTGTGAGCGAAGCTGGAGGATGGCTTGCTGGTTAATCCAAGATTGGGGGCAGACAACATAAAGGCATCGAGAGCTTCCGATACTCTTTGGTGTCTACTGGCTTGCTTGCCCCAGGGGAGAGGAGATACAATCACCGATTAGAACTGATTGCCGTAAAGGACGGTGGTCCGTTGGGGGAATGCTAAGAGTTAGATTCCCCAGTTCCCTTTGTGCTGTTCGAACTCCATGGGGTGCAGCCCGGCTAAGTTAGCATTGCTACATGGCGGCGATAGAGCTGCTCAACGATGATCCCGTCCGTGCTCGAGCTACCTGTGTGTCTTGGCTTGACGAGGGCTTAGTGAACAAAGGCTTCATTTCGAAGGGCAAAATATGGGTATTATCGACGCCAGCTGGCTGGATATCGGGAACGGTCTCACTAAGTAGTAGAGGTTTGTGGGTAAAGATGGAGGGGGTGCGATAGGTGGCTTCGCGTAAGTGCGCTGCTAGCAGCCCACGCACGCTAGCCCTGCACCCCTTGACCATCAATCTCACCGCCTCGTTTCTCCGCGTGCCGTATGCGCCTTGCTGTGCTGATACGGATCAGGCCCTATCCGATGAAGACGACGCGTAGCCGTCCGAAGCGGTAGAACGTTGGTCAAGAAGGCAGTACGAGCGCACTGGACTGAATGCTGCTATTCATCTTCAGGGGCTTGCAAGGCCCCCAAAGCGGCATCGTGCTCGCAGTGGGCTTGCGGTTGGTTGCTCTCTTAGATGGGATGAGGGTCAGTAACTGACATACGACCCTCCAATGTAGACTCGGCTCAAGGTCTTTGGTTCGATTTTGTCGAGTGGTATCCAACGCATGGGGAAGAGACTCTCATACCCGACACAGATGGCGATGAAAGAAGCCCAGGTCACGTATTTCCCATATCGGGGTCACCACACATACGCACATGCACAGTGACGTTCTAGGCACCCCAGGTCCTCCAGCCATGCGTCTTTCCAACCGAGCTGAACTTCGAGCACAACGAATGTCCATCGCATCGTCTTCAAATCTTTTTCTTTCCCCAACCTTGATGCATAGATGTATGCCTACTTCTATCGTTTAATTTTCCATCCCATCTCGATCTAGCCGGTGCCGCAAAAAAGCTCGCACAGCTTTAGAACCCGCTATGTACCTCCATGCCCAATCCGTCCACGCAGATGTACGCAATCCTCTAAGACGCTATCAAAGGGTTTACAAAGACCAAACGATATAGCCGCATTCGAGCTCCCGCAGCTCGGGATAACGCCGCCTGCCTGACCGCTCCTCCAAACGTTGAACTCATTAAAATCCGGTCTTGTTGAGATAATCGGCCTGTTGAGGAATATATGCTGAAAGCCTACATCATCGCGGTGTTGATAGGTTAAGGCAAACCACGGGCGACGCACCTCGCCCTCGCTGAAAATGGAGCGCGTACTCTCGACCGCGGGGGTCGAAATTTGTTGGAGGGCGGCTTGCGCTTTGAGCGAGCAAGGCGCCTCTCTCTACAGACGAGATTGGGTCTATTATTATACTTTTGCTCTGGGGGGTTTTTTTTTGCGTATTGCGCATTATTCCTCCACCGCTGGAGCGTCGCTTGCTTTGGAGGCATACTTTTAGCAGGCTCTCCCATTCTCTAAACTCAAAATTGATGCGCGAGGAGAATGCTTCTCGCTAAGGCTGATGTTGGGAGATGTGACACTTCGTGCGCGGTTGTTGCCTGGGGGCCTGTGATTTTTCGACGAGGTAAAAGGATTGAGTGGTACGATCAGGCTGCGCAACGAGCGATGAAGAAGGCTGAAGGCAGAGAATGGAAAGCGCACCAACACAGAAATGGGTACCTTTTCTCTCATGCCCCTCCATCCACACAGTTGCTGCACGTTCCCCATGCTAGTGCACTCGCGAGTTCGGAAGAGAGGAGGAAATGTGGCAGTTCGCTCCGCCGAGAATCGCTATAGATCGTTCTCCTGGAATCGGGAAGAGCGGATGGGCAACACTCACTTTGATAACGGCTTTCAATCCACCACCTGTACCTCTATTATTCTAAAACGCGTGTGCAGTGTCTTCAGCAGCACTAATCTCGTACTCGCCCTCCCACAATGAAGTCATCCACAAATTGACCATCTTCCTCCTCCAACTCCACTCGCCAACGTCTCTTCTCTTCCACGCCCTCACGTCCCCACAATCTTCTTAGGCACATGCTCGTCATAATACAACGTCTCCCCACTCCTCCCACCCTGATACAACCCCACAGCCAACTTCCCCACCGCCTCTCCACACCAAACCGCCGGCTCCACCATCTCATCGCCAATCTCATTCCACACCCGAAACCGCTCAATCTCATGGTCCGCCATAACACCCCTGTACTTCCCCGCTATCACGTCCTCGGGCATCTTGGTGCGCGTCAGCTTCGGATACACGCCTTGCACCGTCAGCAGCGGCTCCTCGTGTGCTAGCATCTGGATGAAGCGCGTCAGTGCCGCTTTGGTCGTGCAGTACGGCATCCAGCCGTGGTAGTTGATGTCCGCGTCGCAGGCGGAGCTGAGTATGAGGACTTTGCCGTAGGCGGCGTTTGTGAAGTTTGCGACGCGCGAGCGGCGCAGGGCGGGCAGGCAGAGTTGGCACTGTTTGTTCGGCGCGTTGCATCAGCATAGGTCGTTGTAAGCATGCGGAGGAGAGCTTACCATAGCCATGCACCCGAACACATTAACGTCAAACGCCGCCTTCACATCCTCCATCTTCAGATTCTCTATCCGCTCAATCGGTGTGATTACCCCCGCGGTATACACCAGCGTATCTATAGCTTTCATTTCCTTCTCACACACCCTCAGCGCTGTCTTCCTCTCTCCTGCCACCCGAACGTCCCCTTGCACAGTCCATAACCGGTCGGGGTAGTGCTCTCTGAGGAAGTCGACCGAGGAGTCGAAGTGCAGCCCGAAGGCTACTACTTTAGCTGTGCAGGAGAGGGAGAGGATGGATTTGGTCGTTTCGAGGCCGATGCCTTGGCCGCCGCCTACGACGAGGACGGCTTGAGGCGTAGAGTCTTCTTCTGTCATTGTTGAGTCGGTCATGGTGAAGAGGGGGATACAGGAGCTTTAATTGCTGTATCCCTGAGGCGGAAGAGCAATTGTAGAGGCAGTACGGACTGAAAGATGCTTTTCGTGCCCCGCAAAACTGCACGGCTCACACCGCTTCGGACATGGGCTGGCTGGAAGTCTTTCCTAATTGGCGATGGAGTTTAGAAAGCTCAAGTCCACAACTGTCGGGAAAGCTCGAGAAGGAAGGCCGGATCGATGTGTGATAAAGCAGGTCGCCCATCTCCGCCGCTGCTGCCCCGCGCTAAGGCGCGGATCAGAGTGAGGGGCACTTTGTACGGCGGACTGCTGGGTGCATTTGCGCCGAACCTCCGTGATCTCCGCATCGCCCATGACCAGGTCAATGGTTGAACAAGTTTGAGAAGTAACGATAAACCTCTTAGCTACGTATGCCCAGAGAATAATGGCAAAGACCTACTGAGGATGGCATCCGCTACTTGCCAGTCCCACTTATCCTCCCAGCACGGAACTCCTCCGCCATCTCAGCAAAAGTTTTCCACTCGACGCCCTCATGCGTGTTTATCCACTCGATGAGCCTCTCATGCATCATCAGAATATGCGGCCGACCAGAAACCTGTGGATGGATGCTGATGGGGAAGATGAAAGTATCATAGGCGCGGTAGCACCACGTGAACATGTCCTTCCACGTGCGCTCGACGCTGTACGGGTCGACATATCCATGCTACCAATCGTCAGCGCGCCCCAAGCACGAATAAATAATCCAGAAGCGTGTTGGAAGCTCACAGCGTTCGGTCTCGCGCCATCCCACTGAAACGGCGGCCAGTCATCCAGCGTCCAATTCGCCGGGATCTCCACCACATCGCTCTTCTCCGCATACGTCATGGGCACCATCCACTCGTCGGGATGCTTCGTGTAGTCCGTCGTCACCATCTGCTCCTTTCCCGTGCTGACATAGTATGGCTGGAAGTCGTCGTGCATGAACGAGTGGTCGTACTTGATGCCGAGCTTGCTCAGCAGTTCGATCTGCTCGGGGTGATTCTTCCACGACGGCGAGGTAAAGCCAGCCGGTGGCTTCCCACCGCAGAAGTTGGTTTGGATCTCGATGGTCTTGACGAGGATGGCTTCGAGCTGGGAGCGGGTGAGGTCGGAGCAGAATTCGTGCGTGTAGCCGTGGAGCCCGCTGATGAATTCGTGAGCGAGTCATCTTCCTGGTTTTCCGGGGCCCTCACATCTCATGCCCGGCATCTCGAATCTTCGCCATCTCCTCCGGGAAGGTTTCGATAGTGTGCCCCGGAATAAACCAAGAGGCCTTGATGCTGTACTTTTCCCAAAGCCCCAGCAGTCGTTCGACACCGCGCGTCGCACCGAAAACGCCTTTTGCAAAAGTGAGCAACGTTTCCCGGCAGAAGACACCAAATAAAAACTTGCCTCGGGATACGTTCGTCAGATTCGGCTTGCCGCCCACAGTGGTGTTGATGTGGTTCGCGACCGCGTCGACATCAATGCCATAACCGACGAGCACGCGCTTCTTGCCCATTGCGACTGCAGATTTGTGGGTTGCGGAATAGAGTGAAAGGCTTTAGGAAAAGACGTATGCAATATGCGGGATGAACTCCAGGGCTGATCGTCATCTCGGCGCGAACGGGTAGCTAGCGGCGGGGTGCGGACTGGAGCGAAAGTATGCGGAATAACGCGAGGGACGGGGAAGCGCTGAACAAGGGGTGCCGTTCATTGGACCGGTATTTAGGACCCTTCGTTCGGAGGGGGGAAGCTTGTGAACGCGGATGGGCGGGAGGACTATAGTGCCGGCGGGTACGGCGACGTTTGAGGGGTTGCGATCGGCTAGTGCATTTGTAAGCTAACCCAATCCTGTGACTTGAGAGGGGCCGTTTGAGCATTCGTCCTGCAAGACGCACTGGCTCAGTAGAGTAACATGCGTAGGTCGTTCGTGGGATACATCACGTTCGCGGTACGTTAAGATCAAGGCTTGCTGCGTGGAAGGACGTGGGGAGAAACGCACGAATCGAAAACAGCAAATCCGGCCATGACAGCAATAGAAAGTATTACAAACAGATATCCCATGAGATCGCGCTAAGATAGAAGAAGGGCCCCTCAATCAACCCTTGAGCCTCCCCCATCCCTTACTCCCTCCCTGAATAACTAACGCTTGCTCATCATCACTATCGCCCTTTCCCTGCCCATACTCGCTCTTCACACTCTCGCCTCCCTCCGTAATATCGTCCATACTCTTACTCTTTATGACGGTTCCCTGTCCGGCCTTCAACTCGCCCATGCCCATAGGCCCGTCCATATCCCGTCTCGCATACTCCGGATTCGGCTCGCTCCGCACGTAGAGATCCTGTGTAACTTTGATCTGATTACCTGTCGGCGCAAACGACACAGTGCGGCCTTGCGGATCGTGGAAAGACTTTGTAGCGAAGACGTTGCTGGACAATTCGATGAGGGAGCTGCGGCGGGTGTGCTTGCGCGTGTGCCCAGAGGATTTTGCCCCCGAAGTGGAGAGGTCGTCGGAGGCGAATTCTTCGGCGAGGGCGGCGTTGCCGGTTTTCCGCGACGAGGAGATGGCGATGCGTTTGATGAGGTTGGCCATTGCCATTTCGATGTTGAGTTTCACCGTGTACGCGAGCGGATGGAATTGAATGTATCTGGTCCATGTGAGCATGAGGCGCGACAGTAAGGAAGGCGCGGGTACACGAAGGAGTTGGGTATAGACATAGCGGCAATGATCATGACATCCATGAGAAGCGAGACTGCGATGATGCGTTGGTTGAAACGGAGGAGCTTGTTGTACTTCTGGAGACCGTTGTTGATGAGGTTCTCTTTCACAACCTTTAAGAAGTACCAATTCAAGGAGGCGTCGATGATGAGGTATATAACTTTCTCGATGCGGTCCCAGACATTATTGATGAGTTCGTATCTACGTAAATGTTAGCACAGTATTTACGTCGACTCGTGCGGCACACAGAACTCAGTGGAGCTTCCCAAAGAATAAGGAGTAGTATGCAAGATTGCGGCTGGATCGGAGTGACAGGCCGTAATCGAAAGGACAACGGGTGATGGTGGACATACCGCTTATTAATTTGAAGGCGCGCGGGAATCCAAATACAGAAGACGCTGACGTTGATTGCAGTAACGATGGCAGCCGTGCCAATCATTATCATCTTCGAGCGACGCCGGTCGGTGACGATAATCCGAATACGGTTGATGATGATTTGTAGGAGTAACTGAACCTGGATACACCAGCAGAACACTATTCAACATTAGTGACAAGCCGCATTGGGTTGCGACTGCTGGGGAGAAGCGAACGGTGCTTTCGGTGTGAACTTACAGATGCTCATGTAAAAAAAGAAGCCTATAATAAGATCAGCGATGAGCAAAGTGCGGAAATATACACCGACGTACTGGGTCTGATTATTTTGAGAATATGCAGGAAGCACTCCAGACCCATCACGACATTCGCCAGCAACTCCAGATAAATCAACCACACATAGACGCTTCGGAGAGGCGATCGAGAGCTCCTCGCCTGTTGATAGCAAGAGTATGCAGCCCAGAGGACATTGATGAGCGTGATCGCCCAAACAACTGCTGCTATGATGATATCCGTAGTTGTGATGGGCTCATTCTTGAAGTTTGCCGGAACGAAGGGACCCCATGGTGTGAAGTCCGCGTTCGGTTTGTATTCTTTGGTCATTGTATGTTGGGACGACGGTGCTGGGCCAGAAAACGAAGCGCAGAAAACAAAACTTGTCTAGGGGAACTACCGCTCCTAGGGCGGCATTGGGAAGATTAACAATGAAGAGGCTGGTTTAGAAGGCGACTGAAGAGACATGTCGTGCAGATGAAGATACGTACTCGGGGAAGCGTATACGAGCTAACCTGGACAGGGGCGTTACATTATCTCCAGCAAGGGTTTGCTAGCGCAAATGTTGTCCAAGTCGGTGCTGGTACCCGGTCGGCGAGGTCATTTAGCAATGATCCCATAGGCAAGAAACCCGGGCCAAGAGCGTGGTCTCCTTGTCACGCATGCACATTGCAGACTTCCGAGGAGATGCCGGGCTGTACCTGACACTCAACCCAATCGCATGTGGACAGAAATCTACGTGGAGAGAATCCCCACTGTTATCCAGTCTCACCTGTGTGTGATCCTGGGTTGGTCGCGCGGAACCGCGAATGCAAGAGCACGTCCCCTTCTGCATCGTTCTTTTAGCGGAGTGCAGGGACTGGCGACAGGAAAGTCAAGCGGGGAGGATCAGAATCGTGGCAGAGGTCGTACGATAAGGTTGGGAAATTTGACATGTCCAAAACCGAGGCGACCTAGTCATAGGAGCCGGACGTAAGGTGACGCTCGATTAGGCTCAGGGACACAGTGGGGGATGTGCAGAAGTCCCGAAGACCCCCCCTTTCTGAATCATGGAGGTTGTTGTGGCTTTTCGTCAGCGGCGTGGCATGCGAGCGAATGTTTGGAAGAGGCATGATTCGCGGGGGAGCGCCGCCCGCCGAACCTTCCGTCGATAACGGTCCGATTCCTAGACTGGACTCCGGAAAGGGTCCAGAGACTTCATGCCCGAGTCTTCCACCGTCGTAGATACGATTCGAAATGCTGAAAAATCAACGTATTCTCACGAAAGTGGGGAAGTTATGAGATGATGAAGTTCCCGGAGCCTTGGTGCTGGCCCTGCCCATTGATCTGGCGAAGCGCTTCTCAGCCTTAGGCCAAGCTGTCCAGGCGTTCGGGTTGAGGGATACGACCGTTCGTGTCCAAACCTTGTGGGAAAAGACGGTTGCAGCGCCATTATTCGAAGCCACCAGCCGACCTGTGAACCACGTGTTTCGGGGCAGGGCACCCAATCCCCTATAAGGAAGGCATCTTCACAGAGCAGGGCCGATAAAAGAGCCTCCGTTTTGCATGGCGCGATGCGGGAATAAGGGCTGAAGGATGCTGGTCTGGACCGCGTCATGCTTCGGTCGCAAGGAACCCCTTTGAACGCAATTCAGGAGATTGCTTACTGCTGCCCTTGGCACGCGGGATGCGGTATGCGCGAGATCAGACCACAGCTTGATACTGTGTGAAGTCGCTCGTCGGACGATGCGGGGGAGCGACATGCAGGTCGTGGAGAGGTTCCATGCGCCAATCCTCCAGATTTTCGGATGCGACACATGCCGCACTCTGGGGCGCAGCATTGGGGCTAGCTGCAATCAGCTTAGCGGATTCAGGCCCCATAGCGCCCCGGGTGGATACAACCTGGGCAGCCACCAAATTAACTCAACGTACTCTTCTACATTCACCTGGCCGGCGTACTCACCAGATCTCAATCCAATTGAGACTATCTGGTGCTGGATCAAAGACTGCATTGAAGCCAGGGCAGGCACCGCGAACCGCACTTATCCACGCCTGAGAGCACTACTCCAGGCGGGATGGGACGCCGTGCCAGAGAGTCTCCTGGATGAGCTGATAGATGGCATGCCGGCTCGGATAGAAGCTGTTATCAGGGCCAACGGTCTCCACAACCGATATTGGCCTCAAATTGAGTACATTCACAGATACCTGCACCCCGATTTCCTATTTGGGTAACCTACAGCGCCCACAGCTACCACGAGGCCATCTCAGCGATATCAGCGGTCTTTTGGCCGGCTTACGAAATTACTTTGCCATATAAGTTACCACACAAGTACGATTCAGGGCCACCAAAATATATCCCGTGTACTGTGTAGTCGCATCGTTTCGACCCTCAAGACCTTGATATCGCTAGGAAGCTGGCCATTGCGTACGTAGCCTATAACCTGTTGGGTCACGAGTAGCTCGTTGACAGCTTCCCCATGCAAAACCCCAAACGACTTTGCCCCCGACGCTTCCCAGCGGTCAAGTAAGTTCCGTTCCTAAAACAGGCGAGACGTGTTTACTGCGAGTGTAGAACAACTGGTTTGCTTTGACCTATTGTTCTTAAAACATTTTTGGGCAACAATCGCGGCCTCTAGCCCATTTAAGACTCTTCGCCGACCAGCTTCAAAGACAGCTCCCAAAGCTTCGCTTCCTTCTCCCGGCTATAAGCATGTGGTGCGTATCCAGGACCCCACTGTCCGTCGCTCGACTGCCATGCCCTGGCGATCTGAACGTCTTCCAGATACTTGCCACCCATACCATCTAGACTCTTAGAGATAGCGCCCCAGACAGTCGTGGCGGCCCCTTGCTCCGGGCTCTTGAACTGCGGGGCTAGAGCAGGATCCCCCGACAAACCTTGTGTCTCCTCCTCGCTCATGTGCTGCAGGAGCCCGGTTTGAATTCCGCCCGGTTGTACGCTGAAGGCACGCAGGCCATATCCGCCATAACGTCGATCCGCTTCGTTCGCCGTCCACAGGTTGGCTGTCTTGCTCTGCGAGTACGCCTTCCACTTGTCATAGGCGCCGTCGAGGTTGTAGTTCTCAAAGTCGACTTCGCCACCGCGGTGGCCGATGGACGAGAGGAATAACGCCCGAGAACTGGCATAGGGCGTTGCGGCAGCCAGAAGTGCCGGTCGTAGGAGGACGAAGAGCAGAAAGTGGCTAAGATGGTTGACGCCGAACTGGGTTTCGAAGCCGTCGGCGGTACGGCCCTCGGGCGTAGCCATGACGCCGGCGTTTGCGATGAATATATTGAGTTTGTTGGTCAGCGTAAGGAAATTTTCGGCACAGGCGCGGACGGATGTCAGCGAGTTCTGGTCCATTTCCAGAAGATGCACCCGGGACGAGTTGACGAGCTCGCTGCCGAGACCCTGCCTTGCCTTTTCGAGGCTGCGGGCCGTTAGGTAAAGCGTTGCGCCTGTAGTGAAGAGCGCCTTTGCGGTTTCGATGCCAAGGCCTGAAGAAGTACCAGTGATGAAGATGCTCTTGTCGGAGAGACCGTTCTGCAAGCCCTCATTCCGGACAATCTCTAAGGCAGTGGGACGGGCATCCTCAGGACCCTGGGGGTTCTTGTGGACTTCGGCGTAGCGGGTAGTCATCGTTGCAAATGTAGGTCGACTTCAGAAGAAAATGGTAACGAAAACGGCAGGCATGGAGGTTCTGGGCGTGGTTAAGGACTGGAAATTAGCAGGCCTCCCCGATAATTATATACAATCGCTCCCAATAGCTTTAGAAACATCCCTTAGCTTTTGCAGAACTGCCGAGGGGTAGAGGGACTTGACTGTATCGGTGATAAAGGTGTAAAACCCGCACAGACGTGATAACGCAAGCGGTCGGGCCGATTCTATGCAGATGTCATCAAGGCGCAGCAACTCAAGCCCAACCGTATATGTATCCAATCGAGGTGGAGTTGGCTTTCCAGGTGTCCAAATCCATCGGGTACTGCTCTGGAACCGCAATGGCTGAACCCACTATCATATTGCAACTAGAAGATTGGGCGGGCACTACAGACCCGAAGGAGCGGAGGAGAAGGCAGAACAGGTTGAATCAGAGAGCCCGAAGTGAGTGTTCGGTCACCTCCGTATGCGCGTTTCGCCTACTTGTTGGACCTTCGAGCGACTCGTTTCGAAAGGGCTGGTTTTACGTAGTTTTGCTAACCACCGCTGTAGGGCAGCGCCAACGGGCATTAACGAGCGAGCTGGAGAGTCCTGGCTCATCGGGAAACCAACAAAATGAGACATCTCTGGTCAGGTTAGCCGGATCGCGACGTCTCAATGGTCTTCGCATCCTTGGTCCTGATGCAGAATCGTCAATTCGACTCATTTCCCGCCTGGAGGCCGCAGCATGTGCAGAGTACGCCTTGGGTACGCCGCGTACAGATCTACTCCTTGGACTTGTCCAACTGAATGTCCTCCGGGCATTGATCGTCAACATTGATGTCCTGGGGTTCTCAGCGGCCGAGATGCATGACGATGCGCTGTCTCCGTTTTCCACTGCGGGGCCATGGCATACAGCACACACTAAGAACCAGTTACCCGCGGCCCTAATGCCGACTTCTTTACAGCGCTCAGTCTGTCACCATCCTTGGCTTGATTTACTTCCCATTCCCCAACTGCGGGATAACTTACTACGGGCCTCTCTTCCCCTAGACGAGGATGAGCTTTGCCATGATTTGTGCGGATTCCGGAGTGCGGCAGAGGGACTTTCCGGAGTCATTGTCTGGAAGGATCCATGGGATCCTACGGGATGGGAGATTACCGGGACGTTCTTACGCCGATGGGGTGGGATGTTAAAGGAGTGTTGGGGTCTCTTCCAGTCTACGAATTACTGGCGGGCGAGGCGGGGCGAGAGTCGGCTTAGTTGTGCTACGTGGGCTCTGGCGTGTAAGGAGACCTAACAACAACGACGTACCACCAAGCTAAATCAATTCTCCGAGGCCGGAGGTTAGTGCAGCTGCGTGTGTCATCCACTTGCATTAGCGCTAAACCATATTATGTTCGCAAATGACTTGTTTCGATCAACAGCCGTCACGTTTCTAACAAGACCACACACATATTCCTTTTAACAAGAATTCTCTCTGCTTATCGTTCTTTTACGCATGGCGACTTTTGGGTTGTCGAATGAGGAGGACATCGCCAGCGCTGCCAGCGGCGCCATAACGGGTGCTTCCGGATAAAGAGAGTGACCCGAATGGCTCCGCTCCCCAATAACATGGAAAGTGCTGTCACAATGACCAAGAATGCGCATGATTTCTTGGGCTCGGGTTCTAGATCCAGTAACGCATAATTGTCGATGGTCTGAACGCCCACAACTTCCTCCGTTTTCCCTTTCCGGGGAATTGCCGGTACCCTTATCACAAAGTTAAGACCGTAAAGTCCGCATCCCATGTAAAGCCTGCACGGACTTCCAAACTCGAAGCCGAGCCCATGTCTCCACTCGTTCAGTGTTTAGCACGTTGCGGTACCGATAATCTTCGGCCGCGGTTCCGATAAGACCAGAACGACACCGTATTTAAGGGTTCAGCATCTTCGGTGTTGTGATCTAGACCGCTCATCAACCTCATAATCTTGTCATTTCTTACGACGCTATGGTCAAAACACTCCCATTCGCCGATATCGAGGTCCCCTCGCCCGGCTTTGGCGCGATGGGCATCAGCTTTGGCCTGGGCAACGACTTAACCCTTGAGCAAGCCGAGCCAGTCCTCCTCAAGGCAATTGAGTTGGGGTGCACTTTCTGGGACACTGCCGTATGCGGATGCTACTCCCTAATCCGCGGCATGCTCCGCTAACAACCTTTAGGTTGTATACCAGGCCGGTGTGAATGAGAAGCTTTTGGGAGATTTTATCAGGAAGCATAACATTCGCAACAAGGTCTTCGGTGGGTTGTAATAGTTTGACATCATTGAATATACCTCTGGCTAATAGTACGCTCAATCCAAGTTGCCTCTAAGTGCGGATTTGACGTATTCGGGCACGGAAATGTCACGAATTCTGCCTCCCACATTAAGACCTACATCGAAGGCACGATTGAGCGACTTGGGTTTACGCCAGACCTGTACTACCTTCATCGGATCGACCCCAGTATGGTGACGATACATGTTTAAGCAACGTCCCTCTGCTAATGCGATGCAGACACTCCCCTAGAAGAGTCGATTCCCGCTCTCGATGAGATCCGCAAGACTGGCAAGACCAAGTACATTGGTCTTTCCGAGTGCTCTGCCCAGACGCTCCGAAAGGCCAACTCGAGTGGGTCTCATATTCCCCGCCAGCGTTTGAATATCTGCTGATGTAGAACCGATGCTAGTTGCAAAGATCGATGCCGTTCAAGCCGAGTACTCTGCATTCGAGACTCTGCATGAATCTGATGGCCTGATCGACACCGCAAAAGAGCTGGGCGTTGCATACGTAGCCTACAGTCCTCTAGGTCATGGCTGGCTCGTCGACGATTTCCCCTACAACACTCCCGACGACTTTGCGCCTGACGATTTCCGCCGAAGCGGTGAGTATTCCTACCCTTGTCGTCCTTAGGGCTTCCACTGTCGAATTTTTGCGTTACATGGGAAATATACTGACATAATGTTGGACAGTCCCCAAATTCCAAGGCGAGAACTTCTACAGCAACAAGAGGATCGTAGAAGAAATCAAAAAGCTCGCCGCGCGCAAGGGCTGTACTCTGAGCCAGATCGCTCTTGCATGGGTCGCGGCCCAGGGAATGATTGCTATTCCGGGCACAACGAAAGCTAAAAGGCTAGAGGAGAACTGGGCGTCGAGAGATATCGACTTGACGAAGGAGGAGAAGCAAGAGTTCCGGAACATCCTAGACAACATTAGGCCGCATGGGAATAGATATAGTGCCAAAAATCAGGCCTTGGTAGGGCATTAGAAGCGATAATATTCTATCCCTTCTGTCTAGGATCATAGGTAATGAGAATTGTGTCCTGTATACTGAGTATAACCATCGTAACCTGGCCACGACGCTTCTCGTGCCAGTAGCGTCCCTTCAATCATCTCTTGAGAGGCCTGAACAAGAGTCCCACTTCCGTAATAATGACGCATTTGCCTCCTAACACAAGCCATCCCATGACTTGCCCTATATAATCAGGGCTGGCTTATTGCCGAGGCTTCCAGCCTCCACGTTGAGGATGTCCGTACACAGCTCGCTCTCGTCAAAGATTCCTGCATCGATCCCAAGCAACATGCCGGCGAACCGTGCGCTGCGAGTTTGTTCGGACTAACGTCTTCGGGCATAACGCTAGCAGCTTGATCCGCAGTTGCAATTAGTTGCGGTGCGAAACGACCAGGAGGATTCCCTGCTGCACTTACATCATGAATAGAATTGTCGGATGAGAAATTCCCAACGACTTTGGGATTAGAAGTAGTTAACCCGCTAACAGGTGCGTGCGTTCGAAGGCCCTGGGCCGAGCACGGTAGAGGGGAAGAAATGGTAGAACAGAATCGATCAGGAGCACACTGTCAGTCCTTGGCCTTGAGGATCTTCGCGCCCTTTGGTGATGCAAGCGCCTAAGCGACATTGTATCTAGGTAGAAAGACGAATGCTAAAGTAACCTGCACGATAGAGACTATTGGATCCCAACGAAAGCGAGACAACGCTTCCTGATGGGCCTGGAGTCTTGGGTTGCGGTCTGTGCGGCAAGCGAAGTTATAGTCGCTACACGCTTATGCAACTGGATTACATACTAAAGTAGTGCCCTCTCCGAGTTAAGTTCAGTTGGAACTGGGTATTGGGACGCACGCTGGTTTTTGCTCAACTAGCGGCTGACCTTAGCCTTCGTTTACCGGAAGTACTGTTACCTCCGGAACAAAACAGTTGGCTTTGCATACTTGGTCTCCTATAAAACCATGTCATTAAGCCAAATTCCTGTGAAGTCTGGCAATTGGAGAATCTTACATTCGTCACTTCTTCGAGCGGAATCGCTCTCAAACGCCAAAATGCATCCTCGCGTGTTATTACTCAGTGGCAATGCTATGGTCTCTCGCTTGATGACCACGGCCATGGTATCGCGATCATGGGATGTCATCAGCGTGATTCGAGACCCCGCACAGAAGCCTGCAATCGATCTCCTAAACCACGGCTAAGAAGGAAAGATTGAAGTTATGGTGTATGATTTAGCGAGAATGACGAGTGCTGCCGAGGCTCAAGTCGTGTTGGCACAAGCAAAGCCAAATTACGTCATATTTGCAGCCGGTAAGTCAACATCTTCTAGCCTTTGTCCTACATATAAAAAAGCGCAAACTTTAACAGAAGTTGGCAAATTGTAGGCTCAATGTCTAATCCGTTCGCGGTGGACCGTGACGCTGCAAAAAGCTTCATGCATGCTTCTACGGCCGCACCCTCCGTCACTAAGTTCCTATTCTTTTCGTTCCCGGGATCGCGTAGGAATCGAGCGCCGTGGTGGTCAGAGAAGGAGTATGAACAGTTTCTTTCGGAAAAGAATTCGTTTCCAGACATCTACCAAGCCAAGCTTGAGGCGGACGAATACCTGGTGGCCCTGGCTGAAAAACGAATCAAGGAAGGTGGACCACCTTTCCAGGCCATCAGTTTACGACCAACCTGGATGACGAACTCGAGAGGCACCGGCAAGGTTCGTCTAGGCCGGGCGGGTGCGCGAGGACAAGTCACGAGACAAGATGTTGCAGCTGTCGCCGTGGGCCTACTTTCGCGTAACGATACCCATGGTTGGTTCGATCTCTTCCAAGGGGATGTGGAAATTGAAGAGGCGATTGAGATGGCTGTACAAGGTGCCATAAACAGTATTGAGGGCGAAGACATAGAGCGTATGTGCAAGTTATTGCAGTGAATAAGACTCTTATGCAAGGCTTTTAAAAATGACCCAGGCTCCACTTGCTACCCAAACAGTACCAGTTTGTTAACATATATATGGTTCCATGGTCGATTGATTGTTCCGGAGAACTTGTTCCCTCATGGTAGTAGTGCAAAGAAGAGCCGCAGAAATCTGAGGCTATAATCCGAACTATAGCATCTTTTGTGTTTTGGAGTACCAGTACAGAAATTCTGTAAGCATCGATCAAAGCTGCGGCACGTATAGTCGCGCTGAAGACCATCAGGCAGGGCAAAACCAGAAGCGAGAAATTCAGAGGGTGCAGTGAGATATCTCAACGGCATAAGCTGTGCATCTGGTGTTCCTTTGCGTGACTAGATTGAGGCGATATCTCACTACACGAGACCCATTTTGGCCAGAAGTATACTTTTCTGGGTGACGTATACATTTGAAGAAATGGAGCAGGCAAACAGGGGACTTGAAGAATTTATCCTCGTATTTCAGGTGAATTGGAGAGTATTGAGACATGAGTTGATTAATTGAGAATACGAGGAATATGGCTATATATATATGACCAGGTCACGTGAAGCAGTAACCATATTCGGCAACATCGTATAAGGGGTCGCTCTTGGCACGCTGGGGCTGTCCTGCTCGGATAGATGTAGGTGACAAAGTGAGACATCGTCAGTGAAGGCAAACAAAATACTGTGCCTTCACATCCAAGGGAATACCGTCTGCGCAAAGGGGGAATCCCGAGGTTGGGGCTAGCCGCAATCAGCTTAGCAGATTCAGGCCCCATAGCGCCCCACGTGGATACCACCTAGGCAGCCACCTCACGATACAAGAAGTCTAGCTTTATTTCTAAAGGACTTTAGACTGGGAAACAGCACCTATTTCTTACTACTCCTAAATAGCGGCGCTTGGGTCGTCCGACGGATGCCTGGCAGCCGCCATCGTCACCGTCGCTCAGCCTACCCACCAAATCAACTCAACGTACCCTTCCAGTACGTGTCCGCGTTCCACGCCAGAATGCTATACACCTCGCTAGACGAGTCTCGGCGACAAATACGCCTTCTGCATCTGCTTCCCGGGACCGACGACGAGGAGCTTCATTGCGCCCTCAGCCTCGCGTCTCTCGACGACGAGCCGGAATATGAAGCACTCTCTTACGTATGGGGCGACGCAAAACACACCATTCAGATCCAAGTGGATGGTCAACCATGGCCGATCACTCGAAATCTGCACCTAGCGCTCAAGAACTTGCGTTCTGAGGACCAAGCACGCATTTTATGGGTCGACGCAGTATGTATCAATCAGCAGGATATCGCAGAACGGAACAGTCAGGTTAGCATGATGGGTGCCATCTACGGCGGAGCATCCACCGTTGTAGCCTATTTGGGCGAGGCATTCAGCGATTGTGAGCTCGCCATAGAGCTCTTCCAGCAGATCGTGGCAAACAAGGATCTCCACCCAAACAGTTCCAAGTCGCCAAGCCTGAATGTGAGAGGAGCCGGACTTGAGAATCATCGCCTCCGGAGTTCCTTGATCAGGTTCCTCATTTCTCCCTGGTGCACTCGTATCTGGACGGCTCAAGAATTTCTCCTAGCAAAGTGTGCCATGCTACAACGTGGAAGTTATACGATACCTGGCAGTTATCTCTTTCATCTGAAGGACTATTATCGCCAGCACCTCGGGCCTTGCTGCTATTCTGATGAAATTTGGTTCGTCAAAGATGAGGAATGGGGCACAACCGTTATCGGTGCCCTTCTCCTGCCCTGGGAAAAGTATCTGGACTTCGCGACGTGCCGCACCCAGTTGAAGTCGTTCAGTTCTCTTTTCGAGATTTTCCGCGGGCAGAAAGCGACCGATTTGCGCGACAAGATCTTCGCCGTGCGGGAACTGGCAAGTACTGAGCTGAGGGAGCGGCTGAGACCAGACTACGCCGAAATACCTGAAGAAGTCTATCAATCCGCAGCGCTACTGGATTATCAGATCACCAATCGCCTGGACTTCCTGAGCTTCTGCTGCAGCGGTACACGCCTCGATCTCCCTTCCTGGGTTCCGGATTGGTCGATTGCTGCTCCTGTTGTACCTCATTGTCTCATTAGGTCCCAACGCACTGCCATATACCGTGCTTGCGGTAATCGCAAAGCGGACCTGAGGCTTATAGCAAAGAAAGCAATCAGTATCGGTGGCTTCTGCTTCGATACAATTACTTTGCGTAGCTCGTCGTCTATCGAAATCAGCAACTCGGACCGCTTGCAAGAAATACGGGCACTTGCAGGAATTGAGCAAGACGGAGACCGACCTTACTGTAATGGTAATCAGTCAGTTCAAGAGGCCTGCTGGTTGTCATTATGTGGAGGGCTCAGGTGTGTGCGTGACGGGAATATATTGTCGCGCTTGCGTACCATCGACAACCGGACCGAATTCGAAGCGTGGCAGCGGTGGATGGAAGACGGCGGCAACGGAAAAGGGCAACCTATTTCATTCGCTTATATGACCATGGCAGCTGTCATTTCCTCCTGGCGACGTTGCTTCGTCAGAACGAGCCGAGGATACATGGGATGGGCACCAGACTGTTGCCGGGCGGGCGACGTTGTTGTTGTATTGAACGGCGGGTTGGTGCCTTATGTCCTGCGGCAACTAGACGAGACCGAGTTCGGCCAGAAGTATACTTTTCTAGGCGACGCGTATATTCATGGAATCATGGATGGCGAGGCATTTGAAGAAATGGAGCAGGCAAACAGGCCACTTGAAGAATTCATCCTCGTATAAGCGGTCGCTCTTGGAACGCTGGAGCTGTCGTGCTCGGATAGGTGTAGTTGACAATGTGAGACATTGTCAGTGAACGCAAAGATCTGTGCCTTCGCAGCGCAAAGCGGGGAGTCCATCTGAAAAAGGGCGAGCACGTGCCTCGGGAGCCTTGCCGTTTCTGGCGAGCTTCGTCATAGCCGCATGAAACGGGTCCAAGCCACAGCTCATGCGCAACACCACCGCTCCTGATCTCGAGGACCAACATCTCCCCCGCCAAACTCACTCAACTCTTCGTTTGCGGCCAGATTCCTTACTCTTTTATTACGCAGCTTTCACAATCACCATGTCCGAGAAGCCTGTGGGCGAGAAGGTGAGTAGATAGCATACCGCGTGCCCCTCGGTGCCTCAAGCCGTCGCATAACTGACCACCACTGCTCTAGCCCACCAAGATAGGTACGGCGTCGGGCGCCGAATCCCCGACCACAGCCCGCGAGCTCGATTTCGACGACGAGCACGACGCAACCGTAGAAGGCGCTGAGCACGTCGCATCTCCGCCACCATCCTCGAAATCACCGAAGCCGGGTGTGCGCTTCTCAGACGACGCCACCGAGATCCCGCCGCCGAAGCCTCCACGCCCAATGAGCCCGCAGCAGCAGGCGGAGAACACGTTGATCGAGGCCTTCCCGGGCATCGACGCGAAGGTGGTCAAGGCGGTACTCGTGGCCAGCTCATGGAAGGTGGAGCCAGCGTTCAATGCGCTGCTGAGTATGGACAGCCACGGATCATATTCATTGAAGAAAGCAGCTAACCGAGCAGGCATGTCGGATCCCAACTTCAAGGCCGAGGAGACTCCGCCGCCCCAGCCGCCGCGACCGTCACAGCAGCCCCGCAGCCAGGTTGAGCAGGACGAAATCTATGCGCGCCAACTTGCGGAGCACTACCAGAGCAGCTATCAGGGATACGGCTCGCGCCTGCGCGGCGATCCTCCAGCGCCCCATCCGCGACGCGACACTGGTCTGAAGCCGAATGAGCTCCATGACGGCAAAGAACACAGCTTCTTTGATGGTATAACCACCCCTCTTCGCGCGTCTATCCCGTGCCCAACTCACACACTCGTAGATGACCTCCCGGAGATTCGCCGCAACATCGAGCAGGGCTTCCGTGAGACGCAGACAAAGGTAAACAGGTGGATCACCGACTTCAAGAAGAAGCTCGACGGCGAGCCGGACGAGTACGACAAGTACGGGAACCCGGTGCCGCACCAAGAACAGCGCCAGAACTTCGGCCCGTCGCAGTCAGACCAGATGCATGGTGTTCGGAGGTCGGCCGAGACGCGCCGGTCAGCGGATCGCGACCGTTACGACTCCGACAACAGGATGCTTGGCGACGATTTCGAGGCTCTAGAACTGAGGGATGATGAAGGTAGGTCCACTCCGAAGAATCCTCGCGAACATCTATACTAACTGTGCATGCCCAGCCCCAGCTCAGCACAGGCCGAATCGTCCTCTCGCGAACCCCGACCTCTTCAAGCCCACGCCGGTCTCACCACCCCAGTCCGGCCCCGTTGATGAAGTCGATGCCCTCTACCGGAATCCGTCCCCCAATAACCAGACATCAAACACCCAAGGCAAGTCAGGCGGCAAGAAGTGGCAGCCCTTGACGTCAGTAGCGCCGCACCCCGAGCCCGACGAGCACGACCCGTTCAGCCTAGGAGACAGCGACGAAGAAGAGGCAAAGGCTAAGGACATCAAGGCCGAGGATACTGAGCGGCTGAAGAAGGCAGCCGAGAGCAAGGAGGGTGCTCCCGGCGAGCTGAGTCCTGCAGGACGGAGCGGCAGCGTGGGGCAGAAGGATGCGGCGGCTGAGGCGCTTCTGAAGGAGGCGAAATGATTTGAGTTTCCGGGCGATTCTGGCAAATGGCACTTTCTCTGGCTGATCGGTAAGGCGGAACGACTGATGCATTAGGCGAACGTGGTGACGATATCATATGGGCTCGCTGGGAGATAGAATCCGAATTGGAATCAGTTTCCGTTATACTTTCTTGTTGCCTCACGATATCGACGGACGGACCTCGCATACCGCCATGTCGTTCTTTTGGAACATATCCCATACTGTCGTTGTCGGAACATGCTCATTCAAAGATTTACGTAAGGTAGACACTGTTCGAAGCCTTTCATTGTAAACAGGAGAGGCCGCTCATCGCTAAAGAGGATTCGATGCCTAATGAGCTTACGCAACACAGATGCTTGTCGCTGGACAATGAAATAAGACTGGCGGGAGGTTGACGGGTGAACGTAGAAGGTGAGATACAGTCTCGTCGAATTGACCTAGCAGCTGCTAACTAGACTGTGCCCACGATTACGGAAGAAATTCTTTGAATATAAAGGCATCGTGCTCTGCAATCCACCTTGCCTTTATCGAGAGTAGGGCTGTTGGCCACCCGCTCGAAACCATGGCCGGAGATAAACGGATTACCGTACGGCTAAAGCCACTCGTTGTCCTCGGGGACCCATTGCCTGAGCATATTGTCCAATGCGTAGAGTCACGGGTACTAGTCATCATCCTGCCCCCGATCCCCCCACATTTCTTCGACAATCGCCGGACACTCCAGCACTACCTTCATGCGTCGAGTCCACTCCTCCTTCGTGTACCTCAAATGCTCCGGCCGCACAACGATCGTACTCCCTCCAAACAGCAGCTTGACGAATACCTTCGCCTCGCGCGACTCCGCCCGCACGGCCTTGACGACGGGCCTAAGCGCTTGCATGGTAGTGGCGAGGATCTCAGCGAGCCAGGGAATATTCTCACGGTAAAGGTACCAGGGTAGAGCGCGAGACCGGAGCTCTATCGTGAGTTCGAAGTCGCGCTTCCGAGCGCACGCAAGCAACGGCGCGAAGTGCTCCTCCAGCCGCTCTGCAACGACAGAATCGCAATAGCCGGGCTCGATGCAGCCGCTGACCTTGAACGCAGACAGCATGCCGTTTGCGGGAATGACGCCCATCCTGAAGAAGTCTTGATTGAGCAGGTTGCGGATCTCCACGGGGTGGGTGACCTCGAACGCGCGGTATGCATCGTAGAAGGCTTGGATGATCTCCAGCACCACAGCGCGGTGCGTGGTTCCCGGCTTGATGAAGCGCGGCCACGAGGAGGGGTGGAGGGTTGCCGTGTGGATCGGGTATTGGTCTACGCTCGGCTGGGCGCAGAGGCTGACGGCGCGCGTAGTGACGGCGTCGAAGAGGTAGGCGTAGATGGCGTCGCGGACTTCTCGCGGGAACGTCTTGTACATCGCGGTGGTGAAGGCGAGGAGGCTGCAATGATTTGTTAGAGAAGACGGAGGCGCTGGATGGTTGGTGGGGGAGAGTACTTACTCGTACTCGGAGATGCGCTCGTAGGTATTGACGGGCTTGGAGGGGGTGCGCTTAGAGCCGAAGTGCTTGGATAAGAAGCGCTTCATGGTTGCTTTCCTGAGATGCTGGGACTGTTAGCGGTGTTCCCCTGATTGGGGTGGAAGAGAGAAGGAAGTTCGCAGGTTGAGGCCAAGGCGAGAGGTTATGTATGGCTACTCAAGCGGTGAGTGAAAGGTTGTCTTTCACTTCAAAGTCTGACGTCCCTTTGCGCCGGTGAAGGCAGATTGCAATGGGCAGCGCTCCACTCTGAGGCACCTGAGTTGGCTAAGTCAAACTCGGCCGGATACCCTCCAACCCTAACCACACCCTGAAAGGATATGCTCCTTCATCTTCCGCTTCAGCACCTCCTCCTTGTCAGAGACGAAGTCCTTATACACCTCCTTCCATTCCTCCGCAAAGTACCGCCCATTACATCGAACCCACACAACCCCACCGCGATTCTCTGTCTGCTTGACCATAGACCTCAACGCCCGCAGTGCATCGGCCATCATATTATAGATAAATCCCAGTCCGAAACTGTCCATCCAGAGCCAAATGTCAAGCTTGAAATTCCCAGTCCACACCTGCTCCGTGCTGAGGAGCCGTTCGAACTGTCCGCCGAAGGCCGCCGGGTCGGCTGTCTCTAGGACTATGCGGACTGTTAGGGCCGAGAGTGAGACGTTTGAGGGCCGTACTCCTAGCCCGAAGAAATCGGCTGATAGGAAGGCGGGAATGTGTTCTGGCGACTGCACCCAGGAAGATGCGTTGGTGGTGTATATCTGTGTGATAATTTCGCGGACGACTGTTTTGTCGATGGACTCAAGGTCGATAGTTTTTGGAGTACCATGGCCATCTGGGATTCCTAGGCCGTAATGACTTGTGTTCTGGAAAGCTCGCGTTGTCATAGTTTGTAGGATGTCGGCGTCGACGATCTATTCGTAGGTCATCTTCCTGAGCTCTGTTGGGATCCGATAATGGAACGATTGGGTGAAGAGGAGCAGGCTGATTATCCACATAATTAGTCGGTGCTTTTCCAAATCTCGAGAGCAATGCCTTACCCCGGAGTGCCTCTAATATTACTGTGACATCGTTGTTACTAGAAGTCGCTGTCGCTCTTGCCCTCGACATTCCGACTCTCTTCTCAGGGCCTTATTTGGTGGCAAGCGTCGCAAACGGGACAGATTTACAGGTAGCGGAATCTCAATGGGATAAATGTCCTTGGCTTGCAGTGACTACTAGAACTGAGGAACCTGACCACACGCTCGACATCGTGGTTCAGATGCAGCAGACGAATTTTATGTACACTTCGACAGTCTTGAACGCAATTCGACTGGGCGTCTCTCCGATAAAACAGGCTGAAGTTGTTCTTGTAGGTAAATTCAGGACACTGATACACAAGGGCAATTCGCGGTCCTGCTTTGAACATACCCAAAAATGTTCAGAGTTCGGATCTCCTCGCGCTGTTGACATCCTCGTCGGTCGCAAGTTTGTTCGGCCACCTTTTCAATGTACGCGTCTAAGTCCGCATCCTCTCATGCGGCTGCGTCGGCTGATTATCTGTACCAAGCTTCTTGCACGCTTGGAGACCCCTCGACGCGCGAGGCGATGGGGCGTTAGGAATATATTAGAATCGAGAAACTCGCCACTTCTCTTGGCGCAAATGAAGCCTTTCCAACCAACAGCGTCTTTAGTATTATCAAACCAACGTGGCAACAGGCAACCCACAGACATATCTCAGTCTTGCAAGTTGCAACATAGTCCTGTCGCCCTTATCCTCAGCGCCGAGCTCCTCTATAGCACCCAATATGCGCGGTAAGTTACTTGCCGTCAAGACGGCCTTAACCGACGACCTCCTCCTGTCCGTGTTTCCGCACCTTTTGGCACTGGCCTTTGATGCCGATTGTCTGTTAGGCTCAGGGTTTTGGGGCGCTTCGAATTTGATCTCTTGGTCCTTAGGGCCGCTCGAGGAGCGCCAGTTTCTCTGCGCTTGCGCGTTAACCCCGCCTTGGCACTCTGAACTGACCTTGCTCTCGCCTTTTGAAGCTGAGCTATTCGTGCACTTCTCCGCGGCTCAGGCAGCGGCTGCACCCTCGTCGCGTGCGTGCGCCCTTTCTTGACCTGCGGCTGGCCATGCGTAACCGTACCGCTAGATTCCACGGTTTGAGCCGGTTGCTGAAGAGGCTGGCTGGCAGAGCGTCCGGTACGAGACCGCTTCTGCTGTCGAGAACCCGCGTGCATTATTTGAGGTGGCGAAGATTCACGAGCGTGCATGCCGCTCTCGTCGTCTCTTTTGCGTTTCCGAAGCGATCTCGTTCTAAGCGCGGTCGAGAGATGGTTTTGCGAAGGCGATGGAGACCCATCCGGCACGTCCGAACTGTCGTCCAGGCCTTCTGTACTATTAGCCTTGTTCTGATCATTTGTTTGTGGCTCCTCGCCTGACTGTGCCGACGTAGGCCAGAGAGGTTCACCAGGCTTCAGATGCCCAAAGATAAGACGTGCTGCCCTTGCGACTACTGGATCGGGGTGTTCACCCGTAGGGTTAAAAGGCGAAGGAGGCGTTGGAGGTGGAATCGATTCGAGAGCGTCAATCTCAGACGGACTAAAGTCCATCTCATTAGGGTCCTCGGGTTCTGGAGAAGGGGACTCGTGCTTCCACTTCCACCCCGGAGAATCGCCCCAACTGTCCTTCCAGTCCCCGTTGGCCTTCCACCGCTCTGTGATGTTCACCGCAGCCTTCTCGCAGTCTGGCAAACCATGAAAACCAGAAGCCCGCTGAACTCTGGCTGACCTGATGGCTGCTTCCCGGACTTCGAGTTTCCACTGGTACCATGGTCGAGTTGTGATGCGAGAATCGTCAGGATCGATATTGCCATGGGTCGCCGCGGTGGTGTCTGGATGGGGCGGCGTCTGTAGTTCGGACCATTCACCTTTCCTCTCAAGGTGCTGTCGGATTGCACGTTCATCCGGATATTCCTCCTCTTGAGGCGGCCAACTCGCCACCTGCACCTCGAACGGCTGTTTATAGAAGTTTCGAGCTCGACGAGGGCTGGACCACTTCCAGTTCCACCTGTTGGAATTGTCGTTGTCTCCTCTCTTCACACGGCCTGGTATACCCCATTCTGGATTCCAAACACCAAGAGACTCCCAACGTTTTCTGATGCCATTTCGGACCATGATGTCCAACCGCTGGTCCCCAGGACGTTTGCTGATATCGGGCCCGCGGTATACGTAACGGCCCTCTGAGTCTCGTCTGAGCGACTCGGCTAGTATATGTTCGCGCTCTTTCCCGGATTCGACAAAAAACTGATGTTCTGGGGCGTAGGCATGAAAGGTGCGCCGGTAATAATCGCGTTCGTCGTTGTTCAGGGGTCGGCGAATGAGTTCGTCCGTCTCGTGCGCCGTGAGTTGCGAACGTACAGTTAGGGCTGGAGTCGGCAGCCTAGTGCTGCTGGCGGGGGAGTAGGGAGGTGGAGGGTCGTCGTCGAAACGTCTTATGCTGCGTTGGACAGCTTCGGGGTCGTCCTGCATCCGTTGCAGGGTCGCGGTGACACTGTTTAGCCGCGCAGCATTCATGCCATAGAAAGAGTGCAGCATGGTGATGACTGCGAGATAGTGTGGCAGGTGTAGAGATTAACCAAGCAGGTGGCGGTCGGAGAAGGAGAGTGTTAACAGTGTTTTTCAGACGGAATTGACGTGGCCACGAACTGGCCGCTAACTGGCGGGGAAAGGGTTGCTTGGCAGCGGGTCACGTGGGACGAGAGCCGCCAATTAATAGCCGCTTGGCGTACAACTACCGGTAACTCCTGTTATTTTGGCCCCCAACCCCAAGGCAGCAGTCGTCGACATCGGAGCGTCTTGCCCAATCGATTTGGATGGCGGATTGCAGCAGGAAGCGGGAATAACTTCGCGAGCTCCCTCCTCCTTCGTGGCATTCTTTCAAACATGTAAGTAGGCCGTCATTTCAAATTCTTTCTCTGCGGGAGTATTGAATCTGCCTTCTCCTGCCAATATGGCTTACAAAGACCCTCATCCCCAAACCATCTTCCATCTAGTCCCACAAAACTCCGAAGCCAAGGCTGTACTGGCACATGCAGACAACCAGCAATACGTGTCGCTAAGCAAGCCGCCGGAGGAGAAAGGCGGCGACCCTGAATTGGCCCTGGAAATTGGATATCACGTCTCCGCGAGACCCGGCCCTGAGGTCATTGTAGAAGTCGGGCGAAATGCAGACCTCGTCCTGCCGGCATCCTCCATCTCAGCAGTCCAGTTCTCTTTCGAAACCCACCCGGAGTCGAAAGCAATCATGTTCCACGACCGGTCCCGACTTTACAACACCATCATAACGCCATTCGGTTTAAGAACGGGTATTCGTCAACACGTCCTCCAACCTGGAATGTTATATGAGATCAGTGCTGGCGGCGCACGAGGCGACCTATACTGCTTCGAACTGTGGTGGGTGGACAAGAAGACCGTGCTGCAAAAGGTTGAGAGGGGACGCCGGGTGGCGGAGGAGAGAGCTCAAAACCCCCGTTGGGCTCGCACGGTTGAAGAGGAAGCCACAGAGTTGTCCTCTTGGTACAAAACCCGACTTCCCACACCTGCAGACGGGGGAGTCCAGAGAACTACTAGAGGGGTGCGTTTAGGGCAGGGCTCATATGGTGAGGTCAGGAAAGCCATCGATCTTGACTCCGGCTACAACGTTGCTGTCAAGAGCATCGCTCTGCCCGATAAATCGGCACCGTCTGACCTCGAGAGCTCCATATGGCGCGAGGTGAAAACTCTTTCTACCCTTTCCCACGTAAGTTTCTCACACCACAATACCGCTCAACCTAAAGGTCTATCTAGAAGAACATCGTTGAGTACCTGGGCTCAAACGGTTGGGGCACAAAGACTGTCTACATATACACGAGCCTCAAACCCGGAAATGTAAACAACATGTTGGAACAATATCCCAACACGCGCCTTCACGACGACACACTCTCACAGCTGTTGCAACAGATGCTAGAGGCACTCGATTATCTCGCATTTCGAGGGCTATGCCATCGAGACGTTAAGCCCGATAATATCCTCTACACACCGATAGGCGATATGAAATGGATCTTCCAACTAGCAGATTTTGGCCTGGCGAACCAACAGGATTTAGCGCGCACATACTGTGGGACTCCAATGTTTGTAGCCCCCGAAATCTACTATCACCAACCTCAAACAACGAAATTGGACGTGTGGTCTCTCTTTGTCACCATTGCTAGCATCAGGCAGCCAGCAGACTTTGACGAGAAGAGGTTGAAGGGATATGAAGACGTACTCAACCAGGTCAGAACGGCTGCCACCAACCTTCCCGCTCTCAATCCTATGGCGCGTGAAGATCCCGCACTACGAGCCTCCGCGGCACAGATGCTTGTCCAATACTTTCAAGGCGGTGGACTGACAACGCCACGAGCACGAGTTGGATCAATACCCGTTCCAGGTGATGGACTGAGTCGTTTGCCAAGGCCAAGTCCATCAGATACCAAACCGAAAGCACCGGTGAGAGTAGACGCCATCCGCAAGCGTGGCCGCCTGGCCTCCCCTAAGCCATCGATGAATCACAGGGATAAAGCGCACTCTGGCCCTGCCAAAGATCGAGTCAGGAAAGATGAGAGGAGTGTTCCCGGTGCATTCCCACAGTTTGCTTAGCTGAATCGATGTGGAAGATGTGCGTTAAATAAGGATTGGAGTTTCCATGACGCCAAATACAGGGTTACCCAGATCGATGCCCGCAAAGTCAGCCGGACTAGCAAGAAATTTCTAACCATTGCTACCACTTGAACTCTGTCGTAGCAACGTCCAAGGTCCAATCACAGACGTTTCAGGAGAAGTGGGGTGTTTTGTTTGGAGAAGATTCTTGGCCTCGAGGACCGTTGTCAGCTAGGCCCGTATCTGCAACGGATAGTATAATTTGGAGACAGAGAGGCGGATGACGATGATAGGGAAGAGCCGAGTGAGCTTGTCAAGGAGTGTCTCCCGAACCACTGTTGGAAGGTGCAGACCCGGACTGGCGCCCGTACTTCATGAAAGGGGAGTTCTCACGGGAATTGGGATACTGGGAGTTGAGCGGCCATCGGCGGAAAATCGGATCCGAGCATTGGGCGATACAGCGAAGGGGCTACCTGCAATCTTACGCCTTCTCCCCATTTCTCTTCTAGAACCCCAGGACTAATGTGCCGGCACATATGATATCCTTCGCTTCCGAAGCTTTCTCGTGTCTCAAGGGAGGATTCGTTAAGCTAACCGGCCTGTCCCTCCTCCGAGCACGCAAAGCAAGACCAGTCAGTCGAGCAAAAGCCGCCTTCAAAGGTAAATCTAAGAGAGCTCTTAATCCAATCTAGCGACTACGGTACCTTTCCCACCCATTCATATCAATCCGTCGCTACCACCTATACACCACCAACTAGCCTCTTTCTCCTATTCGCCGATTCGCCCAACACCGCGACTGCGCGCGGGGCATAAAGGTACATGTCATCATCGACCAACAAGTCTAATACTTTACTACTGCAGGGCCAACTGTTTAATGTAAGCTTTGCATCGGACGGACCTAGAATGGCTTGGGGAGGCGCCTTGCTGGATGTGGCTTGGGCTGCGGGAGATGGCTCAACATCATCGAGCATCCATGACGCGCTCGAAATGCCGTCGAGAGGTAAATGAGATGCAATGATTCCTGGAGCTTGACTTTAGGGCTGGTTCAAGGCCGCTTCCTACCAATGAAGGGTGCGTGTTTAAAGGTGTGTACGCGGCTCGCTCCCAAAACAGTTCCCATCTTTTCTACCTGCCGTCCAATTCATCCCATCGCGCCATAATGAAAACTACGCTGGCCCTCGTCTACACCCTCCTCTCATCCGTCGCTACATCGCCGCTCCAGCCCCTCGCTTTGCGGCATGCAGGCGCTCTCTCCCCACGAGACGACTGCCCCCAATTCCAAAGCCGCGAGTTCCTCGTCCCACAACTCATAGTCCCCATCAGCGCCTCGCAGCCCGACCGCCAATTCGGCTTCGTCTCCAACCCTATCATAACACCAAACGACATCTGGTAGCCACCCCATCCCTCCGCGCTTCTCCCCCACCTACCCGCACTAACCCCCTCCACAGCACCATCTTCAACCTCTACATCCCCGGCACAGCCACAGGCCGCACATGCACCCTCGAATTCCTCCTGCACGCTCTCTCCTCCGCCAACCCGCCCTACAGCTATAGCGGCAGCGGCTCCTTCTCCTTCTCGGGCTACGTAGGCTACGGCGCGACAGCAATGACGACGTGGAAGACGCAGCCGCTGCCAGGAGACCTGAGGTACAATCCGCCGAATCAGACGATAGTGCCGGGGAATCGGTATGTGCTGAACCAGCCGTATCCGGGGAGCTGCTTGGTCAATGGGAGTATGAGTTATTTGGAGGTTGGCGGGAGGGTGAGTTTTGAGAGCAGGATGAGACAGGAGTGTTTGCTAATGAGGGGATAGCTTTGTTCGAGTGATACGAGCTTGACGTATTTTCAGGATTGGAATAGGTGCCCGACTGGGTTCTTGGTGGAGATATCTTTAGGAAAACATGCGGAAGGAGGTATATACAAATGAGGATCGTGTTTTACGACGGAAAATATTAGATTTAAGTTTCCATGAGCTTATAATCGTAACGGAGAAGCCTGATGCCGAATGATTTAGCTACCGTGAATATACACATCATGTCATCCTAATGGAACGTCCTCAGTGTCTCCTCAATCGCGACACCAACACCTCCAATTCCGACCACGGTCCAAAGCCACTTGTTTGCAAACTCCTTAGTCGCGGGCCAGAACGCATTTTTCTCATCCCGGAACTTCTCCAGCTCGGAAAACTTCTCCGGCTGTGACGCAGAGTAGCGCCTTGTCTGGTAGCTCTCCTTCTGATTATCGCCGCCGAAATAGCGCAGGAAAAGGTAGTTGGCGAGAGGGCCGAGGAGCTCAACCGGGGCGAGCATGTCGGAGCCGTAGAGGAGGACGATGAAGGAGAGGTGGACGAAGGCGTCGCCGAGATAGCTGAAAGACCACGTTAGCAAGATTGTGAATTTAGGCTCGTTGGGTGTGGACGTACTTGGGGTGGCGAACGATGCTCCAAACTCCCTCCTTCAGGATTCCGGATCCTCCCTGAGCCTTGTACTGATCCAGCTGGTAATCGGCCAAAGACTCAAGCGCAAGACCAGTCGAGAACAAGCCCACAGCGGCCATCTGCACCCAAGGATGATAACCAGTGAGCACCGCTCCCTCATGTCGGAAAGGTGCAGTAAACGGGAGACTGATGAGCATCTGGAAGAAAGCCTCGGGGATGAACGTCGTAAAGAGCGACTTGTTCCAGAAACCCTCTTCTTTCTTGACCTCTTCGTATCGCGGGTCATCCTTTCCACGCTGAATAGAACGGCGGGCCACACGGTAGAAGAGCCGCCCGCCCCAGAGAGTAACACCAGACAGAATGAGTCGCTCATGCCAGGAGAGACGGCTGAGAGCTCCCGAAAGGGTCATTCCTTGGTACACTCGGCGTCCCACGGCAGACCACCAGGCATTGACGACCTGGCCGCTGGGCCACAGCCAGTCCTTGGCTTCGACGCGCCCCGTATAACGAGCAGCGCCCCATGCGATGACTGCGAGGCCGGAGTGCAGGCCAAGCGACGGAGCCAGCGTATCCTTCAGGATGCCCACATCGAACAACGAAGCACTTTGGACGTGGTTCTTCGAGTGGGTAGCATCGACGGTGCCTACTGGAGGAGCCGGCGGCGTCCTGTTGGAGCTGGGGAGGTAAAAGTTATTAGGCTCTCGGTCCGCAATCTTAATCTGGATGTCAGGCGGCCGCGAGGGCGTGTCGTTTGACTTTCCGAACCATCCGGAAGCCATTTTGATGAAAAGAGAGTAAACGGAATGACAGGTTTTGGTGAGCGCGTGGTACCTGTGCTTTTAAGCTTGAGAGCTTCCCCGCACAGCGTGCATGATGTAAGGTGGATCGGAGCGCTGGCCCCACCAACCCCGGATTTGCTTTGTGCACTTGGCAGAGCGCGCAGCGAGCTTCGAACGATCAGCTCGTGATCAGGCCACTCATTGGTCGTCAATTAATCAGCCGCGTCGAGACGTCGCGTCGCGTGCTTGAAGGAGCCGAGACGATGTGAGCGGTGGTTGGTGGTGACGTCAGCGGGGTGGTCAAGCGTTCAAGAATGCATTCACGTGGCGGGGACTCTTTCGAACTACATAAATCCACACAATGCATCTTAATGACTAGCGGTGACATTCTATAACTGAAACTCTATCGATGCGGTATGCGCAATCTATGCTGTTGCAAAGCCGCCCTGCGATCTTTACTGCTCCACCGCCGGATAGTCAGTATACCCGATCGAGTTATCCTCAAACGGCCCATAGAACCTCGACCGATCATACTTCGCCAGCGGAATGCCTTCCTTGAGTCGCTTGGGCAGATCTGGATTGCTGATGAAATACCGCCCATACAGCAGACCATCGTAGCGGCCCGACTCCAGAACTCCCCAGGAGTTCGCATCATCAAACCCGCCCGCGGAGAAGAAGGGAGTGTCACCAAAGATCTCCCGGAAGGCGGAAAGATCCACGGTTGAAAGACCCCACGCGTCCAGGTAGCTCTGCTTCTCTGCTTCGCTGAAGATTTGCTCGTATCGCTGGAAGAGCTACGGTCAGCTGCTCATCTGGAAAGAGGAAGAGTATCGACTTACGGGCTCGATGAGGCTCACGTATGACAGCTTCGGATGGGCTTGCTTCAGCTTGTGGGAGAGAGTGGTCCAGGTCTCCACACGCTCGTCGCAACGGATCTGATTGAACAGGCCGAATGGACTCAGCCGGATCGCTAGGTTGTCTTCCCCAATTGCCTTGCTCAGCTCATCCATCAGCTCAAGCACAAATGTGCACCTTTTCTCTGGGCTACCGCCGTACTCGTCCGTCCTCTTGTTGACATTGGAAGCAAGAAACTGTTCAGGCAGGTACCCGTTCCCGCCGTGCACTTCAATGCCGTCGAAGCCGCACTCTTCAACTGCCCACTTGGCCGTCCTGCAGTAATCCTGGATCGTCTTCTTGATGTGGGGTACTGACAGCTCGGTGGGTGGGAAGTCGCGATACTTGACAAACTTATTGCTGTGCGGAAGAGGATACATGAAGTTCTCATCCGGACTATCCCAGGGTGTGGCAGACGGGCAGAGGATCGGCGTGCCGGTCATCTGAGGGACGTTGGCCCTGCCAGAGTGCCAGATTTGCATGTAGATGAATCCGCCTTTTGCGTGGACCGCGTCTGCGACCTTCTTCCAGCCCGCCTTCTGCTCTTCGAGGAAAAGCCCTGGAACGCCTGGCATGCCATTGCCCTACGCATACACGGTCAGCCTCACTCTTCCGATGGCAATCCCTCGCACATCTGGCGTCTGAACGCCCTGGACTCACCTCGAGAGATGGAGGCACTCCCTCGGAGATAAGAAGGCCTCCCTTCGTGGTCCGCTGGCTGTAATACTCAGCCATCAAGCCATTGGGAAGCCACACGCGGTTTGGGTTCTCCGCCGTGCTCTCAGAGCTCAGCGGAGTGCCCCTGTTCCTCGTCAACGGCGCGAGGATGACGCGATGCTCCAGCTTGATCTTGCCATTGCCGATCGTGAGTGGCTTGAAGAGCTTGGAGTTTGCCCCAACACTTATCGTCATGATGCCTCTCGTGGTTCCGGTCGTTATCGAGCCTGCGATGCGATATCTAGCCTACCGTTATCTCGGGCGTTGCGGCAAGGCTATATGAGCTGCGGCTAAGCGTAGCATGAGACGAGCCCCGCTACGGATGCCTCGTCGTACCGTGCCGAGTACGGCGAAGATACCGAAAGCGGTGCCGCGCGACTCCGACAGTCTGGTTCGCAGGATTCTGCTCCACCTTTTCCTTCCATCGTTACTTTTTGTGAGGTTTGAGAAATGATGAGTGGCCCGACCTCCTGTTTGGCACCTTCTCACCTGGAGCGAACGGCCCGATGTCTGCCGTGTGCCTGACTGCCGAGCCATTGCGTCGTCTCCCGCCCCACGGATAGTCGCTGGACCGTTATCAAATGAGGCGCGCTAGCAGCGATCTCCCAAAACAAAAACAATGATCATCCTTGATAGGCGCGCATGGACAGAAATGAGGACGCCCAACGACCGCGACATCGAAAAGGAGCCGTTTCAGAATCGACAGCCTGGCAGGTGCGAAGACGATCCCCCATAGTACACGACTCGAGATTCTGCAAAACGCCAGGTTGGGCGTATGGCTGTTCAAAAAGCATGCAGATGCTTTTACGCCGTTCATGAAGATCTGCCGTGTCTGTCCTGCTGGGAACGAAACGAGTAGGATTCGGACCTTTAACGGCATAGCGTCGGTGCCTTGGTTATGCGGCGTAGGAGTCCCAGCGTCTCGGGCCAGGAGAGGGGTTACATTCCTGTTCTGCCCAGATGCTTGAGGTGGGATATGCAGGACGGCCGGGATAGTTTGAGAATTATTAACGTCGCCCGGCCTCCCCTTTCAACCACAGTGTAACTCTCTGAATTTAACGGCAGACTTTTAGCGCACCCTTCTCGCGAGCGGAGACCTTTGGTGAAGTTTGAGTATCCAAAGGTGGGACATTTCCGTTGATCAGGCTCCGCAGAAAACGCTACAAGTTGCTGACCAGCCGCTAGAAGCCCTTCTAGTCGTCATGTCTTCTGCCGCTGCTGGGCAGCCGCCTGATGGCGTGGACGCGGACTTGCAGCACCCAAAAGACGTCCTGAAAACCGTCAACCTCGTCACACAAGTTTTGACGCTGGTCATCGTGACTACCTTCGTGGCCATCCGGGGCATTTCGAAGTACAGGGCGGCGGGATTAGGATTCACGATTGACGACTGTAAGCAGCGTTGTTGATCCGTAGGTCTCTGTTACTCACTATGACTAGACTTAACGTTCACCTCATGGATTCTCATGGTTGGTTACTGCCTCTGCGGAATCTTTTGTACGTCTTGAACTCACGCTGTGTCGTAATGCACCGGTCTGATCTCCATACAGTAAGCGTATACGGCGGCGGCTATCACATCTGGGAAGTTCCATTAGCACACATAACACCCTTCTACCAAGTGAGTTTCCCCTCCTCAACACACTCTCGCCATGCCCTTTCTAACATGCCTCCCCACAGACCGGCTATGCAGCCACCATCTTCTATGCCCCCATGGCCCTCTTCGTCAAACTCAGCCTCCTCACCATAATCGCACGCGTGTTCTCGCCCTACAAGAAAACCGTCATCGGCATCTACATCCTCGACGGCCTCCTCGTCTGTTACTACGTCGCCGCCCTGATCATCAAGATCCGCATCTGCTGGCCCATCTCGGCGTACTGGACCGGCGACACGAGCAAGTGTCTCGACCAAGCGGCGGTTATAACGGCGGACTCGATTATAAGCGTCATCAGCGATGCGATTATCCTGGTGTTGCCGCTGCCGCTGACGTGGTCGCTGCAGCTGCCGCGAAATAAGAAGCTGAGAGTGGCGGGTATGCTGTGCGTGGGTGGGCTGGCCACCGCGTTTAGTGCATGGCGCTTGCATCTCATCCTCACCGACGGAAAGTCGCCTGACACGACTATTGTCTTTACACAAGTCGTTTTATCTGGGTAAGTCCACACGCTCCCCCCTCTACCTCTCCAGCGCACGCATACACTAACACCAACCCGCAGCAACGCCGAAGCCGGCATCGGCCTAATCTGCACCTGTCTCCCCGCCGTCGCCGCGCTCCTCAGGAAGGCCAAAGCGCGCACCGGCTACGGCACCTCATCGCGCACCTACGGCCTTCGCAACGACATCTCTTCCCACAAGCTATCCACGCTCAACTCCTCGCGTGTCGGCAAAGACCGCGCGCATTTCAACAAATTAGAGGCCGGGTCGGACGAAGCGGGGCTGGTGACGCATGCGCAGGGAAGAGGGAGCCTGGATACGGACTTCCGCCTGGGAAATGGCATCATGCGCAAGGTGGAGGTTACGACGAGTGTGAGTTATACGGGCAGTGGGAGTGAGGATGGGGAGAGTCGGAAGACGGGCATGAATTAGGAAGGGCCTGAGTACGTGTTAAACAAAGCGGCGACGCATACACTTCGAGAAAAGGTACTGTACATGATAAACGGGAATAGACAATACGTAGAAAAGACTGGGTTCTAGCGTGTATCTGTGCGAAATCAACTCGTGGAATGATCTAGAGGTGTTTGACGACTTGGACTATCGGCCGGAAGGTAGGACGTCTGACCAAGGGAATAAGACATACCAAACCCGAGCAAAGGCTCAGGCGACCGGCGGTTCCTCTCCCACTCCACCACCGCTCAAAACCGGCACGGTCCCGGCGAAGGGGAATGAGCCAGCAAAGCGCAGCGCAGCCTGGCAGCAGACCATCGACGATTTCTACGGCGGAGACGTGACGAAGACTACGACGTCCGCGAAATCGTCTACCGGAACGCTTCCTCAGCCTGCCCTCAGCTCGTCCATCGCCAAACGCAGCAAGCTTTCGGGGACGACCAAGAAGCCGACTGAGGGTGTGCAAACTCGCCGCCAACTCCAGCTCGTAGGGGGACCCCTCCCATCCCCGGAGCCCGCAACGAAACCAGCGCCCAAGCGCAAAGCGGAGCCCCAGCCAGGGCTGGATAGCCCAGCAGCTAAAAGGCGAGCGGTCGGCACGGCCTCGCGGCCCGGAGATCTAATCGCTAACCTGGAGAGCATACCACCCACGCACCCCCAATACGCGCGGCTCGCGTGTCTGGTAAAAGCGTATAATCACGTGGCCTGGCGCAGTTGGGTGGCCGAGTTATGCCTGGACGGTGCTGCGAACATTCCGTCCAGATCTCCGTCCGTGGCACTTTACAGACCACATCGCTGCCATCAACGTATGGGCTACTAACGACCCTGCCGAGGACGGAGGCCCGCAGCAGGGCGACACGAATAGCCGCTGCAGGACGAGGCTCCGGGTCCCCTGCGTCGCGGGACATTGCACCTAGAGGTGTTGCGGGAGTTCATATAGAGCATTGCTCAGGCAGCGAAGTACACAGTAAACTGCGCCGATCAGACAAGAGTTAGCCGCGATCTAGTAGCCGCGATACGATCGTAGTGTAGTCGGCGAGGCGGCGAGTTCCCCTAGGAAAGAGCGCTACAGCGACGTGCTTACAAAGACCGTGTGATGTCTCGAAGAGGTGAACAAACTGAACATCCTTGAGCCACTCCACAGCGTGCGCTGCGAACGGGCCATAATCAAGCCCCTCTACTCGACCAATATTTCATCATTCCTCCTTTGGATTAACCATATCGCTCAACATCTGCTTACTCCACGCCTCATCCCTCTCCATCCTCAACACACACTGCGCACGCACCCTTCTTCTCTCCGCTAGCTCCGCACTGCTACTACACACCGACCGCTGGACCCCAAGCAGGGCGCTCAAGTCCAGGAAGCTCGCTCCGGGCGTCAGCGTAAGCTCTTCCAACCGCTGGCAGTTCAGCCGATGCACACATTCCGTACGTTGGAGCTGCGGTTGCGCCTTCTTCGCCTGGGCTAGACGCTTCTTTGTGGCGGTGGCGGAGGCGCGGAGTGCTTTCCGTAGCTTCTTCCGAGCATCAGGTGCGCAGAGGGTTTTGCTAAGCTGGTTGGAGTGGTGCTGGAGGATCGAGCGGACTTTACTATTGCGGCCTCCCAGGCTTAGCAGACCTTTTGTGTGCGTGCCGAGGATAGCACCGAAGAGGATTGCAAGCGAAGATATGTCGAAGTCGGACGTGATGATCGGAGCCGAGGGCGCTGACTCGATGAATTGTCTGAGGAATGGGAGTTCGAAGAGGACGCTTGATTTGGGTATCGAAGAGTCGGGCCATGGGGAGTCCAGGCAAAAGTGCGAGAGCTCTGATGTGACATGGGTGGCAATTGACCAAGAAAGAGCTTCGCAGGCCTATAGATCTATCGTCAGTTGACTTGCAGTTAGCAGAGATGGTCACAAACGCACCTTTCTGTGCAGGAGGAATTCTTTTTCCAGGACATTGTTCGGGTCACGACCCGCTTGGAAGTGGCTGAGAGCAGCACCGCGATAGGCAAGCCCGACGGACATGCCCGAAGAATGATCGTAGCCCAATAGATTCCAGAACACCGCGCACTGGTCGGTGAAAGGGAGCGAATGCACGATCATGGCGATATTGTAGTCGGTCAAGCTAGTCAGCCCGTCGGCATGGGGCTGAAGCGTAACTGCGAATTTTGTCCAATAAGGAAGCCCTTCTACGACAGCAATTGCTCCAGATTTGCGCTTGCTAATCGGGGTTTCGTCTGTAGGATCAGGATCGCAGGGTCCGACGACAAAGCGTCGCAGGGGCAGACGTCTGTTTAATTGCTTGGTAATAGTCTTCGCCCGGCATTCCATGGTCCTGTCCAAGCTGCGGAAGATAGCTTTCTTGACTGGAAGCGTGAGGATGCAGTCCGGCATTTCGTACTTGTACGGCTTCAACCGCGGGACGACGTCCGAGAGTTTCGTTACCGACTCTGCGGATGGAGACTGGGGCACGAATGCGGGAGCCGTCATCTGAGAAGCCCACGCTTTCAGTTCGTTGACGTTGGCGGGACGGACGAAGAGGAAGTTAGTGCCACGCTTAGCCAGCATGCAGGCTTCCCAAGGATCGAGGAGGTCCCACACATCGCGCAGTCCGGTCTGGAAATAGTTCATCGGATTTGCGAAAATGACAACGCTTTTCCCAAGATAGTTCCAGAGGACATTGTGCTCAGTTTTTGGGTCTTTGAAGGACCCGATCAAGCTAAGGTTTAGGATGTCCGTCGGTAGATTAAGGCCGTTTTTGATGAAGTCCATGGTCTGGAGGATCGCGGCATTCGGCGTCGAGCCATTGATGACGAGCAAGAATTGCGATAACGGATTGTACGAGTACGATGAGGAAATCTGGATGCTGAGATTGAACGAGGTGATTGGTCGTGGAGCCCCGGTGTGGGGATCGGAAAGCATGAGACTGACGACGATGTATCCAGTAGTGAAAACGGGAACAGATTGCGATACTTGGAAGTCTTCTGTGATGGGGACCTCAGAGCCTACGTCAAGAACATCGATCCGGTCAATGGTTTCGTGTGGAGAGTCTTTTGTGGCATATTTGAGATCAAACACGCCGCAGGGATCAGACATGTGAGTGTAGCATGGCCGGCATACTGCACTTTCGCCCCCGTACGCTTTGGTCGATATATTCTTGATCTGCCAGGAAATTAGCATCGCTCCTTCTGCGCATTTGCTAAAAGTGAAACAAACCATCCATGAGAACTGCACAAGATCCCCCTTCGCCACGCAGTCAAGGTATTTCGGCACGCTCATGACAAGAGGGTACTGGTACGCGACTTCTATCCCTCCGGCAAATTCCGGGAGCGACCGCTGGAGGCGCTCAAAGTAGGCTACGAGAGCTACTGTATCCTGTGCATGAAAGGTCGTACCAGGCGCCCTAGGTACAGACTCGTTCTTGATCAGAGCTCTCAACACGCCTGGAACTCTCACGATTGCACCGGGCGCAATTTCCCGTGGAAGTTCCAGGGGCTCGGAACTGACGGGTTCGAGCCATGGGGTAGGCCGGATCAGAATTTTGAGGATGTTTCCTTTAGGTGAGGGCATCGCCCCTGGGCAGTATGTCAGTATCAAAATAGATCGTGAGTCGTCAGGAAGGATTGTTTCTTACCGATGTTCTCGATTTGGATGTTTTGTACCAGCAGGAATTCTCCCGGCTCGTTAATCCCATCCATGTTCTCATCAATGACATCGAAGTCCTTCACGACCAGTTGGTACCGACTAGAATACGTTCCTTCCGTGAGATCATTGCGCAACACCCGGATTTCGCCTCTTCCGTTACGGCCAGCCCGACCACCGTATAGGGGGCCAAAAGGCCTCATACCAGAGGGTCCATCCGGTCCGGGTGGTGCACCCGGGCGGCTGTGATGGGTGGTGTAATACTCGGTATGGCTATGCCCGTTTGAGTCTGTCATTGTGTGCGAGTGCGTTTCGGTCCACGAACATCCGCTGCCTCCCAGTCCCCCTCGGCCGCCTGCACCGGGTTCGCCATGAACGCCGCTGGCGCCTCCTCTACCACCTGCAGTCATCCATTCCAGAGCGACAAGTGTGTCCAGGTCGTCTTCGGCAACGGTGACGTAGGCGTTTCCAGCATCTCCGCCATCGGCGCCACTCGTCCCACTTCCGCCATCTCCCCCGGGCGCCCCTGGTCCTCCACAAGTAGCGTCTGAATACCGAGTAGCGCCTCTTCCGCTGCTTCCCTGGCCTCCGCATTGGCCATTCTCTCCCTTGCCACCATCGCCGCCATCACCGCCTCGGCAGTCAAGAAGCCCGTTCTGAGCTCGGGAAATCTCCCATCTTTTTCCGGTCAAAGGTCCCTCTCCAAAAAGCTGCACCAAACCTGGTCGATCTTGCGCATAGCTTAGTCTAACCCGCAGGTCGTGTGCAGACGTGCCAGGAGATGGTACTGATGCGTTCTGACCCGGTCTTCCTGAGACGCCTGGCGGCGCTATATGGTGTCAATGTCTGTTCCCTAGTTATGGAATTTGAGGATAGCCTCACCTTCGAAATTGTTGTTACCACTCCACCACTGTGTTCCCGGAATGCCAGGCTGTCCGGCTGCAGACAACAAGACGGTTTCGAGCTGTGGAGCCTGCATCAATGCTCTCTAGGGCATGGGCTGTGTGGAGAATTGACTCGTTATGCTTCGAGGGTCAACGTGAGAAGCTGCATCCCATATAGTGGATATCACGCCGAATCTCAGCCTCGTGGGTAGCAAAGGGCTGTCTGCCAAGCCCTCCTTCGTGTTGTCGTATCAGGCTGCCATCGTGCGATGTTCTGCCGCCAAGCACCTCCATGGCTGTCGGCAGAATTTGCGCTGTAAAACCTCGTATAGGGTCGTAGATGCCATGATTAAATCGAGTTGGGTAGCCTGCGGCGTCGAGTCGTGGTGCTGGTGGCTTGAGGCTGGCTGATGTATCAGGAGAGAGCTGCGTGGTGGGACGGATCGAGGCTTCGCAGGCGAAACCCGCTGGGACACAGCATGATTCGGTAATTGTCAGTGAAGAGGAAGCGCAAGCAAGAGCACCAGCGAAGAGAGACGGGCTGACAGAAAGGAAGTTGAAGCTTCTCACAGTGATGCCGCTCGGACGTCCCCGAGTCGGCTTATCTCCGCAATCTCCGGCGGGAGACCCTCGCACCGCCGTCTTCCACGCCGACCGCACAACGCGCCCGCCTCCCTACAGACCACCCACTCCTCCGAAGCCACGAAGCCTCCATGTGAGCTCTGATCGCGACCTCAGCTACTTCCACGCGCTTGCAAACGGTGAATACTCTCCGCGATCCCATACTGATCCGCCCGCAACCCTCGCTCTACACCTCTTCCGCGGCACCGACACGCATCTCTTTCCCATCGCCGAGCGCCTCACCCTCGGCCCTGCAACAGGCGCACCCTACTATGCTGCACGGGCGACGCCGAGCACGCTGAGTGCGTCGGAATACAATACCCTGATCGTGTCGCGGAGACATGCTCTCCGGCTGGTCAGTGAGGATCTCTGCGTGGCGGAAATCCGGCCACGGTTGAACCTATTTGCGCAGGGTGTCCACGACATTGGGAAGATATCGTGCAGGCAGGAAGAGTATGTGGTGACATGGAGCAATGGCACAATGGGGCCTCTGGACGGCTGCTGGTGTCTTTGGCAACGAGGGAGGGCCGTGGCCCAATTTTATGAAGAGAGAGGCTTCAACGGGCTCGACGAGGACCCGGCAAAGGGCATTATCTGGGTAAGCACACTCAGAGCTATCTCTCGTCAGGTTTCACTGACTATCTCTAGGTGAAAGCTCCCTGCGATCTAGACACCCGCGAATTCGGCCTTCCTGCCTTCAACGATCCGCGCACGGAAGACAATTTGGCGTATCTCGATTTCGAGACTGACGTCCCTCTTTTCGTATCATCGAACTCAGAAGCGCATGGATTGATGGACGTCATCGTAGCTGCGCTATTCATGTTGCTTACGGTGACTACAAGGAAAGCAGCTGTGATCCGGCGTCAAGAAGAAGCCGTATGGCAGCATGGCGGCCCGCCTCCAGGGTACGCAAGGTGAATTATTCTCTTGCGCACGCTCTTGCGGTAGGGAATTCTCCGGATCTTAGGGCTCGCCGTACAAGTAAGTAAGATTGGCTGTCCCATTGTACGCACCCGCGGAGGCCTCCAGGGGTAGCTGTTGCGCACGTGTTCTATCCGGAGAATTTCACACCGTGAGAGGCACGTTACCTGCGCTGTACCTCGATACCTGCTTAGCTCCGATTTCTGAATCACATGACGACGAGTTCTCCAGGACTCCGAGGCTGATTTGCCTATCCTATTTTCTGAGAAATTTAGCGAGGTCAGGACACTATCAACTCCCTTGGACAGCCCTGGATCACCCCAGCCGAAACGATTTTGTCGGTTGTAGTAAAATGGGGTGATTGCCGCTCGAATGATGCGGCCACCGTGCGGCTGAACTGTATCCACAAAAGAATGAGCTTCATCCTTGCTTAGCTTTCCTCATCTTCAGCCTCGTCTTTCTTTCAGGGTACGTTCGCTAGATAGCGTGGGACGGACTTCCAGAAGCTTGAGACTTCGGCCAAATGGACCTGGTACAATGCGTGGACAACATTGACGACCTTTCGCGTCATGGTTTCACTCTCAACGATGACGGCACACTTCAGCCCGCCTTTGACGAAAAGGGACGAATTTGCAACCCTGATCTGGTCCTACGACCTAACCTCCTCTGTTCCCGGTGCATTGAAATTGCTCGTAGACTACTCTCCAGATCTTGCGATGCCCCACCATTCTGTGGCGAACCTTTCTACGATTCCGAACGTGAGCTGCGGCAGTCAGTCATGCAGGGCTGCCACCTGTGCGCTCTATTCTGGGGACAGGGCGCGAGTATCTCGGATGGCCAAGAAAAGTTTGGCACTGCCAACACTGTTGAACTGCCTTCCGGCTCTTGGGTATCCCAATACCAGAACCGCAGGAGTTCTCTCCTACAATATCTGAGATACACGGGCCGTGCGCTATCTACACACAATTCCAGCCTAGCCATATTGCGAGGGGATGGGCTACGATACGCTGCGCACCAAGATCTAAACGCGAAATTCAATGCCTCGAATGCGTCTACAGAGACCTTTTCCGTTGCACTCTCCTGGCTCAACGAATGCCTGTACGAGCACAGGAAGTGCCGCGACATTCACCATGCAATCGCCAAGCCCCCGACACGACTTCTCGACATCGGAATAAGCGATCCAATAGTTCGGCTAGTCTATCCTACGGCACCAGTCCGCTACGTGACAGTAAGCCATCGTTGGGGTAGTTCTCGGCCGTTAACACTTACTCGTGCCAACGAAGCCAGATTGTCTGAAGGATTCTCATTCGAGGAGCTCCCGCAACTGTTTCGAGACTGCGTTATGGTGGCTCGACGACTTGGGCTCAGGCATATATGGATAGATTCGCTTTGCATTCTGCAAGACTCAACAGAGGACTGGGCTTACGAATCTGGCCGTATGGGCTACGTATACCGTGGTTCCCTTCTAAACATTGCAGCAGTCTCCGCCCGAGACAGCAGCGACTCACTATTTACCAGACGCCACCCGTTATGCACAAATTCCTGCTACCTACAGGAAGTGTCTACTCGTGCTCGGAATATTGTTCGCATTTCCGCATCGCGCAAAACTGCGCCTTCGCTGTACAACCGAGCGTGGGTCTTGCAAGAAAGACTCCTGCCAGCGCGTACACTGGAGTACACCCACGAAGGTGTCAATTGGTACTGCACAGAGGCCTTGTATGAGGGACCTAGCCAGCACCAGGATGCAAAACCTGAATGGGTCCATGCAACAGGACCATGGGGCTCCCCGTCCCTTCCTTGGAATTTCCTGCTCGATATGAAAGGGACTGAGCTCTCTCCTCCTCTACGGGAAACCGGACAACGGTACTGGATGGAGATCATCAATGCATACACAGCCATGGACTTGACCTACGAAACGGACCGTCCGTATGCACTGCAAGGGATTATCGCAACATTGCAGCAACAGACGCACCTTCGCTTTGTTGCAGGCGTCTGCAAAGACTTTCTGCCATACTCTTTGCTCTGGTGCATCCCTGGGAGGCGTAGCGTCCGTAAAGCTTCCTGTTTCGCTTATCCGTCCTGGTCGTGCGCTTATCGAAGGAGCAAACGGAGATTTGCATTGGAATGGCTCGAAGAGAGGAAACTGTCTACGGGTGCTTCCACATGCGCTGATGTCAGCATCTGTGACCAGACTCTATTCCTGCATCTCAAAGGGAGGAGCTTCGGACCTGTTATGATCCTTCCACAGCGTGGCGGGCAAGGATATGACGAATTCGGCTCTGAAGTCGTCGCTTACATTACTGCGTCCAGCCGATACACGTGGTGCCCGCGCGTCCAGCTCAACGAGTCGTTTTCAAAGCTCAGAGGAGTGCTCCAGTTAATCACGGACTACGACATATCCAACGCACTCGAGGTGGATTTGGTTATTCTGGCGTCAGGGATGTGGCTGGGAGAATTCGGGGGGCTTATCTTGACTCGAGCCGAACTGGACACGGATACTTGGGAGCGAGTTGGAATGTTTACGATTGATCGATCGGACATTGAACGGCTTGAGAAAGGAAAGAGGAGCTGGTTCGACGTTGCGCGGGAGTATCAAGTACGATGATGTTCTGCTTTTGCCTACGTCCGCACTCTACTCCTAGCAGTATAGAAAACACCGTTTGTGCAAAGGTCCATGGGCTGGTATACTAGCATGTTCCTGAGGTCGGCTGCAACACTCTAGATGTACTCCCTTCGTGTCTTGACAGGACTCAACCTCGAGTCCGGCCAATCAGTACTGTGGGACGCTTCCTCATGTCCATGGGTACCGGAAGTTCTAAGCCACGCATGAAGAAATTAAAGGTGCTGCGTCCCCACGGCGTCATCCACACACCGCATTGACGATCCATGATGTTTGAAGAGTGGCAATGAGCATCGGGAAAAGGACCATATTGTGGGGACTAACCTCATAGGAAGCGGGCGGTCACACATCATCTCCAGCCAATACCCCGACCCAGCGTGGGTATAAACAATTTCTGCGGAGCGACTGACTGACACGACAGATCTCATCATCGTGAGCGGTGAAAAGGCCCCGGCGTCCAAGCTCTCCGACGACGGTGGCTTTCTTGCCACACTGGACTGCGAAGCGCGGGAGTACAACAAACAAGGGTACACCTTCGACGGATTGGACTGCGCTGTGACAAATGCGCTATACCGGGTGCAATACCCCAGCGAACGGAGGAGAGCGGTGTATACCGCGAATCGAAGGCCGTTGCTCCGGCGCGGTGAAGCACGAAACCCGTCCACCACCCCACCCGCATCCGCAATTTCTGCCTACAAATTCTCGCATTCTGCCACCCCTTCTGCCACTCCTTCTCGACACAGCACCCACAGTCCACAATACCCAGACAGCCGCCCCAGAACAGTGGTAAACCGGAAGAAGCCAACCGTTTCGAGCGCGAGCTCCCACGACGACTATGACCCGCAACCGTCCCACTGTGTGCGGGCAGCCTCGAAGCTCGCCGCACCTGGCCCGACTCCCCCCCGCCGGAGCCCGAACTCGATAGTGCGGAACTGGACATGGTGGAACACTCCCGGATCCGAGAGGTGGCCGTCCGAATGCTCGCCAACTCGCACGCGCTATGACAGATGCTACGCATGGAATCTTGAAGACCGTCCATCAGAACCCTAACTCCGACAAGAACGTCCTAAAGCCCTTTCTCCTCGACGCGCAGGAAAAGATTGCGCATGCCGCCCAGACCCCCCTATCCGCGGGGTAGAGGTCGTTCGGCAGGCGATCGTCCAGTTTGGTGATGTACGTCTTCGGGTTGTTGTGTCTTTGGACGGTTGCGTGAGTGTCGTACTGTGAGGTGGAGAGGGCCGGCGAGGACAGCGAGAGCTGCCTATTGACGAACGCTGACGTCGACGTTGTGCACAGCACGAAGCCCGCTGCCTATCCGGTTTCGCTGGACGTCGCTGATTCAGACGCCTTTCGAAGGCTTGCGCAGGAGCACCTGCCTTCAGCCAGGGCTAACCCGGAGACTCGACGACCTTCGCTAAAGGTCTTGATCGGGCAGAAGCGTTCGCCCACCCTCGGCTCAGGCGACCAGTTCCTCAACCCACGGGGGAACAATCCTTTCAAGGACGCCCAAGCCAGTCCAGGCATCCTTCATGCGCCGTTCCCGTCGAAGACGAAGCCTCTACGTGCACCCTCACTCCTGACACAGCTGAAGGATGCTGCCGCGGCGACCAAGTTCTCCTCGGAGACCAAGCCCAAGCTGGAGAAGAAGGCACCGACGCCGCTGCTCTCGATTGACCCGAACGTTTCCGATCTCGATAGTACCAGTTCTGACGAGGATGACGAGCCCGCGCTGACAGCCCCCTCCAAACGCCGTTCTCTTCCTTTCGAGACCAAGAACAAGGACGCCGCTGGTGGAAATGGTGGAAGCCGCTTGGTGAAGCAGGAATCTTCCACCGACAAGGCTAACGATTCTCCGTCCGGGGGTTCCGTCCGCGGGACGAAGAACGCCCATATCGTTTGTCTTTCATCGCGAAACAGAGACAAATCTGACATACATCTCCGGTTTTTCAAAGAAGCCGTAGTGAAGCAAGTTTTTCTCCAGATCAAAGCCCTGCCCTTCGACCTCGAACACATCAAACTTCCAGAGGACTTTAGCCAAGAACAGCTTCGCCTGAGTCCACGCCATTTCTCGGCCCATGCAGATTCTCGGGCCGAGACTGAAAGGGTGCAGGCTCTTGAGGTGATCATTAGCAAATTCCGGGTCGTATAGCGGATGGGAAGCAGGGAGCCAGCGTTGAGGCTGGAAGCGGAGTGGCTGATGGAAGTAGTCCGGATGCCGTGCTAGAGCCCAGATACAGGACTGTACATGAGTCTACGAAATCGAAAAGTTAGTAATCATGACAATATCAAACATTTTGAGGTGAGTACGGGATAATAACAACAATAAAACATAAGAAGATGGCAAGGTCATGAAATCTATACTCACTCCTTTAGGAATGTATTGCCCATCCACCATAGCCCCCGGACTAATTCGTGGCAGACCTGTATTGTTGCTGGGAAGCATACGTAACGCCTCTTCGATACAGGCGTGAAGGTAAGACAGGGACGTCAACGGTTTCCCCGGTATGATCTCCTCGTAGCTTGAGAAACTCTCCCTGATTTCCTTGGTCAAGAGTTGATGAGTCTCGGGGTTCTCGAGTAAAAGCACGAGGACACCGTAGAACAGGTCTGCCATGGGCCCCCAACCAGCAAACATTACTTGCAATGAAACGGATCCTATATGAAGGAGCTCCTTTTTGCTTGATGGGCAGGGAGCATCTACCGGTAAGATGTAATCAAAGTAGTCTGGATGCTCCGTACGACCTCTTTGTTCTATCAGTACGCCAGTTAGTACGCACGATTCAAGGCTATGTGATTAACCTAGTTGAAACGAGATTTGCCACAAGGAGTAATTGAGTTAAGGCGCCAAGATCTCCAGAAAGAATGAAATGAAAAGGCTTCATACATACCAATACGACGGAGCACACTATGCCGTGTTGCCTTCTCCATCTGGGCAAATAGCGTGATCTTGCCGAAGGGCGCGAATAGGTACTGAAGCGGGCTGATGAGAGGGAAGCGCTTAAACACTTGAAGAACGGTCGCGAAGGAATTGAAACTGAGCAACACATCGAGATTCACCGAATCTTTCACTATTAGCTATAGTCAGTATGTTTCAGAGAAGTAAAACCTTTGGCGTATGAATAGCGGGACTTTACTGTCTCTCATCTGGTGCATCTTTTCGTTCCAAGCCAAGTCGGCCGACATATCCATAGCCAACCAATTGGTCCATCTTACTAGCGGCACGCCAATGATGTTTCGATCCATAGAGATCTCCTTCATCCTCGCCACAAAGTAGTCCATATGCTCGTGCATGATGGGCTCTAGGGTCCGCAGGAACCGAGTGCTGAACGCCGGGGCGATCTGTCTGGCTACGTTACGATGCCGTACGGGATCTTCTTCCCAGATGAGGCCACCGAGGTCCTTGCCGCGATTCTGGAAGTTGGTCTTGACGAAGACCTCCAGGTTCTTGTGCTGCGGCGAGTAGATGTCGGTGAATGCCTGGGGCGTGAAGAAAGCGAGCTCATTTGGCGCGATCCGGACAACCGACCCGTACTTGTGCAATACCTTCTCGATCGCCCAGGGCCACCTCCCGGAGAACCAGTGGTAGGCATACCAGAGGTTGGAAATGGCGGCGAGTCTCGGCCCTGGGAAATGGGACAGTGGATGAAAGTACAGCAAGTAAATAACACGCGTTAATGTATAGGCAGAGATCTATTAGAAACATTAGCCTCGATGTCTGCCTTGCGATCGGTGAAAGAGAGACGAACGGCACTGAAGATGGTGGTGGCAAGAGTGGTGGCGGTCATGCCCGAGACCTCCATGATAGACTGGAAAGCCATGCTAGGTACGCAGACTATCTCTGCAGGTTGAGTGACGAGCGAACAGAAAGTGAATGGCTCAAAGTGCAGGTTAATGTCTTGGGACACTACCTAGAGTAAAAAGCTGCTTGAGGAAAGCAGGGTGCCGCAAAACAAATGAAGGCTGCTGGGTTGGATTGGGGGCGCAGCAGCAAATTGACTCCTTAGGCGAGGGGCGCTTTCATCGTTGTGTACCGTGCTTACGGCCTGCAAGCCGATATTGCTCTGCTCCCGGCCCCTCACCCCCACCAATCATCTCATCTCACATCAGTGCTTCCCACATGCTGTCACAAAAGCTTAGCATCATAACCTTGCAGCTTCCAAGTTTCAAACAGCCCTTTTCTCCTCGTTATATTAGGAGCCGTGACCAAATAACTTGTAAGTTACCGCCCCTTTTATTAACTTTCCGGTAGACCTGCCCTTCCGACTTTCGAGGTTGGCGGGTTGGTGCCAGATGACTAGCAAGCCCACTTCCGCGATCCTTCGATGATACTTCCATCAACTCACAACTTGATCGAGAGCGGGCTCTAAAGAATTCAATCAGCACAGTATCTGTAGGGAATATGGCAACGTGGGTGTCGTCGTTGCTGACTACTGGCCCATAATAATACATCGACTAAGTCTCATATCAAGGGAAGAAGCAGATACCAGCAGCAGTGCTCTATCAACCCCAGAATTTGTAGAGAATATGCGCCGGTACGCCGCTCGTTTTAAGGTTACTAAACAGGTAAGGTTTTCGGTATAACGCGCGTTCTCCAAGCCCAGAATTATTGCGTAAATAATGGCATCCTTCATTGGTAAAGGACAACCGGTCAATCATGGTTATCACCGGCCCGTGCGTGATATGCAGCCAGGTGTATGGTTGGTGAACATTCGCTCAGACGCCACCCCGCTAGCGCTCCCTGTTCACCGGACGCAGCTGCAACCTTGCTTTGGACAGCACTTTCAGCGCATTAAGTGCGTCGCGCGACGACGAAACGGGTATGGGGCGGAGAGTGGGGTAAGAGTTTGCGCGGCACGGGCTGCAAGGCGCGTATCTGATCTGAACTACTTAGTTGCGTATATAAGCTGAACTGCTCCAAGACTATGATCTCTTTTCTTCCACCTCTGACTCTGGGACGCATAAAGTTACGAATCTATCGCCCGATCAATCTGATTCCAACCCCTTCTTAACCATCGGCGTTACCTCACGTATGCTCGAAGGCCAGTTCAATCATTTGCGGCCCTGCTGATACATGCATGCAGTGCTCCGCTAAGCTACACCATGTGCCAAAGAATGCATCCACGAGTCAAATACGCTTGCGGGCACGAAGTCGAGCAGTACCCATATATCCAGCAATGCGACGAAGCGAAGCAGCGAGGCTCAGATTGCACAAATCCTACGGATAATTACAGTTTAGGCATGTCGTCTAGGAAGGGCAAGTGCCCAGATTGTGGGTCTAATTAGGATGTGGTCGTATGCGGTGGAGTCATTGAATCTCTCCCGTCTCTGATTGGAATCATGGAAACGAAGCTGCTCGATATGGGACGATTGGTCTTGTCTAGATATACAAACCCTATGGTATGCTTCCAGCAGACTCCTTTTCCAGAAATTCGGTACATTGTGCTTTGATGTCATCCAAAACCAGCGTGTCACTTTCTAGATGTCCTTCTACGTCTGTGTGCTTCTCCAACAGAGATATAACTTCGTGTTCCACCGCCTCAACTGAATGGTAACCGCCGTGCCAACATTTCTGTGTCAAGTCGCCGAAGATAACATCACCTGCGGTCGAAGGGAATTGATTCATTATGAGTCGTCGAACTCTGATAGGCGCCTCAATATCGTGGAAGGGTTTATGCCCAAATCGGATGGTGTAAATGCAAGATGCCAGTGAGAATTGCTCACTGAGCGGGCCGGCCAAGGGAGGCTCGTAGTCTTCATTCATCTTGCAAAACGGCTCGCTCGCCACCACAAGCTGTTCGCCCCTCTTAACGGTTGCATCGAAATCCCCGAGTCTGACTTCTTCCCTAGTGCCAAGAAATATGTTTGCCGGCCGAAGATCCCCGTGGGCATAACCAAGATGCTCAATCCAGGCTAGGGCACTGGTGATTTGTTGGATCCACCGCTCTTGCGTGCTTGGACTAATGGCTGACATCGGGGATCTCTCAATACGAGTCTCAAGAGTCATTTCCTGCCGATGTAGAAAAATGCCCTCCGGAACGCAGAGTAGGGCACAGACAATATTGGGATGCCAATGTTCCATCAGAATCTGGTATATGGCCTTTTCGTTTTCCAGCCTCTTGATGCTCTCTTTCATTTCTTCTGCTTGCGCCCGCACAGGATTATCGAAGAGTGTTGGACACTTGAAGACAACATTCCGGCTGATGGCGAAAACCTGTCCGGCTGAACCTCTAGAGATAAAATTATCCGCCGAGAGAGACTGAAACGGCGTCCGTAATCGTGCAGTCATCTTCGAGCGGGATATGAGGGGAACGACGAAGACGAATCTAGCTGTATATCCGCGGAAAAGCGTTAGCCTTTGAGCAAATCATGCAGTATCATCTTCACTTACTCGGTACGAGCTCAGTGTTTGGAAAGAAGGGCAGCGAAAGTGAGAGGCTCGCAGCGGAGTTTGGTGTTCGAGATGCGCGTCGGCGGGAGGCGATGGAAGAAGCTTCGCGGGGCGTTGTTTTCGAACGCGATGTTGCGCGATTCAATTAGTCAGCGTCTGGCGCCTATCCTATTTACATCGCCACGAGTCTTTCTGTGTGGTTGGCTTGTGGATTAGCTGCAATTAGGAACAAAGTGGGCGTTTAATCGCTGCGGACTAGACTGCATATGCGTCGGGAGTTTCCTAAGGAGTTGTTAAAGTCTTCATGCCAAACGGACCCATCTGTGCCGGCGAGCGAACGGACGCTGATTGGCTAGCGCTTAATGTCTAGGCTTAGCGCCGCCTGTCCCCACGACTCTCCGCGTTCACTTCTCGCAGCCCAACTACGACGGCGACGACAATGCCGTCCCCTTCACCACCGCCTTCCCTGTGTCTCCTTAACAGCCTTTATCGTCGATTAATCCCGTCTCCTCGAAGCGAAAGCGAGAGCATGCGCCTGCTGAAACCTTCCCGCCCGTTTTGCCGTCCGAAACGCCAACGCAGTATCTAGACACGAGCGGGGTTGGCGCATATGCTTTGGGATGAGCAAGGAGAGGGCGCAGAAGGGGTTGGGTAACGCCTCGCACCATGCAGGCACTTCATTGCCTTTCCGAAGCGCTCTAGTTTAGCTGCGCCGTAATTCTAACCGCTACTATTACTAGCACACTCTTAAACAATAGACTATTAAGTAATTAAAAATTATAACGTACTTTACTAGTAAACTATCTACGCTACTAAACTACCTAAAAATACTAAGACTTTACTAAAAAGCTACTATCTTAGTTAGATTACTCTAACTCTAAGCTAATATACTTTACTACTAAATTAATTATAATATACTTTACTATTAAACTAGTTACTTTATTAAATAATCTATAATTTCTTAGTAAGAATAATTAATAAGTATTTATAAGTTTTTTTTAAATAACTAAGTAAAACCTTAATATATTTCTATAAAATTTATATATATATTCTTTATAGTATATTATACCTTATACTAAAGTTATACTAAGATATATTACGTAATTAAAAAGCTATATATATTTAACTAACTTTTAAGAAAATTCTAGTTTACTTCTAGTAAGTACTATTATATTTCTATAATAATCTATAAAACTTATAGTATATAGTATTTATAATATAATAAAAGTTTCTAGAAAACTTCTATAGCGCTAGCTCTTCTAGATATAGTATAATAAAAGATAGAAGTTTAAAAATTTTCTTTTTAGAGTTTTCTTCTTCTAACTATATATATATAGTTAATCTAGCTCTATAAACTTATTATTTTATATATTATAGTTAGTTTTAATTATATAAAGCTTACTAACTAATAATATAGTAGCTTTAAGTAGTTATTTAGGGGTAAAGTCTTTTTAGTAGTATAGTATAGAAAGATAGAAAGATACTAAAACTATTTTAAAATTATTACTTCTAAATATATATTAGACTTATAGTATATATAATCTTATAATTTATATCTTTATATAGCTAGATTATTTATATATATCTATAGTTAGAGAAGAAAACTCTAAAGAAGATTTTTCTAACTTTTATCTTTTATTATACTATATCTAGAAAAGCTAGCTCTATAGAAATTTTCTAGAAACTTTTATTAGCTATAAATACTATATACTATAAGTTTTATAGATTATTATAAAGATATAATAGTATTTACTAGAAGTAAACTAGAATTTTTTTAAAAGTTAGTTAAATATATATAGCTTTTTAATTATATAATATATCTTAGTATAACTTTAGTATAAAGTATAATATACTATAGAGAATATATATATAAATTTTTATAACTATAAATAAGAAAGTTATAGATATAGCTAAAAATCTATAGAACTTAATAAAAATTAAAATACTAGACTAAAACTTTTATAGCTAATAGAGTAATAATACTATTAAAAATAATTTATTATATCTACTATAGTTTTTATAGAATTATTATTAGAGTCTATATATATTAGAGTTATTTATATTAAGTTAATATAAATACTTTCTAGTTTATATAAAGTAAAACTAGAAAGTTAATATAAATTATAGTAGTAGATTAATATAAATACTTTTTATTTATATAAAAATATTAATATTAAGTTAATATAAATTATAGTAAAAACTAAGTTAATATAAATTATAGTAAAAACTAAGTTAATATAAATTATAGTAAAAATAATATTAGTAGATTAATATAAATATATATATAAAAATATAAAGTTAATATAAATTATAGTAATAAATTAATATAAATACTTTTTAGTTTATATCTAAAAACTAAAAATTAATATAAATTATAGTAGTAAGTTAATATAAATACTTTTTAGTCTATATATAAAAAATATAGAGTTAATATAAATTATAATAGTAGATTAATATAAATACTTTTTAGCTTATATATAAATATTAATATTAAGCTAATATAAATTAAATATTAAAATAATATAAATTATAATAGTAAGTTAGTAATACTATAAATAAGTATATTTAAGTTTTCTATAAAGCTAATATATATTTATATATATAGAATATATAAAAAGACTTTTAAAGTAAAAAAGTTAAAGATTAGACTAGTATATTAAACTTATTCTAAGTCTAAACTCTTTTTCTTTTTCTATTTTATTTATAATAATATATAATATAAAAGCTAAATTATTTTTTACTTATATAAAATAAATAGATAATAGCTATAAGTTACTTAATATACTTTATTATTAAAAGTCTTATATTATTAAAAGCTCTATAATTTCTTAGTAATAAAAATTAATAAAAATTAACTTATTTTTCTTAAATAACTAAGTAAAACCTTAATATTTTTCTATAAAAATTTATATATATATTCTTTATAGTATATTATACCTTATACTAAAGTTATACTAAGATATATTACGTAATTAAAAAGCTATATATATTTAACTAAATTTTAGAAAAAATCTAGTTTTCTTCTAGTAAGTACTATTATATCTCTATAATAATCTATAAAACTTATAGTATATAGTATCTATAACGTAATAAAGATTTATAAAAAACTTTTATAGAGCTAGCTCTTCTAGATATATATTATAAGCTATTTTCTTAACTAAGACTAGAGTTTATATTTATAAGAGAAGGTAAGAGGTATACTTTAGGCTAGAATCTTTAGTAATAAAAAGGTAGAGGTAATAATACTATAAATTATAAGTCTCTATAGTAATTTTAGTAAATAAAGTAATAACTATAAAAAGCTATAAGAAGTAAGCTTCTTCTAGTTATATATATATACTACTCTAGCTAGATTAGATACTAAGACTCTAGCTCTAGTAGATTTCTTAGATTAGGTCTAATTACTTAGATTAGGTCTAGTTTATCTAATCTATCTAATCTATATTATATAACTCTAATTATTTCTATAACTCTATATATAATCTCTTATCTTATAACTCTAGGCTTAGCTTACTATTTTCTTTATTCTAGCTAGCTAACTCTATTTCTAATTCTATAATTATAATACTTACTTCTTCTTCTAAAGTATTATTCTAAAGCTTTATTCTATTTCTAGATATAGTATTTTATTATTCTACGCTATTTCTATATAAGAGTAGTACTATCTATAGTTCTATAGTATTATATTTTTTTTTCTCTTTCTATTCTTACTATACTACCTACGCGTACTAAGTCTTTAATAGTCTACTATTACTATTATACTAACTTTATTCTATATACTAGCGCTAATATATCTAATAATTTCTATAGTACTTACTATTTCTATAATCTATATTATATTATAGAGATATTTTCTAGCTATTATTTAGAGTATATTATAAAGAGTTAGTTCTATAATAAGGTGCTAGATTAGAAAGAGATAGAGAAGCTAGATTAGTTAGTAGCTAATTTATATTCTTAGTAGTCTAAGGCTAGTCTTAAGGTAGAGTATCTTACTAAGACTTAGTAGCTTAAGCTAGATTACCTACGTACCTAGAAGGTCTACCTAGATAAATTCTAGTAGTCTATAGATACTTATAGTAAGCGCTTATAAAAGTAGTTAGAGCTAGTATAACGTTATTATAATACGCTACTTTTAAAAGATCTAGCTAATATTAAGAAGTTAGAGTAGTTAGAGTATAAGGTATAATAACTCTTATAGCTATAATCTTCTATTTCTCTAGTTAATTCTCTTTAGTTATTTAACTAGAGTTATCTAGAGAATTTAGAATTCTAGTCTCTAGATTTTAGAGTTAGTACTACTAATAAAACTCTTTAAGCTTTTTAGAATAGTTTCTAAGATTCTCTAGTAGTTTCTAGGTATCTTTCTCTAGTAGATATTCTTTCTATCTAATCTAGTACTTCTACTAACCTTATATACGCTTTTTATCTAGTATTCTTTTAACTTTAAAGTTCTAGTCTAGTTCTACTTTAGTTTATTTATTAAGTAGCGCGCTATTAGGCGCTAGCTTAAGTTTAGATTTATAGAATATAGAGTATATTTATATTATTAGTAGTAGTTTTAATCTAAAGTTAATAAGTCTAAGTTATCTATTAATTTTAAATAGTCTAATTTATAGGTAATCTAGTTTCTTACTAGATTATTTAGTATATAAGTTTTTTTATAGAATAAAAACTTTACTCTTCTTCTTAAAGGTTAGTTTTTTAATTCTTTTCTTATTTACTTATTAAGTTATTCTTTCTACTATTTTCTATAGTTTATTATAGATTATTCTTATCTAGTATTCTTTTTTCTTTACCTTTAGAGATATTATAGCTATATATATTAAGAATCTATATATTCTAGTCTTATAGCTATAATATACTTAGTAGAAAGTTATTTCTATAGTTTCTTATCTTACTATATTATATACTAGTTATACTATAGATAGTAGCTTAACCTAGTTATCTTATTTCTAGTTAATATAGTTTCTTAGATATTCTTCTAGAGTCTAGTTTATCTATTCTATTTAGCTATTAGTCTATAAGTAGAAGCTAGTTAATATTTAATTACTTACCTCTATCTAACTAAGTAATATGTTCTAGAACTTAGATATAAATAACTTATCTCTATCTATAGTAACTCTTTCTAGTATTCTATACTAGCTAAATAGTTATTAGCTTACCTTATAAGCTAGTTCTTTAGTCTTAAGAGTTTTACTAGTTAGATAGAAGTATATATACTTAGTAAATTAGTTTATAATTACTAAGATAGTATTATACTTTCTTTATAATATAAGTTTAATTAATCTAGATAGTTTTATAATAAAG